ATAATTTTAAACTCGAAAATTGTTCAAGTCTAATGAAATCGATGGCATTGATTTTAAAGGATCACCGATTCCCAAGATTCAAATGGTGGCGGCAAAAGGTGGGGGTGACACAAGCAACAAAAAGCATGGTCCATGGTCCGTCGCAAAGTACCAAGCCAAACGAATCTCGCAAAAATCATGTAAAGATGCCTTTGCCATCTATTTAATTAATGAGCACATCGACAAAGGGGAGGGGGGCGCTTTCAGAATAATGAAAATTCAATGTTTCCATTTCTGTTGATCTCATTTCGGCACAAGACCAATCTCTAATTTTTTTCTGTCTTCGTCCTTCTCCAGCCTCCTGCTGCTCCCGGGGGCCTAATCGCTAAAGTAAAGTTCAAACAAATTCGGCAAACAACCACAAAGAGCCCTCGCCTTGCGACAATCGAGAGGAGCCGGAGGAGTTGGCGCAAAAAATGAACACGTGAGCGAGGGAGAAAGTTGCGAGAAGGGCAACGCACGGAGAATGTGAATTTGAGAAAAAGAAAAAGTGACGTCGGATTATATTATACATATTATGCGATTATTATGGCCAACGAAAAATGTATAAATAAGCAGTAGAGCAAGAAATCGACGAAACCAAGCCAATTCTCCACCCATTTTTCTTTTCAATGTTTCATTTTTTTTGTTGAAAACGAATAAAATTCGAGAAAATTGACTTTGCGCCTTTGAATCGCGTCCCGCAACGACATTTCACTCAAAAATCGACACCAGCTCGTGTCGAGACTTTAAAGGAGCACAACAAGACAAATTCGATGGGCGACATTTTGAAAAAAAAAATAGCGTCTACATTGTTCGCGAAAATTAATTGATTTTCCAACCAAAAAAAAATGCTAGGAAAGTGGGCGGAGCTTGCGAAAAACCCGAGAAATGCTCAAAATTCGCAAAAACTTTTGGGGGGATAATAATTGGAAAATGTGAAATCGACAAAAATTGGCGTCAAATGCGAATTCGATAATGTCGCGCACGCGCGCGCGCCTTTCAAACATAACGAATCAATTAAAATGAGTCAACGACATGTTGCCGAATTGTTGAAACAAAACAACAGCCATTTCGGTCTCGGCTGTACGACGACGAACCCCTTGTTTGATTAGGCACACAATTCTGTTGTTTTTTTTTTTTTGAAACAACGTTTTACATTCAAGCGAGAGAGTCAACAAAAAAAAAAGAATAGGGCGAGAAATGCAATTAATTTCAGCGATATGCGCTTATCGCGATTCGATTAATCCAACAATTGCAAAAAAAATGTTTTCTCCTCCTCCTATTGAGCTCTCGTTGAAACCCGAAAAGCTTCTATTATTTACCGGCTGGGGGAAATACACAAACACAGAGGGAACAACACGAAAATGCGTGTATTTGTGTGTGTGTTCTTTTTTTTTCGCTCTAAACATCACAAGGGCAATTCAAGGTCCTTTCAAGGCCAATTTTCTGTTTTCCGGCAAATTTTCAGCATTTCGAAAAAAAAACGAAGATGATGATGAAGAAGAAGAAACATCATTTCTCCAATGTGGGCAACCAGTTTATCAACAACGATTCTATAAAAAGAAATGTTGAAACAAAATTCAACGATTTCGACAAAAAAAGAGGATTTGAAATCGCTTAATCCGGTCGACTAAAAACCAAAACATTCGAATTGCTCCTCATCTTCGAAAAACGACGTCATCATTCACAAAATTAAAAAAAAAACCGAAAACCTAATGAGAAACACAACAAAACAACAAAGAGTAGCAAAGCAAAACGGTCATTTCTATTAAGTAATGTCGCTTTCAAAATTTTGGGTCCCACAACGAAAACGCCATTTTTTTTATTTCTGATGAAATACCCCACTTCACAAATTTTTTCACCGTTTTCAGTTTTTTTTTGTGTCGAATTGCCAAAAACGCTGAAAATGTTCAACGAAAAAGACAAATTTAACAAAATTCTACGTCTCTTTCTCAAAAAAAAAATTCTATGAAATCTATTTTTAGCTTAAAATTGATCTCCTACTTCAATTTCTAGGTTGCTATGCATAGGTTGGATTTGAAAAAAAAAACCCAAAAAAATTCCGGAGAAAACTAATTATTCTTGCTCAATCTGCATATTACCATTAGAATTTTGCAAATGCCTCATTTCTATTTTCAAATTCTTAACAAACCAATAATCTAAAAAAAATTCTCCCCTTTTCTTAAAAGTGGTGGGCGTGTCTAGAAATACTGTAGTTTGCCCAAGATCACAAGATTAATCCTTAAAGATCTTTGAGATATGTGGTCGAGAGGAAGGAGATAATTGAGTCATACTATATCAAATTCAAGGAGCTTAATATTATAACTGATTAGTGAGCCAGCTGACAAGCAAACATGGCTTCATGGCGGAATCAGCGTGTTTGCTCGCGGATAACCTCACCTCGACAGTCTTGTAACCTGTGGCCACTTGGCAACCTCTCAAGTGTGGCGCGTTTCAAACACCGAAATAACACACAAGTGGTGGGGAGGAGACAATAAAAAAAAGAATCGATTGGGTCTGAAATTTTGAGAAAGAAAAACGAATCGACAACCGACAGAGTGCACTGTAGTGGCGAGCGCCGCCTTCTAACCCAAACACACCGCCAAATATGGTCTAGATTGTCCAAATTGATTTTTATCGATGAAACAAGAAAATGGGTGATGTCAAGTTTGCGAATGAAATACCATACTTCGGTTCAATGAGTGAAGAAACCTTGACGGCGACGCATGATTGTCCAGACGACTTCGATGACAAATCAACGAGGAGGACATCACGCACAATATTTGGGCAATTGGCGGACAATCAAAAAAAAATCTCACTTCATACAAAAATCACTTTTTTTTTTCATTTTAAAAATAATTTGAAGGTCTCATCGAGAGAAAAATGAACAGAATCGAGCGGTTCGCCAAAAAATCGTACTTTTTTCCTGTGAACAAAAATCAAAAAAATTTTTTTTTCTACAAATTTATGGAAAAGCGAATCTCCGTGCAAATTTCATTTTTCTCTCATTTCTCACACGCGATGCCCAATTTCGAACTCGATCAATGCCTGTGTTCTCTCGCAATCGCACACTCTCTAGATTCTCAAAACACCCAACAAAAAAAACACGAAATGTTCCAAACAAGAATGAAACAGCGGCTTACTCATTCACAATACGACAAATTCTGGAGCAACAAGAAAAAAATCAGCTGGCTACCGTAGTGCGGCAGCTGAAAATTTTTGATTCAATTGAACCGACAAAACGAAATAAATGACGCGAGAGAATTTTTCCAAGAATTAATTGAAGAGAATACGAAGATTAGAATTGCCACACCGTCAAATTGACATTTTTTAATATATTTTTGTGTTTCTCTTTCGTTTTCACACCAAACTTGCCGCATTTCTCATTTCAGTACTCACAGGTCATTCAGAAGCAGAAAACCATGAATCGGTTGCTAGGCGACTATCCGATATCCGCCAGAAGCTTCATTCAATAATTGCTTTTTAATTGGTAAATTCAATTTCGCAATTTTCATCGTTAAAGGCGCAATTGGGGGGGGGGGTTTGGGTCTCGCCAAGATCTTTCATTTCAAATGAAATGCAATAAGCAAACTAATCCAATTGCGGAGACATTTTTATTATAAACCTATGATAAATATGATTGGGTTAAAGGCGTATGCTCATTCTTTTTCTCAGCTATAGCCTTTTATAGCGAAAAAGGGCAACAAGGAAAGAGCAAAATTGAGCTTTTCTTTCGCTTCATCCCGTGTATTTGAGCTCAATTGAACATTTTTAATTAAAATCCATAGGCACATCCATAAAACGAGCAAAAAAAATGAATTGAAGAGGAAGAAGTGTAATTTCGAATGAGTTCATTGAATGTTTCATAGAGCATGCGAAAAAAAAAATATTATTATTATTATTATTAACATACTATGACCGGATATTGGTCGAATTTGCAATCAATTATACAAAAAAAAACTCTCGCATTTTTCCCATGTATGGGAAAAAAAACATCAACCCACTCGTAATTTAGCGCATTTCTTTCCAATTGTTTTATTTTAAATTTATTTTTATACCATATTTAGGGATGTTCATTTTTTTTCCTCGCGCTTTAATTCCACAAATTTGCTCTATTCGTCAAAATTGGCATTTTCTATTCATAAATCCCTCAAAACCCATAATTTCGTGATTCACTACATTCAAATTTCAGAAAACGCCGAAAAATAATTAGCGAAAAATCGCAACGAAACAACATATTCGCATAAATAACTAAATTATATTTATCTCGAAGGAAAGTGCGCGTTAATTAGGGGGCAATTATCAGGCATTTTTCGAAATTATGATTTCTCGCCTTTTCTTTTTTTTGCATATAATGCAACGACGGGCATTCCTTTAAAGGAATTCCAAATATTCATCGCGCTCGCATTTATTACCATCATTTTCCCATAATTTTTTTTTTTACTATAAAAAAAAGACGCACCTGTGTATGCTGCGATTCATTTGTAGACATTACCAGCAATGAAATCAACTCTTTCGATGGGACCCTGAAATAAAATAATTAGTTGCGATAATTAACTAGCCCAATTATTTAATAGTTACAGCACATTTTTAAATTGGTTGAAAAAAAAAACAAATCAAGAGAACCGCGAAAATGTTCATAAAAACAATAGAGAACCCAGACAAACTACTAATCGAAACAGTCATTGGCGGTCCGTAGTTGCGCGTGAGTTCAGGCGTTTTTACAACTTTCTGTGTAAACATTTTTCTTTCGCAATTCATTTTCGACGCGGATTGTTTCAACGCGCAATTTCGTAGTTAATAAATCAAATAAGAATTATGTATTCAACAACAACTATTATCTTTTGATATGAAAAAAATTCAAATTATTGACAATTTTTGACTATTTATCTTTTATTGTTATTTTAATTATGACAACTTTTTCTTTTACCAAAATAGCAAATGAATAACTTAAATTTAAAAAAAAGCCTATTAATTATCTACAACTCGTCGTGAACGTTGGGCTTCAATTCCGGATACACGTTTTCGATGAACCATTTCATGTCCTTGCATTTGAGGCGATCGCGGATTTCAATGGTGTCGCTGATATCGCCGAACACGATTTTCTCTCCTCGCGGCTTCGCTTTGAAGAAATGCTTCTGATAATCGCCGAGCCACGTTTTTGCCACTCTCACGGCATTGTACAATGCGGTGTCCATTCCAGGCTTCGACGAATACGGCCGGCGCATTCGGAAGACGTGTCCGACGCGCGAGCACGGAGCAACAAGCACTTTTCCGCCGCAAAGCCATGTCTAGATGAAAAAAAAAATAAAATGATTATTGAGGGGATTATCTTTGAAACCTTGAGTGAGAGTTCGATGTTCTCCGATCCCCAAATCTCCATTCCCATGTCATATTCTCCGAGTTCCTTGAAATAATCACGGCGGATTGCGAGAAGACCTCCCGGCATAGCTGGCGATCTTAAAGACGCTTATTAATATTTAGTGTGATGCTTGAAACTCCTACTCGAATGGTTTCACATTATTTTCCGGTGTCTCAAAGTATTCCCATGGAAGGTAGATCCATTTGAATGTCAATCCCCAATCGAATCCGCTCTTCGCTACCATGCTCTTCGAATATTCGAACGATACCGGGTTGATCAAATCGACAACAGGAAGAACAACGCTACAACAATTTTAAATTAATTTTTTTTAAATCCAAAAATTATTTCAATTTGTCACGTCAAATTGTTTTTAGGTGACTAATGGCACAAATGTTTCATTGATTTCTTTTAATAATTATTGGAGAATTTCCTATCAACATTTTTTTCTGGTTTATTACTCACGCTTTTGGATTCTCCTTAATTGGCTGGAGAAGTGGTTCAAGCCATCTCTCGGAAACTTCGCAGTGACTGTCCATGAACACAATGACGTCTCCCTTGGCGAGGCGGGAAGCACGAACCTTGGCTTTAATCAATCCCTGAAACAGAAAATCAAAATTGAAATTAATATATATATTTTTTGAAACCTGACGATATTCGCTTCTCGAAATCACCAACTTATCCTCAACACCACGAAGTTTCGCGTATTTCTCCAAGTGTTTTGTCAAAACGTGCTCTTCCTCAGAAGCATCCTCATAAATGACAATTTCCTTCAACAGTTTCGCTGGGGTGTACTTGAAGATTCCTTTAAAAAATATATATTTAAAATATTCTTTTTGAAACCGAAAAACCTTCAAGCATTCGAAGAATTGTTGAAAGCGCTTCATTATGGTGAATGACGACAATTGAGGTGGATAATTCAGCATCATATTGTTCCTTTGCGCATCTTAAAAGTAAAAATGGATTTTAAAATCATAAAAAAGGAAAACTTACAATTCATGCGCTTGAGCTCCAACCTCTCTGTTTGGGCCAAGCTTTTCACTAGCTAAAGCATCGAAAGCAAAACTCTTGCTTCCCCAATCATACTTTTTCTTTTCCTGAAATTGTGTTTTTGCAATCCAAAGATAAATTCTGATTAAAACGAGAAATCGGCGCAAGACACAAGAGCTATACAGTACAATGCGCCTTTAACAGTTGTCAATTTACGAGTGTAAAATTTTGGGAAAAATTAATTTTCAATGAAACATTAATTACCTCCTCGCTGAGATCGTCCAAAATCGTTGTATGATTGCATTCGCGTTTGCCAAGCTGCTCTAATTTCAGCCATCCTTCCAAGCTAAACACTCAAAATCGCCTTTTTATATCGAATAATAGTCTTACTCGACATAGGGATCGATATGATTGCATTTTGGCAACTTCTTAACGTCTTCCTTCTTCTCATCAGCACCAAGAGCCGAGCAAAACAGCAAGACAAGCAGTGAATATGCTAAATAGCGCATTCTGCAATATAATCGATCGTCAAATCTCGGCCGAAAATAGACGACGAGTGGCGAAAATCTCCAAACACCACCAGGAACTGTCCGACGAAGAACGAGAAGATGAAAGGAAAAACACCATCGCGCGATCGTCGGCCTCCCATTTTATACACGTGTCCAAGAATTTTCGCGAAGACGTTGCCGACCGACCCAAACTGGTCATACTTTTTTCTTGGTTGATGGGAGTGAGTGTGAAGCTAGATGAGCGTCTGAAATGGAGGACGCGAAACGATAAGTAACGGCGTCGCAGTCGCCGCGACCCACATCTTCAGTCAGTAAAATCTTATTATTCAAAATAATATAAAATCAAATGCAAGGTGATGCGTGCAAAATTAAGGATTTCTATGGCTTCGCGACAGCTTCATCGTTGTTGTTGGTGTTGGTGTTTTTGGTGGTGGTGGTGGTGTTCTTCAACATTTGCAGAGCATTTTCAGCAATCAACGACAGACATCTCAATTGAACATCGCCGTTTCCATCAATGTAAACTGTAATATGCGAACATTTTCAACTGTAAACCTACAATTTCCTGTAAGACAATCATTTTCTCAAAAACCATTTATTTTCCGTAATCGATTGGCCTTCACAAACGGCACGTAATCTATTGCGGACCATAACAACGCTCAAGGTCAACACCGAAAAATGCACGGGACCAGTTTAAAATTGCATTGCAAGCAATTAGTCAAAATAGTGACAAAAGTTTCAAAAAATCCAAATTTTGATCATTTTTTTTTAAATTTTACTGGTTAAAATTAGATTTAAATACTTTAAAACAAATCTTGAAAGTAGTTAAACATTTTTAATTCGGCTAATCTAGCTGTGGCCGTTTCAATGAAATATTGAACTACCTTCGTCTTGATCATCATCGTCGTCATCGTCGCTCCAATCGCTTTCATCCTCACTTTCCGATTCTTCCCTTCTTCGTTTCCTCGTCGACTTTCCACCATATTCACCCTTTTTCGTTCGTTTCTCCTCGGTTTTTCGATCCAACCACAATCCAACAGCCTGGTACGAGATTTTGAGTTCCGAAGCCAACTAAATGTTTTCGGTTTTTTTCTCGTTGAAAAAAAACGAGTATATTGAGTGATTGTGGACCATCGTATTTCTTTGCGGGACGGTAATTCAAATTTCGAATTCCCGCGGAGAACTCGGACGTTTCGTAACATAAATTCAAATAACTCTTCTAGAAAATTACAAATCCTGCATCGAGAAGGAGATATCTTTATTTTTAGTTTGAAAAAATTATCGTAAATCTATCCAAGGTTCTCGTTTTTCTTTTGCGAAAATTTTGATATTAATAAATTAATTCAAATCACACAACCTGCACACGTTCTCGACATTTCACGCGAACGCCAGTCTCGAACACCTGCACGAGTCTCGCCGTCGCTTCATCCGACAAATTCTCGAGCTCCTTCTCAACAACCGCCGCCTCTTTCTCCTTTCGTACAATTTGACGTTGAGTGTCGAAGAATGAATAAACATTTCCCGCCGTCAATTTCAGTTCTTTAGCAATCTATATGAACAATCAATTAACAAAAAAAAGAAAAAGAAAGAGGGGGGTCGAAAAAATCAAATTCAAACGTTTTTATAGCCGTCGCTTGTTGGATACGGCGTTTTCTTGAAGAATTCCATCAATCGCTCCTTTTCTTCACGTGTAAACGTGTGACGCTGCTCGACCTTCTGGAATTCACAACTTCTGACGAAATCCGACGATTCGAAACGAACCGAAATTTTCGCATCGTGCAAATAAACTTTTTTTCTTCGTCGTCCAAACCAACTTATAATCGCCTTCTCCCCTTTAACATTGAGCTCTTTGGCGAGCTACAATAAAACCAAATTGAAAATCTTTTAAGAGAGAGAAAAAACATGCCTCAATCGCCTGCGCTTTTGTCGGATTCGTGTTCGTCTCGAAAACCTTCTCCAATTTCGCCACAACATTTTTCGGCAATCTCGAATAGCACATCGAGTTGTGCGCTCGGAATGCCACCGGCATTGTTCGAATCTCGGCCGGCTGAACACCTTCGTGCGCTTTCGCGAATTCGTCGAGAATGTGCTGACGATGCTCGACGCTTTTTCGCCGCTTCGCGCGCGATCTCGACACAATATAGCGAACGGTGCTCGACGCAATGTTAAGCGCGTCGGCAATCTGAACATTGTTCTGAATCTCAATTAAAATGATCACCAACCGCATGATACATTCCAGTCTTTTTGCGTGGAAATATTGAATTAAGATCATCTCTCATTTCGAAAATCTTTTTCTTCACCTCCGGACTCACATCTTTTTCGATGCTTTCTTTCGCTCGGCACCGATAAATACTATCCTAAATTTCTCAATGTCTTTTTTTTTGTAAAACAAAAAAATTAGTTTATTATACTTGTTCGAGATATTCCTGAATTCGATTACAAGGATCTCCTGAATCGCAAAAACTATCAAAATGTTTTGCTCATTTCGAAAAAAAAAATACCCGGCTCGCAAATCATATCGCGATTCTCTCGGAGCTTCTCGAAAAAATTCACGATCGTTGTATAGTCGAAATCTTCAGCCTTACTAATCTAGCAATCATTTGGAAATATGAGGAAAAATGAAATTTGAACCAATTTCTCGACATACTTCAATGATTTCCGCTACCGTTGGATGTGGATTTGTTGTGAATTTTTGCGTCAACCTCTCGCGCAGCTCCGTCTCTTCTTTCTTCAATAATTATTCATCAAATTTAAAAACAAAAACTCTCACCCCAGTTCTTTTTCTCATTATATAAAACTCCTCTTTATCTAAAACCTCTGGAGTGTACTCGTCGATATCATCGTCCTCCTCGTCTTCCTCAGGAGGTACATCTAGAAAAAGAACATTCCGAATTTCAATAGCCATCTTAAATTCTTACAATCGACATCGTTGACGTCGTCATCATCCTCAATTAGAGGCTCTTCATCCGAAATCCAATCCAAGTCGCGAACAATTTCGACGGGCTCTTTTTTCATCGGCGGCTCATCGATTTTCGGATCTCTTTTGCGTTTCGCCGAACCTTTCGGCGAATAATGCGACGACTGCTTTTTTGCGCGATTTTTGTTCAATTTTGGGAACGGCATTAGAGTGGAAGTCGGCTGATGATCATCGTCAGCAACCTCGTCTTTAAAAAAGATGAAGTTTTGCTTTGATATTTCTATGCCATAAAGCTCCTCAAGCTAAAAATCGCAATTAAAATTAAAAAATATTTTATAACAATGCAAATTACAGTAATCGTTGGCATAAGGGTAAATCTGTGCTCCAACAGAAGCTTATTCAGGTTCATTTTCTTATACGGAGGCTTTTTGATAGACAATTCGAAGTTTCCATGAGAAGGCTCGACAACCGTCTAGAAAAACCATTTTTGTCTGAAAACGCTTGATTCAGGTAATTACCGTTTTATAGAACGGGAAGCATTCAAGCATCGACGCCGCTTCTTGCTCCTTCGTCTTTTTCTGGTACATATAGCAGCAATCTCGACACGATTTCAGAGTCTCGAGAGTTTCCAAATGCTGAAAATATCATAAATGAGATTCTTTTTGATTTTCCACAGACCACATATGGCGTTTTCATGTGATTTTCATGAGCTGCGCAGAGTCCTGCGCGTATATCCAAGACACCTGCATGCTTGATTGCATGCTTAATTATGAAGCAGCTGAAGCTCGATTATAACTATAATTGTTCGGATTTTAAGAGTTTCCCACATTCTGACAAGTCTTTGGCATTTTCTGCAGCGAACGTTGACTCTGTCAAGCAGACTATTGTAAAATCCGTCCGTCTGCATGCTCATGTACAAATGATCGTTGATGAATGACTCATAGAAGTCTCGTTCTTCCTTTAATTGCTCAAAATTGAAGCGCTTTAACGGGAAAATCATACCGTCTTCAGTAGCAACGGCAAATGGCCGTTGCAAAAATGTTTCGAGCATATCACCGGATTGACGATCTCCTTCACACGTTCCACTATTCGCTCGCCCCATGCGAAATTGAAATAAACCCTTTTCGCTTCAATGTCTTCGGCTTTTAGTGAAACCGCTCGGCTATAATTGACGCCGCAGCCACAGAGAGCGCAAGTTCCCATGATTCTCTCTGAAGCACACTTTTCATTTTGAATAACGTTTAACTACCATCTATGAGATTCGGAGGGCCATCCTTCTTCTGAAATAGCTCATAGGCTTCCTCATAATCCGCAAACTCATCGGGTATCAATGAAATGTTCGGCTTGACATCCACAATTTCCTCTTCTTCCATGATCTCCACTTTCACCGGATTTTCAAAAACTTGTGGTTCAGGCTCTTCGACTTCTTTTTTTATTTCATCGTCTAACTTCCAAACCCAGTGTTCGCGAACTTCGGGAATACAAGGCAAATAATATGGCTGAATTTCAACATTTTCTTCTAGTCAAGATCTTAAAGAGGCTTCACGGTGTGAAAAAATCAAAATAGATTTTGTAAAATAGTGATTTTTTAAAAATTATTCTTAGTTGCAAAAACAATACGACATCACTTACAATACAATTTTTCGATTTTGTCTGAATTCCTTTTTTCGGCTTCCTCCTTTTCACAGTTTTCGATATTCTGTTTTCTTTCATGTTGTAGAAAGTCAATATTAATCTGAACAAATCAACAAAAAAAAGGTTAAAGACAAGTTTGCGCGAAAATTTTCGAAACTCTATTTTTTTAAATCTGCAAAGACACACACGCAATATTGCACACAATTGCCAAGAGTACAGTACCAACGAGACTTCATTTTCAATAAATGCTTAAATACAATAAATTAGGCGCATTATCTACATGATATTATACAATCAATCGGAAATATTGCCACTTTTAGACAAATTTTAATTTTTCGCCGTGTTTGTCATGCGAGTCGCGACCACGGGATAAACTTCGTCGCATTTTTTTCTGAAAATAATATTATGTCAATTTGACGAAATAAATCAAATGAAATAACAATACCACAATCTTTTTAACAGCTCCACCGATACTTCTCGAACGTCTTCTCATTTTCCGATCGCCGTCTTCAATGAGCAATGTTTGCTCCTCGTCATTCTCAATCGGCGACGGGCAATCAACAATCGATTCGCTCGCTTTTCTCGAAGCTTCTCTTTTAGCGCGAGCTGAAATTGATAATTATATTTTCTATTAAAAAATACCAAAAAAAAGCGGGCACCTAGACGCATTTCCTTATGGATTCGCTCAATTTCCAATAATTTCGCCTGTTTTTTGGCCTCGCGTTCAGCATTCAATTTTTCCAATTTCTGCTTTTTGGTGATTCGCTGCCTGAAAAAAAAATATCTAATAAATATCTAGAATCGTGAAGATCTATTATTCCAGATTTTACGGTTCTATTTAAGAAGTTATTCTTTTTGAATTGATTCGATGAGTCTTGAATGGAAACAATGAAACTCATAGGAACAATCAGTGCGTTTTTTAAATATCCCCAAAAAATTCTTCTTGGTCACGCAAATTTCGATGATTTTTGCGAAATGGAAGGAAAACTCCGAAATTCTTCCGGTGAGACACGATGGGGGTAATTATTTATTTTCATTGTCACATTTTTCAATTTGAATTTCTCTGATAACACCGTACCAATTGGATATGACAAAATTCGGCTCCGGAATCAACCTTATCCTTTATAATTTAACGGATTAGATTGTAAAGTTGTTGAATCCGATTGGCTGTTTGGGTATCTGTTGGATCCAATTGCTATTTTTGAATATTTGTCAGAATTGAGAAATTAAAACACTTTGGATTCGAACAATAACCAATCGAATCCGAAATTATTAAAAGAAAACCAATGGGATCCTACAATTTTACAATCTTATCCGTAGAACTTCCAATCAATTTTATCGGGTTGATTCCGGAGCCGAATTTTGTCGGATGCGATTGGTTTTGAGTTACTAGAGTTCATTCATTTATTCTTCGGAGCCATCAGGAAAAAATACAAGAATTTTCCGAGAATGTTTTTTTTTAATTTCAGTTAATACATATCAGATTTTTCAAATGTTGGAGTTTTTTGTTTAAACAAGCCTGAAAGCATTTCGCATTTCAAATTTCTCAAAATTCGTCTGCCCATGCAAAAATATTCAAAAATTTCGTTACAATTCCAAAAACTGCTCATATTTCTCGTTATGCTTCTCAACAAGAACATCGAGCAATCGGCACTGTTCCTCGCATTCCATCATATTTTCCTGGATTTCGAGCATCGTCTGTGTGAATCGCTCTCCGATTTCAATATCAATCTGAATTCATTTCAAATAATCTTCTCATTTCGATATTTGAAATAAAAACACCTTTTTTGATTTAACAAGTCCCTCGACGACTACAAGAAAATCAAATCCAAGGGCGGTTATTCTTTCATTGAACTTGTAATATTCATTGGTTAGTTCATCATTCGATAAATAGCAAATCTCATAAATCACTGAAAATGTTTCTCTTTTCTTTATTTGGTATAGCTCTCACATGATTCTGGAATTTCTTTCTCCTTCTTTAGGTTGTTGAGAGCAGTTTGAAAATCCATTCTTCCATATATTCCGCCAAAAAATAAAAGCGTTTTTTAGGATACTATATAAAAGATTCAAGTATTGTTTTATTAGGAACTCAAAAGAACCACCGCATGTCATCAATGTAATTTTGCAAGCATTCATTGAACTCGAAAATCACAGAAACTGTTATAGTCTATCGTTTATCAAAATGGAAACGGTTGACAAGAAGTATTTACAAGCAAGAATGTTAAACAAAATTGAAAATTTCCACCATAATAATTAATTTTAATTAAGCGAGTCCCGTAGTTGGGAATTACATATATTGCTCTGCCCATTCGTTCAAGCAATTGAACGCGCTTTTGGCGTGGTTGGCGGTTACTCCGGCTGTTTCCTGAAAAATAACAATTAATAAAAAAAATAATATTTATTTGTAACCTTCAACCATTCAATGAACATCTCTTCATCCTTCTTCAAGAGGAGAAATTGTCCGAAAAGGACGTAGGCCTTATCATATCCAGCTTCGGTCAATTTTGTTCCATAAGTTGGTCCGATTCCGGCAACACAGGTAACTTCTTTCTCGCCCATTGGCTCTCCAACAAACTCGCGATGTTTTACGGATGTCGACATTTTTTTCTGAAAAATGAAATAATTGAAACGGATAAAAGGAAAATAAGGCGTAAAAAGTCTTCCCGAAATGTTGTGAAATTCAAGACTATCGATGACGTCACCCCCTATCAAGGTTGCGAAATCCTTAACAATTTAAGAATTGCGGTTTTTTTAATGAAAAGCGCAAACAAAGGACAAACGATTCTAGAAGGTTCGATTCCAACGCGTTTTAAAGAATATTTGTTTATAGCTATTTGAAATAAAAACGATGGTTTGCGTTCAAATTCATCAATAATTGTATGAGAAAAACAATCGAAAATATTCATGTCATAGATTTTCTATTCGGAGAAAAAGATAAATTTCGAAATTTCTTACGAGCCGAATCCTAAATTGTTGACTAAACGGTTAATCTCGATTGTGAAGGGGAAAGAAAATTTTAGGAAAATATTGCAAATTTTTCAAATTAAAAAAAAATGGAAGGACAAACCAGAAGGGTACTCCTAACACGCGAAAAACGTAAAAGTGAGGACTCGCGTGTTTGAATGTCAACTTTCGCGGTCTTCGAAGCGATTCAAAGTGCAATGGAGCGCGTTTGTAACAATTGTGTTCAAAACTTTTTTCATTTCAAAAATTGCGATTACATATTTATGTCAAATACAAATGAGGTATCTGAATGGTAAGAAGAAGAGGACTTGAATATCAAGTAGAATTTCAATTATCTCGAACACTTTCCATTTTTGCAAATCTCCGATCGCTGACAGCATTGGTTTCCACATTGGTCGCGGGTCACCGGACAGTTCTTTAAAAAAATTCAAACATTTCAAACAATTGCCGTTTCTTTTTCTACCGGTATTCTTGGGAAGCAGCGATTACGAAGACACGATTGATCGGCATTGCAGCATTCATACGCAGAACATTGATTAGTATTTGAGCTACATCTTCCAGAATTGGCTGAATATTGAAATGATTTTCCTCATATTTTGTTGAAATACCGATAATTCTCGGCGATGGCGTCGTCGGCCGCTTCTTGCCAAATCCGAAGAACGACGAGAAGAAGTCGCTGGCCCGGCCGGGTTCGCCAACAGCAATAAGCGACGCGGAAAACAAAATGAAGAGAATAACGAACAATCGCATTCGAAGCAGCTTTAATGTCAGCAGGTCGATGCGTAAGAATTGGAAACACGCGACGTCGAGAGTGAGAGACAAGAGAAGATTAATTGATAGGCGAGAAGCGGGAACCCTCGAATTTTGACAAAATCGATTTTTGCTTCGCAAACCAAACACTATACAAACTCTCGTTTGTTTATTGGCATCCTAAAAAATCAAGCAAATATTGCCAGAATTATTCAATTTATTTATTTACAATTCATTTTGTTTCAAATCTTTTTTTAAAATTTAAACGAAATTTTCGTTCAGTTCAAATTTATTGATAATTGCATCGATGCCGAGAATATTTTTTGTCGCGAAATGGTCCTTTGATTTGTAGCAGAGAAACTGGAAGTTTTTATTCTAAAACCAACATTTTTTTATTTAACAAATAAAATGAAATTGAGTGGAAAACGAACCTGAATTTTAAAGATGTAGTAGGTATTGGTAGCTTTCCCTTCCCCTCGATGAAAACGTGAATAAATTTACATTTCACATCGGTTTTGACGCCGTGGCGAATTCAAGACGAAGGAAAAATCCTTGCAAGCAATCCCAGAAAAGGAAGACACAAACATCGGCGGCAAAAAAGAAAAATGCTAATTTAAAAAATTAAATCGTTATGGTTAAAGGTGCATGCGATAAAATTGCATGATTTTTACGGCGATTAAATAAAATCTGCGGTACTGTAGGCTTCGAAACACCTAAACGTGGTCGAAGTTTTTGCAGTTTTTTTCTCATTTCATAGCGATTTTTTGAATGTCAGGGCCAATGTTCAGTGACTTATACTTTTTGACTTGACTCTTGATTTTTGACTCATAGAAATTGTATCATAATTTTTAATTCTTTGACTCATGAATTCGAACTAGTGATTTTTGACTAACTGTACAGTATAAAATATATTTTGCTGTTTTCACGCGAACTTCTTCATTTTTCTTGATGTGTTTCACATTTTCTTGAATTTCCAACCACATTCGATTAAAAAATTATCGAACCGGTCCATAAAATTTGAAATAATCTGTTAGTCCTTGCGAGACCATTTCGAAAGACGCATTCCCGTAAATCTACCCGCGTACAGCAGTCGCCGGACTCTGACTATATTTGTTATCTAAAATTGCTAAAAAAGTTTTAGAACAAAACTGGTTTGAGCCCGTGGAATCGAGCTGAAACTTTAACTGCAACTGGGAAAAGGACAAAAAATGGTTTAGACTACATATAGAAGTATCTATTTTTTCCACTTTTTAAAAATTTTTGTCCCTTTCCCAGTTTCAGTGTTGGGACTCAACATTTTTAGATTCATAAAAGGTCAAAAGTGAAAGAAGAGATAATACAATAAAAAATAGGTACGAATTTTTATGATGTAGCGAATTCCTCAATAATTTTCAATCAAAAGTAAGCAAAACTACAGTGTACATCTGAAGACGTAAGCTCAAAAATGTTACTTTCGTGTCAAGAATCGCGCTGGCCTCACGCTTTTGAGTTTGTCTTCGACAATACAATATATAGAATTGCTTCAAAAATTTATTAGCATTCAGGAAAAATGCAATCAAATGCCGAATATTAATCATTCTTCTCTTCAGCAACGTCCAACGCCATATTAATAGTCGCTGTCCGATTCGTCGTATTTTTCTGAGAGCATGTTTATTTCGACATTTAATCAAATTCGCAACCTTGAAGATTTCTCGAGCCTCTTTCGAGCCTTCAGCTTCGAGAATATTCACACATAGACGGTCCCGTTTGATAAGATCACTCTTGATTCGGGCGATCTGAAAATTTCTCTGAATCGCACCGCAAACGAGTAGTGGAAGCGAACATGAAGCGGTAATGATTGGCCGGATTCGACGGTTGCGTAGACGGGAGTCACTCGGTACATTGTATTATCCGAACATGTAATTTTCACGGCGATCCGGCCTGGAAAAGACAATAATGATTAATAATAATATTGTCGAAAATTGGCTAAATGCCAAAAAAATTTAAAAAGAGATCTCGATGTGCGCCTTTAACCTATTCTTATGCATAGTGCCGTAAATCTACACTTGTTTTTTTGCGCCAAAACCACTAACATTGTCTTTTGGCCAATTTTCCGCAGTCGCGCGACGCCGACAATAATTCAAATGGTATTTTGTGGTTGATTTCAATTTCCACATCTTACTTTCCGAATGATTCATCAACGTGTGCATTGAAAGGCCTCCCTCAATGGTAAACCGGGCGGTTCGTGGAATCACTGTGACACCGGCGGCAATATGACAACAGCAATTGCATCCCGACTGCTTTTCCGATCTGAAATTTCGCAATTTGCCATTTTTTAGAAATGCAATCATCCAAAATTGAAACTTTAAATTTGGATGGTGATCGGGCAGATCTGTTGTGAATGCCGGAAAACAGCTTTCAATGGGGCGCCGATTAAACATCATCGTTGAAATGTAAGAATTTTTTTGATTCATTCTTTCTTCGTACACCCCATTTCCGACAATTATCGCCGCTCGCCGATTTGGGGTTTGGCGAAGACGAGAAAAAAAAAACATTTGCGCGAGCGTGGCAATTTAAACCGACAATTCTTTTTTTGGCCTTTTTCGAGCTTGAGGTGTTATCAACAAAACAAATCAAATGGCATGGAGCATTGGCCAAAAGAAGAGCCCAAAAAGTTCAAACAACATTTTTGTGTTGACTTATCGATGTTGAGCAAGGAAAAAAACATCAAATTTGGTTTATGCTTGAGGTTTTTATCGAATTCTAACGGGAAATATTTTTGCTGGAAAGAAAAAAAAAACGCATTTGGAGCGGAAAAATAATTGTTTAAAATTTGAAATCTGTGCATTCACTCGCCTCGGTGTTCGCACAAGTCGATTCGCTACAGTAATCGCGTTATAAAATCAAGCTGCGCAATTTTTAATTTAAATTGTTAAAATCGAAAAAGACTTCTATGGAATCAGTTCACAAACTTGAGTATTTCTTTTTAAAAAAAAAAACCAAATAGCTTGATATACCTAGCACTACTCCTACTGGACCTTGCCGATTTCATGAGATACTCCATATCTGAAAGTGCGATTGCTGAAATTCATGATTGTGCGTCAAAATCGCCGAAATCTTTCCAAATTACCAATCATTGGCTCGGGTGCGTCGAGTTGGCGGCCGGTCGCGCGACCCGGCGTCAGACGGGCGGTGCCGAACGGTCGGACCACCGACGAATGATTCGTCGTCGACGACATCGATGCTCGAATGTCTTTGAAGCGCTGCAAGTGGGGAATACAAACGAATGGGCTGGATGAAACGAATAAGAGAGCAATCGAAATTTGGGTGGCTTCTTCTTGCCCACCCCGCCGTCGTCGCGGCAGTATTCGCTATGACAACGAGTTTGTCGTATGTCAAATGGCGCGGATTCAGAATGAGCTTGATTTATGGCGACGCGAGCCAACAAGAAATCGTATTAATTCAGTTTGGAACTGTTCCAAAGCTACAATAGCATAATCAGCCAAAGGGATTCTCAGAAATGGTTTAATGAATTATCGTCTGCGGACATCTCGCGGGTTTCTCGACAAAACCAAGCTTAAGGTTGCGCACATTTCGCAAAATTGACTTCTATTGGAATTTGGTATATACATATTTGGTATGCGAAAAAGGAGGACGACAATTATACTGGAGTCGAAGAGGAGGGGAAAAAATTTCGGAAATGGATATATGGCTCGAGAAGTTGGCGGAAGCGGCTTCTGGTAAGACAACAAGCTTTTCGCCAACAAATTTTTTGGCCTGTTTTGGGTCACGAAACGAAACGGCGAATGAAAAATATATATAAAAGTTTTGAATTGAATTGTGCCAAAATGGGCGGAAAATCGGATTAGTGGTCCCTTCAAGGAGCACACCTACGTTTTTTGGGGGGGGGGGTGAGAGGCATTGTTACAAGTCCTACATATATGTAGTATAGTAGATAAGAGAACATATGGCGAAACTATGCCAATTCACATCTGCGGACAACTTGGAGACCGCCGACAAATGTCCGCAGATGTAAAATATGAAATGAAGTAGTTAATGTCGAGGAAGGATTTTGCTGAAAAAAACATTTAGGAAAAGCTTGGAAGACTTTTCAAAATTTCGCCTCAACGCGAGCATCCAAAAATAGATGCTTTTTGGTTTTTTTCCACAATTTTGCTTGACTGACTGCACCTTGTGACCAGTTGGTCAAAAAAAAAAAGAAAATAATGGAGAATCGGCGTGAATACATTAATTGGTTGGCGAGTTTTCGAGAAAACTTGCGCTCTAACAACAACAGAAAGCTAAAACAAGAAATGAGTTCGACAATGTCGTTTTTTGTTTGTTTGAAAAAAGCAAAACGGGCCGACAATTGCCAAAAATTACCTCATTTTTTTTTTGAACCTATTAGTTGACTTTGGTCACAAAAGAAAATTGACGAAACATTTTCAGCGTTTCTCTTTTTTTCTCTCTCTTGTCAACAAATTTTGCGACAAAACATTGATAAGCGAGAGTTTTGCTGGGCGAATATCAATTATTGTGTAAGAAACAGATGTTCTTGGCTTCCGATGTTCGCCGATTGGGCTCCCGATTTTTGCTTTCATCCCCCCGTGGCACACCCCTCGTGATCGGTTCGAGTTTCATGCAATTGAGCTGCTGCTCAACGCAACTCTTAATTATTGTGAGAACTCGGGCTTCTATTCGAAAACGCCCATATTTGAATTGCCGCCTTGAGGGTCTCGAATGGAAAATATCCTTAAATGCGATTTGTCAATGGCAAAAGCATGAAAAAGCATGTTTCAGCGAATTTTAAGTGTATTTGCTATTTGTTTTAATTCCATCTAAAAATGTAATTAATTAATTAATTTTTAATGTATTTTTTTTTTAAAGAAATCGGGGAAACATTCAAATAAAATTCACATTATAAATAATGATTTTCGAAAAAAAAAATGGCGGGTGTGAAATGGGGCATGGCCGAATAATTGACGGCCGCGGACAATGGTACCAATAAAAAGTATTTTTTAAAAATATTTTTTTTGAATGCGAAACTGATACAGTAATTTTTTTAAAAGCCGTTTTTTTGCTCAATTTTTTCAGATATCTTTCAATTGTCTCATTTCACACCAATGTATTTTAAATTCGCATAAGTGCGATGGTCCACAATTGCTCAATGTGCTCATTTTTTACAATGGCAATATTTAGAAAATAGATTGAAAAAAAAAAAAAAACAATTTGTCTTAAATAAACGTGTCTGGAATCCACTGAAACTTAAAACGCTCATCTCATGACAAAAATTGAGTCCGGGGATCAAATTGTCAAATCTTATAACATGGACCTTCTTAAAATTCTAAAAGCAGACAATCCACGAAGATTGGGACCATCTTCATTCACGTCTGTCAGAAAAACTCAAAAATAGGCTTTAATTAGTATTTATATTGATTTCCCAAATTTGATTTCCGATTGTTGTTCCACTAATTATGGACCCAATTCGAGGCTTCCTCGTCGTAATTGGGGACCATCGCTAGACGCTAATTTGATATTTTTACGCGCAATTTTAAGCTGGTCCAAACCCAACACAATCGTATTGAAAATTCGGAAATTAAGAATGCCAAAATAATAATTCTCATCATTTTCAAATGGTGGTAAATAAAAAAATTATGTATATTTGGAATTTCCAAGAAATGGTCTCGACGCGACAATAATTTCCATTTTCGATTAACACTTTTTCAGACAAGTAGCTGGTCCATACAAAAATAGATAAGCGGCTCATTAGAAGTTAATATTGTTGGAAAAAACGAAAAAATTCCAAAAATCGAATTTTCGTATTCGATTTTTCAGAAGAAATTGAATTTTCGGGATTCGTGATCCATCTCGATGCTCGCCTTTTTTGTTTTTTTTTCTCTCTCAACCCATAAGTTACCAGTCGAACGAATTGTGGAACCCCAGGGAGTTTTTACAAAATTGTCGTAATCCTCCCAAAAAAAAAGAAAGTTGGCTCCGGGTTTAATGGGTCCCTCCCCGATCCCAACATGACAAGCGGCGGCTGGTCGTTACAAAAATTCGAAAATCCGCGCGCGTTTGCACTTTTTGTTTTGTTTTGAGCATTCAGGAAGCCCCGAGAACAATAGCTGCTTATTATTGCATTTTTTATGGTTTTGTCGAATTGAAAGAAATAAATTTGCTTCGGAAGACTGATTCGGAGAGGCGATGACCAAAAATGAAATTGTCCGCAGATGCATGTCTATCTAATTTGTCAATTTTTGTAGTACAGTGATCAAACAGTGATGCTTACTTAGGCACCAATCGTATAATCAAAATAAATAAAAATTATTGGCTGTGGGACAGCGAGAAGTCCGTAAGACTGCGTACATTGCATTATAGCTGACGCGCATTTAATATTTAGTCAACGAACAATTTAAATTTACACAGATTTTGCGAATTTGATGGTCCCGCTTCCATTCAGTCGTCTGACGCCGAAAACAATTTTTTTATTTGCTCACAATGTAAAAAAATCAGTAATTGAATTCCCAGGAAAGCTGCGAGACCCAATTTTGACATGCGTCTTTAAAAAAAATCGATCGATTCAATTTTTTCATTTTTAAATAAATATTTTAGGAAATGTATTTTAAAAAAAAAACTTTTAGAATCATTAAAAAAACTTTTAAAACCTATTTATTCTGCTTAGAAGACTGCAAAAACGACGCATGGCAACGAATTGTCTAATGGGTCTCGCGACTTACCCCGTCATTTAATTACAAAACAATTAAAAAAAACATTTTTAGAAAATTTTAGAAAATCTCATGGCTTTATCAGTTGAATTTCCGCGTTGGGTCTCGTATGGAAAAACTATCACGAAAAAAAATTGCATTTTCTAGTAAATATAATGCGAGTGTACATAATTTTTTTGCATTTCAAGTATTTTGGTTATCAACTAAATTTTTAAAGGTATCTTTTTTGTAAAATACAATAATCGCAAAAAATGAGCCAAAAAAAAGGAAGTCGCGAAAATGGGCTAAATGCCAAAAATGACAATTGAAGTGGTCTTGGCGCGAAACTAAAATTATTGAACAGGAAATCCAGAAGGATAGGTTAAAGGCGCACAGCCCTCTTCGAATATTTTTTGTGTCGCGCGAGGACCCAAAATTTCAGATCGAAAAAAAAGCAACAGCTCACCTTTGCCAACTGCACTAATCTCGCCTCGGTCCTCTGCGAATCCATCGTCTTGTCGTCAATCTCCGGAATATCGGCAAGCGCCATTCGACCGGCCAACTGTTCGGGCATGACGATGACGCCTCTACCAAAATCATTAGTATTCATGAAAGCGTCCGTCAGCCAACGAAAAAAAAATAAATAATACAGACGTCGTTGGTCATTGGCGAATAACAATCAACATATACTAGTGGGCAAATGTGGAACAAAAAAAAACAATGGTATTGGACATCGAATTTGGCTAGTTTAATTCGATTTCGCGGGCGTTCGCGTCATTTGGGAAGAAGGCAGCGGTCGAGAAAAAAAGCGATCATATTACACGACGGAGCTCTCATCATTTTTCTAATGCATTCATTGAATTTCTTATTCAAAAAATAGTACAAGATTCATAGGGATGGGGGGGGGACGCATAAATTTTCGAGTGTGCTCCCGCAAATTTTTTCGCTCACACACAATTCCAATGAGCACGAAGGCCCCGACTCTATGTTTGGTGGTGGGTGGGGTGGGAGGAGGAAAAGATTGAAACTTGACAGACGGATTTCGGCCGCCTGCAACGCCTTTCGCCACATTATCTGTCATTTTTTTTGGCGAGAAGAGACGCGCACAAAAATTGAAAAAAAAAACCAGCCAACCTTCTCCATCCCATGGGACTCATTTAGCACGAAACATTGAGTATGATAGATATTCAGCTCAATGGGAACACGTTTTATTCGAACTGCTATTACTATTGACCTAAAACGGAAGAAAAAAAACAATAATAATAACAACAAAAAAGGGAACAAAATTTACAATTCATCCAGTTTTTCACTGCGATTTGCTTTCAGCGGATACCTGAATAATTTATGATTATTTTTCCTTGGTGCTGTTGATTTTTGAAATTATTCGGCTTACCTGTTCCATGTGAATGATTTATCGCTTTCATAGTTATGTTCAATCGGTTCGGGCTCGTTCAATATCAAACCCTCTTTTTGAAGAGCGTCGAAGAAATGCTTTTGCTGAAATTTTAATATTCTTTTTTCTTTTTTTTTCGCTTTTATTAAACATGTTGGCTTTTCTCAATGACATCTTTGGTGGCGGCGGGTTTCGCAAAATGAATTCCGGATTGAAGGCACCGCAACGCCAGAATCCTTCCAATATTCATCGCTGCCGATGTATCCGTATTACTATACAGTTGATCCGATATTTGAGGTTCTCTTGTTGAAGCGCTTAACACAACACCATCCTCATGATGAATTAGTCGACCTTCTCTGTGCGATTTTCCTTCAACTAATTCAATTCTAAAAGACTTGCTGGTTATTATTCAATTTGTATGAATGTTTTAATTACTTGTAGATAAAACTGCGAACGTCGCGATCTGCTTCAAATTGGTATCCGCTGTTCGGAATTTGTCGGCCGATCAACTCATTGTTCCTGGGATTTCGGTTAACGAAACGAGCTACATATTTGGCGGCCATACCTGGAAATAGATCAATTCAAAAAATTAGATTTTTAAAGAAAAGCAATGAGCGATTTAGCCATAAGAAAATCGCCGAATTTTAAGTCTAATAAATATAATAATGTATGGGAAAAACATTAAAATATTGATTTTTTCAGTGAAAAAGGAATAAAAATATTTTATTATTGGGTTTTTATTTATTTGATACAATTAAAATAAGTTTGAAGTTTGAAAAGAACAAAAATCCTGAAAAGCAATTGTTCAAAAATCGAGAATAGTGCAATATGCGCGTGGTGGTGTTTGCACCAAATGCGCCATACCCTACGACACCGCGATAGATAATTGAAGAGGAAGAGCCGCAGAGGGCCGTTTCTCCAATGCACATTCATAAAACCACCATAAGGAACATATTGTTTATGATAAATACAAATCGATTAAAATATTATTGAATCTAAAACAGTCTAGAAACCATTAAAAACACATGTTCATAGGAATTTTATTGGTTTTCGGACGAATGAAACAAAAAATGAATGGCGATGAGAAAAAAATATGTCGTTCTTGGTTTGGAACACAACAACAATTTATGAATGTGGCTATTCATTGGTGTCTAAACAAAATACATTAAAATCATCGTCGGGCTACTGAATGCGCTTCAAATTTCCCCCTCACAGACAAAAAAAAGGTCGAAGCGTCATCTCCGTTTAATCTGAACAACTTAGTGACCCGCTGAAACGTATCATATACATTTTTATTAGCCAAATATGCTGTATATCAGATTATTGTTTGACTTCAACAACTGGTTGCGCCCCATCCTCCGGTTGACTAGCGCCTTCGGACTCCCGCGACGAATCGGCTTCCTGATTCATGCTACCGTAACCCGCATCAATACTCCCCTATAATTAAAAAAAAACCAAGCTTTGGAGTCATTCTCTCGCACATCGAACCTTAATAAAACTATTTGCCACTTCTGCTTGATGTGTCGATGTGTAGCCTTGCGGCGTCTCGGTCTTCTCGGGAACCGTCAACTGTGGTGGTTGGAATTGCTCGATGACGGGAAAGTTGTCGACGACAGCCGGTGGCGCATAATATTGAGTTTGTTGTGGTACATATTCTGAATTGAAACAAAAGCGTATTGAGTGGTCCGAAATCGATACCTTGCTGATAGATCACCGGCTGTTGGGGTGCCGCCGCCATCGGCACTTGCTGGTATGGCATTTCGGTGTAGACGGGCGTCGCATACATAATCGGCTGATTCGACACATAGACATAAGTGGGTTGCGGCTGTTGCTGCTGTTCGTAGTACGGCTGTGGAACCGACTCCTGCACGAGAATCGGCGGCGACGCGACGGCCATTGCCGGCTGGACCATGACGGACGGCGGAGTCGGACAGATCGTCGGACCATCGAGACGACTGCCGTAGGATACCGCTCGAGCCATTCCGCCGAAACTCTCGGCTTTCTGAATTTATGGAATTATTAATTGGGCAATTAGATAGTTGGGACAACTTTCAAACTCGGCTGGAATCTTGGCGCGAATTGATTCGGGAACCCTTGATGCTCAAACGACCTCTGCTGAGTCCACGCCATTTGCGGGCTCATCAGCTGTTGGTGTTGTTGTTGTGGCGCCGGTTGAGGTAGAGGCTGCGTCTGAAGGGAGTATTGACGCATCGGACGATAGACTGGACGATTCGGAGGGATGGCTTGATTGATCGCCATCGCTTCGAACGACTGTGTGTGACGCATCATGAGGAGATCATGATCCAAACTTGTCTGGCTTCCGCCAAACTCCGGATCCTGCATGACGCGTTGATTTCTGTGGCATCGTCCTGGAAACTGCTCGCGATAATTGTCATGAAGTATGAAGTCCTTGAAAGCTTCTTCGGGTCTAGAAAATGATTAATTCGAAATTTCGTTCCAGTCAAACGCTTACATCAAAGTTTTTTCCGATTTATTGACGACCACTTCTGTTCCAGAATTCGTCACATTGTGATCCAATCCATAATAGGCAGCGCATCTGTGAAGAAGCATTCGATGGTACGAGTTCACCGGCACGAATTTCTTCGATTGAACACTATAATTTTAATTAATGATAGTCCAATTTTCAAACGGTACTTTGGATCCTCAATAAGCTGCACGAGTTCCTTCTCAAATTCGAGAAGAACCCGTCGATCCTCCTCGCTTTTGTGAAGTGTGTGCGAGATAAATTCGCGAAGATTGATTCCGCTGCGATCGGAGAACTCGGTGCCGGACGACTCGCGGCTAAGCGACTTCGAGTTCGACCAAGATTGTTTCATGAGGCTCGCCGGCGGTCGCAGTTTCGTATCATCATCCCCGACGACGGCGTCCTCTCGCTGAAGTCGTTGGGCGCGAGAGCTCTAAAAAAAACAAATTTTGGTTCAAAAATGTTATATATGTATAGTAAAAAAAAGGTGGTTTCCGTTTTCAAAATAGAGCCAACCAAACCGGAAATTGCGAAATCACGGCTGGTTTTCGCTCACAAGTGCGGTTCACCAGCACGCAAAAATGCACAACTTGAATACAGTACTCACCAAACAAGTAATTTCTATAATTAAAAAATAATTAATAGAAGAACCTCTTCAATTGCTTCCTCGGGCATCTCGGTGATACTTGGCACATTCACCTCTTCCTCTTCTTTCGTAGCATTAAGAAGAGACGGCTGAAAAAGAATAAAAATGCTCAAAAATTTCAGGCGAAGTGTGAAACCTCTTCAATCGTGGCATTCTGTTTCGATAGCCTTCGTCGCATGCTACCCGTTCGTCGGATGGCGTCCGAAACGACGGCGGCGGTCGCTGAAAAAATGAAGCACATGAATGCCAACGCGAGTCGATTCCAAACAACAATAACAATAATAATGATTATGGTTGACCATAAAAGGGAACGAAACACAGGGCACACGAAACCAAAAAAATCAATATTCATCGAGAAATTGCGTCTTACACGATTCCGGTGTACGCGACGAGACGTTGCTGCTCGTCATGATGACGGTCGTCGAGCGTCGACGCTGGCCGCACTCCAACGATGGGCTCGATTCCCACGACATCGGCCCTCCTGAAAAAAAAACCAAATTTGGCGCTGTTTTTCATTTTTTTTTGAATGCGGCGGCTTCAATTAAACGCAATATCTCATGTAATGGTATTTTGACGTCATTTGGGAATGCTTTGAAAACCGATGAGCGTTTAAAGGAGCACACAATGAATGCGCCTTTAATTTTTCATTATTCCTAGAAACGTAGATCAGTGTTTTTATTAAAATAAATCTTTTTAAAAATTGTTGATAATCTTTTCAAAAATTCTTGATCCTTCGAAACAAAATTAAAATCGGATTAGGAAAAGCTGAAAAGACGTGTCGTAGATCAAAAAAAAATAAGCGACAACAATGACCAAAATTTCACAATAAATCGCGTGGGTCGAGAAGCGAGCAAAAAACAGAAGAAGCAAGTAAAAAGAAGAAGAAGAAGCACGAAGAAAAAAATACGAGAAGTGGCGGCGAGCGATTATAAACGTGCCTGGGATTAGGAACGAGAAAAACGCGAGCGCGCGCGAGCTCGACGAGTCGCTCTCCGTCTTGCATGCGCATATATGGAGACCAATTTCAGACTAATCTATTTGAAAATATTTGTAGTTTTTCGTAGTTTCTTCCAATTTTGCATTTTTCTTCAAAATAATTTCAATTCGTTTTGTTTATGTTGAAGAAAAAAAACGGTTATCAACAAATAATATTGTGTGCGCCTTTAAATTCAACAATTTAATTAATCCGCTGGGAGTATTTATTGCGCTTAATTCGAAAATGTTTATTTGACGAAAGTCCGCAACATCCATCCACAGTGTTTACGGACTTTCTGCAATAAACCACCGCCGCCCATATTTTCATGCACTTTCTACCGTATTCAGGTGTTATGATGTGAGCAACTCGGCCGAATATCCGGGGTGCTGAGTCATCATGTCAAAAAGAGAAAATAACTACCACAACAGGGGCAATTTAGTCCCCCCCCTCTCTCTCTCTCTCTCTCTCAAATCCCCAATTTTCTCTATATTCACTTTTTTTTTCGAGGGTTCATTCATGGGCATTTTTCTTCACCATAGTAACGAACATAAACACGCAAACGCCAAAAAAAAAACACGAGGAAGAAGAAGAAGAGGAGGAGGAGAATTTCAAATTTCGGGACACAACGCAAAAAAAATTTTTTTTGCTGGTTTGAAAATGAGAAATTGAGTGCACAGGAAACTCGCGGCTCACCAGCACACATGCCTTTCATTTTGTGGGTGTGTTCGTCTTAAACCCCCCGAATGAAAAGAGAGCAGAATCAATTCTTTCTTATGTGTGTGTGTTGGTGTGTGCATTTTTTTTTCATCTTCTTTCCAGGTGAATAATGGGCCTCGATCGCAAAAGAGATGATGAAAATCATAAATTATTGGCATGATTCGCATTTTGATCGAAGCTCACACACACAAAAATTCTAAACGCGTAAGAATTTCTAATTGGAACCAAAAGATCGGCGGCAATTTGAACTCTTTTGAATATTTCTCGAGAGCCAAAAAAAAATATTTGCGCAATAGCCATACGAAACGAGAATGGCCGGCACCACGCGGCACACAATTTCAATGGTCCGTGCAAATGGGATGACGAATGAACAATTATTCAATTTTAGCATTTCATATTTCACGTCTTTAATTCGAATAACGTCAAAAATGCGCGGTGGCCGCCCGAATTTTGGGCGGAGCGTCGGCGTGTCAATTTTCACAATAGGGTTGTGCTAATGAGCTGCTCGTTTACGGCGTCACGAGGACCGTGCTCGATTTTAATGACGAGGGGACATAGGTCCCCTTAAAATAATTGAGCTTATAAGTTGGTGAAGTAAACCGCGTGTACTAGATTTTTGCGGCCGCAAAATTCGCGGCCACGTTTGGAAACAAATTTTTTTAATTAGCAAAGATTATTGATTTTTGTGTTTATTTCGTCAAATGCAAAAAAACGTCCGTGTGAAATTTATTAAAAAAAGAACAAAATATAATTTTAATAATATATAATGAGACAAAAGATAGTTTTAATAATAAATCAGCATTATTTCAAAATTCATTGGTTTTATGAAACGGAAAATTGGATTATAAGGATTCTCTTATCTTTCTTTAAAATAAAACAATCGAGATTTCTTTTCTTTCGTCAGTGAGCCAACGAGATGCTCGGATAGCGATAATTTTCGTTTTTTATTGCTCATTCGAGCCGCACACAAAAAAATGAGGCTTTGGCGAATTTTTGATGTGTAAAATCCACAGCCGAAACGGAAATTTTTTAAATTTTCTCCGAAAAGAATATGCGAGAATCGGCACGTGTTTCGCCTAAATTCCAGTTTTCAATGTGAAAAATAGGAAATTTGAATTTTTTTCCAGAATCAAATGATATTATTTTTCGGGTTATTTGTTTCTCTTTGAATTTTTTCTGGAAATCCACAATTTTGTTCATCCGTAATAAAAAAATTGCTTGGAAAATTGAATTATTGATAGCTTTAAAAAAACTTTAAAACCTAAATAGTAGGTGATTGAATGCAATAATATTTTTTAAATTTATTTAAAAAATGTTGCAATGAAGTTTTTTTTTTATTTTATAGGAAAAATCTGGAAAAAAACTGGTTGAAAATAATTATTCTGAATAGGGTATTTATAGTTTCTTTTTTTTCACATTGTACCATAATTTTTCATGCGTAAATCTAATTCACTCGCAAATCGAATAAATTTTTTTCTTTGAGAGTTTCCGACGTGTGGAAAAATCTTGCGACTCCTTAAAAATAATAATATAAAGGAAAGCGTTTGAGTTTCAATTATTTTTATGAAATATCAATAAATTTTAAATATTCTTGCCAAAAATTGCTCAATTTGCCTGTAATCAGCAGATTTTTATGTGTAGATCAAAAATTGCTTTTTGTTTTCTCGTGATTATTCGATTCGATGATAGAAAATCCGTAAAAATCGTCACCTGAGACGCAACGAAGCAACAAAAAAAAAAACAACGTGTGACCTAAAATCAATCACACAAGAAACAAGAGCCTCCAAAAAAAAATGAACCGAATTGTGTTTCCTGCTACTTCAAAAATATCTGTTTGCTCAATTGATTTTACCGAGAGCCACCGTTTGATGTAGGCCAGCGTAAAACATCTCAAGGTGCCCTAAACGAACACTTGGCAGCATACAGAATAAAAAAAATGTATGGGAGACGTCGGGGGAGCCTAAACAAAACAAAACACGAATAAAAAAACTCTGCTCTCCGAATTGACGGCGACACCGATGATGATGATGATGATGATGATGAGAGAAATGCACACGGCTGTCTACCGGGTGGCGAAAAGGTAAGTGCATGGAGGAGGTGAAAAACACTGTTCGAGATCAGGAGATGCTCGAGAGAAGCCGCGGGTTTTTTGTCTCTGTGTGTGTGTGTGTGTTTCGCGTTTTTTTTTATTGAGAGCAATACCCCCGGCGGTTTCGAAACTCTTCCAACCGTGGACAGTAGCAAACCACAATTATTATTATTAGCACATCAATCGAATCGATCCCTGATTCGAGCCGATCAGGAAGCACGAGTTGAGCGGCAATCGGAGAACGGCGCTCGGCGTTCCCGGTAGCTCATCGCTGCGCAATCGCGTCTCGATCAGCAATTCGGTGTTCTCCTTGTAGACCCTACAAACACCAACACTATGCCGACTCCCATCAATTCTCCTCCCACGCGTTTTGACTACATATCAAATTTGTCATAAGCACTTGAGGCGCTGAATAAACAGACAACCGATACACCGAAATTATCGCCGTGGGGGGGCGATGCTTTTTTTTCCAACTGTCATTAAGGGATAATGAGAGTCGCTTGGCAACGCATCGCATTGTTATCGCGCTCATCGTCGTCATCCCCCCCCCCTTAATTATCGGTTTATTGGGGTTTCATTTTGATACCCATGTCTAGCGTTTCAGTAATGTCTAGTCAATGACTGTCTACTGAGCCAAATTCATAAATCGGGGACAAAAAATGGGTGGAAAAAAATTAATTTTCAATTTTTTATTGCGATTTCAAGATTTTCAGCATTACGATTCCATTAAAACGATGCCGAAAAAAGCTTTTGAAACGTCGATTGGCTAAATGCCAAAAATATTCAAGGAATGATCTTGTCGCGCAGTGTGCGCCTTTAAACTATCCCCAGGCTCGTAAATCTACATTTAGGTTTTTTTTTGCGCAAAGACAGCTGTTTTTTGGGCATTTGCCAATTTTCGCGCGATGTAAACAACAAATTTCCATTTTTTTTTTCGAAATATCAAAAATTTTGCCAAAACAATCGAGGACTTTTGCGAAATCAGAAGCTGATTTTCAATCTTTCCAAAAAAAAAATTACCTGAGCATCGAGTTATTCTGCACTGTCGCCAACATTCCCATACTGAATGACGCGCCGATCACCGAATCCGCCAACTTCTTCCTCTGATGGAATCTTGGACGAACATCCATCACCACTCCAGGCTCGTCAAGGCCGCAGACCAGCAATTGAGAATCGCCAATCCAATTCATCTAAAAATGCTTCAACTCAACGATTCGATGATTTTGGATCATACAGCGTAGACATGCGTCGAGTTTCCATGCGACAATGTGTTGATTCGTCCGGTCCTCGCGTCAAGAATTGCCAATGTCCCATTCGTCATCGCCACCGCCATTTTCTGGCCATTGTCGCGCACCGCCAACGTTCGCGTAAGCCCCGGCGTCGGCGATAATTTCAGCTCGCTGGTCCAAGATCCCACTCGTGTATCGAATAATCTATAATAGGCGTCATTGTTGGCCGAATCGAACTCATAATGCCTACTTGACGGATGAATGAAGGCCCGACACCACCGCAAGCGTATGCCTATCGACATTCTCGATTCGACAAATGTAGCCGCCCTCTTGATCCCATTCAAGTTGCGATAGGATCGTTGATCGAAAGGGATCCCACACGTGCAGTGTGCCGTCAACCGACGCGATCGTGTTGTCCGCCAATATCGCCACATCGTTCACCGATCGCGTGTGATTCCGATACGTCCATTGGCATTCGATCTCATCACGCTCGGGCTTCACCGACCACAATTTCACCGTTTTGTCCGACGACGCCGACACAAACGAGTTCTCGTTGGAGATGGCGGCGAGTTTTCGGATTCGCTCCGAATGCCCGGTGAAACTGCACAATGAGAGATGATCGAAACGCAGGGTCCTGCAACGACGATTGCCGTTTTGAAAATGCTCAAAACATATTTGGCTCATATTCTGTCATTTGACACCGAAATACTTATAATTCATTTAAAATCTATGCAATTTTAAATTATGACGGCAAATTTGAGCAAAATTCGCTCCAAAGTTTTTTTTCCGTACGAGACCCAAGACTTCAAAAAATTAAATAATAAATGAGTCTCAAAGCCCAAGTTCATCGTTCCATTATTATAAACAAAAAAATTACTTTGCATTACAAACGGCTGCGGACACGCGAGCACACCAAACAGCGCTGAGAGCTCCAGCCTCGCAAGAGCTGAAAAATTGAAGATTGAGAGGAGAATCGATAATTGTCGATGTTGACCTCAAACCGCCAATATTGCCCAACGAATTCGCGGGACTCGACGACGATATTGAGAAAATGCGATTTCCCGTCGAAATGTTGCCGAGCGAGAATGTCGCCAGCGTCGTCGTCGTCGGCGAGATGTGCGTCGGCGTCGATCCAACGGCAATCGGATTCGCTCCGTTCGAAACGAACGGAATCAAGAATGACGGATCATTGCAGAACGATGACAGAAACGGGACTCCCCATTCTTTGGCGAATCGCTCGACGACGTCTTCGGCGATCCATATCGGCACAGGATAGGTGTTCTAGAATGCTCGATATCAAACAAAAAGGTTGAGAAATGTCGTACATTCTTCAATTCTCCACATTTCAGATGGATTCTCAACTCCTCGGTGGTCTCGTAGATCTCGGAAAATGTGCGAAACAGCAATTCGAATGGATGCCTCGCATAAATTCTCGTGTTCTCAGTTCCAATTCGCTGAGCCGTCGAGAAGAGCAACTGAATCGCTTTGGAAAGAATGATATTTCTTGCGCGCGGCGACGAGAATTGAATTTGATCGTTTAAGAGCATCTCGAGAACTTTTCCAATAATCTTTTGAATGATATATTCCTTTAAAAAAACAACAACAATTGGCATTCTTTAGACAACGAGCTGGACCACCTCAAGATAATTCATGAGCTGATGATCAGTCATTGATCGAATTGAGAGCTCGACAATTCGAAATACCGACACAAGACTGCCTTCGAGTTGCGAGTTGGCTCGTTTTTGGTATTGCTCGATTAAATCAACGCAAAATGGGAGGAATTGCACCTGAATTGCAAAAAAAAAAAGAAAAATTAGAAAAATCGATTTCTCGAAATCATCAAATTACCGTAATAAATGTGACACTGTAAGTAATGACAATTTCAGAGAGTAATGTTTCAATTCGAGCGCAGTTGTCGTCACCAGCGAGATATAAATTGAAGACAGACTGAAAACGAAAAGAAGATGACGAAAATAATTTGCGAGGCTCACTGATGGCTCTTGGCATTGTCCAGACAATTCGAGACCTTCAAAACAGGTTCCCATGATTCGGAGCAAGTTGGGCGAGATGAATCGCGCACATATCACGGGACCATAACGTTTGGCAAGCCTGGAAGTGAGCGCAAAAATTTTCTAGGGAGGGGGCGGGGCAACAAGAAAAAGAGCGCACAAATCGTACCACATAATGCTCTCCTTGGCCACAATCGATCGATCATCATTCTTCGATGCGCACGCTTCAACGATTGGCGGAAGGAAAAGATCGAGAAATTTGTGCGCGCCGTAGCAAATTGAAACATACAACAGGAATCGTCGATCGAGAAGTTTGACCGAAGTCTCGCATTGGATGAGCTCGATTAGCGAAACGATGAGGTTCTCCAACGACGATTCGCTGAGGCAACGCGCAATCGCCGGCATGAGACGATGGACGGCTTGAATGCTCGATTCCTCGCTTTCGAGCATTTTTTGGAATGCGGCGACCACGCAAATTTCCATGTGATGACAAATGAGAATCGCATTTTTGAGACTTTCGACCTCTTTGAGAAGAATGAGTTGCGATCGATGCGCTGGAAAAAAAAAAGCAAATGAATTGTTGATGAACGGGATTTTCGGGGTACAATTCTCAGGGACCACACACGATTCGCGAAGGAATTGGAAGGCCATGCAGTTGGCGAATTCGTCGTGAAAATCGGATATCTGAAATCAGGCGATGATGTTTCGACAATCGGAAGCTTCATTGACTTGTGGCGGAATGTTGAGTAGTGTTCGCACAAAAAATGAAAACTCATCGGGATCCGGGTATTCTTGCGACGTGTCCAGCAAATAATCGAACAATCGCTGATAGTTTATCGGAATTATGTGCGCGAATTGTCGAATGCGCTCATTGATGCGATGCGTGTCGTCGAATTCGCCATGAAGCACCGGCGCCACGGTGATCTGGGCGATCGTTGAAATCACCGACACCATCGAATCGAAGAATTGCCGGTTTTCGGCTCTCTAGAATACAATTTTCAACGAAACTAATCGAAAAAAAAAACACCAATGGTGCGATTTACATGGCGTTTCTTCAAATTGCGCAACACTTTTGCTATACTTTCATCATCGTCGTCGTCAGAATTTTCAGCATTCGTCGATTCTAGTGGCTCCGTTGGCATACAATAGAGCTCCAATTCCAATCGATAGCAATCATCTCGAGGATTCTAAAGAAAATTTTTAATACAATCATTATTATGTGATAAATTACATAATTTGCTGGCATTCTTTTCGGATGAGCCACCTCGAAAAGCTTCACCATTCCATTGGTCCGAACGCCTTTTTTTTGCCTTTCAGCGAAACAAAGATGACTGTTGAGCGCATTTTTGCTGTTTTCAGGCGATAGCTGAAACAAACATCACATAATATAATCAAACGTTGACGTTTACCAAATATCCGAAGACTAAATCGATCCATCGATGCAAATTTGCCGACACTTCTTCATTTTCAAGCATTCCGCGATGCCATTGGATGAAGTCTTCCGGACTTTCGCAAAATTCCGGAACTTTCAGATCTGACATGTCGGCGTGGCGAGACCCTATTCAATTTGTTCAAATTCTATCATTATGACGAACAGGAAACCCACTGAAGACGTTCGGATCGTCGTAAAACTCGGGAATACATTCATCGGGCGTCCATTCGTATATTCGACTCATCGTCGATGGATATTCTTCGGGAACCCACTATAATTTTGATCTACCTTTACCAAACAAACTGTGGATGAGAATGATTACTTTTCTGCGTACATGCTTGCATAGATTTTCTTTCGACTCGATGCGAGCCCGATAGACCATATAGCCGATATCGGAAAGAAGTTCCGGCACGTGATGAGAAGGCGTTCTCGATTCCATTTCTCTATCATTGTTTTTCGTCAATAATTTTAAAAATAATTGATTGTGATACCTTAATTGGTCATCACCTTTGGCTAATCGATATTTTGTGCGATTCAATGGTCGAAAGATTGAGTGTTTTGACGAAAAATCGCAAACCCATGGAAAAATTGGATGATTGTGCACCTCGCCGCGAACACGTCCCGACAATTCGTTGAGGTAGGTCAAATAGGCATAATTATCCCATCGCCTCGAGACCCATTGAGATGTGGCGAATTGTAAGCTGACTTTTGGTTTTGGTCTAAAAAATCAAAATCGATTCAAGAATTTTCAATTTAGCAACTTTTCTAGAGAAGAAGCTGAAGCCAAAGGAGCGAAAATATCGTATTGTAGCCATAACGTCGGAGAGCAGGTGAAATGCTCAACACGGAATATTGGAATGATTCCGCGATTGAACAACTGATTCTGAAGCTCGGTGAGACTTTGAGAGAGAAAATGAAGAATCTAAACATAATAAAAATTAAAAATTTGTTGAAATCGCGAATACTTGAAGGTTCCCTTTCGGAATATTAGAGTATGAATGAAGCAGGACTGTTCTGAGTGGGACGTCTTCTTGAGGATTTGGCCAGCGGCAATATATAATGACGACGTCGTGAGGTAATGTATGAACTATAGCCAGTATTGGCACAACGTGAGGTATAATATTAACATGTCGGAACTCGAATTTGTTGGTATTCTGAAAATCGTCAATTTTTTTCAAAACGAAATTGACATACTTAAAACTTACAGTATTTACATATGATACATTTAAATTATCTGCAATTTTTTGCCAATACTCTAGCCAAATTTCGGATAAATCAATTGATTTTTTCTTGCGCACTTCTCCCGTTTTTTTCATGAACTTATCAAACGGCTCATTTGCTCTGAAACAGGGCAATTTAATTTGTTTCTGCTTCACGATATTCATTGCCTACAATTTTTGAAATTCATCTGTCATTCGCTCATTATTTTCAAAGCAGGTTAAAAACCTGGCCGGATAGCTTATATTGCCGGCGTCGATGGTTTGCAGAGATTTCACATTTGGCGTCGCTTTTCGCGTCCATGATTGTAGGTTTTCGACGAGATTTTTTAGGCAAGCGGAGTTCCATCGGAATTCTTTGACGTCCTGAGCATCATGCATACAACTGAAGAGCAAAATAGTGAAAATTGCTGCTAATTTTAAAGGGAAAAATAGCAAAATGCAATAAAAAAAATTAATTGAATTAATTACAGTAACGCATCGCGTTGAGATTAGAATGTTATTGAATGTGTTCCTTGAAATAATTAAACAGTAATTTATTTCACGTTTTGCACTCAAAATAATAGACAATTTTCTAAAAAAAAAAATGATTCATATAAGAAACTTTAGCATAATTTCACTGTTTCTTGCAAGTAATATGAATAAATTAAAAATAATAGAGAAACAGAAGTAGTATTCGAGTTGAATAGCGCCACCAAAAGTGAAATGTTTACAATCGGTGTCAAATTTTGCGAATGGAAAAAAAAAAACGGCCGAAAACATCAGCGAAAATTTCAAACTAATTTCACATCGTCTCTCCCAAATTTATTGCCAATTTGTTCAATTCCTTGGATGGTTTCGAAGCGAACACCTCCCATCGACATCTGAAGGATCGAAAACGGTCGATTCGCGTGAGAGACGCAGACGGTTAGCGGAATAACGCAATTAAGAGAGCGTGCAGACGGGAAACGAGAAAAAAAAGGAGGCGACGAGGAACGAAGAGAACGGCGTGTCCCATAGAGAGGGAGTCCTTTCATGCCACCACAAGCTTCGTTCTTCGTATAGCGTCTTGTGGTGCAATTTTGAGGAAAAAGTAAAAAAATCATCCTACCAGTTTTTCTCAATTTTTATCCAATAGGTTTGCACATTTTTTTATTATAATAAAATTTTTCATTTTAAAGGCGTCGCGCTTCTTCGTCGCGTTTTTATTCATTCTTTTTTTCTTCTTCTTTAAGAAGCAATCATTTGGATCTATTCGATTATTGTTATGTCAACGCCCCCTATCGAGGGCAGCTCGGAGGGTGATTTCAATGTTTTGCTCTCATCCCAATTAATTTTTATTGTTGATTTCAGGCGCTGACCCCACACTGCCCGAAGATGGTTTACACATATTGCCGATGGAGCCGATAGACACGGAAACCGTCGACACGAGTGGTGAGATTTTTTTTTAATTTATTGATTTTTTCTTTTTCGAAAATGCCACACTGAAAAACGGCGTTTTTCGATTAAAATTTTGTAATTTTTTGGAGCAAATTTTCCTAATATTCAACGCAAAAAAAGAAAAATCTGCATTAATTATTTAAGCTTTTTTAAATGAATATTTTGGTTTTTTTTAAACATGAAATTTCAAATTTTGAAAAGTGATGCTGATTCGAATGAAAATATAATATCAGGGTTGTTAAATTTTGGGCCCGGCCGGCCGAAAGCCGGGCCGGCCGGCCGGCTTTCGGCCCCGGCTTCAATTTAACAACCCTGTATAATATAAACTATCTTATTTGATTAAAAAAAAATAAAATTCTATTTTGAAAACTTGGTCCTTTTTAAATTGTATTTGATTGAAATTAGCGCGTTTTTTTGAAGCAGTCGATTTTGATGATTTTGATTGAAAACGAAAAAGATTTTCATTTGTCAGAGATAGCCTTGTCGTAAAATTGTTTTAAAAAAAAATGTGGAATGCTGTTACAGCGCGAATTCGAATTCCGTCGGGTTATCTCGAAATTTGCAGACGGCGAGGAATCCGAAATTGACGAGGATGATATTGTTCATCGCGTCATGGACGTCGACGAGGAGCTCGAATTGCGAATGCACAATGCGCGCGCGGTTCGCGAAATATTCGGCGATGAGATTGCCGAAATGCCGGCCATCGAGGAGGATTTCGACTATATGCGCATGTTGATTGAGAATTTCGTTCGTGATGGCAAATATGATGATAGCGACGGCGAATTTTCGGATGCGTCCGAAGACGAGGTTGACGATGAACAGGAGGATGAGGAAGAGACTGAAAGCGAGCAGATGGAAGATGAATCTGACGATGAATCCGACGATGATGATATAAGAACGGTGGAGTTGATCGAATCAGGCGAGGAAGAAGAGGAACTCGAAAGAATGGATATAGGATACGAATTTGGAGTCGATTTTGATGATGACGTTATGGAATATCGGGATGAATCCGAAGCGTCGCTAGGGGAAGATAGAGAGGAAGGAGAAGCATCTGGAGAGGACGAAATGACCGATGCCGGGTTTGGAGACGAATCGGGAGATGAGGAAAGTTCGGAAGCAGGGTCCCGAAATGAATCGGGCTATGAAGAACAGTCGGAAGCGCCTTCGGGAGACGAATCCGGAGAGGAAGACGAACAAGCTGATATAGTGGAAGAAGGAATCGGAGAAGAGTCTGGAGAGGAAGAAGACGGCGAATTGGTGGAATCTGAGAATAAAGTCGGCGGAGAAACATCAGAGGAAGGCGGCGGAGAAGAAGCTGGAGAGCACGAAGAGATTGCGGAAAGAATCGAAACCACTGGGGAGAAAGGTGACGAAGAAGAAGAAGATAAAGAAGAACAAGCTGAAGGAGGCGGAGAAGAATCTGGAAATGAAGAAGATGACGTAATGGCAGGGGAAGAGGTTGAAGGTGGTTCTCGAGGGGAAGCAGAAGAGGCCCAACCGGTAGAAAATGTGGTTGACGCTGAAGGAGACGGACAAGTAGAAGAAGAAGCGGCCGAAGAAGCTGGAGATGAAGAGGAACGAGAGGGAGATGAGGAAGACGAAGAATCGGAAGTGATTGAGCTTGACGGCGATGATGAGGAAGGAGTGGAAGTCAAAGAGGAAGATGGCCTTTATGACGAAGAAAATGATGAGGATGAAGAGGAGGAAGAGGTTCAAGACGAGGATGAAGAAGACGCTGAAGGAGAGGAGGAGGAGGATGAAGAAGAAGATGCCGAAGGAGAGGAGGTTGAGGGCGAGGAAGAAGAAGAAAATGGTGAAGGTAATGAAGTCCAAGATGAGGAAGGAGACTCAGATGTCGAGGAAGAAGATGAGGAGGAGGAGGAAGAAGAGGAACGTCAAGATGATGAGGAAGAAGACAATGATTCGGATGTCGTTGAAATTGAAATGGACGAAGGTAGTGAAGGAGACGGATTCGGAGGCATTATACAAGAAGTTGAAGGCGATGATGATTTTGAAGAGGTTGAAGCCGAAGGACAGGAAGCTGAACGAGAAGAAGATCGTCAAGAAGAGGATGGGAGACTTGAAGGCGAGGAGCCAGAGATTGAAGGAGAGGAAGAAGAAGAAGAAGGCGATGGAGAAGAAGAATATGAAGGTGTGGAGGAAGAAATGGACGGCGAGGAAGTTGAGGACGAAGGTGGTTATGATGAAGAAGAATTTGAAGAGGAAGAAATGATAGGCGAGGAGGAGAATGAATTTGAAGGCGTAGAAGTGAAACAAGAAATAATCGAAGACGAGGATGAAGAGGAATTTGTAGCCGACATGGAAATTAAACAGGAAATAATAGAAGACGAAGATGTGGAGGAAGATGGAGAAAGCGAGGAAGTTGAAGAGGAAGTTGAAGATGAAGATGATGAATATGAAGATGAGGAAGAAGAGGATGAAGAGGAAGAAGAAGAGGAAGAAGAAAATCGATTAGAAATTAAAAATGAAGTGGATGAGAAATATGAGCCGCTAGACTTCTTCCAAAAACTTCGCAAAGAGCGCGGAACTCGCCAATTCCTCATTCCTCGCGTCGATCCCTCGAATATTATCAATTGGACGGCGGAACTCGAGCGAGAGGAGCTGATACAAGAGCTCCGAGAGCTCAAAGAGGACGACTCGTCCGACGACGAAACGCCGGCGTATGATGTGCGGAAGCGACCGAGCGCCGTTGAAGGGATTCCTGGCTATCTGGATCGCGACTGGGCGATGGAAACGTGAGAAATCGAATTTTTTTTTAACGAATAAGATTTGAGTTCTAGGATTCGCAAGAATGAGGTGACGCCGTTGAAGCATTGGATCATTATGACAATGTCGACAATGTGCAAAACGAGCTATGGTGTCAAATTTCGTGAGTTCAAAATGAGTTTTTTGTTTTCGAGATGATTTTTTTCTAAATTCCAGGTCCTGATATTTACGAAGACTTCTCTGATGTCTATAAAGTTGTTAAGAATGATAACGAGGAATCGTTTTATCTTGTTCCCAGACCTCATCATGATGCCAACGAGTACATTTCGGATATGTTCTTCCCATTAGAAAGGCATCGATTGATGAACGCGTTGGTGAGATTCTGAAGGCATTGAAATCAGACGACGCATTCGGGGTTTTTCAAATTTTCAGCGAAACGCTCATTTGGCTGTTGTCGCGCGCGAAGAAGCCGAATTTGAGGAGGCGGAACAAGCGGCTGCCGACGTCTACTTCAATGGAATGAGCAATGCCGATATTGTTGATGATATGAGGCGACGATTCAGAAATGGCAATTGGGAAGCGAACGGCGAGAAATTGACGAGAGCGCATCTCGAGCGAATGGCGACCGCAATCGGCTCATTCGTCGCCGAAGAGATTCCGCGAATGAAAGGCGTGTTCTACGAGAAGATCGAGTCGAAGATCGACGAGCAGAAAAAGTTTGAGTTGAGACGATTTGAAATTGACGCGGATTTTGAGATTTTCAGCAATCATTCGCACATGTCGACGATTCGCGAGTCGGTGAGAGAGACGGATGAAGAATCGACGGGATCGTCGCGCGCGTCGACGCCGTCGAACGAACCAGCGGACGTCGCGCGCGGTAGCAATTCGCCGCCGTTGAAGATATTCAAAAAGACGCGAGAGCAGAAGATGCGCGAGCGGCAACGCCGACGCGAATGGCGAATGGTAGTGGATTTTGTTTTGTTTCTAAATTCCAAATCATCGCATTTTTTTTTTTTGATTTTTAGCAAAAACTGCGTGAGCGATTCGATGAGCAGCAAGATATTCGACTTGACATCGAAGCGCGCGACCGTCAAATTCTTGAGCAGGAGATGATGGGTTGGTTAAAGCCGCTTCAGGCGTTGTCGGCGGCTGAAGTCAAATTTTGGGAGCGCGAGACGGATGTGACGATGCAAGAGTTGGCGACGCTCGCGCGCAACAATCGACTTCGTCTCAATTATTTGAATGAGCCTGAAGAGCCCGAGTATGAACCAATTGAGGTTGACGAGCCGGACGAGCCGCGACTCGAAATTCGCGAAGAGGTTTGACGAATGGGGGAGAGAAATTTCTTGATTTTTACCTTTTTTTTTTGCTCAGCCGGAAGAAGATCCGCAATTCGAGTATGGCGCTCGAGACGTCGATTTTGATGTGATCGAGCAGATTCAACGCGACAATGAGCAACGACCGAGGGTTGGAGGCGATGGTCGATTCAAGAGGATCAAGCTGAAGGTGCCGATTCCGATTCCCGAGCGCGTCGAGCGAAATTTGGAGCGACGTCGCGAGCTTAACGAGCGCCTAGCGCGACTTGATCCAAAGCCGCCGACGCAAGAGGATTACGGAAATTATCAGATGAGGATTTACTATCGCAAGTTCTTCGAGAAGCAGGAGGAGAATCGACGAGAACACGGCGATCGATATGGTCCGCCGATTGCCGAAGCGCAAGCGTATGGTGTGACGACGAGATTCCGTGGAACGACGCCGAGACTTGTGAATAGTCCAGCGCAAGCGGTATTTCGTTCAAGCGTTTTTTTAAATTGATTTTTATTTTTTTCAGCTTTTCCGCGAAGCGTTTGCCTCGCCGAAACCGAAGAGATTCGATCCGAACACTCCCAGCACGTCGTCGGCATCATTCGCGCCGAGACACCGACGTGCACTTCATACCGAGTTCGACGAGAAGGAGGATCCGATGGAGCCCGAGGAGGAGAATGACGAGATTGAAGAGGAGCCGAACGAGGAAGAAGCTCAAGAGCAGGACGAGGAGACGCCGACGACGACGACGATGCGACACTATCGCAAACGTCGAGGAGCGGCGGCAGCGGACACGCCGACGACGGCGGACAAGAAGGCGAAGCGTCAATTAAACGAGAAGGCGAATGACGAGCCGCCGAAGAAGAAGGCAACTGGACGAGGGAAGCGAAGTGCGGCCTCCAGCGCCTCGAAGAAGGATGAACCGTTGTACTGTATTTGCAATAAGGTAAAGTGAATCAACATTGAGAAGCCCAACGATATCGATATGAATCTGTGTTTCAGATTTCGTACGGTGACATGGTCGGTTGTGACAACAGCAAATGTGTGCTGGAGTGGTTCCATTTCGAATGCATTGGTCTTACATCGAAACCGAAAGGCAAATGGTATTGTCCGGAATGCCGCCATCCGGAGCTTGGCGAGAAGCATCAACGATCGGATTCGCCGCCACCAAACACACGCTCAACTCGCAGCCAAGAGAAATAATCTTGCCATCATATTTTTTTTAGGCGCTCCATGGGTTTTGATTTTAAAATTGACTCGATTAATTATTTTACTATATTTTGCTCAATTCTTGTCGAATAGTTTAATTTTGAAATAAATTTGTCGAATTGTATTCTTCAAACATTCAACGATAACAATAAAACATCTCTATAAAATCCTAAATTAGTAAAAAGAAACGCCTATTAAAAAAAAAGAGGAGGAATTTCAAATTTCAAGTCGAATCGCTGACGGAAGGAACACCTCGAGCTTCTTTTGTGTTCCGCGAATCGTGATCGGCTTGTCGACGACGTCCGAATCTTTGGGCGTCGGAGCACTGGAGATGTAAAGCCGCCGGATGTACTCGGGCAAATTGGAAATTCGAAACGTCAACGATTTGGCGTCGATGTCGGTTGTGTAGAAATCGGCGTTCGGGCTTCTGCCGACGACACCATCGGCGCATCGTTTCCATCCGTCGGCGATCACACCGATTCTGCCGGCGTTCGTGCCGCCGACGCGCAATCTCAATTGCGAGTAGTCCTAGAATGTCAAGTTGAACAATCAAACCAAAAAAAAAATCGATTCACCTCTTTTTGCTCGTTCTCGATGATCAGCTCGGTTCCTTTCGTCTCAATTTTTTGCGCGACTCCACAATTTTCATTTTGAACTGACGAGAAGTCGCGTTGAAGTTCGGTGTTCTTATAGCGCGGCGATCCCGTCAACACGTGCCACCATCGCCACGCCGGCGCCTCGAACACAACCTTCGGACGACAATTCGAGCAGCCCGAACACGGATTCTCGTACTCGATGGTGAGCTCGACGTCTTCGGGGCTTCTCTGCGAAATCAATGAGATTCAACATTTTCTGTGCGTCTGAATTCACCTTGATCATCTCCCACAAATAGGCCCATCGGCGTTTGATTATCGAAAAATACCAAAACTTCTTTCGGGTGTCTTCGATCGACCGAAACCATCCGGCGCCGACGTCGCTGAGCCCATAAATCGGGCCCTCTTGCGATTCGCCGGTGAGCATTTCGAACGCGTAGACGTCCCGCTTCTGATCCTCAATCACAGCCATTGCCGACTCGCAAGCGGCTCGAACGTCTTCAGTGCGCTCTGAAAAATTTTCCAATGGTTTTCTATCCGAAAACATGCGCCTCGCTGATGGTACCAAAAACCGTCGGCACCATTCGTTTCAGCCACAAGTTGTCATAGCCGCCGGGATAGATTCCAATCGGAAGAAGCGCTCTATCTCTGAATGCGTTTCTTTTATGTTCAAAAGACACTGATAATGATTGACATCCTACCGATTTCTGAATACCCCCGTCACCACTTTTCCAATGGTCCCATCACCTCCGACGATATACACGACATCAGCTTCTTGCGAATCTAGAGCTCCGGCCAATGATTCAAGTTGGTGCTCATTTTTTGCCTTAAAAAGTTATATGGAATTTTTATATTCAAAAAAAAAACTGAAAACCTTCATAATATCCACTTGAATTCCCGCCAAATGGAACAGCGGTAGAGCATTTTTGTTGAAATCGTCGAAGCAATTCCGCGAATTCCCTTCGACGTTCACCAAAACGAAAACTCGCCGCGGACGATCATCAGCTGAAACGATGATCGCAATTTTGCGAGCGGTCAAATTTGATAATTTCTTACGATTTGTGATTTTCTCTCCAAATTGAAGCGCTTGTTTCGCATAGGCGCTTCGAATATTTTGATTTCTGAAATAATTTTCATCATTTGCTAGTCGAAACCAACATGTTATCTAGCATTCTTTGAACTCTTATGATAAAATCAAGCAAATATTTTCTCGTTTAAGGTATTACAAACATTAAAAGTAATTTAATCGACAACTTCGGAAGTTGGTGTTTCATTTTCGAAATCAATTTCATCAGATGTCGAAAATAATTTTTTTTAATTTTTTAAAAAATTTAGAGGAAAAATATATACAGAAAAAACAAATATTCTATCTTTCTATTCTCTAGATTGAAATTTACCCTTTCTTTTCAATGAAGTTATGTTTTTAATATAAAAATATTAAATATTCTCACATAGTCAAAATTTATGTTCCAAAGCGAACATGTAAGAAAACTTTTTCTCTTATTTATTCAAAAAATTTGTATTGCATGAATTGGTCCTGAAAAAAACTTGGGATAAATTCCTTCTAAAACTTCGTCGAATATGTATGATTATTATAAAACAAAAATAAATATTCAACATTCTTTTTTTCTCAATGCTAAAAGGAAAATTCCATCCGATGGAATTTTTTTCAAAAAAATAAAAAACGCTACTTTTTTCTGAAACAATTTCCTCGAATTCTTTCAATTTCTCAAAAATCACGTTCAATCAATCCAAAAACCGTACCTATTCCATTTCACCACCCAATCGGCTCCCAAATATCCCAAAAACGCGACAAACGCCGCCTTCTTTTTGTGCTCATACAGAGTTTTGCCAATTTTCGAAACGCGTTCAACAATTTTCGACATCTAAACACTTTTTTTACGTGGTGGTAAAAAAAAACAGAAAAAAAAATTAAATAATAAGAATCGAAAATGGGAAGACGTGTGAAACAAGGATTCAGCTTATAAATCGAAGACAAGAAAGAAGAAAAGAAACAGCGACTATCCAAGAATGACTTCTCGATATATATCGGGACAACGTCAACCAAAAAATCAGAAAAGAAAACGAACAAATCGAAATGAAAACAGATATATGTATATATGACAACACAGATAATATATTCTTCTCGACAAAAAAACGAAACAAATTAACTTATTATAATTATGTTTCGGAAAAAAGTGAAGTTTGAAAACAACCAATTAAAGTTTCAAAAAAAAACACACATGAAACGTTTTACGGGAAAAAAAAGTGGGACATAAAATGATTGTGGATATCAAAAAATGAGAAAAAACGAAAGAAGAAAACAATTGTCACAGAAGTTCACTGAAGAAAAAGAAACCGGGGGGTCTAGCGACGACTATGTTCATCAGAAAACCCAATAATGTTATACTAATCGTTAACAAAAAAAATGATTATGATGATGTTGTGAATAATTAATGAAATGTGAATAAGCACCAAAAAATCGGAACGATAGTGGCGGGAGGGAGGGGATCTGGAGGAAAAGAGGTGGAGAAGGGATGAACATTTCAAGTGGTCCTTTTTGGCCACCGCAAACGCGTGTACCCGTCAAATAATCAATACGAGAGATACAAAAAAAAAGTTGGGCGTTGTGTCAACTAACAATACATGGTGTCTACATTATACACACTATACATATTTTCAATTTTAGACCGGATGCTGAAGACGATACTTGAGAAGCTCCATGCACACTCGCGCGTCTTCATTCGAATCGTGTCCCGTGATTTCTGCAACATTCATTTATTCATTCATATTCATCACAATCTTAAACTCACCATCGTTGTCCTGCTGAATGAACTGCTTCAAATGCTCGGCAGCCAACGATCGCAAAGCCTTCTTATTTCCACCGCCATTCTGGAACACAATCGCCGTGTCGATGACATTGAGATGCGCCAATCGAAGCGCCTTCAGGTCCGATTCGAGCGAGTGGCCAATCAAAATTGTCTCCGAATTGATTAGCTTGAACAACTTCTCGCGACACTATAAAAAAAACAGCCGATTAAGTCAATCCGATGGATTTTCCGATTACCTCTTCCAAACTAAACTCGGCCGCATTCACTTCGTCGATGGTCAACCCGGAAAACTCGGTATTCGCATCGAGCACCTCACCGGGCGGTTTGACTCGCACATCGAGCACCGACACATTGTTAATGTCGACGACGGAGAGCCGCGCCAACGCGGGCCCGCGCATCGTGTACACCATCTCGCAATCGATCGCGAACATCTTCTTCGACCTCGGATCGTTGGGTCCCGTCGGCGGCGGCGTCGCGATGAATTTGTCCAATTCGGATTTGGGTTGCTGATCGAACACGTGAATGTCGGACAATTTGCATCCCTCGTGGCTCCAGTCCTCTTTGCAGCACGCGTGCACTTTGCGGAACGTGTCGCGTTTGCCGCCAACAACCGCACCGCGATTGTGATAGCGGCACACCGCCTCCTGTCGCGGAATCGTGCCGTCCGGATTCAATCGGAATTCGGCTTTGCAGCGGCAACAAACGCGCGCGCGGTCTGAAAGCTCACCCAAAATAATCGATTTTCCTTTACGCCATTTTTCAAATTCATAGTTCCTCCTCTCCCAACACCAAAATATTTCCGACGATAGGTCAATTGTTATCAATGTCGGCCGGCTGACACTCGGGCCAACCAGGTGATTGTAAATATTGTACAACCACGAGACCGATGCCTGACCACTTCGAATGGACAACCAAAATTTCACAAGTCGCCATCATGAATTCCTTCTTGGGTTTCCATAAAGCAATACTCACCATGATCATCAATCCAGATGTCAATTTTATCGAAAATCGTCTTCTCAATTTTCACGCGTCGACTCGCGCTGATAAAATACGGATAGCCGTTCTCAGTGAGAACGCTCTCCGACTGCCGAAATCGTCCAAACGCTTCATAAAGCTCTTCGGGTGTGTAATCATCGATCTTCTTCTCCTTCTCGCGATTCTTTCTGTGCACACCGATCGAGATCTTGTCGCGTTTCGGCCCGCAAAGGATGGCGTCATGCGAAACAGCTGAAAAAAGAAGCATTAGACAATTTCAAATTATGAATGCGTTAATTCTGTGTGATTCATCAAAATTCTAAACAAACAGACACACACACACACACACACACACACACACACACACACACACACACACACACACACACACACAACACGATCACGCAGATGAGTTGAATGATTATCTATCTGGCATCAATTTTCCACTACCAGCACACCCCACCACTCCCCTCAAAACGAACCATCTTTTGGCGACTCCGGCGACGATGGATACGATCTTAAAATTTGGTGTTGGCTAGTCAAATAAGTGACACCCGTATAGTTCTGAAACGGTGCGCCGAGATAATGGTTTTGCGTCTGCACGGCATAGTAACCGAAATTCAGATGTTGTTGACTGAGTGGCGGCGGTGAAGCGTAATGGTGCACATAGCCATGAGAAGCATCGCACACCATTCGCTGAACCGGTGGTGGTGGTGGTGGTGGCGGTGGTGGCGTCGTCAATTGTTGTGGCACCATCGACGATGTCGGCATGTACGCTTGATATTGTGGAGCGGCATGGTGCGCGAGCATGTATGAGCTCGGATATGGATTGAAGCCACCAGGACTCGTCACCATATAATCCATTCTGCACTTCTCGTCCCGCCGTGATGGTGGCTTCGATGGTGACGACGACGACGACCACGATGATTCTGGACGATTTTCTTTATCAATGCTTGGACAAGTATTAAGCTCGCGATCAAATGTGCTAAACGTCATCATACCGTCTGGAAAACGGCCAATAAGAAACGTAATAATAATAATAATAAGTCAATCAATTTTGGCAATGAGTGAAGAAAAAAAAAATAAAAATTGAGGAGCCTCTTAATTGTATTGATTTTTTTCACATTCGCGTTTCTCACAAAACAAAATCGAAACGAATAAAAACAATTCGAATGGAACACATTGAAATGGCGAATCAACCAAAAATTTTCTCAATTGTCAACCGGAAAAAAATTATAAATGATCTATTGTCTCTTGAGAAGAATGACATTTGAATATGACGTGAAAAAATAGGAATATGCACGACATTTGTCAATTGTCTCAACTCGAAGAAACCAAACCAAATATGATGAAATCAATTTTTTAAAAAATTTCCAGCAAACTGCTATTAATTTTAACATGTCAATGAAAACGTCACAAAAAATAAGGGGAAAAGATGCAAAAAAAATCAACGTAGGGAAGACCATGATGAAATACCAATGATTGCTAATGGACGAAATACAGCTATTGTACGTTGGTATAAAAATCAATCGGACGCCAGAAGCAACGTGATCCCGTTGCAATCGCGTCGAGGCATAATACGTAAAATTTCCTCAATTTTTAAAATAGCGATTCGTCCGTCCAAACAAAAGCAAAAACATTTTTAAATTTCGAAAAGCATGAGCCAAGTACAATGGGGCGCGTTTGTCGCCTCAAGCTTTTCTAATTCCCAAAATTCGATGATGATGACTAATCAAGATTTTCGCGGCAATTAGCGCAATTTATGTGCTAAATGTAAAAATAGCCTCGAACTATGTGGAACTCTCTAAAGGGAATTGTTTGGGACGTCAAGCAAAAAAAAAATGACGCTTAATATCGGAATTGATGATAAGCAGAAAGACAAAACAGCGACGAAAAGAAAACAACCAACACCAAACGGAAAGGTGTGCGCTCTGGCACCCGATTACGAAAAATGCTCATCACCCAACAACGGCGACACCAACGCCACCAATCTCGACTCCGCCCATTCCTGGGTGGACGACGAGGGGCGGGTCGCAGGTAACCGCCCCGCCATTTGCCGGTCTGTATCTCTCCCGCAACTCCTTATCACGAAAAGGACGACAAAAATATGGAAAAGAAAAGGTGTGTTGGTGTGAGGTGGCAACGCGCAATGAGAGAACCCAAAATTGGTGCATATCAGATAATAAATAAACAAAATAATAAACAAATCGCATTGGTTGGGTGGTGGCGCGCGCACTTATTCGAATAGCAACAAATGCGATGCGCCAAACGGCGCCTCTCGCGCACCACTGAGCAGGTCAGCCCACATCGAGTCGCCGTCGACAACGCTCAGCTAATGTATATAAATATATAAATATATATGTTCGCCCCGCCTCGTGTGTGTGTTTTTCACACCGAGTAAAACCAAGGAGGCGGGAGAAGAGGAGGGGGGAGGAGAGGGTTTTGATGCCTAACGGCTGATTGTGGACTAATCGATAAGATGGCGGGAGAAGGGTGGGGGGCACCGACCATATGACATCGAGGGCAATCACACGCAACAGGAACGACAAACCGACGGCAGCGACGAAAAAAAAAACATTTATGATATATATGAAATCGACACGGTCGGCGGATGTTCTGAAGCAACAACAACAAGGGTGAGGAGAAGAATAATAACAAGTGCAGAGGCGCAAGAGCCGTCTGTGCGCCCAAACTTGCGCGCGCTCGCCGCCGCCGCCCTCCAAAAAAAACCAAACCATCAAAAAGCGGTCATCAACGCTTTCTCGCCGTTCTACGTATGATGTGGGTGTGTTTTTGAATTCGAAAAAAAAGCGCCCTCTTCGTCGTTCACCCATAAATGAAATTTACGAGCAATGTCACACACCGCGGCGACGCCGGCGGTATTGGCAGACGACGACGACGACAATGCAAATTACAATCTCGCCGAATGTTTACGACCCAATTTCACGTAGGCTCGCCGAAATTGGCAGCCGAGCGAGCAGTCGAGAATTTTCAAATCAAAAAGAAATTATACAAAATAAAAATTGAGCAAGCGTAAAAGAAGAATGTACAAGCGCGATTCGCATCGTAAAAAAATGAACGCACGACACCCAGTGTGAAAAATGAATGAACGCAATGAATCGAATTGTCGTTAGAAAAAAAAGAAAATAAAAATGGTGTGTGAAAATCAAATCAACACGGGAGAGGTTTATGTTATCAAAAATCACGAGAATCATAGGGTTTCGCACTAAACAAGAAATGAATGAAATAAATCGAAATTTGGTTCCGTTTGGGAATTCTAGACAATCCCCCCCCTTTCCGAATGCAAAAGTGCCGAATCCTCGCATCTGTCGGGTATCACCATCGAAAAGGTGAAATTCCATCCCCACCATCGTCACACATATCGGCAATAAATCAACACATCATCACATCGTTAAGACATCATAAAAAAAGGAGAATTCACAACCACGTTCTCGCCTATATGTAACATATGTGTTTGCGTGTGTGTGTGTTCGTCGATTTGTCAGTGACGATCGAATGACATTGCTGATTATTGTAATACTCACGATGACTTGAAACCGGGATGACCACTTGATTGCTCAAATTTCGCAAGTTCTTTATCTTCTGCGTCACTCGAACCATGTAATGCGTCGGATTTCCGCCGTGAAGCGCTTCCAGCTCCAATCGTTGCGCCTGAATCAACAAAAAAATTATGTTGAAGGAAATGTGAGCTCATTTCACGTCATCCAACCTCTTTCTCCGGCTCATTCGTCTCAGTTCCGAGCACTTCTTTGAAAATCGCCGCAATCGCATTTTGTCGACTCGCGATGGATACCTGTGAAAAATTGAAATTGTCTCATTGAAAAACAAAATCCAACCTTTGTGCAAAACGGCTCCAATGGTTTCGGTGGTGCCCTCTCAACAAGCTTCTTCTTTTTCGCCGACGTTGGCGAATCTGGAGGCTCCATTTTCACACGGACCTTCTGTAAAACAATCAAATACATTCATATACGTACTTCAAAATAATGACAACGAACCGGATTGAGTGCATTAATCGGTCTCGACACTCTCGCTTCACCTTTCGCCGTCGAGCCAATTCTGGACCGTTTCTCGCCAAACATTTCCTCCTGAGTGAGATATTTCTGAAAAAAAAGAGATTCTGCACAGAATACGAAATATATATTCGAACCTTGTTCTTTAGCCGTTCGGCCTCCTCAGCGGCCTGCTTTGATCGCCGTTCAGCTTCTTCAAACGATTTTTTATAATTCTCCTCATAAAACACGCGTTTCCGGCTCATCGGCAATGGCGGTGGCACGATTTTTGACGAGCTACCCGACGACGATCTGCCCGACGGCTGAAATCCAATGAATCAGAACGAAAACCCTTTATCAATTCATCAATTTACCGTATGCGCTATTCGTTTAGGCGGCGCATTTACATCTTCGCCAGGTTCCTCAGCAACAGCATCAATTCTAGTCTTTTTCTATAAAACGCATAGTAATTTTTTAAAATGTTGCTTAGACACTTGACATACATTACTCGGACCCTCATCGGTGAGCCGTCTCGTCTTTTCAATTTTCTTCACTCGCTCCTTTGACTGAAAATAGTTCGAGTTTTGCTTCACATCATCAAATTCATTTTGCTTTCATATCCAAATCACCCATCATCACCATCATCAACATCACAACGTTCTTTTTTTTTTCATCATCGCGTTCGCACCCTCTACGGTGTGATGACACAAGAGGGCACGTGTCGTAAAGTTTAACAATTTCGTGTGAGAAAAAAAAAACTATACAGTTCTACAATGATGAGGGCACGTCGCTCGCGGGTTGTCAGACAATGCAGTTATTGGGAAAACAAATCGGTGAAACGCAAAAAAAGAAAACGAGCATCCTGGGCCATCGAATTTTTTCGCAGACAGCAATTCAAACTTGAAGTTAAGCAATGGGATTACCGTATTACGGATAACCTGTGAAATTCAAATTCAACGTAATTCGGAGTGCTCGTTATTGCGACTGTAATATTTTTAAAAATCCTCTTTCAAAAACTAACTAACTAAAAAAATTAATTTAACAAATTTGTTGAGTTCTATAAACGACCAAAGAAGAAAAAAAATAGTCAAGAATGAATTCCGCCCAGGGATGATCATGCTATTAAAAACCCATTTTTTAATTAAACAAACAAATCTCACATTTGACGTCCTTCTAAATTCAGAAAACAAATAATCGAATAAGAAAATACGTTTCGAGATCAAAAAGAAGTACACGACGTGCATCGCATGGTTTACCTTCCGGAATGCTTCTTCTTCTTTCATGTGTTGCGGATGAACCGACAACATTAATCGCATTTTATCTCTAGCTTTTTCTTCGACTCGTTGTATCGCGTGCTGCACTTTAATGCGTCGCCTTTCCGCCGCAATCTCGAGTAAAGTCTTTTTTCGCTCCTGCTTCACATTCGGACCATCGTTCCGTTGACTCGACGTTGAATTCTCCTTTCTCCTCGATCGCTTTCGTTCCTTACTCTTCGATCGTTCGGTATCCTTTGATTTCACCTTATCCTTTGGTCTCATACGCTCCTTCGTCGTCGATCGGTCTCTTCCCTGAAGCTTCTCCTCTTTGGAATTCGATGCTCCTCGAGAATCTTCTTTTCTAGTTCGTCTCGTCGATGGTGTCTTTGACGAAACTTTTGAACGAGTATTCAATGCCGGCGACAGTCTCGCCCTCTTGCTAGCTCCCGCCTTTCGGGCTAACGGTTTGCTGCTCTTCTTCTTCTTCTTCCTCCTCTTCGGTACTTCAACGTCACTCGGCAAATATTCGTCTTCAGACGATTGTGTTCGACCTCGTCGCGATTTCCTCCTCCGATATCGTTCATCATCCTCATCCTCATCCACAATAAAGTCTTTCATGCTGTCCGTGTCCGAGTTCGTTGCGCTTCCCTCAGATGCGTCGAATGACTCGGAATACGATTCCTCGAGATACGAGACTGATGATGACGATGACGATGGTGACGACGCCATCGATTCATCCGAATCCGACCACACAACCCTTTTTCTCATGGGTTTCGGTGTCGTTGATTTCTTTGAGCGTCTCATCGTCTTCTCAGCTTCATTCAATCCGCGATTTGAGCGATTCGAGTTTGTCGGTGTCCGCACTTCATCAGCAAAGCTCTCATCTGTTTCCGAATCCGAACTAGCGCAAGAAATCGGACTTTTCATGGTTTTCGTCGTAGTCGTCGATTTGATTGGCGAACCGGTGCGACGAGCACGTCGATCCGGCTTACGTGTTATATGTCGTGCAGTGGATGATGAAGAGCAATGAGTAGCTCGTTGCTCGTTTGGAAGATCACGATTCGGCGATGCGTCGCAATTCACAGAATTTGGCGACGGCAGCGATGGCGACACCGACGACGATGGCTGCGGCGACTCATCGTCGCTGCTCAAGCAGATGACATCAGCGATTTCTGAAATTCAGCATTCCGATGGAAGAGTGCTTCGTGCGCGCAAATTTTTCTCGCATTCAGCGCCCCAAGTGTTGCGACATCAGCGTTGCCCGGCCAACAGGGTCCTTGATATGGTCATTTTCCAAAAAAATGCATGTTCGTTTAGAATCCATGGGACATCCCAAAGAAAAGAAAAAGTTCGTGATTGTGTGCAATGTGTTGGAGCCCCCAAATTTTTCGAAATTAGAAGACGAAGACGAAGAGAATGAGTTGATGATCATGAAGAAGAAGAAGAAGAACATGAAGGGGCTGGACAACTTGGGGTCGCTGAATGCTTTTCATCAATATTCGAATTATAACCTTTTGTTGGAGCTGCTATCTCGACGTCGACATTTTCGCGTTTGATGCTCAAAACTTTTGGTTTCGCCGGCGGCGGACATTCCACAATTCCAAGTCTCTCGTTGACTATCTTTTTACGTCGAACTGTTAGAATGTCATCTCCCTCCTCATCATCATCAGCGATGTCGTTGGAGTTAAAGTTGCTGCTCGGCTCCTTTTTAATTGTGATGTTCGGACGAATGCTCGTATTCTGAAGTTCACGACAAACGTACAAAAAAGAACAACAGACATAATGGAGAAAATCTATAACAATGAAACTGGCTTGAATATCCCACATTTCGGTGATGAAACGAAAACGTGCGACAACATGCATTATTAGGGTTTTTTTTTTGCGATGTGATATTATAAAAACCAAAGTAAACACGAAATTCTTACATCCTTTGCGATTTTCGTCGGCACATAGACGGCCGCGTCTTGGCAAAACTTTTTCAATTTTTGCGGAATTACTCGACCACGCTCATCGGTCAATTCGCTCGAACCTTCAACTGACATACGCAATTTCTGAAATGACAGTTTCATTAATCAAACTCATTTTCCATTTGGTTTCTTTTTATAGCGTGGGTATCAATTCAATGGAATACTTTCACGTTTGGTTTGACATCGACAGCAGAACTCGATGAGCTTGCCAATTGCGACTCGAACGGATCATATGGTTCCGGTTTGACGCTATTCGACGTTGTTGGCGGATTTGAGCTACTATCTTCGCTTTTCTGAAAAAAAAAATTGGCATTCTGATTAAGACATGCTCTTGGAGAAAAAAAAATTACCTCTGGATCAAGAATCTCCATCAAATTGAGCACCTTCTTGTGATGCTCGGCTAATTGCCGTCGCGCTTCGTCGCGATATCTCGAAAGATTGAACTAAAACAAAAATTGGCGACTAATCATCAGAGATTCCCTTGAATTCATACCCCAATGGGAAGAGCGCTTAGCATTGTCTTATACTCATCGTCACTGAGCAATGGGCCACGATTGTTTTCCGATACCGGAGGCGATGGTTGCGGTGGTGTCGGATTCGCCACGAGAGGACCCGGGATTCCGAGACACGGATCAGTTGGTGCATACTCTCTAAGATTGTAGGTGATCCCAAAGTTGGACCCATCCATCCTTGATGACCAATAATCCTAAAAAAAACAGTTTTTCTTATTGTTTTTGTAAATTTAAGAAATAATAATCAAACGATGAACAAAAAGGATGTGACTGGTAAAAAAATAGCGAAATCGCAACAGACATTTCTGGTGCTCGCCAGATATTGATTGCGTAAACTTCACAGTTGGTTGCGTTCTTTTGCCAGAACAGCACTTGCAACTCGGTGTAATGTTTGGAGCGTATCATCATTGCACATTACCAAATTGCGTAATTTAGCATTGGCACAAAACCGGAGAGGGTCCAAACAAGAGCATCGAATAATAAAGGCCGCAAAGAGATATGACGAGTGCTCTGGTAGATAACACGGTGGCCCAAATAGATAGCAGGGAGGCTGTCAGACAGATAAACCTAGCTGTGTTATGACACGTGTTCTAAGCTCGGAATCTCCTCGTCTTTTTTATTATTCGATTGACACGAATGTGTTTGGTACCTTTTCAGAAAATGATTTCATTCGAAAATCTTTTTAAAAATTAATAAAAACAACCCTTTAGAGTTTGTATGCTATAAATTAAGGAATCCACGCTACAGAATTACGAGATTTTCACAAGTGAAGTGGAAAAATAAGACAATCCTAAACTTCATTTCATGTTTGAAAATCGATATTTTCGGCAATTGCGAGAAAATGGAACAATCAGAAAAGATTACCCTCTTATTCAGATATCTGCTATTTTACGGTACCGTGTCGCAAAAAATAAAGGCAAACGCTCTCTAAATCCTATGAAAATTGGGAAAAATTTTCCTCTTTCTTTTTGAGCTTTTTTCCCAAAGTGTGCACAGCACCGTTGCCATTTGATAGAAACAAAATTACATGTTGCTAACGGTCGGGGCGAAATAATGACAACTTACTTTTTTCATTATATAGAAAACGACATTAAAACACGAAACGAACAAAACTTTCGCGCCAATCAAATGAAATTTGTATTCAAAAAATTTAGAAAGTGATTAGAAATGGGAAATAAGTGGAAAAATCAATACATCAGATGGAATTGGAATGAAATTGTTGCGCAATCTACGCAAACACCGCAACGCCATTTTGCACAATACATAAAATATGCCGGTAGAAATTACTTTCTTTTGTTTAAAGGTTATTTCAAAGCTTCAAATAAAACTGCCATTATGTAAAAATTTTCGTCAACAATAAATATTTCTAAAGTGCAAATGAGAAAGGGAAAACATGTTTATTTCAACGGATTCCGACAGACGAGGATTAATCGTCAGCATTTGCTCAAAAAACAAAACGTGCAAAACCGAGAAATCCTCGAAAACAAAAAACCGCTTAACAAAGGGCCTCAAAGCGAAAAAAAAAACGAATATTCGATTGAATTATAATTGATAAATATATAATAAGCAATTTAATATAACGTTTTCAGACCAAACATTTCTGAATATTAAAAATCTTTGAACCAAGCAGAGAATTTCGTTCGATAGTCGATCCTTGCAAACAGAGACTGCAGGAGAAAGGGAGACGGCGGGCGGCACGACAAACGCGCGCCTGCGTCTCTTGAGTTAAACAAATTCGAAGACGAATTGCACTTTTTTTACAGATAATGAGAAGGTAGGCTGCAAAAAACAACTCGAAATTATAATCGAATTTCAATCACCAATTTATCATTTTAATAAATAAATTTTTATGTATTTCAATTAAAAAAAAAAGAAACAAATGTTGCGCAATTATTTTCTTGCAAAACTTCGATCCATGTAACCATGCGATCGTTGAACACCCTTCTTGTTGCTCTGCAGCCGCTTCTCGACGGTCATGTCGTCGCAGGCGTCTCTCATTTGGTTTCTGAACAATCTCAATTAATTGTTGGCATGCGAGGTCACGTGCCTCCCTTCTGGGGGGGGGGTTTATCAAATGTGTGGCCTTAGCTAATCCAGATAATTTTCGAAAAACTCATGGAAACGGGGGATTTGCGATATCCATAAACTAGCAACGTTTTTGCAGAGAAAAAAATTTTGTGGAAAAAAAAACATCGTGATCTGCGATTTCTGATGAAATAGCATGATATAATAAATGTGTAAAGTTCGTCCAAAAATTAATATCAGGGCAATTCAAGATTTAATAATTTCACAAAATGGAAAAAAAAACCGGAAATTTGAAATCGACGATACCTGATAAACGATGGAGCGTATCCGTTCTTATCAAGCTCTTCGAGCTCTTCCTTATCATCCTCTTGATCGCGATTCATATTCCTCGCGCGAACCTCTTCACGCCATTTCGCGTTCTCCTGCATTTCTTTCAATCTCGCCGCTTTTTCCTCATCGGTGAGCACTTTGCGTTCGCGTTTCTCGCGCGACGCATTGCCGCCACGACCCGTCGGAATTTTGATAAGCGAATAAACGTTTTTCGAATCGTCATCCTCGTTTTTCACCGTTTTCTCGTCTTTTGTTCGCATCTGAAACAAAACCGACGATATCGTTTTACAAGCGTGCTTCTTTTCAATAAAAAATCATCATTTTGAGTTCACGAATGGAATATTTAGAAAGAATACTCACTTCTACTAATCCAAACGATTTTTTCTTCTTGTCTGCCGCATCGTCGTCAGAATCATAGCGTTTCGAATCATCTTCTGATGAAGCGCCTTCTTCACTTTGCGATTTGAGCAAATCTGGCGGAATGTGTGAATCATACGTCTTTACCTTTCCACTTGACGACGTCGGCTTCTCATCCCAAGACGGCGACCTCGATCTTGATGATGATCGCTTCTTTTCAGGGCTTCTGGAAAAAAAATAATTTGGTAAAAAAAATTCTGAAATAAAAATCAATAAAGTACCGTTTTCTGGCGTGTTCGGATTCACCAGTCTCGTTTCTACGTGAATTCGAGTGTTTTTGCCTGTCATGTGACTTTGAACGCGTTCTAGATCGCCTGAAATTATATTGTCCACAGAGGTTTGACAGCCATAATTACCGATTCGCTCGTGTCTCACGATTTCGGGGACTTCTGGATCCTCGTCTGCAAAAATGTTAAAATTCCAAAAAAAGGACGCCGAAATACCTTGCAGGCGATCTGGACCGAGATTTTTTAGTTGATGGTGGAGATCGTGATCGTTTTCTGAAACAGCAAAATCAAATAATACATATTTCAAAAGTCATTTGAAATACTTACCGATTCCTTCTTTCAACCGACCGACGCCGTTCCGGTGATGCGCGATTTCTGTCATTGCGTCTCGGCGATCGTGATGACGATTTTCTGTAAAATAAAATAAATTTTCTGGAAATTTGTTGTCAGGTACGAACCTTCTTGCTCGCCGCTCTTCCGGAGATCTCGATCTTCGTCTGAAAAATGTAAAATAATTAAATACGATAAATAACAAAATAGACTTTTCGCTTCTTTTTGGAGATCGAGAATGTGAAACTCTTCTCCTTGCCGGAGATTTCGATTTGCGCCTTTTTTCAGAGGAACCTGACCTTCTGAAAATAATTTCTAAACATATGACTGCCCAGAAACCTTACCTTGTCGATCTCTCCTTCCTTCTTTCAGGAGACTTCGACTGCCTAAAAAAGCAAAAATTAAAACTAAACGTTTCAATACTAATACCTTCTTTCGCTTTCTCTTCGATGCCGTTTTAATGGGGGAGATGTGCTTCTCTTTACCTCTTTCTTTTTCTTCTTACGTTCTTCTTCACTATCACTACTACTGCTATCAGAACTTCGAGACCGTTTCTTCTATAAATTTTGCATTTTACCAACAAACAAAGAATTTTTACCTCTTTCTTATGCTTTTTGCTTTTCTTTTTTTTATGCTTCTTCTCATTTTTGGCGGTCATCATTTGCCTCAGCACTGTTTGCAGTTTTTTCTTCATTAATGGATTATCCATTATTTCGCGTCGCTTTGTTTCTTCGCGAACTTTCACGGCAACAAAAGGATCTTCTGATTTTATAATTTCCTTTTGAAGAAGCGTTGTTTTAACATCTTTTTGTTGAGTGGTAATGGTTCTTCAAAAAAAATGTGAGTTTTAAAGTTTCAAATTGAAGTTAAACCTATTTTGAACAATTGTGTCAATTGCTTCAGGCGCCTGATCCACAACAACATCCGAATATTTTTCAAAGTTTTTATCGACCTAAAATAGAAAATTATTGCGATAGCTATTTCAAATAAATCCGCGCACCTTTTTACCCAATAAATAATCTTCTCGATTTACACTAGATTTCGCACCTTCGTACATCCATCCAATGGATGCATCCTTTTTTGAGCTCATTATGGCTGAAAATTTCAAAAAATTGAGTCCGGACGAGAAAAATAACAAAAAAAAAACGCATTCGAATATTCGAAAAACACGGCGTTCACACTAGTGGGATTTACATGAAAAAAAGTTTTTTTCTCAATAGAGCGCACTTGCAGCTTAGCGCTATTCCGGTGCATAACTTCAATAAATTAAATTTGTGAAATAAATTAGAAACATTCTCAAAATGGAGCGTTTTTTCAATAAGAACGATTAGTTTTAATATTTCTTCCGGTGGATCAGATTCACCGCAATTTATGGTCTATTTAGTTATAAATAAATTAAGTTATTTTAATTTATATCGGATCTTTTTTATTGAACATATACATAACATTTTTAAAAGATAAAACCATCAATTAAGCGAAAGAAATACTACACAATTGAATTATGATATAAAAATTAATGATATGTAGCAGATGAATTCAATGCGAGTAGATAAAGACGCGAGAGAGATTGAATTCGAAAAAAGAGGATATAAGGACATTTGGAAAATGGCAAAACTAATAGGGAAAAAAACACACTTATCAATTTGGAAACAAATGGATAATCAACAAATACATTTAACAAGATTCTCTTTACCGATTTCATTAGGCAGCTTGAAAAGAACAATTTGATGTTATACAACACAAATGACTAAAAAAAAATACATTTTTGAGTTGAGAACGTCTTTCCATTGGTCTTTTGGAGTAATTCGGAAGTTAAAAAAAAATCTCGAAAAGCGAATTATATCGTTTCATCACTCCGCCAGCTTTTGATTTTCGAGATGGAGTGCTTATCTGAATTCAATAAATGAATTCAATGCGAGTAGATAAAGACGCGAGAAAGATAAATAGAAAAAAAGAAGCTGAAAACGGTAAATTAACGTAAGAACTAACGAAATTAAAAAAAAAAAACAACAAAAAATTATAGAGAATCTCTTGCAACTTCTCCGCCGAAATGACACACTATTTACATTTAAAATTTGCAAAAAAAAAAATTAAAAATAAACAACTATGAAATGTTTTTCCAAGTGTTACCAAACATAACCGTATAAATCAAACCATATAATATAACAATAAATGATATTAACAAAAAGAGATAGTGAAAAAACAGAGAAAAGAAATGTGAATATTTTTACAGTTCAATCTTTAAAAAACTACGGACCTCTGAATACTTATCCGATTGAATTATAGTAAAGCTTTTTCGATAGAAAAAAGCCTTGCGAAAAACGTGGTCGGTGCACTTTTTTGTTAAAATTTGAGAAAAATTCAAAAAACTTGAAAAAAGAGTCAAAACCTGGCGATTTTTAAAAAATTCGTCTGCGCGTCAAAGACGCCAACAATCGACCACTGACACAGTTTGAGTTTTCATTTCACTCAGGCAAATCAAATAAAATATTTTGAGAATCAAATATTCAGTGATAAACTCTAAAATATTTTGAGAAATTCTAAAGTCTATTGATACTTTCTAAAACTTATTGAGAATCAATAAATTTTAAAAATTTGGAATTTGTAAATTAAATCTTTTGAGAAAGTGCAAAGTATCTCAATATATTGTGAGACTTTAAAATTTGAATAGGGCCCTTATGACTTCCACTGACGCAATTTGCGGCGTCTCTTTTTAAGATCTCCTAAATTCCAATAAATAATTTATGTTTTTGATGTTCCTTCCGTTTTTTTTAGCTTTTGGTAATAGTTTCTTCACTTCAGTGATGGACGTATTCATGAAATGCAAGTTTTTATAATAAATGTTTAACACTACCTTAAATCTGCATTGTTTTACATGCTGAATTTGAAACAGTTGTGTCTAAACATGTCATTGCATGAACAGGTTCATGAATTTTAAAAACACGCACAATTATTACAATTAATTACAATTATACTTCAGTTTCTAATGATTTCGATATTTTAGAAGATCGGGAATAGTGTGGAACAAATATTCCAGAAACATTGGCCGATAGATTTAAGGAACGAGGTAAATACAGCAAATTCAATGAGCAGGTGCCCATGTGGATCACGGCCATGGATATTTTCCACCTTTTTCACGAGGGAACACGTATAATAAAAGGTACTTCAATTATGTCTCTCCTTTTTCAGCATTTAAAAATTGAAGATTGTCTTTTAGAAGTCTTCGTTAAAAACGAAATAAATATTTTTCGATGCTAAGCTATTGATGTGAAAGCGAGACTGCCATCTTCGGTAAAGTCGCTATCAGGAAAATTCAATGACATTAATAGGTCCGAAAAAGCTAGTGTAAGTTAATTTACCACTTGCAATTATCATCCTTTGAAGATTTTTGAAGTGAAAATTGTTTCTAACGCCATGATCGGAACCATCCCTCCGTTAGGTTCAGCTGTTGTGTTGCTTATACATGCCTGCTACCGATGGATGGTGTCACCGACTCGCTTAGTTACAAATACAACATTACCAAACAAAGTAATATGGGATCGTTAGCTATGTACATAATAGAAAATTTTTATTTCAGATCGCAGGTATTTGCAAATTATTAGAAATTCTAATTTGAGATGGGGCGCCTCGATTGTTTTCTGGTTCAAAAGTGCACGTAAGTCGTTTTTTTTGCAATTTTAAGAGTTATTGAACGTTGTAGCATCATGCTATTGTCGTTGATATAAGAAATAATACTAATGATTACTGTATTTATTGTTTCAGCAACTTATATACCATTTGTACAGTAATGTCATGGTCAGCTGTCGGCAATAAGCACGCAAGCGCATGAGCACATTTATCACGTTATCAAGAGAAACATGTGCTCGGAACAGACAAACGGGATTGGATATAGTATTTTGAGAAAGTTAGACTCATTCAGTTATTTTTTAAAACTGGCAATTTTCAGTTATAAACTATATCACGAGATTGTGACTTCATTGAAAATGCGTTTCAACGCGAATCCGGATTTAATTAAGAAGTCATTTTATCGCAAAGAACTCATGAAATTAATCGAAAAACGACAAATTCAATCATCAAAATTTGTAAGTTCAACATTTTCTTTCAATATATGCAACGAATTCCTTATAGCAACGTTGTGCGTCATTCGCAGAAAAAGGAGAAAATGCGAAAAGGATAAATTGATTCATTTATTTTTTTTCTGATTTTTATTATTAATATATTCATTTCGCATTAATATTGTAATAAATGAAATGTTCATACATATTCAATTATTATGGATGTTATTACATTCTATTTGTGTGAAAATTGCTCGATAACGTATGATATTACATAATATTGGACAGAGTTTATTGAGAACAATCTAAAATTTATTGATATATTCTAAAGTTTATTGAGACAAATCTAAAACTTATTGATAAACTTTAAAGTCTCACAATATTCATTGAAACTTATTGATAAATTCTAAAATCTTATGAGATTTCCTAAAGTTTATTGAGACAAATCTAAAATATTATAGAGACACGTTAGCCTCTCAACGAACCTCATAAGATTTTAGAATTGTCTCAAAATATTTTTTTTCATTTGCCTGAGCAGGTAAATCCCACTAGTGTGAACGCCGTGAAAAAATGTACGCCAAACCATGGCCGCGCATTTCTACATTTTTTAGGCCATGGCTGTAACGAACTCAAGGCCCCAATTATTTTGAATATGAAAAAATTTTTAATCAAGTGGTCGGTAAACCGTCAAAATTTCCGGGCGGAATTCAAATAGGTTTAGGTTAACTCGATGAATGGGATAACTTGATAATTTCGGCTTATTCGATTGACTATGAGGAAAATACATTGGCGTAGCCCGTCGAAACGACAAATGATGTCAGAAAATCAAGTTCATCTGCACAATAATTATACCTATTACTGGATGCATTAAAATTCACAGCAAATCGTGCCAAAATAGCGGTAAAAATAATTATCTCTCTCTCTCACAAACTCTTTCAATTTTTCCTTTTATCCGCCGTTTTAGCAAAACACTTATAGTTGGCGTCCGGCGACTGCTGTACGCGGGTAGATTTACTCGCATGCGCCTTGAAAAAAAGGTCTCGATTTCCTTGAATTTCCAACGATATTCGATTTAAAAATTATCGAACTGGTCCATTAAAATTGAAATAACCTATTAGTCTTTGCGAGACCATTTCGATAGACGCATTCCCGTAAATCTATCCCCGTACAGCAGTCGCCGGACGCCGACTATAATTTTCTATGAAGAGTAGTCGATATGAGACTGGCATTCTTCGTTTTTTTTGTGCGAAACAAAATTTTAATTTTCACTTTTTTATTTAAAAATTTTTTTTCAGCTACTATACAATTGTAAAAGCTCGAACTTGCGTACTCTTGTCAATTTATTACTTTTGTTGACTTTTTTGTGGAATTTTTCCGAGACTAATTTGTTTAGCGGTCAACCCCGATTTATTTTTGTTTTTTTTTTCCTCAGGCGCTAATTCTCCCAAAAAAAAGTCATCACTTATGTGCGAATGCAAAGAAAAACTCGTGGATAAGAGTGGGTAGATTTACGGGGCACGTTTTTCTTTCAGCATGGTATTGCAACGAATTTCTTAATTTTACCGAAATTGCTCAGTTTTGAGTTTTTAATGCAATTGATTGAACCAAAATCATGATTTGTTTGATCACAACAAATTCTGTTGTTGAAACGGCGGCGTAAAGAATGTTTAAGTGTCTCTCGCAATCCAGCACTGTCTCGAACGCTGAGTTCCCAGCGTCTCGCGTCGTAGAAACGCCGATGAAAAGGCTGTTCGAGGCAGTGTTCGTTAGCGAGAGACCGATGCGTTCTTTTCTCCGCCGATTCGCCGCACCGAAACACTCTTTCCATCGCTGTTTATACTAAACAATTTGGTGTGTTTTGTTTTTTTTTTTAACCATGAATCCTTATCGACGTACTAAGCGACGTACTATTGACGGAAAAAGTGAGCATATTATATAATATATATTCAATATTCTATGGTAATAATTAAAGGTGAGCCTTCTCCACGCCAATCACAAATAAGAAGGATGACCTATGATGCGGGGAATTTAAATTACGTGAATTACCCATTGCAAACTTCTAGCCTAACAAGACGAGAAGAAAGTTTGATTTTTTTTACATGATATCAGTTAATTATTTTTCCTTCCAGTTTCGCAAATCGACGAATTCAAACCATTAACTCGAAATCGGATCATAAGTAATTGCATAGTTTAACAAAATGAGATAATTGAAAAGAATTTAGACGGTGTAGAATTATATCCAGGCGAATACGAATACTATACAACTATCGATTGCTCTCTTACGTTTTTAGGTATTTATCACAAATACTGTATTTGAATATTGATTCACGTTATTTTCAGCAAATTTGCGCTCAACTTTCATACAAAATGAAATAGATATGATAAAATGTGGCCTCGTCATTTACAAATATGATTGTGAGGGTCTTCTGGAAAAATCAACTTATAAAGTATGCCTTATTTGAAAAAAAATTTTTCAACCGCTTCCAAGTTTTCAGGATTGCGCAGAAATATTATCTCGCTACCAAGTTGAACCATATTGGCGAATTTCGTCTATTCGACCATTCACACCATTTATTTATATTCTCGCCAACACATTTTCGGTAATTTCTAAAGTCATTTCTTTTTTTTTATATGTGTGCAGACCCTCATTATGAACAACTCCAAGAATAGTCCGCCTGAAAAAGAAAACTTCAATTTCAATTTCACTCCAGAGTTCAAAAGAGTTTCCCGTTTTTTTCATGGACAATACCCATTCAAGGTTGGCTCCGAATAATCATTGGCAATTCATCAATCAATATTTAGGACGCGGTCGTGTTAGACATGCGAGGAATGAAGATGGTCAATACTGGAATTCTTCGCCAAATTTCCCAAATTCTGAAAAACGTTCTTTCTCTGGTGCGACCAGAGCTTCTTTCATTATTCGAGAACGACATTGATTATTTCAGATATTGGATTCACCCGACGCACATCAAACGATGGCAGTTCGAATGTCATCCGGACGCTTCTCAAAAAAAAAGTTTATCGATATTCCCGAAAATGTGCTAAATCAAATATGCGGTATAATTCATTGGAATGAGTGATTCAATTTAAGCTTCCTTTAGATTATTTATGCCAATGCTACGGGTATCCTCCGAAACTGCGGTTTCCTGGGTACTCATATGAAGACCTGCTACTAGATGATCCACTGTAAGTGTCTGCTGCAATCGTACGACAATGATAATTGAAACGTTTTTAGGCTAGCCGGTAAACTTGGCAACACAGAGGAAGAGCGAAAGAGAAACTTTGTGAAATTAATTGAAGATGTCACCGAATTCTGCCAAATGACCAAAGATAAGCTCCAGCGGATACTGTATGTCTGAATGGTCAGCATATAGAAAATAATTTTTTTTTTCATTTAGGAATGATCTTCGATCATACAAGCTGATCCACACGGAGACTGGAAAAGACGTTCACGGAAATTCGGTTTATCGGGCGGAATTTGTGAAGGAGGACAACACGACAGGAAAAAAGAATAATGAGGCGATAAAAACGATTGGTCCCATCGCAAAAACGCCTTCCAGTGATGATGATATCACATTTAGCGGAGAAGAGGACAATTTACATTAATTGGCTAATTTTCTACTGCACTCACTTCGCACATTTATTTTTGTCTCACCAATTGTTTCGAGAACAGGTACATTCCATTGCAAAAAAGAAAATGCGAAAAAAAATCGACTGACGATTTTGAATTTTGGGTCCGCGAAAACACCCGACGCGCAAATGCAGACTTTTTTGAAATTTAAATTCCTGCACTTTAATCACAAAATAATAATAATATAATTTATGAAGAAGTTTACCCATGCAATAAATAAAATTCCTAATTTTTAAAACTATCGACGACAATTGTCGAAAAATTCCCCGCAAAATCCACAAATCATTCCCAAAAAAAAAAGATAATCGAACGAGTTTCGAATTAAACTTTGAGAACAATGTAATTATTATTCGTATTATACACTATTTTGAACGGCGCTATTCGTGTGCTATCTTTGCTGTTCGCCGCGAGAATCCACAAATCGCACAACGAGGTCCTATCGCGATTCTTCGGATCATTCTCGTCCCACATTCCGCGATAAGCGCATTGCGGCCTAATTTATACCAAATTTTCGACCATTTTTCAAATTTCTCATCTTTTTTTTACCTGCGCTCATCATTTGCGCAATTCATTAGTTGGAATACAAAATAATCGACTCCCATGCTCTTCAGCGTTCGATGCACTTCGGCGATCGGCTTCTTGCTGAACATCGAGTACACTTTCAGTGTTCGTTCTCTGAAAATTTGAAGATAAACGTCTCAAGCAAATTTCTCCACTTCTACCCTACCGTATTCCAACATGCTCATAATGCGGATGGTTGACAATTGGCCTTAACGTGGTCAGCTTCACATTTGCCATTACCGGCATCGTTCCAGCAAACACCGCGTCTGAAAAAAAAAGACGTGTTGCTCCAACTTGTTCACAAGTCGCAACCAAAACCTTTCTTGGTGTTCTTCTCAATCCAATTGAACAACATTTCCTGATCGGGATTGCTGTATTCGCCACGAATGCTCAATTGCTTCCGAATGTTGGGCAGACCCTGATAGGTTAGAGCGGCAAACACAGCGACGATCATCGAAACATGGACGAATCGCGAAATTTTTTTATTGGAAATCGTCGAAATCAGCTGAATTTCATTATTTCATCGCGAATCATTGTTTTTGACAACCTGGAAATTCGATAAAAGCGCTGCAACGACACACAAATGCGGTGTCATGAAGAGCTTGAGCCGCATTATGAGCATCGCCATGATTGTGTAGCACACCAATTGCACAATATTATAGAATACCTAGTTTTCATCGAATAATTTTGATCGGAATCGTTCGAATACCTCAGGACGCTCATAGCTATCCGGCTGTCGCCACACCAAACTCGACATTTGCGATTTGACGAATCCAATGGTAAATATGAGAAGTCCTCCAGCTGCCAATGGAATCAGCAAAGATTCGATAAGCTTTTCAACAGTCTAAAATGTCTTCTGCTATTATACCTATTCCACTGTTTATTTATTTTTTTTACCACATATGGCATAAAGTCGAATTCGGCCGAACACGTGTACAGTCTCGTATGGAAATTGGCGAAATTTGTGAATTTCGAACGCAAAATGTCGAAAATGTGCGCATCGTCTTCAATTTTCAACATTTTCGAGAGCCCAAATTTGAGGCCAAGAGTAATTGTGGCGAAAATTAGGGACAACACAAGAACATAGAGAAGGCGAAGATTGATTCTTGTGGTTATTGGCGAGGTATAGATGATGAACTGAACATTTTTCGCAAATTCTAGTATTCTCATTTGAGCTTTTGCCTACCGCCAAAGCAATTATACTAGGAAAATAGAGCGCGGTGATCATCATTTCATTGCCGAACAACAAGACGAAAGAGACGATGAAGGAAATCTGAAAATTTCGGCTCGAAATGTCGGAACTTCTCGAGATATTCTCACAATATGCGAGTTCACAATGGTTTTGGCCGTTGAATACGGGATGAAGTCCAACGCGAACACCACAAAAATTGAGCAAATTTGTGTGAAAAATGCAAATTGCGAGAATTGCCAAAAAAGGAGCGACGGAATTGAGAAGGCCATGAGGAGAATTGAGTAGATCGTGCCGCTTTTACGATATCTGAATCGCTAGATGATTTTTGAAAGAATTCATGAATTCGAAATTGTTACTTGAGAATATTGGAGAGCACCGCAATGTGAGCTATGATCAGAGGAAACGCGAAGCTTTCACGAAGTGGCGGCGTCCATTGAACACGTGTGGCTTCGCCGTGATTGAAAGCGAAACACGCAACAGCGAGAAGTCCCCCAAGGATGGAATCGCTGAAAATTATTTCATTTTAATTCAAGCGATAATCAACGCAAAAAAATCATCATTTTCAAATTTAAATATTGGCTATTTGAAAAAAATTATTTTTGATGTGAAGTGGGGGCGGTGGGAAACCAGCCCGGCTTGACCGGTCTCAAATTAAAATCCCACCTCAAAACAACTCCGAGAAGAAAAATCGAGCTCGCGACAGTTCCAGCAATCAAGAACACTCCAGTTACATAAAAATAATGCGGGTTTCCGATTCCCTCGCAACTCTCAACCGGCGACAATTCGCCGCGATTCACTTGATAGCAGATTTCGACCGGAATCTTCATTGACGTCGTGATGGCTCGAAATGGCCGGTAGAGGAATGCGAGTATCACTTCCGGATAGAGGTTGAATCGGTTCAACGTGTTGATTTCGTGCCCGTGCTCGGTTACAGTATCTTTTGTAATCTGTTCGAGACCCGCAAGAAACGATTCGGCGTTGATAATGGTCTTGTAGTAGGAGTAATAGAGACCCTGAAATTTCAGATTTTTCACATTTTCAGTTAGAATGGCTTACCATTTCGGTACGATAGGCCATTTCCCGCTCGAAATCAGCCAGGTGCGAGAAATGTTTGTCATTTTCGAATAACGTGTATACATGGTGATAGTTGAAATAGCCGACAAGGAACGCTGGAAAAAAACATGAAAATCGAAAATAACCAAATATGTGCATTTCGACAATAACTCTATATATCTACATTCAACTCTCTCGGCCGTTGCAAATAAACGTTCGCGCGCGCTCTTCTCATAGACACAAAAAAAAACCGAGAGGCGCTCCGGTAATAAACATACATAATTCAGGTTTTTGGCGACAATCGACTTTTGACAGCCACACACTTTGCTCCTCGGCCGTACTTCAGCGAATCGTCGCGTACTAGTTGGTTTCAACACATTTCAATTTTTATTTACTTCATATTCCCAAAGAATATCAACACTGAAAACAAATTGCGAATTCCAAACGACTGCTACTTGAAGTACAAATTGTTTTGAGATGCGAAATCTCCTAACAAACAAATTTTAAGAAAACGAAAACTAATTTTTTTTCAATTTACGATAATAAATGAAAAAATGATAAATACAAAAATTTATGAAACTAATTAACATCTCAACTACTGTAACTCTCCAGTTTGTGCAAGCACTGAGTCTCAAAAACACATGCTCTAATATAATTTGGCCAGTTAAAAAAAATTTTTTTGTTTCAATGATTATCTCTTGAGCTGCAATTTTCAACAAACCAGGCATTTTTTGCAGTTTTAGACTTTAAATTCGATATTTGCAATACTTGCCAACTTGCAGCGTTCCGCAAAAAAGGAAAAGTGAAATTTGAACACTTGTGGATTATCGAAACGCTGATGGCTTTTATCATTCATTTCGCACCTGTTCAATCGATGCGACGTCAACGATTTGAATGGAGATGAAGAGGAAGAAGAATAAGAAGCAATTAGAAGTCGGAGGCTGGGATAACCGGGGCGGGCCAAGGGCGCTCTTATACATATATTGTCTTGTTCATGTTTCGTGTTTTTCCTCCTCTTTCTCGTTTCTTCGTCAACCCAACCGCCGTTTACCTTCGTCTTCTTCTTCATCTTCTTCTTCGTTCGTCGTCTTCTGTTGCCACTGCCTAGCAACGGCACAAATTCCATAATTCTTCCATATATATATAGTTGCAACCACCTGTTTTCATTGAAAAAAAATAAGGGCGATTGAGGCGCGTTTGAATGCACGTCGTCCATGGCAAAGCCGATCCGATTACTACTTATATACGCGATTCTTCTATTCATTGCTCATGTTAGTTGCCAAAGTGGTGAGGAGCTGGACGAGCTTGATGAACAACAATTCCTACTAGAGGTAGTTTTTTTTAACCTATGGCTTTAAAACCCAATTTCAGGTCAATTCAACGTCTTTTGAAAACTTTACAACCTTCAACCTTGTCGATACCTACTTTCCATTGTTCGTGCTCGTCGTGGAACTCTCAAACGAGGTACCCGTAAGCTTTACTCTTCAACTTTCGAAATTTTCCAGGAAAGATCGATTCTACAAAAGTATCTTGACGAGAAAACCTATGAGAAATTGAAGTATGAGCTAGACACTCAGGTCAAAATTTCGGATCCCGAGTTGACTTCGAATCGGCTCAACCTCACTGATCTGATATTTCAAACGCCGTTCTATTACGAGAATCCGCCGTTTGACAACATCTCGAGTACGATTGTTGAAGGGTATCATGTAATATTTGCAAATTGCTCTGATCATGGGGGTAGATCAAAATCTCTAGAATGCCTCCATCTACAACGCGATTCGATCGGTGTGGCTCAAACAGCTCCGCCCGTTTCTTCCAATAATGGATCAGCTCGCTATCATGCAGTATTTTGTGCAAAGGTGATAATGCGCCTTTAAACCTCGCGATTACGACGACTTACAGAAAAGCCGCCGAGTACGAGCGAATGTCGATTTGGGCGAAATTATGGCATAATTTGAGCTCTTGGATGTACGGGCGGCACGAATTGCACGGTTTGCCTCACATTTGACGCGAAATTGCAGACTAGTGTTATTTCAGAATGCGATGCCGCCGAGCCGCCATGCGTCCGACTTGCCATGGAAGCACTTCAATTCGAAGAGCGAATCAATTTGGACAAAGCGGCGAATTTGAACAGGTTCGATGAAGTCGATGACATCATAAGAAGCAAGGTTTTGCCAAATCAATCATTTCGGTTTTTTTTTGTTCAACCCTTCATCGCCGCCCAATTTTCAGCTCGCCGAATACGGAAGAAACGACGATTTGGACAATTGGCTGCGTCGCAACCGGCCACCGCCTGCCCTTGAATCAATTCTTGAAGAGCGCAGCGAAGTGGAAGAACAGTTGGACTGAATGAATTGTGACTAGGCGACGATGAAATTATTGTCAATTTCAGGGCACTTCAACGGCTTCGCGACAATGGTGTGGTGAACTCGCTCAAGTATTATTACAAGGCGGTGATCGAGTCAAGGAGTCATGAGGAGCAAGAGGTTCGAGGGTATTTTTCGATTTTTGTTTGCTACGGTGGAAGAAAAATAAGAAATGAAAAAAATGATTATTTTTCGAATTTTTTCTTTCATTAAAATTGTCTTCATCTTTTTTTTTTATCTATTATTTTAAACGAAGAATTAATTGAGAGGCTTTTGAAGAAGGTTAAAAAAAAGTTTGTGCTTTTTAAATTTTTTTGTAAAATGCATTTTTTAACCAGAAGAAATCATGAAAATGCGAATTGAAATAAATTTCTCGAAAAAAAGTCTTCATTGAATTTCTCGAAAGGAGTTAACTCTAATTTTTAGAGGATTTTTTTTCTCCTGAGGAGCAGAAATGCCAAAAAATAGGGGTCATGCTTTTCTTTTTCAAATCTTAACAAAATAAAATTTGATATAACAAATCTGCGGACAATTTCCGGGATGCGCTTCAATCACCTGAATGAAATTAGGTGTGGCGGCAATTCAAATAAGCACCCCACCCCCCCCCCCAGGTCCCTATAAGGCACTGTCAGTTCCCGACCGGGAAGAGGTCCATTTTTTTTTGAGAACCCAGCACATATTTTAAAAGCTATGCCATTTTAATAGTTTTTCTTTAGGATATTCGCGCATTTTTTGAGAAGATGAATGACACATTCGCCCGATGCTTCGACCCACTGCGCGGCCAATTTCCCGATTTTTGAGCTTTTCCGTCCCCCACCCCATCCTACCGGTATATTAATACATATTTGTACATTTGAGAAATACGAAGAAAATGAAAAAAGAAATAATCAACTAACCAATTAGTCCCACCGCGATAGTATAAACCCATGATGATTGTGATTCTGTTGTTGTTGTTGTTGCTGGTTTTACGACTCCAATTTTCTTTGCTTCCTTTTTTCGAGTCATCGTTTTTTTTTCTGTTTTTCCCTTTTCGCACTGTAATAAAGAAGTATTTATAAGCTAAAAGAGGAACACGTTTCTAGAAGGAACGACAAGAAAGAGGAAAAAGAAGAGAAATGCAATTTTGCCGGATAATCGAATTATGGAAAGTGCAACAACATTTGGTAGATCAAATCAAGAATTGGACCCAATTCTTCAAATTTACCATCTTCTCCCATTATTTAGCATGCTCCTTTAAATTTTCCGCGCTTTTAATCGCAAGCGTTTAAGCATTTCTTTGATATTTTGAAGATTTCCTCGATTTTATTTCTTTCCCCCCGTAAGACATACAGGGTGTCATTTAAGTTCCCGCACAAAAGTTTGACGCCATGTAGAGCTTCGCTAACGCACTTTTCGTACACCAATACAATTTATTTTTATTGAACAAGGTATATTTTACTTACTTTCCAAGTTTCACCTCATTCGGATGTGCTTCCGAGAAACGGCGAAGGCTAACATCCATCGCGCTTCCATTATCGAACTTCATAAGCAAAATGTGAGCCCGAGAGACATCATTCAACGGGTCGGTGTGCCTTGTAGAACGGTTTATGACACCATCAAACGATTCAAGGAGCTAAATACGACCAGTGACCGTCCCAGACAAGGAAGACTCGTCTCAGTAATCACTCCTCAGAAGATCAACGCCGTTAAATCGAGGATCAGGTGAAAACCCCACAGGAGCATGAGAAAGATGGCGTCAGACATGGGAATGAGCATCTTCGCTATGGAACAAATCGTCAAAGCGAAGCTTGGACTGACCCCATATCGTGTCCAAAAAGCGGCAATTCTATCGGCCGTCAACAAGCAGAGACGCTTCGAAAAAGCAAAACGACTTCTTGCTCGCACGCGGTCTGGAGAACACCTCGTCACTGTCTTCTCCGATGAGAAGCTGTTCACTGTGGAGGCGGCATTCAACTCACAAAAACATTGAGTACTTGCCCAGACATCCCAGCAAGCTTCTGAGAAAGGAAAAACAATTAATCGAGCCTCACATCCTGCCAGTGTGATGGTTTTCGGTGCCATCTGCTCAACCGGGATGTGCCCCCAGGATTTCGTGGATCAGGGAGTGAAAATGAACAAAAAAGTCTACGTTCGGGACATTTTGGAGAAGCATGTGATGCCCTGGACCCAAACGCATTTCGGTGGGCAGATATGGGTCTTTCAGCGGGACGGAGCACCCGCCCACACTGCCAAAACTACTCAGGAGTGGTGCCAGACCCATTTTCCCGACTTCATCAAATCATCCGAATGGCCTGATTGCTCCACAGATCTGAAACCGCTTGACTTTTCCGTGATAGGGTCTTGCAGGAGAAGGTCAACGCAAAACCCCACTCAAGTGTAGAGACTCTGAAGAAGACATTACTGGCGGAGTGGGACAATCTTTCCATCGAATACCTGCGTACCACAGTCACATCCTACCCGAAGCGTCTCCGTGAAGTCATAGCTGCGAAAGGAGGCCGAATCGAAAAGAGTTAATAGATAATAATTATTTGTTGTACTATAGATAAATAATATTTTGAGTCTCGTTTGATTTGGACTTTTAGTTTCAGAAATATACGTCTTCAAAGTTGTGCGGGAACTTAAATGACACCCTGTATTCATTTTACACTTGAATTTAGACCAAACAAATTTCAAGAAACTAAACAATTCGAGCAAGTTAATTTTTTTTTTGAATTTCGCGCCAATTTTCAATTTTTTAAACCATTCAAATTTTTTTTAGTAATCTGGAGAAATCTGAAACTAAAATTGATTGGCAATGTTAAAATGTGTGCAATTTTGCGTGCGTGTGTATTCGAACCTAAAACAATTTCTATAGTCTGCTTTTGAAAAAAAAACGGCTATCATGTCATGCGCCTTTAATTACCGTATCTAAAAAGGTACAAAATTCGAGAATTAGTCAATTGTTTAAAAAAAAACACAGATTACAGTTTTTTTTTAAGTTTTTGATATTAATAGAATTGTGAATAACGAAATTTGTGAAATGATTAAAGGCGCATAAGGCGAAAACCCAGTAGGGTCTTCTAGTAGAGAAGCATGCTATAATACTTTAAATTGAGAAGAAGCGTACCCGAAATTGAATGATTTTTGATGTCTCTGAAAGACGCATTCAAATCCGCGAGCAATAATCGGCTTTTCTTTTTTTTTCTTAAAGGCGTTGAATGCAATTGGAAGGCATAGTAAACGCATTGAAGCAATAAGTACATGTCAACTAAACGCTCACCAAAATTTTCAATAAAATAGATTCAATCTCAATTATTTTTAGTAAAGTGAAGAAGAAATGAAAACTGACATCAAATCGCGGATTTTTATGGTCCCATAAAACAGGAGGGGCAAATTAATTATAGCACACAATTCGATTCAATTCGATAGCTGTCGGTTTGAAAGTTTTCGTAATGCATAATCGGTGTGAATGATTCGAAAAATTGCGAACCAGCGTGTTTCCCACACTCGCCTAATTTGTTTAATAATAAATGCTTGGGAATATTATTGTCGAATTCGTTTTCACAAGTTTTTCATGCCATTAAAAAAAAATATAAATGCGCCAAACCGATGAAAATGCGAATGAATAATTAAAAGAACCAGCACGTAAGGAGCATGCGGTGCACTCAATTCTTTCGATTAAACGAATTGAGTGCGAAAAGGATGTCGTCTTCTAATTTAAACGCCTTTTTTACGGACCCCCTTCCAATTTCCACCAAAAAAAAATAAACGAAATAAACGCGAAAAAATGATTCAATACCACCAACCAATGTTTGTATTGTGTGGCATGGTGGTGAAAGAGCTTCACATGAAAAAAAAGAGCTAACAAATTGGGAAACACTTGCGGTAAATATATAGGAAACCAATGCGTTATAGTGGCAGAATCAATTGAACAATGGGACACACGCGGAGAGATCATTGGATTTCGAGAGGCGATCTCCGCCACAGTTCTTTTCTAGGTCAATTGCAATTGGGCGCAAAAGAATTTCGACCACGGCAGGACTCGAACCTACAATCCCCAGATCCGAAGTCTGGTGCCTTATCCATTAGGCCACGCGGCCACGCATCAACCAGCGCACAATTGCGTTGAAAAGAGCGCTAGCTAGCAATGACTCAAAGTGGCGAGGAATGAGAGAACGCAAGAGGGCAGCCAAAAAGACGGAGTAACGTAAAATAACAACAATTTATCGGTTGAGGGGGGCGAAAAAAAAAACAAAGTGATTCCTCTAGTCGCTGGGCATCGGAAGAATCTGCAAAATGGATATCGAATGACGCGAAATGCGACAATGATTGAAAACCATATCAGTGTCAAGCGCGATCGGCTTTGACGTGAACATTTGAGTGACGATGAACGCGCAGAGATAGATGAAAGTGCACACGAAGAGCCAGAAGACGCTATCGGTGTAAAGTGTTTCGCTTTCTTAACACTCATATATACATTATATTTAATATTATATAACAAATGATTACCTTCTACTAATGATTGCGGACGGTGTTGAAGAAGAGGAAGAGCTGAAATCAAATATTTCTCGATTTTTAGATTATTGAATATCAAACCAATTGGCGATTCATTGGTGGAAGCTTCAACGGGTGTTCGCCTTCTCAAAAATATTGCAAATTGTCCATGGGAAATATCATGGTTTGAAATGCAAAATGTCTCAAGTCCCGATTTCTGTCATAAAATTCAATTTTTCAAATTGATCCAAATTTGATGAGACCTTTTCAAACATTGAATAAAATGGGCGGTAGACGTTATGAGAATCGACATATTTGGTGACCAAACCATATTCGTCGGCGTGCATGAACGAGATGAATTTTAAGCCTTTTGGCTTAAAAAAGCTGTGTCATCATTTTTAAAATCAAAAGTTACCGTTAATAAATGATAAACTTTCATGTATGGGACCGAATGTGGCAACATTTCTGTCAAATTCATGACATAAATCCATTTAAAACTGTGATGATACTAAAAAATCTGAAATTTTCTGGAAATTTCCACTTCTTTTCTTACCACAACATAGTCATTTCCCATCGAATCCGAAAATGAGATAATTGCGTTGATTCGAAACCGAATTGGGATTATAAACGTTCTTTGAATTCTAAATTTAGCATTAAAAAACATATCTATTGGAAAAAGAAATCGTAGAAACCTGTTTCCAACAGCCCACACAACGCGATTTTCATCAACAAAAATGCAACAAACATGCCCCTTTAAATGTCTGCAATGCACGGTGACGCGATAATGCACAACTAACCCAATATTGATTAAAATGGCAAGTTCTCAAGCCAAGTCCTAATGGAATATGGTGGTTTGTTGCTGAATACTTAAATAGAACCGGAATATTCTCTAATTCAAATCTTAAATTGAATGATTGAAACGAAATTTTTTTGATTTTTTTAAAAATACTCTCTATAGAAAATCGATTGAGCATCTTGCACGATTGTCATTGTATCGAGCCCATCCTTTTTGTAAAAAGAAAATGAATAGGTTGGAAACTGGAAAAAAAATGAAAATTCCTTCTTCAAAAATTTTGCTGAAATTGCTAACCAATGTGCCTTCAAGAAACGATAATTGGTGAAAAAATTGAAAATCGAATTTCTCAAATTTTTCCCTAAACTGCATAAATAGATTATTTGCGCCGATTACAGCAGCAATCTTAAATTCTCGCGTGATTCAATTCAAAATTTTTTTCAAACCTCATGACTTTCGAAAATTTTCGGCGGAAATCCGCAACTGAAATTCGCCGCGCTCGAAAATTTCAAAAACGCTCCAATTACGATTATTATTCGAAAAAACTGCATTTGGTTTTATTAAAAATAAGCGTAAATTTTCATTTTTTTCAATAACAAATAAAAACCCACGTTGATATGCTGGCAAACTCAGCGTCGAATCACGCATCGGCAACCATTTTGTTTAGAATTTCGGCATTAAAGGAGTCTGCAATTAAAACAGTCTTGTAGTATGTTAAAGTTCGCTGCGTGTTCTCATGAAACAGCAGGTTTCTAGAAGAAATGGCCGACGAAAAGAAAGCAGAACCCGCTGAGAACCCCGAACCACCGAAATCCGAAGAGCCGGTTAAGCCGGCGTCAGCGCCTGCTGTCGAGGAGAAGGCGCCACAAGAAGCTCCGCCAAAACCTGAAGAACCTCCGGCAGCTCCGCCAAAAGCCGAAGAGCCGCCAGCAGCTCCGCCAAAAGCCGAAGAGCCGCCAGCAGCTGCGCCAAAAGCCGAAGAGCCACCGAAGCCTGAAGAACCTCCTAAATCGGATTCGTCAAAAGATGATAAGGATAAGAGTAAGAGTGATAAACTGGAGACCACCGGCAAACAGGCCGGCCAGCCTGTTCTTCTACGATCTAAGAAGACTAAGAAGCGACCACGAACCGTAAGAGATCGCCGAATACTATACGAACCTTGATATTTAGAGAAGAAAGTCGGATATTCCTGATTGCAAAACGGTTGACAAATGCAGCGCAAAATCGAATGACGAATTATCGCAAAATGAGTAAGTTTTTGTGTACGGGCCTTTAGCGAAACTATCCAAATTGAAGGTGGCTCAATGATCTTATCAAGGATGATCGACCCCCGTCAATTTGGTTAGTTTTACTAGACCTCTGGGTGGCCCTATTCAACTGCATTCGATAATTTCAGCGGCGGAATTAAAAAATTCCTCTGTCAATACAAATATCAAATCATTGGAGGAATCGCGATTGTTGGTCTCGTTGCTTTCTTCGCGATGAAAAAAGGATGCGGTACTAAACGATGTCCGTTTACCGGAAAGAAGTAATTACGATGAAATCTATTTTTAGAATTGCAAAATATAATGTTTATGATATAACTAAAACAGTTCCAATTTGTGTAAGCACAAAATAAGGCGATCCTTAGATTTTGTTAAAGGCAACAATATCGACAGATTGGACGTGGCTCTCAAAGTCTCCGGTGATCTTTTCGATGAGGTCATCGACGGAAACCTTGGCGTCTTCGATGACGCAGATGATTTGGAACTTTTGGATTCCTGCAATTAAAAAATTACTCGATTCCGATTTGAGAAATATTTTTACCGTATCCAATTGGGATGAGCTTTCCACCTCCCCAAACGAGTCCGTCCATTTCGATTCCACGGACCATCTGTTCGAGCTCGCCCAAATCTGTCTCATCATCCCATGGCTTAACGTCAAGAATGACGGAAGACTTGGCAATTGGTCCTGGTTTCTTCGACTTTTTCTCGTTGTAAGCCTTCAAGCGCTCCTCGACGAGCTTCTTCTTCTCCTCATCATCCTCTTCATCGGATCCGAAGAGATCGAAGTCATCATCCTAAATAAATAACATAATTTCACATAAACATTTTTGATACTCACATCAGCAGCGGCTGGAGCAGCAGATCCTCCGGCCGATGGCCAGGCCTTGCGCTCAGCCTCGCTGTAGCTGGCAATGTTGGCGTACCAACGCGCAACATTTGGGTAGGTGGAAGCATTTGGAGCCTTTCCGAGGTCAGCGAAGAGTTTGGCGTCTTCTCCAGAATAAGTGAATCTGGAAAATGTTGGATTACTATATTTCCACAAATTAAATGAATAGGAAAACTTTTTGAGCAAAACAGGGAGACAGTGTCTCGCCAAAATTACTTTTTTTTCCAAATTCGCTTTAAAATTATTAAAAAAAGATCAAAACTTAATTTTTCAATGAAAATCCTAAAATCCATTTTTTATGGAATTCTTACCCGTTGGCAAAAGCCTGCTCAGCAAGAGTGGTGTTGAAGGCAGAGAGCCCTGCTGGGGATTTCACGTCGGCGACCATTATTCCAAGGAGAAACGCGGTGGAATGAACTTTCGAGTCTAAAACCCATTTTTATTCAAAAAGATTGTGTTACGGTAGTTTTCGCTACACGATATCGTTATTTACACACGGGTTGCGCCTTTATGCACCAATAATGTGCCAGCCGGCGAGTATTGACACATTCGCTGTGTGGCGGACCGCGCTTCAAATGTCTTATCGAAGTTTCTCATTCTCTTGCTGCCGTTGCTGTTCATAATGTTTTTGTGTCTTATCAATTCCTTCTGTTCGATTAGCGGGTTGTATTGAGAAATAGAGTAGCCATTTAGTTTGATCGCTTTGGTCAGAAAGTCACACCGTTTAGGCCAAGAAATCCAGTAGTTTCAACTTTCTCGAAGTTCCTAAAAAATTAAGAACATTTTTTGTTTTGATGCGTTCTTATTTTGTGATAAACATTGCAATTGCTTTCTTCTACATTGTAGCAATAGACAAATAATTGTGTTTCGACTTCTCCATTTATTGATTTTGTTGTGTTGAATATATTTCTATATTTGAACCGAATTTTCAGGTAGACCATGAATTCTCTTCTCACACTCAGCCAATTGGCTGGGCCAGCACATGTGCGGTACCTCCATACTTCTTTCGGATTATGGGTTTGTGAAATAGTGTCACTTGTGGAGATGGGTTGTTTTCATTTCAGAGCAAGGTTCCATTGAGTAAACTTGAGCCAAATGCTTATCTTCCATACGAAAAGCTTTCAAAGAACATCAAAACAGTGAAAGACAGGTTTGTTGATATATTGAAACGCAAATTTCATTTCAAGGACATTGACCCGATTATATTTTAGGTTGATATCATAAACATCATTAATATCACTATTTGTTTGTAACGAAAGTCATGTGCATTGATCAGATATGAACACGTCGCACTCTCTTATCAATTAGAATACAACTTTCAATTGGATTCCACCTTCAATTTAGTTTTCTAAAAATTGAACATTCGTGTGTCATGAGGCTGAAGCAAACATCAGCGCGTTGTAAAGTTTTGTGACGATCAGAGAAAAGAGATCATAAGATATTAGGCGAGAGATAGAATGGTCAAACTAAACATTTAGCCAACGTTCTTTAATCGGAGATAGCATGGTCGTTCTTTGCTCAGCATGGAAAATTTTCTGATAATAGTTTTAAACTTTGAGCTCATTTCAAAATACTCTGATACAATAGATATTTGCGAAATTGAGAAGGAGATTAGTTATTGATTTTCAGACTTAAGCGGCCACTTACTTTGTCTGAGAAGATTCTTTATTCTCATTTGGACAACCCACAAGGTCAAGAGATTGAAAGAGGAGTTTCGTACCTTCGTCTTCGCCCGGATCGCGTTGCTATGCAAGATGCCACCGCTCAGATGGCCATGCTCCAATTCATCAGCTCTGGACTTCCAAAGGTCCGACATTAGCTGCAATTAGTTTTAAAAAACATAGATTTTTTTACAGACAGCTGTCCCATCCACCATCCACTGCGATCACTTGATCGAAGCCCAGAAGGGGGGACCTCAAGATTTGGCGCGCGCTAAAGATTTGAACATGGAAGTCTACGATTTCCTCTCATCCGCTGGAAACAAATACGGAATTGGATTCTGGAAACCAGGATCTGGAATTATCCATCAAATCATTCTTGAGAATTATGCTTTCCCAGGACTTTTGCTCATCGGAACTGACTCGCATACACCAAATGGAGGAGGTCTTGGAGGACTTTGCATTGGAGTCGGAGGTGCCGACGCCGTCGACGTTATGGCTAACATCCCATGGGAGTTGAAATGCCCAAAGGTTATTGGAATCAAGCTCACCGGAAAGCTCAGCGGATGGACATCGGCTAAGGATGTTATCCTGAAGGTTGCCGATATCCTTACCGTCAAGGGAGGAACTGGAGCCATCGTTGAATACTTCGGACCCGGAGTCGAGTCGCTCTCGGCCACTGGAATGGGAACCATTTGCAACATGGGAGCTGAAATCGGAGCTACGACCTCGGTCTTCCCATACAACAAGAGCATGTACGACTATTTGGTTTCGACTGGACGCAAAGACATCGCCGATGAGGCAAGCAAATACAAGGACTTGTTGACCGCCGATGACGGTGCGCATTACGACCAAATCATCGAGATCAACTTGGACACTCTTGTCCCACATGTCAACGGACCATTCACCCCAGATCTTGCTTCCCCAATTGATAAGCTCGGAGAGAATGCCAAGAAGAACGGATGGCCATTGGATGTTAAAGTTGCCCTAATTGGATCGTGCACCAACTCTTCTTATGAGGATATGACTCGTGCTGCTTCCATTGCCAAACAAGCTTTGGATAAGGGATTGAAGGTAGAATACATTTTTGTAATGTTTGCCTTTGTTAAAATTTTGATTTCAGGCCAAGATTATGTTCACCATTACTCCGGGATCTGAGCAAGTCCGTGCCACCATTGAACGCGACGGATTGTCGAAGATCTTCGAGGAATTCGGAGGAACCGTTCTTGCTAACGCTTGCGGTCCATGCATTGGGCAATGGGATCGTCAGGATGTCAAGAAGGGAGAAAAGAACACTATTGTCACCTCCTACAACAGAAACTTCACCGGAAGGTAGCTTATAATTTTGGTGGAGTTTTAATAATATCGTATTTTAGAAATGATGCCAATCCAGCCACCCACGGATTTGTCACCTCCCCAGATATTACCACCGCTGTCGCTATCTCTGGTCGCCTTGACTTCAATCCACTCACCGACGAGCTTACCGCCGCTGACGGTATTGCTACTGATATATACAGGGTGTCATTTAAGTTCCCGCACAACTTTGAAGACGTATATTTCTGAAACTAAAAGTCCAAATCAAACGAGACTCAAAATATTATTTATCTATAGTACAACAAATAATTATCTATTAACTCTTTTCGATTCGGCCTCCTTTCGCAGCTATGACTTCACGGAGACGCTTCGGGTAGGATGTGACTGTGGTACGCAGGTATTCGATGGAAAGATTGTCCCACTCCGCCAGTAATGTCTTCTTCAGAGTCTCTACACTTGAGTGGGGTTTTGCGTTGACCTTCTCCTGCAAGACCCTATCACGGAAAAGTCAAGCGGTTTCAGATCTGTGGAGCAATCAGGCCATTCGGATGATTTGATGAAGTCGGGAAAATGGGTCTGGCACCACTCCTGAGTAGTTTTGGCAGTGTGGGCGGGTGCTCCGTCCCGCTGAAAGACCCATATCTGCCCACCGAAATGCGTTTGGGTCCAGGGCATCACATGCTTCTCCAAAATGTCCCGAACGTAGACTTTTTTGTTCATTTTCACTCCCTGATCCACGAAATCCTGGGGGCACATCCCGGTTGAGCAGATGGCACCGAAAACCATCACACTGGCAGGATGTGAGGCTCGATTAATTGTTTTTCCTTTCTCAGAAGCTTGCTGGGATGTCTGGGCAAGTACTCAATGGTTTTGTGAGTAGAATGCCGTCTCCACAGTGAATAGCTTCTCGTCGGAGAAGACAGTGACGAGATCTTGTCCAGACCGCGTGCGAGCAAGAAGTCGTTTTGCTTTTTCGAAGCGTCTCTGCTTGTTGACGGCCGATAGAATTGCCGCTTTTTGGACACGATATGGGGTCAGTACAAGCTTCGTTTTGACGATTTGTTCCAAAGCGAAGATGCTCATTCCCATGTCTGACGCTATCTTTCTCATGCTCCTGTGGGGGTTTCGGCTGATCCTCGATTTGACGGCGTTGATCTTCTGAGGAGTGGTTACTGAGACGAGTCTTCCTTGTCTGGGACGGTCACTGGTCGTATTTAGCTCCTTGAATTGTTTGATGGTGTCATAAACCGTTCTACAAGGCACACCGACCCGTTGAATGATGTCTCTCGGGCTCACATTTTGCTTATGAAGTTCGATAATGGAAGCGCGATGGATGTTAGCCTTCGCCGTTTCTCGGAAGCACATCCGAATGAGGTGAAACTTGGAAAGTAAGTAAAATATACCTTGTTCAATAAAAATAAATTGTATTGGTGTACGAAAAGTGCGTTAGCGAAGCTCTACATGGCGTCAAACTTTTGTGCGGGAACTTAAATGACACCCTGTAAATTGTTTAAAATAAAATATTCAGGATCCAAATTCAAATTGAAGCCACCAACTGGAGAACAACTTCCAGCTCGCGGATATGATCCAGGAGAGGACACCTTCCAGGCTCCAGCTGGAACTGGAGAGGTGAAGGTTTCTCCCTCTTCTCAACGCCTTCAGCTCCTTGAGCCATTCGACAAGTGGGATGGAAAGGATCTTGAGGACATGAAGATCTTGATCAAGGTTAAAGGAAAGTGCACCACCGATCACATCTCAGCTGCCGGACCATGGCTTAAATACCGTGGACATCTTGACAACATCTCGAATAACATGTTCTTAACCGCTGTCAACGCTGAAAATGGAGAGATGAACAAGGTCAAATCAGCTTTGACCGGAAAGTACGGACCAGTTCCAGAGACCGCCAGAGAATACAAGGCTGCTGTGAGATTTTTTAAATGTGAAAAGAAATGCTCATATTGGAATTTAGGGAGTGAAATGGGTTGCTATCGGAGATGAAAACTACGGAGAAGGATCATCTCGCGAACACGCCGCTCTTGAGCCACGCCATCTTGGAGGACGTGCCATTATTGTCAAGTCATTCGCCCGTATTCACGGTAATAATCGTATTAATTGAAGTGGGTTAATATTTTGATTTCAGAAACCAACTTGAAGAAGCAAGGAATGCTCCCACTCACCTTTGCCAACCCAGCTGATTATGACAAGATTGACCCATCTGATTCCATCTCGATCGTCGGATTGACCACATTCGCCCCTGGAAAACCACTTAAATGCATTGCCAAGAAGGCCAACGGATCAAAGGTATTACGTTTTGTCCTGTTTTTTGTTGGTTGTCAAGCTTTTCAAAAAAAATGACATCATTTAAATTCGATTTCTTTAAATAGAAATCCAAGAAAAACAAAGGCGTTGTTTTCTTTTTTGACTTTATGCATTTCAAGGTCGAAATTGTGCTCAACCATACGTTCAATGAGCAGCAGATTGAGTGGTTCAAGGCTGGTTCGGCACTCAATAGAATGAAGGAAGTGTTCGCGCAGGGAAAATAAATATGAGATTTTGATAATTGTGTTTATTATTAGTCATTATAATATCCAACGGAGTAAATTTGATCAATTATGTCAAAGCTGTATCAATCACTTGATTTCGTTGGGTATTCACTTTGATTTCATCAATTTTAAGCGATGACTGATTCGATTCTTCTTTTTATTTGATTTTTTAATTGCATAGTCCTATTTTGCACGTTTCTCTGATATTAGATTTGGCATGAACGGAAATTACATAACGAATTTATTGTTTATTTATTTATATTATTATAACTATAATGCTAAAGACTTCGATTAATGATAACAGCGATAACGATGGCACTGAGACTGAGTCCGATGGTCTTGGGATGCGTTTTGCCGAATTGAACGACGCTGTCGATGATGGTTCGCGAGGGGCATGGCTTCGGTGGCAAAATGTCGCGTTGAGTAGTTTGTGTGACTTGGGCTTGTAGACTTGTGTTGGGATCAGACGGCACGCGAGTTGGCGGATTGACCTCGCCGAGATTGTCGAGCCAGCTGAAGAAAGAATTGGGGAATCGAGAAGAGGCGAAGCTGAACGGGGTTACTCTTTTTGCGATTCCTCGGAAGCGCTGTGATAGGAGATTTCGGGCACGTCGGTGGCAGGAATATCGCCATCCCTGTCGCGAAGCTGAAATACGCGAAGCGGATTAGAATGTTGAGCATCGAGGCTTTTTGTCGACTTTCATCTTTCTAAGCTTCTTGATGCGCCGCTGCTTGGCGACCGCCTTTTTGTAGGTCTTCTTGCTCATATTAGTCGGATCCATTCGATGCAGACGGATTTCGATTTCGACCGATTCAGATACTACTGTAAACGTGAGCCGAGCCCATCATGATGGCGGACGAACCTTTTAGAAGTTGAACAAAAACAGAAATGCGAGTTGACGTGATGAATTGGAGAAAAAAAAAAGAAAATAAGAAATCAATTTTAAATAACATCTAGTTTTATTCGAATTATTGAGGAGAGGAAAACGAAACATGAATAAATATGAACACAAAATGGGCGGGGATGATTTCAGATTCGTCGTCGTCATGAAAGGAATAGCAGCGCTAGAATTGTCGTCGGCTGCCGCGGTCGATAGAAGATCATTGGATGCGTGCGTTTGCGCATGAACGACGGACCGACATCGCTCATCTTGCGGCCTTGCTTTTTGTCTTTGGCCGGCTCCGATTGTGCTCTGAAAACAGCAAAATTGAATGTTCGGTTTTTTAAAATTCATTTTTCTCTCTTTCTCGTAATTTTTTCGACGTAAATCTAAAAATTGATTCGAATTCACTAAATTTCGAACAAAAAAACCATTGAGAGGAAAAAATGTGGGAATTTTTCGCTGCGAGACCTTGTAGTTTAGAGAACGCGTCTGACGTTGAATAATTATGGTTGCAGTGTTTTTTTTTTTTGGTGGGAAGCCAAACTATAGCTATTAATATTCGAAAATCAATAAATTGTGCAATCACAACCGCCTAAACTCTGCGGACTTGCATTTTAATCGACGCGCAACAAAATTTCAACGACTATGATTTTTTGCCAACTTACAGTGAATCTGTAATGATGCATGCGAAGAATAGAAGGAGCAGTATGAGGCGCCGTGTGGGCGCCATTTGTATTACCTGAAATTGGAATGAATCGTTGTTGTGCGGATTTGAAAGATTGTCGAAATGAAAGGCTTCGATGAGAAGCGGCACAAATCGAAAAGCACACTGAATGAAATGAAAGCTGGACATCAATTTTTGTTGGCGGTGGCGATTCTCTCGTTAGATTTCTTTTTTTGGAAGGTTGAAGGGGGCCTCTCTACATCCGAGTTCCATAAATAATAATTCATGCCCATTTTTTGATTGCTTTTTTTGGGAGGGGGGAGAAGAAGGAGGGCGATTTCTTTTTATTTTTTTGAAAGAATAAAATCAAAAAACCAAAACCTCTTTGTTTTTATCATCTGCGGACATTTGTCGGGGCTCACTAGTTGAGGTGTGGGCCGCTGATTTTTGAGGTGCTTTCTTCAACCCCCCCCCCAAGAGCCCGCTTCTTGAGCCGAAACACTTTGGGTTCAAGAACTCTTCAAACTAGTTCAAATGCCAAAAATTCGATTCGAAGTGGTACGGTAGGCAACAATTGTTAGCAAAAATGTGGTACTGTAGTGGTATGATATTGTCCGTGTGGAGTACACAGCGTCGTTGAATTTTGTGGCCGGTGGCCAATCTCGTCCACGGTGTCGATTTACGGAGAATTTTTGGAAAAATTTCAAGTCGTGCATTTTTTTGGCGCCTTTAAATCGCCATTTCTCTAGCCAGTGATGTCCACGTTGCCCTCTGTGTGTACTTCACGCGGACAATCCGACGCGAAACCGCCGAACGAAACCAATGACTCTCGCCATCTGCGGACGTCGTTCGAGGACAACTAGCATACCCAACGGGGAGAAAAAATAGTGGGAATGATGCGAATAATCGCTAATTTGATATTTCCGAAACGAATAAATCGGAACTATCGCGCGGCGTTTGGCTCGAAATCGACTTTCGAAACGAAAAATGACGTCTCTCTTTTTATGTGTGCGGCGAGCGGTACGTGCTTTTTCTCAACATCGTCATACTGTAGCCCCCTAATTATATTGGTGGGGGGGCAATTATGGAAGAGGGTGGAGAAACAGATAATAAAAAAAAGAAAACGGGACCACGATGGGTGTAAATGAGCAAAATAACAATTTACGCAAAGTTCAATCGACTGCCATCCATGAACTTTAGCGCTTCCAAATTTGGCATTTCCAATGAAAATTGCTGGATTCACACGCTTAGAATTGATGAATGTTCAATGTTATCCAGAGTACTGTAGCCATAGTTCCAGGTGTGTTAGACATCGAATGCGCAGTTAGCAATTTTCATGAAGTTTGATCTACTAACACTTGCAAGCACAAATTGCTTGATTGGTGCTTTTCGAGCCGCCAATTTGACTGCTCACACAGAGCTCAAATCGCGATCTCTGAAGTGCGCCGATCGCGGCGGAGCCGAGAATTGCTGAAGCAAAAAAAAGCTGAAACCAATCATCATAAATGTCGGCAAATATTATAATTATTATGCATTCGGGAGCCACACACAAATATATCAAACATCGTTTGAATAGTTAATTAAAAATAAATTTCTTTTATTTTCGTATTTGAAGTGCCACTCTTTGATGGTCCCACCCCAAAAAAAAAATAAATCTTTTTTGGCGGAGCAAATGAAAAAAGAAGCTCACCCCCTCGCTCTCCACTCAAATGATGATAATTATAGAGGAGAAGATGAGTGGGTGAATTTTCGAGGAATGCCGACCAAACAAATCCAGCGAACAAAAAAAGAACAAGGTAATTGGGGGGATATCGAGAGATCTAATTGTAATATCGTGATGAGACCACACTTAAAGGCGCGTTGCCACAAAGTTGACAAATTCACAAGAAACTCGGGAATCAAAAGAAATTCCATTTCCAACATCTGCGGACATTTTTCCGGGTTGGCGCCACAATCGCCAGCGTCTTGAATAATTGTGGACGACCATCGCACTTCTAATCGAGGCGGTAATTCAAATTCGAATTAAAATAGTGGAAAAACGGATACCGTACTCTAGATAGGCTGCGAATAAAACTCACCGTAAATCGGATTTTTGCGTATGTGATAATTATATGAAGCAAATAATAATTATAATCCAATTGGCACCGAATGCAATCACCTGTCTTTCGCCCCAAAAAAAACCGGCGTTCTTAGAAAATGAAAGGGGTAGCCGAGAATTGTTAGGCATTCGATGAGGACGTCAATAGGCACCTTATAAGGATGGTAAACAAGCAAGTAAGTACAGGACATGCATAATTATAGGAAATTTGATATTCTGAAAAAAGACCCCCCCAGCGGTTTCAGTTGAGTAAAAAATTTTCGACGAGTTTTCTGTAGGAAAAAAGAGCATTTTGAAGTTTCGTCCAAGAGGCCTGCTCGTTTTGGGACCTTAAATAGCCACAACGACATCAAAGATATCGTCAGGAAAGAGGCGGCTGTCTGCTGTTGTTTCGATGCCGCTAGTAAGTGGGTGGACGGCGGACCCTCATCGTTGAATGTAATCGAAGACAAATGAATTTGATTTCGCCGCCCGGTTTCCAATTTTAGTCGCGCAAGCGGACCACCAAAAATAGACATACTCTCAAACAACTATGATATCGATGGGCGGCGCATCCATCCTTCGTTTATTTTATTTCATTTTTGTTTCGCGTTGAACAAATACCGTGGGAAAGAGCGTAGGTTGAAGAAGTGCAACGTCTAAAAATCGAAAAATGAGCCGTCAAAACAGCACAAAGAAAAAGAAAAACATTTTTGTTTCCTTCTAGGGATAGGGGGGGGTGGAATGAAAATAATCGAATTTCTATTGAGCCATCTTCGACGGACCCGCCTAATTGTATTCCCTTTAAATACGAGAAATCCAATTCGTCAATCGAAAAATGACGATATTCCGAACTATTCAATCCGAAAATGGAATATCCTGGAGGCTAGCAGTTCCGTGTTGAAAATCGCGAAGCCAAAAAAAAAACGGCGGTGTTACGACGTTCCGTTGTAACACAACCTCTACTGTCTGTGTAATTCGATATATTCTCTTATCAAGTTTTACCACGAAAATTTAAGCAAGAAAAAAAATTGATGGTGGTGTTAGTTAGGTAGTTGTAATCAGAACGCGATAAATAAATGACGTTTCGTTTTTACCACCTGCAAATTTTTGAGACAAAAGTGCAAAATTATGGCAACATCAGAGTGAAATCAAACGTTTCATTCATAATAAAATCAAACCCTTGCAACCTTTTGAGCCATTATTTAAAAAAGAAAAAAAAGGAAAGAGCAATTTTGGCGGAAGATGGTCGCACAATTATTTTGATGTTCCAATTATAATTCGACAAATTTCGGATGGCTTTAATTAGGGTCTTAAAAAAAATAACAAGGATGGCCAAAATAAAAGAAAATAGATGGATGGCCAAAACAATACTCAAACGGGCACACCAACTATTCGCGAATGCTGACGTCGACAGCTCTCGGTAGTTCTTCGACACGCAATGGCGCGCGCGCGCCGCCGGGGGGCCTCTGAGGCGCAAAAAAACACACACACAACAACCTAGGGTTTTGTCAGCGCGTTAATCATGCACATCGCTAATTGTTTCTTTTTATGGACGTTTGGACGGCGATTACTCGGACGACGATGAAGAAAATACATTTTATTGGTTGGAGACGAGAATGAACCATTCGCCAATCAAAATAAGAAAGAAGAAGGCCACGATTTGCATTGATGAGGCGATTTCTAGCACGCGATCAGCGGCACAACGACCATTTCGCGGTCTTGTGGGCGTTCGAACACCTTCTTCGCGTCGTTTTCCTCTTGCGCCGCCTGAAAAATGCGTGGAAAATGAATTGCGACGCGATGGTGTGTGCATTCATCCGACGCGCCATTGCGTACACCGCGCGCACACCGTAACGCAAGCGTTGATAATTCGAACCTGCGACGTGAGAATGAGCAAGTTGTCCGTTTTCTTTTCGCCGTTCTGACGAAGCACGTCGATTTTGAACGTTTCGCCGGGTTCGACGAATCCAAACACCGGCGAGACGCGGTAGAGCATATTGTCAGAGCATTTCACCTGCAAAATTGAATCAAGACGAGCCCAACCAAAAGAAAAGAAGAACTACCTTGAACGCTTGTCGATTGTTCGTGCTGTTCGCGATGTTCACCGTTTGAATGCCGCCATGCGGGTCAAACGGCAGCTTGTCGGGACAGGTGCGCATCGTTGACGAGCGAGCTGAAAACGACGGCTTCAATCAAACGCTTCAATCAGATTCCGATTTCTACTAATAGTCGGCCTTGGCGCGACGCTGCTACCACCAAAAGTGTAGTGCGACTCATTCGGAACGTGCTGAAGCACCGACGACTCCTCAACCGACATGGATCCGGTGGCCGACTTGACCGCTCTGAAATCACCAATGCCAATTGTGAACCATTGAGAGATATATTTTTTTTTACTTGTTTTGCGCGCTGGGCTGCTTGGTTTGCGATTTAGCGGAGGAGGCGGCCTTCCTGTTCGACTTCTACAACAATAAAAAAACACACATCGTGCTAATATTACACCAAATTTGGCGAAAGTAAAAGTGACGATGAAATGATATTTAAAGAAGCCGGGATGATGGAAATCCCCAAACCATGGTCGCCTCAACACCATCATCGAATCATGTCGCCTTGTCGGCGAACGTCATCTGCGGCGTCGCCATTTTCAGCACGCTCATCTACGTCGGCGTTCTCTACAACACCATCAACAACTTGTATGATGATGTGTTTGAGGATATGGCCGAGTTCAAGGTTGGTGAGCTTCATTCACACCTCCTCATTTTTCTATTTTAGCATTTCGCCAATGATGCTTGGAACTCGATGGTCCTTATCAATCGTCCGCAGCTCGGCGGCGCTCGTCCAAACTTTGACAGCTTGTTCGGAAGAAACAAGCGCTCGGGTGATAGTTGCAATTGCGGACCACAGCCGTCGAATTGTCCGCCGGGACCACCGGGACCGCCGGGAGCGCCGGGCGATGATGGAGACGATGGCGCGCCGGGACAGGCGGGACCGAATGGCGAGGATGGCGTTGCCAACGTGAAGCCGTATGAGAGCCCCGATTGCATCGCGTGCCCGGCTGGCGAGCCGGGACCAAAGGGACCCGATGGGCCGGCGGGACCAGCAGGAGCTGACGGGCAGCCAGGACAGCCGGGAGCTCCGGGCAACGATGGGCAGCCGGGCGCGGCGGGACCACAAGGCGACGCGGGAGCGCCGGGAGCCCCAGGAAGCGACGGACAGCCTGGCGCCGCCGGACAGAACGGAAAGCGAGGACGTGGAGCGCCGGGAGCGCCAGGACCACAGGGACCCGCCGGAGCGCCCGGACAACCGGGACAGCGCGGAAACGACGGCGCGCCGGGACAGCAGGGACCAGCGGGACCCGCCGGCGCCGACGGACAACCGGGACAGTCGGGCGCCGATGGTGAGCCGGGAGCCGATGGTGGCAACGGCGAGCCGGGAGCCGACGCCGCCTATTGCCCGTGCCCGCCGCGCACCGGCGCCGTCGAGGTGCCGCCGGCGAGCAGCCAATACGGACGCAGACGCGTTTTCTCCAACTAATTGCCCTTTTCAATGTTTTTTTTTTGTACAAAAGAGAAATAAATTTTTGATACCGCTGATTTCGTTGTTGATTTCTTCGATGTCTCTTTCGAGCTCTTCGATTTTGTGCTCTTCTTCGAGCTCTTTGACGACGTCTTCTTCTGGCTCTTCCTCGACGCGCCGCTCTTCTTCGACGAGCGCCCTTTTTTCGATTTCGCCTCTCGCGTCGACTGACGCTTCTGGAAAGCGATGATGATCGAGAGAATTGATTGATCCGATCGATTACCGTGTCGCGATTGCCCGCCGAGCACGAGGCGACGACGGCACCGATCGTCGCGCCGCCACCGATGATTGTTGCCACCAGCGAGATCATTGGAATTTCAATGGCCGAGGTGTGATGAGTGTTGAATAACTAGTTCAATTCGCAATTGTGCCGATTTTCAAATTGACTCGCAAAATGAGCAATCGCGAGGGGAGGTCGCCGAAAAACGTGCTCCACATTCGCCAAAAAATAATTCAACAATTTCAGCGTGTTGTTGAAATGTCCGCAGCTGATTTGAATCGATAGCAATTTGTGCGCGACGAATTCACTCACTCAAAATTGAAATGAAATTTTGAAATCGGAAAAAAAAATTTGTTGGGATTCGTTCTTATCAATCGCCGCAAATTTTCTCATCAATCAAAATGAACCGATTTTTCGGTCTTCGTTTTTTTTTATTATAAACGATTTTTTTCCCATTGAAATCGGCACCCACCGCTCATCGACTAATTGAAATGTCCTCGACGTTTTTTTTTTTTGACTGTCCGACCCTCGATGTTCGAGTCGATTCGCGCCCATAATTACGCGTCGGCAAAAAGCAAAATATATCTCAAAAATGTCCCCACCAGTCCGGATTATGCCGTCCCCTCGATTTTCTAGGTCAAGAGCGCGTTTCTCGTGTGTTTACCATGCTTCCAACACCCCTCCTCCTCGCAACAAGTTTAATCGAAAACCATCTGCGGACATTGCTCGAGGTTCCGCATTATGTCCGCAGATGGAAATGTTCATTTCTCGAAAGCGAGACCGTCGACGAAAGAAAACCAATTCGCGTTCGAAACCAAATTAACTGTGTGTGTGTGTGTAACCCGCGATGAGAAATTCCGAAATAAAAAAAAAGACCAACAACGAGAATTCCGGGCCGACCAGTCCAGTGGGAGGGACAGTAATTAGCGAATTTGGTGCGCATCCATGTTTGTATAATCCAATATAATTATGGAATCGAATGGGTCAATGGTGGATCCTGTCCGATTCATTTCATTCCTTCCGCCTTCTTCTTTTTTTTTCTCGTCCCTCGGTGTTGTTGTTATTTGGGCATATCATTGAATTTCGAGTGCCTTTTTGTTGTTTTCTCTTTTTTTTTGGAAATCCACGGTCCGCCGCGCAACCAACCGCGCAACGATTTGCATACGCATTCATATATAGATATATTATATATTATTATAACCATGCATGTATATTGATGCGCCCCACATTTCAGAATTCTAATCGAATTTTTATGCGGCATGACACATGAAAATTCGATCGGTTTCGTCTTTCACAAACCCGCCCACCATTTCTTCTTTTTTTCGCCGAATTTTTAAGCTTCTTGCGTTAATTGGTTCGATATCGTGCTAGCTTAGAAGGGATTTTGAAGATGACTAAACCCCGCAATTTGTGAGCAGAAACCATATATTTAGGCATGTTTAGAATTGCCATTTGAACATTCCTTTTTTGGCATTTTGAACGAGACTGGTGACTTGAATAGTATTGCAAAACAAAAATGGTTTCGATGGGGATTGAACCCGGATGCAAAACGCCCATGATCTTAGATTTTCTCCACTGCGCCACCACTGAAGTTGCTTGCTGGGTTGCAATTGGCTAATATGCATTGACACACCACATTAAATAAAGTTTTTGACTTCTTGAAATTCACTCAAAAATTTTGACGAATAAAACTATTAAAAGCAAATATTTAGTGACCAAAGTCACTATTTCATTCAATTTTATTCCCACAGCAAAAAAAAACTGGGAAATCTTTATAGATATATATATATATTTGGTTTTCTCGTAACCCAATTTTGTATCCATTTTTATTATCCATAAATTATTAATATTCCACCTGTTCTTTATATGCAGGTGGTTACTTATTTGAATAATCAATAAATCGCCGCTAATCCGCTTGTTTTTCTCCGAATCGGTGTGCAATTTTGACCGGTATTGCGGGGGATCTTCTTAATCCTCGCCGACCAGTCTCAAACGATCAATTTCCTTTTTAAGAAGTCACACTTAAAATTAATCCGTCGTGCAAAAACGCCCGTCGTCAAAATTTAATAAATATTTTTCAATTTTCTTGCCCTCGTGTTTTGTATTTTTGCTCATTGACGTCAATTTATTTCTTTGCTAGTTTTACTCATTTTTTTTTCGCCAAATTTCATTTAGTTTGTTGATTTGACATGTTTAGGGAAAATTTGATTTAATTATGGTGGTAAAGTTCTTTGATATTAGACACTGATCATTGGTGGATTTCTGAGAAATATAAAAGTTTTGCAATATGCAGAGATCACTAAATTATTTTTCTGAGGCAATGAAGAGTAAATAAAAAAGAAAAAAATTGGCCGAAAAGATTTATCTTTTGTTCCGCCTTACTTTTTTATTAATAAAAAATAATAAAGCAAAATATTTTGCATTGAAAACGATTGGATGCTCACCAATTCCTATATGCAATCTAAAAGGCACGCGTTGAGCTGTGGCTTCACAGATAAACGGCGGCATAGGCACAATGGAAGCATAGTGGAACGGCTGTGGATATCATAGGAATCTTATATGCAAGTTATATGGAAGCATAATGGAAGCATTTTTTTGCGGAACTGCGTGTTTCGTATATGGAATGAGCCGTATGCCTTCCATATGGGAAAATAAGAAAACAATTTGATTGCTGTATTCAAAATTTATTTCATATTAACACATTTATTTAATTTAAAATAAAAAAAACAACAATGAAATGAATTTCAATTAAGATATAATCAAACCATTAGTTACTGGCAACTGCCGAACTATTCGAATCATTGTCAGTACTGACATCGAGCGGGACGCTGTAATAAGTAGATTATAATGGGCCTATTAATTTGAAAAACTTGTAAACCATTGTTACGTAAACTAAATTTTTCGAGAAAATACAATCAGTTTTTTTACATCAATAATTTTCTTAAAAATAAAAATAATTTATTTTTATTGCATTTTTGGAAACCCTTTAGTGCACAAAATAAAAAGTGAATTGGCGGAAGAATGAACAACTCCAAAATTTGAAGCAAAAAGACATTTTGGTTAAAATTTCAAAGACATATGAATACTCACATCTGAGGGTTGCTGGTAGAATCAAGCAGCTTCATTAATTGCGCCGCGAGCGCTTCCGGCGCTACACCAAATTTCCTTTGAAGTCGTTGGCGCATTCTATCGCTTAATCAAATAAATAAATTAATAGTCATAGTTCAAAATCTTACAGAAGATTATCCATGACTTCTCGAACCATGCGTAATGCTTTCGCTTTGAAGTCATTTGTCGGTTGTTGCCCAAAGCCATGGATAAGAGCATCTGTAATATAGATATTTGCAATAAAGTATAGGATCTTTATATAGTCGGCGTCTGGCGACTTCTGTACTAGAGCCCCACTTAAAAAGATAAATGCCACTGAATGATATTGGTACGAAGGCTGTACGGCAATCGGAAATTTCGGCGATTCGGCTAATGGCAAATTACCGATCGAAATTTTCTTCGGCAATTTGAAAAACCGGCAATTTCGGCAATCGGCAATTCCATTGCCGCACAGCCCTGATTGGAACCAAATAATCAACAAGCTTTAAACTTAGGAAGTACTTTATAAAGACTTCATTGCGCATATTTTTCTAATTTAAACCATTTCTGGAGTCGAACAGGCCAATTTTTGATGATAACAACTTACAAATTGCGCGTACGAAGGTTTAGGAATTGGCGTTGATTTTGTTGTTTGTGAGGACTGTGGAGAAAAATTTTTTTGCTGAGTTGGCGAGTAAATTGGACTATCTGGATCTGAAGTGTCGAGCGAGTTTGGTTCCATGTTAGGGACTTCTGGTTCTTTGTTATTGACTTCTAGAGCAGTTTCAGTTATATCTGACAACACTCTCGATCTTGTCTTCATCTGTAAAAAATTTCAAAACATTATGTTTTATTAAAAGAAAAAAGCGAGCGATAATAAAAAATATGTTAAAGTAAATAAAAATAAAACGGATTCGATGAGAAATTAAACACAATTCGATTGAGAAAATATTTAAATTCGATTTTAAAAGTGTCGGAAACGATTTGAAAACATCGTATCGATTTTAAAATTTTCGAATGCTATCAATTTATTTTTGGTTTCGATTTTGATGATAAATATGAAAATTTTTCCTTTATTTTTTAAAAACATTTTTCCTTTAATTTTGAAAAAAATTCTTTAATTTTTGACAAAAAAAAACACAAAAATCTTGAAAATTCATTGAGAAAAAGCAAAAGGACAAAAATTTTGAAAACGAATTTCGAAAATGTGAGGCGTGGCCGCATTGTGCAAAGCGGCGCACGGTTTTGCAATGCTGCGGCACGCCTCTTCTACGCGCGTCTGCTACCAGTTTGGAGCAAATTGTGAGTAGTTTGCGATGCCAATTTCGGAAAAACCGGCAAAAATATATTAATACGACTAAATTGTAGTTGGCAATCTTTAAACAAAGTAAGGAACAGTTGACTGAATTAACATAAATCTGAGTAACATAAGTCATTAAATGGTAGAAGCTAAATTTCGTCCGTTGTGTATCATGTAATTTTCAAATTTTCATTGTTTATATGATAGCATAAGTTTTTTGTATTGATTTTTCTAGAAATTGTCTTGGTCTGCCGTCCAGACGCCAATTGTATAATGTTTATTGACATATGATTATTTTATCCATATTCCATCCATATTTGTTCCACGGCTCGCAAACACCGGAAGCATATTCATCCCGTTTTCATTCCATCCATATTCGTCCCATAATTCTTCCACAGCCACTAAGAATTACATTATGCTTCCTATATGGAAGCATTATGCTTCCGTTCCACAGATTTCCCACAATGCTTCCATTATGCTTGCGTCGCGCTTAATCAGTGTTGGAGTAGTGGCTAAAAATTATTTCTTCGGTTTTGCCATTGCGGGTTCAACCCCTCAACGTTAGCATTTCGCTTTTGCCGTCTTGAACTCCAAAATTGAACTCGCGCATTCAAGAAAAATTGCATTTCGCTTTAATGGAGCACTTCAACATCATTTTTGATGAATTCCGAATTTCTCACATGGCTCCTATATATTGTTTTTTTTTTCTGAGAGGAAAAAGAAAGAAAAAAGTTTCGCCCGAGTAGGCGGCTCATTGCATTTCTCAGAAAATACTGTGTTCAATGAATAATTCATGCAAAATTTTCCGCGGCCTTTGATTCCCAATCGTCATTCATTCCTGTCAAATTCGAACCTTTTTTTGGCGGCTGACTCATCTCACCGATGAGCACGAACTCGATGAACTCTCGTGCTCCGTTCTAATCTTTTAATTTTCCCATTGATGGGATTTTTGCACTTTTTGTTATCAAATTCCTCGTTTTCCGAGAAAAAAAGTGCAATGGGCTAAAAACAAAACCAGCGTAAACACGGAGTATCGTGATTTTTGCCAACAATTGAAATTCGAGCATCGTTAGTGTTGGTGAGAGGCCCCAATTTCAATTAAGAGGGTCCGAATCCAATTAGGGCATCATACTCGAATTGTTGACACTCGATGAGAGCGAGAGTCTCTCTGTATGCATGTGTACATGCCAATTGCCAAATTTGGAGAAATGGGTCGACGTCGATGGTGCGCGAGCATCACTAGGCGAGCGAGAGAGAGAGAGAGAGAGAGAGAGAGAGAGAGAGAGAGAGAGAAAGGGACCCTGCACAGCTGATATATCCAACAAGAAATCGATTTCGGGCGGTAAGCAGGCAGCGGACGAGAGGCGGTGGGGGGGGGGGGGCTCTAGGAGCACCGCAACGAATTCTCGACGCGAAATATTATTGGCGAGACGAGCCGCTTAGCCACGCCCTCTTCGCTTTCCACTCGTCTTTGTGACTCCTTTTTGAATACTACTAGTTATTTCGAAAGGCTCGTCGATGTTCCCCCAATTTTATAAGGACGCCCCACGATTATGTGTGAGCCTGGACCCCCAGCCGCCTTCGTTCTCATCCCTTGATTTTTGTGCTATCTTTTTTTTTTTCGCCGGAAAACATGTTTTTTCCTCTCGTTTGTTTTGCAAGAATGTTAGTGTTGTTTGGAATTGTTATGAGATTGCCAATTTGACACAAGGCTTCGAGTTTTACTGTTTCATCTGCCACCAAATTCGCAATTTGCCTTCGATTTTTTTTTGCTCTTTTGAGCTCATAAACCAATTTTCCTTGGAAGCATCGTTAACCCCGAGAAAACGGATTGCCATGATGTATGTAGCGAGAAGAAGATTCGAGGAACATGACATAATGGCTAGATTTAATTAGGGTAATTCGCAGTGATGTAACGTCCGCAAACTGTCGTCATTGTGTATGAAGACAATTGCGGCGCCTCGGCTTCTATTTTTTTCCATCCTCAATTTTTCGTTTCATATTTCTCGAAATTGCCTTTCGCTTTCACAATTTGAGCATTGAACATAAAAATTAATTATCGTTTTGGTTGAAATCCGCCGGAAATTGATATTGTCGTTGTTGTCGAATATCGCATCTAATATTGAACAAAAAAATAATTTTTTTGATTCTTTACTATATAAATCGTCAAATTTGCAGGGTTTCCGGGGGCTCTTGGCCGGCTTTGTCATTTTTTTTCGGGCATGCATTCCGGAAATCTCCCCGACATCATCATTCGTCTCGTCTTCGCATTGCTCATGCGATTTTTGCAGAATGGCGGCGTCGAGGCCACAATTCTACCAAACGTTCGTTGCTATTTTCGTTTTCTGCAATTTGGTGTCGCCGGTGTTTGCACACTGCAAAAATTGCCGGCCTCACCTTGCTTGAGAGCCACCAACCCCCCCCCCCCCCGCAATAGAAAAGGCCACGCGGCAGCCCTTTCGCAATTGTTCAAACGAGCTCGCGCTTTTCTTTTTCCAGTGGAAAGCCGACTGCAATGGCCAAATGCTTTTGGGGACACTACACGGCACCGCTCAGGGCACCTATTTGAGTCTTGGACCGGATGTCGATTATTGTACATCGGGTAATCTTCGAGTTTCGCGATTCGTTCAAAATTCCAATTTCTTTTTTTACAGAACCCGAAATGTCCGGAAATAAATTTTATCTATGTAATGATTGCGTCATGAAATGTCCGGAGAAGGTCGTTGAGGCACCGGAATCCCTTCTATTCATTGCTGATGTTGAGCCACCAAATTCCAGGGTACGGTAGCCAATAAGTCTGCATTTGCGCGTCATCGCCGTGCACACATATTTTGAATTGGTTTTTTGAAAATCGCCGATTTTTTTTTCCAGCTGAAATGGTTCACGATTCACACTCCTGTGGCGAACCTCGCTGACTTTGCCCAATGCCAAATGCTCGGTGTAAGAATATAATTGGAAACGTGACATTCAAATAGTGAGCCATTTTCAGCAGAATAACACCCTCGCGGCGCCGGGCACCGAGGAGACGTCGACGGACGCGCTTCGCTCGTTCTCAAAAACCTCCGTGCTGTTCGTCTCGATCTCATTTATCATTTTAATGGTCATTTCGCTTGCCTGGCTTGTGTTCTATTATGTGCAACGGTTCCGTTACGCGCATGCCAAAGATAGATTGCAGAGAAGGTGACTGACAACTTTGCTTTCTTCGGCTTTAATCGTTTTTTTTCTAACCAACCACCCCCCCCCGAAGATTGTTTTTCGATCAACACCAGAAAAAAAACATGAAAAATCGAGTGAGGGATGGGGGTTTTTTTCCGGCGTGCGCGTTAAGCTTTTCTAACCAACCCCCTTCAATATACTTCAATGCGTTTCGTTTTCTATTTTCAAGCAAATATCAAACACCACTGAGAAATGTTTTTTGCGAAGGCAAATAACGTATAATTCAACATATACCATAAATGTGAATTTGTTGTGCAAAAACAATTGGTTGCGGAAATTTTCAGATCAGAAATTGCGCGCGAAAATCTGGGGGGAACGTCGAAAAATGTCTGAAGACCCTTCGAACCGCTTGATTATAATTCTTACAAATTTTGTAGATTATTCAACGCTGCGCGAAAAGCGCTCGCGAGAATCCCAACGAAGAGCATCCGAAGTGGAGATGAGGAGCTTCAAACTGATTGCGCGGTTTGTCTCGATCCTTACCAACTACATGATATTGTTAGAACACTCCCTTGCCGGTTAGATTCTCAAAAATGTGATTTCAAGATCTATTCGTTGAATTTTCAGACATGCCTACCACAAATCCTGCATTGATCCATGGCTATTGGAGCATCGCACATGTCCAATGTGTAAAGCCGACATTCTCAAATATTTCGGGTATCAGGTAATCAAAATTGAATTTTCAACAAATTTCAAACATATTCGTTTTCAGTATTATGATCCGGGAAGAACCGAAGATTTGACGGGTCGCGTCGAAATTGGTGATCGCGAACGCGAGCGCGTCATACTGCCGAATGAGATCGTGTCGCCTGAAGGCTCGTCGGACTCTTCCGATTCCAATGGATTCTCATTCGACCATTCCGAACATGTTGAATCGTTCGCGTTCACACCATCAGTCCCACCACAATTGGTGTTGAATGCCGCCAATGCCAAAACGTTTCGTCCAATGTCGAGTCGCGTCGGCTCGGCGTCATCGATGACGCCGACGTCGTCCTCATCGACAAGCCATGTTCCACCGCCAACCAGCTATTCGGCGAGAGGTTTGTTGGACGCATCAAATAGTGCAATGAGTCATATTGGGTTTAAAGGCGCACGCAGTGGCTCGCATGAACTCTCAACATCGCCTCAGCGGCTAATTCGCACTTCTGCGGGTTCATCAGGATCACAAGGACAAATTGTGAATTTGGTTCAAGTAATAATTAAAATGCAAGATTTGCTTAATCTTATTGTAATGTACTTGAAGGTCAAATCGAGGGCAGCCTCTGTTACCCGCGCGGCGACGATCCGCAAAGAATCTGTTCCTCCCTACGGACCATCAAGCTCCCAACCAACCCCAATAGATGTTTCTTCTGATCGCCCGTCGACTTCAACCAGCACCCAAGTCGTCTAAAGCATGCAATAGAATTAATGCTGCGGGTTTTACAGTAATATTGAAATTTGTTCATTCTCGTTTTCCTTTCGGGTTGCCTTTTTTTGTTTTTATCTGTGCATAATCTAATCAACTCATAATATTTAATACAATCAAAGTATTTCCATGATCTCGCATTCATTTCTAGATATTTTTAATATTACATGTAATTTAATTGCCAACAATTTTTAAAAACTGTAATAAACAAATAATTTATTTCGGCGCAAATGTGATGAATTTTTGATCGGGTTACGGTAGCTTTGGGAAAAGTTCACAAGCGTTGACGACGTTTTGCGTACTTCACTGATATTCTGGCCTCGTTTTTATTTTTTAGTATTGAATTATTTTTTGAATGTTTTCTGTTTTAACGCGTTTTAAAGGCATCAGACATTAGAATTCTATTGAGGAAAAACATTCGCAATCATAACGTATTCAACTAAAATTGTTGCATTGTTGTAGAACGTGACGAAATATTGTTGATTATTAGGCCCTAATGAATTTTCCAGCTGCGATAATTGTTGATTGCATTTCGAATAAATAAAATAGGTTTTTGTGCAGAACCGAAAATTTGCATTTCCAGTTTTTTTTTTCTGTCTTGTTTTCTATCATCTAATTTCATCGATTTGCCATTCTGCTTTGTCCTCATCTGAAAGCGCGTGATTCGTATTTCTAGTAATGGGCAGCTTCACGAGAAAGCGCGCGTTGACGAGTGAGCGCAGTAGGTTAGAGGAATCGAAAGAATGCGCTTGGTGCCGAGATGGCCGAGGCTCCGAGACGGCATGGTTCCGTTTTCAAACCGATCTTTTTTTTTTGAACAAAAATTTTTGTCAATTTCAGCTCCTCGAAAATGAATAGAGGAGACAATTATGAGCACGATGGCAAAAAGTCGGAATATAGGAATGGTTTGCGTTGAACCCATGGTTCTCTCTCTCAATCTCTTAAATGTTTCGTTTTACAGAATTGATTCCTAAAACCGAGGCATTGGGACATACATGGGTTGATCATCCCGATTGCCCATATATGGGAGGTCCTTTGAATCTTCCCGGATATCTCTACGTGCCAATACAGAACAAGTATTATAAGTATAGTCCCAACATGTTTGGAGTAATAGAATTTGCCAAAAATAAACGCTCGAAAAATTGCCCAATTAATTTCTAGATGAACTTTCAAATTCCGCAAGAGTTCTATCCGAAAGTCCACGTGGCGCCGCAAAGATCGCCGGCTTTCAACGCTCAACGCCGACATCGTCCAGTATTTAAAATCGTAGATGGTTTCGATTTCAAGATGACGCCAAATTCATCGTGAAATAATTTCAGACTCGATGCTCGGTCGAGGCAATCCGCTTCGCGATGAGTGTGAGCTTCTTGAGAAGCAAGTTGCCAATTGTCCCTCTGAACCATCATTTTCCATACGCGTATGTGTGTTTTTTTTTAAATATTGAACAATTTGAAAAATTTGAATTACGCAGACTGCTAAAGCAAATCGATTGTGCTTTTTCATACATTCTAAGGATAAAAAAATGGGACCAAGTACAAATTAAAAAAAGATTTGCTAACCAAGCAATTATAATTTTCAAAAAAAATAGCTATAACAAACTTTTATGGATATTGCAGTTCGTAGGAAATGATTTCAAATATTTTTTGTTGCTTTCAGACCCCTGTGGAAGTCACATCGCGTGTGTTGGGCTGCGAGTTCCTCACGTTCACCGAGGATGGCACAAAAATCATTGGAGGATTCGGCGCCGGACACACCGAAGACACCAAATCGGTTCGAGAATACTCGGTGATCTACGTCTACGATGTAAATTATGACGACTATTATGCAAAGTTGGGCGAATCATCTCTTGCAATTTCAAACTCGACCATTTTTTTTAGGGAAGAAGCGGCGCGCAAAGACGCCAATAAAGATCCGATGCATACCGGATTCAATACGATGGGACTCACGATGAGCATTGCCGAGAATCTAGAGAATTCGTTGCACGAAGCGCCGATACCGGACAACTCGATATGGAAGTTTCGCGAGTTTCTTGTCGATCAGACACTCGCGCAAATTGATAGCGAAGTCGTCACACTGCTCACCGTCACCACCAGTGATAGGTAATTGGGGGTGGGGGCATTATGGATTTAAATTGAAAAAAAAAGTGAGAACGGCGAAATTCCAGAATGGATCCATATGGTATTGTCATGTCGACGGTACGAGTTACAATGATGCCGGTTCAGCCGATTTCGGATCCGCACAGGTGAGTGAGGTGTCGAATGGAATTTCGAGACGAATCGCGTTTTTGTTTCAGCTGGGATCAACTTTGCGCACCGATCTACAACCGCGTTTGGCGCAATTCGGGACCGATTTGGAGTATTGGCTGGAATTCGCCGAAAATGCTCTACGGATTCGGTTCGTTTTCGGTTGATGAGCTGAAGAAAATTGAGCGCCGTTTATTTTTTCAGGCATGGAAAGCAATTTCATGTTCCAGGACTTTCTAACGGATCGCACGTTTTTCCTGTCATCACGCGGCAAAAATGTGCTATCGCACGCGTATTCCGAAGACGGCGAATTGGTCTACATGGGCCTTCGCGGCGACGATTTGATTCGATCGGATCTTCGCGAGAAGCGTGGTCACATCACTGGTCATTTGCGCGGCTCGAAATCGACGGTCAATGTCAAAGTGTTGGCGGAAACACATCCCGAATGTGTGCTCACTGAGATGTTTGGCGGAAATGTGGGTTGGAAAATATTAAAATGCAGAAAAAAATATTCAAAAAAATTTTGTTTGCTATTTTTCTTTTTCTCTTTTTACTGAAAAATAGAAAGAAATGTTAATAGCTCATGAATTTGCGTATTCAGATGAAATTGTGGGATTTCCGATGGCCGAAACGAGCGCTGATGACGTTTGATGGGCACGTTAATACGCATCATCGATTGCCGTTGTACATCGATCCGGCCGAGAATTTCGTTTTTGCGAGTAAGCTCAAAATTTGATGATTTCTTAATTTGTCGCTGTTTGAGGCGGAAGCGACGGCGACATTCGCGGTTGGTCGTTGAAGACTGGCGAGATGTTGTGCTCAGTGACGACGCCGCGTCCTGATTATGAAGGCAAAGCCTACTTCCCGCAGATTCTCTATTCGAACCGCTGGGGTGGACGCTATGGAAATTCGGGATTGGCGGTTGCTGTGGGAGACACGATTCGTATACATCAGCTAGAATTGTAGAGGTATAATTATTCATTTTTTTTCGAATGCAGATTTTGCAACAAAAAACTCAAAAAAGCGGTGTAAAGGCATCAAAAACTCAAAAAAAAACTTATATGGATTGCTCAAAAAACTAGTTTTTCTGAATTTTTCTCTCAAAATCTGTGTAGGACCATAACACATAAAAAGAAAAGCAAAGTGGGGAAATCGTTTTTTTCAAAAAAAAAAAACAAATTTGAAGTTTGTTTTACAATAAAACAACCAAATTTCACGAAAGCAATTGGAAAATTTTGGGTTTGACACAGATTTTTGAATTTTCAGGTTTTGATAGAGAAGATTTTGAATTTGAGAATCTTTTAAAAACAAATTTAGAAAAATTATAGAAAAAAGAGTTTTTGCGTATTTTGTGATTGAAAATCTGCATGATTTTTACAGATTTACCAAGGCAAAAAATTAAAAAAAAGGGAGAAATAATAATTTTTTCTTTTTTCTGCTTTGCCTTAAAAGGTTCGACAAGAAAATGAGTGAAATTTTCAGAATCGTCGTGGACTTCTGCTTCTAGTTTTCATTATTGTCTAGCTTCTTCTTATTATCCTCAATTAATAATATTTAAAGTAGCTTGAGTTTACTACTAATTAATATATTGAAAAAAACGTACACACACAAATTCATATCGAAAAAAAAAACAAACCCAGTGAATGTTAGCGGCGGGAAAATTGAAAACACATGAGAATCTCAACGAAAATGTTTTCCTGTCGACATTTGCGACAAAAAATGTAAATAATTGTTTGGCCATTCATGTGTGTAGTCAAAAAAAATCGCTGTGATTTTAATTGTTTCATTTTGCAAGCATTCTGCTCTCTTTTTGTTGTTTTGCTTCAATTTTTTAGGCCAGCGTTGTATATTTGTACTTTTCTTGTCACCATACCATCACAGAATCTCGTCGAAAAATGTCTCTCAAAAATATTGTTTCTTCTTTTTTTTACTTAAAAAATGAATAGTCAATTGTTTTAGCATATGTTGTTTTTTTCTTGCTGCAACCACGAAATTTTAGGTGCTTTAGAAAAATGCATCACTTCGAGAAGGTTGGCGCGAGTCTGGAATGTTTGAGAAAAAATAAAAAATTATTCGATTGTTTCTGGTGCACATTTTCGCCCAACCATTTGAATTTTTTGATTTTCAATTTTTCACGACAATTTTTTTCGAAATTACTTCTGCGGCCGCGGATTATTCGGCCATGCCACATTTCAAGTCCGCCAATTTTTTTAACTAAAAAAAATTTATTATATGTATTTTTTTTTAGAATGTTTTAACGATTTCTTTTAAAAACAAATTAATCATATGAAAAATAGTTAAATTAATTACATTTACAGATGAACATACATAAAATGCGATGTCAGGCTGCAATTTGATAGGTTTATGTTTGCAACTTTTGTTACCAAACAAGGCACTTAAAATTCACTGAAACATTATGCTTTTTTGTGTTTTGTTATTAAGAAATCGCAAAAATAGCTCTTAATGATTTGTTCCATACGAGACTCAAGGCGGGAATTCAAATATTTAAAAAATTACGTATTTCAATTTCGTCGATCTGAATTTCTCTTTATATGTTTGTTATCTTAGTTTACATAGAAAAATAATGTTATTCTCATTTTGAGACCTTCTTGTTTTAAAAAAATTTTTTAATGAAGTTTTATTAGGTTTAGAGAATAGTAAAAAGCGTGAATCATTAAAAAAAAGCAATTTCAAAGCCGTGAAAAACTAAAAATTAAAAAAAATTGATTTGTGCAAACCGGCTGCACCAGAAAATGTTTCAATTTTTTACAAATTAATCCGAATCCGAATAGCATGCGAAATAGTGGCGTTTGCCGGTGAGCTTCCACAACTTCTTCTTGATCATCTCGCGAAGTTTGTCCATTCCGAAAAAGTCGGACTCGCACTGCAAAAAAAAACAATGTTTGTCACTTCAATGGCTTTCGTTTTTCGTGCCATCAACGCTTCCAAGGTGAATTGGTCCCCGGGGAGACTCGTCGATTTCGCGTTGCGCATGTATTGAAGGACATGACGGAATAGAAGGCCGTCGCGGTCGATGTCGACGCGATTTTTGATGTGATTCGGCGAATGGTCCCAATTGACGCCGCGAACCTTTCAAAATCGTTTCGTTGGGTCTTGACGCGAACAATTTTTTTCGTGGCACCATAGGAATTTGAAATGCGCCGCCATGAATATAATGAAAATTGAGCGCCGCGTCGCGGTTGCGTCGCGGTCATCAGGGAAACCATAGACTTTCGAAATCTTTTAAAGGCGCATGCTGCTAGTGGAGTCTAGATCTTGCAACGATAATTGCTGGGGATTTGAAGAACAACACAAGCACTAATTGTGGACCATCGGAATTCTATTTTTATTTGCTGCGAAGAATTTGGTGTACCTTGATCGACGAGTCGCTAACACGGACCACATCGCGAAAATAGGTGCCGCAAGTCTCGGGATTCATAAGCGTTTTGATTTGAACCGGATAAATCTGAAATTGGATCTAAATTAATTGATCCATACATGGATCAAAAAAAAAACCTCGCCGCCGACGAACAAATTGATCCAGGCGTCTTCGGAATTGAACGAAATCTCGGTGTTGACCATATTTGGAAGAAAATAATCGAGTGGCAGCAGCTGCAGAAAGTAGACGAGAGAAAAAAATTGGCGAATTCGTTTATTCGCTTAATACGCTATAGAAAACAAAACATTGACAAGTGGTCCGTCCAGGCATAACACATACACACACACAGAGAGAGACACGCTGAAATAGGAAAAAAATTGTTTTTTTTTTGGGGAACCCAATGGTCCCTTTTATTTATTCGCGGGGGTTTTGCGGTGAAAATTAAAATGGTCTCCCAATCTCGGAGAAATGGCGATGAAAAATCAGCGACTCGTCGTCGGCCCGAATTCCCCCAATGGGACCACGATATACGCTGTGTTGGGGTTTTCTTTTTTTTTTTTCATCTGGTGCAAAACTACGCCATTTTGGTGAAAAGAGAAGGTTTTGCTCTCAATTTTTCTTCTTCCCCATTCTTTTTCTTCAAATTTTGCACAATTTTTTTTCTGGTGTTCGGAGGATTTGGGAGAACACGCGTTTTTTGAGAGGAAATTAATCTTTGTGTGGGCTTACAAAGACAAACGATGGCTGGAATTGTTCGACAATTGACGGGTGCTCTTTTGAGCTTGACGCAATGAATTGAAAAAATCAGAAGGAGAGGAAGAATCGAACGTTGAAAAGAATTGAAAATTTTGGGTTTGAATTGGCAAAGCCGAAAATCAACTGAGAACTGACGTCATTTGTTAAGATGAATACGTCGGATTAACTGTTTTGAAAGTTTATCAAGAGAAAAATGGCAAAATAATTGAGTTAAAACTTTAACACAATAAATAAAAAAATCTTACACTTCAATTTGTTTCAAATTGCTCTATGCGCCTTTAAAGGGTACGGTAGCTAAAAACGAGCGGATTTTTAAATTTTTCATGTTTTCTTTTTGCTATTTTCTTTTTTTTTTTAATAAAAATTTATCACGTTTATAATTTCAAATTGATTTGGAACTATTTTTCATTTCTTAAATTCCGAGAAATTTTATGCAGTAAGTCTTTTTGTGCTTCCATGGCATAAATTTCACGTAAATTTAATTTTTATTCCTCTTTGACATATTCAGCTGGTTCCAAGTGACAATCGACGGTTATTTCAATATTTTAAGCTTTATTGCCCATAGTTTTTGCATCAATTTCAAATTTATCTGTTCCGTGGCGCGCATTTGCTGCACTATTATGGCGGGATAACGGAAATGTTCAAATCTCTTCAATTTCCGCCTAATTTTTGCGCAATTTTGGCCTTGAATTTTGCACGTTTTTATAGTAAATGTACAGGGATACGTATTATATCAGATTTTTAAAATTTGTGAAGTTATTTTGCGTGTTTTCTTTTGCAAAAATGCGCGTTCGAAATCGGTCGTTGCCATAGAGATTATTATAATAAAACAACTTGCATTTTTCTTCACAAATCTTTCCATTATTTTCTTTCCAGACAACATGGAAGATAATTCGATCCTGATGGAAGACTCTTCCATGAATGGTAAAAAAATTTGGAAATTTTGAAAAATTATGAAATCGCCGTTTTCAGGCTCGGCGCCTCGAAAATCATTGTCCCAGCCCAGTTTGGCGACAGCGGACTCGACCGAGAAAAAGCGAGCGATTCATCGGCCCGTTTCGGGAACATTGTCGAATACGGCTGTCTCGGATGTTCGCAATATTCCGATAATTCAGACATGGCAGGAGAATGAGGAGTTGAAGGGGAAAATGTATGCGATGCGGGTAGGAATTGTGTCGATTCGCATCCGAAAATTCATCAAATCCTCAATTCTAGTGTGAAGTTCAAATGTACGTTCAAAAGTACAATACGGCGAAAGACGCGATGCACAAAAGTGTTCAAGAAGTTCTCGACGAATACGTTATGCTGAAATTGAACGCCGAAGAAGCCGAGGAAAAAATTGCCGAGTTTAAATCGCTTAATCAGGTTTTAAAATAATTTTTTTTTGAAAATTAATCAAAAAACGGCTGAAAATTGTAGGAATTGATAAGTGTTCGAGAGCAGTTGGCGGATTCGCAAGAGAAAATCCGAAAATCTGAAGAAATCATGAAGAAGGAGCGTGATGAGTTCGCCAAAAAGATTGCCGAGGTTGGTGCCATCAAAAATTGAACGTCATGCTCGAAATTTTTAGCTTGAGGAAAAGCTGAAGCCGCCGAGAACTTCGGGATTCAACCTGTCGACTAATGACACTCTTGGATCGTTCCGTCTTCCGAATACACTCGACGATGCATTGAAGCGCGATGATCCTGACTTCACACTGATCGGGCCCGACGAGAAGTGCACCGATTCGTTGTCGCCTCATGCGTATTATGTCATTTTCAGAAAATACATGGAGCTCGAGGACAAGTTCTACACATTGATGGAAAAGAACGCCGAACTCGAATTGTTGGTTCGCGATTTGCGCGATGAGCTCGACCAGAAGTCGGCGAGGCTCGCCGAGCTCGACAATCAGCACGCGCAGCTCATTGCGGCGTCAGGTGGCGGAATTTTGAATACGACCGACTCGAAGGTTTTTTTTTGTTAATTTTCGTTTTTGTGAACCCACAATTATAGACATTCGTTTATGGCGATGGCAATGAATCGACGAAAGCCGCTCAAATCGCCTACATCGACGAACTTGAGCAGAAGCTGAAGTCGTCTAGCGAGAATCTTGAAAGAACGACAACCGCTCTAGCGGTATGTGAGAGTCGACAGATATCACCCAATTGTTTTACCTATTCAGGATTACATGAATCGCGTTAGCAAATTGGAGAAGGAAATTCGACATATGAAGAAGAACACGACGTTCGATTCGCCGTCGATTCGCAACGAATTAACGCCGGATGAGTTGCGCGACGCCATCGAGAAGGCCAACTCGGAATTGAATGTGTTGAGGAAGGAGAATCGCGAGCTCCGCCAAAAATGCAGCCAATTGGTTGGAGGCGACGGGTTTGCGTCTCGAAGCGATTCGATTTGAGCCTGATTTTGGTTCCAGCAATGTCAGCGACTCGTTCGGACAATCGCGATTGTTTGCCGGCATCTCGCCGGCGGCTGCTGCTGCCGACGTGCACAACGTCTCGCTATCGCATCCCGCCGCTACACCGCCGGCGGATTCGTCGATGAACGTGAATGCGCCGATATTCCCGTCAGAGGCTGCTGACGACGACAGTGTCATGGACATGTCGTCGGTGCGCAGAATGGTTTTTGTTTTCTTCAAATTTGTTGAATTTGATTTTTTTTAATTGAAGAATGAGCAGGATAATGCGAATTTTGCTGCGGCTCTCGCCGAATTTGATAGCATCATGAAAGAGAATAAGCTCAACGATACCGCTGATAGTAATCGATTCGTGTTGTGACGCTTTTTGAAAGTTGCCTTTCAGCCACTGGCGATATTTCGATGCCGCCGCCGAATCGCATGACGACGGAATCGTTGTTGCGTGCCAAATCGGAAAAATCGACGCCCGAACGACACGGCGGTCATTCGAGAACGTCGTCGGCGGTCACAACGATGCCCGTCAATGATTTGGCGCCGAGGCGTTCATCGGTTTACATGGAATCGAAGAGAACGACGGTCTTCAGCGCCGAACTCATGCACGATGTTCAGCAGGTTGTGGTTTTTTGAATTCAATTCGGGGGATCATCAAAAGACGCTCCTACAGATTCTTGACTCGTCGGCGGCGCTCATTGACGGCGCTCACGGCGCCGCTGTCGACGTGCAGGGAATGCAGGAGAAGATGTCGTTGATACGCGGCGCGCTCACTCGCCTCTTCAATCGCCTCAAATCGTCGGCGGCGTTGTTCGAGGAGATTCTCGAGAAGATGGGCTCGAGTAGTCCGCTCGCCGAACGCATCAAACAAATGCAATTGGCGTTTGAGACGAGCATTTGCGAGAACGCCGAAGTCTCGCAATTCCTTGACGCCGCCGAAAAAGAGCTGACGAATATGTCGATCAACTTCTCGATGCTCGAGAAATCGATGGTGTCGCAATCGTTCGTCGCCGATGTCACGCGACGCTTCTCGATTGCACCGGCTCCCGACGAGCTGTTGGGATCGTCGCTGCTCAATGCTTCCTATGAGCCGATGTTCAGAATTGGTCGCCAAAGTGTCGCTGAGACCGAGAAAGAAATCGAGGCGCTTCGCGACGAAGTCAAAGAGTTGCGTGAGAGGCTCGCCAAAACCAATCAACTCGAAATGGACGCCGGCCTCGCGTCGCCGAACACCTCGATGCTTCAGAAACATCTCGCCGATGTGCAATTGCGCGCCTCGCAGAACTTTGAGGAGCTTGAAATGTGCCAGGCGACGTTGACGCGCGTCGAGAATGAGAAGGTGCAATTTGAGCGCGAGCTGAAAGAGGCGAACTCGAAATTGCGCGCCGCCGAGATTCGATTGGGCGAAACGGAGCGCGAACTTCGCGAGGCGATGAGCGTCGTCGAGGAGGAGCGCAGAGTTCGTAAGGCGGCAGAATCGAAGATTCACAAAATGGAATCCGATTTGCGGAATGTTGAGCGAACGGTATATTGCTAGAAAAGAATCGGGGGATTAAAAAAATTGCCAAACTTCAGGCCGTTGAACGCGAGAGCTCGCTTAAGAATGAGTTTGAGACGCATTTGAGGGAGTCGAACGAGCGCATCAATCATATCGAGGGCGAACTTGAGCGCGCTGTTGATCATGTCGAGAAGCTTCAGAAGGAGCGCGAAATGCTTTCGTCAAAACTCACTAGTGTGAAGAATCGCGCCGATGAGGCCGAATCGACGGCGAACGGCTATCTAAATGAGATCAACAATTTGATGGATGAGATGAAGGTGATGTCGGATGATCTTGAACGCCTTCGCGCGTTTGAAATGGAGCAGACCGATTTGAAGAAGAAGCTCTCAGCGAAAAAGTCGACAAATTATGAGGTGTGCTGGATTTTTTTTATATAGAAATTTTTTGGAAAAAATTGTGAATTTCTTAAAGACTTATAATCGATGCTCGCAAACGTCTGAAAAAGAGAATGCGGTTGATGAAACTGTGGCGGAAGCGATTGAGAACGTCGGCAAAGAGCTCACGTCGCTCACACGAAAGCAAATGAAGATCAAAATTGACATTAGGTAGAAGAATTTTTTGTTGAGTTTTTTTGTTTCAAAACAATAACGAGATGATTATTGTAGAGACGTGAACACAATTCGTTTGGCTTGCGAGGAGATGTGCAAACAGCTCATCAAGGAGAAGGCGTGTCGACACGAACAGGCGGAAGCGATGCGCGAGATCAATGCTGGATTGGATGTCAAGTTGAAGGAGATTGAGAAAAAGTTGGAATCTATTGTTCTTTTTCTTTTCGGACTTCACTGTTGGCGACGCCGCGCGACCGCGGAAAATTGGCCAAGTGCCAAAAACACGATGGCGAAGAGCGGGAAGACGTCTCCTCTTATTTCATTTTTTTCAATTGCCATTTAGCTTATTTTTCCGAAGTCGCGCGACAATTGAAAAATTATTGATTTTTGTGATTTCAGCCAGGAGAATGTTGATCCGAATATTGTGGGGTCGATAGTAAGAAATGTGCCGAAAGAGCGTGAGTATTGAGATTGTTTTTTTTTTCAGTTTTGAGATTCTCTTTTTGCGTTTAGACTATCGCGATCCGACTCGTCAGCTTCTTCGCGACGCCACATCGGCAACTGATGGCATTGTTCAGGTGTTGAAGAAGATTGGGCATGCGAAAGATTCGGACGAATTGAGGGTTTGTTTGGCCGATGTTATAATCGGCGTCCGGCGATTGCTGTACGCGGGTAGATTTACGCGCATGCGCCTTGAAAAGGTCTCGCCACGCCTGAACGCTTATTTTTCGGTTTTCTCGTGAACTGCTTCATTTTTCTTGAAGAATTTCAGATTTCCTTGAATTTCCAACATCATTCGATTTAAAAATTATCGAACTGGTACATAAAATGAAACAACCTGTTAGTCCGTTCGAGACCATTTGGAAAGACGCATTCCGTTCGAGACCATTTGGAAAGACCCCCCCGTAAATCTACCCGCGTACAGCAGTCGCCGAACGCCGACTATAATTGTTTTAATTTTTTTTTTTTGAATTTTCTCCTCTCGTAGGAAATTGTCAAGAAGGCGTTGACCGATGCGAGACAACTTCGCGACTTTTTGCACCAGAAAATCATATTGCTCAAAACGGTTGATATGGCGAGCGCGCACACCGAAACGCACGAGCAGCTCCTTCAACATGTTGGTGATTTTGTGATTATTGATTGGGTTTTTTTTTGTTTGATTTCTTGCAGTTGGCTAGAAGCTATCAAGATTTTGCACTTGTCGATGAGGAATGCAAGAAGTTGCGAAAAGTCATCGCGAAGATGCAAGCCGCTGTTATGGTAAGAATTGCTGGCGAACAGTGTGTGTGTGTGTGTGTGTGCATTCGGTGGAAAATTTTCCCGGGGATTTGTTCTCGTTTTAAGGTCCCGTCAAATTTTGTCAGAAGACTACCCAAGGCTTTCGGCAAATTTTCCATTACGTTTTTGAAGGCTCTCATGCAATTCTGCGGGATTTTGAACCTTCAATTCGTCGACGGACGAATTTTTATATGGAGTTTGTGGGCCATCGAGTCATCGTCGGAATTTTTCGGATTAGGTCTCGAATGGAAAACACATTTGATTTTACGGGACCAATTAATTGGATTGTCGAATGAATTTGCCCGTCTATATTTTTTTGAATATGAAATTGACTAAAACTGAAACTAGAAAGGGATTTCTAAAAATTTGGTTTTTTGAAAGTTTTTTTTGGCGCTATATTTTTCAATATTTGAAAATATTGTAAACCTAGAATAATAACTTACTTTAATGGTATTATTAGTAGGCTTTGCAAAAGAAAAACAGTTGAAAACTTTAAGAGCCTTATGGAAATTATAGTTTCGTTTTTTTAAATTTTTTTTCTCCCCTAATTTGCGTGGAAGATTCTTGACGCGAATTGAAAAATCCCGAAGAATTTTTGATGAAAAAAATGATGTCTGACGTCGAAGAACGCTTTCGACATTATGTTTTATGTCGAGTGTGTACTCCCATTTGGCGCCCCCCAAATTACCCCATTTCGCGTTCAAAATTTTTCGTGTGCTTTCAGGATCCCGGCTTCGAGGTTCAGGAGCGCATTAAGCGGGAAATTGGGCGAATCGCTCGCGACATGGGCGCCGTCGCCTCACTTCAAAAGACCCATGAAACTAATCGAAACTAATTTTGACCTTTTCGCGTTTATTTATTTTATTTTATTTTTTCTCGTTTTACAAAAATTATTATTGGGTTGTTTTTTAGTTTTGCCTCGATTCTTGTAAATATTGAATTTCTCGCATTGAATGAAGAAAAACATGGAAGGTCATTGAATAAAATTGTGCTCTGCACTTGAGAAGGCTATCAATTTTTGAAATGTTTTGTCGCTCGCTTCTCATTACTCCCAATTTGTGCGCTTGCCCGACGACTTTTACATTTTTTTTCTCATTTTTTTTCTTTCGTCGATTTTTTGCTCGTGTTCTTGTATAGTTTTGCTATACAACAACAATTTTTTTTGTGTAAACCGAGCGAGTGCGAATTGATTAATTGCACCAATTACGCGAAAGTTGCGAAAGTGTAAATGAGCAAACATTGGGCTCGACCCGATGGAACCACTATTGCCTGCAGGGGTTCGCGTTTGAATTTTTCGTGTTGTTTTTGATTTTTTTTTTGGACAAAGAAACATGTGTTTTCAATTTTTAATGGAGTTTTGGTGGAAAATTTTAAAGATCGAATAATAGACCAAATTTAAAGGCCGAAAAAACTTTTTTAAAAATCTTTTTTTCTGAATATTATAAAAATAAAAATGGCCACCGGAATTCGACAGACGCGAAAAAGTTGTACAGCCGTTTTTTTTTTTTTGGAAAAACACTTAAAAACTTGAATAAGAATTTGAATATTTGTTTTGGCGTACTAGGTTTTCCTCGGCCGCATAAACTCGGCCATCAGCGGGTTTCGGTAGAAAATTAATTTTTTTTTGCGAGAAATTGCAAATAGTCGTGAATTTTTTTGAACTACGCACAAAAAAAAGCGTTTTTTGAACTATGTTTGCAACCTAGGGTGCAACTTTGCGAGTGTGTCATAATAAATAATTAATTCACCACAATTCAATTCGTTTTTTTAGTATTTTTCCCGCAAATTGTTTCGGACTTTCGTCCTTCGAATTTCCGCCGATTATTGAAAACCAGATTTTTTTTTAGTTTTTCATTTTGTTAGAAAAAGGCTTTAAATTTTTTATGAAATATGTAAATAGCATAGTTAAAATTGGATTATTGAATAAGTAAATAATAGGGTTTCTTGACTAACCAGACAGTAAACGCAAAGAATTCTCATTGGTTCTCTATACGATCGCGTTGAAACATAATTCCGCCAGTTTTTCAATCAAAAGTTTCCCCATGAAATTTTAAAGGCGCACAGTCCAATTTTGTAAAAAAAAAAGTTGCAAATTTTAAAGGCGCATGCTATAATAATTCCTCCGTTTTTGTTTTCTCGAACGCAATTCGAGCTACCCCACCGCAAACAAATCATTAGTTGAAGGCCATTTTTGGCGCGCGAACAACTGATATCACGAAGCGACGAAAAAAGGTGTAAAATTGATTGGCGTATCGCACTCGCTGATACGTTGATTACGGTAGCACGAGTTTCGCGAATTTGATGAATCATTAAAATCGTTGTCAAACCGCCCCGATTTTACGCATCTCTCTCTCTCTCTTTTTCTTGCCTCGACCAACCCCCATTTTCGTTGTCGGAACCCGCAACGTTGTCCGCAGATGAATGTGTTCGTCATTAGTTGAGACGCTCAAATTTTTCTTGCTCTCCGAGAGTTTGTATCATCTTCTTGCAACTTTTGCTCTGCCATTGGCCCGATACTCTGTTTCACACATTCATTTCGTTTCGTGTTCGACTGCAGTCGGCTTTTTTTTTGGTTTTTTTTTTTCTCAACTTTTCTTAGCAATTTCAAAATTTTTGATCTCCCGCCAAAGTTGCGAGTTGTCCGCAGCTGAGAAGCGATTTTGTGTTACATTGAAAATCTCACCTACGATGAATTTTTGAATATTGAAATCTTTTATTTTATTGGGTTTCCTAAACTGGCAATGCTGCGAATTGTCCGCAGATGAATGTCGATTTCTAAAAACAAACTCGACTCGATTCTTTACGATCATGCGGCTGAATTTCCAATTTTATTGAAAATTTTGAATTTCCAACTCTTTGAAATATTAATTAGAGCCATACAATGCGAGATTGATCCGCACGAGACCATAATGAATGACGCATGAATGCTTGTAAATCTACCCGCTTCGCGGTTTTCAAATTCATTCCATTTTTTCTAGAGAAAAAATTCAATTTCCAGAAGAAGAAGACGCCAACTTCCCTCCGACCGCCAAAAATGATAATATAATGGAGAGAATGAAGGCGTTTCTTGACGAATATGTGGAGAAGAGCAGGTGAGTTGCGATGGAATCGCTTCAAGACCAATGTCGTCGGACGCGTTGCGGTTCGCGCGCTCGCGTTTTTTTTTTGGGGTCCCGCCACGAGCGACAATCTCATTTTTCATTTCAAGCATTTCCTTGTGTTTCCAAAATTCAAGTAATCCAAAAATTGAGAATTCCGCGTGAGACCCGACCATCGCCAAAGCTCGTAAATCGCGTTGAACCAACGTGTTTGAGAGAAAAACATTTCGAGTGACCGCACGCGAGCCGCGACGCGTCTGACGACATCAAAATATTGTCAATTCGATGACACCCGATTTTCATTGGTGCAGTTTATCAACGAAAGAGGACACTTCATATATATTGCTCGTTTCGGCCGTCGTTTTGCTCATTTGTATTCTGTTCGTCGTCAACGTCTGCATTTGTTGTGCGATTCGACAGCGAAAAAATCGCGAGGTACTCGTTTTCAGTTTTTTTGTTGTTGGAATTTTGAGAAAAATTGGAAAAAAAATTGTCCGCAGATGGAAAATTTAAAAGAAAAAATATTGCGCATTTAAAGGAGCACGCGGGTCTTGAAACGACTTCGTAAACAAAAATCATCACATTGCTCTTTTCAGCTCATCGACTACCCGTCCAACACCCTTCAGTATATTCGATTTCCGCGCAACATCCGAAAACCCTATCGTACCTCATCGAGTCAATCGACGTCTCAAAAACCAATGCTGCCTCAACAAAACGTTTGAAAACTGGAAAAACAGAATGAAAAAGAAACCGACGGGTGATTTTCAGTATTGCAATAAATCACTTTTATTTCATTAAATCTTTGCAAGAAACACACAAAACTTGGAAAATCTTAATAATCAGCAGAAAAAAAAGACGAAACAAAAAGGGACAAAAATACATATATATATATATTTATATATACATATATTATTGTTAGCCTGAAGAACGTCGAAATTATGAATTAATTTTGTTTTCTTCAAAATTATCGAAAAATGAACGAAACGAAACGCAGAACACAGCGTGAGAGGCAGGTTTCACGGTTGATTATATAATGTAATAATTAAAGAGAGAAGACTGAAGAGAATATAATATATATATATATATATAATTTGATAAAAGAGCCTTTAAATTGTTGATAATTATACTGTGTATATACAAGCAGAGCATACGAGACAGACCGCAAGTCTTGCCGCCGGCTACCGCCGTTCAAGTGAATCGTTGAGGACGTCGAATTTTTTTTGGTTTTTTTTCTCTCTTTGCACGACGAAATTTAAACGTCTTCAGAAATTGAAGAAAATGATGGATTGTGAAGTGTAGAAAAAAACATGAGGAGGAAGAAGAAGAAGAAAGAAACGAACAACAAATGAAAACAAACTTTCTGCATGATCTCAAATTATGAAATGATTTGGCCGTGTTGAAGCTCATCAACGTGTACCAAATGAGTGGCATGGTGCTCTTCTTCAATATGTTCCATTCCCGGCATTTTCGTCAATTCCGATTTGTAATGGCGCATTTCCTGCAAAAAAAACCAACAATGATCCAATTAGTCAGCAATTGTCGGTGGTGTTGTGTTTTAATCAATCACAAACCTCCGCATATCTGTCCTTATCCAATTGCGCTTTTCGCTCGTACATGTCCTTCGTCTCCTGCGGCACCGTCTTCCATAAACGGCCAAGCTCTTGCGCAACCTGAAGCAGTACTCGTATATGTCAATATTTGATCAACTGCAGTTTCATTTTCCGAAAATCCGATACCTGTCCGACTTTCCATTCGGGATGTTGCGCTTGAATGTCAGGTCGTTTGTCTTGCGAGTAGAAGAAGAACGCCGACCTGAAAACCGAATTCAAATTTTGACAACGATTAAAACAAACCGGTTTTTTCTCTCTTTTGCATTTTACGACTTTCAAATCTACCCATTAAATCTCCCCCCAAAAATTTGTGTGTTTTTGTTCTCATTTTTTTTATTTCGCTAAAAAAATCAACTTACAATGCTCGTTTTGGAGCATGCGGGTCCTTCTTGGCGCGTTTTCTTTTTCTCATCGCGTCCTCTCCACCATAAGCGGCAACCTAAGAAAAATCGAAATTGCATTAAAACATAAAATTTTCCAAAAAAAACGTACCTCCGCCTGATATCTTTCGGCGTCTTTTTGAGCCAATTCATAGAATCTCCTCTTCTCATCGTCGACCATCGTCTGCAAAATCGGGATGATCTACAAAACGACAGCGAGTCGTCCGGAACAAACCTTCCATTTTTCCGAGCACTTCTTCGAAATCTCGGTGACCTGCACATTCTCGTTCGGATACTTCTTCTTGTGCTCCTCGTAGCACATCTTGACAAAGAACCCGTAGGGTGAGGTCTTACCACGAACAGGTGGTTTGCCCATCTCGCGCGGCGCTGAATACATTCCGGTCGTCGACGTCGGCTGCTGTTGTGGCTGGAAGTTGTTCGTGTTTTGCCACGTTTCTGTCGTCATTTCCGACTTTTGCAACTGAAAATTCATTTTTTGATAATTAAAAAATACAATTCTTTTTTTTTCTTAAATCAACGTGCACTTCAATAAGTTACGAGAGCTTTCAAAAAGCAAGTTTCCATTTCTCAAATGAAATGATTGACAAAGTGTGAGGGAAAATTTGAAAATCCAGAGAACACTAAGGAATCGCTTCGATTTCGACAAGAAACGCCAGGAAAACGGAAATTCTGTAGGAAGAATTTTTTTCTTTCGAGATTGGCGAAGACGCTAGCGACAAAAACAGGTCACTTCTGAACATCAAGTGGAATTTTGCCTTCTAAAATATTAATAACTCCTAGTTTTTTTTCTTCTCATTCGCATTTCTACTGCGCAGAAACGTCGGCCAAGTGAACGCCCCATTAAACTCTGTGCCCCGGAAGAATGTTTACCCAACAGAAGAAAAAAAACGAAGCGAAGGGTTTCGCGTTTCGCTTTCCCCCGAAACTTTGTCGAGCAAATTTCTTGGCATTTTTTTCCTATGAAATTGACCTCAAAATGAAACTTACAATCATCGGATGTGACTGGTAGACAGTCGACGCGGAGCTGCTAGGAAAAATGGTTGTGCTGAAAGCGGAACCATTCATGATGTCTTTCGCGTAGGGGGATTTTCGCAATTCGCGTTTCTCTTTTCGCAAGGTTATCACACGTCCGGCTCGCTTCCTTTTCAGGATGTTGTGTTGTTGTGTTGTTCGCGGGTCTTTTTTTGTAGCAAAAAAAACAGACAGCGTACGAATAATAGAGAATGTTGGGAAGGCTGCGACAAGACGAAAGATAGCGCGTTGTGTGTGTGTGGTGGGTGTTGTGGGGTGAGTGTGCGCGTTTGGGAGGGAAACTGACAATCGACGCGCCGCCGAGACATCGTTGCGTTCGCGGAGTCGGCAGACAATCGACTGACGCGTCGAGATAATGGAAAACTGGCGGAGAGGGCCGATATGTCGAGCGCACTCCACACATTCGACACTATCTCGTCGAATCCATCTTTCCCATAACGCACAAACACAGAAGGACGCGACCAACATACGCGCCATGGGTGTCCTTCTGCGTTTTACTCGACATAATGTATCCCTCACTGGTTATTCAAAGTGAAAACATCGCGCAGAAGAAAAAAAGAAGAAATTGAAAAAGAAAACAACAATAGTGAAAAATTGAAGAGAGCAACAAAGTAATCGAAAATCGGACGTACTCAAAATGTTGCTCATATCATATTTTCATTAGTGCGCCGTATTTTGTAATAGGAGACCTTCTTTATGGTGTACGGCAAACAATATTGTTGCTAAAGCTCAATTTTTGTTTATAATGGCGTAAATAAACAAAAAATTTTGTCGGCGAGCAGAAACATTCTGTAAAAATGCTTCGTCATCTGAAAACGAAATAGAAGAAGCGTAAGTTCCATTTTTTTCGATGACATCATACAACATTTGAGAAGGACGAAGGTCATGAAGAGGAAAAAATTAACGAAGAGATTTCGAATTTTCGCATCTCGTTTCGAAAAAAATTTTTTTCGACAATCATTATTTTGCTTCTTTCCAACCACATTAATATTTTAATTATTGCGCAATATTGAACGAGTCCTCTCATCAGGGATATTCGACAACGGATGATCATTATCAGAAGCGATTCCTTAAAATTACAATGCATAATAAAAAAAATGAATGACATTTTTTTTTTGAGAGAGAAAAATGAAAAAAAAGAGTGTGTTGGAAGCGGCGCGACGAGAGAATTCGCAAAAAGACTTTGCTCGAAAACGAGGATGAAAAGGCATTGGTGCGAAAGTGTGTTGCGCCAGCGGAGACGGCGCAGTGATGTAGACGAACACGGCGCGTTTGGGCGCAATGCATTGAATGGCGGCGGCGAGAGAGAATGGGAGGCAATGGTGAGCGGCGAGAGATTTAGGCGAGCAGCGCACGCAGTGCGGTGAAAGGACGATGAAAATAATGGAAGGTCTCGACGCGATGAGACATTGGCGCGGCGCCAATTCCGAAAAATACGCAAATCATCCGCATTTTTTATTGCTTATTTTTGCTTCCTCTCGTCGCATTTTTTATTATTTTTTAGTTTTGTTTTTCAGAATGCCTTTAGCGCCGAAGGCCAAACTTGATTATCCACTCCACTGGGCGGTGTTCGCGAATAATGTCGAGGAACTTGAACAATTATTGAAAGACAAAGAAACGCTCGACATTGACAAGGTTGATCCACGCGGAAGGTGAGAAGTGCTATTTGGGCAAATGTGTTTTATATTGAATGTGGGGGAGAGGGGGCACCGCGTCGCTAATTGGAAAATGTTTCAGGACACCGCTATTGCTGGCAGTGACAATCGGCAATGTGAAATGCGCGCAATTGCTATTGGAGAATGGAGCGAACGCGGACGCACATAATAAAGGTTGCGAGTTTGGCGTTTTGAAACAATATTGCAATTTTCATTCAGAAATGTGGTCGGTGTCGCATGAAGCGGTTTCTCTCGGCAATCCGGAACTCATTACCAATGTCATTCATTATCGCGATTTTGAACGAGCTGGACGCGGCGCTCGTGCGATGCGAACTGCCCTCAACAAGCTTAAAGTGTGACGACGTCACTCGAATTCTTATATATAGTTTTTTCCCCTAGGATGTTCCCGACTTTTATTGCGAAATGAGCTGGGACTTCTCCAGTTGGGTGCCGTTCCTTAGTCAAGCGTGCCCATCAGACACCTATAAAATCTACAAGTCAGGATCAAGAGTTCGCATGGACACCACGATGGCGTCGTTCGAAACGGCATCGTCGGTTCGTGAGAATCAGTCGATCGTGTTTCGGCTCAACGCCGACAATAATCCCGAATTTGTGGTTTTGGATCACAATTCGAAAAGTGTACGAAAAGCTCGGCAAGAATTCGAAAATGTATTTTTTTTGCCAATTTACAGGCTTCCGTGCAAGAGCTACGCGATGATTTGGACTTTGACGATTATAAACCATCTCCGGACTCAATCGCGTTACGGTAGTCAGATTTTCCATAAAAAGCAGACAGTTGTATTCAGTTTTTTCTAGAATGAGCTCCCCAATTACCACAACGTACATCGATGTTGATCAAATCGGCTTCGAGCGAACATCACGCGGTCTATTGTCGTGGCTGAGCGGCTCCGACGGCACCGAGAAAGTCGACGGATATGATTGTCGGGTACCCAACGCCTATCTCTCCCAATCTCATTTCTCGCGAATTTCACAGGTGCTGGCAGCATCAAATGTCCAATTGGTCACCAAAAAACGAATGGAGCACCTGTCGCAATTTGACCGTGAGAGAATTGCTCAGGTAATTTGGAAGCGAATCAGAATTGGAAATAAAGCGCAATCATTTTTTTTTTGAAGGAAGAATCGACGGCGTCGTCGAAAGCAATTGGCGGCATTATGAAAATGATGCAGTCGGAGAAATGCGATGAGCGAACGACAGTGGATCTTTTTGAAGGCGGTCTCACTCCAGTGGAATATTTGGACGCCACGTTCAAATTTGAGCCGGGAACCGACATCGGTATTATCATTCCTATTCTATTTCCCTATTTCGCGCAATCATTTCGTTTTTAAGGCCGCCCGAAAGACATTGTCAAAAAGTCGAACTCGTTCAAAGCCACACTATGGATGGCTGACGATTACCCATTGAGCCTTCAAGAGCAGGTGATCCCAATCGTTGAACTCATGGCAATTAATAGTTCGCATTTTGCGCGTCTCAACAATTTTATCAGATTGCAATTGCCGGCGGGTTTCCCCGCGAAAATTGGTAGGTGTTTTGATTTTTTTTTGAATTCCATATGGGAAAGAAAAAATTCAAATTCAAGAGATTCCATTGTTCCATGTGCTTAGCGCAAGGGTCAGCTTTAGCAATGTGAACGAACCGGGTCCATATGTCACGCCGATTGACGTCCAGGTGCGCACATTTAATTCAAATAAATGAATAGTCACAAAATTGGCGGTTTATAGTCGAACTTCAAAGCGCGCGCGGTTGTCATTGACGACGCCGCGTTCGACGTGCCGCCAAATTATATAATTGTTTCGCCGGAGGACTCGCATTTCAATATCACGTGGGAAGACGAGAATGATCCGAGAAGATCGAGGAGTATGCTCAATTCGACGGCATGTAAGTGCAATTCTCTTTCTTTGTGATTCAATTGCACTGAATTGGATTGATCTTAACTGTTAGGGGAAATCTTTTTAAAGTAAAGATTACTGTAGATGGTTAAAGGCGCAAGTCTTGGGGGAGAATGCTTTACGAAATTTTGTGCTATTTATCGACAAATAAAATGAAAGTGCTAAAAATAAAACGAAAAATCAGATTTACTAAATTTTGCGGGTTTAAGTTTTTTTTTGCAAAATGAACCGTATCGAAAGATTGAAAGCAAAACACGCGCTGAAATTGCACGAACAATTTTCAGACCGCCCATCAGAAGAGATGCTCCTCCAAATGGCCATCGAGCAAAGTCTACGCGAGGCTGGCAACACCTCCGATGCCAATGTGACCGATGAGCAACTCGCGAGAGCCCTTCAAATGCAATTCGACTCGACGGACTCGGATTCGTCGGCATCGCGAGCCGTCCTACCGCCGACGCCGGTTGATACGGAATTGGAGCTGGCGCTTCGAGCGTCGGAAATGGACGAGGAGCGTCGACGACGCGAGCAAGAGCAATTCGAGGAGGAGCTGCAAAAAGTGCTCGAGCTCAGCAAAAATGATAAATAGACATTGTACATAGTTTGCGATCGTGTGATTTCACTAACCGGGTTCTTATTATTTTTTTTTTCCTCTCAAATTTCCTTTGTCGGCCAAATTCTTGTCTGTGTTAACGTATATTATAGCTTTACTGATCAAAATCAAATAAATTATATTGCTTGGCGATCGTCAACCGAAAATGTCTTTGAGGTTCGCACCGAAATTCTTTGCGAGACCCACTCCCTTATCGATGAGATCCTTGGAAATATTTTTTCCGCTTATTCCGAGATTTTGGGCAATCGATTTCACGTCTCCCTAATATCAATTTTCAGTAGTTTCTTGTCGAATTCGCCCCCTTACCACTTGCGAATCATTTTTCGATAGTTCGACAATTTTATCGATGAGCTTGTCGTCGGATTCGAGATTCTCGCCAACCGAATTGTTGACAATCTGAAATTAACGAGGCGTTGAGGGATTCGCGCGAGGCTCTACCCGGTTCTCGACGATTTCGGTGAAATTTTGCGGTTGCTGAAATTCGAGAGAATTGATGAAAATGCTGAAATTGTAGTGGAACCTTTGTGAAATTTTCAAGTTTCGATAATAATAAATTTTTCAAATCATTTGCGTCATTTATGATTCGATGTTGATTGTTCGGAAGCTTTTTGGCCAATTCCAGAATTGAGAGATTCTTGAGCTCGCCGAGCTCCTCAACTGAGCCACCTAGGCATTGTTCGAGTTTCGCGATGTTGCACACATTTCCATATTTGCACGCGGCGTTGAGCGAACTCAAATTCAAATCGATTTTTTCGAAATTTCGTGATGAGACGTTGAAGCATTCGAGAATGCTCTCGAGTTTTGTCGAATTCACCGCGGGAAGAATCTGAAAATTAGTTGCCGCTTGATATGCGCCTTTAAATATTTGATTGATATAGAAAATTAAAAAAAAAAATATCGCGACGAAGTGCCTATAAGTTTCTCCGAAAATTGAGAATGTCGAGTTGGTAAAGGTTCATACACGCGCACGCAAAATTGCACACATTTGATTTTGAACGAATGCTCTTTTTTCGTTTTTTTTCATTAAAATAACAATGAATTTCTTTATTTCTTTTAATTTACTACGCTTCTAAATACTTGAAAAAATCGATAATTTTTGAAAACTAGCGCGAAACTAGAAAAAAAGCACACAAATGCCACTGGCGTTTAAATTTTGAAATTTCTTTAAAGGCACACAATGATTTTTTTTAAATATACTTCAAACTATTCGCACCTTCATTGTGAAATTCTTCTTTATTTCCTTCAAAATTTTGGGATTGGCGATAATTTGGCGAACATCATCCGGTAGAATCTCGACAACGTCGGCAATTGTGAGATTCTCGATTTGAGCCAACTCGGAATCGTTGATTCCGAGGCAATCTTCGATTCGTTGGGCGTCGCACAAATTCGCGTATTGGCAAGCAGCGTCGCGGACCATCAAGCTCATGTCAAAATTGGGAATTGTTGAAATGTTGAAGCAATCTTCCGACTTCAACAACTTTTGCACAATCTCAAAAATCGAGTTTCGAACAAGACGAAAGATCATTCGGACTACCTTGGGATCGCTGAAATTCGTCGTCAGAATGTCGCCAAATTTCGCGTTCAATTCCGGCAATTTCTTCATTATCAATTTTTGCAAACTCGACGGATCATCGATGATCGCCTTCAGATTCGAAATTCCCCCAATATCCGAAATGCTCAAGTGTTGGATCTTCTTCAAATCCAGTGTCGATCCACGAATATCGCAAATATCGCCAATTTTCAATTGTGTCAAATTCAAGCCACTTTTCAACGCGCTTAAATTAAAGCAGCCATCCTCTGGAACCTGTTTGAATCGTTGCGAGACCCGATCATGCGCCTTTAAACCAACCTTCAATGTCGTCGGTGTGCTCATTTTCCTTGTGGCTATCTCATTCGACCGATTCGAGTTCCCGATGCTCTTGTTGACATCTGGTAGATCAACACCCATCGGTGTACGGTACTCCACAGTACTCCTCTTCACCTCACTTCCCGAAACACTGCTCCGCTCGATGTCAACCGGCTCATTGCCTTGTGTAGTCGTCCCACTTGGCCTACTGAATTCATTCCGCACAGTACTTCGTCCGGACGGTGTACTGTTCATCTGGCTTCTCACTGAACCATTCGTCATCGTACTTCTTCTGTTCGGATCCCGATAGCCATTGGTGGATCGACTCAATTTTCCGGTGATCCTCGACACGCGAGTTGTGCTCTTTTCCAACTTGCCGCTCTTTGTGCTTCGACTCGCACCATTGAAGAGGAAGCGTCGAAGCGCGTCGGATGTCGTCGCCGTCAGACACTTGTGCGTCTCGTCGCCGTCGCAAATGTTCGCCGCATCGCACAGCACGTCGGCGAGCGTCGAATTCGACGCAATCGACGTCCGATCAATATTGAGGCATTCGAGAATGTCGACGGTGCTCGCGATGCTCTTGAACTCGTCGCGTGTGTCGTTGCGAAGCGCCTAAACAGTCCGACTCATTCGATGCAATTCGACGATGGGGGGGGGGGGAGGCTTCAACCCGAATCTCGGCGCTCGTTTCGCTTGTCGGCAAAAAATCGGCAATCGTCGCCAATTTTTGCGTGTGCGCCTTGAGAATCGCCTCCGATGCGCTTCCCAACGAACCAATCGGATTCTGAACACTCTGTCGAAGTGATTCAAGCCGCTGATCGTTCAACTCGCCTTCTCAATCTCATCCAGCAAATCCCGAGATTCCTCTTTCGCGTTTAGAACCAACGCTGTCAATTTCTCGCACGACGGCACCACGGGAAGCAACGAGTTCGGATCACCAAGATCGGGTCCTACAATCCAATAGGACCTCTTCGAGATTGCCTATACCTGGGAAGCACGGCATCGCTTTCCGATAGTCCTCCGCCAATCCGGCCGTCGAGTTCTTCACAATCGCCACACTAAGCCTCTCCCATTCCCGAAACGCCTACCAATTATTCTAATTAGCCAAAAGCGGCTAATTATACAATTATACTTGAAGTACTTGATCCTTCGAAATCTGATCAGGCGAGCCTATAAGAACCTCCGGCTCAAGAACATCATCAAACAGATACTTGCGATCCTTATTGATCTCAAATTCGAATGAACGGATCAAACCTAAACCTAGGATGGATCGATCCAACGGATCAATAAAAACCTACAAGCTAACCGGAATATTAGAAAAAATTTTTTCATTCAAGCAAAAATTCGAATAAACATTTTTTCTCGATGCCCACACACACACCATTAGCAGTTGCCAGTGGTGATTCCCAAGGAAATGCACACAGAGCAATTATTCATTATTCAAGCGGTCAAAAAAAAGAAGAGAAGAAGTCGTAAAAATTGAACATTGACTTATAAATACAGTACCCCGACAGATAGAGAGAATAAGACACCGAGGATTGTTGGCGGGTGTTTGACGAGAAAATACTAATAGCACAATTTATAGCATCATTTCTTTTAATTCTGGTGAGATCATTCGAGTTATTAAGCAAATTAAAAGATAGATAGAGAGAGACAGGGAGAGAAATGTGAAACTGAACTGAAAACGCAAAAATTGAATTAGTTTAATGATGGCGGAATCGCTCGCGCCGGTAATCGTGGCGAGACATTCGCCGACGAGCCGCGACGAGGCGACGACGTCGAGCCAAAGTCTTTGAAGAATCGGAAGCTGCAAAATGTCTTTGATCAATTTTATAGGTCTTAAGTCGATTTATGCTCGTTTGAACATGGTCTCACACCGAAAATTATGTATTTTTTTTCATTCACTTCGAGACCATAATTAAAGGCGCGCAATGGCTCATTTCTTTTTTCAATTCCTAAAATCTTACAATTTCCGAACTCCCGAGTCCTTCCGCTCATACTTCCACGGGTAGAGCTTCTCTTCCGGCTCTCTCGGCAACGGTCCGTACACGGGCAACTCGTCGGAATTCTCCGGTCTCGCGCTATCCGGCTTCTGAGCGTCTTTTCTGCAAAACCAATGATGTCAATAAAAAAAAACCAGGGGATGTTTTTTTTTGAAACACACAATTTGTCGTCTTCGTCATCCTCATCGAGCCGCATAATACTTCGATGTTTGGTGCCCGGCTTGAACTGCTCGAGCTCCTCCTCGAGCTCCATGACGCGTCCCTTCAGTATGTTCTTCTCTTTGAGAACCTCGCGAAGCTCGCTGAGCGTGAACCGCGGCTCGCTGCTGTCCGCGTTGGCAATCTGCAAATCTTTGCACGCGCGGTCCGTCTCTTTGACGAGTTTGCACAACTCCAAATTCGATTCTTCGGCCTTCTCGAGACGCTTCACAATCTCCATTTTCTCCTCGACGATCATTCGGCCCTGCTTTTGAAGCGACGCGTTCTTTCGAAGAAGCTCCTCGTTTTGACGAATGAGCTTCTCAATCGAGTTTTGCAGCTTAAAATCGCACATTTTATTTCATGCGTTTTTTTTAATTGAATCGCGAAAAAACATACATTTTCGACTTGACATTGGTATGTCTCAACATCACGCTGTAGAGATTTGATCTCCTCCTTCTGCTGCGCCGACGTCTCTTTGAGCTCGAGCAGCATTTTCAAGTCAGCTTCTCTCACTGTAAAAGGTAACGAAAGGGTCTCCCGACACGATTGTCGAAACGCTTACTCGAATGCCCCGTCGGACTGTCCGACGGCAGCGACGACATCGTCGTCGACAAATTCTTGTTCTCATTCATCAGCGTTTTGACCATCTCTTGGAGATCGTCGATGTCTTTTCGATAGGTGCGCTCGACCTGATCGAGCTCCTCCTCGAACTTCAAGTGTTGCTGATGCCGTTGGTGTTTCTCAAGCTCGAGCCGCTCGACGGCCTTCGACAACCGCGCGATCTCCTCATTCTCGCGATCATTCGTGGCGGCGAGCGATTCGAGCGTCTCGAGTGCCGATATCACTTTCGGCATGATGCCGCGAACGCACTCGTTGCCGTAACAATCGATCAGCTTCTCGAAATCATTCCCAATCGACGCAGCGAGATCGTAGACATCGACGACCTGTCAAATAAGCAAACTGAAATTCAATAATCGAAATGTTTTAAGGACATTTTCAAAAAAGGACCCCCCACGATTCCCATGAAAATGTCCGCAGATGAATTCTCTTTAATGGTGTCTCTTTAAACTATGCAGATTTTGCAGAAATAAAATAATTTCAACATTGTTCTCCAAAATCGACATAAACACCAAAAATTAATATCTGATTCCAGTGATTCGCATTCAAAAATCATCGCCCAATTTGTCAACGAAACGACAAAACCAAAGAAATTGAAAAAACCACTCACATGTACGATTTTTCGAGGTTTCATGTCGAAATTCTCCAAATGATTAATAAATAATGTTGGTGTGGTGTGGTGTGGGCGTCGAATGAAACGCAAAACCAATTAATCAATTCAGAATAACAACAAAAGAAAAAACTGACGAAGTACGATTTCGTTGCTAAACAATTCGAGCTGTTGATTTATTATTATTATTATTATTATAACAATCGGATTGAGGTTCTCACAGAAATATGATTTCCGATTGAGCAAGAGAGAAACAAAAATCTCGAGGCAAGGAAAAATGATGAAGATAAGCTATCGAAAATGTCATAAAATTTTCAAAAGATGAAAAAAAAAGATTTGCGCAGAAAATGCCAGTGAACTTGGCAAATAGACAAGGCCATTTATTTGGAACGAAAAAAAAAACATCGAAATGATTTCAAACAATGCTCGCGAATTTTGCGAACTTTCGAGAGTCCGCCAATTTGTTCGCCGTTAAATTAGTGTTACCGTAACTCCAAAGTCTACTCCATAATAAATTAGGAATTCTACGAAAGGCGATGCTGGCCAGCATTTTCGCTCCAAGAACCTTGCTATCATAAAACAAACAAGATAATTAGTCGGCTTACAGCATTATTACTGATCACACATTTAAATGAGTGCTACCGTACCAAATGGATTCTCAATTGGTCTCGCAACGATTAAACGTATAATAAAGCGACCCAATTGTACTACCAATAGGTCATCCAATAAAAAACCGCCCAAATTACAAGAAATTCGATTTGCCCCCGCTCATTCGTTTCGGCTCAACGAGCTTCTCATCCAAATTTTTTTTGCAAAAAGAAAGAAGAAACGCCAAAATTGTCTCGTTTCTAATTAACTTTGCGCGTCGGAAACCGAGAGAAAAATACAAAAACGAAGAGGGGGGGGGCTGTTGGAAAAAAAACGAACAAATCGATTTCGATTGTATGATCACGTGACTCATCAACAAGTTTTCGAGTTCCTTCTATTCAATTCCCATATTTCGGATTGTGAAATTTCCATAAATGGAATCAAAAACATAGATTGATGGCATTTGGGGGCGAAAATAGTCCAAAAATGGAATAATCGATTGGTCGGCCAAAGATAGTAAAAATGGAATGGAATTGTGTAATAAACTTTTCGGTGAGACCCAATTAAATGCAAATGATTCTCGAAACAAATTACAACTGATATCGCTTATCGCTTCAAATTTTTCCACGAATTCCGATAAATAATGATTTCAAAAAGAATGATTAGACGCTGATTAACGAAGAGAATAAGCGAAACAAGTTTCTCGCGCTGCGCCTTTAAATTTCCTATAGTCGATATTAACAGATCAATGCAGATAGAATTTAAAAAAAAGAATAAAGGAAACAATTTTTTGCCTATTCTTTAAGATCTGCATTAAGTCTCTACATCGAAATAATAAAAATATTGCATGATGAATGCATTTACAACAGTCGGATGGTTACTTTCAAGATTCATTTGTAAAAAACTGAAATTCCAAAAGACTACAATTTCTAGAAAGGAAATGACCAATTGGGCTGGACGTATACCCACAACGTTCGGCGGAAGTTCCTAGTTGTATTGAATTATGGCCGTCCGATCGACCACACACCACTTCCGGATAATATAGATTGAATGGGAAGACAATGGGCGGTTGAAAAAGAAAGTGAAATATAAATAAATAAAAGATACCGTTATGTGTTTGCTGGGACTCTGCGGCGATTGTGCTCGTGCGGCGGCCATCGCGCTCGCGAACGCCGACACCTTTTTCCGGACCGGAACGCGTCGTCGACTCGGTGATGCTATTGCCGCCGTTGATGATGATGATGATGATGTTGACGATGTGCTTGTCGCCGGCTCACTGCTGCAACATTCCAATACATATTCATCATAATTGGCGACCAATGCCAAATGCATTTTGGGTCTCGACGCGGCCGACGACATTTCGAGATTTTACGAATATTGTTGATTGGCGTGAGTTGGATTGACGAATTGGATAATTCAGGGCTCAACACTTTTGACACATTTGGGGGGGGGACGCGTGTGTTCAGACCAGATTAATACGTGTTCGACTGGTCGAGTGCGACGGCAGCGAAAAAAAAAACATATACGCACAACCCAGCGAGAGGAATTGGGGCGGAGTCGGGCAGGAAATTGAGAAGGGGTTCTTCCGGCGGTGGATGATTGAAGGGCGGGATTTGTCAAAACCTTTTTCGACGTTTCTTCTACTGCTCTTCTACTCATAGTCACCACCCCCAAAAATATTTCTAGAAAATTGTTTTTTTTTTAATGTCAAATTAGTAATTCGGCAAACATTGGTTCTGCGGCGCAAACCCTACTAAAAGAAACGCAAATACACACCAAATAATATGGAGACAAAAAAAAAATGTGTGGCGCTTCATCGATTGGTGCAGCGGTGGCCTAATTCAATTACTTCCCCTGTGCTGCATTGAATGAATCTAGAAATTTCTTTGGCTTAATCAAATTAACGAATCGGCTTGTGCGCGTATATGTGGGGGATAATGACGAGAACGTGTGACCAAGTGGGCAAATATGTATGCGCCAACAAATCGCGGCTCAGATTTCAAGTGTTTTTGTTGAGAATGACGGCTCATTGAATATCTGATGAGATCATTCATTATGCTGATTTCGCACTGGGATTCTTAAAGGCGCATGGCTGCCATCCAAATGTCTTTGAGAGAAATTTGAAGACATTTTAAGGGCCCTAAAACGGTGGCCGCGGCCTGCGAAAAAGAAATAGGCCATCAAAATAAATATGTTCAAAAAGAAAACTTAAAATAGAGAATGGAAAATTTGTTAAATTTCTTTTGAAGCTTTAAGCGTTTTCTTGTAGGAAATGAAAAATGCTATGACGCTGGGGACATATGCGCCTTTAAATTTACAATAAAAGGTGCAAATTGCGTGGTAAGAATGTTAAGAGAAAAACCCGAACAGAATGTTTGCTTTTGTTGAGGCGATTCCCAAAGGAGTGTCTCGACACGAGCAAATTTCGAGTCTCGTTATATATATATATTTTTTTGGTGATGACTGCTCTAATGGGTCCCACATATACACCCACTAACGGTGCTTTATAATGAATGACGTTTCAATTCAATTTTTTTGTTTTGTCGGCCGCTCAAAATTGATAGGCTCTCATTCTCTCGCGCGCACGCGTCGAATATTCAAATATACGCCGTCATATTGTGACGAATTTCTTTGTTTCGACAAAAATTTTCGTTCTTCTCCTTCTTTTTTTTTGAGATGCTCCAAACGACAAGAAATAGCACTTAATTGAAGTGGAACGTTGGAAACGAAGGGACCATCTTGAAGAATTTCGTTGCACCATTGTATATAATTAACGAAAGACTGCGGAAATGTGAAAATTAGTGAAGCACTTTTTTTCGAGAGAAGTAGAAACGAATCGCCTTAAACTTCGATGTAAAATTTATTTGAAAAAAAAATGTTGAAGCGAATTTAACAAAATTCTCGCTTTTGGTTTCAAATGCCATATAAAAATGTAATATGAGTGGCTGTGGTATTTAAATTTTTTCGCTTGGTATTTCGACATTTCTAAGCCTTTTGGATTTTTTTTTAAATAAAAAAGAACTTAAAGTTTAATTGCAATCGATACTCAATATAGGGCAAAAGAATAATCACGGAAAAATATTTTCTTTCTTTTTTTTGCATTCTCAATTTTTTACATTTTTTCTTCAATCTGCACTGGCGTATAAATGATAAATTCCATAGAAAACAAAATTTGGAGATAACACTATAAAATGCTTACTATGCAAATTATTAAGGAACCATATTATATCAATTGCATTATCGTTATCAACAAATGAGCATCAAGCGTGGGGTCAAGAAAATTGCAATGTTTTGTGTGTTATCTTTTCGCGGTAAATATTTGCATACATTATTAAACGCCGACAAACGCTTGAAAACTATACACATTTGGCGACAAGAAAACCGCAGCTTGCGGGCGAGGAAGGGATTATTCAAAACGCGGACCCCCTTCGTCGTCATTAATGAGGCGAAGATGGAACAACGCGATACAAGAATGGGGGATTAGTGCTGGAATGCATAAGTACAATCAGTGAAACTCAAGAAGCAAGCAAGCAACAAAACAAAATCGTCGAGATGAGGCCAATTTCCACACAGAGAAATTTCCTCTTCCTCCGCACGGGGCCGCTCTTGCGATTTTGATGTTTTGCCCATGCTTTCGCCTCTTTTTCTTGCGTCCATCTCATGTGTATATACCGCCTGAGCACCGGCTTTTCGTTTGCCCCCCGGCTCACCCCGTCGTCGCATGCATATAGACTGGATGAATGGACAGAAAGAAGCGAGAGGACCATGAATTTTCGCTTCGATCGACAGTATATGAATTATGGCATCTCATGATGTCCAACTGATTTATTATTGAGAGTTTTATGCAAAAAAAAAGACATACCTGGTAAAATATTTTCACAATTTATTATGTTAATTTTTCGATTCCTCTCAAAATAGTCTTCATTCGATTATTTACGCTGGAATCGAATTCTGGAAATTGTGGCAGAAAAACAAAAACAATGTTGCGCGTCACATTTGGCGTATGGGCCGCAAACACTTGACACACGCGGCACATTCAAATTTTTTTTAGTTTATTTTTTTGTTTATTCAGATTTTTTTTCAATTAGAATATTGTCAAAATTTGCTAGAAATTAGCCTTGAGATAAAAAAATTAAAAAAAATTATCCGTGAAAAATTTTATTAGCAATTATAATAAGTTTTCGGTTCACGCGGAATTTTATAATTTCTTTTTATAAAAAAATTATTTTTAAGATTCAATGAAGCGTGTTTCAAATGTGAAAAGGCAATGGCGATTACTGCAGCGCAGAATAAAACTTGCTCCTACAGTAATTTTAGAAAATGTGAGTTGAAGAGGAAAAAATAATTATAATTCAATTTTAAATTTAAGGACCGCATTCTATTTCAATCAGCCGATGATGGTGCTCGCGATGCGTCTTTCGGGACGCGAACGAAAAAAAATCAAGCAAAAGCCAAGAAAAAGAAGAAAAAGGCAGAAATTAAAGCGCCGCCTGTAATTGGCAAAGAGGATATTGAAGTATCAAGTGATGAAGGCGAAGGAAATGCGCTCGATAAAATTGAAAATGACGAAAATGAGGATAAACTTAAAGAGTTGGTGAGTTTTATTTTTAAGAAAAGAAAAATAGTTAGAAATATGATATTTTCAGTGTAAACTGCAACAAAGTATTGACGATTTTTCAATGATAATCATAAAAAACGGAGTTCGCCAGAAGATTGTTGACGGAAAAATGGTGGTGCATGATCAGCAGCCAAAATGGGCCAAGGCTCTACGGGAAAATGAAGATGATGACAATGATCCAACAGACGATGATGAAGCTCAAATTGAAGAAATTATGGACGAGCAGGAGAAGGCTTATCAAAAGTTGCGGCAAACCATTATTCATCACGAAAATAGTATTTTTTTTGCTTTTTGGTTTTTCAAAGTAAATTTGGTTGATTTAGGAGAACGGAAGCGTCAAGAACAGTCAAACGACAAAACATTCCAAGTTTTCAGTCAGGACCTTCTGAAAAGCTTGAATTCGCAGCAGAATAAGGACGCGAATGATACGAGACTATCAATATTCAATTGTAAGCAATTGGCCAAATTTTCGTAAATTATTTCGAATCAATTTTCCAGATACTCCGATTCGAGGAAACCGCATCAATAAATCAGCGCGACTTGCCTCCGTTTCGACATTGATGGTATTCTCGCCATGTCTTGATCAAGTGAGCACGCCGATCGAGAAAAATTCGAACGCCAAACCGTCAAACCTCAAACAGCTCGAGTTCTCATGCTCAAGTGTGTTTCCGGAAAATGGTTTCGAAAATTTGGTTTGAATGAAAAATTTACAAGGATTTTTTAGATGCTTCTACAGCAAAATCCATTACGAAATGCTTGGATTCAACGGCTGACGATAGCGATGAGCCGATGCCTTATTCATCTAGACCGTCGTGCTCAACTGCTGTCGAGATTCAACAAGAAGATCAGACTTTAAAGGCGCAGAGCCCGGAAATGAGCCCTACCACTCCGCCAGTGGAAAAACGACAACTACGGAGCAGTGCTGCTTCACAGGCCGACGCGAATACCGCGATTGAGCCGACGATGGAAGCTGTTGTTGAAAGTCGACTGCGAGGGCGAAGCGCTGCGAAAAAATCAGTACTAGCTTCTCGAAAATCGGCGAGAAAATCGGAAAAACCACCGCCGGCTGAACGCATCGATGACGATGGAGGTGGTGCGGAACGAAAGAGCCCGAGACCTGCTGATAGCTCGATCACCGAAGCTCTCGTCTCTTCTGGTGACGAGGATAAGAGGACGAGGAAGAAGCGGAGAACTGGAGAAGATGAAAGCGATAAGGAGAACGGGCCGGATGAATGTCCGCAGAAGGGCGGCCTTCAACCGCAGAAGCAGCAACTACAAAGGGAAGCGAGAATGTCGACGGCGACGGTGGCTTCGTCGAGACGAGACTCGATTCAAAGCCTTCTGGAAGAGGTGTCACTCGACGATTTTCTCGGTGATAATGCGACACTTGGCGGATCGATGATGAAAAGCTATCTGAGCAGGAATCAGACGAAGAATATAACGGGAATCACCGAATCGAGAGCCCAAACTGCCATGACGGTCATGATTGAGGACGTAGGAGATTCCTGAAGATTGTTTTTCTTGATTATAGCTAATTTTGGTCTTTTTTAGCCGTCGATTGTACCGTTTTACATAGCGGACCTTTCTTTGGGATTGCATGAGAATGACATGAAGCAGCTTCTTCATATTTTGGGCCAACAAGCGCCGATTAATTGGAAGGATATGCCGAAAACGTGAATTATTATTTATTTTGGTCATCAAATAATTATAATTTGTGGATTTTCAGAATGTTCATGCCGTCGAAAGTCAAGAAGTTGGGTGAAGGATCGTATGGCGAAGTGTTTGCGACGACCTATGAGCAAGAGCCGATTGCGTTGAAGGTTTCAATTTTTCGAAAAGCAAAATCGTTTTCGAGACATTTCCGCTTTCAGATTGTCCCGTTCGAGCCTGACGCCGAGAATCGATTGTTCGACGGCGAGGTGAATGGCGGCGAGATGCCGTCGTCGGGAATGCTCATCCCGGAAATTGTCGTCTCCAAAGAGCTATCCGGCCTCAGGAATTTGGAGAACGACAACGCGACGCCCAACTTCATTCAGGTTGTCGCCATCAATGTTGTTCAAGGATTCTATCCGAACGGCCTGCTCAAAGCGTGGGATGCGTATGCGCAAAAGAAAGAGTCGCTCAATGATCGCCCTAGCGATTATTCGAGCGATGAGCAATGCTTTGCAACATTCGCCTTCGAAAATGGAGGATCAGATTTGGAAAGCTTCAAGGTTCAACTGGATCATGGAAAATCGAATGGAAATTTTTTGATTGCAGTTCAAATCCGAGAATGAGATCCGATCGGTGTTGATCCAGCTCATGCTCTCGCTGACCGTTGCCGAAACTGAAATCGAGTTTGAGCATCGTGACCTCCATCTGGGAAATGTGCTTGTTTGCAGAAAACAAATGGAATTGAGGTACACTTGAAGTATTGCTTGTTAAAATTTTATGCGACCCCCTAGGTATAAGCTGAATGGCTCGGAAATGAGCGTTCGCTCGCATGGAGTAAAAGCGTCGATCATCGATTTCACGCTAAGCAGAATGAAGAAGAATGGAGCCACCGTTTATCAGGATCTTCAGAATCAGGACATTTTCGATGGTGAAGGAGACGAGCAATTTGAGATTTATCGAAGAATGCGGGACAATAATGGGTAATTTATGAATATGCCTGGATTGAAACGAATGATTGCTTGAAGAAATGACTGGTCCAAATTCCATAGCTGCACCAATTTGTGGTGGGTGCAATATTTGGCGAAAAAGATGATCGAGCCACCGATTTGTCCTAAAGGTGTTCTGACAGCAAAAAGGAAAAAGGTTTGAGAAAACCGCGATAATTCTTCAGAATTCTTTTTGTTTTAGGAACTTGGAAATTTGTTCGCCAGATTAGGAGAATTCGGAAATTGCCGACAATCGTTTGCTGATGCTGAATTTTATAGTGAATTTTTCAAAGGATTCATTCAATATCATTAAAACGCTCATCAGTTTTGTATATTTAATATATATTTATGAATACTGTCAAATAGTCGAAATCAATAAATTTTTAATATTTTTGGAATGTTATTCATTTTTTTTATATTGAAATTTGGAATTTCACTTCCTGGTACTTTCAAATGATTGCTACATTTATGGAATTATTGATGTAATAAGAAACCTTTAAAAATTACAAAATTTTCGATTAAAGTAATAATTTTCCGTATTTCATAAATTGATTAATTAACACTTTCAAAACTTTTTTTATACGAATTTATATTTTATTCGTATCGTGACAACCATTGCTCCATTTTAGCCGCGCTTTTTTGATCGTTCCCTGAAAAGTTCACAATTTTCACTTAAAAACCACAATTTAACGTGTGCATGAGAGATTTGGATGCATTTTTTAACTGATAATGCTATTGTAGAGAAGGCCGTGAAAATAAATGATTTTTTGGCCTCTCAAAGCGGTGTATTATCGTTTAATAAATGAAAAAAAAAGAAATAAACTGAAATGAAAAAAAAAAAAAACAAAATTTTATCTTCAAGAATATTTAAATTTGCAGCACTGAGCTGAGTACGACACTCCGCGTTTGCCCTCGTTTTAGCGCCGTATTATTTTTTTCATTTTTCGTGATATTCGTCAATTCTACACCAATTTTCAAGTTTTCAGGCACCAGATGCTCCGAAAATTGTGCTCAAATACCTTACGACTCGGGAGGGCACAAACAAGGTTTTTGAGTAATACTGGAGACGATAATGGGGAAAATAAGGTTTGTTAATTTATTTCTCGTTTCAGCGTTTATTTTCTTTTTTTTTAACCAATTCACTTTACGCTGATTTTTAGAAGGGCTTGAAACCGAAAGATGTACTTGACGATGATATTCTTAAAGCGATTGACGGTGTTGCCAACGAAATTCATCCAAAGAGCACTGTTGCAAAAAAATCGTGAGAAGCGCGTTTAAAGTTTTCTGTATGTATATTTTTTTAATTTTCAGCCTTAAAAGTACATTGATTAACAAGTTAGTTTCCAATGAAAAGGCGACGTTTGATGCTGCAACTGCTTCAGCAAGTAGCGAGATGCTCGATGATCAAACCCTCATCGGGTTGTTGTCGGATGTCGCAGCAGACGCGAAAACCGAAAGAAAAATAGCTCCAAAGTATTGAAAATAGGATTTTAAAGGGAGATTGAAATAAAAATATTTAGATTTGCGCAATTGAGACAAGAACGTCGAGGATTAGTGCTATTGCGTAAAGAGGTCTTCTATCAAGCAGTCCAGGTAAAATTCAATGCTTGAATTGGACTTTTTCACCAACTTTTTGGCATTTAGAGCGGCTTTTCAACGGATGAAGCTCGCGTTAAAGCTGAAACGATTGTTAACGAAGCTCAAGAAAAGCTGAATGAGCGCAGAAAAGCGATTGTCGCGGGGATTCAGGAGAAGAGCGTCGAAGAGCAGGCCCAGGAGGTCCAGCGATCGGAAAAAGAGCAGAAGCTCTTTGATATGGCTTTGAATATGCTTGAGTAGGTCGATTTTCTTTGAAAAAAATATCGTTTTCCAATAAAAAATGTTCAAATATCATTTATTCGCCAAAATTCTTGTTTTCAAAATTTGTCATAAGTTGGAAACTTGGATTACTCGGAATCCTTAAGAAATGTGATAAAAATGAGAATTTCGTTCTAGAAAAATCTACAAGGACGATTTGATAAACGGTGATGCGCGTAAGCCGATCGCTGTCGACCAAAACGCTCCGAGCATCTTCGGCCACCGAGCCCTAGGCATCTGGAAGACGACAGAAGGCTTAGAGGATGTATCGCTCGGATTCTGGACGGAATGGGATCGGCGCGCAGCGCTTCTCACGAATCAATCGTTCGGACCAACGAACTCATTCGAGGAGCAAATCGAATGGACGGCGAAGGGAAAACAATGGGAATACCCGATCGACAATGAGTTTAAGCTTGGCGATGAGGAGAATGTATGGAGATTTCAGAATGGAATTGAATTTGTATGATATTCAGGTCTCATTTATTGACCACGTGTTCTTGGAAAGACATCTTCCCTCATTAGGAATACCGAAGAAGGGACCAATCGCGCACTTTATGCATTTGGTAAGTGTTTGAATTGCCGCCAAAGACAACCGCCACACCAAACAAATAAGGAGATAAGCGCGAAACAATAATTTATTTAAGTTGTTGGCAAACACCTCATATAGTAACCAATTAAACCCACAAGAAATGTTTGTTTGATAGTCGATTTACCGAATTTCAGACGGAATAGTTTTAAAATGTTGCTTTTTAGTTTTTTTCTGCCTCCAAAAAAGGACATGTTTGAAATTTATCTGATAAGTTTTGAAATTCTTCACTAATCAAACCATCAGCCGAACCGGGACCATAATAATTTATCGATAGAATATTCGGGATTATCAGGTGTGACATTTATAATGGTACTTTGAAGATTTGGCAAGGAAACTCATGAACCCGGTTAAAAACTATAAATATTAAAAAAAACAATAGTTTTACCCAGTTTTTTTTTTTTGAGATTTTCCAAAATTTACATATTATCATATAAAAGGCGGATTTTATAATTTGAATGGTCAAACGCGTTTTCTATTTTTGATATTAGCGCCAAATCGGCACATGTCCCTTTAATACCTACAGTATGAATTTCATATTCGATTGAAGCGAAAAAAAATTGGAAAGACGCCAAATTTTTAATCACAAAATGGTCGCCCGCTTTAAAAGTTTGGCGAATATACCAATTTTTCGAAAATTTGTGAATTACTACATTCGGAAAGTAAATTTTAGGAGAAAATTTGTGATATGTATAATGATAAGTAGAAGAGATCTTCTTGATATGACCCTTTATTTTAAATGTCTTGCACAATGTTGAAATGTTAATGTTTATCCGACGTTTCGATCTTTAGATCATCATCAGGGAAGGTCAATTTACCTACAAGATAATAAGTAATAGATTGGTCAAAAAAGGAATAAAAGAGTTAAGTTGTAAGTATCAATCAGAAAACAAACAAACCATAAGAACAAATCAAGAAACAAAACAATGTCCAATACGTAACACAAAAATATGTTAGGAGCGTTACTGTGAGGATGTAAGTAGATCAAAAATTTTAGAGAACTAGAGGATAGGTTTAGAAAAGTTTTTTTAGCTATGACTAAGAGAAATCCCCTCGAATTCCGAAATCCGAGACCAAATCTATAAGTTCTTCTTTAGTATTAAGTTCAGGATTCTTGGTTTTAATATAAATTCCTTCCAGTATTCTTCGACGAGTTGTGTTCCTCTCAATATCTAGTATTTTAATAGAAAGTTGTAAGGGCTCCCCGTTATGAATTTCAAATGAGTGTTTAGACCAAACCGTGTTTTTGTATGATTTTAGATTTGGTTTCAACGCAGCTCTAGCATGTTCGTTGAAACGAGAAGCTAAAGGCCTTCCCGTTTCACCGACGTAACTCTTTCCACAACCACATTTGATTTCATAAATGACTCCTTTAATGGTACAAGTACCAACTCCCAGCTCCGGACAAACTCTGCAACCTCTACCCTCACATCGAACATCAAAAATACGATTTTTGACAAGGATGTCCCTAAGTGATTTACCTTTAAGTTCTACTACAGTGACATCCAAGTCAACTTGTCTAAGTGATGTTTTAATTATTTGAGTAGTGGTATCGGAGATAAACGGAACCGGAAGTACATTTTTTATGATTTTTTCTGGATATGGGAAGTTATGCCTTTTAGGTCTAGATCTATTTGTAATGTTATAACCATTAGAGGCCAAAACTTCTTTAGCCAAATTTTTTGAAAAAGTTTTATATTCCGGAGAAGAGAGTTTTTCAGCAGTTTTTATGGTAGAAATGACCGTATTTCGTTTTTGTTGATAGGGATGGTTGGAATCAAACCGGATGAGAATGTTTTTGTTAGAAGGTTTTCTATACCATCTGGTGACGAAAATATTGTTCTTATATGAAATCTCACAGTTAAGGAAAGCCAGCCACCCATTATTAGGAGATTCTCTAGTCAAACATATATGTTCGGCTTGAGAATTCAAACTATGGAAGACCCTATCCAAAACATCTTGAGACTCCGCAATAACAATATAATCATCAATATATCTCTTAAATAGAATGGTGGGAAAGTTTTTGCTAGGATTTTCAATTTTGTCCATATATATGACGGCAAGTATATTATGTATAATGATTGTTTGTCGGTCTCGTCGACATTTCGCAAATTCTCGTTATCAACACATAGATGCATAATTGCAGGTTTGCGTTGGACTCTCGAAAAACCCGTATATGACGGCGGCGAAGAAGCGCGACCATTTGCAATGGTTCGCCGATTACTTCAACGAGGAGAAGCAGAAGCTGGTGCATAAGCTACACGAGCAGGAGCAGATCGCTGCGCAAAACGCGCTTTAATTCATATTTATTAGGGTTCTCTCTTTCTTCGTCTTATTATTAATCTCTTTGTTTTGTTTTAGTTAGCTTTTTAATTGTTTGTTAGTATTTGGTTTTTCAACAAAAAAAATTCTATATCGATTTGGCAATTTCAAATTGTTGTTGCTCAAAAAGCTGAATTTTCGTTTTCTGATCGAATCGAAACCGATTTTTTTCGAATAAGTTTTGTTGTGGGCGTTTGGGCTGACACGGTGACCGACCGACACCCGCCGCCGCACTCTCATCACACTTACACGCACTGACACATCGCCAGTCAGGCAGCCGGGCCGGCCCGGCCGGCTTGGGGCCACCAGCCATCATCACGCTCTTCTCCGCCCCAAAAAAAGCGCAATTGTCTTCGTCGCGCAGGTGGTTGGTTGGTTTCCTCGTCGGCGTCTTCGCACGCCATTTGTGTTCTTCGTTCCAAAACTTGGAACACTCTCTGCGATCAGCGTAATCTCTTGAATGGTTCGAGGTCACATCATCCGAGCACGGACCCCCCCCCTCTGCGCTTGCCAAATTAAGTGGACCCACAAAATTTTTGTACACGAATTTCCCGTTGATTCCGCCATCCCATTATGATTTATTGCCGCTTCTTCTGCTCTCTTCGTTCTTTTTTTCTGTTTTTTATTTCCTTTGGCTTCTCAGCGGCCCGAGATTCGTAATGTCGGGTTAATTTTTGCGGGGTCTATGATGTTTATGAGCGATATTGCACTCAGCTCGTCAATTTTTGTTCTGCTTCCTCTCATATGCGCCTTTAAACTTGAATTTATACAATTGCTAAAATCAAATGTCTATTGATTTTTTTGCAAATTTTTATTCTCGCGAAAATTGAGCTGTGGAAATATTAGAATGTTTCTAAATTCCCCATTTTTTAAGATTTTATTATTGTTAAAAAAAGTGGCAGAAATTTTTTTTTCTGTGAAATGTAAAAAAAAAATTGCAAAACGTGAAAAATGATTTTTTTAAACTTATTTTGCATTTTAATTTTTTAAAATATTGTTTTCACAATTTTTCTGTATTAAAAATGCCAAAAATTGCGATTTTTGATCAAAAATGTAAATTTTCAGCTAAATTACTGCAGAAAAACGTCAAAATTTTAAAGAAATCCAAAATTTTTGACCGAATATTTTAATGAATTCGCGTTCTGTGCCAAAAAATGCAATAAACGTGGTTTATTTGCGTTTCTCGCGGAAAACATTCGAATTATTAAAATTTTCGTTATCTTTTTTGTGTTTGACGAGTAGGATCGCTCTAGTTTTTTTGGTGTTCTCAGATTTTTGGAATTTTCAATTCCAAATAAAATATGTGTTTTCCCGTCGTCTCGCCCGGATGAATGCAATTTCGAGAATTTCTAATCTTTCGCTGGTGACGGCCAAAAAGCGATGAGCATAAATATATAAATATAGAAATTGAAAATTAAGCTCTTAATCTATCCATCCGCGTTGCACTTTGTTTTTTCGGCGACCAATTCGAGCTTCCTCCTTTCATTCCGTCCATCCATTGTTTGGGTTTGCCTTTTGGGGATTCAATTAGTGATTTGTTGCCGGAGAGCCGCCGCACTTCTCCTCACCAGCGGCACCGAAAAAAAAGGAATTGGCCGAGTAAATAGAAAGAGATTGCGTGTTGGCGGAGGAAGAAGCATGCCAGAAGCCGCACTCACACTTGCCACCTTGGCTTTATTCTTTCTCACAGCGGGTTTTACATTGCGATTTTTCGCTGGTTCTTCTTTTTTGCCGTCATTCACAAAAAAATTCCCATTTTCTCTTGTTGTCTACAGTAGCGAAGTGTGTAATTGTGCGTCGCGTGTTTGCGTAATCATTGCGTCACACATTAATTTTTTTTCTTCACATTTCTTTTCTTTTATTTTACGCGTTTCATTTTCCATTGCGACACGTCTAGACGAAATTTATAAGCGCATCGAGATCGTGAAAATCAATTATTAATTCAGAGGTGGTGAATTGCTTACCCCTAATTTGGATTTCAGATGATAGAGAGAAAGAGAACAAAAAACACTTGGTTCCGTTCTCTTTCCGTCGGGAAGCTGTGGCGGCGGCGGCGGCGACCAGTTCGAATATATCACGAAACCGAGGAAATTGATCAGTGAGCGTGTAGGACGAAGAGGTGTAGACAATCGGAAAAGTTATTAGCTTCTTGCGCCTTGGAAGTGGCGACCGGAGGACGACGAGCGGGGTGGGCCCCACGTCCAAAAGACAACACGATAGACATAGGATACACAGAAATTGCATACGCATGCATACGTGTCGAGAACACCGCTTTCTCATTTAAAGGTCCTGACGCGACATTGTCGGAAGCGGTGTGGAATTGTTTCGTTATCGCGGAACACAGCTTGAATCATGATTGCGGTAGCCGGGGCGCGGCATCGTTTCATCGTTCATGTATGTATGTATAATCAATCTATTTGGAATAGTGTAACAACACGTCGTTGAAATTGCCGGATGTTGAATGGATCAAAGTCGGAGCGAATGCGATCAGGTAGACGCGCGGCGAGTTGAAAGCGAAACACGACTCGCGCGGCGCCCGACGATGAGGTGGTGGTAGTGGTAGTAGTAGAAGAAGAAGCTGCCCGTTCCTTCTTGTTTATGAATTTTATTTAGTGAGCGCCCTCGAAGATTCGGCTTGTATTGATTTTTATTTTTTTTCTCAATTCGTTTTCTCATTTAGCCTACTATCCTGTATCAATTTTGTGTTGCGCAAAAAGGCAACGCACCGTGCCCATTAATTACCCACCAAATTAACGTCTCGCCTTAAGTGTCGATCTCACGCGATTTTACACTATCAGAAAGCGAATGCAACGATCATCAACTGATTCGATTCGAATTCATCGCCGCGCACAGTTATATTATATTGTTTTGGGGCCCGAGTCAAAAGGGCAAATGGGTCAATCTGCGCGCAGGCTGCTGCTGCTGCTGCTGTTTAGCTGCAATGGCCCGGCCCTCATTGATCTGCGTCTATTGCTCATCGTCGACTATTTCGGCGAACAATCGGCTGTGGTGGTGGACGAGGGGAGGGAGGGAGGAGGGGGGTGTCGGCCTCTTCGTCCTCGTCACCCTCTCCCATCTACGATACTCGTCTCACACTTACTTCATCCCCTAGCTAGGCTGGCTGGTTTTTCGTTGTGGTTTTGTCGGCGGCCCTTCCCCGCCGCCGCCACCGGCGACGACGACGACGTCGTTCGTTCGCTCGCTCGCTCGCTTCCCCGCCTGAAGGAGCGTATGCGTTGTATGCGTATGTATCTTCATCGTTTCTACTTCTTCATCTGTGCTTCGAGCTTTCAAACAATCCAAAAATGGATATGCCCGCTTGGCCGCCCAGGCTCGTTGTTTGCGCGAAGTGCGTGTTGTTTTTTTTGTGTGTGTGTTGCACCTCACTTCTTCATCTTCTTCTTCTATTCCTCGCTTCTTCGCCGCCCATCATATCTGATCATGGATGGCGTCGTCGTCGTCGAGCATTCGCCTGCTCCTGCTGCTCAATTTTTGTTTGTGGGCGGAGTCGCACTCGTGTGTTCTGAAGCACTATTCTCGACGCCTATTGTGCTCGCGGCATCCGGCGCAAAAATGTCCCCTCTGCGTTTTCGACATTGGTGGTCGAATGCACTTTTCAATAAAATCTTTTTTCTTGTTGTTCAACGAAAAAATAAATTTGATGCGATTTTGCATACTGTCGCTGAAATTTGGTGCAAACACCGACACGCGGTAATGCACGCAACAATCGATGATAAACAATTTTTGAAAAAAATTTCCACTTTTTTTTAGTTTGCTTCCTGTCTGCGGGAAGAAAAGAACAAAAATTGAGGAAGCTTGTTAGTTTCCCACGAACTATGCGAACACAGGTGAAAATTTGCGACATTTAGTGTTTCTCGAACAGACGAATTCGTCATACGGCGACCATTTACGGTGCGCGCGCCGGCTGGCTCGTTCGCCTCTCGTCGTATCAGTTCGGCGTTCGTTGATCGTTTAGCGATTCGTTTCGGCCGATTTCGTTGTGTGTCGGTTTTTGTGCGTTTCTTTTTTTCCCCCTTCATCACCATCATCATCATCATCATACACAATTTTTTTTTCCATTTTTAGGGTGTGTGTATGTCGAGAGTGTGCCTTTGCCTGTGTGTATGCGTGTGTGTGTGTGTCGCTTTATTCTCACCTCAAAACGCAGACAAAAGCAAATAAGCACATGTATTGAACGGACACGGTTCGTCATATTGTCGGCTTTAGATAGGGGGGACCCAACTTCTCTTTTTTTCGCCTTGTTTCGTTGTCGACCTGAACGATTTTTTTTATGTTCTCCTCCCCCGCCCCCCACAACCCCCGATTTTTCGGCGCCACTCTTTTTTGTTGCCTTTTATGACACATTTTTTATTGATTTGATTTTTTCCTTTGATTTCAATGGAATAGTGTAATGTTTCTCAAAAAAAAAAAATTAGTTTATCAAAATTTTGCCACTGCCGAAACATTTTAAATCCGATTTTCGAAAATTTTTGGATATTTTAATTTGGAATTAAAATCTCAGCGAAATTCTCATTTTTATTCTCGCGGTGGAAGCTCGAAAATCATCCAATTTTTATCTTTGAACTTCTAGAAAAACATTTTCAAATTAGTTGCGTCATCCAAACCCAATTGTCTCTTTTTCTCTATTTTCGGCAAAGAATTGAATTTTTTTTTGCTTGAACGTACACCATTTTGAAATGCTTCCGCTGAAAGTTCGTCAAAAGAACACATTTTTCTTTTGGCGTTTATTTTTTAATTTTTATGATTAAATTTGTTTTTTTTTTCAGATCATCGTCACCCGCTGCTGTCGCGGTGAAGATGATGCCGTCGACGTCAATGTCGTCGACATCATCGAATTATATCAATACGGATCTTCCGAATCCTAACGATGAGCCGTAAGTTGACCAAGAGAGAGAGCAGGCTTGTCGTTTGAGGAAAGGCATTTTTTTTTTGACCGAGTACGCCAAAATTGTCAAGTTTAATAAAATATTAAATTCTTGATTTACCCAAATTCTTCAAAAACATTCATTTGAAGAATATTCGTTTACTATCGAGAGTTCAGAACAACAAGCCTGCCCGAATGTTGCGAAACGAAAACAAAAAAAATATATATGATAAATTTAGGGAAATCAGCGACTCGCATTTTCTGAAGAACGCGATCAATGAGACGCGAAGGCAATCGCAGCACGCCGAGCGGCTCTACCGCGAGCGGAATCCCGCCCTGGTGGCGGATAGTCGCCGCGAAACCGCGCAATTATATCAAAAGTGAGCATTTTCGTCGTCATCGTACCCAAACGTGCCGCCCGGAGCAATTCTGCGAGTGAGCGAGCGCGCACATTTTGAATCTCGCGCGCTGCTCTTTGCGTCTGCGTCTCTCGAAGAAGCTTCACTCGGGGGCGTCAGCCTCGTGACAGATGGCGGGCAATCTGGAATGCCTCGAATATTTCAAAATATTGAAAAAAAAAGAAAGATTTCTTGTGTGCGCTTACGTGTCAGCCATTTGTCGAGAGTTTGCGTATTCCCTAGACTCGCAAATTTCCACTACTATCATTTGAATGAATGATTCATTCACCTAATTATCAACGCCTACCCAGCTACTCCAAAAAAAAGTGAATTTATGAGGCCCGGAGCCTACCAAAAGTGCGCGATTTGTCTGAATCTCTTGCGCTCTCGCGCTCGCCGAGTTTTGCGCCGGCCATCCAGCCAGCCTCATTTCGATTATTATCATTATCAGCGACTAGTAGCATGAGACCCCCTCGGAGGCGGTTAGTTCTTCGATTCTGTCTCTCATTCGCGCACGTTTCGAGTTGTAGTTTTTTTTGTTGCAGATATCGCGACGACGAAGAGAAGAAGCGAATGGAGGAGTCGAAGAGTAAAGAGGTTTTCGCGAACACGCCGATTTCGAGGAATCATGTGAGTCGTTATTCTTTTTTCTTTATCTTCCAGTTGAAAAATCCCATGTTTTTTTTTAGGATCGCAAACGCCGTGTCGCTGAGATGGACGATGATTGGGCGAAGCGTGCCGGCGGACCTGCATGGGGACAGCCGAACGCTTATCAGATGCATCAGCAGGCCGCCTATCAGCAGCAACAACAGCAGCAGTACATGCTCATGCAGCAGCATCAGCAGCAGCAGAGGGAGTTGATGGCGCAGCGGTCGGCGGCGGCGGTTGCTGCCGCTGCCATCGCCCAGCCGCCGTCGTTTCCGATGCGTCCGAACTACGGGATGATGGCGACGTCATCGAACGGCGTCAAATCGGAGCCGGTCACACCGTCGACGACGCATCACGCGAGCCCGATCACGCCGGCGTTGAAGCTCGCCGATGATTTGAGTGATCTGCCGACGCCGGGCAACGTCGACTTCCTCGCCGAATCCGAGTTTCGGTGCGACAACGATGTGATTCGCGATTTGGGACCCGATTGTCTTGAAGGCGAGGATCTGTTCGCTGATGTCGAAGCGCCGATGTTCACGAGCACACCGTTGCCGATGAATGAGGTGCCGCAACAATCGGCACCGATGCAGCAGCCGCAGCCACAGCCACATCAGAATGGGTAAGCGCGATCGCTGGTTTTCTGAGATTTATGTTTTGGGTTCGGATTCGCGAGGAACTCGATGTACCACCATCAACAGCAGCAGCAGCAGCAACAACAACAACAACAACAACACCAACAGCATCAGCAGCAGATGATGATCCAGCGGGAGATGTTCATGAAGCAGCAACAGCAACAACAGCAGCAGCAACAGCGTGCCGCCTACCAGCAAGGCGGCTATCCGAATCAGCAGGTCTACATGCATCAGGTCAGAATGCAGCAGATGCACTATCATCAGCAGGCGCCGGCGCCACCAAACCATCACCATCATCATCAACACCATAATCCGGCCATGTCGGCAGCGGTTCATCCAGCCGGCTACGGAATTCCAGCGATGCCGGCCGGAGCGCCGGCGACTGCTGCCGCCGCTCATCCCGCCCTATATCATCATCAGGCGCAATTCGCGCGTCCCCTCTGAAATCAGCAATAGCTAGTCGTGTTCAACGGTTTTGTTTTCCTAGGCTTCGTATTTCTTTTGGTGTGTATAATTATTTTCCATTTCTTTTTGTTTTTTTTTTTGTGTGTGTGTTTTTTTTGCTCTCAGATCTCCATGTACCATATGTTTTGTAGACGGAACACTCTTCCGCCCCCCCTCTCTCTCTCCCTCCAATGCCCACAGCCTCTAGTAGACCCGAACCACTTTCCTGGCAGAATTCCGAATTACGCTAGTCGCCGTAGCCGCCATCGGCAAATTATTAGTCAAATCGAAACATATGTCTCTCCCTCTCTTTCTGTTGTTGTTTCTTTGTTAATATGCGCTGAGAGTTTCAGATCGCAGGCTCGATGGAAACTATAAAACGAAAAACTCGAACCTAGTTCGATCATCGTAATCGTCCATTTAATCCCCATTCCCTTCTACCTAATATGGCAGCAATTCTCGGAATATCCTCATCTCACACATTCGACCCCTGTATCAACAAAATTCATGCGAATCCTGGTGATTATTTTTTTTCTCATCTTCTTTCTGTTCTATCATTTTATTTTGCTATCTTATATATCTCAATGTTTCTTCGTTTTTTTTTGTCTTCTGATGTGCGTCTGTAACATTATTTTTTGTCTGAAGAGAAGAAAGAAAGTATGATATTCTTCTTTTTTTCTCGGCTCATTCTCAAATATTATACAGAAACATAATGATTAAACACACATATCGAGACATAATAATAACGAGGGGAAGGGGGGCGAAATCACAAGGAGAAAAAAAATGTTTGGTGACCCATTTGTGCGTTTTTGTTTGTAATTATAATTGCAGGCGGGATTAATTAATTAATTAGGGGCTGACTAGGTCGGTATATATATGTAGGTGTGTGTGTGTGTATTTGTTTGTGGGGTGAAAGTAGCACCTTTCGATCCGTAACGACAAGGGGAGAGTTTCGTGTGTGTGATGGAGTTGTTGAAGCCGATTCAGCGCTTCTGATATTCGGCTAGCGGTTTGATGACGCCGTCCTCGTAGGCGCGAAGTATCGACTCGCACACAAACGTGTATTGACCCTGAAAATCCAAAAAATGGTTGCGAACACCAACGCGTTTCTCACCGGCGTCTGAATCAGCATCGCCCTCTGGTCCCTCATCGTGCGCACAATGTCCAACGGATAGACGGGCTCGTTCGATTCGACGAGACACGCGGCCGTCTCCATGAGTATGAGCACACCGGTGCGGCCGATGCCCGCCGAACAGTGCACGACGATCGGATCGACGGAGCCCTGACGCGCTTTGCGCACCTCGTCGACGAAACTGATAAAGTGCTTCGGATCATCGGGAACACCGTGATCCGGCCATGCGATGTACTGCATCTGGCATACGCGTCGCTCCTCGTTCGTCTAAATCATCGAATGAATTCAGCGCGCAATTCCAACGCTTACCGTTCGATCGCGTAGCGTGAACTCGCGATACGCGCAATTCTGCGTCTGACGATCCTTGACGCATCGCACCATTAATCGGCCATATTCTTGGGTTTCGAATAATCTGGAAACAAAAAACATGATTTTCGTGACTTTCTTTTTTTTTTACAATTTTAAAGTTGTCAAAAATGCAACAAAAAAATTCACACCAGCTAAATTGACAAAAACTTTCGTTTCGAGAATCTTGACAACTCATGGCGCGTGCTCCTTTAAAGCTTTCAAATAATTTTTTAAATGTTCGAAACAAATGAAAAATGCTAAAAATTCCAGAATTTTAGTCGGCAAAATTCAAAAAAAAAAATAAAGAAACACTCGAAACAATTTCGCCGATTACCTCGGCCAATATTGATGGCATTTGACTCGACCGCGCTCCGTCAACGTTGTGAGCATCACAATTGTCGCGCAGAGTTGCTCCCAGATCATGAGCCAAAAATCGACGCACGTGTGCGCCAACGGCCCTTGGCATGCAATATAGCGATTCACAATACCCGATGATGGAATCTCCATCTGAAATCGTACCATATATCATCGACCATCATCATCAACAACAATCAACTCACATTCACAAAATTCGCATTAATATAATCGCCAGTGTTCGACGTCTGCAGAATCACGCGCGTCTCGTCATACGGACACACATCGCGATATCGATTCTTGTTGACGTTCGCGTTGAGGCGGCACGCGTTCATCGACATTCCCGGCTTTTTGCGATACAACATGTCGAACTGATCGACGATTTTGCCGGAGTTCAGCGCGTCGCCGAGTAGGCGAAGCGATTGCGACAATTTGTCCGATCGCGGAACCGAATCGGCGACGCGCGCTGGCTCCGGCATACACGACGCGTCCGGCTCCTCGACGTCTTCGCCAAGCCGGTATACTGTAATATAAATATAACGTACGACGGCCTGTAAGGATGTCGGCAGACGCAAATTTACAACTCGCGCATCCCGTCATCATCAATCCCTAATAATTCCGTAATACTTACCATTCGGCTTGATCGTCAACTGAAGCTCGCCACCATTGGCTCCCTGTCTCGCCGATCTGATGAACTGCACCACCTGATCGTGCGACATCACCGAAACATCGCGTCCATCGATGAAAAGGACCTGAACCTCCAGCCATTGATTCATCGACTCGACATCGGACCATCGTTTACCTGATCGCCCTCGTTCAATCGCGGTTGGCATTTGTCGGCCGAGCTGCCCGGCGCCACACGCGACACAATCACCGGATAGTTCTGATCGGCGCCGCCTTTCACGTTGAATCCGAATCGGCCGTGCCGATCGGGCCGCATTTTCACCGTCACCACTTGATCCTCGCCGACCGGCGAGCTCGACTTGTTGCTTTGCGGCGAGCGACGCGATCGCGGCGGACTGCCGCCGATGCCGGCCGACGCGAACGACGAATAGCTGGCGACCGAATTGCGCGGACTCGACGCGCCGAAAATTTGCGTCGTCGGCGCTCGCATTTTTGCGGTGCCGCTCGAACGCGACACGGTCCCATCTGAAATCGCGTCGGTCATGAATTGCGAGAGAGAAATGACCACAAAAAAAATTATTCAACTATGTTTTGACGTCAAATTTTCAAATTGTTTTCTAAATAAAAAAAAGCCCCCAAAAATTCTCTTAATACATTTTTTAAAAGAAAGTTTCAAAAAAAAAATGTTTTTGCGTATTTTCAATATTCCCACATGCATGCAAAAATGCTTCAATTAAATAAATAAAAAATTTTAATGTTCTTTTAATTTTCATAAATTTCAAATTAGAATATTTTTAATGCAATATTCCTTCTAGAAACTGGCTAAAAAAAATAAGAACAAATTTTTTTTAGCCCAAAACAATTCGGCAATTCTCATCATCCAAAATTCAAAATTCTTGAGACACACGTGCAAAAACCGCTTGCAAATATTGATTTTGAGTATTTTCACGTTGACGAAAGGGAAAAAGAAGCATCAACAAAAGAAAAAAACTCACTAGTATATCCATGTGCGGGGGAGTAGGTCGAGTTGGCGTGCGTCTGACTCGAGTAGCCGTTCGCTTTTCGACTCAGGCTCGTCGGTGTGCCGTTCGCGACGGGACCCGTTCGATGAATACCAACCGGCGGTTGCGATGTCGATGTGCACGCCTACAAAAAGCCGAAAAATCAATAAATTTGCGACACGCAAAAAATTAAAATTGGAATTGAAATTCGAATCGCACTTTCTTTTTTTTTCTTCTCCGGTGGATTTTTCACACAGCAATTAGCCCAATGTCAACAAAAGTCAAAACGCGTGTGTTTGTGCTCGAAACATGCTCGAGAGGCTTTCGCGACGAGCAAGAGCCAAAAAAAATCAGAGAAAGAGAAAAAAAAACCAAATTGACAGGAACACGCGATGCCAGTAAAAAAAGAAACCATCAAAAAATGTGTTTAGCCCTTCAAAATGTCCGCAGATGATAACCCAATGATTGAATCTTAACGATAATGTAAAAAAAAAACCCCTCTCGGAATCCCATCGAGTATAAACCAAAAACCCGGAAACCTGTCGGCAGATGAAACAAAACCAAAATTTGAACAAAATGATTTAAAAATGCAAAACCAAAATGAAAAAAATAATAATAAACGCGAAGCAACCTGCTTGTTGAATCTTCGAATCGTCTCGGCGATGTCAATTTTGCCGGGCGACGCGTTGACACGAAACGACACCGATGGGCCGATGGGCATTGATGGTGTGCGGCGGCGGCCGCCACGATCTCACCAAAACGAATGAATCAGCGAATTCGGGTTCGTGGGACGCAGTGGGACGGACCAATGAATGTTGGGCCTAACCAATGATGATGGTGATGATGAAGCCCGCTCCTCCTTTACCAGCCTGCCAGCTAGTTGTACACACTAGTGCGCAACTCGGCTTGTGTGTGTGTGTGTGTGTGCTCACCGCGCCCGATAATCTAGTGCGAATCGAGCAGCAGCGCAACGGTCTACTATAGTAAAGGTTTTTCGTCTCGTTCCGAGAAACCGGAATCCCACAGCATCCATCCAACCCGCCCCCTCTTCATTCCATCACTTAACAATTTTCTGTTACAATAACACACATGTGGCGGGAAAATATGAGTTAAATCAAATTTTACGGACCATTAAAATCGATCTTCCTCATCGCTTCATGCACACCACATTACAACAAATTTCAACTTTTTTTTCTAGAAAAAAAAACCGATGAAAAGAAGACGTCGAAGAGGAAACAGAGACATTTTTCTTCTTCTCAAAAAAAAGAAATCAAACATTTTCCTCAAAAAAAAACCTCCCAAACGTAATTCTTTGGCTAATATTGACCGAACCGAATCGAATCGATTAGAAGGGAGGAAAACGGCAAAAAAAAAAACAAATTCAATAATTTTTTCCTTCTTTTTCGCATTGGTCCTCAAAAAATGAGGTAATTTTCAAACAGAATGAGAGAGAAAAAATATTAAAATTTAGCAGTCTTGAAAAAATCTATTGCTGATTTCAAACGACGACTGATATCGCGAAATTCGTGTCGATTTGCAAATTTGGCATATTGAGCATTGGCTAAAATGCAGAGTGCTCAATGTGTGTTTTTCTTTTTCAAATTTCGACCAATCCCCGGAGATTGTCAGCAGCACAAAAATTAAAAAAAATTTGTAAAAAAAAAAAAAGAAAATTTGATTCGACTCTCACCATGCTCGGCGTCCAGCTCTTCTCGTCGCAACTCTCGTGCGTACCGTAGAACGACGCCTCTTTCGCGCCGAGTCGATTCTGTCGAAGCGACGGCGCCGACGATTCGCTGGAATAACAAAAAAAAATCAATTGCACTTCGAAATCATCAAATCGATGCAAACCAGAACAACACCCCACCCTATAACAAAAAAAATTTGGGAGTGTTGTGACCAGAAGGGGGGGGGGAGGTGGGTTGGCTAGTTTATTTGCGCAACAGCTATATGTACAAAATTGGTGAATAAAAGGAAGCCGGCGAGGCGGACAAGAAAACGCGCGCGCGCGGCAATCGATACTGTGGAATCCAGAAGAAACTGATCGCGCACGCACACAAAAATTGATACAGTTCGATGGCGGCGCCGCCAGGCAGCCGGCTCATTTAATTCTCTAGGCTCTCCGACAAAACTGTATGTGCCGTCCACGTGTGTGCGGCTCACAAGAAATTGAAAAAAAAAAAAAAAACGAAGAACCAGTCTCTCTCTCTCTCTCTCACTCATAGCGTTTAAGAGTATCGAATTTCTCGCCTATGTGAGTGTATGTGTGTGTGCCGATTGAAATCCGACAAAATATTTTGTGCGCGAATGACCGGATGGTGGAAAACAACACACACACACCTACACAAAATGCCGAATTATGGTCATCTCGGTGTAATTGGCGTGTTCGCGCGAGCGACAGGATGTACATTACATATTGGAAAATGAATTCGAAATTGACGGTTTTACGCTACCAGTTTTTCGCCGCGCGCAAGCTTCATTCAAATATTTGAGCGCCAAATTATATGGATGAAGCTTAGAAAATTATAATATTGTCGAGGACAACTTTTTTTTGTTGCTGTTGTTGGACGGGTTTTGTTCTTTAGAATTGGAAAAAAAAAAACAAATGTATATAGATTTTTAAAATTAAATGAACATTTCGAAAAATTTTAAATTCATCGTTACCTTTTTCCCACAAAAATCCATTAAATGCGAATTTTAAAATTCGGGTCTCGAAAGACGACAAAAATTGAAATTTTTGGTGTTTTTGCGACGACGTAGAAGACGAATACATTTTTTTCTTCTTTTTTTCGGGTCTCGAATCTCAAATTCAATTTTGTTTTTCACAACTACTTATATTTTTTTGTTTCGAAAATTCTACGATAGATCTCAAAACGATGGCTGGCAAATTTCCAAATGTCGGGTCTCGTGTCTTCCAATGAAAAACCCATAGAAAAAAATTTCCAATTGTTCGCCCACCCACTTATTGGCCAATATTTTCAGTTCGACAACCCCCCCCCCCTCTAAAAAAAGAGAGAGAGAGAGAAATAATGAATCGGATCGCCTATTGGCACTTGGGTTGATGGTAATGACACTTGAAACAGCGGCTACTCCTAACCTAACCATTCGCATACACACACACACACACATGCAGATATATACACATGGTCGTACGAATTCTCACATTATTTTCGCGCGCCAACACATTAAAGTTCGAAAAATGTACATTAAACCGACCAAACATGCCGGCAATGCACCCCCCACCAACGACGGTGTGAATCATGGCGCCTTCAATACACAATAACAGGCACGCGACTGACTGACTAGTAACGATGATGAAAAAAAAAACGAGAGAGAGAGAGACCAACGATGAAAATACTTTTTGGGGGTATGTCGAACCAAGTCAGCCGTTCCGTTCTGTACGAAACTTGTTCAACACCTTGTCGACATGTCTTTTTTTTTTCAAACTCAGGCAGACGAAAATAAATATTTAAAAAATGCTTTTTGGGAATACATTTCGTGGGATGGACTGATTTTGACGGACCATATCTCGACAACTACATCAATCGATTCGAAATTTTACAAAAGTCACCAAAAAAGACCTCATTTGTTAAATTTTTATAAACTCTAGAAGGCATTATTAAATTTTTGATTAGAAAAAAAAAATCAATTTTCTTTTTAAACCATCTACAATTTTCTATAGTACTTTTTGAATTCTTCACATTGTATTCAGCTTATTTGCCTGAGAAATGATCTCTCGCCTAGAATAATCGACAAATATTCGCGGTCTTGTCGCGAAAAACAAGCAACATCTCATGCGCCTTTAATCGAACCTAGTCATTTCAATGAGAATCTCACTTTTCAAAAATCGCTGTAAGACCCAAATGTGTTGTTTCTTTTTTCCAGCAAATCGGAATCGAATTTCAGCTTCATTAACACCGAAACCCGAATTCCTCGTCAAACCCCAAAAATCCTACCGTTGATTTCGACGCACCGCTGTCGCGATCACCACTTGAGGTGTTCGACCCGACGTGCGCGTGTACGTCTTCATCGTCGTCGTCGTCGTCGCACCATATTTGTCAGCGACCCACGGACCAACGGCGAATTTCAGCATTTCACGGACCACAATAATAATAATAATAATAATAATGATACATGAATTTCCTGAGGAAATCCAAGTGAGCGCGTCGAGACGCCAAAATTTACAGCTTCGATGTTGGCGGCCTGCCTGGCTGTCTGAATGGATGGATGGATGGATGGATGGCAGCACGAAGAAGTGAGGGCGGGCAACCACCGACCCGCCATCTCAGCAATTGTGAAGAGAGCGCACGAAACGCGGAGTGCGCACACAACATTTGTGGGCGTGGCGAGAGTGGGGTGGAAAAAAAAATAAAGGCGCGCTATTCGAAAATGCGACATCCGCCGTCTCTCAATCAGCAGCACATCGTTGTGTTGTTGTCAGCTGTTTCGCCTCAGCGAGACCATGGATCGTTTCGTATAGTTAACATAGTTTACGAATCCTTCCCCCCGTCGCTTCCTTTCTTTTTAAAGGCGCCAAATGGAATGTACACGATAAAGCTGGGCAACGTTGATAAGATACGAGGAATGTGTCAATATTGCCAATAGAAAAAATTTCGAGAACTTGATAAGTTCCTTTCCAGCACCAAAAAAAAAAGCGGTTGGTTGCCTCTAGAATCCATTCAGGACCATTTCGCAGTTTGTCGTCTTTTTGGTATGCGTGTGAGTGTTTCCTTCCGTTTCGCGACGAATGAGAAAGAAAAAAAACAGACAACGATTTAGTAAGCTTCAAACAAAAATGGAATGACGAATGTGTGGTGTATGCTTAGTGCTGTCGCGGCGAATCAACGCCCAAATCCCCTCGCTAGGCATCAAATTTTAGAATCTTAATTCTCTAATGGACCACAACCCAACACGCCCCAGGCCGACGCCGTTTGTTGTCGTGGTCCATAATCGGCGCGATTCAATTTCACGACAGGTAAACAACCCAATGGATCGGGACCAGCCGGCCCTCCCCCTCTAAGATTTATATGTAATTAGATCGACTGAGCCGTGCGCGCGCAAACCACCCAATATCATGCATTTCCCTTTTTTTTTTAGGCTTCATACTCAATTCCCATGGGTCATATACTATTGGCAGGCTATGTACAACAATTTTTGCAACACACTCGTCCACTAAATCGACCGCCCGGAAATCGCATTTATCTTTTCTTCGTGTATGCGGGCTGCGCTTCACACAAAGAAACAACAACAAAAAAAAAATAGTAATAATGATAGGGGGAGCTGGAGCAGCAGCTGAGCGGCGACTCACCATCGAACGCGTTGGACCACCTTCTCATCGAAGCCCGACGATGTGTCGCAATCCTTGTCCGTCGTCGAAAACCACATGTGAACGCACAAGCCGCGAAGTTTCAGGCACGCTTTGCCGAACAGTTGCGGCATTTCCATCGCTCGAATGAGGAGGAGGATGAGGGATGAGATGAACACAATACGCCGGCACAACAACAACAACAACCAATTATGGTGACATCAACGACCGTCTGTACGGAATAATCAAAATTAGAGAATCAATTTTAATACGGCAGAGCAAAAAGAAAAACGAATTAAATAAATTGAAGCGAGAGACGAACAAAATATTTTTTTCATTAGCAATGATTAATGTAGATATTTAAAGGCGCATAATGAACACGTGGAAAGTAATCAGCAGTGATGTAATAGCTTCAAAAAATGTGGTTAAAAAAAGAAGAAAAAGAAGAAACTGGTTAAAACGAAAATTAGATTGCCAGGAATTATTGTCCGCAGATGGAATAAGAAGCACAAAAAAAGTATTTCTAGAGAAAGAATTCCATAATTCCTCTACAAAAACCATATACATGGGAATAACTAATCAAGAATAACTGGTGGCCGAAATGAAATGAGAGAGAGAGGCGACTAAATTAGGCGCAACAGGTGTACCAAAGAAAAGATAGCCATCGGTTCTCGAGACAAAGAACGAAAAAAAACGGACAGGCAACGCATACATACGGGACGAAATAGGCTAACTAAATTATGACGAGCATATTTCAGGGTCGCACTCGAACTAATTATGCAGATCGGATGGCGCCAGTCAGCTAGCCAAGGACATTGTCGAGAAGCGAACCCCCCTCAACCTCTCAAACCGCAAAAAAATGATGTAGCGAAAAAAAATATATATTCGACGACATCATTATTAGTAGAAATTCGCAAGAGATTCTTAATTAAATTCCAAATATGGCATCGCGGTGGATGGCGCCAATTTGGGTCCCACGACGAACATCCCTCCTAATTGGATTTCGCCGTGTTGGCAATCTAGACCAGAGATTTAAAGGAGCAGCTAGGCAGGCGCTTTTAACACACGACATCTAGGCTTATTTTTCTGAGAACATTTTCGAATTTCGCTTTTTTTGATAAATTCATTTAAAGGAACATTACTCACTCTCCTCGTTCAATTCTGAGATATGCGCCTTTAAACAAGGATTCTAGGCTTATTTTTGAGAGAAAAGTGTTGCGCTTTTATAAGTTTTTTAAAAAAAAGATGAGTCACTTTAAAGGAACTATAGATTTCAAAGTTATGTGCCTTTAAAAATGGCAATAAAAATGACAATCTTGACGATTTCACCATTGCAAAACAACTAACCGACCTTGTCAGCAGCTAGCGCGAATCTTCTCAAGACACTCGCAAAGTCCTCAAATATCAAATTGACCTAGAAATTGACAGAGACCGTCGGGAGGGCAATCGACGAAAAAAACATTGATTTGAAACTATTTTCCATACATGTGTATATCCGGTTTTTTTTTTCGTCATCAGTAATGGGTGGGTGTGGAACATCTTTTTTTTGGCGGGAGAAAGGGGCGGGGGGCTAAAGTGCCTTTTTCGACACATCTTCTAGAACAACTAATTGCCTAGTGTCCGCCCTCTACACATATTTGGACAAATTCGCCAATATTGATAGGTAATGCTAATCGACTAGTTGGAAAGTGGGAGAGAGAGAGAAGAATTGAAGAGGAAACGAAAAACTAGCAAAAAAAAGAGATTTGCAGAATGCGGGTGATATCTACATCTACAGTGTGTAAAATTGAATGGTGAACGCCTATTTTTTCTAGATGGCTGAACACGTCGTCATTTCTCGTTGGCTGATATCGAAAATTGGTTTTTCATTATATTCTCGGAGTCAAATGACTTGACGAAATTTGAAAAATGATTGGCTATGTGCCAATGCGTCTTGAGGCAGCGAGAAGTACGCAAGACTGCGTACATTGCAATATAGCGTACGCGCATTTAATATTCAGTCAACGAAAAATTTAAATCTACACTAATTTCGCGAATTTGAAAGTCCTGCCTTCCTTGAGTCGTTTGACGCTGACAATAATAAATGTAGGCTTTCAATTGGGTCTCAACTCTTCGGAGAATTTAAAACATATTTAAATATCATTGCTTTAAAGGCACAGAATTCGATTTCAATACGACAACGTCATAGACAATCGCTTCAAGAAACTAGATAGTAACTAATTATGACAAAAAGAAAAATCAATCGTTGAGATTCGGCTAACATCAAAAATTGAAATAATTTTCAAGAGCCCAAAAACTCGCCCGCCGTCGCCGGATCGGGCGATCCGCAACAAAAATGACAGGCGGCCGAGACGCGAGATCTGTTTGATGTGACTGATATATATCGGAGCCGGATACATTTCGACCGGATCGGGGCACAAGGCCAACACACACACACACACACACATAGACAGAAAAAAAACCACAACATGGGAATCGAATAATTGGGTTGAAGAGCCGGTTGTGTTTGCCGAAACCAACAACACAATAGCGCGCTTTTGGTGGGCGAGCATTTTGCACAAAATCAGCAAAATCGATAAATTATTACATATAATTATTATATTAACTATATGATGCTGATGATGATGATGATATCGCGTTTTTATTTACGCGCGATGAATAACAATTCCTATCAGTAGCCGGGCCGGCGCGAAAACCAAAATGATGATGAAGGAGAGACATAAAAGGAGGAACAGTTTGGGTCTTGTTTGCTCGATGAATCTCTTTACGACTGGTCACAACTAACTATTTTCGCGCAGCTGAAGACGCCGGCCGCGCGCAAATTGTAAACTAATCAAACATTGTTGGGTCGCCACGATACACGTATAAAAGGGGGTGGGGTGTTTGACTTGAAATATACTACATATATGGATAGAAAAATTTTTTTTGGAAAAATCTCTTCTGGCTCAAAAAAAAAACACCCACGCACCTGTCTGTACAGTAGTCGCGCGTTTGTCGTGGCGAGACTGGTGTGCCGAGGACGCCGTCTGACGTGTAGCCGAGACCTTCGGAATTCTCGGTCTCGTGTCGAAGAAGGCGACGAGCCATTAATTGACCGCTGGAATTTTGCATGTTTCGTTGGCTACCGTCGTGTGTACCTCGTGGGAAGCTCTGGGGAACCCGATGTGGTCGTCGTGTACCTCGATGAGTCGATGGATGGCGCCGGGCCCGCGTACGTCGAACGCGCGAACGAGTTCTTCGACAGCGATCGATGAAACGTGCGATGCGTCAGATGCCTCTTGTTCTCCGCCTCCTCCATCGTCTGGTACTCGGTTCGACCGCTGTACCGAAATTTGCTGCCGATATTGAATAGGCGACGCGGTTGCGGTTTCGGCGGCGTTTTGAGCCGAAAAAACGTGTGCTGCTCGATGCAGCATTTCCACAATTGTTTGCACGATTTCGGCGAACAAATGTTGAAAACGATCATAACATCGGCGTTCGGCTGCTCGCCGCTCACCTGCACAAGGAATTGCTTTTTGCGGAAGCTCAACTTCATGATTCGAGACCACACGTATTCGCTCATCTGCAATAATCAACCAATTTTTTTATTGCGAAAATTATTTTTTTAGAGACGAACATTTTTAAATATGAAAACCCATCGCAAAATTGGACGCTTTTAGTTCTACTACGGATATCCTAGGAATCAAACTCACAGACTAACAATAACCGAGGGTTTAATATTTTTAAAATTCACAATAATTCAAATATTTAATAAAAAGTGAAAAAAATCGTTCTCAAATATTGAAAACAATTTTTTCCGGTCACGGCACTTTTTTTTAAACGTCGAATTAATTTTTTCTTTTCGAAATACCTTCATTCCATCATGGAAGACTTTGATTCCAACACAACCAACACCAATTTCAATTGGAAGGCCATTAGCGTCCTGCAAGATGAAAAAAAAAATTTAATTAAACCCCCTTAAAAATTCATTATTCACCCGTCCATCGTATAAATCCATTCCATACATTTCGAGGCGTCGGGAATGATCCAAAAAGTTGAATTCGGCGTCGGCCGGCGATTGCCCTCTGCAAGAAAAAAGGCGTTGGACAACTTTTAATTTAAAACTCTCGCAAACATGTGAAGTTGGTGTAATTCGGCGACGCGGCTCGCAAAATCGTCCGGCTGTCTTGGAGCGAATTTCAGTTTGTAGCATCCGCATGTCTTCGCATTCCCGTGATCTTTCTCCTTATAATCGCCGCATTCCGCTGGAAAAAGATTGCGAAATTCATGAATAGGAAGAAAAAAAAATTAAAATAACGCTCGTGCATTTTCGCGTCGCGTGTCTCCACGTACATTTCCGCATACCGTAGCATTTCTAAAAAATCAACTTACATTGGACCGCATAACTTGCCAATAAAGCCAATGAGCCTTCATTACAAGGAAGATGGCCTTCAAGAATACTCAGTCTGACTTGTAGAAAGAAGTGGTATCTAGAAGATCAAGAATATTGCACAACTTTTTCTTTGTTATGAATTCTCACCGGGTATACTCTTCTTTTAGCTTATTTGGATCATTTACATAGAATTTGACACGGAATAAAAGGTGATATGGCGGGCAGAACATTTGTTTCCGCACAACTTTATTGGGATCAAGCCATTTCTGAAAAAAAATATGCAAAATTTTGAAATATTTGTGGTCCATATGCTAACCTTTCTCTGGCCTTCTGAAGGATCAGCGACAAAGAAAATAAGGCCGAAATAGTCTTTTTCAATAAGCTCCAAATAACTATAAACTTTTTCCAGGAGTACATTACCCAAGGCATTTTTCTGAAAAAATAATTTTATATATAATTTTTTTCTTAAAGGGGTATACCTCTATGACGAAACTGAAATGCGATCCATCTAAAAATGAGACGAAACACTTGATATGATTATTGAGAGGGCCGCTGGTCATCGGGCTCACCGGCGTCGTCGATTTCTCGACGATCGACGACGTCGATGATGACTCGATGGCCTCCGTCTGTTGGACGTTGTAGCTGTTCGATGAGCCGAGCCGCATAATTTTCTACTTCTTCATACTACCTGCAAACCGACGAAACAATGGAAATTCATCAAAAAAGAAGACGAGCCAGAAAAAAAAAGATTTTTTTTTGTTCATGAAGCCACACGTAGCATCAAGCGGTAATAAATCAATGTCAGAGGAAAGAAATTTTCAATTTTGGCTTTTTCTTCTCGTTTTTTTGGCATGGAAAAAAGAGCACGAATTGCCTGGAATTGTCGGCAGATGGAATAATACATCTGGACCCCTCTATTTTCCTTTCGGCTACTAATGGAGCAAAAAAAAAAGCAAAAAACAACAACAACAAGGTGAGCCTCATTAAAAAATCAACAGCAGAATATTTTCTGGGTGGTCCGTCGAAAGAGAAGTGAGCGAAAACAAACGATGACATTTTGGCGGCCCGGTAGCTTGTCGGCAGCAGCATTCCAATTTCATCATGTAATATCTAAATGGGGGGAAAATGCACGAGACGAGTAGGGCGAGAAAATGAAAGGAAAAAAAGGAAGGCGAAGAAGAAGACGACGACGAAAAAAAAGAAAGTTCACTCTTCCTCTGCCCATTATTTCGATGCCTTATGCGGGGTCGACGACGGGCGCAAAAAAAAGGGGGGGCTCGGGGAATCAATTGAAGTTTTCATTCTTTTTTTTTGTTTGGCAACGACAATTCTGGAAGGTACGCAAAATGTCGTCAAAGTGTTTGCAGACTGTCACGTGGTGTATTCTACTCAAATGTCGTCAGACGCGTTGCGGTTCGCGTGCGTTTAAAATTCACTAAATAGCCGTGCAAGGTCTCGCAACGAAGATATCAGATAGTCGCCGTTTATTGAGTGAAACGCACTATACATATTGCAAAAAAAAATCATGTCTGCAATTTGTCGTAGCGGTGTTGCACAGACAGCATTTGAGTTTGATTCTGCTCATTTTTATACCTACTAGATTACTGTAATTTAGTTTGTCTGCAAACACCGAGGTTGTTCTCGTTGAGAATATTCACGAAAAAAGCAATTCTGTTTTGAAAGCGCAAAAAAAATGCAAAATGATTTCAAGCGCAAAATAATAATTATTAAGCTAGGCGCAAATTTGTTCGTTCGCCGATGCGGTTGGGCGTTAATTAGAGATTCGCATTCAATTAGCAGAGAGAGAAAATTGGGATAAACAATTTCAATTCGAATGCCCACAAAAATGCATTGCGAAAATGGGCGCATCAAAAAAAATATGTCAAAATTCTTCTGCGGACAAATTGGGAAAAAATTATTTCTGGGATTCGGCAGCCGAGTGGGAAAAGCTCAATTCATTAAAAAAAAAGAATTTTTTTGCTTGATGACTGACTGAGCAAGAAGCTTGAAGAAGAAGAAGAAGTGGCATCTCGAGATTCGTGCGAGGCTCAAGCAAAGCCGATTATTGAGTAATTAGGCTCATGCAAGCTTCTTCATACACAAAACGACGGCGACGATGATGATATAATTGAATAAGCGGCTTCTGGTGTCAGCATAAGCTCAAATATGGCAAACCCGCAGCGAGTTTTGACGGCGGCGCGCAACAAATCCCCAACGGGGCGCGCTACTTTTTGGCGGCGCACGACGCAAAAATGATGCATCTACATATATGTATATGTATGATGGCGAATGGTGATGATGATGAACATTTGCCGAAAAAAAAAGAAGTATAGTGGGTATTAAAACTGACGATAATCGTTGGCAGCAGCCATCACCGACGGGGATTTAAAACCAAGCTGATTCGATTAATACAACCCATATAAGGATTCGCTATTATGGTGGGAAAATTGCCGACGCGTTTATTTCTTTCGTTTATTTTTTTATCGATTTATTGCGACAAAAAAATCTATGTAGCACGGGTGTGGCCTAGAAAAGTGCCCTCGAGAATTAGGTTCGGCCACGGCCACACTTCACGGAAATTAAATAATTAAAAAAAATTAAAATAAAAAAATTAATCAAGTAGGAATTAGGTTCGGCCACGGCCACACTTGACGGAAATTAAATAATTTTAAAAAATTAAATTAAAAAAATTAATCAAGTAGGAATTGGGTTCGGCCACGGCCACACTTGACGGAAATTAAATAATTTTAAATAATTTAAAAAAATTTAATCAAGTCGAATTAAATGAAAAGATATATATATTGCGTGTCTTTAGAAACAAAATGTGATTTCAGACAAAAATGGAGAATTAAAACAAAAGGAAAAAAATCAGTAGCCTGTGGTTGTGTGCCGCACTTGCATTTTCAATTTTTTGAAAGTGTCGTCCAACTTTTTCTAGGCCATTCCAGCAGCTGCGACGAGCTGTGGATTTTATTGTCATCGGAATTTTATGGGAACACTTTGAAAGATATGTATTCGTGTCGGAACCTGCCGAAATTGCAATTGACCTCGAAATTTGTTGCGGAAGTGTAAAAAAAAGGGAAACGAGAAAAAGAAGGGTGCAAACACCGCGACGCAAAATCACGTACCACTGACCCATCACATTTAAATTTAATTTAATTTAATGGTTATTTAAAGGCGCACACAAAAAGGACGTGATAATTCCGGGTAAAATCAACTGTTTGAAGTGGGAGAAGTCGAGAATGATGGGCCGAACATCAGCCATCCAATTCATTTTGATGATGTGTGTGTGTGTGTAAAAATGTTTGTTGAGCCAAAAAAAACGCTGGAGCGTAAGTTTGTTGTAAAACTGACATTTGAGATGTGAGCCAAGTCGTCACGACGAGAGAGAGAGAGAGAGAGAGAGAGAGAGAGAGAAAAAGAGGGCGGGAGATCAATGTCCCGAGAGCACATTTTTATTCGAAAATGCGAAATTTATTGGGGGCGACACGACACATGAGGCAACCAATTCCGATTCGATTCGCGCTTCGTCGTGTTGTTGTAGAGTCGCCCTCCACAATTTTTTGGGACCCGATAAAACTATGCTAACTATACCATGTTTGCGTTGGCCTTCTTGTATGGTCCGTGTCAATAATGGGTGTACAGAAGATGGGGGGGGGGAACATGCCGAAATGCAAATCAAACACACGGATCGCAACATTTGACGGATATCTGAGGCGAGTGCGAGACAGAGAATGAGAGAGAGAGCATGGCGGATCGAGAGACGCCGACAATCGAACATATGGACACTGCGAAGACCCCCCCCCCTATATATTATTACTATTATTGTTGCATTATTCATTTCAAAACCAACTTCACCAGGATGCGCCTTTAAATGGGACAATGTCGAGACCCACACACAGGTAATCCCAATGGCAAACAGATTTTGTTGAGGAACGCGAAGCCTCGCCAAAAAAAATAATGGAATGAAAGGACTCGCTAATCGGCTGAATCATCTGCGGACATTTTTGCACTTGGGAAAAAAAGAGATTAGAGCAAAACGAAAAAAAAATTGTTGACCAAAAAAAGAAAAAAATATATATAAATGTCAGAATTGAATAGAAAATTGGCGCGCTCAAGCAATGACATAAAAATCGCGAAAAACCGTCGGCCAATCATCGATTCAGCGATAAAATGAGTCATGACAATAAAAGTGATACGGGGCAAGAGGCGATGAGCAGCGACGAGGTCGGCCAACGGGTCAGAGGGCAGTCAGCTGTGGTCGACCCGGCCTGTGTGTAATCGAGGAGCCCGCGGGGCCTCACAAAACTTTTATTGGCACACCGGATAAATTGTTAAGCGCAATGGCAATTCGCATCGATTATCAAAACGGCAAACAATCGGACGCAGTTGGCTGATTGCCAATGGTCCGCGATTAGGTGGTACCTCAATTTTTGAGAGACCATTTCTGAGTAATTGTGGACCATTTTTTTTTGGGGTGGAGCGCGGCAATTCAAATTTGAATTTCGAACAGTTGAAATTAGGGTACAAAAAAAATCGAGAGAACCATTCAAAATCCGAGCTTCATCGTAAATCTACACCGGTTTGCTCGGATGAGAATTCGCGAAAGCCTATCGCCGAATTTGACACACTTGATCGGATCTACACATCGCCGATCGTCTGACGCCATCGACAAAAATTTGAATTTGCGGTAGCCGCCTCGCAATAAGATGGTCAGACTCGCGCAACAAAGCAATTTGAATTTCGTGGCAGAATGCTGTGATCATAAGCGAATAAGATTAAAATTGAAGTTTGATTCGCAGGCCATCCGTAGTACGGTATTCGCACTGTTCAAATTCAAATTTCAATTGTGATGATCCTTATTCAAGCTTTTCCGATGGTAATAATAATACCTGACTATTTGGAATGAAACAGACGCCGTCAAAATTTGTTCAGACATTGGGAATAGTGGAAGATGATGACGAAAAATGAAACTAGACATCAATCGGCGGTGATCGATCATGGTGCTTGCGCAAGTACGAACTGCCTCTCAAAGCCGATCACATAGATTGGAAATTCCAAAGGGTTCAGGGCGAGAGAAATTAGAAGAAACAATTATTTTTTTGCGCACTTCTTTCATTATATCGACTCCATTGAAATTTAGAAAGAAATGTGTACAGTGCGTTTTACATTTATAGGGTCACCACCCCTATAGATGGCTGTAGCCTTTTCAACCGTCAAAATTTCAAATTTCCGTCTTCAAAATTGAATTCAGCACTTAAAATTACATATCTGAACCGCTTTTTACATAGATATCGGAAAAATTTGAAAGAATGGTTTTGAGAAACAAAATCATCAAAAATTCGATGGACTACGACACTCCAAATTGACGGTGGTGACTACTTTTAGCGTAATTCATGTTTCGAATTTAAATTTTCAAAAAATCAAAAGCAAATATTTCCAAATTGTCTCGTATCGTTGAAAACGAATATTTGCGTCTCTCAAAATCACACACTCTCTCTCATTCAAAAAAAAAAGAATTGAAAATAAGTGTGCTTAAATTGCGATTCGCCTCGAGACCTAAATAAACGACATGCGCCTTTAAAAAAATTTTATCGTTAAAAATTAAAAATTAAAAAAAATCATTGACAATTTAATAAAATAGATGGGTCTTGATGCGAATCGCAAATAAAATACGAGTATCTTCGATTTTCCTTTTTTTTTCCTTATTTTTTCCATTTTTTTAAAGCAGAGTTGAAAAGGCCGTGGTTGATTTTGCGAGGTTCCCAAAACCGTTTTACCCCTACCAGTACGACACTCCAATTTGACATCATTCCTCAATTTAGCGTAGACTAATTGAATTTCTTTCCCAGTTTTGACCAATCCCAAACCAAATCGAATCACTGTTGTTGATAAGCATTTGAAAGCGGGTTGCTATGAAGCCCATCAAATGATCACCGAAGATCATTTTAATCTCCTTGTTCTCAAAATTGGCTCGCCCAATCATTGAAAGATGATTAATTGAGGTTTGCAGATTTCTAGAAATTTAAAAGTTCTTTTTTTTAATAAAAAAAAAGGTGTGTGAACTGTTTTGGTGCGGATGGCCGCCGGCCGCCTCTCAGTGGCGGCCGAGAAAAAACTAGGCCAGAATAATACGTCCTCAAATCTGATGCGGATCAGGGCTGTGCGGCAATGGAATTGCCGATTGCCGAAATTGCCGAAATTGCCGATTTTTCAAATTGCCGAAATTTTGATTTTCAATGTCCATTGAATAATTTGGGATACCGTGAAAATTCGGTATTTATATTTCGAATTATCGTTGAAAACATTTAATAGCCGAAATTTTGATTTTCGGCACAGCCCTGGTGCGGATGACCGCCGGCCGTCTCTCAGTGGCGGCCGAGAAAAAACTAGGCCAGTATAACACGTCCTCAAATCAGTTTCATCCTCCATATTCGGCCAATTCTTTTTATTGTGCAACATGCCCTTCTTCCATTTCAATCTGGCCTTCAATCTCTCATTTTTTTTTTTGCCCTCATTTTAACACTTGAACAAAATGAGAAATTCCGGCGGTTTTTTGGGGGGGGGGAAGAGATAACCTCGAAAAAAAATACCGATTTCTCTTCCGCCCAAATCAGCTTTTCCATGCCCGAAAATTGTGAGGCAAAACACTGAATTATTCAAATATCGTACTCCACACGGAGTAGAGCGAGTTGTGGAATTCGAGGAAATGAAGCGTTTAAAAAAATAATGAATGAAGCAAAAATATTTGTCAAACTCGCATTTCTTTTTTTTGTAGTCCCGACGGACCAAAAAAGGCCCCCCACCCCCCAGGCTTGTTTTTTTTGAATTGCCGCCATCGCTGCTAACAACAAAGAGGCGATTGTGGCGCATCCCGGAAAATGTCCGCAGATGTTTACAATGATATTTGCGGGCCAATTGACACCGGCTAATCCCAATTTTCTCGACCGACCCCTCCCAACAACTTGTTAGTGCAGCAATCAAACAACAACAATCAACAACGACAACATGCATACATATGTATATACATATCCATATACGGAGAGGACGAGCAAAGGGTCTGAAAAGTGGAAGCGAGAGAGAGAGAGTGTCAGAGACGTCGAGATAAAGCACACCGCCGCTTCTCTTCTTCTCGTTTCTCGACGTCGCAGCGAGAAGCGAAAAAAATTGGACGAAGTGAAAAACGAAGAGGGTGCGCTTGCGTATTGTGCACCCTCACACCCTTCACACCCAAATGGACACTTATTCCCATTTTTGCATTTTCGAATTGAATTTTTTTCTTTCCCTTCTCGTTCTCCCATTTTTTTGACCTCCGCCCATTTATGGAGATTCCTGACAGCAATTTTTACCAATTGCTTTTTTCCTCTCTCTCTCTCTCTCTTCTTTTCTAACTATCGCGGGGTCCCATAATTGTCTTTGCATGACGGGACGAAATTGCTGGCGAGACACGCCTAATTGCACCAAGAAATTAATATCGGCTAGTACGTGTCGACGGGTCTCGACGCGCGCCTTCAGCGTTGTAAAATAAAAATTTTTTTCCTGCTTCACAATCTTATCGGGGTCTGATTTTGCAAAAAAAAAACCCAAAAAATCGCAATGAAAAAAAAAATCCAAAATTCTCGGCCACGGCCATTTTTTTCAAAGTCTACAGTAATTTTCGTATGCGCCTTTAATCGTTGCGTATTTTTCCTTTTTTCTCCATGTTCCGAAAAATTTACACCCACTTAAAGGCGCATATACACATTTTCTATGATTTTTGCGGAAATTTAATTTAAAAAAAAACTATGGTACCTGGCCGTGGCCGAGGTTTTTAAAGGGCGAAAAATGTCTCTTATTCGAGTCTTTCTGCATTGGACCATTAACTAAACTAGTAATGCATTAAAATTTCAAACATTTGAAAAAATCCATCTTCGGACAATTCTTGGGTTTTTAATTTTTTTTTATTTGAAAATGTCCGCAGCTCAAAGTAAACAAAATGGATTTCCTCTTCAAAAAATCCCATTTAATTCAGGCTGAGCGGTGAAAAAAAAATCGCAGGCGCCTTTAAACCCAAAAAGATGTCTCACTATTTAAAATATCGATTTTTAAAGGCGCATAATGGTGAAAGTGCATTTCAGCCATTCGTCTCGCTAATTGGGGATTACGGTAGCTCTACTTAGCCAATTTCCATACAGAACCCATTCATCACCCCGTTCGTTCAATTGGCTTTTCGGTTCTGTTTGGGCACATGTCTAAACTCATTCATCAAGCGACTCGGCAAGACAAAAAAAATGCCATCCAAAGCCGTCCCATCCAATTTTCGTCGTGTGTTGTTTTCAAAATTCTTATTTTGGTATCGTTTTTCATTCCATTTCATGCATTTTTAAATAAATTTCGCGCATCGAGAAAATTCGATTCCGACGGACCGACCGAAAATGGAATTCGATTTTCAGAATTCTGTTTTTTTGTTTTTTGAAATTCCACAAAATGAAAAACCAACATGTTTAAAGGCGCATCGGAGAAGAAATTTTGAAAATGGATTTTTGCGCGGCGCACTCGGGCGTCAGAAATCTCAAATTTCCAATAAATAATTAAACAAGCTCTCGGATTCCATGAAAAGGTGCAAAGCGAGACGAATCGATTTGGTGAACGCGGCACAAAAAAAAAACTAAAAGAAATTGAGGAAAAACCAAGAATGTTTTATTCTTACCCCCACAATTTTTTGTTGCTTTTTATAATGAAAATTATTATGCGCATTTCCTGTCAACACACATCACTTCTTTCTCATTCATCCGTTCATTTTTCTCGATCGCCTCCCCCAATTCATATATTTTTGTTTTATTTCATTTTCTTTTGTTGCTCATGTTGTCGTTTGATGATTCTGACGAATCATTTTTGGTGTCGTCATGACGATCAACAAATAGCGTCCCCCCCTCATTTCTTTTTCATTTTTTCTTCCTAAATTCAATTCAATAATTCAGATGGACCGCCTCGTCTCGAGGGTTCGCCGAATTCCGCCGTTGCATAGTATTTCGGATGCGCTTTTGATTTCATTGTTGTCCAACTCCGAACCGCAGCCCGAATCGATTCAGCAGGGTGTTATTTGTAGGTTTCATCGCCGTTTTTTGTGGTTTACAAATTGTCACGTTTAGTGTTCGAAAAAGATGAGCCAACCGCTTACTGGTATTTATTAATTAGCGGCGAGGTGCAACTATTTAGGCGGAGTAGGGTGAGTACGGTACGCGAATTGTGTGCGACATCGTGACGCAAGAATGCACACATTTTGAACAGCTGCTTTTTTTCCTGACAAATTCAAATTTTTGCCTTGAGAAATGCTCATTATTCTTTCAAAATAATCAAAGAAATTGAATGAATTAGCGAATCACGGCTGGTAAGTACGTTTATATATTATTTTTAAAACGGAATGATCGATTTTTCTCTTTTTTGCCTTTTCCGAAAATAATGTTCCTAAAATTTAGGATCTAGATTTTTTTTGAGTTAAAATGCAGTGTACTAATTTTCAGAACGGCGAATTTCGAAATCTGAAGACACTTCGAAGCGGCTCTCTATTCGGCGACCTCTCAACACCATCTCACTCATGCTCAGCACTAGTATCTCGTCCAGCTCAGCTGGTGCGAATCTCCCAACAACATTTTCTGTCAATTTATAATGTAAGTTAATGACCCCAAAAGAAAAAAATTAGGAAATTTTCAGAAGCACGGCGACCATTTACAGCCGTTCATAGTAATAATGCATGACATTTTATTAGACGCCGGTGAGGGGGAGAATTTGTGTGAAAATTTCAACAAAAAAAAAATGCCAATTTCCAGAAGAAACACCATTAGAACCGCTACCATCATCGCTATACACAGGCCATCCAAATATGGAGGCGAAGCCGCCGGAATTCCGGCGAATGATGCCCTCGCCTCCAAATGGCGTTCATCTGAAACCGCGAACTCTTCCGTTCATCAACGGCGCCGCCAAAAACGGACATCATCATCACGCGCAGCAAAAATCAAGACAAATTGATGTCGACAAAAGCTTCATCGAGTTTCGCAGCACGCTGAGCATCGAGGGTCAAATTCTCGAGAGCGGTCAATTTCTGCAAAGGCGAATGCTGACTGACGGGCATCATGTCATTCGTGACGCCGTCGTCCACAATACGGTGGGAGAATTCGAGTGTGCGTGTGTGTGTGCAAACAACGATAATGGATGTTCAGACACTTCATAATTGTATGCTTGGATGCGAGATGGTCGATTGGCTTCTGACGTTGTTCGTCTCGACGTCGACCCATCCCACAAGCCTGTCGCGACTCCAAATGTCCGCCATCTGGCAGGTGCTGCTTGATAGCAATGTGATAGTGAATATCGACGGCGATCATAAGTTCATGGACAAATCGACGGCAATCTTCCGCTGGGCTGTGCAGATTCCCGAATCGCAAAAAATCGCGCCGAATTTGGAAGACATCACCCAAGTCATCTCATTTCTATCATCAGTCGCACCGGAGACATTATTCCTAATGATCTTATCAATTCCGTAAGTGTTGAATCGATGGATGAGTGCCGTCAACAGATTGCCAATTTCAAATGTTCAGCGGCTACAATCGGAGTCCGGAAGAGCTCGAAGTGGTCTACGAGGAAATGATGCACATTAAAGCGTTGTCGCATTTGAGCACAATGGTCAAACGCCAATTGGCCACCGTTGTCGAGATCGAGAAATTTCCGCACGCCGGCAGTGTGGTGTTTCGCCAAGGCGAAATCGGCGACCATTGGTATATTGTGCTCAAAGGTGCCGTCGATGTTAATGTGCATGGAAAGGTGAGCCCGGAAACCGTGGATTTATCGGCAATTACATAAATTATGAAGAAAATCGAAAAAAATGATATAAAATTAACACATGTGTACGGTTGTGTGTAATGTGTGTAATGCCATTGCGGACATGTGCATTTTATTTGACGACAGTGTTTTTTTTTCTCCGCGATTAGAGCTTTTTTTTTAAATAAATGGCCAATGCCGAAAAATATAAATAATAAAAAGGAGAGAGAATATTTAAAATTCGGAAAAAGGAAAAATTGCTTTAAAAATCATTTTTTCCATTTTTTCTGCATTACGTTATTTTAATGTGTTGCCTTCTTCGTTTTAAAAGCGCATACGCATTTTTCCCCGATTTAGGGCGTTGTTTGCGTTCTTCACGAAGGCGACGACTTCGGGAAACTCGCCTTAGTCAACGATTCGCCGAGAGCGGCGACAATCGTGACACGCGAAGATGATTCAATATTTCTAATCATCGACAAACATCATTTCAACCAGTAGGTCAAATTCGTCGACCATTTAACGAGTCGGATTCAGAATTTTGCGCCAAGTCGAGGCCAACACCGTGCGTTTGCGCGAATTCGGCGACGATGTTCTTGTGCTCGAAAAAATCGAGTTCCCGCGCGGTGCCGCACTTGAGAACTCGAATTCGGTGTCATCGACGTGCGGCTATTCGGTGATGGCTGGAAAAGCGGAAAAAATTCTCGAATACGTGCTGGAGACCAGAATTGACGCTCAGCCGGAAGATTTGTCAGGTATCCCACCTGTCTTCATTATTTCACGGTGGGGAAATGCTACTTTTAGAAATTGACGTCTTCCTCGAGGATTTCATACTAACCCATGAAGCTTTTATGCCAACGAACGCTGTCTGCAACTATCTCAAATCCTACTATTTTCGTCCTCCGTTTGTATGTGCGCTAATAGATTCGCGACACGATGCGGCCAAATTTGCAGAACGTCGCGCCGTCGTCAATGATCGACACATTCGCCGACGACGTTTGCTCGAAGCGTCGCGTCGTTCAATTCCTTCATGTTTGGAGCAGCCTTCTCCGTGTCAACTTTTTTCTGAATCCCGCGTCCAACTCGTTCATCGAGGTTCGCCAACACACACCCAAATTGATGGAATTTCGAATAAGCGTTGACGTGTTTCAGGAGATGTACTGCCACGTCATTGAGGATCAGAAGCGGATCGATGGGATGCGTGAGATTGGGCATCGAATGGCGGCGCTACGCGCCACCCGCGAGAATATGCAACTATTGCTCTCCAGACATCCGGCGACCGTACTCGACTGTGGGGTGCTGTCGGCGCACACGCCCATCCCAATCCTACCTTCGGATATTTGTATGAATGAAATATTCCGGTGTGAGAAAGAATGAAGCACCAACGAAATCATTTTCAGGCAATCAAATAATCCATCTCGCCGACACCACGTGCTTCGTGTTGCCCATTCGTGTCGACAAGACTGCTGAGGAGATCTGTGAGCTGTCACGACGGCGAATGAGATGCTACACTGTCGATCCATTGATATTAGTGGAAGTCAAGTCAAACGGAGGTACCCCAATCTATTTTTGCTTCCCTCAACTTTTTTTGTGTTACAGAGAAGCTCATATTTGATCCGAATGATCGCGCAATTCCAACGGTGCTCAGTCTGAACAGCAAGGTTTACGTGGTGCATCGCGAAGAAGTCGACATGCTGACGCCAATGGATGATCAGAACGGACCATCGACATCGCAGTCATCGGTGCTTCAACTCATTGACGCGCAGGAGCTCGCCCATCAGCTCTTCACGTTTCATATGCAATTGGTCCGCGCCACCGACGCCAGCGAACTTCTTTTCCAGGTGAGACTGAACATCAACGCTTCGCCTGTCACTTCACATAGTTCAAGGTGATCGGAAGGGAATCGTTTCCATTGAGTATGCCGTTCAATTTGGATTTGCTTGTTCGACGCTTCAATGAGGTTCAACACTGGGCGACCACAGAGGTTCTACTGGCGACCGACGCCAATCGTGTTGACGTCTTGAAGAAGTTCATCAAAATCGCCGCCTAGTAAGCGCGTCGGCTATTACGTTTTTCATCGGACCCTCCAATCATAATAATTGCAGCGCTCGAGAGAACCAGGACCTTTTGACAGTGTTCGCCGTGACGTTGGGACTTAGCCACATTTCGGTTAGTCGGCTAACGATGACATGGAATGTAAGCCGATATATGGAAATGTTTGATTGCGATTCGTGTTCAGAGGCTTCCTTCAAAGTGCAAGAAGAAATTTGTAGAGTTTGAGAATCTTCTCGATCCCTCCAGAAATCATCGCCTCTATCGTATGCTGGTCGCCAAGGTATTCGGTTTTTTTCCGGTTCATTTAAGCGCGCTCCAATGCCTCTTCAGATGAATCCGCCGTACATTCCATTCATCCCACTGATCCTCAAGGATCTCATGTTCATCCATCAAGGCAACAAATCGTTCTACAACGGTCTTGTCAATTTTGAGAAAATGCACATGTTCGCCAACGTGCTCCGCGGATTTCGTCAATGCAAGGTGACGGTGAATCAGAATCCCGAGACGGATGTCGTCGAATCGCAATGTCTCATTCGGAATCTAAGGGTAAATCCCATTGGGTTTTTTTTCTGTCAAGCTTATTTCGAAATGATTCAAGGTAATCGATAATCAGCAACGCCTAATGCAGCTCTCCTACGAAATCGAGGCGAAGACGACGAAACGCAATGAATATAAATGAATTGCTTGAATTCTTCTTCTTTTTTTTTTGCTCCACTGGTTTTTGTGTCATCATATCTCCCCATATTTGCTCATTTTTTTTTAATTGAAAGAGCTCATCCTTATCAATTATTATTTTTAAAATTATTGTTTGGCAATCATATCATCATTCTTTCAATATTTTTTTTTAAATAGCGAGTCACTCATACATAAAGAACGCTGCCCAAACATGGTATGAATTGGTGTCATGGCTACGGACCATTGTAGCTTCTTCCATCCATCGCCAGGCAACACATTTTTTTCCCTCCCCTCTACGTGTATGTGTGTGTCGGATTATTTCAATAATTGTACCGGTAATGCCTATATTTGGGCGATAATCCGTCGCGGCAGGCCCCCCCCCCTCCAATTAGACCTGCTTTTTGTATGAGAATGGGGAGGGATGCGATTTGCGCACTTTTTGCAAGCATTCGCACATCCCGTCGAACCAAACCTCGAATTTTAATCCAATATTGAATGGCATTTCAGAGGATTGATCGCGACGACGCCAAATACGTGCACATTATTCGCGTCGGCGGCGGAATGGACGATAAATGGCGCGAGGCGGGACCCGTCAATGATATTGAGGCTTCTTCGTGGATTCGAATTTTTCGCGCGGTACGATTTGTGTTTGGGTTGTGTCTTTTCAAATCACTATAATCATGCTCCTTTAAATATATCATCATGCGCCTTTAAACTTGTATTCGTCATATTGATTTTCTATTAAAATCTAATTGTGAGATTATTTTTAGTTTTGCAATGCGCCTTTAAATTATTGTAAAGTGGCATGATCTTTTATAATATTGTGGTCTCATTTTTGAGCGTGTGCGCCTTTAAACGATTTGCGAACTATCATGCTCCTTTAAATAGATTGTCGCCTGCATTTCAATTTTTAGACGATATTCTAACAATCTAAAATTTTAAATAGTAGTTTCTTGTATTGCATGCACCTTTAAATTATTTAGCAGAGGCGTGCTCCTTTAATAATTTCAATTGAATTTTTGAATGCCTCCTTTAAATCAATTCTCATGTGCCTTTAAACTATTAGTCGCAAAACCTCTTGTTCTTTTGTCTGATCATTAATTTCTTTAAAAAATTATAATTTTTAGATATTTTTTAAAATATTGCATGCGCCTTTAAATTATTTATTAATTAAAGTTTTATACTCTTAATTATATCAATTGAATATTATTTTAAGCTCTGTATCATGCTCCTTTAAACAGAAGATCATGTGCCTTTAAACAATTTCCCAATTTCTCTTTTATATGAAAAATTTCGCTGAAATTGTTTTAAGTTAATTTCTTATTATCATATGCGCCTTTAAACTATTTAATACCTCTTTAATTTCTTCATCAGATTTTTAAAAATTCTGTCATGCTCTTTTAAAATTTGTTTCATATTGCCTTGATAGAAATTTAAAGAGGTTTACATCATCTTAAAATTATTTCAAAGTGGCATGTCCCTTTAAATCGATTTCTACGAATATGCCACCATCATCGAAATCAATTTGAAAGTATACGCCTCTGCGCCTTTAAAACTAAAAGTTAAACAAATGGTCAAAAAATTGAATATTCTACGAAAAAAAATGAACCCAATGAGAATTATGATCTGCGGACATGTTTGCAGTTCGACACCGACCACGACGGTTTGATCCAATGCGAGGACATGCAAAAGAAGGTCCGCGAGAGCACCTACTCATTCGGCTTCGACCACTATGAGCTCCAGAAGATGTCGCTGTATCTGGAAATGCGCGAGGGCAAGCCGATCGACTTCACCGACTTCTGCTATCTAGTTGGTCCCATCTAGTTGGTCCCATTCATCCAACAATGAAACGCGAATTCAGATGAGCAAATGCAAGGGCTACAAAATGCGCGAGCTTCTATTCCACTCGGCTTCAAGTGTGACGCCGAAGAATCAAAGGATCAGCGTGTTCAGCGCACTTCAGAAGTACAAATGTGTTCCGCCTCCGCTATTTATGCTATTTATATCAATTATACAAGTGCTCTATCTAAACTATACATATTATATTACATATAATATTCAGCTAGTAATTTATATCTACTATGTCGTTGATTCGCACGAGGGCGTCTGGTTCGGTGGTCCGATTCCAACCCTATCCCCATTGATACTGTCGCCCCATCACATCGGCGAACCTTGGCGATATCTGACATATTGTTTAGTGCAAGTTGGGTGAGTTAACTATGCCTCCCATATAGTTAAGGCAAATTTTAAAGGATCTTCCATACCATTTTCAACATAGGCATTCAAATTTTCATTGGCGTCCCATTAGAATTAGTCTATAAATGGCGCATTTATATTCTCTACATTGCTGGCGTGTTCTCAGGTAGGGACCATCTCGATCATTGAACGAACCAATTCCCAGGCACTCTATTATCGCTGACCCTTGATCCAGGGGTGTTCCTGATTGGCGGATCCGCCGGATCGTTCTGCATCCTCACCTCCCACCTACTCACATTGGTGCTGAACTGGAAGACGATGGAGAGCGGCGTGCCGCGTGCGATCCTTTGGCTCTTCGTCGGCACCATTGATCTCGTGATCGCCGTGATCCATCGATTCTTCACCGATCGTGTGGATAAGGTAGGATGAATCAACGGACCAACAAATCAGAAATGTTGGGGATCAGGTTTCGATCTACGGCCACATTGGCGGCATCGTCGCCGGCGTTCTGTTCACGTTCATCCTGATGCGCGGTTCGAAGAGCTCGCGATTCGACACCGTCGCCTTCTGGGTCTCGCTGGTGATCGTCGTGTTCTACGTGACCGTCTGCGTCGCCCTCATTCTGGCTCCGAATCTCTATCATTAATTCTTTTTGCTCTTTTTTTTTCGACGCGCTCAATTGTATATAATAAACCAATGTTATGAATGTAGTTTTGACGAGGGAAGAATACGGAGGAGGGCAGGTGGAAATAGAGAGAAGGCAAATTCCGCCTACGGTAGACCGCGTGGCGAGACCCAACTCAAACTATGCAGTAAATTGTGAGGGCTTTTGCCTCGTAACTAATTCACCAGGTAACCATCTGCAATGAATAGGGCATGTTTAAAACAATTGCCAGCCCCCCATAAATGGTCAACGCACTTTCTCCTATTTTTGACTCTCGCTTTCATTTTACTTGGCCAACCTTATTCGTTTCGTTCGATATTATCAGCTGCCTCTTAAGCAATTCTGTGCTGCCGACAGCTGTCGGGGTTTCGATTGTTGAACATTAAAGAACTCTAATTGGTTGTGCTTTGAAACCGACCGACCTCCACACCCCAGGAATTGATATGCGCCTTTAAGGGTCCCAAATCTTGATTGGAATAATGGACGACCTAGAATTGCCGCAAAAAATTTTGCGATTATCAAGCTGCTGACAATTTGCTGGAAAATAATTTAAATAAAATGTGATTGGCGCCAAATGATCATTGTGGTCGGTGTTTGCGGACTTGCTCAATTTTTTTTCCAAAAAATGATAAAGCTCAGGTTTTTTTTTCAACCATATTTTTCTCAATTCTTCAAAATTTGAAAAATTTTTCTTCAAAATTCTATTAGAAATTTCTAGAGTTTTAAAATTGCCGCAAAAAAACACAATTCCAGCAGCACAATTCCAGCTTGACCAACTAATCGCCAGAATTCTCGATGAAACAAAAATCGTTGTGGACTTTTTGAAAATCGCAAAAATTGTGTGCAAACACCGCGACGCAAAATCACAGAAATTTTGCCGGATAAGCTCCTCAAATGAAATGTCTAACCAAAACGATTTCCAAAAAATGAGTCTGGAGCGCTTGTGCCCAAAAAAAAAAGAAATTCAAACAATTATTACGAATGTTTTGCGGAATCGGCGCCCAACAAAAATGTGTGTTACCACATACAAAAATATTTTATTTTTCTTCCATCATCATCATCATTTTTTTTTGGTGCGTATATGTGTATTCCAACTTGTTCAAATATTGCCATAAATGTAGTGATGAGAAATTTTGAGATCCACACTTCGAGACGCGGCGCCGAAAAATCGGCGTGCGCCTTTGAATTACGGTAGCCCGAAGCTTCCAAAAAATCGACCCCCTCTCAAATTAGGTTCTCATCAATGAAATGTTGCATTCCGCCCGGTATATATCTTGTGATTCTTTTCGAAATCCAGTCCTTCCTTCCTTCCTTCCTCTCCATTCCTCACACACACACACACCCACATATTCCACTCGTCAAGTCAAGAGGAGGATGGTCAGTTTTGGGTGAGTGAAGGTTGATTCAAGTTTCAAACTGTATGATCATCAACGTCGTCGTCGAAAGAAGGCCGCGCGGATGATATTAAATTCACGATACGCGTTTTGATAACAATTATGCCGGCCGGCCGGCCGGCCCGGCACGGCAATACCGCAAATTATTGTGATATAATTTGATAGGGGGCGATTTTGGAACCCCCCCGAGGCGGCGGCCCGCATCGACGTCCGCAGCTCGCAATTATGATGAGATCGAAACGAGTAAAAATAGAAATGTTTATAATACATATCAAATTTTTTCGAACCCAACAGAAATGTTTATAAATATTGCGGGCGCCGAAATTCTTTTTTTTTTTTCTTTTTCGGCCGCCTCCAATCTTGTTCCAATTCGCTCCCAAGTATACACAGTTCCTGTATCTGCTAAACAGTTTTTTTTTCCTGGCGCGCTAATGGCTTCTGCTGCTATCCCTCATCAAATCCATGCATGGCCCCAAGGGCGATCCGATCTCGAGACGACAAGACAAGAGATCCGGTCTCCTCCGGGATGGGGGGGGATCGCAATTCAAAAAGGTAAAATGTTGTGTTCGTGTTCATTCCGAATCCGACATTGCCGAGATGGGAAGTGGAGAAGGACAAGAGTGAGAGGCAAAAAAAGGGCACACGCGTGTTTCATCCATATTTGACCAATCCCGACGACTTTCGGTCTCGATGAAATTGAATAATTGGAAGCCGCCGACGAACAGTTCGGAAGGCCATGGTGGGGGGAGGGGGAGGAATTCGCAAAAGCAACAATGGTGCCCTTTTATGGGAAAACGACCGCCGCGCAGCAGCAGCAGCAGTAGGTTGTGTAGGTAAGGAAACAAGATGAAAGAGGGGATGAGAATGGGGGAGGGGAAGGAAGGAGGAAGAGCGAGAAATGAGTTTCACTCGGATGACCTACTTCTTCCCGCATTTTCCCTCTCTCTCTCTATGTTCACGCCGACGGAAAAAAAATAACCGTCGACTGGACTTTTCTGGACGCCTCATTTTCCTTATTAGTACAATTATCCGTCGACCGAATCCAACTTGTTGGTCGCATCGCACTACTCGATCCGAGCTCCTCCTAGCGATTCTCACGCCATTTGAATTTGTCCTTCCTCAGATTGTTGCCAATATTTATTTTTTTTTGATTGAGAGCCAGACATCCCCCAGACTTCAGTACCCCAAATCCCCGAATTCGAATTACCGGCTCGACTCAAAAAAAAAGGTGCCGATGGTCCTTCCTAGGTTCTCTTTTCCCATTGTTGTAATCCATTCGGATCATCCTAGATTATCCAGATTCTGAATCTCGGCATATTCTAGAGGTGTCTCTGTAGAAGGGAGGAAGTTGTCAAAAAAAAAAACAAATTTTTTTTCTCATCTCAAATTAATTAGTTGACCTTTGACACCTCGAACCAACTATAGTTCAAATATTGAAGTGCTAGAATCCGAAATTGAGAATCTCGCGCGACTTCTTCCCCCCCCCCCCTCCCCTCCTTCCTCTCATTGTTGTTCATCTCGGCGCCGAGAATTTCACTTATGCGCGTCTTTGAGAGAATGTTGCAATATCGACACGATAGCCATCTCTCTCTCTCTCTCTACAGTAATCGCGAGAAATGGCACCCGGCTTTCAGGAACCCAAAACTGGAGGTTCACTTTGCAGAGAAGAGAGGTCCAATTCGAACTTTGAAACATTAATCAAATTATCTGGGCCGCCCCCCCCCCCGATATTATCAATCAATTTGAATAGTACAGTAACCTGTCTCCCGTTGGAAGCTTCTTTTATCGGGCGATGGCCCCCGATCGTATAAATGAGGGGGGGGGTCCATTAATTAAAGCGAAAGCGTTCCCGACAAGTTCATTCTTCCTTCGTGTATCTCTTCGCCCAAAAATCGTTTGATGCGACCTACTTGGTGGATTTCCATTTTGATCAACAGTTGCGATGCCCTTCATTTCGCCTCGCGTAAATTTGACGGTGTTCACTTTTGACACATCTCTTGTTTTTTTTTTTTTGCACTGCAATTCAAATTGAACCGACCCCTGGAATGGAAGATATATGAGGCGCGCGGGGGGTCGAAAACCCGCAAGATTGTCGGCGGCAGGTGCGCGTGATGGAAGGCGGCGAGACCCGGAGAATTGTCGGCAGCAAAAGAGAATTGCGTCCCTCCCAGCAAAATTCATATTACTACCTTACACGGAAGTTTAAAACCAGTAGACCGTTGAATGTTTATTTGCACTCGCGAGCTTACGCAAACGATAAATTGACATTAGTGGGGGGCACAATAGTGGGGGGGGGGGTCTTCTCCGCTTACTGAACCCCGAACTCAAGTGTTTCAAAAAAAAAAAAAGAACTGTTTCGATTCTATTTTGGGGATGTTATAGAGAGAAAAAAAACCGACTGTCTCCGAAGCTCCACCTCCTCCCATTTTTAGTTATTGTTGCCCTGTATGTTTGTGTTGATCTCTGTTTGTGTGTCACGACGAAAAACGAAACACTATTTGAATTGGCTGGAGCTCACCCCACCGGACTAGCCGAGCCGACTACTCTCCATTTTACCGGTCACTTTGAAACCAGTGTTGTTTTGTTTCCAGATTTTTACATTCCCTACCGTACTCCAAGGGGTCCCCCCCCCGTCGCCGCTAATAGCTCCCGAAAATGTGCATTTGAATGACATTCTGGTTTTTTTTCGTGCGCATTAAACTCTCCATGACGACACAACGAACATGAGCTCCCTCGATCGCATCATTAATATGTCATTCTGTTGTATATTGGTGTGTCATCATTCATCCCAACTACGCTTAAAAGGTATGCTTCTCACCGATTTTCAACAACAACGTTTCCTCTCTTTCGCTGCTGTGGCGGTGGGAATGGAATTTTTGCGCTGGACAGGCAGAAGCTTGATATTGGCTGGCGATAAGTGAAACATACAGATAAATATGTATATGTACATATAAAACAGGTAGTCGAAGTCGCTTCGTCCAAAAAATCTCGCGGTAAATGAGGAGGGTGGACAGGCAATCGAAGAGAGAGAGAGAGAGGTTGTCGTCGGTGGAGATAAATGTTGTAGATGGCCTATTTCGCAGATAAGTCACCATCGATGATGAACAAGACGGCGGACTACTAGTGTCCTTCTTTGTCTTGTTGTTATATCCGTGGATACCGAATTATCTTGACGAAAGGAGAAGCAAGGGGAGCGCACGCGTGCGGGGCGAGCGCCGCGCGCCGCCGCCGGACCTCCGCCTGACTCCGCCCACTCATTTTAACTTTATGAAACTTACGACCTGTTTAGATGAAGAGATCCGGTGTCTAACTAATGTACTTCTACGGCGAAGCACTTTTCCACTTGAAATCATCATGACGAGAATATACCATTCGTTATCTTGACCACCGCCGTCTCAAGCTTCTCCTCCTCCCCCCTTCATCCCACCTCCCCCAACAATCCAATTTCATTTTTACTTTATATGCGTTATACCGTACATATTCGATCAAAATGCAAATTCCTCTTGGGCATTCATTCCAAATGTTTATATTACTGAAAGTTTTTCTAAACAAAATGGTTTTGGGCTTGATGGTGCCCCTCACCATGAGTATGTATACATGCCGACGAGTTGCTCAAAACCCCACACCCCACCATCCAATTGTTTATGATGTAACTTCTTGCCTGCGTCTCGCTTCTTCGGTGGGACCAACGCCACCCTCAGATTGCACTATTTCGCTGTAATACTACTCAGGCAAATGAAAAAAAATATTTTGAGACAATTCTAAAATCTTATGAGGTTCGTTGAGAGGCTAACGTGTCTCTATAATATTTTAGATTTGTCTCAATAAACTTTAGGAAATCTCATAAGATTTTAGAATTTATCAATAAGTTTCAATGAATATTGTGAGACTTTAAAGTTTATCAATAAGTTTTAGATTTGTCTCAATAAACTTTAGAATATATCAATAAATTTTAGATTGTTCTCAATAAACTCTGTCCAATATTATGTAATATCATACGTTATCGAGCAATTTTCACACAAATAGAATGTAATAACATCCATAATAATTGAATATGTATGAACATTTCATTTATTACAATATTAATGCGAAATGAATATATTAATAATAAAAATCAGAAAAAAATAAATGAATCAATTTATTCTTTTCGCATTTTCTCCTTTTTCTGCGAATGACGCACAACGTTGCTATAAGGAATTCGTTGCATATATTGAAAGAAAATGTTGAACTTACAAATTTTGATGATTGAATTTGTCGTTTTTCGATTAATTTCATGAGTTCTTTGCGATAAAATGACTTCTTAATTAAATCCGGATTCGCGTTGAAACGCATTTTCAATGAAGTCACAATCTCGTGATATAGTTTATAACTGAAAATTGCCAGTTTTAAAAAATAACTGAATGAGTCTAACTTTCTTAAAATACTATATCCAATCCCGTTTGTCTGTTCCGAGCACATGTTTCTCTTGATAACGTGATAAATGTGCTCATGCGCTTGCGTGCTTATTGCCGACAGCTGACCATGACATTACTGTACAAATGGTATATAAGTTGCTGAAACAATAAATACAGTAATCATTAGTATTATTTCTTATATCAACGACAATAGCATGATGCTACAACGTTCAATAACTCTTAAAATTGCAAAAAAAAAACGACTTACGTGCACTTTTGAACCAGAAAACAATTGAGGCGCCCCATCTCAAATTAGAATTTCTAATAATTTGCAAATACCTGCGATCTGAAATAAAAATTTTCTATTATGTACATAGCTAACGATCCCATATTACTTTGTTTGGTAATGTTGTATTTGTAACTAAGCGAGTCGGTGACACCATCCATCGGTAGCAGGCATGTATAAGCAACACAACAGCTGAACCTAACGGAGGGATGGTTCCGATCATGGCGTTAGAAACAATTTTCACTTCAAAAATCTTCAAAGGATGATAATTGCAAGTGGTAAATTAACTTACACTAGCTTTTTCGGACCTATTAATGTCATTGAATTTTCCTGATAGCGACTTTACCGAAGATGGCAGTCTCGCTTTCACATCAATAGCTTCGCATCGAAAAATATTTATTTCGTTTTTAACGAAGACTTCTAAAAGACAATCTTCAATTTTTAAATGCTGAAAAAGGAGAGACATAATTGAAGTACCTTTTATTATACGTGTTCCCTCGTGAAAAAGGTGGAAAATATCCATGGCCGTGATCCACATGGGCACCTGCTCATTGAATTTGCTGTATTTACCTCGTTCCTTAAATCTATCGGCCAATGTTTCTGGAATGTTTGTTCCACACTTTTCCCGATCTTCTAAAATATCGAAATCATTAGAAACTGAAGTATAATTGTAATTAATTGTAATAATTGTGCGTGTTTTTAAAATTCATGAACCTGTTCATGCAATGACATGTTTAGACACAACTGTTTCAAATTCAGCATGTAAAACAATGCAGATTTAAGGTAGTGTTAAACATTTATTATAAAAACTTGCATTTCATGAATACGTCCATCACTGAAGTGAAGAAACTATTACCAAAAGCTAAAAAAACGGAAGGAACATCAAAAACATAAATTATTTATTGGAATTTAGGAGATCTTAAAAAGAGACGCCGCAAATTGCGTCAGTGGAAGTCATAAGGGCCCTATTCAAATTTTAAAGTCTCACAATATATTGAGATACTTTACACTTTCTCAAAAGATTTAACTTTCTCAAAAGATTTAATTTACAAATTCCAAATTTTTAAAATTTATTGATTCTCAATAAGTATCAATAGACTTTAGAATTTCTCAAAATATTTTAGAGTTTATCACTGAATATTTGATTCTCAAAATATTTTATTTGATTTGCCTGAGTATTGCTAAATGATTGGTAAAAATTTTTGTTGCATGTTGTAACAATTATTTTCGTGCAAAAACCCGCCGCGGCGAGGCTCCAAAATCCGACCCTTCGTGTGCCGAACGCCGCACCGGACCACTAGGCCATCTTTGTACCTTGCGCCCTCCCAGTTCATTGGCGTATAAAAAACGCGTTCCAAATTTTAGCGCACATTTTGATATTCAAATGAATCTTTTTGAATTTCAACTCAAAATCTGAAAAAATGTTACTAATGTTATATTTAAACCCTCAAATTCAAATTCTCTCATGGAGAAACTAAAAACAATGTAATGCTCACATTAAAATTTGAAACAATTGTTGTGCATCAAGTGATGAAGGTGGGGGGGGGGGAGGAAAATTGAATTCATCGCGGCATAAGTTTAATATCACGTAACCTGGTAGGCCTCCGGGCCCGATTACTCGCGATTGCATCGGTGTTGTATGAGAGATAGAGTGAATCTGTGGAGCGTCTGAGTGGAGGTTGTGTAAAGTTACACCAATTTCTCGGGACCCCGACGAGTCGCGGGCTCCTGATGAGAGAGCATCCTATGCGTATGTACTTCTTGACCAGTGCCAATGGACTTTTTCCATCCATTATCATCTGCTCTCTCTCTCTCTTGATTTTTACGAGCTCCGCATGGCTTGCACTATGTATTGTCTAGGGTGCGCGCGCGCACCAATATGCCAATAACCCTTTGGGCAGGTTCACATCCCAATAGAGTAGTGGCAAAGTCCGCGCAGGTGGCACGCGAGACGCCGCGAGTTCGCGCCCCGCCTCGTTGCAATTCATCGCTCTCCCGAGACTGACCTCAAAATTGTTGTGTCATGTGCTCAGGTCAAGTTATTTCTAGCCCTCCATTTATTACACTAGAACTTGTAAGCGCCGAGCTTCATCTCCCAACCACCCCCTACCGTATCAATCAAATTAGCGCCCCCCCTCCCCCCTTCAGGCATCATCGTCCCGTTTTGAAACATTCGTTCAACCAATAAAAGTTGTTGCATTGTTTGCGCATCGGTCCAAGAGAAGCAGAAGCCTTTCCAACACAATCGAGTTACCGTACACCTAAAGGGGGGGGGGGCGCTGGTCACTTGTTTCGGGAGAGAGAGAGAGAAGCGCGCGGCGGCCGCCGTCAAGCCAAATTCGTGACTTGACTCGACTCGACTTTTCGAACTGCGAACTTTTGTACACATGCGGCGAATTCCGCGCGCGCGGAGCCCGAAAACGACTGAATGCCCGCTGGCGCGAATTTTGTTTGACCGGCCACTCTCAAACAGTATTATAAAATACTTGTCGCCCCCGACACAAAAATAGAACAAAACACCATCTCCATCAGTGCCTCAAATTGTGCTCGACGCCAGAAAAAAGAAGAAGAAGAAGAAGAGTTGGTTTTTATCATTGCTGTCAATACTCGAAGAACAAAGACAAGTGTCGAAACGCGAATTATCATTATACCATGTCTAACTTTATCAGTCGTTTTGAAACACATATACATAGTATAGGCACAAACTCTCACTTACAATTTATCGCAAAATCGCTCTCTCGTTATCATCAATGCCATATTTGTAAAGAGAGAGAGAAGGGGAAATGAGCTGTCATGTTATGCCGTTGTTACTATAATTTTACTCATGCTCTCACCTGACGACACACTCAACTCGACCCACCACCAGGCGAGCCGTATCAATTTGCATTATTCGCACGCCCTCGAATTACTTCTTACCTCTATTCCCAAATTTTTGGGGCCCATCGTCATCGATTGGCGACGATTTTATCGAAAAGACACCAAACGCGCGATTATACTGTATGCAGTTCGTGATTTCCAAATTTAGTACAACTTTCTCGCGCGCTCGCTCTCGCCCCGCACCGGTTTTATCAGTTTGTTTTTCACGGACTCGGCCAGCTCGTCACAATCGAGGAGTTGAGGGGGGGAAGGCTCCTAGTTTGTAATACCTCTCTGGAGGAATTCGTTATCAATCCCCTCCCCTCCCCCTTCCCCCCACCTCCCCCTTCCAACTACCTTTCTCAAACACGTTATGCATTAGACAATGCCTCCTCGTGGTATACGCAAATAGCTTGAATCATTACCCTCCCATGCTGTTTGTGCTCCCCCCGCCCATCGAGAGCTTCATCTCAAGCTACTGTCTCCGAGCGGCCACCGCATTAGTACGGTTGTTGATTTTACGAAATTTGGAGTCTCTCTCTCTCTGTCTGTCTCTTGACAGCTTGAGAAGGAGGTGGAGAGCGAGCTGGACCTCCTCCTAACCAACTGAATGACAGTTGATGCACGATATTTGTTTTGGTTTCCGGCGCGTCGCCCCCCCCCCTCTTTTTACCGTTTGTGTGTTGTTCCATCTCCGACATTTTTGCGAACTGGTGTACACCATACAATTTTTTTTCTCGCTGGCTCACCTCCCTCTATCTCTCTATATATAGATCCTTTTAAGGATCGGATTGCTCTTTTTGACTATTACTACCAACGCGTTTTTTTTTTGCAGAATCCGGTTCGTCGCATGCAATTCTAGGAATCAGCCACCCGGTCTAGTTGAAAAATTCAAAAAAGGAACTTCACATTATTTTTAAACCCATCAAATCTTGCCCCCCCCTCCTACCCCCTCTTCAATGAGCACCTCGACGCTGATGCCGAAGACCGAGTTCGGCACCGCGTTGGCCGTCAACTCATCGACGGCGTCCGATGATCACGTCGACGTCTCGTCGTTCACAACAACGACGTCCGATTCGAGTCCGCCGTATAGTGTCGAGCATCATTCGCCGAACGATCAGCGAACCGAAACGCCGACGTCCGATTCGGGCAACCAGTCGTTCTCGCCGGAGAATGTCGCAACTAGTGAGTTTCTTTGTTTCGTCTCGTTATCTCGATCTCACTCTCTCTCTCTTCATCCAGCTTCAGGCTTCGATAGCAGCGAACGCGACGCTTCGCCCGACAATCTGTCGACGTCGTCGACGAATATCAATGATCTCGCTGAGAAGCCTATCGGCATCAATATGGACGAGGAGCTTCAGCGACGTTTGTCGGCGATTCAGCGCAACGCAAAGACACGAATTTCAGAGCTGCTACGCTTCCAGCAGGAATTCAAAGACACACTCATGGAGAAGAACCAGAACACGCTGAACATGATGACCGCGTTCAATCAGCAGCTGTTCAAGACGACGTTCGCCAACGCCATCTCGAATATCGGTGCCGCCGGCGCGCAATTGCCCGTCAATCTTGGCACCGCGTTCAGCCTTCCGACGACGCCGACGCCAACGACGCCGACGCCCGTCGAGGTGCCGCCGCCAGCGCCGGTGAAACGCAAACGCCAACGTCGCAATCCAGTCTGGCCCTACTTTGACGTCGTCGATGGTACAGCACGCTGCAAGCAGTGCCTCTACAGTACCAAGAGTGTGTTCAGCACCAACCTGAAGGTCCATTTAAGGTCACACCATCGAGCCGATTATGAGAAGGTAAGAAACCGGTTGACTCGAAGCCTTCATGAATCGTCCCCTTGCTTAGGTTATTCTTGCCGAAGACGCGCTGAATCTGAACGCGTTGCTTCTCAGCGGCAACACGTCGAAATTGTTCAATCTAGACGCGAATAGGAAACGAATGCCGCCGATGACGAGCAGCATCCTGATGACGATCAACAAGTTGACGAATCAGCAGCAGAACGGCGAGGACAATCCGCTCAACAACGTTCTTCGGCTGACGCTGGCGCAGAACGGCCTTCAGCAGCACTTACAGCAGGTTCAGTCGCAGCTTCAGGCGGTTCAGGCTCAGAAGCAACAGCAGCAGCAGCAGCAGCAGCCGCAGTTCGCGTTGAACGCCGCGAATCTGGCCGCGTTGAATCAGTTGGCTCGGAATCAGATGCAGCAGCAGCAGCAATCAGCGACGACGACGACGACGACGCCGCAAGTCAGCCAGGATCACATCATAAACCATTTGAACTTCCCCGCGCATATCAAACAAGGTAAATTCGATTCGACGGTATCAAACTAACGCATCGATGTAGCTTCAGAAATTCTGAACGCGCCGCACGGCACCGACGCCAACGGTGTGCCGCAGCCGAAGCGTCGCCGCCTTCGACGCCATCCCGTTTGGATGTTCTTCAGAGATCTCGAGGATCGGGTATGAGTCGTTTCAAGCGAAAATAGAAAATCAAACTTCGAGGCCTGTTCAATTCAGCACTTTCAGATGGTTGGCTGCATCAACTGCGAGTTTCGCACCGGCTCGGCGTTCTCGACGAACCTTAAGATGCATCTGAAGGCGCATCACAAAGACGATTATGAGAGGGTGCTGCAGCTCGAGGAGGAGATGCGCCTCGAGGAGGGCTGTTTGGGGCCGGCGAACAAGATCAAATCCGAGCTCATCGACTTCATTCGGGGCGGCGGCAACGCGTCGTCGACGCCGGCCGCCGGCGCCGCCTTCGGCGGTCCCAAAGCCTCGCCGCTCGTCCAGCAGATCATCAATCAATCGATGGCGCGCGCCTCGTCGCCAACATCGCAGAAGCGCGCCGACGACGAGCCGCCGTTCAACGGCATGTCGACGTCCGACAAATTGGCGGCGCTCGTCGGCATCGCGGATCCCGATAAAAAGGCGACGACGACGACGACGCTCGACGAACTTCGACAAGCCGCTGAACGCCTATTCGCCGCTGGCAACATGGGCGGTTTGATGGGCGCCGGCCAGCAGCAGCAGCAGCAGCCACAGCAGCCGGCGGCCGCGACGACGCCGCCAACGACAATCGTCGATCTGAATGGCAGCATCATCGCGTCGGAGACAAAATCGACTTGCTCGTCATCGGACGTCATCGACGATCGAAAAGCCGAGCGGGATAAGGCGTTGGCAAGGTAAATAAACATTTTCATATGATATCGCGCCAAACCGGTTCATTTTTCTCTGTCTGACATCCATCGAATCGCCGATAGTTGCCACAACGAACCAAAATAAGATGAAGCTTGACATTCATACACTAGACCATTACCATCATTATTTGCAGGCTCTGGGCCCAGGATTCCAGCCTGATCAGCAACGATCAATTCCGCGATTTCGTCCACACACTGGCTCCTGATTATGAGATACCGGACGCCGAATGCCTGGCGACGCAGCTGGAATAAACGCTTTTTTCAATCAATTATTAGACATTCTTTCTAGAGACCGGACCATGCTAATTGTTTCCATACACGGTGATAACAACCCTCCCATTTTAGTAAATGCATTTTCGCATTAGACATTCTTCTTCGATATATATTTTTCTTTTTTTTTCCGTCCGCAAACAACTGGGTTTTCATTTTTACTGTTTCTTCTTACCAACACAATGTCTTTCAGCCATTTTGTGGCAATTTTCTAGATATTAGCCGCTATTATGTATGTGTTTCTCTTTTTGATTTCGCCCCATACGATTATAGTGTCCAAAAATTGCAATAATTCCACAAGTCACGCGCTTTTTCTTTAATACCTCCTCTCGCCCATCTTTCCCTCCACCGGAAAAAAAATTCATTCATTGTTGTTCGTCGCTTTTCCTGGAAATCTCCGAATGATTATTTCTTTTTTCTTTTTTGATATGAAACGTTTTGTTTGTAAATTTTTGATCTACTATGTACTTGCAATTCGCCTAATAAGGGAACACCACATTCCCCCCCCCCTCCCACAAAATCCGCCACAATCATTTAAATATTGTGATTCGTTGTTTCTCATTTCGTTTTTCGTTTTCCTTATTTCTTTTTTTTTGGAATGACTCATTCATTCCGATTCACGTGCTCAGGGGATTTTTTAGGAGAGCCATTATTACTATTTTTTTTAACTGAATAAAATACAACTAATTGGTTGTTTCATGTAAATTCTGAATATGCACCGAGCACTGTATTTTTTTTTTCGTCTTTTGTTCGCGCTGATCTTCGACGTTGTTCCACTTTCGCTATGAAATTCCTTTTTTTTTCTGTGTATTATCACATTTTTCCATGGTTTTATTCTCGGATAAATATTATTTTTTTTTTGAAAACCAAAAAATTTGCATTTTTGAAATACGGTTTGATTCTCCGACGTTTCTCCTTTAGAATACGTACTTTTTTAAGCGTTTTCATTTTTATTATACGAATTCTCGAAAAACTCGTTGCTAAATACGCGTGAAACCCGAAGAATGAACAAATTTAGGACAAAAAATCGAAATTTTGAATTGCCGCCAATGGTCGTTGGCGCTTTCGCGGTGCGATATTCGCTCGCGAAAAATGCGCCCGCCTTTAATCATCACGTTTCTTTTTTGCGATATTCGCCTCATTTTCTCGAATTTTCCGCCGAATGGCTCATTTCAAGACTTCGTCTCGCAAAAATATAAAACAGCGGACGGTTTGTTCCATAATCATTCAGAAATGATAGTGTGCTGCGATTTAGAACGCGAAAAATGGCGATTATCGATTAAAAAATCGATTTTCATTTTATCCCCTATAAAACTGCGCGAAATTGCTCAACTATTTCAGATTATTATGAAAAACAATAACCTCAATTTTTTTTGCAGGTGAAATGGAGCAATCTTCACTACTATTGAAAAAACAGCTCGCAGATATGCGCCGCGTCCCGGTGGAAGGCTTCTCGGCCGGTCTTGTAGACGACAATGACATTTACAAATGGGAAGTGCTCGTAATCGGGCCACCAGATACACTTTAGTAAGCGAAAATTAATTGGATTGCGAAATTATCGATTTTTGCAGCGAGGGCGGTTTCTTTAAGGCGATCCTCGACTTTCCAAGAGAGTATCCACAAAAGCCTCCGAAAATGAAGTTCACGTCGGAAATTTGGCATCCAAATAGTAAGAAATTAATCGTAAAGCATTGAAACAATAGGAATTATTATTATTTAGTTGATAAGGAAGGGAATGTATGCATCTCAATTCTTCACGACCCTGGAGATGATAAGTACGACGAATCACAAGAAACCGAAAGTTTATTGATAACAAACTATTGTTATTATTATAGGTGGGGGTATGAGCGGCCTGAAGAACGATGGCTACCAGTGCATACCGTCGAGACAATTCTGCTCTCCGTTATTTCGATGCTGACCGATCCGAATTTTGAGTCTCCAGCGAACGTCGATGCCGCGGTAAAATCGCCTTTGGACAAAAAAATTATTATAATTAATTGATTTTCAGAAAATGTACCGCGAGAGCTACGCCGATTTCAAGAAGAAGGTTGCGCAATGCGTGCGAAAGAGTCAAGAAGAATAAAGCCCCCACCGAGATTATCATGAATTATCCATCTTTTCATCTAAATTGGGCCCAACTACGAGATGGCTCGATTTCAAACGTGTTAAATGCGATTGCAAAATTGTCTCTCATGCCTCCCATCAATCAATCCCATCCTTCATTTGTTTTTTTTCTCATCGTCTTTGTTTTATCACTTCATAATCTCCAATTTTCATTGTTTTTTTTTTCAAATTTAGTTAAAGATACCGACACCTGTGGTTTTCCCCAATCTAAATTCTTGTCATTTTCAATGTTCCTCCAACCGATCGTTTCTATTTGTGATTTTAAAACAATTCAAATTCGTCCACGTCCGTTCAATCCTATACCATAACGTATTTGTTCAATAAAATTTGAGGTTATGCGAATGCCGTGGCGGCGTTTTCGTGGTGCACATTGCGTTATTTCACGCCAATTTTTATTTATTATACCAAACGCCTGCATGAATTGTATTTGAGTTCGTCTAGATGTCGTCCGATCAAGAAATGGTCGAAGTTCCCGACGAGCAAAAAGAAGAGGTAGATGAAGATCTTGTTGAAGTTGCAGAAGAAGAAGAGCTCCTGAATGTGCCGAAGAGGAAGAAAATGGAAATTGTGAGCAAATCACTAGAATTGATTGAAATCGAGCTTTTTGTTTAGCTTGACAAGGAAGCATTTGCGCAGGACCCCACCAATCTGACATTAATATTACACGAAGAGGATCATACCATCGGAAACTCGATTAAGCACATTCTCACAAGAATGTAACTCAATTTTTAAAAATTATATATTGCCGTCGCAAAAAGTCGAGAATCTTGAAGAGAAAGTGGGCTCATTTTTCTCATGCTAATTCAAATTTGAATTTAAACTGAAAATACTGTAGTATGGATAACCTGCGAATCAAATGCTCGTGTTTTTTGCGATTGCAAGTCGCCAATAAGTAATATTCAATATTTTTTTAGGGATGAAGTTGAATTTTGTGGCTACAACGTGCCGCATCCGCTAGAAGACAAAATTCTACTTCGTGTGCAAACGAGGAATGACACAAACGCTCTTGAAGTTCTTGTTAAGGCGTTCGCGGACCTCGAGACGGTGTTCTCAACGATCCGAACGAAATTCGAAGCGGCCTATGAGACATCGAGAGCCTAACTTTCAAAAAAAAAAATTCATTTAATTTTGTTGATTTTGTTTCCTTTTTGTTATTTTTTGTTGTTACCATAATAAAAGAAGAAAAAAAAATTGATTCCATGTTTTTTTTTGTGTCCAAGTACTTCTGTGTTATTCGGATTCGTTATTTTGGTGTCGTTTGGTTCTCGTTTTGTGTGCAATTCATTTTTGTGTTGCCAATTGCAGAATGTCGGGCCGCGGCTCGCTGATGACCGTCCACGTCGGACAATGCGGCAATCAATTGGCGCAGGCTTTCTGGAAGTCGATGACCGACGAACACGGAATTAATGAGTGAATTTTTGTTTCGTTTTCCCTCACAGCTATTTTGGGTGTTTTGTTGTTTAGGCGAGGGCAAATGACGCACGAGGAAGATGTGAATGATAAGAAGAATGTGTTGTTCTATCAGGTAAGATTTCTGAAAATCGGTTTCGATGGGAAAATAGAAATAAGAACGACTCACTCAAATTTACGCTGCTTTAAAAAACTAATGATGATATTTAGATTTAAGAACAAATCTCTAATGACCCCAATTATTAATGAATTGTATTTTATTGGGTCGAGTTTAACCTTTTTTATAAGCATTTAAATCGGTAGAAGACATTTGGCATACATTTTTTGGAATATCGCTATTCGAAATAAACTATTGACGAATTGTAAAATGAATTTTCAAAATTTCCAGGCTGACGATGATCACTACGTTCCGCGAGCAGTTCTAGTTGATCTTGAGCCGCGTGTGATCAATGGAATGATGCAGTCGCCGACATTTTCCAATCTATTCAACACCGATAACATTTTTCTGTCCGATCACGGCGGTGGCGCTGGAAACAATTGGGCCAGCGGATATTGTCAAGGAAGGTTTGATGGCGGCGCGATTCACCGCAAGTGTTCGTGATTCAAAACGATCGATGCGATTTCAGAGAAGTTCAAGAGAAAATCATGGATATCATTGTGCGAGAAGCGGAGAATACCGACAACATGGAGGGAATTTTGTTCACGCACAGCGTTTCCGGTGGTACCGGTTCCGGAACCGGATCGCTTCTTCTCGAGCGTCTTCGCGAGGCGTTCCCGAAAACGGTCATCCAAACCTATAGCGTGTTCGCGAACAGCGAAGGGACCGCGTCGACGGACGTCGTCGTCCATCCCTACAATTGGGTGCTGTCGATGCAGCGCCTCATCGAGAATCCCGATCACGTTGTGGTGCTCGACAACGCCGCGCTTCATCGGCTCGCCGCCGGAAAATTCAAAACCGACACGCCGACGTTTGAGCACATCAACTCGCTGGTCGCCCGAATCATGTCGACGTCGACGGCGATGTATCGATTCAATTCGCCGATTTGTCCGACGATTCGCTATTTGGATTTGGCGCCGTTTCCGCCGATGCATTTTATTCAATCTGGTCGGGGAGTTTTTTGGATTTTTGAAAAAAAAAATTTATTTGATCTGCGGACAATTTCCCTGTTTTGTGCAAGCCAAACGATTTGCAGGAATTTCGCCGGTCGTCGATCCGAATGAGAACTTCACTCGAAAAACGTCGGTAGCTGATGTCACCCGATTCCTGCTGAAGCCGACGTCGATGACAGTTTCGACGGCTTCGCGAGTTCGAGCCAATGATTGTATGCTGTCGGCCTACATGTTCCTTCAAGGCGACATCGAGGCGCAAGCGATAATTGCAGCCGAGCATAATGTTGATGTAAGAGAGATGCGAGACCAAAACGAAAATATCTGAAAGATTGGTTTTCTAGTTCACGATTCGTCGACCGCCGTTTTATATGATCAAGCCGCTTCGAATGATGCAGGCGCCGATTTCGCCGTATGTCAAACCGCAATATAAGGTTGATTTGTTCGAATGAAAAATTTTGTTTCAAAACAAGCTTTTCGTTAGGTTTCTGGACTTTTGCTCAATAATAGCACAAGTGTCGCGCCATTGTTTGAATCGCTGTTGGCGAAGTATGACAAGTTGCGGTCGAAGAAAGCGTTCATTGATAAGTTTGAGAAAATTGTGAGTTTTTTTTTTTTGATTTCGGAGAATTACAAATTGTAGAAGATTTAACTTAACTTTTTCATTTTTTCCCCTAAAATGAATTAGTTGAAGCTTGTTAGGATTGAGCATTAAAGGCTGTTATTTTTTCAAGCAAAACCGCCAAGGAAATTACTAGAAATCGAGACTAAAAATTTTTTTCCACTTTTTCGTGAAAATGACGAAATTTTTTATATTGTTATTTTTTGGTGAATTTTATGAATGTAACGTGAAACTAATGAGAAATGCGCATATTTTTCTAATTGAAGCCATTTCTGGAGGTATTCGCGTTTTCGAGTTATTCGTCAAAATTGGGACGTGTATATAGCTATGTGGAGCACTGTAGAGTTAATGGACCTATTCATGCAATTAAAAAAATTTTAAAAAAACGTCAAAAATTACAAAAAAATAATTGACGCGATATATCGTAATTCTCCGCTATTTATTTTTAAAGGCGCACGCGAAAAGTTGCGCGGTACTGTATTTTTTTAATGGCTGTTTTTTGTTCGAATTTTTTATTTTTTGAGTGTTTAAAACGTTTTCTTTTGGAAATCTGTAAAAGTATATTGTTTAATCAACACTAAAGGTTCATCGGAAGCGTCATCGAGCGAAGTCTGCATCAAATTAACACAAATATCACGATTTTTCATAAAATTGCTAAATGACGAAAAATACGACTTATATTGTCGAATTAGGAGTAATTATACCAATAATAATTGTTTTTAATCGTTCTTAAATCTGTTACTCATTTTCTCTTTAAAGTTTTCGAAAAATTCGAAAAAAAAAAACTAGTCATTAAAAAAAATACAGTACCGACTTCGCGACGTGACCCGCGCAACTTTTCGCATGCGCCTTTAAAAATAAATAGAGGAGAGTTACGATACATCGCGTCAATTTTTTGTAATTTCCGACGTGCGTGCATTGGGAATTCAAATGAAAAAAATTTGTTTTTTTTTTTTAAATTTTTTTCATTGCATGAATAGGTCTATAACGTTCCATGTTTGAAATATCTTAATTTCATTTCGTTAAGTCGAAGATTTGAAATTTAATGTTTGATTAATCATTCCCATATCAAAATAATTTAATAGCATTCGGTTCAAAAAAATTATTTTATCCACGATGTTTTTATTCGGCTAGCAAGGATTGTATAAGAAGTAAAAAAAAATGTTTCTCTAAGAATTAATTGACTAATTCGCCATGAGACCCCCAATAACTGCGATTTTCAAATTTTAGATATTCGAACAGAAAAAAATTAGATGAAAATTATGTAGAAACTCGCTATTTCGATTAAAGGCGCATTAGACGGAAATTTAGTTGGGTCTTGTGGCGATCAGCTAGTATATCGCAACCTCGAAATAATATTTCAGGACGATTTTAATCTTGAAATGATGGATGAATCGGTACATTCGGTGCAGGACCTTCTCGATGAATACAAAGCGGTTGTACAACATGACTATCTCACGAGAGGATTATAATAATGTATTCATTCCCTTGATGTCTTCGATTTCACTTTTTTTTTCGGAAATTCGGTGTGGGGGATCTCTTCGACTTATCTATGATCATTTACGTGTATTTATCATCAAATAATTTTTTTCTTTCTAATTTTGAACATTCTGATTATAACAAAACAATTTATTTGGCATCATTGCTGAAAAATGAGATGATCGGTAACGGAAAACTAGAAAACACCGGAATATGAAGTATTATTATAATTAGAATAGGCAAAAAAAGAATGGAATATAATGGGAATTATAATAATGGTCCGCGGAGCCGCGAAAAAACGAGATTCGCGCGCTTCGGGACCTACGGAGCGGGGGATTGGTCTTCTTCAAATTGTATTGTTTTTTTTTTCGCATGAGATTTTTTGTTTGTACTTTTTTTTTCTTTTTTTTGGAAACGACAATTAAAACGATGGGGGACCGGGATATCAATGGAACGATTATCAGTATCATCATTATTAGAATTCGAGATAAAACTTAACTTGTGCGATTTTTGCAGCGGGCAGTGACGAGACGTGTGCAGTGTCCAACGGGCTCAATATTGTTGTTGTTGTTGTTGTTTTTTTTTGGTTGTCGAAAATTGGGGGGGAATAATTATATGAGAAGTGGAAGCGGGCGGCAGCAGACGTGATTATTCGATTGAAAGATTGATAGGGGTAAGAGTGACGGCGTTTTTAAAGGCGCACGCGCTATTGGGTCTCACAGCGAACACCCTTTAAAGACGCCGTGAGTGGAAAGAGTAAACAGAAACAAGATTAAACGCGTGCCTAGACAAAAAAACAATAACAAAAAAAAATGGTTTGAAAAGTTTCCTGAAGAGAGTGTGTGTGAGAGAGAGGGGGAAAAGAAAAAGAAGTGACTTGGGAGGAGGAAACTTGATTATTATTATTATTATAATTATTAAAATTTCTCTACTATTTGATCGGGTCTCCATGAATGGGTCCCGCAACGAAAAACAAAAAAAAAACGAAACTAGTTGAGAGGCGGGGCGGCGGGCGAAGTTTGAGGTTATCTTCATCATCTTCTAATTTTCTGCTCAATAATAATAACAATAACAACGAATCAGCGGACCAGCGAGGTTTGCGAGGTGGGCGGCGGCGGCGGCGATGGTCCGTGATAGGCGCCGCCTTCGAGATGGCGAATCGCGTCGAGAATCGTCTGCAGCGTGTGATGGGCGGCGATGCTCGATTGGGTTCGCCTGAAATTTTGTTGAATGCGGAAAAAAAAAACACAATAGCGCGTAGATCAAAAATCGTGAATGGTGGAGCCACCCGCGAATTGTCCGCAGAACCGATTTATCGTTTTTGCACTTGCGGTGATATAAATTGAAAGAAATGATTTTAATGAGCAATTCTAGAAACATTTCGATTCAAGCGCCAACCTCGACAATTGTCCGCAGATGGAATTTTATTGAAATAACATGTGACCGTTGCCCGGCTTTTTGCGGCCTTTCCGATTGGCTCAGAATAGTTAGGGGTTCAGAGGTCCGAATTTGAAATTTTTTCAAAAATTTCCAAAAATGATCCTAGCCCGTCAGAAAATTTTACTAAAAAGTGTTAAAGGTGTTATAAGGGGTCCGAATTCGAAATTTTCGAAATTACTACTGAAACGCTATTTGCGAAATTTTTTAAATACCGTTTTTTTCTTTTTTTTCCAAATAAATTTTATGTTTTTGTAACATTTCCAACAATTTCCAATTCGGACCCCCTTGGAACGTTTTCGAAGTTCAAATCAAGAAGGGAAACGAGAATCGATCGAGCTCTCGGAAAAATCTACCTAAAAATTCCGGGGACCATTTTTTGCGAAGCTCAATCAGCTCCTCATCGGACAAAATTTGACAAACGGATATTTCGAGTCGAAATCGAACAAAAACCAATTGGAGCCCGAAATTTCACAATTTTATTCGTAAAATTACATTTTTAAATGTTGATTTTTTGATTTTGAAATATCAAATTCTGGGCGTAAAATTTCTATAATTGGTTGGAAAAAAAAACTGAAAGTCAAATTTTCCGACAAAATCTCGTTTTACGCGCAAATTTTTGTTGGTCCCAATTCATGATGGTTCGCAATTTCCGAATTCAACGACTTACACGAATGCTGACGGCTGTCCGTGGCCGACCGTCGGCGTTGGCAACAGAATATTGGTGGTGGTGTTGGTGTTGGTGGCGGCGGTCGACGAGGTGACGGGCGGTTGCGGCGACGCCGCCGTCGATTGCGACGGAAACAGCATTTGCGTGGTGGCGGCGAGCGGCGACGGCGTCGACAGCGACGGCGACGACACTTCAATCGAATCGAATCGCATTGATCGCCTCGTTCGACACTTACCGGTGATCGGCGCGAACGGCGTCGGCCGAATGACGGACGACTCCAAATTGGCGAACGCGCTGCCGCCGACTTTCATCGGGCTCGTCTCGACCGACGGCGGCGAGACGCGCAGATTGAGCAACGACATCGGCGGCGTGTCGACGATCGACGACATTTTGCGTTCGACGTCCATCGTGTTGTACGTTGGCGTTGGCGGTGTGCCGCCCGACACCACACTCGTCGCATTGGCGAGCAGCTCGCGGAGTTGCGCCACTTGCTGCTCGAGACGCTTTCGCATGCTCCGCTCGGTTTCTAGACAACACTCCAATTCGGCGATTCGCTGCCGTTGATCGTCGACGTCGAGTTTCGCCTTCTTCGCCTCACCGCCACCCATCGCGTTGTTGTCGTCGTTCGATTGGTGTTGCTGCTGTTTGAGATGATTGATGAGATCGGCGGTCTGCTGGAGAATCGCCGCCTTCGACAGCTTCTCGCCCTCCTTGCGCGGTAGAAGCGCGCGAAGCGACATGAAGCCCGCGTTGATGCTCTGCATTCGTCGACGCTCGTTGCAATTCGCGATTTGACGCCTCAACCTGACAAAATGAAATCTAGAATCGATCGCGTCGAAATGATTCCGAATTCAAACCTTCGGTCGGGATCAAGGTTCGCCGGTGACAACGGCGCCGCCGGTTGCGATAACGACCTGAATTGGGGTTTTTGTTTCTGAGACTGTCTTGTAGAATAACTATGTTGTGTATAAATGTCGATGCGAATCTATAAACGCCTCAATCAAACAAACAAAAAAAAATGTGGGTCCCACAAAATCAATTTTTTTTGGTCAAATTTGATGGCCTACCGATTGGAAAGCAGCGGCGCGTGGCCGACCGCCGGCAGGACACCGCGCAGTGTGCTCTTCACGGCGAAATCGAACGCGCATCCGCCGCCCGACGACGGCGACGAGCCCCATTCGGGTACCATGACGGGCAGTGTCGTCGTCGTCGTCGCCGCCGCCGCCGCCATCGTCGAGCCGGTGCTCATTTCTTCGTCCTCTTCGATTAGATCGAAACTGCAAATCAATCAAATTCATCATGTTTTGTTTTATTCGACTTTATTGTAGACGTCAAACGAGACGTCGAATTGCTCGTACGCTATAATGCAATGTACGCGTACAACTCGGCAGCCTTGGCACATTGCCAATCTTTTTTTTTTAAGTTTCGCCCAGTCGATATTTCTTTTTTATTTCTTTTTCTTCCAGAAAAAAAAAAACAAATTTAAATGACTAAGTTGCGGCAAAAAATGCGTTTTTATAACCTTTTCATTTAATTAAAAACATTTTTTTTCATTTAAATTCCCTCGAAAATTACAAAAAAAAAATTGACGCTATATATCCGCTATTCATTTTCAAAGGCGCACGCGAGAAGTTGCGCGGGTCTCGTCGCGAAGTCGGTATTGTATTTTTTTAATGGCTGTTTTTTTTCGATTTTTTCATTGCAAAAAAAAATTAAAAATAAGCTTCCATTAATTTTTTTTAATTGAAGACATGAAATTTGGAATCTCTAGCTTCAGATTTTTTTTCTTCTACTGCGTCATGATGTATAGTCGGCGTGTCCGGCGACTGTGTAGATTTACGCGCATGCGCCTTGAAAAGGTCTCGCCTCGTGTGAACGCTTATTTTGATGTTTTCGCGCGAATGGCCAATTTTTTCTGGATGAGAATTTCCTTGAAATTGACGAATCGACCCAAAAAACAACAACGAGCTAGTCCGCGCGAGACCAAGAGAAAAGCGCATCGCCGTAAATCTACCCCCCTCGCCGACTATTTGAAAATTCCATCTGCGGACATTGAAGGTGGGGCTTACCCGTCCTCGTTCATCATGTGATCTTCATCTGCGCTATCCGAACGAACCATTGTTTCCTACTAGTGTAACTACCTGCAACAGGAAAATGAGAGTTTGAAATATATATATTTTTTTCATCCCGCTATCAACAGGGTCCCCGACGATTTTTTTTTCACTTGTCTTGTTAACAATTGTGCGCTGGGGGTTAAATTCTGAGGAGCACAGCTGAGATAGGCGAGTGATAAATTTGCCCCGGCTCGGCGAGCATGTGACCCACAGGTGTGTGTGTGTCAAATGTCGCGACGTTTGTTCTTTTTTTTTCAGAAAAAAAAATTGAACAAAATTTCGTTTTCCGCTAGGAATTTGATTGAATTGAATTGGGACCCAAAAATAAAAGGTACTTACTGATTGGTACCTAAAATTGGACTACGAAGGGGACGATGAGAGCCGTCTTGGATTACCTGCAAATGATCATATTTGGCCGACATCGATTGTAACATGAATCGAACGCGAACATGACTGGCGTGTATGCGAGTGTGTGTGTGTGTGTGTGTAAAATGCAAACATCACGCCAATTTTTGTAAAGTTTGAAGGGCGAATTGTATTGTGCGAGGAAGACGAGAGGAAGAAGAAGAAGAAGAGCGAATAAGGTGATCATGAAGAAGAAGAAGAAGAGATGTTGCGGGTTTTCATTGGCCAAACGGTTTGGTCCCTTGATAGACAGGGTCCACGAAACACGATTGATAACGCGAAATGGGAATTTTTTTTGTTTGGAAATCAAACACGATTGCGAGGCGAATTATTAACACAGCGGCAATCGCGTCGATCTGATAATGAGCAAAAATGAGCAATTAAAAGCAAAACAAAATTATAATGAGGGCATCGAGTTTAAGAAAAAAACTAAACATAATTGAAAATTGTTGGTGACAGACCCAAAAAAAAAACCACGAGCACATGTTTTTCAAAAAAAAAACTTTTTTTTTTCGCGTTCTTTCAACAAAATCCGCCGCCAGAAATCTCGAAATCGAACCGTTGAGAAGGCCGAAAAAATTGTGCGCGCGAGCGAGCGCGAGAAGGCAACACATACAAACACCAGATAGCAAAGCAAAGCAGCAGGAATAAAAATTTGAGAGAAATCGAGAGAGAGGGTGGAGGGGGGGGGGACACACACAGACGAACAAGACGAATCGAATGGTGTGGTTGGTTGGTTAGTTGATTGAGGGGACGACGACGACGACGACGCAACAAAAAAAGACGCTCATCGGCTGATTTTTAGAGGGACGAGCGCGCGCGCGCTGCCGTCGCCTATGAAGAGGACGCCAGACGCGTACAAGAGAAACAAGAACAAAATTTTTTCGCAATGCAATGATGTGTCGGCGGGTTGAGGCGCAGGCGCGCGCGCGTTCGGCGCCAGAACGCGCCTCTACGTCTCTATAGCGGCGCGCTCTCGTCGTCTCTGCCGACGGCTAGGGGGGTCGAGGGGGTACACGTGTGCGGCCGGGCGTCGCCAAGCCAAGAAAAAAAATAAAACACATGAACTCGGTCTCGAACAGCCGGTCGCGCCGCTGTGGGATGGACGAGAGCGAGACAGAGACAGAGAGAAAGAGACGGGCGGCGCCTGCCCCTCGCGCCATCACCACCACCACCACCACCACCCCAACCGACATATGTTTTTACTCGCACATGTTTTCAACAGGCCCGAGTGCGGGTTGGGGACCTTTCGACTCATCACATTAATTGTCAATTCGCGACAATCCTTTTTTGCTTGAATTTATTAGAATATTGTTTGCATACATAGTCTGATAGGGAAATCGGGGGATTGGGACCCCCCTTTAAAAAACTTTGAATTAAATGCATGAGATTGTAGTAGGAATGAACGAAAAACAAATCGCAATACACATATTTTGGGCGGTCTAATTGAATATCGTTGGAATTGCGTCGTCGAGTGTCCATCAAGATGACACGTCTTCTCGGTAGAACGTCGGCTGATATTCTCGAATTCCAATTTGGGCGACGCTCGCGCAGAGGCGCTCACATACCCGGCTGTCCGCCGATTTGTTGGAACCGCCCTCATCGTCGCTCTCCGACGACGATTCACCATGATTCGGATGCTCTTTGAAGTTTGACGCTTGGCCAGAATTGAGACGAGCAAAACACTGAAATCGCGTGATCGTCAATTATTCTCGGCACACTTTCGAACTGGTGTTACCGTATCGCACACTCGAACCGGTTTCTTGTTCAAATTGTCGATTCGGAACGATTTCGACGAGCACGCGGCGCACACAACTCGTCCGCAATTTCGGCAATGATGCTGAAACAAAAATCGCGTTGCGCTCTGTTTTCAATCATTCGCTTTGTTTTTTTTTTCTTTTCGCATGATTAATGCGATTACTCGTCGCTGAACCAAATTGAACTGCGTCCGACCACACTCCATACACTTGTTGGCCTCTCCGTCAGGAATCCAAACCGCCGCGTGCTCCGTCGCCGGCCGCTTGTTGCCTGAAAACATTTGCTTCATTTCTTTTTCCAGAATTTCAAAAATATTTCTATCAGACCTTTTTCCAGCAAATCCGAAACACACCGCTGAATATGAAGCATCCATTCCTTCTTTTCGGTCGCCGTCGCCGCGTACACCGCAAACGATTTCGCCGGCGTCTTGATGATCCAGCCGTTCTTCAGCGCGCCCTCATCGTCGAGATCTTCCAACTGAACGCCTTCTAGACGAATTATCCGCTGCTTGTTGTATCTGAAAATGCGCCTTTAAACGAGTCTCGTCGCGAGAAATAACTTATTTTTAATTCTTTTTTTGCAGCTAACAATTTTTGAAAAAAAATCGCACTTTTTTCATGGTCCCCTTCTTTTAAGAGCGGACCATAAAATGCTAAAATCTGGGCGACAAAAATGCATACTCTGTTGCGAGAACTTTGACGTAAACTGTGTGCTCCTTTAAATCGAAAATGATAAATTTCGTTGCAAGACCGAACTCATTTTCCGCGATATACACCTTTAATCAATTGCTTCATTTTTCGAATTTTGCGCTTAGAGCATAGAAATTTCCAAAATATTATATGATAATTTAACAATTAATAATTTGACACAGAAGCCTTAAAAAACAAATTTGAAGAGTTTTCGATTTTCGAATACGGTAGTTAAAGGAGCAGTGTATACAGTTCAGTTCTTCTCGGGGACACCTCAGGTAAAAGAAAATCAATTGGATTCGAAGAAAAATGAAATATAAATTAACCTGTTTCGATTGAAAAATAATTGAAAATCGTTTAAGAAAACGCTTAAATTCGATTTGAAATGTTGGCTTCTTCGAAATCGACCGATTTCGAAATTATCCAATTCTGACATTCCCATTTTCATTCAGAAGCCGACTCAAAGAAAACCACCAACAAAAAATCCGTCGTTACCTTTTCTTTGATATCACAATATTTCCATAGACGAGAATATCATTGAACAAGAAGAATTGCCGCTGTTTCGGCTTCTTTCGACACATTTTGACGAGCACACCTTCGCCGACGAGAACGCGTCCGAATTGCTTCAGCGGCTCGCCCATTTTACCGAAGCATTGCTCGACGTTCGCCACTCGTCGCGCGTTCACCTCGCTATTTACTGAAACAAACAATTTAATTTGCATTAGACGGTTTCAAAGTTGATACAATTGATTTCAGTTTCTCTTTTTTGATTTTTTAAAGATTTTGCATAGTACGGTACTCCCCCGAATTCCCACATTTGTTTGAATTACGGTGGTCCACAAATGCTCGTTCTATTTTTGCGATGATATTATTAATTTCGTATTTTAAATTGTTTGGAAATCGACTAATTCAGGGTTTCGTGTGGATAAACCGGCGACAGATGTAGATTTACGGAGTGCGCCTTTCGAATAGGTCTCGCCACACGTGAATGCTTTTTTTTTTAAATTTTTTTGGACTATTCAATTTTTCTTGATGAGAATATTATTCCCTTTAATGATTAATGCATTGCTCAAATAAAAAAATTAACGGAATAACCTCTAAAATAAAAAATAATCAGTTAGTCCGTAAGAGACCATACCAAAAGTGCAGAATTCAAAAATTTGCCAAATTCTGAGAAAAAAGCAATTTTCAAAAAAAAAATGTAAATTTTCTTCATATTTTTCCCCTCTAGTTCTTTTCAACTTCGCGTTTTTCTCATTTCGAAAAGTTGAGAAAATCGATCAATTTCTTGGTGTAAATCCCACCAAAATGGGTAAAAATCGAGATTTTTTTGACCGGCAAAACAAAAACACTCACCAAGTCGATCAACCATATCCTCGAATTGCTATTCAATGTCGTCTTTTAGAGCAGAAATGCACAAAAAATCTGAAATGATGATGACTAATCGTCGAAATACGCGACGAGAGAAATGAGGGGGGGGGGGTCTGTTTGTTTGTGTTTGGCCAATGTCGAAATACCAGCGAAACGCGAGAGAAATGAGAACGGTAAAACGAAACAAGCGGTCAATAAAATATAAATTATTACAGCAGATATTTTTAACTGCTTTTCAACGTCGGCAAAAAATCGATTCAATCGTTTTTGTTTCATGAACTAGCAAATTTATAACAACAAACATTCAACAAAATATGGCAACAAGAAAAATTACATTGGTGAGGGGGGGGGGTCCTTCGTTTTCAAATTAACGATTTTTAGCCAGTTTCTCATCGATGATTTCAATTTCCGGCTCTTCTCGTCCAATCTTCAATTTTTCCATCAGCTTTTTGAATAGACCTAAAAAATTTTCGAGTCATTTTCCTTCAAATTCAATCTTTTTTTTTATTCTCGAAAAACTCAATTATCACCTGTTTTGACGCATTCTTCTTTGGCTTCGAATGGCTGAATTCCGACGGAGAATGCGTCGACGCTGGGTAATTTCGACAATTTCCATTCACCGCTATCGTCTCTTCTCGAAAGCACCGGAGTGCCGATGGATTGGAACAACGATTCACCCTTAATTAGCGCCTAATTAGATAATTATCACATTTTAAAGATTGAATTTTTCTAGTAAAAACTGCTTTACAACAACGATAACCTTCTCTACTTTCGGCTCATTCTCGGCCTTGCTCGCTTCAAGGATTTGAACTGAAGATTCCTAGAATAAAATCAATATTGATCTCGCCATGCGCCTTTAAATTACCTCATTTGGTGTCTTATACTCGATTTTCAAATCATTCACCTCATCATCAATTATAATTACATCATCATCAGCGTCATTCTTGAGATTAATTTTCTCTGCAAAATCTCATGCTCCCAAAACTCGCAAAATGGAAAATGACACTCACTTTTGGATTTTCGTTGCTTCTTCATCTTAGCTCTTCTATCCTTCATATAAGAGCCGATGAGCTCCTTTTCATAGATTTCGCAAAACACATGAAATGGCGGAACTTTGAAGTTTTCTCTCTGAAGTGCTCGCCTCGCGTTTTCAAATTCTCACACAAATCTAAGCTGCTTACATCGATTAAGCCGTCAACACTTCCATTAAATCCCTGATAGCAGATCATTTTGGATTTGTCGATTTCAGGCTTTTCCATATCATCGTGATCATTGTGACTCTCATGCGAATCGAAAATCTTGAGTATCTGGTTGCCGTTGAACTTCATGGTCCTAAAATAGAAAATTCTACCAAATCTTCCCCGAAGAAATGCTCACTTTTTCAGATAGCCTGGCGGATAGCCCTTAACAAATCCCATGTGTCTCATTCTATAAATATATTCTGGAATCTCGTTTTCTCCGATGCCCAGCGCTTCTCGCAACGTCGTACTAATCGAACCGGGTGTGAATTTGCCGATATGCTTGTCTGTATATCTTCCATATTGGGAATGTCGTCGTCTTCTGAACATGAAATAAATGAAACATTTGCTGAATTTAACCTACAGATCTTCGGTGATTTCCAGCCGGTTCTGCTGAATTCGTTTCGCGCTTTTCGGCCGCGGACAATCCGATATATTATGCTCCCCACGGCAATTAAAACAAATTTTTTTGAATTTTTTCTTTTTCGAATTCTCGTTTAAATCTTTTGCTTCTCCAAGAAGACTCGACTGCATGCGTTCAGCCCAGGAACTCGTTGGCTTCACGCCGCTATCTTCATTTTCCAGATTCTCATCGATATGCAATGATTCTGTGCGATCAATAACATAATCCTGCAATAAAATACATTAAATAATATTTTATTTCTGAAATATTACCTCAAAAACCGTCTCGGTTCCTTTCATCACATCATTTTCAACGATAAGACATGAATTAGTGCGTCGACGCTTTGTCGACAGACTTTGCTCATTTTTCTTTACCGAAACTCTTCGTTTCGCTTTTCTTCGGCCATTGCCATTAACAATCATGATTTTCTGAACAAAAATCGTTGAAAAATTCAGAAAAAAATGAAGAAAATCGAAAAAATAAGAGCGGACGAAATAAAACCAAATTGCGAAATGAGGCAAACACGCTCCAATGGACTGACCATAAAGCAGCGCCAGTTTAAATTTCTATCTACAAGAAATGCGGGAAACAAATGAACGATGGAATTCGACGCTCATTCTCGACTATTGGCATGTTTCAATTATATCAATTCGCATCGTCGCAATTTGTCAAATTTCAGAAAAGGGCATGTACGGAATTGGTGACCTGTCATTCGCGCACTACACGACGGTCGATGAGCAAGACGAGAACGAAGAATTGAACGCGTTCAATCAAAGCAGCTTGTTCAATATGACATGTCCACCATTGCGTTCAAATCAAACTTTTGATTTTAATCAGGTAAAATATAATTTGTTTTCTATTGGTATTGTTGAAAATCCATTTTTTTCTTCAGTCGATGCAGCGCGAGTCGAAAATGAAAAAATCTCAAGATCCCAACATTTCGACGACATTGAACGAGTCCGTCATGAATGCTTTGGTCTCACACGATCCGCGTGTAATTCCCGACGATCTTCGCGAGGTTATTGTCAAGCAGAAAAGAATAGTAAGCGAAAGCGTTTTGTGCGCGAATGCCAATTTTTGCATTTCAGAGCAGCACTTACAAAACCGCATTGTGCGAATCGTATCGTCGCACAAAAACGTGTCCGTACAATGACACATGCCGATTTGCTCATGGTGTCGAAGAGTTGAGAATGCCGGGCAATGTGAGTTGGCAATTTTTTAAATTGCAGAAAAAAATTGCAATTTCTAGGCTCGCGGCAAAAACCATCCGAAATACAAGACAATGTTGTGCGAGAAGTTCTCGACGACCGGCGAGTGCCGCTACGGCGCCCGATGCCAATTTATTCACAAAATCGCGAATCCGGCGCTCGTCTATTCGGCGAATAAGCTCATTGAGGACACGCTCTCGGAAATGGAAATTCCGCAACGGTTTTGTTTGTCGATGTGATACATTTGGTATTGTTTCTCTTGTTTGTCGTGTTTCAGCGCCGGCAACAACTCGATGATGTTGCGCAACGAGATTGGCCGAGGTTTTGCGCGCGACTCCGGCCACCGCGACGCGGCCATCAATCGTTTCGTTCGCAGTTTTCACAGTGCGGTTCCGATGCCGACGAAACCAGTGGAATTCAATTTTGAATAATCGGATTCAATCCCGTTAATAGCCCAATCACCCCCGAATCTATATATTGTATATTTATTGATATAATCAAACATTTCCTTTTGTCTTTCATTTTTTTTTCTCACTCTCTTTTTGTGTGTATGTGTTGCTTTTTTTGTCCCAAAGGGCCTCGTTTTCTTTCTTTTTTTTGCGATTTACTCATTTGCTTTTTAAGGCAGCTAATCAATCAAAAATTTAATAATAATAAACTTCTGGTTTATTATTAATTTTTCTACTCTCATTTACTTTTTATTTTTTGAGTAATGTTGAATGTTAAGAACTACATACTAGAATGAATAAAGAAGTGAATTACATAAAGTTTACAGTGAAAGCAGTAATAAGCGGGTCTTTATAATAACAATAATAATAATAATAATGGCGTGGGAGATCCAGTCAGCTGAAGGCGATGTGCGTCTGCGGTCTGCGTGCACCGAATGATGTCTCGGTTTAGTTTGTCTGCATGTGTGTCCCACATTTTTGCGAACAGCGATTATAATAATAATAATACTGCAGCGGTTGCTGCCGCTACAGCTACTAGTTGTTCTCAAGGAGTCATCAAGCGCCGCAGTTTTTTTTTCGTTTCGCCGTCGGCCGGAATCGTTTTGTCATCAAGATTCGTAGATCGAAGTGTTGCGGACGAGTTCTTTCGAATGGATTGTTTTTTTTTTTTGATTGGAAAAATAAATACGACGAGCGCGCGTTAGAGTATTTTTTGTTCTCGTTGTTATTCTTGCCGTCGATTGAAAAACGAGAAATCGTTGCGTAAATAATTAGCAAAGTTTTTTTTTCTTTCTCTTTTTTATTCACCCTAAAATAAATGGAATGATTTGCGTCATTTGCGAGTTTCTTGTTAGTACAAATTGCGCTGAAAATAGAAAGAAATGCATTAAAAGTGCGGCATTCTCAAAAATCGAATTTACGTGGATTTGCGTCATTGTGCATACACTATTTCGTTAACCGTATCCATTTACAATATTTATATATTTTTTCGAAATTCGATTTTTCCTCGAATTTTCCGGTCAAGTTTTGCGATTGCCAGCCGCAAGTATATCAAATTTCTCAAAAGTGTTTTGTTGAAACTTTATACAACATTCGTAGAAGCCGAAAATCAATGGATAATTAGTCATAATTCAATTCGCTCTTGGTCGATTCGTATTTTAATATTATTAAAATATTTGACTCATACATGATATTTATCCTATTGTATAGGATTACTATTAACCGAAAGATGGCGATTCATTCGAATTGATAGCCCCGCAAAATTCCATCCAACTCGCGAGTATTACTGATTTTGTGTGAAATTATTGCACCTGCTCATTTATAATTAATTGGAATTCTTTCTCTCTCTCTACTTCTTTTTTTTTTCTCGCGAAAATGTTGCGTGCCGTTTATTTATAGAATCATTCTTGAATTTTCGACCACGATTTTTGATTTTTGCGGCAAATTTCGAGATTCTTCGCTATTTTTGAAAGCATCCTTTTCAAGAAAAAAAAATGTTATTTTTGATCATTTTAAAGGCGCATGCGGTTAAGCTCATCGTTTCCAAATTTGTATTGCATTATTGTTACAGTGAATGACCCTGGCCGAGATTTTTTCGAGGCCACACCTAAATTATACCTTTATGTAGGAAAAAAGGAGAAGCGATGAAATTTCCGAGAATTCCGCGCCTCCACACAAAAAGAGGATTTCACAATTAAGCGTGATGAATTGCGTATTGTCAATTATATCTCTTGCGTCCGTCTCATCAGCGTGGAACAACAAGCAGCAGTGGTCCAACTACTCCGTCACCACCACTAATTGGCCAATGTGTCGATGACGACGACAGCTGCTGCCGTCGGAAACGGTAGGCTGTCGTCGGCCGGTGTAAACAAAACAAAACACAACATTTTGTGCGTCGCGGGTGGCCTCGAAAAAAAAAAGAAGAAGCGATAATCGGACCAAAAAATTTGAAACAACAAAAAAGTGAGACTCGCCGAGACCCCCCCCCCCTTGGCCCCACTTTGACCATTTTCGGTCGTCTCGGCTCTCCGCGCACTTGTTTGATATATCGCCGAGAAAACCTCGTGCACTCGCCCTCCCCACCCATCTCTCTCTCACTTCCCCTCTCTTCCTCTCCCCCACCGCTGCTGCTCATTTGTCGTTTGGAGATTCGCGTTAGAATATCGATTGAGAGACTAGTATCCCCTCTCTCTCTCTATTCTTCAAACGGCACTGAGCTTTAATGCTCAGGTGCGCCTTTAATATCGACTCGATCGCCACTTTTCCTCTCCTTGTTACTTACCTCGACCTCGCAAATCGTTACATTAATTCAATGTGACGTTGGTTCTTCTTTTTTTCCTCCCAACCTCCTCGCCGTCTTCAACTCATGTGACCCCCACTGTGGTGTTTTCGTTCTTACAGGTTCTTCCTTTTTTTTAAATGAAAACCGAATCGGTCAAAGATTTTCACTGCCATTTGTGTGTCTCGGCAAATCGAATTTCTAAGTGACAAAAAATGATGATCAACAATCTTCATTTGGGAAAATACAAATGAGTTTTATCGAAATCTACAAACCATTTGTTTGACAATCGCCTCAAGACCATTGTTAAAGGCGCAGCGAGAAGTTTCGGCCAAAAAAAAATTGTCGACTTTCAGCGTAATTTGCATTTCGGCGAATATCGCTCACTAGCGCGATGCCTCTCGCCGTTTTGCTCTCTCTCTCTCTCTCTCACAATCGCTTCATCCATCCAACACGATTTCAGACGAGCCTCACATATTAATAAATGAGTCACTGCGATTCATTCGGGGGGTCGAGTGACGCCACAAATCTGCGACGCCACCTTGACGCCTTCATAATTGGCTCACCGAATCCATGGGTCACCAGGCCGCTATCAAAAAACCAAAATGAAAAAAAGTGCACTCAATTGTGCGGCGGCGATAAAACCGCACATTGTGTGTATTTTCAAGTGCACTTCATCTCATTATTCGGTTCTTGAGACCCCCCCCCCAACCAACCCCATTCGTGTCCGGACACAATCTCTCCACTTTCATTCATAAATGGTCGCGCACGCGCGCGCGCGCGCCGATGGGACCATTCAAAATCGATTCCGGTTTTGTTTTCGTTTCGACGACGTTCTAATTTGTTTGCCGCGGGCGCGCGCGCGTCGCAACGCATATCACACGGTGTTGTATCATTCCTGTGTGTGTGTGTTGATGTCTCGTCGACCGACCGACCGTGCTTCCGAATCAATCGACGACGACGATGCCCATTTATCGCCTATCGCCCAATCGCTCCATTTGTTTCATTTTAAAAGGGCCAAATTTTCTTCTCAATTTAAACGATCTCCTTCCATACGAGACCTTTTCTTGAAAGGCGCATCATGCGATTAATAGGATCGTGTCGAGACCCATTCGAATCCCGCCTTTCATGTTAAACGACGGGTCCTGAATGCCTATATATAGTAATTTTTTTGCTGCCATTCGAACCCCCCCCCCCATATTTATTTGGACCATGTTAAAAATTGTGGGAAAACTTCCCCCATTCCTTTTTACTTGCTTGCCTGACAAAAAAAACGAAGAAATTCGTCGTTCTTTCCGCTCTTTTTTTCCATCGCCTCGACGCCCCAAAAAAAAGTTTTTTTTTTCAATTTTTTTTGGCTTGGCAAAACCGAGAAAAAATTTTTTTTTGCCGTTTTAAACGAGTCGCTTTTGCCCAAAATTATAGGCTTTCGTGTTCGAGAATCAAACATTTAAAGGCGCATGTTTTTTTCCGGCTTCTTATCGCCAAATTTTAAAGGCGCATACGACATCTTTAATAATAGCATAGAGGATTGTTTTCAAGGTGCAACCGCTCGCCAATTTTGAAGATCGCGTTTTTGAATTCTGTGATCCGTTCGAGACCAAATTTAAAGGCACATTACAATTTAGAAAAAAAAAAATGATTGAATTTTCAAACTAGTTTTTTTTTTGCGTCGCGATTTCCATTTTTCGCTTATGTTTTGCGCCCTCTTGATTCAAACACGTCTCGTTTTACAGGAGGCCTGGATTTCATTTTTGGATCGGATCGGATCGGATAGGATCGCGACGAGGTGAATTCGGATTCTTGTGAATTTGCCGCCGATTGTGTCACAATGAGCGGCAAAACCTCGATCGACTCGCAAGCCGATATGGTAGGAAGACGCACGAGTTCGTTTCTCGCTTCGAGACCCATCCCCCCTTTAACTACAGTAATCTATTTCGAGCGCTTTCAATTTTTTTTTTCAAAAAACAATCACCAAACATCGACTAATTGGTCCTTCTGGGACCAGCGAGATTTTGGGTGGCAGAGCGGGTCTTGAAACGAGAAATCAGAGTATGTCAAAATTTGAAATTTGGAAGGTCCGCAATTTTGCGTCAAAATTTGAAAATCATTAATTTTCAAGAATCTCGAAAGTCCGCAAATTTGCGTCGAATGTGTAATTCGTTTTTGACACCAAGAAAATCCGACAAATTTTCCACAAAACGAGTTTTTTTTTCAAAATAAATTGATCAAAGTCCGCAATTTTGCGTCAAAATTTTAATTTTTTCTAAAATTAACAAAGTCCGCAATTTTGCGTCAAAGTGTGACCGCGAACAATTCGAATCGTTTGTTCTTTTCAGGTGGTACTTCGCCTAATATTGGTAAGCGGCAAAACGCACGAGTTCTCATTTCATCTGCTCGCCTCGGCATCCGACGTCACACAATTCGTGTTCGATCAATGGCCCGAAGGTACGGTTTGATGGTTGCCGGCGACCTCACACAGTGTGTTTACATGACCGAAAATGGGCACACACACGCGCGCGCTAATCCCGAATTGTTTGCGTTCTTCCGAAACTTCGAAGAAGAACATCATGAGGGACGAATTGTTGAGGCTCACGATGGCTGGGGAGGGGGGGGTCCGAGTTGAAATCGAATTTCGAGGCCCTTATATCAATTTGGAATTTATGTCAATCCCCCTCGCGGATGAAGCTCAATGGGTTGCTCAACCGATTTTCGATCGTTTGCGAAAAATGTGTTTGAAATGAAATTTGGAATCAAAAACGAGTTATTTGTCATTTTTGAGATCGCTTTTTTTTTTCTTGCGATTTTCTGGAATATTTTTAAAAAATTGAAATGTGCCACTTTTTTGCGATTTTTTGGAATTTTTTCGTCTCAAAAAATCTCTCTTTTTGCGATTTTTTGGATTTTCTGGAATTTTTTTTCAGAAAAGAGCTCACTTTTGCGAATTTCTGGAATTTTTTTTTGAATCTTTTTATTTGATATTCAATTTTTTTTGAAAACTGCAAATTTTTGCGAATTTCTGGAATTTTTCATCTGAAATTCGATATTTCCCAAAAAAATTTTCTCATTCTCTGTTCTTTTTTTTTCTCAGATCCAATTTTTTTTGGGCCGCCAATATCCGGCGAATCGCCTCAAATTTCCAAAAGCTTCATCCTAAAAGATGTGGGGGGCGGGGCGAAGGAATAAATGAGGCGACATCATCGAATTCGGTTTTCAGATTGGGCCGACGACAAAGTCGAAAGCGCGTCGATGCTCAAATTGATCTACCACGGCCGATTTCTGCACGGCTCGGTGACACTTCACGCGCTTCAACTCCAGGCCGGCAAGACGACCGTCATGCATTTGGTGACGCGCGAGAATCTGCCGGAGCCCAATTCGAGCGGTTCGTTCGTTCATTTTTCTTGTTTTCCTTATTATGATGATGATGGTCCGTTGCCTACCATACCATCAAGCTATTGGTGTGTTCTCGCCAACTAATTGGCCACTTCCCGCAAAAATTCTAGGTCAACTAATGAATGGAGTGGGACGCCAATTAGCGGGGCGGAATTCGATCGCGCAATTAAGTTTTTGTCGAATCGAATGCGGTTTGGGAACCCGGAACGCTGTCCGCAGATGTGAACTATCAAAATTGTTTCGCCGCGTTGTTCTCAATTCCACTTCTTCGATGAAAAATATCTCATTGATACCAAAATTTCGCCATTTTTGGGGTCTCGCAAAATGTCCGCAGATGAAAATTGATATAACATTGTTGAAGGGGGACAACCTTTAGAGTTGGGTCTCGCAACATGCGTGTTTACGCCATCCAAAAAATAGTGGGCGTGGCTTGTTCTACAGTAATCCAACAATTTCCATGCTGTTTTTTTTGCAGAAACGCTCACAAAACGGAAAAGTGCAAATTGTTGCCGGTGTGTTCTTTCGTGAAATCGACTCATCGAGACCACCTCGGTATTTCCATATTTTTTGTCTTTTTCTCTCTCTCTCTCTCTCCCTCCCTCTCTCTCTCTCTCATCCTCTGTCGATAACGGGATTCGTCATTCCGCACACTTGTACATTTCAATCCAACGTGCCCCCCCCCCTCGCCCCCGCCCATCGTAATTTCCAATTTTAGGTTCCCCTCCACTTCCCCCCTCCCATCCTGAGGGGTTTTGTGTACATTTTCTCGTCGAGACCCATCCTACTGTGATCTACCATTAATAGTTTTTGTTTTTTCCGTGCAAACCCCTTTAAGAATTACTATTTTTTTTTCAGTTTTTCTCTCTACTCTGGTCCATTTACGTTACAAATGTTTTATTTTTTTTTCTGACCCCAACAAATTGATTTGTATTGAACCCCCCCCATCGAAATCGAGCTTTCTATCCAAATTTGGAGATTTGAGGCTTCTCGAAGAAAACGAAGAAGAAGAAGAAGAAGCTTCCGGTCTTTTCATTCGTCTCACGGTGTACATTCTATTCATAATAATAATACATAATTATTATTATTATTATAACATGTATAGTTAGACACACACACACACAAAAATGAATTTGGTGGAGATTTCGTTGAAATTGAGTGAGTTGAGCAAAAATCGGACAAATAAAAAAGACGAACAACAAAAGAAAAAGAAGACGAATAAAATCGAAACATTGATTTTTGGAATGGTCCCTGAGAAATCTGGAAAAATTACTAACTGGAATGTCGAATTTTTATTGCGAGAGGGGGGATTTTGGCTCAGGAAAATCGAAGCAATTATTTTGAGACCAATTTCAATTAATTAATTTTAAGATTTTATCGAATAAATTTAAAAAAAAAAAAGATTTCAAAAACTCGATTTTTTTTAATTTTAGGAAATTATTGAATTTTTGACTCTCAAAAATAATTGATTCGATTTTTGCCTGAGAGCCGGTTAGCCGTATTTTTGAATTTGTCGTTTCATTTCTTCAATTCCGTATTCGGAGAGCTTCTATCGACGATCCTTCTCGTTTTCGATTTTGCCGCCGCGCGGTGTGAATGACGACGTTCGTTGGACGTTTCTGCAAAATCGAAAAACATCGATTTAAAGGCGCATGAGCGACTTCTTCTTTTTTTTCGGCAGAATACTGAAAACACGCATTTCTTATTTAAAATCGCGGTAGATCAAAATTATTTAAATGAATGATTCAAGAAAGCTCAAAACGGGAAGACAGCGAATTAAAGGAACATTCAATCAATTTCAATCTCAAGGTTGTTTAAAGGCACAGGGGATTTAAAACCCATCAGGATCAATCTGAAATTTCGTCTTGAGATTTAAAGGCGCATAATGTACCCAAATTTCAAAGGCACGTGAACACTGAAATGATTTCAGCAAAAATCGCCTTTAAAAAAATTTTTGCCACCAATTTGAATTTTCGAAATTTTTCATAATGAATAATTTCACAAAAAAATTATAGAGGATCCCACAATTCGCAAAAAATAATTAAAATTTCGAAAAAAAAATTGGGATTTTCTAAAAGCCAAAAAATGGCGACTGCCATAATTAGTCAATGTCGTCAGACGCGTCGCGGTTCTCGCGTGCGCAACCTCGTGCAGCGAAAATTTCAGTTTTTTTTTCTTCAAAACAAAAATGCGTATCAATCAAATGTGTGCAATCTCGCGTGACGGTGTTTGCAGCACACGCAAAAAAACCAAAAAAACTCACCGATGCGCCGTCAGCAGCGAATTGCTGCCGTCGCTCTCGATTCGCTGACCGAGCGGACAATGGCCCGACGTGAGATCGGCAAGATGCGTCGAGTAGCTGTCTGCAAAAAACAAATTGGAAGAATGCGTCGATGCGCGCGTCATACCAATGTATATACAATGTCGACGCCGCGAGCCGGCCACCGACACGACGTGCTCCGGATCGACGCCGGCCGACGTGTACACCGAGACATCCTTGACAAGAGAAACATGATGATGATGATGCGAATGTGAATCGACACGCCTTACCTTGCTGCTGCCGTACGCCACGTGAATCTGGATGCCCATCTCGATGATGTGGCGGAGATGAAGCGATTTTTGCTTGAGCGGCTCCGTCGACAGCGAGTTGTTGAAAAAGAGAAGCGCGTGCGGAAAATTGTGCTGAAAAAATTTTCTGTTCGAATCACAATTTTCGAGAAATCGCTTCGAAGAATCGGAACATTGATATTGAAAGCAAAAACACGTTTAAAGGCGCATGGCTCACCTGCGCCAACCACGCCGACACCACCTTCTGCTGCATGTCGGGCCGCGCGGTGAGGTAGATCAACAAATAGCCCTGCTCGTGCCAATAGCGCACGACGTCGACGGCGCCGGGACGCACACGCGGATCTTTGCCGGTGACGGAGACGGACGCCGTCAGCGAGCCGTCGACGGAGAACACGACGCATTTCGTCGAGCGCGGCACGACGGCGACGAACGCGTCGAGATACGATCGATCGCCGTGGACGACGATTTTGACCGAATGAATGCCGCAGGGCAGCGTGTCGGCGAGCTGAACGTTGAGGCGACCGTGCGTGTCGGTCTCGAACACACCGTGCAGATACCAATCGCCGCGTTGCGGACACACGAACACCGATACCGATTCGCGCGACAACGCGACAAGATCCATTGGTCCGTAGCAGAATTTCGCCGTCATCGCCAACTCCATTCCGACGGCGACGAGAATGTCGTTGGCGCGATGGTTCGCCGCGAGATTCGCGATTTTGAATCGCGTCCGTTTGCGCTTCCACACCATCGGCGGCAGCTCGATCGTCAACGGTATGTGCGACATGCTCGATGAGAGTGTCGCGAGAACGCTCTCCTCGCTTCGCACGAATTGACGAAGGAGGAAGGCGGCGACGTCGCACGACTCCCAATAGGAGGCGTGCAGAATGTTGGGCAACGCCGACGACGGCAACGCGACCATCGCGTTCGGACAATACAGGAGGCAATCGATGCGCTTCGAGCCCCACATTTGCGAGATGTCCGCCGACGCCTCGAATCGCTGCGATTTGCCGTCGCCGAGCGGATAGCGTTGATATCTGGAAGTCCATCGGATTGGATCCATCTCGGATCGGATCACTCACTTTGGAACGTTGTACGCCGGAATCGACGCCATTTGCGGATCGAGCGCCGGCTCAATTCGCGCACCGCACGGATCCAGCGGATAGTAGAGATTGAACATCTGGATCGCGTCGAGATTCTCGATTTCCAATCCTTCAAACGTTCGCTGCATTAGGGTGAGGCCCAACGGGCAGCCGAGCAGGAAGACGGTGCTTGGCTGGAAGTTGAGGCGAGACGTGTTGAGCTGAAAATCGAAACCCCCCGAATATGGAATCGCGCATCAGAAGGACTCACGTTGACCGAATCCACCGACACCAGCGAGATCTTCTTGCGCGCGTACGACGCCGACGGCGGCGCCGAATAGTTTCTCATCGATCGACGCGACGAATGACCGTTCTGAAGCGGCGTCGACGGCGTCGGCTGATGGTGTTGCGGAAGCGACGCCGCCGACGCGCCGTCGTTCATCGACACGTCGCACAACGATTGCGACGGACTCTAGAAATTCGATCGTTCATTCCCCGCACGACAACTCGTTCGCTTACATCCTCTTTCTGCTCGCGAATGATTCGCGATGAGAGATTCGACGACAACCGCTTGAGAAATTGAATCGAGTCGTTTTTTCGCGTCAACGCTTCGTACAGAAAAATGCCGCCAACGCAATCGCCGACGACGTACACCTGAAACGAACAGACCTCGACCGAGTCGGAATTTCGACGCGCTCGTCACCTCCCCGTTGAAATCGGTTTGTGTGTCGATGAACGCGTTGTAGGTGTCGTTGGCGCGTCGAATCGTGCCCTCGACCGCCTAGAATCAACAAAATCAACGAATCATCACCTCGTTGTGTCATCACCTCGTTGTACAAATTGTTGGCCGACGGCAGCATGAGCGACAACGATGGGTGGAGTACGCCAAACGATGGCGAAATTGTGGCGAGCTTGTTGACGATTTGCGTCATTTCGTGTCCGCAGCTCACATTCACGATGTTCAGACGGCCCTTCAATTGCGGATAGTGCCGCTGAACGCACGTCTCGATCGTCGAGCTGGAATCGACAATTCCTCTTCTCTATTTTTTTTTAGTATGAACCCACCCGAACGTGTTGGTGTCCGTCGTCTTCGAGTCCGCCGGATTGTCGGGACTGAAATCGCCGTGGAACACCATTATGAGAAGGGCGGCGTCGGCGTTGGCGTTGTGCGGCGTCAGCGGCGGCGAGTCTACAACACCAACACAACTCATGCTCGTTCGGTCACACTCTCGTCAACGCCTACTCTCATCCTGAATCTCGAGCTCCAATTCGGAGCTCCAACGAATGATCGACGGCTTCGAGGCGGTCGGCGGCGGCGGCGAATCGCAACAATCGAAGTAGACGTCGCCCGATGAGGCGTCCTCGTCGTCGTCGGAATCCTTCTCCTCTTCCTCGCCGCCATCGGTCACTGCCATCACCTGAAACAGTCTATCAGATGGGGGGCGGGGCGCTTCCAGGAATCGGCATACCTTGCTCAAATGGAGCGCCGCTTCCGCTTCAAGCTTCCGAATGTCGTCCATCGTCAATCCGGTCCACTCATCCTGCCACGCCCACGCTTGTCGGTGAGCGCGTAGCATCGTGTTGCGAAGCGCAAGATTGTGAATCCATCGCTCGGCGCGCGTCTGCATTCCCCAATAGCGGAATTCGACTTTGCACAACTTATAGGCGCACATGATCGGCAGACCTTTGGCGCGATGCTGCTCGACCCAGTCGTCGTCGAGCGGCCCTCGCGACGTCTTCTCGCTTCGATACAACTTCGGATCCTCGTCGACGCAATAATCGTGCGAGCCGATCGGATCCTTCACAAAATCCATGTAGTCGACGATACGATTCCGAAGCGACGACTCGTCGAGATTGAACACGTTCTCCTGACGGCCGTCGTCGTCGAAATAGAGCGTTTCGACTTCGAGACTGAATCGATCCATCATCGGCGTCGAGTAGCGCGTCTTCGTCACCGGATACGCGTTCCACGCCTCCTCGTGCGCCTCCAACGCGTTGGTGGGAAGCACGGTGCGAATCCAAGCTGCAAAACGAAAAAAACAAAAAAACGTCCGCAGATGCGATGCTTGACCCACCGGGAATTTTGCTGCCGATATGGTAGATTTTGAACGTGTACTGACCGTGACCGCCGGGACCATTCGTGTACGGTTTGTTGCTGATGATCTCGACCCCGCTGTCTTTGCCATGCGAATCGAGGCGACTTTTCTTCTGCAAGACACAAGACAAAATTATCGTGGTCCCCAGCTTCTGATGCACATCCACCAATTTGTTTGGCAGACCGCTAAAAGGTTTTTTTTTCGCGTTGCGGAAGATGGTCTGATGAGTGCCTTTTCTCCCTTTTGTGCACGCTTTACTATGCGCATAATTAGGCACTTATTCATCTAGTCGTCGCAACAAAAGAAAAAAAAGTGGGATGTCGGCGAAAATTTGGCTTCTCACCTGAATCATATAAAGCTGAGCGATTCGGTACTCATCGACCGTCATCGGCAACAGAATACGATATTCTTTGATGAGCATCTCGTCACTGTCAATTGATGAGCATGTTGGCAAAGGTGGGCGGGGTCTCACTCTCTGTCAACAAAAAAAAAGCCAATGATGGAATGGACATCGATAGGCGAGTTCAAGAATCGAAGCATGGAGGAGAAGAAGAAAAAAAATTGTTCAACAACTGATCTGTCAGCAAACAAGAGCACAAAATATATGTATGTATGTGTATGTGTGCTGGCGAGAGAGTTTGACTACTTTGTGTGTGTGTGTGGCGAACCGCGCGCGAGACGTGAAAAGCACATTGTGCATCGCGAGGCTATTTTTTTTCTCGAAAATATCAATATTCCTAAAATACATCGAAATTGCCGACACCGTCATCATTGCATCACAATTGACGACAAATTGCGGAACGCACAGATGGCTTGGCGTCAAATGATATTTCTCAAAAAAATCGGCAGATGCAATTTTTTTTTTTGTTGCGCGCGCGCGCCCCGAGATTTGGCCGACGAGAAAAAAAAACGGCGGGCGAATAACAGAAAAAAAAATTGGAAAATAATTCGTTTTTCCACTTCGTCTTCTTTGCTACTATGTAAATTGCTCCGCGAAAAAAAAATGGAAATTATAAAACAGGAAATTGGTTTGGAGACAATGAAGAATGATGAGAAGAAGCGAGAAGCCCTTTTAGGGATGAATCAAGAACAATTTTTCGATGACACCTTTTTTGAAACTTTGAAACGCAACGAGGCCTCACAACAGCTCAAAGTCCATGAAAAACGGTGATGTCAGGTTGTTTGACATGAAGGGGAGGAAAAAAATGCGAAAAAAAATGGAATGTTTGATAAGCGGCGACGACGACGCCTCGCGCTTAATGCATAACACTTTCCGGTTTAATTATGCGGTTCGGTTGAATCGATCGGCACGTGGTGGTGGTCGGCGGCCAAAAATTGCGTTCATATAATCGGCTTGAAGGTTTTTTTTTCGATGTTTCATCGAGAAGAAACGCGAACAAAATAAATCATGAACGAAAGAAACAAATTGGTTTTACCGCGCCGCAGTGTTGCACAAAAACCGTGCGGGCCGCAAAACAAATTCAAACGAGTTCAATATCGCGAGAAAAAGTGTAGATTTAAATAAATCGTTGACTGAATATTAGAAGCGCGTACAATAATGCAAAGTACGCAGTTTTGCGTACAATTCGCTGCCTCGAGACGCATTCGCAAATAATTTTTTTGACAATAAAATATTTAAATATTATTCACTAATTTTTTTAGTTTTAATTTATTTTCTTTTATTCTATTGAAAACGATTTCTTTTAAATTGATTCCTCGTAAAACAATCTTTCTTTTTTTTTGCAGAATTCGACGCATGAAAACGCTCATTTACAACTAGGCGTGAAATTTGAGACGACGAAACAATCTTCAACCACTGCCCTTGGTGTTTTTTTTTGTCTTCTCGCTTCTTCGTCTTTTTGTTTTCAGACCGAATACCGATGCCTCTGAGATGCTTATTAGGGCGGATGGCGCAAAATAAATAAAACACGATGAACACAAAAAGTGGGTGGTGGAGGAGGCGAGAAAAAAAAACACACACACCCATGAGGTTGGAGAAGACCGCGCGCCGCCGGCCGGCCGGCCGCTAGAAAAAAATTCTTTTTTTTTTTCGAGAGAGAGAGAGAGAAACACCAACGAATTCGCCAGTTGTCGCTAAAAGGGAGGAGCGGACGACGTCGTCGATTCTCTCGCCGAATCGCCGCCTATCTCGCGCTCGTCTCTGTGTGTGTGTGTGTTTTTTTTTTGCCTCGCCGCGCGCACCTCGTCGCGACAAGACCCCTCCCCTCCACACTGCCTCATTAGGCGATTTTTTTTGCGTTTGCTCTTCAAGGCGGCGGCGGAGGCTGCAAAATAATATTAATGTAATCTATTAATAATTCCTTCGAGCTCTCTCTCGCCGCTCAACTGATAGCAAACAATTTCGAGCAATCGCGCTCCATCGTATACAACGTTTGGTCAAATATTCGAGCCATTAAAACGCGTTTTATGGCAATTGGCCAAGTGGTGGCGTTATCACCTGAAATTTTACAGTTGACACGAAAAAATAAAACCGAAAGTTTAATACAAATATTATTGATATATTAATAATATAAATACAGACGATTTTCACAAGGAGATCAAAAAAAGACCGACGAAAAATTAATAATAATAATAATAATAAAATGATGAAAATACGAAGATTGTAGGCAATCTGCGGCCGAAAAACAAATAATGTGGAGGCGGCGAAGCGAATTCTGAAAAATAACGGAAATTGCAAAAAGATAAAACACCCAAATCGATCGAAATTGAAAATAAATTTCCCATTCTGCGGAGGACATCGGAAAACACTCGGAAAATGGCCAAGACAAAAAATATTCGGCGAAAATTAAATATTTGAAACATTACTCATAACTATAGTGGGGGGAATTGAACGCTGCGAGACTCAATGTAAAAATCGCGTGCGCCTTGAAACGTTTTCAAAATTCCTAAGCTTGTCTTTTTTTTCAATGAACAAACCAATGATTTCATTCTGTCCAATTTGTTTTAATTTTTACATATTCAAAAATTTTAATAAAAGGAATTTATTTTTAAATAATTCAAGAAGTCGAAACACAGATGAAATCGCGAAATTGAAATAAATAAAATAGATGATTAAAGGCGCATTTCGCGGAAAATGAATTGGGTCTTGTGGCAATTGATTCTATGTTAAAACATACGAAATTTTCTTTTTCAATTTAAAGGAGCACACAATTTTATCTATCGCATCAGAATATGTCTATAAAATGACCCATGCGCCTTTAACATTTCATGGTGCACCATGATTTCCATTGCAATACCAAAATTTCGGACAACGCTTCATGGATGGCTAGAATTGAAAAAAAAATGAAAATTGAAATTTATTTCAATATTTTATTTTTGATTTGCATTTCAATACAATTTTCCCAGGGTTTCACGTCCATTCCAAAAACAAAATTCCTCAAAATCTCGATCATTTTTTTTCAATTTGACAAAAAAAAACGCACTTATTCCGCAGTTAGGGCCATTCCACTGGGTCCGGCCTGCGACGACGATGCCGCCGCTCCGCGAATCGGCAAATACAATTTGAACTCGGCGGGAAGCTCGTCTTCCGTATAAAGTCGATCGGCGAAATAGACGCGTCGCAATCGGCAATTCGCGTGAATCTGACAATTTTCGTCGTTTTTCTTTGTTTCTTTCTATTTTTTTTTTGCAAAAAAAAAACTCCACCTGAATCCGAAGTGTCTCCACATAATTCGTGCCGTAGGCGCGCTTCACAAAATCGCTGAGATTGAACTGGATCTGATTCCAGCCCTCGTCGAGACGCATCGGCATCGTGCAAATGAATTGCTGGGGGAAAAAAAAGAAAACGATTAGGTCGGGAATGTCTTCTTTTTTTGCGTCGACCTACCTTCACTCTTGTCGACGATTGGAAATTCGAGGCGCGAAATCGACGCTTCACCCCTTTGTCGTCCAAAATTTGCACCTCAAACGTGAAATACTTCTTCATGTTCTTCACAACCATCACGAAATAGGGCAATTTGATTCCGAGCGTCTTTTTCGGATCGACCGGACACGAAATATACGAAGTGCTGCAATGATTTTCCAGAAACACTTTCAAAACCAGTTATCAATCTACCTAACATTGGCTCCCATTATCTCCAAAACCAGCGATTGGATCTCCTCATCAGTGATTCGTTTGATGTGCCCATTTTTGACCGAAAATTTCGACATTTAAAACCCACAATTTTTTTTTTCGAATTTGCCTACCTGTTTGTCCCATATTTGTAGCGGTTTGCTTCCAATGCTGTACAGAACCGACAGTAACCCGCTTTGAAATGTGTTGTGAAACATCTGAAAATGATTTTTTTTGCAATTTCAATAGGTTTAATAATAAGAATATAAGGCCAAATTGAATGAAAAGGGTGTTTTGAGGGGAGAAATGAGAGTATGCTCTGGTGAGCACCACATTGCGCAGTTGCCATGGTCACTCAACGCGTCATTGATACATTTTTTAGATTAGCGCAACTCGGCCGAGCACTTGTCACAACATTCTATTGAAACATTCGGGAAAGTGCATTTAAAACGAGTTTTTAAAAAATACAAAAAATGTGAATTTTGGATTAAAATTTAAAAAATGCAATTTCCGCTAGTTTAAACTCTGAAATTCTTCGTTTTATCATTTTCGGTTTTTCCAAAAAATGGCAGAAGATCTAGTAAAAGAAATAGAAATAATGGGTTCCCAAAAAAAATATTTAAAAATGGAAATGGCCGCCGTTTCCACGGCCACGGCCACCAACTAATTTTAAATCCTTTATTTTTTGGCAAATTTTAATAGTTAATATGCGTTTATTAATAAAATTAACAAGTAAGCACCAATAAAAAAGCAAGAGATTCAATTGTTCAAAGCGTTTCTTTTTTGTTAGGATGAACTGTTAAACAATCAGCGTCTATAAAAAACATGGCAGTACATTGGAAAAAGGGAATCTTGAAGAAAAAAAAATAAATGAATCGAATTATTCCTGGTCAGCTTCATGTCCATCCAATTCGCCATCCTCCTCGGCGGTGGCTTCCTGATATTGTTGGTATTCCGACACCAAATCATTCATGTTGCTCTCGGCCTCGGTGAACTCCATCTCGTCCATTCCCTCGCCGGTGTACCAATGCAAAAACGCTTTGCGTCGGAACATCGCCGTGAATTGCTCGGAGATGCGCTTGAACAACTCCTGAATCGCCGTCGAGTTGCCGATGAACGTCGCCGACATTTTGAGGCCGCGCGGCGGAATATCGCACACCGCCGTCTTCACATTGTTCGGTATCCATTCGACGAAATACGACGAGTTCTTGTTCTGCACCGACATCATCTGATCATCGACCTCCTGCGAAATTCATTCAATTTAACCACAGTTTTTACCACCTCAATATTCCTACTCTCATCGACATTTTTCCGCGGAACATCGCGGCGACGGTGAGATAGCGACCGTGGCGCGGATCGCACGCGGCCATCATGTTCTTCGCGTCGAACATTTGCTGGGTGAGCTCGGCGACGGTGAGCGCGCGATACGCTTGCGCTCCTTTCGCCGACAGCGGCGCGAATCCTGGCATGAAGAAGTGCAAGCGAGGGAACGGCACCATGTTGACGGCGAGCTTTCGGAGGTCGGCGTTGAGTTGGCCGGGGAATCGCAAGCACGTCGTGACACCCGACATGGTGACCGACACTAAATTAAAAAAAATTGAAAAAAATGGCGAACACACAAAGCAAACAAAAACCCACCAAGATGATTCAAGTCGCCATACGTCGGATTCGTCAGCTTCAACGTTCTGAAGCAGATGTCGTACAGCGCTTCATTGTCAATGCAGAACGTCTCATCGGTGTTCTCGACGAGTTGATGAACCGATAGTGTCGCGTTGTAGGGCTCGACGACAGTGTCGGACACTTTCGGCGAAGGGACCACCGAGAACGAGCTCATGATGCGATCCGGATACTCTTCGCGTATCTTCGAGATCAGCAGCGTGCCCATTCCCGAGCCGGTTCCGCCGCCAAGCGAGTGCGTCAACTGGAATCCCTGAAGGCAATCGCATCCTTCGGCCTCTTTTCGGATCACATCGAGAACATTGTCGACGAGCTCGGCGCCCTCGGTGTAATGGCCTTTCGCCCAATTGTTGCCCGCTCCGCTTTGGCCGAACACGAAGTTGTCCGGACGGAACAGCTGTCCGAACGGTCCCGATCGCACCGAATCCATTGTGCCGGGCTCGAGATCGACGAGCACCGCACGCGGAACATATTTGCCGCCTAAAATCATTGCAATTTCGGCTCAAATGCCATTTACACACTCACCGTTCGCCTCGTTATAGTAGACGTTGATGCGCTCCAATTGCAAATCGCTATCGCCGGCGTACGAGCCATCCGGCTGAATTCCGTGCTCGTCGCTGATCACCTCCCAAAACTGAAAACCGAAATGAATTTCGCGTGTGACAATTTTCAATTAAATTTCGCCGCTCAAATTCTATTTATGGGAAGAGCAATTTTTCTCGTTTCGCCGCACGCTAATCCTCGCACCAAAAAAAAAAAAACAAAAACGAGTAATTGGAAAAAAAGTGCTCGTTTTTTTTGGGGGGGGGGCGATAGTGATAGCTCAAATCGCTTGCATACCTTGGCTCCAATTTGATTTCCGCATTGTCCGGCCTGAACGTGCACAATTTCTCTCATCTCGTTGGCCAAAAAAAAAGTACACACTGAAAGCAACAAAAAAAATCGTTGAAATTTTCGAATCGAACGAGTTGACTCTAAATTTTAAATGAAATGAGTGGTGGCGAGTGACAAGGTCTTGTCGCGCACGTGCGCGATGTCAAGAGACGCCGGAAAAAAAAACGGCGAGAGATTTGAAAAATGAAATGGTGGGTCCAATATTGATTATACGACAAGAAAATGCGGCAATGGCGTTGGGTGTATGTATGAAAGTGTGTGTGGTGTGTTGCGCCGGGGCCGAACCCAATCGACTCAATTATTCCGAAGCGGCTCCCGGCGAGCCCCGAGAGGAGGCCAAAAAGAAAAGCGCGAATGTGAATGTGGTAGCGTCTCTTCGGCCATATATGGCGAGGAGTGGTGGGCGAATGTGAGCAGCGCAGCGAGAGGGCACTCAGGCAAAATCAAATAAAATATTTTGAGAATCAAATATTCAGTGATAAACTCTAAAATATTTTGAGAAATTCTAAAGTCTATTGATACTTTCTAAAACTTATTGAGAATCAATAAATTTTAAAAATTTGGAATTTGTAAATTAAATCTTTTGAGAAAGTTAAATCTTTTGAGAAAGTGTAAAGTATCTCAATATATTGTGAGACTTTAAAATTTGAATAGGGCCCTTATGACTTCCACTGACGCAATTTGCGGCGTCTCTTTTTAAGATCTCCTAAATTCCAATAAATAATTTATGTTTTTGATGTTCCTTCCGTTTTTTTTTTAGCTTTTGGTAATAGTTTCTTCACTTTAGTGATGGACGTATTCATGAAATGCAAGTTTTTATAATAAATGTTTAACACTACCTTAAATCTGCATTGTTTTACATGCTGAATTTGAAACAGTTGTGCCTAAACATGTCATTGCATGAACAGGTTCATGAATTTAAAAAATGCGCACAATTATTACAATTAATTACAAATATACTTCAGTTTCTAATGATTTCGATATTTCAGATGACCCCGCGGAGAATACGAAATGTGACCAAGGAAATAATCGGAGAGGCACTAAGAAAAGATGGAAAGCCGAAGAAGGTGTGGAGAATAAGGCGAATGCGAGAAAAAAGTGAAGCAGTATCACATTCGAACGGTACGTGTGTTTGCTAGTTGTTCAAATTTGATTTACGCGGAAATTGAACATTATATAAATAAATAAATAAATAAATAAATAAATAAATATATATATATATATATATATATATATATATATATATATATATATATATATACATATATATATATGTATATATATATATATATATATATATATATATATATATATTCAGATATCGAATCGCTCGGGTCCCAACAAAATGCCATCGAGGATCTCTATGACTCGAAAGTAGAAACCGACCGGAATCGAAGTACTAAATACACATAAAGTTTTTTTTATTGTATTCTTACAGGATTATTATGGACAGCTCTGAGCGTTCAAGATTTTGCAAGAATTGCATTTCTTCTTCAAGAAACGAATTCTAAAAAGGGTATAACAATTCTTTTTTATCAACAATTATGCCTAACTACAGCTGTTAAACAGTTTTTCGATGTCGAACACATTGAAAATGAGAAAACAATGAAGGCAATTCTTCTAGAAGGTACAGAAACAACTCGAATACGTGTTTGCTCATATTGCGCCAATGACAAATTGAAGTGAACTTCGAAAAAATGTATATATTTATATATAAGTTTTATTTTAGATGCTTCTGTCACGAATATATGGAAAGCGAACTTTTTTACCCAATGTAAAAAGTAATCTGAAACTTTTCGTTGAAAGCTATGGAAGCGAATTAAAAGAAGCACAAAGGAAAGTATTAAGTGGTGAAAGTAATTCATCACTCATGAATGAAAGTTTCCCCAAGAAAATTCTTGTAAGAGAATCGGGCGCAAGCACAGTCGTCCATTTCAGTTCTTGTTTCGATGGAGTTGAAATAAATCTGAGGAGGTTAAACTTCTCAAGAACAAAAATATTTTCCATATTAAAACAAATTTCAGCAAGAAAATCTGGATTTTGTCACTACAAAATATGGATCTCGAAGACAGTTCGTGAAGTCTAGTAAGCGCGATGATGATTTGCGGGGTGTACATCGGATCGATTGACCCCAATTACCATATCCACGATCGAATTATAGACTGGATCAACGTGAATTTCGAACATCAAATCATTTGCCGTCAAGATACATTTAGAGGAAATGTGATTACCGCCGTCTTTGACGATCCTGTAGGTATTCTAGGTAAATAACCTCAAATAAATTATCAAACTTTAGGCACGAAGGAAGGTCTACAATTTGAAAATGTTTTCATCACCTGGCTCGTGTCCATACTGTCTTTCACAAGAAACGATTCTCAAAATCAACGACCAAAATGTTATAGGTATGTCGTTATAAGTCGGACGTGCGTTTTAATGTGCACATCTACTCAAAATTCAGAAAGGATCTTAAATGTTTTCTGTAGATCGGGAAAAGTGTGGAACAAACATTCCAGAAACATTGGCCGATGGATTGAAGGAACGAGGTAAATACAGCAAATTCAATGAGCAGGTGCCCATGTGGATCGCGGCCATGGATTTTTTCCATCTTTTTCACGAGGGAATTTTCACACGTATAATAAAAGGTACTTCAATTATGTCTCTCCTTTTTCAAAAATTGAAGATTGCTTTTTAGAAGTCTTCGTTAAAAACGAAATAAATATTTTTCGATGCAAAGCTATTGATGTGAAAGCGAGACTGCCATCTTCGGTAAAGTCGCTATCGGGAAAATTCAATGACATTAATGGGTCTGAAAAAGCTAGCGTAAGTTAATTTACCACTTGCAATTATCATCCTTTGTAGATTTTTGAAGTGAAAATTGTTTCTAACGCCATGATCGGGACCCTCCCTCCGTTAGGTTCAGCTGTTGTGTTGCTTATACATGCCTGCTACCGATGGATGGTGTCACCGACTCGCTTAGTTACAAATACAACATTACCAAACAAAGTAATATGGGATCGTTAGCTATGTACATAATAGAAAATTTTTATTTCAGATCGCAGGTATTTGCAAATTATTAGAAATTCTAATTTTAGATGGGGCGCCTCGATTGTTTTCTGGTTCAAAAGTGCACGTAAGTCGTTTTTTTTTGCAATTTTAAGAGTTATTGAACGTTGTAGCATCATGCTATTGTCGTTGATATAAGAAATAATACTAATGATTACTGTATTTATTGTTTCAGCAACTTATATACCATTTGTACAGTAATGTCAGGCGGTGTGGTCAGCTGTCGGCAATAAGCACGCAAGCGCATGAGCACATTTATCACGTTATCAAGAGAAACATGTGCTCGGAACAGACAAACGGGATTGGATATAGTATTTTGAGAAAGTTAGACTCATTCAGTTATTTTTTAAAACTGACAATTTTCAGTTATAAACTATATCACGAGATTGTGACTTCATTGAAAATGCGTTTCAACGCGAATCCGGATTTAATTAAGAAGTCATTTTATCGCAAAGAACTCATGAAATTAATCGAAAAACGACAAATTCAATCATCAAAATTTGTAAGTTCAACATTTTCTTTCAATATATGCAACGAATTCCTTATAGCAACGTTGTGCGTCATTCGCAGAAAAAGGAGAAAATGCGAAAAGGATAAATTGATTCATTTATTTTTTTTCTGATTTTTATTATTAATATATTCATTTCGCATTAATATTGTAATAAATGAAATGTTCATACATATTCAATTATTATGGATGTTATTACATTCTATTTGTGTGAAAATTGCTCGATAACGTATGATATTACATAATATTGGACAGAGTTTATTGAGAACAATCTAAAATTTATTGATATATTCTAAAGTTTATTGAGACAAATCTAAAACTTATTGATAAACTTTAAAGTTTATTGAGACAAATCTAAAACTTATTGATACACTTTAAAGTCTCACAATATTCATTGAAACTTATTGATAAATTCTAAAATCTTATGAGATTTCCTAAAGTTTATTGAGACAAATCTAAAATATTATAGAGACACGTTAGCCTCTCAACGAACCTCATAAGATTTTAGAATTGTCTCAAAATATTTTTTTTTCATTTGCCTGAGCAACGCAACCACTAAAAAAAAAAGAACCCGACGCCAAATCGATGGGAGACGCGACGACGGCCCCACCGAAATTTCGTTGACCTCGTTTGTCTTTGAAGCAATTTGTGGCTCATTTCGTTGGCGCCGCGAAAAAATGACGATGTTCAATCGAGAAATATGCGAAGAAAATGGAAAATAATATTTTTTATTTCGAGAAAATCGAAAAGCAATATAATAGATGGGTACTGTATTTTCAAATTTTGCGGTTCACCGCAACGCAAAATTACACCGATTTTTTTGATTGATTTTTTGTGGAAAATGAAATTAATTTTTTTTCATACAAAATTCACAGCAATTGGAAAAAGGGACAAAAAATCGCTGAAGTTAATGAAAAAAAAAAGTACTTTTATAGTACGGATCATCTTTCTTGAACTTTTAAACGATAAAATGCGATTATAAATAGCCAGACATGAAAACGTATTCCCCGCAAATAATTATCAGCATTTAGTGACAAATTAGCAATTATAGTGAAAAAAATATACATAAGGCACAAAATAAAAAGAATCAATCAAAAGCTCCTGAGGAAAGCCATTATTTCTATGAAATGATACTGTATACTTTTCAAATCCGCAGTTCACTATGACGCAAAATTACACTAGTTTTTTTTGCTTGTGTAACCCAACAAATAATGACATTCGAATTCAAATGAGCAATAAAAAGAGCATAAGTGTTTAGAGGATGATCACAACATTGTCGCGATGACATGAAATGGACACTCAAGGGAAAACACAAGGCGTCGCAATTGGATTAGGAGGGCGGAGTGAAGCGGAAGAGGGTGGAGGGTGACGGGGGGATCGCGAGCGCAGACGACATTGTCAAGTGCTGGTCAGATGGAGACATATTCGAGCATATGGCGACCAAACGAACAACACGCATACCCAATTTTCGTTCAAAAACCGCCAAACCGATTGGTGGGGGGATGAAGCGGCAGACAGACAAGAAGACACACTTTAATGGCGGCTTCATAAAACAGAATTAGTGCGTCTGAATGTGGATGTGGCGAGGCGACGAGAATCGAATTCCTAATTCCAATTTTTGTGCACAATTTATAAACAGGGGTGGTGGGAGGAGCAAGAGCAAGCACGAAAAAGCTCCGACCGAAATTCGGCATTTCGATTAATTGAAGCCGAAAACCACCGATTCTTCTGCAAAATTGATTCGATTTCGAGAATGCACACACACACACACACACATACCGCTCAGCTCGTCGACGTCGCATTCGGTGTCGTCGAGTTTGCTCTGATAGCCCGATGTCATCGAGCACGTCGTCGGCGATGGCGAATCGCCCCACGGCGACGTGCAATATGATTCGTTGTCGATTCCTTCAAGTTCCGACATCTCCTACAAAACACACACACATATATGAAATTGATTGCGTACATGACACTATAAATGACGCAATTCTTCAGAATTCATTTTTAAATCAACTATCAGATCGCTTTTTTTTGTTGCTTTCACAATTGATTGAAAATGAAATGTAGGGGTCTAATCTTGAGAAAAATGCTAACAATAATTGTCATTGGGCTCGAATAGAAGCCCCCAAATGAATATCCCATGGCTCATTCAGAATTTTCATTTCGCTGTTAGAATTGCTCACTGGAACTATGCTTCATTGATTTAGAATTATTCCAAAACGATCTGATCGCTGAATTGGATCATTGAGGTTCGCGTATCAAGCTCATGACAATCCTAAGGGACTCTTTAAGACAGCCAAGACCACCCATTCTGAGACTCATTAGAATATTTTTTTTTCCTAGCAAAAATGAACCTCTTTCCCCCTCTTCCCTATTTTATTTCATTCGAACCCTTGAAAAATCGTTCAAAATTGCTTTTAGTGCCCACCAAGCCCATAAAATCCAATTATGCGCTTGCAAAGCACTATGATGGGATGAATTGCGTAATTTTGACTCGACCAACCTCATCGGCACTGCTCGCTGCCGCCGATGATGCCCGACGATTCGTGTGGATGCTGACGGCGTCGGAGGCGTCAGCTTGAAGTCCCACCGATTCGAAATCATCGCTCTCACTCATTTTCTGCAAATTTTTGACATGAAACGCTTTCCAGAAAAAAAAATAATCGATTGAAATTATACCTCACAATGATTTCGACATGGCTCGCCGTCGTTATCAGTGTAATCATTTTCCACAACATCGTCAACCTTTAAAAACCTCTAACAAAATGCCCATAAATGACCGATAATGAATACCAAACACTCAGTCTCATCGTCAACCTCGTCCAGCTCCTTATTCGAATTCAACCAGCAACACAGACTAGCCAACATACCTGAATTAATGTGTCGACAATTGGCAACACAAACAACAACAACAAAAAAAACAAGTGAGAATCAATGCATGACGAGAAGAAGAAAAAAAAACACTGTTCAGCTGATAACACTTCGCAACAGCTGTCGAAATAATCGAAAGCAATTTTCGAAAAATTGAATGAGATGAAGAAAAAAATAATGCGAGCGAATGAGAACAATTTCCCAGGCGCGAAATCAATAGGACAGTGCCTCGCCGTGGTTTGTTGCCATTCATAGTAACACCGCCTTTTTTTCAGCAAGAAATGTGGTGAGGAGGACGAAAAACCAAAAACGAGAGGAGACAATAATCGGTTTAGGCATGAATTCATCGCAAACCATACTGTAGCTCGCAGTCGCGTGTTTGCGGACTTGGTGTTAATTGTCTACCGTAGTCAATGAAATTCAAAAAAAAAACAATTTTTGCTCAAAAATTTCCCTTCGAAACTCATGGATTGGGTGTTCTGCGAGAAATGTGAAGTTGGCGTTGGCACAAGGAAACTTCTAATAACCTCGTGTTCCCATATAATATGTGAAAAATGTGCAAATAGTCGTAAGTTGATTTTTTTTGCTCGACTTTTTTTTCAACTTTAAAAAATTTCGCCACGTTTCTTTCAGCCAACTTTTGCGAAATTTGTCGAACGTCGGCAAAAACGCTGGAAATCGACAAATCGCTGCCGCCGAACGTGATGGTTTAAAGCGCGTTGCGAAAAAAAAAAAACAAACTAGACGAAAGAATTGCCAATCATTTTCAGATGTTGTTTCGCGATCCGAAAGACTACGCCGCCGAGATATTTCGACGAATGGAGCGTGTGATGACGTTCCAGAAGACGCACAAAGAGTTCGCCGCGATGGCGGAAGCGAAAAAGGCAAAATTTTTTAAAATTGAAAAAAAAAAATCTATTTTTAGACACTTTCCGCTATGGTCTCGCGCGGATAAAACGAATTTTAAGATTTTATTTGAATATTTTTTTTTGGAAGAATTTGAAAATGTCGAATTGCGCCGCCTGCCAATTAATGGGTTTCCTAAAATGAAATATTCTCATATTTAGAAATTTTCCACTTTTTTAAAAAATATTTTCAATAAAATTTTGCTCTCTCACATTATGATAGCTTAAAAAATTCTAAATATCTCTCAAATGAGTTTTTCCATGCGAGACCTTGGGCGGCAATTCAATGCAAATGCACAATAAATTGCTCCGCCCATAACACAGTTTCTTTGGGAGAAAAATACCAAAAAAAAACATCCAATAATCGTGTTGCAGTCGGCCGCTCGAAACGAGCAATGCAAAAAAATCGGCATCAAAGCGAAAAGTCTACACGAGCACGTCCGAAAATTCGCAAAAGCCAACGAGGAAAGCGAGATGAAGCTGAAAAAATCGTTAGAGGAGCTGAAGAACTACGAAGAATTGTAGGCAACATCAATCCGGGTGTGGAAGGGGGCGGGGAAGTGGGGGGAGGAAAGGGGAGGGGATTTTGAAACTCCAAAAAAATTTTTTCAGAATTCGCAAAGAGGAAAAATCGATGGAACGCGCCAAAAAAAGAGCGGCCGAGTATAAAAGTACAAAAAAATCAACGAAAAAAAAAACGGAAAACCGCATTTTCCTTTTCGAAATTTCAGGTAATTTCGATGCCGAATTCGAGGAATTTACCATAAAAGAGCCAAAATGCCCAAAAGTATGTTTTATTTTTTTTCCAAAAGCAACAAAATAAAAGAGAAAAACATCGTTTAGCCCCTAAAATGGGACCTAAAAGGCACCGAATTCGACGCGGACCAGGCCAACTTGTTCGACATCGACAACGAGATCATCAACACGCCCTCGCTTTCCTCTTGTGCCTCCTCGCTCGTCTCCTCGAGTTCCCGCAGCGGCAAGGACAAATTCGTGAGTGGCCCAAACGGGATCGCAAAAAAAAAAACACGATTCGACTTTTTCTTTTTCGGGACATTCTCAACACGCGGTTCCCAGCGCTCCATCGTCGCGCCTCATCGACGTCGTCCGCCTGCTCGTCGGTCTCCTCGTTTCAGCCGTTAAAGAGCTTATTTTAAAATCATGCATTATATCGATTTTTGAGTGTAAAACAACAAATCATGTGCGGATAAAAACAATTATTCTCTTGTCGGCTCGTTTCGTCTCGAGACCTCGCGCTTCAGACTTTTGTCGATTGTGCGAAGCGACACCGAGTCGCGCTCAACACGCTCATACTCCACGTAAATCTCGTGCTTTTCGTTCGAGGCCTGAAATATTGCGAAACATTTCGCGACGACGGGACCATCATCAAACCAATTCATATTGTTCGACGAGTACGTTCATGATACGCCGGGTCGCACCCGGTTCAATTTCGGTTAGTCTGTTGAGCCGCCGTTCGGCTTCCGATAGGCATTTACACGAATCCCGCGGGTTCTGCAATCTGACGCAATCAATCGGGTCTCGCGGCGATTTTCAACGCGCTTACCATTTTATCAAGTGCGAACGCGAGGCACACAGCCGCGTGCGCCACTTCCGGTGAATAATACGCTCGAAGTGCGACGTGAAGAAGGCCCAACTCCAAAATATACTTGAACAGAAAAAATATATATGTATAGTTAAAGGGACGTCACTTAAAGACTCACATGTGTCATATTGATAACTGAATTTTTGGCATTAAGGAACACTAACATGAAGTTTGCAAATGTAAGTGGTGTTGAATAATTGACGCGATATGACAGCGCTTTCAGAACAAATCTCTCCAAACGGCAAAGCTGAAAAAAAAAAGATTTTTTCCAACAGCAAAAAAAAAATTTTTAAAATCAAACAAACACTTTTAATCTCGATGCCAGTTATGAGATTGCACACGATGGCATCGCGAATCGAGAGACAATCGATTTCCTCGAGTTTACTGTAGCGAAAAATTGATTTTTTTTAAAGTTTTTGCGTCAAATACCTGGCAACAACGAACGAGATCACCGCCAATTGTTGTAATGTCGCCGTCTCGACGAGAAACATCTGAAGGCATTTGTCAAGAATGGCGGCGGCGAGATGAATCGTGTGCTCGGTGATTCGAAGGCCTCGACGCTTCGCGATGAGATCGAGAAGAACGCGACGGCGATCGGCGGCGCTGAAAATCGCAATGTTGGCACATGAGCGGCGTGCAAATGACGTTGGGACCATCGCAAAACCGACCGATTCGCGCACCTGCAATTCCTCTCAAGATCGTCGTCCGACACTCGGCAGTCTTCCAAATGCGCGACACCAGTTTCTTTCATCAACAACGAGGCAGGCACACGGATTGGGTCGTCGTGGTCCCGATTCCTAGCAATATGATACATCTGCAATCAAGAGTCTCGCAATATTTTCAAACGTTTTACCTCGAATATGTCCAAATCACTACAAAACACTTTGCTCAGCTTCTCCTTCATATCGGCGACATTTGTGTGGAAGTCGAGCAGAAAACTGCACTCCTTGATAACCTGAAACTCTGATTTGTTTTTTTTTCAATTTTAAATATTACTCACCGATAAACTATTATTGGATGGTGTATTTGGGATAAATTTCGTTGTATTTGAGCTTGCCGGATTATTAACTTCCTCAATATCGCCTTCGGAAATCAGTGTCACATCGGCCGACGCATTTTTTGCGCACGGCGATTCATTGGTGATTGTGCTTGTCGTTTCTTCGCTTCGTTCCGAAATTGGCGAGAACTTGTAGACAGTAAAATTATTTTTGCTTGTCGCTATTTCATTGATGTCTTTTATGGACAGTTTTACTCGTTTCGCGGGCGGCGGAACATATCCATCCAAAAACGCTTCAAAAATTTAAATTTTTAATTAATATAAAGATTTTCACCTACCAAATTGATCTTCTAGTTGCTCTGATTCAAATGTTGCAGCTGTCGTTGAAGTGTCATCAAGATCGAATGAGCTCTAAATATTTTATATTTCATGTTTTATTTTTTCTTGAATTTTTATAAATACCTGTTCTGTATTGGAAATCATTAAAGGCTGACAAGCCAAACGCATCTATTCAGTCACGAAAAACCTTTAAAAATCCAAAAAATTTCACGGAAAAACTGATGAGAAACGAAATACGCAAAAATCGATAAAAATTACAGTACCAATTTAATATGAAGACCAACAGTTGAATTGTTGTATGCGCCTTTGGTTGATACGGTAGATGTTGGTTTAATTTTTGCAAATTTCGCATTTTAAGGCATTTATTCGAGTTAAAATTGCAAAAATCAATGAGTATTGATCAGCTGAGCTTCGGGCATATCCAAAACGTCCCCCATCTCGCGTATCTCACTAACCTGCGATCTCTAAAACGCAACTTTTCAAAAAAAATTAAATAGCCAGCGATTTGCTTCAATCAACCTACCAGCGAAGTCTTCACATTATCCTCATTTTTAATGTTGTTGTTGTTTTTGGTGTTGTTGTTCTTATCAAGACCGTACAATTTCTCAACACTTGGTGCGCGATTGCCGATTGTGGCGGCCACCGCGCCGGCTCGAACCGTCTCCCACCATCTCGTCATTCGAAGCGAATTGTACAGCGAGAATCCGACGATCATCACTTCGAATAACACCGAATACCACGACTGAAACATTTCGATTTTCAGGAATTCATAAACAAAACGAAAAACCCACATCAAGCTGGAACATGTTGACAAATCAAGAATGAATGTGAATCGATCACGCCAAGTATTTTTTAAAATATTTTTGATATCAGATAATATCGCATTTTATTCTTTTCAATCTATTGGAAATTATGGAAACAGTTGAGCATTATTCTGAAGTAAGCGTCCAAACGTGCTCAAATTCCCATGAAAATAGGTCTATTGCTCAGAAAAATGCAAAAATCCATGAAATATTTTCCAAACGAGACCGAAAGCGGAAATTCAAACGCTAAGGCACTATATATTAAAAAAAATTAAATACTAATTCTCAACAAAATAAACATTTTGAAATTTTTTTCGAGCTATTCAAGTTCTCGAGATATTCAACAAAATTGGGTGTGGCGATATAAAATTATGTGATTTAAAGTATCAATTTTTAGGTAAATCCATTGAGAATTATTCTAATGGGTCTCTTGGAGATAATTTCCTATAAAACAATCATTGAAAACAATATTCTGAAAAAGAAAATTAAATAATGAAGCCGAATTGGAATGAGATTCGCGAGAATATTCAAGATAATTGCGCAATTCTCTCAATTACTCTCAACTTATTTCTATTATTCCTAATAATTAACCGCTCGCCAATTAATTTGGGCAATTATAAATACCTATTAATGAATATTTCAATATTCGAAATCATTTTTTCAATCTCTGAATCCATTCTTCGTGTCGTTATTCATTCATATCGTTCCGTTTTCATGATATTCTTCAAAACCAATTATTCGCCATTCGGCGCCAAAATGAATCAAGCGATTCTCTGTAAGTATTAAGAATGTTAATAATAAAAATTCAGATTTTACAAACAATTTCAGCGATGGCTTGCGGCTTATTCGGCTTCTCAATGGGAATTTTCGCCATCCCTTTTGTCTACCGCTATGTGGTCACTTGCTGGTATCATTTTATGTTTTTTTTTTTAAATTTAAGACTCCACCTTTCCAGTTCTCAACATCTCAAATTCTTCTCTGGTTTCTATTTCTACATTTGGATGATGTTGCCAATTATCTACGGCTTCCCCTGGGCGCTCACTTGCTATTTCTTTATTTCGCCATGGGATCAAATGACCGAATTCCTCAGGTAACCCAAATGACACTCTTCAAAATGCCCATATTTATTCATAGAGGCAATATCATGGATAATTTCGATCTGAAAATGGAGGAAATCGCATACATCGGAGCGTATTATTTTCCAGTTGATGAGCATGGCGTCCAATATTTCAACATCAAAATTCAGATAATTATGCTCGTGTTTTGGATAATTATTGTATACGAATTCTAAGTCTCACAACCATCGAACATTTTCAGATGACGTCTGTAATCGCAATCATTTTCTTCGGCACCATGTGCTTCTTAAAAATCAACGAAATGGTCACGAATCGTTGATGGCCAGGAATCTACAATCGCAGCTTTTCAATGCTCTCGTCATGCAGGTTTGACGAGTTGAGAGCTTCTCCATCGAAATTGTCAAGAATTTCAGACAATCTTCCCATTTGCTCTAATGCATTTTCCAGCATCGTTCCTTTTCGTCGCACCGCTTTTCGACACCAACTTCGAGTTCGCCAGCAATCTTGTGAACATCACGCTGGCGATCTATCCAGCCATCGATCCGCTCCCAACAATCTTCATCGTCAAAAGCTACCGAAATGCAGCCATCGGTGAGCGCTCGTCGTCGCTTCAAACGCCACGTTCTTTTTTTTTGAAGGATATGCGAAGAATCTGCTCAAATTGCCGAAGCCATCATTCAACTCGACCAATATTCCAAGGCCCAGCTCATTGTTCGCACTATGAGTCGTCAAAATTGGAAATTGTTGATCATTTTCATGGCATTGAGGAAACCTGGATCGATTTACTCGGAAATACAACGATGTCCACCTATAAATCCTAACTATTTACGAATTTGCAATTAAATTAGGTAATTATAGGCACTTATTAATTAAAAGGAGGCGCGCTTTTCGCGATGGTCTTGCACGGATTACATTTTTCGGATTTAGAGGTTATTCCGTTGATTCTCAGATACCACACATATCTCAGAAAATGGCATACTCATCAAGAGCAATTAAATAGTCCATGTGAAAATTTAAAAATGTGGCAAGACCATTTCGAAATGCGCTCTCCGTAAATTTACAACAGTCGCTGGCTGAACGCCGACTACATTTATGAATGTATCCGGCATCTCATGAGTTTTCCAGGCAATATCAAGCTGAAAACACCAAACAAGGAGAAATTGGATATTCAATGGATTTCCTGTTTTCCGCACAATTCCCTAATTGATTCGTCCAGTCTCGAAACTCGTTCTCCATTAATTAAATAATTATGAACTACAACGACCTTCGGCAGAGTTCTCAGCATTATTTCGCATGGGTTTCGGCTCTTCTCAATTCCTACATGCTCTTCTTGATTATCTACAAATCATCATCGAATTTGGGCAATTATAAATACTTATTAATGAATATTTCAATATTCGAGATCATTTTTTCAATCACCGAATCTAATCTTCATGTCGTTATTCATTCCTATCGTTCCGTTTTCATCGTATTTTTCAGTATTAAAAACTCGATATTTAGTCGAAATGTGAATCAATGGTTTGTCTGTGAGTTTCGCACAAAATTACCTTATATGAGTGAGTATTATAGCATTTTCTTGCGGACTCTTCGGCTATACTATTGCAATTTTCGTCATTCCCTATATTTATCGATACGTGGCAACTTGTAGGTGAGCGAATCATCGCAACGCGGCTGACCACATTGATTTTATTAATTTGATAACGACAAATAATTATAGTCAGTTTGATAAAAAGAATATATTGGAATCAGATCGCCACGAGACCCAGCTGACGATCCGCGCTATGATCCTCTAATCGACTTTATTTTAATGATAATATCGAGTAGTTGTAGATAACGTACTTAAAGGCGCAGGCCGTTATTGCAGTCTGTATCTCGCGGCGACAAATTCTGTTAATAGTTTAGTTTCAATTTTCAGTCAGTATCATATGAAATACTTCTCCAATTATTATTTCCTTATTTGGCTTCTTATCCCATTTTTATATTGCGCCATTTGGACGTTAAGCTGTCAGATTTTTGTTGGACCATGGCCTGAACTCACCCAATTTATGAGGTCCGTTTTCTAAAATCGACAAAGTCTGTTTCTCATTCCTGCAATCTATGAGCATTGAGATTGTCTCTGAATATAGTGTGTGTCGATTAGCCTGACTCGAACCCGATGAAGGAGGTCCGAGCCAGTTGATCTCCTTCGCCACGTAGAGGCTCGACACTTGAAGGAGAGGCTCACCAGCATCAGACCGAAGCCTGATGTGGGTCATCGCCGATCCCACCATGGGGATCACCCAAGGTCCCACAACTATCATCCGAGGATAATAGAAGTAGAAGTGGTTGGGCAAGCCACGTCTGGCTGGGCCCCGGGTCTACTGGTGATATGGTAATGTGGTTTTTGTGCTCTTAGCATAGAAGCTTACTACTAAGTAGTAGCAAGCCACTACAAAGTAGCAAGCTACTATGCCAAGAAGCACGGTCCATGTGCACCCGAAAGGCTGGACATATTGACATAGCTGGCCAATCCACGTCAATATAGGTCTGGGCCAGATGACATCCTGACTAGTATGGAGGACACCCGGTGAAGCAAAAAAAAAAAAAGAAAGCATAACCATCCATAACGCCCACCAAGCACTCGAGAGTACTTGAAGCGGGGGCGTTTGGGTAGGGTTCGATTCCCGGCTACGGAATCAGGGCTGAAAGGCTTGCCAGGCCAATCACCCGAATTTAGGATTCGACGGATAAGCCGTCATCCAGCCAACGCCTCGGCACTACTGGGGATCAAGAAGCCTTGGCGTTTGGGGGAATGACCGACTACGGCCCTAATATAGCCGACTACGGCGGATTAAATAGACGAGAGGGACCTTAGTATGGCTAAAGCTTAATGGTGGGGGAAGCTTAGTTGTGGTGGTGAATCGATTCACCGGCAGGGTCCTTCCATCGGCGGCGGCAGCGACGATACCTAAATACCTAAACACCTAAAGTAAAACAATTATACAATACGGAAGGGGGGAAGCCAATCATTAGTGGAATGACTGGCATGGCCGTAAGTGGTACGACTTTCCCCCCAAAAAAAAAGAAGAGATGGTTGGTCCCAAAACGGTAGGACCGAAAGAGAGAGAGAGAGAATCCCAAGTGGTGGGATATAGAGGATGGAAGCCGCAAGTGGTACGGCAGAGGGGGAATCAGTCGACTGATAGAGAGAAGGGGACAGTCGCAAGTGGTACGACTGGTGAAAGAAAAAAGGAAAGGGGAAGCCGGCATTCCCCGAAAAAGAAGAAGAGATGGTCCCAAACGGTAGGACCGGAGGAAGTACAGACGTAAGTGGTACGAATGTACGGAGGGGAGAAAGAATCCCCAAGTGGTGGGATAGAGTGAAGGGGACAGTCGCAAGTGGTACGACTGGTGAAAGAAAATAATAATAATAAAAAAATAAAAATGAAAAATGGCCGAGGCCAAAAATTACCGCGGATTGAATACCTGACGCTGATTCCCTTCCTCGTCATCGAGACGTCTTCTTCCTTCTCCGATTCGATCCATAAGATTCCTGCAATGATTTGAGTTATTCGGATAGATTGCGACTCCTTCCTTACCATTAGAATGCGCTTCCTCGCCCTGCTCGACGCCCCCGGGTAGCGTCGATCATTCGCCATTCCTCTTTCTCGCTCCTCTTCACGTGCTACGTCTACTCATGCAATGTGGGTTTAACGTCGGCCTGTAAGCGACACTGCAGTAGGGTTAGTACCGGCTAACGGAGTCGCACCAGTCGAGAATCCCCGACACTTTCGACAGAGCACATTCCGAGGAGCTCGAATGAGCAACGACTGTGGCTCGAGTAGGATCTGCAATACGAGGAATTGAGATGAAGGATTGAAGTTGAATGCGACATACCGGTTAGATCATTGGCCACGTCGAGCCCGTCTGATTTATGGGACACGCGTAGCCCGCAGGTTATGCGGGGCACGTGGAGCCCACAAGCCATCCGGGGCTCAGCGAGCCCACAGGATTTGCGGGCTTCCCGCAACTCGAGGAGCTGCGAGAACTGACCAAATTGCGCATTCCGCCGACCTTTTATAGTGGCACTGCTCGTCGATGCGAGATTTGCAATAGAGCGCGTTTGGCGAAACGAACTCCAAATCGACGCCGATTCTCTCGCGTTCGCACACTCTCTCATCACTGACGCGCTTTCCCGATTGACGATGTTTGGCGGTAGAGCGCACTTGCCTGAGGTTCGAATGCGTGCAATGAGTGACGCTTGTTGAATTCAGTTTTTCCAATTGATTGGTTCCTCCGAGATTCCTTGAATTAATTTTTTTCTAAATTCAATGAAATTTGAAATGGGAGCAGAGAGGAATTCGGAATTCGTTGAATATTTGGTCCGCTGAATTTTTCGATGATTCTTATTGGCTACGTGAGCTTTTAGAATTTAAAATTATCAAAAAAATGGTGGCACAACTTTGTGCATATACCTTTAATTTATAATATACATAATTTTGTACATATATATTTGATGCTCAATTCGTCTCATTGCCATTTTGAGAAACACGATTTTAGAAACAACATTCTGGAGAAGTTTGATCTAAATATTGATGACATTGCCTATGTTGGTCCGTATTATTTTCCGATCGATGAGAACGGCGACGAGTATTTCAATCATTTCGCTCAAATTGGAATGAGCATTCTTTGTATTCAAATTGTAGGCGAAACAAAATCGCCAAAAAATTCACAAATAGCAATATTTCAGATAATTTCTTTAATCACAGTCCTCTATTTCGGGACCATGTGCTATCTGAAAATCAACGAATTGGTCTCAACGTTGAATTCGAGCTCATTAGTCGCGAAACGATTGCAATCGCAGCTATTCAACGCATTGGTCCTCCAAGTCGGGATCGCCGTGATTCGATATCCGATTCATGCGACTGTATTCATTTCAGACAATCTTCCCTGTCGCCCTAATGCACATTCCAGCCACGTTCCTCTTCGTTGCTCCATTGCTCGACCAGCCGTTCGAGTTTGCCAGCCAAATTGTGAACATCACAATTGCAATCTATCCAGCAATTGACGCGCTCCCCACAATATTTATAGTTCAGAGCTATCGCAAAGCAACCATTGGTTATTTCGTTTCTAACTATTTCAATTTGCGATCATATTTATTTAAGATATTGCCAAAAAGCTGTTCAGCATACGGAAACCGAGCATAGTATCACAGCTCAGCTCACTTCGAAGCCTCTAAAATTATTTTGCTATAATCTCTTCGGATCCATTTATTCCATGCGGTGAAAATTGGACAATCAAGCTTCTTCAGATTTCTTATGTAATCCTTAATGTACACATTCTTCTTAATGTCATTTCAATATTCGATTTTCTCAATTGTCGATGCCCCAATTCATGGAATCTTAAAAAATACAGACAATCCAAAATTGAAACCCATAAAATAAATGATTCCATTACAACAATTTATATATATATATATATATTCTACAATAGACACCAAATATTGAATAGAAATAAAATGGGCACACAAAATCACATGGATTTCGATTAGATTTGGAGTTTAGGGCGGGGGGAAGAAGAGAGTTTCAAAAAACCGTAGTCATAATGGTTGCACAACAATAATATTTTTCGACTATATAAAAAAAGAAACATAAATAATAAGAAAACTACTGGAAGACAATCACAGTCACATCATTTGCGTCTATTCATTGGAATTCTGAGCATCGGCGTTTTCCGACGAGGGAATCGACGGATTCGATTCACCACTAAACGGATCAACATACTCACCATCTGAAAATATTCTCAAATTGTTCCGTTCGACACCAACGCTTACCATCAGTTGAGGTCGGCATGAACGAGAAGCTCGCCGGCAGCGGCATCACCGGCGGCGGCGGCATCATCGCCATACCGCCGCCCATGTCAGGTGTCGACGGCGCCGTGCTCGCCGCGCCCACTTTCAGATATCTCGATCCCGCTCCACCGCTTCTCGCACTTCGTAAACTGTTCGTGCTCGACTTATTCGAATCCATTCCACCAAATGGTGCTGAATTCAAGACGGGCGGCGGTGCAGCCACCACTTCCTCCTCAACACCTTCTCCGACATATCGCTTCTTCACCGGATCCCAAACAATCTGAAAATCGTTTCGTCATTTCGCAGAATCGGCTTTTCATTGGAATTACCGTTGGCTTCGTGTCATCCGGCAAAATCATCTGATTCGCCGACGGAATCGATTTGATCACCTTCTCTTTGATCGATCCAAACCATCCTCGAGAGCCTTTCCGATTCGGCTCCTTCTCAAAATTCATGCTACTACTTTTCGACACCTTCCTCTCATTCTCATTATTCATCGGCGGGCTCGCTGTCTTGTTGGGTACTGACGGTGCGGGAGCCGTCGGTGACGGTTGACCAGTTGTCTGAGGTGCTGCTATCACCGGTGGAATTGACGTCGAGCTCCAAAGATCCAACAATTCAGATTTCGGGCTCTTCGCGACATGTTGCTCTTCAAAATTCTGTTGAATTGGCTTAGGCGGTGACGATGGCGGCGGCTGCGAAGCCAGAGCCGCAATGGGTTCCGGAGAGATAGGCGCAACTTGCGGCAATGATTGTGGTGGTAATGATGGCGGCGGCGGTGGTGCCTGGTTGCTAGTCGGCGTTGGTAGCGTTCGATATGATTCAATCGTAGACGCGTCAGACGCCGACACCTGCGAAGCAGTTAGCGTCGCAGATTCCGACGACGACGTCGTCCGCGTAACTTCATCGTGCGTCGCTTGTGGCATCGGCGGCGGATTGAATTCGGTCGTCGCATGCTTCGCAATCTCAATCGGCGCCTGATGCTCATCATGCCATTGTTGTGCTTCGCGACTCAACGACGGATTCCGACTACTTCTTGGCACAGGCGGCTGTTGTTCAGCAATTGGTTGGAGCTCAGGCTGAGCTGGCTGCTGCTGTTCCTGCTGCTGATGCATCGACATCGGAGCATCTCCAAGCATCGCGCGAAGGCTCGCAATCCATTCGGTTTCCGCTGGCGACGCCGCCGCAACATACTGTAATCCTTCGGCCAAATCGCAAAGATCGAATAATGTAAATCGGTCGAAATTGGCGGCATACGGCCACAACGATCGGGCAACTTCGGTACAATATCTGAAACAATTATTTAGCAACCATTTTATCGGAGGATGGGTGTGTCAACTGATTAAAAATAATTGGTTATCAGCGGAAGTGACAAAAATTACCTAAACGCGTCCGTCGCGAAACCGCCAAACGAGGCCAACTTTTTCGCGTAGGCAATTCGAGCCATCTGATAGTCGACGGATCGCGCCAGCGGCGAATCAACATTATTATTGGCGAGTCTCAACGCATAATCATAGATATCTGTCGCGTGCAAGTCGACAAACGAGAATCTACAAAAGAATGACGTAAAACAAAAAATGGATAATAATAGTCTACCCAGCAGTTCCGCAAGATTTCAATGATTGCGACAACGCGAGAAGTTCGGATCCGCTATGAATCAAACCAATATTCTTTCGACATTTCTCCTCGCCATCCCTATAATTAAAAAAAAAGCAGAAGAGATGATAATTTGCGGCGAGAAACAATCGACTTACACATGCGGAACCGCCATAAACGGATCATAACCGGCGAGTAGGCACACAACCAAAAGGCAAAAATCGGCAGCGCAATTTTTCTCCTTTTTCGCCAATGTTAATCCAAGATGATAGATCTAGATGATACTTCTTGTCAGCTTTCTTAAACTCGCCAAATTTTACCGTCTGCATTGCCGTCGGCGTCGAGAGATTAGCCAGAATAATCGCCGCGTGACGCCTCCAATTGTTCTCATCGTCGTCCGCCAAGCCATTCGTCAAAATCGGCGGCGGTTGATCGCTGGCGACAGCGATCAACGTCGCAAACGGGTCTTCAATGGTCCGCAATTGCATGAATCTCGCCTCAATCTCCTCAATCTTTTTCGCGTCGTTCGGATAAAGCCGCCTGGTGAGCGTCATCGCGTCCGCATACAAACCGTCAGCAATCGCGCATTCAATTGCCTCCTGAACACCCGTCGAGTTCAGCAAGAGAACCAAAAAAAACCATCTTACCGTAATATGTCCTCCGAGAAGAAACGCATTACATCTTTCTTTGGCGGCAGCGCGACTCTTCGCATCATGATTTATCGCATTATCCACAATTCCCGTCCTCTCCTCGAGCTCATCCGAAGCCCGTGCCAACAGCGCCGCCACATCGGGCCCGGTGATTCTTCCATGCTGTTGAACCATGATTTCCAAAAGTTGCCAAACCAACGTCGCATCGGCAACATCGCTCTTCTTCACATCATGACTCAGCTTCACCGCTTTGAGCGCGTCGAGTTGTCGTTGAATGTATAATCGCACCGAATGCGTTGGCGTGTGGCCGGCAATCAATGGCCCCTTGAAGTTCTGCACCGATTCGAGCACCTTGCTTGTCGCCTCGTCCGAATGAAGCATCGATTTCAAGTCTTCAACGATAATCGACGTCGACGTCAACGTGGCCCCATTCACCGGATCAACAGATCCAGGCGGACGGACCACAACAACTTTTCCACCAATTCCAAATGTGACAAACGCGTGTCCCGTATGGAATTTCAATGGTCCTAAACAATAAGAAATCGTTTAAGAAAAACCCTCCAATAAAAATGGGCTACCATGGCTCAAAACCTCTTCGGGCTGAGAAAATGACGTCTGCTGCTCTTCGATTCCATTCCCCTTTTGTCTGAAAATGTCGACAATTAAAGACCATCAGTACACCAATTACTGATTGAAGTCGAGCTTCTCCGTCTCCAACGCCTCCTTCTGCGCCTGTTCATAGGCGCGCTTCGATGCCTCCAATTGACGAAGAGTATATTGATCTTGCATCGATCGGCAAATCTAGATAGAATCATGAATAATTTCGAAAAACAGCAACGAACAAAACCTTGAAGAGCGCCTGATCATCGGTGTCGCCAGCACAAACAAATTTGTAAAATTCGCGATTGAATCTCTTATGGAATTTATCAATATCCGGATAGGATTTCTTATAGACCGCACAATAGAAGATATAAGCGACCCGTTCAATCGGCTGAAGCTCGAAATACCCTGGTGGTGGTGGGATCGTCTTCATCACATAAGAAACACGCTCCTTTAAAAAAATGCGGAAATTTAGACAAAAAAAATGAAAAGCCATGCTCAATATACCAAATCCAAGTGAACAATTCCATAATAGTAAGCTTCTTCGCCGTCGAGAAACGAGGAACTCCCTCTGACACCCGTGACACTTCGCGAGCCTTTCGCTCGTTGAGCTTGAAGATAGTACTTGCGCATCTCCTCCTCCTCGTCGTCTTCCTCATCCTCAACGTCGACAACGGATTCGGCGTCAGATTCACGTCGGCGATGGTGCGCCTTCTCGTCGCCAGACGTCGACAAACTCGCGCTTTCATAACCGCCAAACGCGTTTCGTCCAATATTCTCCGTGTACTTCTCAGCGATTGTCGAGCGCGGTCGGCGTGGTTCTCGCATAGTTGCGGGAAGTAGGGCAACTAGAAGCACATTTTTCTTCGGAACTCTTTTTCATTAAGCGGGACCATTATTACCTCCACCGGCTCCGTTTCGTCCATTGAAATACTCGGCGGCATAGGAGGAATATCGAAATGACGGCGTGAATCGACCCGAAACCGATCCCGGACCATTTCGAACCGGATTCGGTCTGGAATTCGTTCAATTACACAAATTTGCGTCAACTTTGAAAACCTGTTGAATGACATCGAATGAGCCTCATACTCATTGTAGGAGACGTTGTGCGACCCAATCGGTCCCACCGATCTTCGTCCGTTCATCAAGTCCGGTCGCGATTTGATGCTTTTTCGAGACACCGACGGCCAGGCGGGCTGAGCGAACGTTTGAATATCGTTGTCAAGACGGCTTCGCCTCGGCCTAATTTATAATAATTGGCGATCATAATCAAACATTTATGAATTCACCTGGCAGCGGTTGATGACGAATCATCTTCGCCGTAGCGCGATGACGGTGGCGAAACGACACCGGATTTCGCCCAGTCGCTCATTTCGGAACCACCTAAAAGTTTCCGGGTTCGAATCGATTTCGATCAATTGATTACCTGTTAAATTCGCCCGATCATATCGCATTGATCTCGCCTGTAATGATTAACAATTATTGATTGCATAGAAAAATTGTTCAAGATTGGTTTGGTTGCTATTGTTTTTTTTTTGGTTTCGTTTGTTCGAAATCGCTTTACAATTGATAAAACTGGGCTTACTCGGAAATATCGACGATCGCAAAAGTGGGCAAACAACAGAAATGGAAAGTTTGGGGTCAGGAAGGAGAACGGGAGGACAGCAGTAGAACCGTGTCGATGTGGTGTGTTCACCGGCACGCAATATTACACGCGAATTGCGGCCACTAATAAGGCAATACCATTGCGGTTTTTATGTGAATTCCAATAAAAATGCAAATAAACAATTATGAAATCAATGTTGCGGTTTATATAAATAAATAAACACATTGTTTCAATGCAGTTTCGGGGCATTTTAGGAGTTTATAAGCTATTTATTTTAGTATGCTTATTTTTACAAATTTAAATGGAATTTAGCATAATTTCTGCTTCAAAAGTTTGCTATATAAGATAAGTGTGAAAAAAAAATAAGATAAATCTTCATTCTGCAACCACAGACCGAATTTTGTTACACACTTACAGCACATCATACGACATTTTTTTTTAAATTTAGTAATTCCACTTTTTCCATTCTAAAATCTCTAAAACCAAGCATTTTCAATTAAATTAGCTACTAATTAATTCTAAAATATTATTTTTCTTGAAGAACTAATTTTTCATTGTTTTTACGCACCAAATATGACGAAAAATGAATAAATCCCAAAATTACCTGCATTTTTCATTAAAATAGCTCGAATATATTCTCGTGAGGATCGTATTATAATATTTTTGTGATTTCCAACAAGCCAATCAATTCATGAAAGAATAAACCGTCGAAAAATTCACGTGTCACGTCAAAATTCACGTTGACGACAAAAAAAAACAATTATTTATTAATTCCAATTAATATTATTATTACAACCCGTAAATTGTTTTCGCTTTGGCAACAAGCTCCTCTTGCCACGCTGAAATTGTACCGCGCGCCGCGCTCGTTTGAACCCAAGAATATCCAATAATCGATGAGAGAATCCGGCGATCCCTGAAAATATCGGATTTTTGTGGGCGACAAAAACAAATTCGGGAAAACCTCGCAAATTTCAATTTAACTGAATTCGAAAGTTGCGTTTAAAAAAAAACACTTGGCGCAATTTTTAAGCAATGTCGCGGCGATACACATGGCGCCGCGAATGGCGACGTCGCGAACGATGATTAATGACGTCACACCGTTTTTGTGTTTCCCAAGACATCATTACATTTTTTCCTTTTGCCTAATTAAGCTGTCTGGCACACAAAAACGGCAGCATATATAAGGGGGTCACTCGGGGTTTGGTTTGATGTTACTGTTATCGAACATATTCTTCTGCTGATATTCCGTTCAATAAACCATTAGGAAACGACCGTTTTCTTAAAAGCAGCATTTCTAAGCGAAACCCCTAGTTTAAAAGTTATGGTCCGTTCAATAACTGTATTTAAAAAAAGACGTTTAAAAGGTGCATTTTTTTTAAATTTTGCGCAATTTTTAAAAACACCCCACAACATTTAAACCCAATTTTTTCGTTCACTATCTGCGCTAAAAAAAATTGCGAGATTTTGCCGATAACGATAATTCGGTACCTCAATGACACCGCCCAAATATCATGCTCAGTCCACGCATTATCCGTATCGTTGTCGCCATCGACAACCTCTGAGGCGATATGAGCTGGACTAGTCTCGCCAGAGCTCATTCGTTTGTCAATACTCACTATTGAGCTATCAATTCGTCTCATTGAGAACATCTGAAATCATTTAAGCATCGCCGCCGGCCACATTCGTCTTACATGCGCATCCGAATCACTAATCCCAATCATTTTCAATAGCGACGTCAGATTATCATCTTTCGATGAATGCTCGAGATGCCATTCATTCGGCAGACTCCTATTCTGATCGACAAGAAATTGGCATGACGTCGTGCCGCCTCCAGAAAGTATAATGTAGAAGCATTTGCGATTGGCGCCGAATTTCGGATGATTTCCGCGACCTTGAATTCCTAAACATCAATAATCAACATAATTTTATATTTCAAAAAGAAAAAAAGGTTGGCACCAGTCCTTCCATTCGGATTCAATGGGAACCCGGCTGCCGACAATTTCCACGATTTCGTAGAATTGACGTTCACCATATCATTCGATTGGCGATCCCTCCAAATGCGTCGCAATTCGCCGATATTCTGAAATATGAGCGGCGGCTCGTTGTCGAATTCTCTCAATTCTCTCGCCAGACCTGTTCCGTCGCCACCTCGACATACTTCTGAGTGTCGCCGGGAAACTCGTCGGCAGGTTTGCAATAAAACGGCGGATTGTATTTCGGCATCAAGATTCGCCATGGCCGATGAGACGGCAGCACCTGAATCTTCATCACACTGGTGTTCGCGTAAGGAATGAAGGTGTGAAGCTCGGTGGCCGACACGGAATCCGATTTCTTATAGGAATCTCGAAGCACCATCATTCGAATGTGATTCTAAAACCAGAAAATTTCTCAAATTCCTTCCTGATTTTCCAAACTACCTGAATACTATGAAGCTCACCGCCATCCCCGCTGCTCGCCTTCCTCTGATGTCCTTTCCATTGCTCCACCGACAATCGTTTCCAGAACGCGCTCACAAACTCATTCTTCTTGAATGGTACCGACGGATTGCGATAGATCGATCCGAATCGCCAAGTGGCGCGCGAACGATCGCGACCATCCGAATCGGGATGATCGCTTTCCGAGAAGCTGAACATTCCGGTGAGTTTGTTCGGCGACGTGCAGCACGCCGTGCAGAATACACAAAGAATCGTGAATGGCGGCGGCAGAGGTGGGCGGAGCCTAAAATCATTTATCACAAAAAGAACTAGAGCGATTCGATGAGACCTGAAGTCCTCGGCGAGTGAGTACAACTGAAACCTCCAGATTTTCTCGGCCTCGCCGTCAACAGTCTTCGCGGTTTTCGCGAAAAACGCGAAAAGGATTGGCCAGAGGAGAAGCTGAAATTTGACCATTTTAAAAATTCGAAATACTTCCAATAAATCCCAACCTTGAGCAACACGAAATATTCAACAATGATCAAATAGGCCGACCAGGATTGTGTTGGACATGAAGAATTGGCGTACTCTCCAACCGAAGTGCAATAGTGCTTGGGCGCGCCCAAAAACGATTTTCGGCACGTGTCCGACTCCTTCAAACTGGAAAGGTCGGTGGTGAACAAACTGAGCCATATCCAGGAGAGCTGATCGCGTAGGACGGTCATCGTCATCTGACGATCGGGAAACACCGCACTCTGAATGGCCACCGCGCTGCTCAGCATCACCAACGCGATCATGAATAGGAAGTTGGTGAAGTCTCTGAGGAGCATCAATTTGACGCGAACGATCATCGGCCCGAAGATTTCCGATAGCGGAATATAAGTGAACAACGTCGAGTAGCTCACGTAAAGGACGAAGAACGATGAGACCACTTTGGAAGCGTACGTGGAATGAATGTTCTGGAAATCGGAATGAATTTATTCATTTTTGAAAATTTAAGATCATAATAGTCGCACCAGAAAATCGAGAATCGGCACCACTGGGAACACCTTCATCGCGAGAAGGAGCAACAGGAAGACGGCAAAGATGGCGGCATCGAACAACCGCCACGGCATCAGTCCTAACGGAATCCTCTGCGCCCTTGCCGCCAACACGAAAACGCTTTCAATCCACCAGAAGAATGACCACGTCCACATTACCGTATCCCAAATGTTGGAACCGCATCCGGGCAGAATCACGGAATACGCTAGGCAGCAGATGTAGATTATTCTGAACATCAATGAGAGCCAGTATTTGACAATCGGCGTTGAGTAGAAGGTGGCGATTGATGGGCTGTGCGCCCTTCGAATCCGATTCTTCTTCCCGAAAGGTCGTGTGTCTTTTTCCATATCCTCGATATTCAATGGGAAGATCATCGATTGAGGTGTCGCTGATTCGGCGCCGCCGATTGCCGAGTTCAGTCCAAACGCTGTTGACAATGGGGCGGTTAAAGTTGTCAGCGCTTCGCTTCTCGATGAAATCACACTATACGTTGAAACTGCTCGCTGTTTGGTTGGCACGCGGCCAACATCGAGAAGGGCCACTGTCGGCGACATTGCGTCATTCTTCGGGAAATTCTTCGGACGGACAAGCATCCAAATTCGGATTGGGAAGATGAAAAATGCTAAAATAAAATTTAAATAATAAGAAAATACTTCATTCATTTTTTTCTCGCCAACCTGCTAATATAAATTTGAGCCATTTGGGTATAAAAACCGGCGAGTTTTTGGCTTGCAAGTTCCCGTACAGTTTCCTATGAACCCATCGTTGACAGCATTCATGGGCAATTATGTCTCTGGCGTTACACTAAAAATTATTAGTGTCTCGTGTACTAATTACACTTTGTTTAGTTACGTGGAATGCTAATTGGGTTATTGAGAAACCATAAAATGGTTCAATCGGCTGGCAAAGAAGCTGATAGGCTTTTGCGGGGCTCGTGACAAAAACTTGGTCGAACAACTGAGTGGCACTTTTTGAAAGGTTTTCGGAAAGATCCAGAAGTGATTTCTCGTAGAAATGATAGTCATGACTCTGGAAAAAAAATTTAATTCGTTGGCGGCCATGAAATCTTACTTCTCTAGCCAATGATCTTGCTATTCGTGACAACACTAGGAAAAATGCTACTGGCTCGTCAGCAAAGGCAGCAAGGCATTGAACAACTCCCGGGCGGTGCAATAACAAGCACCATATCTGAAAATCGGTAATTCGAACTATTAAAATAAAGAAAAATTATTTTTTTGGGCAAAAATTGAAAAATGAAAATAAAATTATTAAAATGTGCATTTTGCCGTCACGTGTTTGCACAAATTTCAAAAATTCAAATTTTTTCTTTTTTTTCACAAAATTTGCAAACTTCGAAAATTACCGCTAGTATCCTAATCGACTCATCATTATCTCGATGTGAAGCATCATTGCAGAACGCATTCGGCTCAAATAAATTATCGACGCCAAACGATAATTCCTTCACAAGCTTTTGAACAGCAAACGCGAATTTTGGATCAATTTCGGATGGGAGATACGAGTAGCCCATGCATTGGCAAAGCACGATAGTAGTAAAGAAATGCTGTAAGCGGTTAATTTTCAAAAAAAAAGATTCAATTAAAGAAAACCTCATCGGCGTGATGCATCATTCGTATTAGCATGTTCGAAGTGACCCGAATCGGAGGATTCAAAGATAGCACGGATGATAAAAAATTGAGCTGATCGTCATTTGTAATACATTCGCAAAGGATCATCGTGAGTAACTAAATTTTCAAGAATTTTCTTTATAGAAATTTTTGCGAGCACTACATCTTCATCGAGTTGCACCGCGACATCCATTGACGACAACACCGATGGTGAGTTGAGTTTTGCGGCGAGCAGAAGCACCTGCTTCTCAACACCACTGGTCACATAGCATTCCAGGCAGCGATCGACGACAATCGAGGCGAGATCTGGCAGCTGGATCAGGGCAGTTCAAGGATCATTTAGGAAAAACGAAATGCTGACCTGTCGAGCATCGATAAACTCCAAAAGTTGTGTGTCGCCGGAGCTCGAGCTCGCAAAAATTTTCGAGACAATTTCGCACGAGCTCGATAGTCCCAATGGATGAAGCTGGGAGCGTAGCCTATTAAACAAAATTTTTTTCAAAAACATTTTTGCACAATTTCATACCAATCCATAAATCGATCATGCTCGAAGTTGGAATTCTCCATTAGCAGTGAGCACGAGTGAAGAATTGCGCAGAGTTCGCAGCTGTCCTGGAAGAAGGAAAAAAACCCATTGAATCGGTGAGAATGACCTTTGACCCCACTTGCAATACGATTACAGGAACGCCATGCTCGACATAGAAGAGAAGCTCGATGAGGGATTGTCGTGAAGCTCCTATCAAAAAAAAATCGTCGCGGATTATTCCAAACAAACTAGGCTACCGGCAAACAGGACCACTGGAAACGGGCGCTTATCATTGGAAGGCGACAAAAGAATCGCCGCTGAGCTGTTCGGATTTGACGAGGGACTCATCGCATCCGTCGGCACACCGATGAGAAGAGCCGGCGGCGGATGAGCAAGCTTGATGGCCGCTGCTGGTCGAATCGTCGACATCTCGACACTCTCATCCGACCGACATATAAGCATTAGGGTGTTGAGCGAGGTGTCGACGATGCTCTTCGTCGATGCCGAATCCGATGCGATGACGTCGTCCGAATTGATAAGAACATGAAGCACCTCGGCGGCATACTCCAATTGAGGCAGCGTGTTCTTCATGACGGTGCTCGCGCAGCGCGCCAGCGGATCGTTGACCTCGCCGGATGAGACGATCCACGTGCCGCAATTCGACATGAACCGTTTAAGGGCATTCTCGACGGCTCCCATGTACTGCAATCGGAAATTTCAAAATAAATGACAATCTCATTCGGTACCTTTGTCGACAGCGAATTGCCATCGGACACCAAACTCAGAATGACATCGGGAACACCTTGATCGACCTCGTTGGCGGCGGCCGCCAACCTACTGTAGACGTGTTTGACAGCACCTGGAAGCGCGTGGGCACTTCCGAGTATCAACGCGGGACACAGTTGAATGCCGGCGCCGCCGGTGTCGCCCGACACCACCACCGGAACGGTGTCGGGCACAAGCGACATGTCCGGCATCAGCGTCGGATCCGACTCATCCATTCTGAACAATGAGACTTGAGGCTCTTCAAAACGCGTTTCGAGCGGCGTACGGTCATCGCGGCGACACCAATAATCAATTTTTTTTTAAAGTGACCTTCAAAGTGGTAGCATCTAACGCAAAATGAGGGAGAGAGAGAGAGAGAGAAAGTGAGAAAATGAAATGTTGCGAAAAGCAAAAAATAAATAAATACGCCCCCCCCCCCTAACCGCTAATAAATTACGAGCGGAAACACGAGAGACGGGAATGTTGTGTGTGATGTGAGAAGAACAGGTTCTCCTCATCAGTGTCGAATCAATTTGTCGCAATAATTGTGGCTGAGAAATTTTTTTTTTTGGAATGCGCATTGATTATAGTCGACGAATGTATCGAGAGCGGGAGGGGGAGCGCGTTTTAATGGTCCGAATTGAATGGTCCGTCGTGAGACCCCCCCCCTTCCGACTGATTAATGTGCTCGTAAAAATGTTGTGGATGAAAGTGTGTAACATGACGAAACGAAATGATGCTTCCATACTATTGGAAATTATGAGAGAATGAAGTAATAATAAAAAAGCACGCACGCATACGGACCATGTTGGCTTGGCTGGCTGCCTGACCTGTTGGGACCATTATTGCGCAGCAGGTGTCATTGCGGCGAAATAGTGTGTGGTGTTGAGAGACGGCAGACGCTGCTGCTAATTAAGTTTATCAAAAAAAAAGCGCTTTCCTTTATTATTTTTTTCCCGCAGTTGGAATCCCATCTCTGGTAACTCAAAATCAATCGGATCCGAGGGAATTCGACCCAGGATCAACCCGATCCGATTGGAAATTCTACGGAAAGAAATGGGAAATCGTCTCGGATCCGATCGGAAATTCTACTGATAGGATTGTAAAATTATCGGATCCAATTTTTAATTTGTCGAATTCTATTCGAATTAAAAAATTAAACAAAACGGATTCGAATAATGATCCAACAAATTCCTCATCGGATCCGACGGAATTCGGCCAAGGATCAACCCGATCCGATCGGAAATTCTACGGGAAAAAATGGGAAATCGTCTCGGATCCGATTTTTAGTTTGTCGAATCCGGTTCGAATTAAAAATTAAATAAAACGGATTCGAATAATAATCCAAGAAATTCCCAATCGGATCCGACGGAATTCGGCCAAGGATCAACCCGATCCGATTGGTTTTGAGTTGCCAAATCTATTAATTTTTCTGGTGGCTTTTTTAATTTGGTGAGTTTGATGATCCGTAGAACGATTGAAAAAAAATTAAATTTGAATTACCGCCCACGAAAAACTACACTTGCTTGTCGACATCAGAATTGTTCGTGGCGGGACCAAACGCAAAAACAATTACGCGCCTTTAATTAACCTATCCATAGAATAGAAGTTTAGAACATTTCTCAAATCGTGTTGAAATTGATTAAAGGCGCACAGCGCCTTTAAAATTGAGCTGGCTTTTGGTGAAGCCGCTTTTTTTTTGAGAAATAGAAAATACCCGACATTTTTTTGAATTTCAACAAAAGAATTTCGTGCGGTTCACCGGCACGCAAAACTGCACACAATTTCCTGTTTCAAGGCGAGAGAAAAAAAACTCCAGCGCGATTGTCTTTAATATTTGACTAGGCTGATTTCGGCGGAGCGCGCGAAATAATATGTCATTAACACATTGTGTTTTCTTTTTTTTTGTTTTTGACATTCTCCAATGTAAATACATCCGAATAAATCTATATAATCGAATCCGCATGCGCGCGATTTTGATTTTTGTTTTGAGAACAAAAAAGAAGAAGCATTATGCTCAAAATTGCGGTGCTGCTCGCGACGGTTCACGTGAGCATCGAAATTGTCGACGCGATGACAATCAATGGAACAACGAGCCTAGGTAAGCGAGAGAAAATACTTTTTTTTTGGGTTTTGAGCAAAAAATCCATGTTGAGGCCTTCTCCAACTCGACGACTTCTTCTATCCGCTGCCGACGCTCGTTCAGAATCCCAACGTTCGTGTGAAAGTCGGCAACAAGCGAAGCGGCGATGATTGCACCGATGAGATGCTCAGACGGGTGATGCACGATGTGAGTCTATTCCAAAACCTTTTTGTGTTGTCAGCAATTGTCCGCAGATGGGATGGTTTGATTTGCAGCACATCAGCGAGGACGGAATGACGCAGTCGAAGCGGGCGGTGCACAGCGCCGCGAAACGCGACTTCGAAGGCAGCTGGAGTGTGATTTGCGCGCCGTGCGCGTTCTCCTATCTGGCTCACACCCAGGACTACTGTATTCACACAAGATACGGTATCACTTGTTTACTGTACCGCGATGGTTAATAAATATTTATGTACACTCGATGAATCGCTAGAATCGCTGCCAAAAATGAGGCATTGAGCGGCGCCGTTGGCGAGAATTGCGCGCCGTCGATGCGAATTTGAAACGTCTTCGTGATGAGCTCTTTTCGAGTCAGACGCAAATCGCAGGTCGCCGTTCCCGACGCGTCCAAATTGTCGATTTTCACGTGATACGCCACCGATTTTTTCGAATTGGTCGCAATAAACTGAAATTTTGTTTTTTTTTCGTTTTCCCAAAAATTTTATTTTTTTTTTTGATACCGGATACTTGAAATTCTCATATGGCCGCCCGTTGAGTGTGCATTTCACACCTTCAACGCGTTTGACGTCGGCGAGCCTGAAAATCAAGGATTTGAAGGGGGAAGCAAAAAATTGAAATCTCGAATGACGGCGTCAAATGTCCGCAGCATACCTCAAATAGTAGGTGTTGCCAAATTCGGCTTCCAAACGATCAATATTTGACAAATCGACATTTTGAGTGGACGATTTATCTAAACAAAACTCGATTCGATATGTATATATCGAGGCTTTACGAACCTCTGACAATCAATTGCCGCGAATAGCACGCGTTGCCCAATGTCTCGCGTACGCAACACTCGTATTCGCCGGTCAGCGAGTTTCGAATCGCGTTGGCGCCGCGCAAAAATCTGCGAATGATTCCAAATTAGGTAGAAGTTCTCGGGTGTCGGGCCACTGGTGTCGAGTTTCAGCCGATTATTTGGAATTATTCATGCTGTCGACAAATTTGGGTGACGCGAGAAACCCCGCGGGGATGTCCGCAGCACAATTCGCATAAGGCACGCGCAACTCAGTGGAAGTTTGTACGTGAAAAAATGAACCCGTGAGATGTCCGCAGCACAAAAAAATTATTAAGATTTTGACAAAATTGCGCGCCTTTTGACCCGTGACCACTTGAATCGAGCCCACTGCACATAATTACAACGCCCAAATTCTCATGGTCCCAACCCGAAGGTAATAAAAGAACAGCATGTGTCAAGGCCATGAAGACTTACACGAAACGATTTCGGTGTATTTGTGTGCGCTCCGGTAATATCGACGAGCCATTAAATCGCCAATGATAACGGCCCTAAATTGGTCATAATTATTTATGTGAGGGGTGTTTTTTTTTTTCTTCTTCTTTCTTACAGTGAATGTCGAATCGAACTCGCCGCAATGGAATAGTCGCTCGCCATCGGAATTCACGCTCAATTCCTCCCATATAAGGTTGGGCTTCTACAAAAATTTCGATGCAACGATAAAATATTTTGAAGTGATTTGAAATCTCTGTGGTTCACCGAAACGCGAAAATGCACAAATTGGTAAAAATTGCTAATTTAATTTTTCTGTTTAAAGGCGCAAAAATGCACAAATTGCTAGAAGTTTGCTATATTTTAATTTTTCTGTTTAAAGGCGCATTAATGATTTATTTGTTAATGGTCTTGATGAGAAAGTTCCACTAGAGTATCTGGAAGTGAGAAAAAGATTTTAAAAAAAAAAACATACCGTAATCTTGACCCAGGATACTGTAGATACTGTAATCGTGCATAGTTGAAAGAGGAAAAGCTGATGGCAAAATTGGCGGCTAAAAATTAGGTGGTCCGAAGAGGGAGGAGAAAAAAACGACAAACCTCATAATCCGTGTAGATTTGTTGTAATTGGTCCGTAGGAGACAGACAGACAAAGACAGATGACGGTCGACTAATAGGTCAGGTACTTGTGGGTCCGCTCTGCTAAACAGAAGCAACACCACAGCGAAGAGGACCGGGGGGGGGGGAGTTGTTTGCTCGCCTGAAACAATACGGTGATGGACGGACGAGGCGGGCGGGGGGTTGGCCGAGTGAGAGGATGAGAAGACGCGGAGAAGAGAATCAAACACACAGGCTCGCCTCGTTTCGAATGACCTTATACGGAACGGTTTTATGGGCTTCTTGTTGTTTGGCGCCGCCTGTGTCGGATTCGAAATCCGATTTCAAATTTAATTGCCCCCCGACGTCAAAATGATCGAGTATCGAGTTTGAGTGCACCTTTATGGACCATCTATTCATAAAATGGAATTTTCCCAAAAAAATTTTAATTCATTAAATTTGCAATTTTTTTTAAATAAACTCGGCCTTGAAAATTCGTGCAATTATTTTTTTTATTCAATGAATCCAGATTGGTGCATTTTTGTTTGAAAAAACACTAATTTTCTAAAACACTAATTTTTCCCAAAAAAAATTTTTAATTCATTCAGTTTGCAATTCTTTTTTTTAAGAAAAATTGAGCAATTATTTTTTTTTGCATTTTTTATTCAATGAATCCAGATTGGTGCATTTTTGTTTGAAAAAACACTAATTTTCGAAAAATTCGCGACTTTCTGCAATTGTGCGTGTCGGTGTACCTGCGGACTTGAAATTTTGCAATTCCAGCTTTTAGTTGATTTTCGATATTTATTTGAACAAAGACATTTGCGCCTTTAATTACAGTACTCTCAAATTGAATGCTTATTTTTTAGAATTTCCAAAAACGCGATGAAAAACATTTTTCACTTCAAAAAATGAAGCTGCGGACAATTTCAGAGTTGTATTTCAACAAATTGATTTTCGAAAGAAATTAAAATTAATTAATTAATTAATTAGAGAAATAGAAAGTGAGAGAAAGAAAGAGAATCTGGTATGAATAGAAGCCAATTATAAGGCTTTGTGTCGTTTCGAGACCGCGCACAAAAGATGTTTCGTCCCTTTGAAGTTTCGCCGACACTCTCTCTCTCATATTTTTGGATTAACAGGTGCTCGCGAACAGATTTTTATTCAACATATGTGCACATCATAAACTTGACAATATAGTATTTTGATATTATGGGATTCTGGTGGAAATTTTTGTGGGATTCAAAAATTGAGAAAATCCATTTGGTGGTTTTTCATAAAATGTCTTAAAATTTGAATTTCTATTCTATTCAAATTCGGCAACATTTTTCATTTTTGTAAAAAAAATGAATGATCAATGAAAAAATATGCGAGGTATTGTCGACGTCTGGCGATATGCCAAAAAAATTTGAAAAGAAGTCTCGGTGCGCGGTGTGCGCCTTTAACCTATCCTTATGCATAGTGCCGTAAATCTACACCCTTCGTTTTGCGCCAAGGTGATTGTTTTTTTGGCATTTTGCCAATTTTCCGCAGTCGCGCGACGCCAACAATACCTCATTTGCGATTTCGATTTACCAAAATCGTGCTGCGGACATTTGAGCAAATTATGGGACACCGTCGAAAAACGGACCAAATCAATTCGGATTTTTCCGGTTATCCCACCATCGACGAATTTTATCGCTTTGAAACATGTGTGTGGGCCTCTTCCGCACAAAACACATCTGACATAAAGACAGTTGAGAAGTCGAATAACCTGCTGCCCTAGTCCTCCCACCCAAAGCCATCATCATCGATCGTGTCCGCGTGTGTGTGTGTGTATTGCGTTGGGACACCCATCGCACACCAACCAACGCCACCACCCAAATCGTTTGCATATGCGTTTATCCTATAGCTTGTCTGGCGTCTCGCAAATCCGTCCACTGTTTCAACAATAGACGCGCTCAATAGATCCACCCGCCAAATTCGAATCGCCTATTCTTGCTTCATCCCCATTGTTTTTCTTGTGTTTTCACAGAAATTTGCAAAAAAAAAGGAAAAATAGGTTACGGTAGGTTTCAAAGGCGCATTGTAAATTTCCGTCGAATTCCTGCACCGGTTATTACTGTAGGCAGTCTCCGCCCGTTTTCATTTCTAGAAAATTTCTTTTCTTCTCGATTTTTTGCTTGAAACTACGCTTTTTTTTCCAATTTTCGTGAGTTTTTTCAATCCAAATAAATAAAATTCAGAATCTATTCAAGAAACCTTCAGAAGAATTCGAAAATTAATTCAACCGCAGCTGGTTCACGCGTTCACATTAATCAGTATTCCTCACCATATTAGAAATTCTGGATAAACCAGCTGCAAGAATGAAGTCAGCAATGTAACATTTCTATCCCGCATAGGACCACAGTATTATTTTTTTTGAATTTCTCGTCGGCACCTCTTGGCGCCTATTTTTTGCGTTGTGTCGCTTGCACCCGTACAGCCTAGTACGAGTGGCGCGGCTCGCTTTCTTCTTCTTCTTCTTCTTCAGCGCCCATATGATTCGTCGAAATTTGTCACCTTGAGATGAAAATGAGGAAAATACGCATTGGCTAACCGCACGCGAACACCAACCAATTTCGATCATTGACCATCATCGCTATTCGTGTTCGCTTTATTTATTTAAGAACTACATCTATTTTTATACGAGCGCGCGCCCCGCAATGTTTCATGCCGTCGGTGAGCGCCTTTTATGTCACATCGGTCTCATTTTCGTAATTACACTCTCCTCTACTTTTTTGGTGCAAAACTCATATTGATTCATCCGCAAAAATTATTTTTTGGCGCCATAATGCGTCTCAAATGTTTGACCTTTTTATAAGACGAACTAAGATAGTAATCGCTTTTCCATTGATGCGAAATACCAAATCGCTTGTCAATCTCATTATCGAATATTTTTTTTTCAAAAATTACCTATCTTTGAGATCTTGAGGATTTTTTGCGAGAGCGATTAATCAATTTGCAGGGTGTTGTTTCCTTGATCTGCAACATTCAGTCAAGGCAGAAATCTGCCGTAAAAGGTGTCATCCCACAATTTCACGCCGATCAAGATGATCAGCAATGCCAAAGATTTGAGAAAGATAACATTTTCAAAATCTATTTTTCCCAATGGAGAAATAATGTGAATTTATTCATTTTGAAAGGTAAAAATGTTTCAATTTCTAGTAAAAATTGGCAATTTGTGATAATGCAGAGATTTGGGTAAAATTCCCAAAATTAATTGGGTTCTCTCACATTAATACAACAATTTGTTGCGATTTGCACAATAGAGTCAATTCGTTTCATTTTTTGCCAATTCTCAATGATAAATAGCCTTGTCGCGCTCCTCCACTTTGGTTTAACCTTGGACAACCCACGAATTACCGTTCTTTCTGAAATTTTCGACCTATTCAATGCCATGAAGGTTCGTAATCTAGCGTTTTGATCGGACGCTCACAGCAACACCTCCCATATCGACGGGCCCAAGAAGGCGAACTTTTCAAATTATTGTGGTTGCGCGTTTACGGAGATTACTTGTTTCTCTCTCCTTTTTTTTAGTATACTTGGAAACCCGATCCATGCGTGCTCATTGTGCACAATCGGCCCACACTGCGAGAACAACGCAATCCGGCCGCGTTATCGTCAAATGTGTTTGTTGTTGATAGCTTATCGACACAATTCATTCGACACCAATCACAAAAACGCCAAAGAAAATTTTTTTCTCGATTTCACACGACGCGAAATGAATGGAGAAGCTCCACCTCCACCATCTTCCTTGTTCAAAGTTCACATGCATTCGTCATTATGGCAACAAACAATAGAACGCGTGTTGCACACTATGTATGGTTTTCAACACATTCTTTTCCTCCGTTTTATTTTGTTGAAACACTGAGGGGGGAAGATGCCAATCAATACCTTACATATTGGTGCCCCCGACGACCCTAATTGAACATTGCGCCACACCATTTCAATGCGTTTTTCGAGGTTGAGCCATGGCCCAACGAAAGACTTGCGTCATCTCGGCCTCGCCGGAACGCTGCATACAATTCCTTCACCGAGCGAAAAAACCTTCAACATATTGGCGGGATCACAGGTGGACGGAGCCGTCGGGAAGAGCCGCGCTCGATGAATCGAAGGATTATCGAGCCTATCTCTCGTCCATTATCGTGTTATAAACCAGCGTGTCGCATTCCTCGCGCACACCCCCGCCGAATGTAACACTTCATCAACGGACCATTATGTACATCATTTGTTGGTTTTGCGTGATTTATAATGGTCGCGGTGTCACACGATTGGCCCAAATCTCATTTACTCAAATGAGATTTGATTTTTTTTTGTTTTCAATTTTTGATCTACCTCGTTTTTCCCGGTTCAAACTACATCAATTATCGAACATTGTTTGCCTCGTTTTTTAATCATCTCTTATTTTTTATAAATATGACCTTATTTTTAATTTTTCAGGGTCTTAGAGCGCGCGCGCGTGTAAGTTTTTCGAATATTTCAAGCGGATTAGGGAAGCGCATTAAGCAGCAGCGGCAAGCAGCGAGTTGATCTAGAAATGCGGAAAGCACTAGGGATCAAGGTAGTTTTCCTTCATTTTTCACAAACAGTTTTTATCTAATTTCCCATTTTTTTCTGCAGAATGTGAACAATCAGGCGATTGATCAAGAATACGCGGGTCGTAAGATTAATGAAGGTGGCAAGTTGAAGAGGCAGACAGCCACAACGAATCTTCGTCTTGCTGTGACGGTATTTTGACTCAAAGTTGAAGAGTTTTCAATTGCCTTATTTAGAAGCAGGAACACGAGAAGCCGGTCATTTTTGCCGCTCAAGAGGAGTTTGAAGTTTATGAGGATCAAACTCCGACAAAGGAGAATTTGAACAAGTCAAATAATATTCTTCATGAGCTCGAGGAGCGACTTAATCAGAAAAATGTGAGCGTTTCACAAAATTTTCTATAACATTTCTATCAATTTAGGAAAAAGAAAATAGCCTGAAAGGCGATCAGCGCAAACTCAGCGAGCACAAGCGATTCATGGAGACTCGGCACGATTCATCGGAAATCATGTCGGTTTGCGATGAGTCGTCGATTCATCCGCCGTCGGTTTGCGGAACTATCGGATTCGACGATGATGAGATTGATGTACGTCTTTCGAATTAATTGAATTTGTGCATTTCGAGTTAATTTTTTTTAGAAGATTTCTATGCCATCGGCGACGACGTCAATTCGATCGGAGTTCTCGCATTTCACGATGGGCGAAGAGCGATTCGCCGATTCGGACCTTCAGACGAAGTTTACGCGAACATTGGCGGAACGCGAGCGAAAAATTGAGGAAATGTTCGCATGCGAAGAATATTTTGCCGATATTTATAAGTAAGTTTACTATGCAAGTTATAATTGACATTTTCACTATCTAATGACTTGGAATTCAATGAAAATATTCTGCGGACATGCAGCCAAATTTGATATGTGGATTTTGAAATTTTCAGATATATGTGTGACCGACAGACCAAAGTTCGGCCTTCTTCGCGGTACATCGCCAAACAGCCCGACGTTACCGTCGAAATGCGCGCGATTCTTATTGACTGGTTCAACGATGTGACGAATGAATATGGTCTTCAACAGGAGACGCTTCATCTTGCCACATCGCTCGTTGATCGCGTTTTGTCGAAATTCTGCGTTGAGAAGCATCGACTTCAGCTCGTTGGCACCACGGCGCTAATGATTGCTTCGTATGAAACTGGGGTTCTCGAGATTTGTTTAACAATTTTTGGGTTTTAGAAAATATGAGGAGATCTATCCGCCTGAGCTCAAGGATTTCTCGCACATCACTGCTGATACATTCAATGTTAAACAGATTCTCATGATGGAGAAGTATCTTCTCGCACAGCTTGACTATGTCGTCTCGACGCCGACAATCGCCTGGTTCGCATCGTGTTTCGCGAGGAAGCAAGAAGCCAGCAAGTAATTTGTCGAAATTTTGGTTGCATTGTTCTATTTTTTTTCCTAGGCGTACCAAGCACGCAATGGAATATATGGTGGATTTGTCACTTATGGACTATAAAATGTTGGTGTTCCGACCGTCGCATATCGCCGCGGCATGCCTTTGTTTCGCCAACGTGCTCACTGATTGCGCGCCGTGGAGCCGGGAACTCGAGCAGACGACTTCGATGAATATTGAGCAATTTGCTGTGATATTGCCGGAATTGCACAAGTATGACTTTTTTTTTGGTTTTTGGTGATCAGCAGATGTTGGCACATATGGGACCCCCTGGTGGAGCAATTTATATCGTTTAGAGTGCAAATTGATATGTTGGTAGTTAATTTCTCTGATTGCTTAAGATTAACGTTGCAATTTTTGGGGTAAATTAAGTCAATGAAAAACAGTTTAAAGCATTTTGTGTTCGAATTAAAATTTTTTATGATTGAAAGAAATTTTTGTTGAAAATTTGACTTAAACCGGTTTTGAATAGGGGATTCTCGCGAAACGCGAAACCTCAAAATGGTGATTTTCAGGTTGTTCGTTGAAGCCCGCACCAGTGAATATTCATCAATGTTCACGCGATATTCTGATAATATATTCCACGCGGTCTCCCTTCTACCGCCACCGGAACACGTTTACGTGGTGCCGTCGATGGCGATGCGAACGATGCGGCCGGATTGGTTCAAGTAAAAAAGCCATCACTATGTACTTTTTGTCGTGATGCTTGTTGTTGTCTTCCTAAAGATTCGCGAGCATCGCCTCTTAATTTATTATTATAAATACCTGATTGTCTTTCAAAAAGCCAATTTACTTGTTTGATTGTTTCCTTTTTTCCCCACTCTTTCTCTTTTATCCTACTCGAAATGGGTTTATATTGTGTTTGAAACACTCTTGGAGGTCCCTAGACCCCGATATTATATTATTATTATAATTAATTGCCGGCCGAGACCAAAAGTGGCGAAACGTCGTTTTTGTGAATATGCGCGCTACATTGTAAACTGATGACACCATTCAATTCATTCTTTAAATGTTTGTTTCAATTTCTTTGTTTCATTGCAATCCATGTATTATGATCTCACCCAATCATCCGCCGCCACCCAAACAATCATCGCACCAGCCACGAATTGAACTGCAAATTATGCTTGTGGATTGTGCCGCAATTGCGAAAACTCTGATGTATTCATTTGAATTATTATTATTGTTGCTCTCTGTCTCTTTCTCTCTCTTTTGTTTTGCTCTTTTTTCTCTCTTCTCCATTTTCGATTCTATTTATCTCAATATTTATTACATGCACACTAAACAATGGGTTGTTGCCTATTTGCCGCGAAGGTTTTGCATTTCTGAAAATTTGCAGACGGTTTTTATGGTTTTCTTGTCGTTTTCTCGTGATTTGCTCACCGGCGCCGAGCCACGCGAACGCTCCGGGACCCAACTCGCTGAGGTATGGCGCGCAGAGCATGTACCAAGTGCGGCAGTAATGATGGGCCTCGTCGATTTCCTTGACGTTGCACAAATCCTTCATTCGGTCGTACTCGTAGTCACACTGGAAAAGTGTAAAAAATTGGAGTTTAAAGGCGCGTGGACTTTCTAAAGAAATCGAAACTTGTTTTGATCAGATATCAAACATTTTCGTGCGCCTTTAAAGATCAACGTGATGGTTTTGGGTTAAGTGGGTCTCGAGGCGAACGCAGAGTTAAAAGCGCATATAGTCGGCGTCCGGCGGGGTAGATTTACGGGAATGCGTCTTTCGATATGGTCCCGCAAGGACTAACAGGTTGTTTCAAATTTTATGGACCAGTTCGATACTTCTTTTATCGAATGACGTTGGAAATTCAAGGAAATGCGAAACTCGTCAAGAAAAATGAAGCAGTTCACGTGAAAACAGCAAAATAAGCTTTCACGCGTGGCGAGACCTTTTCAAGGCGCATGCGCGTAAATCTACCCGCGTAATGCAGTAGCCGGACGCCGATTATACTACGTGATAAAAATTGTCATGTGCCTTCAGAACTGGTCTTGACGGGAAACAATTGTTTTCGATTCGATTTCAAGACTTACCTTGCATTTTTGAGTGCAATGCGGATGAATTCGAACATCGCAGCTCTGACGGCACGGTGTGATCTCTTGAAGCTGAAAATTGAAGATTTTTCCAGCCGAAAATTGGCGTTGTCAACTTTTTCGAGAATCTCGTCGAATGTCAAATCGCTCGCTTCTTCCTCCATTCGTTTTCGATGCGATTTTTTTCGTTGCTCTTTATTGATTCTGAGAAAATCGAACATTTTTAGATTTTACCAGAAAACTAATTAACAGAAGAGAGTCAAGTTGTCGTCAAATAATTTTCAAATTAATCCGTGGGCACACTGACGCGAAATTGCACACATTACATTTACAGTAATCAGCAAACGGTTCGTTTTTCCTCCCCATTATTCTTAATTTTGAATTTTTTAAATCGCGCGCAATTCCAGAGTACGGTAGCACTAATTCGCATTTGAATTGCCGCCGCGAAATAGTGCGATGTTGCACAATTATGCGAAATGCTCTTTTTTTTGCGACGGCAATATTTCTTCAAAAAGCACATTATTACACGTCGGTTCTCGTCACGCAGGCCTTTTTGTAGCTTGGGCAAAAGTCGCCGATTTTTTCGAGAACGCGCCGATTGCGTTTCAGCTTCTCCGGCGTCCAGATTCCTTTGCAAAAGTAGTGATAGTTGATGTTGAACGCGGCGCAATACTCGCCGACTTCGAGATCGCCGCCCTGAAAAAAAGCAGACACTTATACGCCATTGTACCGCTGGCAGGACGTGCTTCCGTGGCGCAATAGGCAGCGCGTTCGGCTGTTAACCGAAAGGTTGGTGGTTCGAGCCCACCCGGGAGCGAAACGTTTTTGCAAGGATTTTCGACATTTTTCGAAATTTTGCAGACGTCAACGTATGTCGACATAAAAATCGAAAATTTTTCGAAATCACCGATTTCGATTAAATTTGGTATATGTAATTAGGGGCACTTTTTAAGCATTTTCACCAACGGAAATTGTGATTGAATTGATTTTGAGGGAGTTTTGCTGATTTTTCAAAATGAAATTCAAAATTACATTTGTGACTGAAAAAGTTAATTTTTTAATTTGGAATATTTTTTAAAACTCACTAGACTGCAAAAAAAATGAAGAAATGCTCCTGAATGTCCAAAAATCCGAAAAGTGGGTGAAAATTTTGAAAAATTCGCGTTACAGTAATCATTGTTGAAGGCGCACAACATTTTTCAAAAACATTTTTAAGTCTGATTTGAAAAAATTGAAAATTGATATTTTTTTATTCGCAGCGAAAAATGTATTTCAGAATTTTAAATTCAGAAAAATCAAACTCACGGCTACCACAATCTCCTCACTTTCATCGCTATCCTCGGCGAATACGTGTTTTCTAGCGTTTGAAACCGCGAAAATCGCGACGACGAGAAGCGCAAACTTGATCATTACAATTTGGCGAAGACTGACGCGGCAACTAACCTCTTCTGCACTACTCGTGTCCGTTTTAAACTGTTTCTTTTTTTTGTTCCAACAATGGAATTTTGATCGATATCTCTTTGTGTGTGACACCACCCACATTAATTGATTGGTCGGAGATGCGGTCCGCACTTATACGCCTTCGTACAGCTGAGGCGCCGTGCTTCCGTGGCGCAATAGGCAGCGCGTTCGGCTGTTAACCGAAAGGTTGGTGGTTCGAGCCCACCCGGGAGCGAAACGTTTTTGCAAGGATTTTCGACATTTTCGAAATTTTGCGAGTGTCAACGTATGTCGACAAAAAAAAACTGAAAATTTTTCGAAATCACCGATTTTGTTGAAATTTGGTATATGTAATTAGGGGCATTTCTTAAGCATTTTCACCAACCGAAATTGCGATTGAATTGATTTTGAAGGAGTTATGCTGATTTTTCAATAAAAAACTAGAAAATCGGTCTTAGTTGTTATGTTTGTGAAAAAGTAGAAAAAAAAGTAAATGTTTCAATTTGGAATAGTTTTTAAAAACCACTAGACAACAAAAAAACTCAAAAAAATGCTCCGGAATGGCATTAAAAGCGAAAAACTGGTGGAAATTTAAATAATTCGTGCTACAGTAATCATTGTTGAAGGCGCACAGCATTATTTTTTAACAATTTCAAGTCTGATTTGAAAAAAAATTAAATGCTGATTTTATTTGAATTTTGATTAAAAAAAAACTCGCGAAATTGTGAGGAATTTTTTTTGATAAGCTGAATTCGTCAAATCGCATTAATTCAAAATTTGAAGCGCCAAAAACAAAATTTCGAGAAAAAAACGAAAACCGAAAAATAATAGAAGAAAAAATAAAACGAATTGCGTGAAATCGAAATTCGAACATTCGGCCAGTTTCTAATCGCAACTCATCGAGCGATGACGACGATGAATAAAATGGAACCGGGGGAGATTATCAAAAGGGTCAAAAATGATTATGTGTAAGAACGCGTGCGGATGTTCGCGGACTACTGATGTCCATTTCGTTTCAAGGTACAAGGTGAAAGAGCTTCTCGGCGCCGGCGGCTACGGTTGTGTGTACAAAGTGCAACAGGCGAGAGAGGACGGCACGATTCTGAGCAACTCGAAGGTCACCTCGAAAATTTTTTCTCTCTGAAAGCCCAACATTCCGATTCGCGATTTTTAGCTGTTCGCGATGAAAACCGAAATGGCGAACGCCGCGAAGCACTCGAGTCGCTTGAAAATCGAGAAGCTCGTCATGTCCGAATATGGCAAAGCCGATGCGCAATACCGCGAGCATTTTCCCGAGCTCATCGAGCACGGAATGACGCCGAATTTCAAAGTTTTCAACAATTTTTTGCCTTGTTTCTCTCAATCATGATTTCAGTGGATCGTGATGAGTCTCGTCGGATGCTCGTTGGAATGTTTGAAGAAGAATGGGTTCTCAATGTCGACGGCGCTTCAATGCGGCCTTCAGACGTTGAAAGTGGGTGTCTTATCGGTTTTCAAGTTTCATTTCAATTATATTCGCCACAATTTTTTTTTCCCCAAAAATTGAATCGAATTGAAATGAGCAAGAGAGATAGAGTGTGCAGAATGCGGAGAGCGCAGAGACGAGGCGAGAGAGTGTGCAGATTGCGGAGAGTCGCAGAAGTGAGGCGAGAGAGTGCGCGACGCGCGGAGAGTCGCAGACGATCAGACGAAAGTAAGGCCCAAATAGGCGCTGACAAGGGAAGTCATTTTAGCTCCCGTCTTAGGATTTTTTGTAATTTTGCACACGTAAACTATAAGGTATTTTGAGTGTGCTCACAAAATTCCAGCCTGCACTGGGGGGTTACAGGCGAGTTATGGTCATCTGAAAATTCAAGGTGTTTTTCCATTGTCAGCAACTATTTGGGCAAGGGGTTACGCATACGCCTCTTGGTGCCCCAATTTGGCATCCAGGGGAAGTGAAGTGGTATGTGTGCGGGGCAGTGACTTTATGATGAAGGTTCGCACCCGACTCACGCATTTTTTGTTTTTTTTCTTTTTGCCACAGAAAATTCCGCTGCAAATTGGTTTCAAACGCATAATTTCATGTAAAAGTGTCGTTTCAACATTATTTATTATTTTTTTTGCATTTTACAGTTTTTCGTTTTTTTCAAAAATTTCCTGAACTCTATTATTTTCCACTTTATTGTTTTGTTCTTGGAGTGGATGGAAAGGAATGGATGGTCTGCAAGGACACGAATACAACTCCAACATTTCGAAGGTTCTATTCCAACTGGATATACGGGATTTGTGGAATCATTCGATGTTGGAGTGTTCGGAGGGTCCAAAAAAGTTATCTAATCCATTGGAGAATACGTCCACTTTTGGCAACATTCATTCAAGGTCCACAAGCGAAAGTCGATTCTTTTGGTAAAAACCAGTAATGAAAATGTTATAACATTATTTTCTTACACATTCTTTACGTCGTGTACAGGAAATTGTGTTATCCGAAATTTCAAGATTGGATCAAGCATACATACAGGGTGTCATTTAAGTTCCCGCACAAAAGTTTGACGCCATGAAGAGATTGACTGTCGCACTTTTTGTGCACCAATACAATTTATTTTTGTTAAATAAGGTGTATTTTACTTATTTCCCAAGTTTCACCTCATTCGGATGTGTTTCCGAGAAATGGCGAAGGCTAACATCCATCGCGCTTCCATTATCGAACTTCATAAGCAAAATGTGAGCCCGAGAGACATCATTCAACGGGTCGGTGTGCTTCGTAGAACGGTTTGCGACACCATCAAACGATTCAAGTAGCTAAATACGACCAGTGTCCGTCCCAGACAAGGAAGACTCGTCTCAGTAACCACTCCTCAGAAGATCAACGCCGTTAAATCGAGGATCAGGCGAAACCCACACAGGAGCATGGGAAAGATAGCGTCAGACATGGGAATGAGCATCTTTGCTATGGAACAAATCGTCAAAACAAAGCTTGTACTGACCCCATATCGTGTCCAAAAAGCGGCAATTCTATCGGCCGTCAACAAGCAGAGACGCTTCGAAAAAGCAAAACAACTTCTTGCTCGCACGCGGTCTGGACAACACCTCGTCACTGTCTTCTCCGACGAGAAGCTGTTCAGTGTGGAGGCGGCATTCAACTCACAAAACCATTGAGTACTTGGCCAAACATCCCAGCAAGCTTCTGAGAAAGGAAGAACATATCATCCAGCCTCACATCCTGCCAGTGTGATGGCTTTTGGTGCCATCTGCTCAACCGGGAAGTGCTACCTGGTTTTCGTGGATCAGATGGTGAAAATGAACAAAGAAGTCTACGTTCGGGACATTTTGGAGAAGCATGTGATGCCCTGGACCCAAACGCATTTCGGTGGGCAGAAATGGGTCTTTCAACAGGACGGAGCACCCGCATACACTGCCAAAACTACTCAGGAGTGGTGCCAGACCCATTTTCCCGACTTTATCAAGTCATCCGAATGGCCTGATTGCTCCCCAGACCTGAACCCGCTTGACTTTTCCGTGATGGGGTCTTGCAGGAGAAGGTCAACGCAAAACCCAACTCAAGTGTAGAGGCTCTGAAGAAGACATTACTGGCGGAATGGGACAATCTTTCCATCGAATACCTGCGTACCACAGTCGAATTCTACCCGAAGCGTCTCCGTGAAGTCATAGCTGCGAAAAGAGGCCGAATCAAAAAGAGTTAATAGATAAATATTTGTTATACTATAGATAAAAAATATTTCGAGTCTCGTTTGATTTGGACTTTTAGTTTCAGAAATGTACGTCTACAAAGTTGTGCGGGAACTTAAATGACACCCTGTAGTTGGGCTGCGAGTGGATATAATGTTTCACGGCCTCCACCATTCCTCACTCCAGCGCAGAAACTCTTTTCGAGAGACGTTGCCAGAGAATGACAAACCCCAGAATGTAGCAATATATTGATATAACTCATTTATTCGTTTTTTGTATTTTGAGAAATTCTTTTGTTTCGAACTCATGATTATTAACAATCACATGAACTGTTGGTTGCCTGGCCCACTGCTGACCTGGTGTTGCAAAATAAACTCCGAAAAAGAGTAAATTGTTAAATATGAAAAAAAAATGAAATTATGCGTTTGAACGATCAGAAGTGAGTTTTCGACATCCAATTCGACATCCACTCCAAGAACAAAACAATAAAGTGGAAAATAATAGAGTTCAGGAAATTTTTGAAAAAAAACAAAAAACTGTAAAATGCAAAAAAAATAATAAATAATGTTGAAACGACACTTTTACATGAAATTATGCGTTTGAAACCAATTTGCAGCGGAATTTTCTGTGGCAAAAAGAAAAAAAACAAAAAATGCGTGAGTCGGGTGCGAACCTTCATCATAAAGTCACTGCCCCGCACACATACCACTTCACTTCCCCTGGATGCCAAATTGGGGCACCAAGAGGCGTATGCGTAACCCCTTGCCCAAATAGTTGCTGACAATGGAAAAACACCTTGAATTTTCAGATGACCATAACTCGCCTGTAACCCCCCAGTGCAGGCTGGAATTTTGTGAGCACACTCAAAATACCTTATAGTTTACGTGTGCAAAATTACAAAAAATCCTAAGACGGGAGCTAAAATGACTTCCCTTGTGAGAATTCGACGCTATTTGGGTCTCGCGGCGAAATTTAAGTTTTTTGAAAATAGTTATTATTGTTCTCTTCGAAAAGGAAAATATTGTGTGCTTACGAACCATTTTCACATTTTTTTAGAGCGGCAATTCAAATTTCGATTTAAACTGTGGGAATTCGTGCATTAGCCTGCAAAACAATTCGATTTTAAGTAATCCAGGGTGTCTTTTGGTTGTGCGCCTTTAAATGTCTACAGTAATATTTGAGTAGGAGTATCTGGTGATTGTAGGCAATAGAAAAATGGAATTTTTTGAACGGCCCCCTCAAAAAACAAATGGCGAGGCGATAATTAATTAAAAAATGAGTGTTTTATTGTTTTTCTCGATTTTTAAATGTCTCATTTCGATGAGAGATTCAGGCGATCCGCGATTTTCATCTCATCGGCTTCCTTCATCGCGACATCAAGCCGGGAAATTTTTGCGCCGGATTCGAGTCGAAAAACGACATCATCTACATGCTCGATTTTGGTCTCGCGCGGAAATACAAAAAGAAGGACGGCACATTGCGGGTAGGCCAACAGACAAAAAAACGAAACGAAACGAAAAACCCGGCGTTTCGCCTCTTTCAGCCGCCGAGACCGCGCACCAAAATGGTGGGCACGCCGAGATATTGCTCGCGCGCGTCGCACCTCAAACAGGACCTCGCGCGAAAAGACGACTACGAGAGCTGGTTTTTCATGGTCCGTCGAAAACGAACGGCGCCCCAGGCCGTCGACAATTTATTTTCAGCTGCTCGACTTCATCGACGTCGAACGCGGCATCCAATGGCGCGGCAAACCGAGAGAGCAGGCGTTCGAGTTGAAGCAGAAGCTGTTCGACGATCCCGCGTATGGTATATATAATCGGAAAACAAAAAAAAAAGGTTGATTTTTGAATGCGCGATTCTTTTTTTTTCAGTCGCCACCGTCTCGCCGCTGATTCCGCCGAGTTTCAACGTGATGACGCTCTACTTGAATGAGCTCGACTACAATTCAGACGTCGAATTTGGGTTTGAATTATTAGTTTGGAGACTTCCATTCGGGCAGCGCATTGGGTCTCGAATGGAAGAAAACCGTCTTCCTTTGGAGGGGGGGTCCTAGATTTTAAAAAATGAATTTTGAGCGACCTTGGCAAAAAATCTAATTAAATGACGGATTATTAGGGGTCCGATTGAATTGAAGAAAATTTCCAAATTTAAACGTCCGAAGCGGAAACAGAAAAAATTGTTGAGTCTCACGGTGGAATTTTGTTTTGATCTATTTTTAAATATTTACAAATTAAATTATTTTTCATATTTGAAAAAAGAAATCGGCAAATTAATTTTTTAAAAAATTGCTGATAAATTGAATTTGCGCGGCCGTGAAATGCGCGATGGCCTAACATTTCGCGGCCGCCGGAATCGAAGGGTTTTGTGGTGTCGCAAGAGAATCGCATGTGTGCAGTTTCAGAATTTTTCGCGAGACGATCACCGATTTCGCGCGAACCCTCAAAATCACGCTGAAAGAGCCGCTCGACTGGACGACGCAGGCGGCGACGGCGCCGAAACCCCAAATATCGGTGTCGCGCATTCAGAACATCAAGTCGGGTCTCGGCGAGAAGTCGAAAAACAACACGCAGGTCCGCACAAGTTGATGTGTCGTCATCAATACATACATATATATATGATTTTTTTTCATTTTTTGTTTTCTCGTGATTCTAGTCGCGAGATGATTCGATGCACACCGAGGATGACTATGACAGTTCGATGGAGCGACGCGCGACGTTGACGAAGAGCAAGATGTCGAACACGAAGAGGTTGATGCCCCGATTTTATTTAGTCAACCAAATAGAATGACAAAAAAATGAGGGAAACGCGAGCTTTTATGGTGCCCTGGGGATCATACTACAGACAATAGAGATATATAAGAGACGCAGAGAAAAAATGGTGCGAAAAATATAGATAGTGAGAGAGTGAGAGGGTGCTATACGACGAGACATTTCTATAGGGCACGTTTGGTGGGACTACAACAGTCTCAATTAATTTGTTCTAATTAGCCGAGCTAATTGAATTCAATTATTAAATGCTATTCGCGACGAGACCATTTATTAGAAGCGACGGCGATTTTTTTGAATTTTCGGGGGTATTTTTTGGCGAATCTCTCCCAAATCGCCGCGAGACCCCTCAAATTACGGTATGCGCCTTTTTGGGCGAATGACACCGTAAATACACATTGTCAACTCTCTCTCTCTCTCTCGTCGTTTTTTGTTTTCGCCGCTGGGTCCCGACGCGATTTTATGAGACGGCTCAAAATTCTCGCGCTATTCCCCGTAGGTGTCTGATTTTAAAGAGGCGATCGCATCGCGTATATCGACAACCGATTCGCGACGAGACCTTCCACACCAACTTGACGTCGACATCTTATTTTCAGAGCGTCGATTCGCGTGCGCAAAAGTCGCCGAGCGCGCAAGACGGCGAGCACGACGACAGCCCAAACCAACAGCACCCATTAGACGACGACGGCGACGACAATCATATTCAGTATTTCTGTTCAACTAGTTTCATTATCAAAATATCATTGTCAAATACTCAAAATGGAGAAATCGAGTTCGAAGAATAAACACAAATTTGAAAGAATCGATTCATTTGCAAAAATTATGTGCAAAAAAAAAGAAACAATACAACCAATACGCCAAGGTGTTATTAAATATTGCTTATTATAGAAAATAGAAAATAGCCACAAAAATATCAAATAAACCCAATAATAGGAAGCAAGGGAAGAAGAAAAGAATATGGGATGTGGGATGGGGGGCATTGGGGGGAGAGACTTCAAACACCCGAATGGTAACACGAATCATGAGAAAATAGTAAGTTCCAGCTTATTATCATAATCGTATATGAAGAATTATTAGTTTTTCTTTTAAAGAAAAAAAATCGATGGGTGAGTAGAACAATTGAATAGGCTTACACGTTCAGTTTTAAAACATTAATTATCGGTTTTCGTTCAATTACAGCACGGGTATCAATAAAAAGACTTATTTTTTTTTTGGTTTTGAGCAATCTTCTCTCTCAGAAATATGGCATATTCGACTGCATTTGCTGTGTGTAGCTCTGATCATACAGCGAGCTGAATCCTGGCATCTTCTGATATGGCGGTGAGTTGCCGTACCACATTCCGGCTGGCTGAAAACCAATAAATTATTAAAGTGTGAAGACAAATTGGAAAAATTATGATTTTTTTTTAGCTTTCCTACTTTTCTATTAAAAAAATGAATATTAAATTTTTAGTCAACCATTTTTGAAACCACTTCACTTACCATATCCATATCTTGCGGATGATATTCCGGACTCGAATCCGTTTTGATCATATTCGACGCCGTCGATCCATTCGATTGCGGATTGTTGTAGCCGCCAGAGGTGTTGGCGAATTGCGATGTCGGCGACGTCGGATATTGCAACGCCGTCGGCGTTGTCCGCGTGAGAAAATTTTGAGGCGACGGCGTTGAGATGGATCCATCGGAAGGCGGCGGCGTCATGTGGAGCGTCGAGTCACGCGACGACGACGACGACGTCTGATAGCCCTTGCGCGACGCGCTCCTCTTCACCGCCTTGATTGTCGGCCGACCTTTGACGGGTTTGCCGCTCATTTGAAGATGATAGCGACTCGCATCCGCCATTTCCTTCTCAATCGTCGCGTGGTCGATGATCTCCACCACAGGATAGTGGTGTTGAGCTTCAGCCAGTTGGCGCGCAGTTTTGTCCTGAAACATAGGAATTTTTAAATGAACTTGCATGAAAAAACAATCGCTACCAATTGATCAGTTGTGTCCAAACTGGCATTTTGGGAAACCAGAAATTGCACAACGTGCGCATGTCCCTCCTTGGCGGCGAGCATCAACGGCGTCTGTCCGGCTTCATCCTGCTTATCCTTATTGGCATTCTGCGACACGAGGAACTCGACCATCTTGATGTTGCCGTGAAGAGCGGCATAATGAAGAGCGGTTCGTCCGCGATACACTTCCGAGTCCTTCCGCGAAGCACCATCATTCTCAATTTTCGCTCCACAACTGATGAGGAATTTGGCGATTTGAGTATCATGGTCCGATCCGGCGACTTCCATCAGTGCACTTTTCCCATTCCTATCAAGCTCGTCAATCTGCAAACATTCAAATCGATGAATTGCGATTCGGCTAATGGCCAGGTTCTCACCTCTAGAACAAGCCGCCGATCGGTCAACAACAATTGCATCATTCGATAGTCCAAGTTCACAGCGGCTTCATGCAAAGCGCTTCGCTCGCTCGAATTGAATATTGTCGGATCGGCGCCGGCGTGCATCAGCACCAACGCGAGACGAGTGCGCTTTGAACGCACCGCCAACATTAGCGGCGTGTTCTCGTCGCAATCGCGCGCGTTCACATCGGCGCCCATTCGAATGCATTGCTCCGATTCATCGACAATCAATTCCTCGGCTTTTCCCGAATTGTTGGCGGCGAGCCAATGGAGACAACACCGACGGTATTTCGCATCCGGCTCGTTGACGTTCTCCGGCGTCAGCACGGTTTGAATTGCGCCGGAACCAGCGGCTTCAAGCAGAAGAAGGGGCGGGTTCGGATTGACTTCCGTTTGAACTATGCTGTTCTGAAAAAAAATTTCTAAGAAGCCCATCGAACCCGGAAATCTTACATCAGAATTTCCATAGCCACCATATTCGGCGTCAAAATTCGGAACATAGGTATTCTGACGATATGGCGTCGTGTTCGAATTGAACGCCTGCCCATTGATCACACTATATCCCATACTATCGACTCGTCTTCTCTTCGGATCCAAGTGCGCCGAACCGAGAAGCGAATTCTGGCTCAACGAGAGCGGATTCTTTCGTACTGCAATTAATTATATCATAGTTAAAAAATGCTCTAGACGACTTGCTACTTTTCTCACTTTCTTGTTCCGTCGGCGGCATCCAAACCGGCGCCGAAATGATTCGACGCTTTCTGCTGCGATTCTCGTCGCGGATTGTTATGACGCCAGCAATGATAACAGCAAAGACAACGAAACCAATGATTGTCATGATCAACGAGTTGACGATGTTCGTGGTGCCACCGCTTCGCGACGGCTTAGCCACCATCGCTTCATAGATCGGAACGCCGAGAACATCAACCTTCTTTGTGATTTGCGCGGAAAGGTAGTCGACAACACTTTGCGAGTTCGAGAACAAACACGACGCTCTTTCCGATGTCGTCTTGCATTGCTCGCCAGCCGATTCATCGCTGACCTCAACTTCCAGCCATACCATCACACCCTTCTTCGCGCTTCTGCGACTTCTCCTCTTGATCACTTTGCTCAGCACATTCTGATTTTTCAACGTCTCGACGTTCATCTGGATTCGACCTCCTTCAACATCGCCCAACTCCTCATCCCATTCGAACACCAACGGTCCTTCTTTGTCTCGTTGAATTCGGATGACCGATCGTAGTGCGGCGCTGGCTTTCATGAGAAATTCGCCGCCATTCTTTTGAAACTCGCTCGGCGACATTCGAATCTTCACACGAATATCGGAAAGCAGTTTGGTGGCGGTTTTCGAATCACAATCGCCTCCATCATATCCACAACCTTCAGTGTTGCACTCCAAATCGCATTTTCCGTTGGCGAATCGCTCCGCGCAACTCTCACGAATTGCGACCGGACATCTCGGCACCACCGGCATGCAGTCCATTCCGTCGTAGAGGCAATCCTCATTGTTGCAGACAGCATCGCAGATACCATTCGCGAACAACGCGGCGCACATGTTTCCATAGCGGCACTTCGCGAACGGCTTCTGTTTTCCGCTACAATCGCCGCCATCGAAATCGCACGCAGCAAAATTGCAATCCTCATCGCAATTGCCGTCATTTGCTCGAGATGAGCAATTTCGGTTCGCGCACATTTCTCGAAGAAGTCTAGAATGAAAAAAAAAAACCAAAAATACAATTGACATTTCGACAAATTCCAATACCTATCCATGGAATTATAATGCTCAACATTGAGTTTTTGCTCACAATTCACACCGGCATATCCATAAGGGCATTCGCATTTCGTCGACACTCCATCGTCCACACAAACGCCTTTATTGCAATTCCTGTAAAAAAACACACCCTCACATCAGTTTCCCATGCTTACTCATCAAAACGTTTAAAAGGGGGGAGAGGAGCGCAACACATACAACGCGTACACAATAGGAAATAAAACATTGCGCAAACCTTGAAGCGCAGTCGATTCTTGCGATTGTCTCACAATTCGCGCCCACGTATCCCGGCGGACATTTGCACGTGTAGCCGCGCGCCGTCAACGACGTCTTCTGACATTTGCCGCCGTTGTAGCACGGCTTCGTTGTGCACACGTCTAGAAAAAAAGAGCATGTAAATATCATAATTCAAAAGGCATGATGATGAATTACCAATTTTCTTCTCGCAAATATTTCCCTCGTATCCGTCTTTGCACATGCACACATATCCAATGCTATGATCCAAATTGACACAAGTCGCATTGTTCAAGCACGGCTCGGTCGCGCAGATGTCGGTCTCCCGATGAAGTTGGATTCTCGAAAGTTCACATCGATCGCCGGTGTAGTTCGCATGGCAAATGCAGAAGCCGCCGGCGCACACGCCGCCGTTCAGACACTTGGCAAGATTCGGACCGCATACTTTGTCTTCGAGATGGATATTGCAGCGAAGGCCACCGTAGCCTTCCGGGCATTTCGTCTCGCAATGCTTCCCAATGTAACCTGAAATTTATTAATTCAATTAATTTCAAAGAGTTGAGGGATTGCCCAACCTTGTTCGCATTGACACAGCGGCTCTCGGAACGGTCCAGCGAAACATGTGCCGCCATTCTGACATTCAAACTCCTCGTCCTCGCAAACATGCACAATCTGCTCGCATTGTGTTCCATTGAATCCGCGCGGGCATTCGCATTTAAAATTTCCCGGCATGTCGACACATTTTCCACCGTGATAGCATACTTCACCATACATTTTGCATTCATCCAGATCAATTTCGCATCGTTCGCCCTCGAATCCGCGATCGCACGTGCACACAAAATCGCCAGTCTCCGGCATTCCGGTGCAGATTCCTCGATCATGGCACAACGAGGGATCGGCGATGCACGGATTGACTTTGTCGCAATACGCGCCCATTTTGCCGTGCTCGCATTCGCACGTGTACGTCGATGGTCCGTCGACGCATTTCGAGCCCGGCGCACATTTATGGCCGACGCAATCGTCGATGTTGTTCTCGCAAAATTTGCCGTCGTAGCCGCTTCGGCAGAAGCACTCGAAATCGCCGTGCGAGTTGACGCAAGTCGCGCCGTTCTCGCACGGATTGTACGCGCATTCATCAATGTCCTTCTCGCAAATCTCACCTGCAACACGAACGACGCTCAATTAATGGACTTCCTTGAAACGATGCTTACCTTCGAATCCCGGTGCGCACTCGCATCGCGTCTTGTTCGGCGCGTAGGTGACACACACTCCCTGATTCTCGCACTCATATCCGTAGCCATCGGGCAATTCCGGAAAAAATGCGACAACACACGGATTATTTTCAGTAACATATTGCGATTCGCTTTCGGCATCCTCAAGAACGGCGCACTTCGGATTCGTGAAGCCCTTCTCGCATTCGCATTGATACGATCCATACTAAAATTGGGCAATTATATTCAGCGCAACAAAACTTTTTCTTTGCGGCGTTGTTTTGGTTTTTTTTGCGCTGCCGCCACCGCCGCCCCGCGACTACCGTAGTCAATTTGTGACGTCGGCGAGCGGCGCACCGATTACGGTAGTTGGTGGGAAAATTGAGGCGCCGATGGCGAGGTTTCGTGTTTTATTATCTTCTCGCCCTCGCCGAGGCAACCAAACACATGAGAGTTAATCGAATTTGACGAGACGGACGCTCGCACAAAAAAAAAAAAACAATGTGCTTGGGAAACAACGACAAAAAACACAGACGTACCAAGTTGAAGCATTTGCCATTGTTGCAAAAATCGGGCACCGAACATTCGTCGAAATCGAGCTCACATCGTTGGCCGGTGTATTCACGACGACACACGCAGTGCGCCGAATCGCCGCTTCCGACGCACTTGCCACCATGGAGGCATTCGTCCGGATAGCACCATCCTTGAATCGAACAATCCGCTCCTGAAACTCACAATTCGCATAGGCAGCCCCCTCGAATCGAATTTCATTACAAATACCGACGGAGACAAAAAAACCATGAGTGACCTTTTATGGTCTCGCCGCCTCTATTTGACATTCCCATACAGTTGTTTGTCATCATAAATTATCAGTTACATGGTTACAGTAGTTGTAAACCCGTGGGAATCAGGAAACCCCTCACTTGTTCTTGGTTTCAGTAGCTCGACACCTTGTTTTCTTCCATTAACGGCCTCTCTCGCACATATATCAAGTTTGCCAAGTGATCCATTGCATAATCCTGCTGTCGGATTAGCACTCAAGGAACAGTAACAAATACATACATACACACGGACAAGTTTGATCGATGTATTTGAGTCAAAACGAATCCAAATAGGTCATTAATGGTGTAACAACAAGGTGTCGAACGCCACATCATCGCCAAATCACCCGGAAATGTTGGTTTTCTTTTTCAAATTTCCGCCTACAGTAACCCTCATTGCCACCCGAAATCGTGACACCCGAATAATAAGTGCAATTACCTCCGAATCCCGTTGGACAATGAGCAGTTCGATTTCCATATTTGTCGCAATCTGAAAAAAAAAGAATACCCCAACATTAGCAAGAGAGGATCACGCGAAGATCTCGGCGGGCGTGTTTCCCACGGTTGCCACAAGCCCAGGTGTTCTGTATTCAATGCGATGGCGCGCGCACGCATCGACGCACAGCGGGGGGAAGTTTCAAAAGGCGAAAATATTGAAATGTAAAGGGGCAACAGTTGTTGGTGTTGCTGGTTGGTGGCGCGATATATGAATGTATTTGGATGATGGGCAGCCAAACGCAAACAAAACGAGTACGGCATCGGCTAACTCGCAAGACGTATTCGAAATTTGCACTTTTTGTGTCGTCTTTCGTTTGAAACAATTGCAACAAATGCGACACAGGTGCGCACGCGCGGTAGGGAAACTTTTGAAGTTTTCCGTGCCCTCCGCAAGATTTTTAAATTAAAAAGGCCACTCCTACAGTAATCGTCGGCGTTCCCTCAAAAGTATCATTATCGCAACAGCAGCACCAGCAGCAACAACCGTGACCATCATCAGCGCCGAAAAAAAAAAGTTTTGGTGTCCGTCTCGTCGGCGCCACCATTTAATTGTCGTCGCCCATTTTTTCGAGGCGATTCCATGGGAATTCGTCGCCATAAATTCGGACAAAAATGGCGAAAAATGATAAGCGCAATCGAATCGGAATCGTCATTTATCAAGTTGACTGAGTCGGTTCACACAAAGAATCGGAGGTCCGGACGGGCGCCAAACGCCAATTTGTCTCCTTTTAGCACGTCGCCAAAGAAATATTGGGCATTTTGTCGCGTGCGCGAGGGTCACAACTGAATGGAATCGAACAGGAGTTGATTGAAATTTCGCCTCAGCCCCCCCCCCTTTACCCCAACGAAAAAAATATGTATATTTGAAATTCAACACCCCTGGCTAGCCGGTATGGTGTATGGTGCCGACAAAAGGTGGCGACCGATGATGGATTGGATGTGCAGATGACGATATTCGAAACAAAACTAAATTCGTCTTGTTTCAAACGCATTTTTTCTGGACGTAAAAACGACTATGTAGTGGCAAAAAAATGAATGATGGGTCACTAGTAATCCCCACGAGACCCGACAAAAAAACCTACAACTGACCACTCGATGGGAAACCAACGAATGAATGGAAAACAAGGAAACTATTTGAAGAAAAAATTTTTTTTTTTGATTGTGTTTGCCGAGCATGAATCACAACGATGATTATTTGGCTGGTGTAAATGTCGTCGAGTCGATGATGAGCACCACCTCCTGGTGGTACCCATTCCAACCCATCCCCCCCCTCAAACCACATATTGTCGAGCATTTCGCGCAATGTGCAGCACCAGATTAATGGGCCAATTTCAAGGTGTTCAATCATTCACAAAAGTTGTCAATCGTCGTCGCATATGTGGGAAATCAGCGAGCCGTTCGGAAATGCTTCGAAACGAAAGCGAACCTTTGCAGACGCACGTCGGTCGTTGAGCAATGTCGAAAATGCACTTGTGGTGCGGCTCGCAACTCAAATCGCACTTCTTCTCGCAATGATCACCACCGTAGCCTTCTTCGCATCTGAAACTTGCCGTATTAATCCGACATCTTTTTCAAAGGAGGGCCGTCGAGGTGCCGTTGGGAAACGGATTAGCTCATCATCACTCCCTACTGGTTTTTTTCTGGTCTTTTTTTTTATTGTGCTCTTCTCACAAGCGTTTGTCGGCAACTGATGACATCAGAAAAAAAAGGCACGCGAAAGTTTTTTATTGGTGGCGGACCGGTTAGCGGGCCTAGTTGGGAACGCTTGTAAATTTCGTGATTAACACAGACACACACACACACTGCCGCAATCAGCCATTTTTGGCATTTTTATCGGCCGAATCTCGATTCTCCCAGGCAATAATTAACTGAAGCCAGTCGTTTTTCTCCCCCCCCCCCCGTTCCCTCTCGCAATCGTTCTTTCCTATTTCGTGATCGGGTCGCGCATCTCATTAACCAATGCGGAAAACCCACACTCGTTGAGAAAATGGTGACATCTTCTAAATCGCTAGTTTATTGCATGGGAACACCTACCGAGAAAAAAACGACTGCCCCCCCCATCCCATTCCCCCCGGGGAAAAACATACCTGCACCAAAATTCGTCGCCATTCTTCGGATTGCGATACTCGCAGAATCCATGCTCACCGCATAGCTTGTTCTCGAAACAATCGCCGTTGAGAAATTTCGCGTCGATCGTGTCGAATCCCAAATAAGCCAATAATATGAATAATATCGCTAGAAAACTCCTTCCGCGCATGTTTGTTTCCCCCTCTGTTTTAAACGCTTTGGCACATGAAATCTCCTGCAAAATGAAGAATGGCTAGTGCGAGAACAATAGCGACGCAATATCGCACCTATTGTGTGGGATAAGTTATTATATTAATCAAGATATAATCAATTGAGAATAATGGAGTAAAATGGAATTCAAAAGATGCAAAAAAAAAAGAAAACAAATGATTTGAAATATGGGCACAACAGAACCAAGTGTGACAACACTTTCTTGCAATAGGCGAGGAGGAGGGCAGCGGAGGGGGCTGGCCGGACACCGCAGATTCATTCGTCGTGTTGCGCCTCGACTCCGCCCCCATTCTTCGACGCTGCTGATATTGACACAATGGTGGATGGAACAGCCGTTTTTTTCTCGAGATGAATAGAGTTTTGGACACTAAATTAGATTAGTCGACGTAAAATTCGAATATTTCGACCAGCGTTTTTGTTTACCAACGGATTCGATTGAAAATTTCAATATATCGATGACATTTAGAATGTTATGTCATCGACATAACGCTTCTATATCATATTGCGGGTTTCTGTGGGCAAGTTAATTGAAAAAAGAGAATGTTGAATTTGATAGACGAATTCATTATAAATAATGACGCTTTAAGAATAACAATGTTTTAGATAGGAAAATCGACAAAAAAAATAAATTTTAAAAGATGAAAGCGAAAAAATCGAGAATTATTATTTTGCGAAAGCGAAAAAGTTTCAATAACTTTTTTTTCTGTCGACCGCATGATGGAAACGTCGTTGGCGCATTAGAAATATGGCAATAATCGAGTTTTTTTTTGGAAATCATTTGAAAAATTTGCGATGGGACCAAAAAATGCAAGAAACCCCGTGAAAATCCCAAAATTAGAGATCTCCCGCAAGCAACCGATTTCACGACAAATTGCACACTTCCTCAGTCTACAGTATCACCCTCATTATTAAATATTCCATTTCAACTTCATTATTTGCATGTAAATATTTTACAGACGCGTTTCTGGCATTCATCTCGAAACTTACAAGCAAACAAGTATTGTAAACGTCACTACATAAACACGATGAAGCGGAAAAGATGGAATGAAAGACGAAAATGTGGGGGGCGACGCGCCAGAAAAAAAAATTACAAAATTGAAATCCATCAGGAAGGGTCAGACAAAAAAAATGGTTTTATCACTAAAATAATAACATAAATCAAAAAAGGCGATGTTGCACAATTGAGCGCGCGGCACGCGTTGTCTGATAAGATAATTATTGTAATCCGGACGACTCGCGCGCGCGCGACCTTTCAACGGGCCGATGATGATGATGCCCAAATAAGGAACAACGCGCACTATTTCAAAATAGCGATTGAAAAGGTGTTCAAATTTCCCAGACAATAAATCAGCGATTAGCTGGCTAGGAAAAAAAAACACAAACGAATGTCGGTCAGTTCAGTATTGCCGCAAATGAGATGCGCGACACCATCCAGCCAGCGGTGGTCTTGAAAAGAACCAACTCCGGTGCACCCAATAATATATTGCCTGAGAATCTCTGTAATAAAAATGACAAAGAAAAAGGGATGATGGTGTTAATCGAGAAATTTACAAGTTGCGCAAAAAACAAAAATAGTGATGCGCTACCAATAAAATCGGGTGCCGCCGATTGCTGATATCATCACTTTTAGGTGCGAAGAGCAGCCTGACCATATTGCGTTCTATTCCCAAATTTGGACTCTCTCATTCCCTATTTTCTCTGAATTTCAGAATTTGAGTTCAAAATTTTGAACTGAACTTTGGAATTGGCCAATTTTTCTTTTTTGTTGAATTTTTCACAACGAAAATGCTATATTATCTGCTAACTCATTCAATTTCCACTTTCCGTATCGATCGGTGTTTAAGAAATTATTTGATTGACGACTTAAGCCGGCAATTAGTAAAAATTTTAACGTTTCATTTATTGAAGAAATTTAAAAATTCAAATTTTTTAAATCGACAGAGAAATTCACACATTGTCTGCATTTGTGCGCCACGGTGATTGCAGACAATTCAGATTGCGATGATGACCCCTACTTGTCATTTAAATCGCGCAAACAAAGCGCGAAACCCCATAATTATGCGCGGATTAATATAATAAACGATGGTCTACCGTATCCCTCGCCAACTTCACCCTCACCATATGGTGTCGGTCTTCCTAATGAATTCGCTTGTTGCGCCACCTCCCGCAACGAATACAACAATACTGATAATATCTGCCGACAATTTCCGGGCTCTCAATTTATTTCCATTGAATACACGTCAAGAACGAAACGAAACGCAACAATCTAACAATAAGGTAACAATCTAATATACAATAATGAATATAATTAATTAATTAAGCAATCGTGTACGGTTTCGGCTTCACCAAATATCTAAACGAGCGTTTCGCCAACGAGCCTCTCGAGAATTTGTGCCTAAAATCGCGCGCACAATTTTTTTTTGCGTGACGAGTCTCGCGACATACCGTAATTTCTTCGTGTAGCTTTTCCCAACAACCGGATCAATCTCTTTTCGATATCTCAACACCGCCTCAATAATATTCGCCGGGTCGTCGGCGACTTCAGACGGCTGCTCCAAACTAGTGTTCGTTCTAAACCATCCAAACAAGGAATGTGCACATTGCAACAACAACAACAACAACAAAAACCACAACGACCCTACCCCGGTGAGCATTTCTCCTTCAATCGATAGCTCGGCTTCGTGTAATCCTCCAACGGAATCTGCGCGGCGCGATCGCCAAAAAACAAAACGCGATCCGACGTGATTTGCCACAATCTCAATAGCGCCTCACGCGCCGCCATATCAGTGGCGATCGCCAGACTCTCACCGGCACCTAGAACGTCAAGCATCAAACAACTCAAAAGCATTCATCGTCAGCCTACTCTGTCCAACAACCCGCTGACGGTCCGCATAGATGCCGACAACGTAAACCGGCTCAGCGCTCACACTTCCCGCCGATCTCAACACCCTCGGCTCGATCTCGCCAACGCCTTGCTGCTTCAAGAGGTCCGTCAAAACGCCGAGAGGGTCGGCGAGCGGATAAATATCTGAAAATACGCTCATTTTATTGTCGGCGTCAAACGACTGAAAGGAGGCGGGGCATTCAAATTCGCGAAATCAGTGTAGATTTAAATTTTTCGTTGACTGAATATTAAATGTGCGTACGCTTAAATACAAGGTACGCAATTTCACGTGCTTCTCACTGCCTTGAGACGCATTGGCACATTGCCAATAATTTTTTAATTTTCGTCAAGTCGTTTGATTCCGACAATATTTCCAAATAAAAAATTTTACGACTCAAAATGAAACCTGCAAAATCGACATCGATTAGTTGGGGTACAATGAAGTCAATGACAATATTCTTGGCCTTCTCATCGGCAACAATTCCCGCTAGTGCTCGGAGAGCATCGGCGCACGATTCCTCGCTAACCGGATGCTCTTTGGTTCGAACCAAATGATCAATGCCTAGACGAAAAATTTGAAACCATTCTCCTCTTCCCAAAATCCACCAAACCAAGATGTCTCGCAATCTGCGCCAAACACTCATCAGACAACAAGTGCTCATCGATCGCTTCGATCATCTCTTCGGGCGCGTTCGACAAATGGAATCTCAAGTAACGCTTGAGCCATTTCGACATATTCTGCTCTCCTAAATCGCAATTTTGTTGAAATGTCCACCTCCAAAAAAAAAACCTTTGACGACAAGCTCCGAATTGTGCTCGCCGGTCTCCTCCATTTCGCGCACATCTTTGCGCTCATAATACGATTCATTCGTCAACGCCTACAGTGATTTAAAGGCGCATAACACAACAGATATGGGTGTGTGTTTGGTTTACCTGAATGAGCTGATTCTCCTTGATCTCCGGCGCTCCGATGCGATGGCCAAACGCGAAAATCTCGCTGTGATAATCCCTGCAAAACCGCAAATGTTTCAATTCTCATTGAGATAATAAGGGGGGAAGATCATTTGGGAAAATTCGAACACACTCGAAAGCCCTGCTCTTTTCTTGCGCAATCTTTATTCGCCAAAAAAAATATCAATCCGTATATGGGAAAATTGCAGATTCTGAAGCAGATATGGCCAATAAAAAATGAAATACATAATTAATTAATTCAAAAAAAGGCAAACAAACAATTAATCGATTCTATGAGGTGAAAATAAAAGCTCTTCAAATTTTACTAGATAAATTGGCACCGGGCGTCGGCTCGTGTTTACATGCGGAATACACCGAACTTCGTGTCAGGTATCGGTTTCTGAAGGGTCGATTGAAGTGCAAGACCAACAACCTAAAATGCGCTCTATTGCTACTCAATCGCCCGCCCCCATCGCAAAACCCACCTTTCTCGTGTCTTTCGGATCAATCACACCATCATCCCAAAGTCGAGCTGAAGCAAAATACGGATGGCCTTCCTTTTCAAACTTCTCCTCAACCGGCTTGCGAAGTGCAAGATCCTCTTCCTATAAAACCACCTTTATTACGAAGAAGGCAACTTAAAAAAAAATCTACCTCGCTCCATTGAGCTCCTTCTCGCTCCTTCTTCTGCTTCTGCACCGTTGAGAGCACATTGGCCGCTTGCTCACCGCCCATCACCGAGATTCTCGCGTTCGGCCACATGAAAAGGAATCTGGAATCGCTAATTGAGATTCTCGTGAATTCGCTTCGCTTCTACCTTGGACTATAAGCTCGACCGCACATTCCATAATTTCCGGCTCCGTACGAGCCGCCAACGAGCACCGTGATTTTCGGGACGTTCGCGCACGCGACCGCCGTCACGAGCTTCGCGCCATGCTTCGCGATGCCACCGGCCTCGGCGTCGCGTCCAACCATGAAGCCGGTGATGTTTTGAAGGAACAACAACGGAATTTTGCGTTGGCAACACAACTCGATGAAATGGGCGCCTTTCATCGCGCTCTCCGAGAACAGAACACCATTGTTGGCGAGAATTCCGACGCGTTGGCCGTAAATTGTGGCGAATCCCGTGACAAGTGTGTCGCCGTAGCGCTCTTTGAATTCGCTGAATCGCGAGCCATCGACAATTCGAGCAATCACTTCGCGAGCCTATAAACAAGCAAAAGTTCAATTTATTAAAACAAAATTGGCGTTCTTACATCATAAGTCTTCTTTAAATTGGATCCAACGATTCCGTAAACCTCTTCGGCCGGATAAAGCGGCTCATCGGCATTCGGATCGAAGCTCATATGCTGCGTGACGGGCGGAATACTTGCGATGCACTCGCGAGCGAGATGTAGAGCGTGAGCATCGTTAACTGCATAGTAATCAGTGACTCCCGATTCCGAGCAGTGCAAATCAGCACCGCCTAGCTCCTCAGCGGTGATCTCCTCGCCGGTAGCGGCTTTCACCAATGGGGGTCCTCCAAGAAACACGGTTCCATTCCCTTTGACGATAATCGCTTGATCGGACATGGCTGGAACGTAGGCACCGCCGGCGGTGCAGCTTCCCATGACAACAGCGAGCTGTGGGATACCCTCGCGACTCATTGTTGCTTGATTGAAGAAGATCCGACCGAAATGCTCCTTGTCGGCGAAGATGTCGGCTTGCCTTGGGAGATTCGCGCCGCCGGAATCGACCAGGTAGATGCATGGCAGATTATTCTCTCTGCAAATTCCATTATAGAGAATTATTTCAATAGAAATTTGCACCTTGCAATCTCCTGAGCTCTGAGATGCTTTTTAACAGTGATTGGATAGTAAGTTCCACCTTTGATTGTGGCGTCGTTGGCGACGATAACGCAAACTCGTCCGGAAACAATTCCGATTCCGGCGAGAATTCCACCAGACGGCACTTCTTCATTCTTGTACATCTTTAAAACGACAATTCATCGAACTAATGAATATATTGCTCACCTGGTAGCCGGCTAGTTGACTGAGCTCGAGGAATGGCGATCCGGGATCGATTAGATGATCAATTCTCTCGCGGGCAAGCATTTTTCCGCGACTTCGGTGCAATTTCACAGCTTTTTCGCCGCCGGCTTGCTCGATTTTGGCAATTTTCTCCTTTAAATCGTCGACGAGTGCTTTCATCTCGGCGGCATTCGATTGGTATGCTTCCGAGCTTGTGTCAACGCTCGACTTGATCGGCGCCCATTGGAGTGTTGATGGATCCGACGATGATAGACGGATTTGCGAGCTAGTGAGGCAATTAGATACAAAGTTTTAATTGATTCATTTCGAATCAACAAGGGCTTTCGGGTGTTCGGATTTGATCAGTAAAAAAATGTTTAAACATCAAACTATTACCAATTTGGGTATGATGATCGTGCAATAGCCGGATCTGCTCCAAGCAACTGTCGTCGATGATACAAATCCTTCAAATATCCTCGTTCCCAACGAGTCCGCAGAAGGCGACCTTAAAATGATAGGGGGTTTCTACAAAATTGGGAATTTTCGATTTACATGGCTGAATTGTGGCATTGCGAGACCCTAATCGTTGAGCAACGTGTCGGAACATTGCTGAAATATTGATAATTCAATTTTAAACATTTTTTACAAAGAAATCACGAAGTAATTGCGAAAAAACGCGAAATGAAACGTTCAAACAAAATAAAAATTATGCTCGCTAAAACGCAGGCGAACCGTAAAACCGGCGTGTCGTAAACGCGGTTGTTCAAAAACTTTGAATAATCGAACGATTTTTCAATTTTATAAATACAATTTGATATAATGTCACGGAAAATAACAATAAATGGGTACTCTTTGGCGATTATCTCTATTCTTGTCGTAATTTCGAATGATTTATGGTCCCGAAGCTGCGTTCCCGTGACGATTTTCATTTATCTTATATTGCAATGAGAATTCCTGCAGATTATTCAAAAAAATTGATAGCCGAATGCTCAAAGGCTTCCCGGGGCTTCTTAATTGGTCAGGTCAGATCAGATATTATCAGTATTGTTGTATTCGTTGCGGGAGGTGGCGCAACAAGCGAATTCATTAGGAAGACCGACACCATATGGTGAGGGTGAAGTTGGCGAGGGATACGGTAGACCATCGTTTATTATATTAATCCGCGCATAATTATGGGGTTTCGCGCTTTGTTTGCGCGATTTAAATGACAAGTAGGGGTCATCATCGCAATCTGAATTGTCTGCAATCACCGTGGCGCACAAATGCAGACAACGTGTGAATTTCTTTGTCGATTTAGAAAATCCCAATTTCTTGGTGGATTTTTTTAAATTTCAAACGCGTTCTTCTTGAGAACTGATAGAGTTTCAATCGCGATTGTCTGCTATGCAAAAACGCAATTTTCGAATTTTCTTTCTCAGTAGCTCTCGCAAAAGGTCAACCACACTGTTAAACATTTCCCATATATGGTATTAATGCGTAATCCACATATAATTACAAGGCGCGCATTTCCATTGTTTGCTCAACGCCGTTCGAAACTTTGCCACTTGACAACTGACATTTCGCAGCCAATTAAGCGGGTTGCAGCATCCGGTTGCGTCAACCACATCGCATTCAACGGTCAACCATTTTCTCGAAACGCATCTGCGGACAATTTTCGAGTTGCATTTCGGCGGCAATTCAAATGTCAGAATCAAACAACCATCAAAATTTCGTAAAGAGGCAGCTGGAAAACCTACAGTAATCGGCCGCAGATGAAATTTACGAGTATCGAGGGTCCTGAACAGAAATTTTCTCTCACTAACCTATCAATTGAGCAGCCATTCTCGTTGATTCCTTATTTGGGCATTATCGTCCGCTAATAGAGCTATCTAATCAGCGAGAATACTTGTACGCGTGCCGAATTGTGCAACACCGCCTTTTATGATTTACGGCTATTTGCTCAGCGAGCAGCACCACAACAGATACGGTAGAGAGGACGAGGTCACGCGTTTCTCGAGGGACGTTGAAAATCACAACTGCACTCTGAAATGGGCGGGACTTGAGCTTCACCTGCTCACGAGGCCCGCTGAAACGTTTTCATTTGTCAGCCTTTCGATTTATCTCGCTTTGTTTTCGATTGGAAAATGTCCGCAGCAGAAAATTGATATAACAATTTCGATTTTTAAAATGGAAGGACGAAAGTATTCCAAAAAAATATATATTATTAAGCACATAGCTTTGGGCATTTTGCAATTTGATTCGAATTCGCTGCGAGACCCAAAATATATTCGTGGAAACACTCCTTTAAATCTTCAACAAAATTGCTTTTTCAGGCTTCACGCTCAGAAAACACTGAATGCCGTCATGTGCGGCGTTTTAGGTGCTTTTCTCGCCGTATGGATTTTATCGGCGGAAGCCATCAAATTTCAAACGGGTATGATTCGAATGCCCACCCAATTGGGACCATCGTTGACACTTCAGGTCCGTGCGAATCAGAGCAATTGTGCGGCGATGGAGTCTGCACATACGGCAATCGCGACGACAAATTCTGGTGTAGGTACGGTAGATTTCGCTTCAAGAGCCATCGGAATTGAGCGCCGGAAATTTGATGGGGTTACGGTAGACTCGTTGCCGGTTTTCATCTGCTGTTGATGATTCAGCTGCCGTCTGACGCACGAGAGTCACACATTTTTAGAAAGCAGGAAAAAAATTTATTAGAAATTATAAACTTACAAAAGCCATGAAAATGTTGAATAAAATTGAAATCAAAAAATGAATTTGGTGGAATCGCGAACAGTACGTGGAAGTTATCTGCAGTGTTTACACGGAATGCACAGTATTTAACGACACATCATTGATTTTTCGAATTTGAGAAGACTTAATTACGTTTTTTTTAAAGAAAAAAATAGCTAAAAAATATCAAAAATAATTATTAAATTCTATATTTTCCGAAATTTAAATGAAAATGGATCTTTGTTACTATTTTGGATTTTATTTTTAAAAAGTGAAGAAATCGAATTTTTGGCTTCAACAAACAAGCTCGAAATTTTTAGCTAAACTTAAAAAGTTCAAAGATCTGAAAATTTCCCAATCTTATATCAAATCGGTTCAAGATTTGACAAATCGAAAAAATTGGAATTGGTGTATACGTAGAAGTCATCCACGGTGTTTACACGATAGGCGCAATAAACGACGACATCAATACTGGTTTTCCGTTTAATCGAAGCGGCATCAACAAAAAAACGTTCGCGTGCCTTTTTTTCTGATGTCATCAGTTGCCGACAAACGCTTGTGAGAAGAGCACAATAAAAAAAAGACCAGAAAAAACCAGTAGGGAGTGATGAGCTAATCCGTTTCCCAACGGCACCTCGACGGCCCTCCTTTGAAAAAGATGTCGGATTAATACGGCAAGTTTCAGATGCGAAGAAGGCTACGGTGGTGATCATTGCGAGAAGAAGTGCGATTTGAGTTGCGAGCCGCACCACAAGTGCATTTTCGACATTGCTAAACGACCGACGTGCGTCTGCAAAGGTTCGCAATTATTTTTGAGAGGAACAAGCATTTATAATCAATGATATATTAAAAATTTTATATAACAGCTCGGAAAATTAATTTCACGAAACGATGACGAATTTTTTGTGGAATGTTGTGCAATCACATCGCGCAACCATTGCGGACTTGCATTTTAATAGACGCCTATATATTTCGAAACCAAAAAAATCCGCGATTGCTTTTTTTTCTTGCAAAATGCATTTAAACCAAGGCATTTTTTGTATAAAATTTTTTAAAAGTCTACCATTTTCCTAATATAGAGAAATCTCTTTCTGTCTAATGCACTATTTGCCAGTTCTAGAGCAGTAAATTGAATTTATGGTGCGAAGAGTAGAAATATATCAGCGATTTTTTTTTAAATATGTTACTAATTTGTTCAATTACGTCACAATTATTTATATTTCAGATTGCGACAAATACGGAAATCAGACAATTCAATGTCAATTGGGATTCGGAGGTAATTGCGCAACCGGAAGTTCTAATGGGGTGTCAAATGTGATTGCTCATAGCAACCCAACTAACACAATATAATTGCGGGCGGTGGAAATTATTAAAATTGGTGTCGTGTCATTATCAACATCGAATATTTTGATTTGAATACATCGATCAAACTTGTCCGTGTGTATGTATGTATTTGTTACTGTTCCTTGAGTGCTAATCCGACAGCAGGATTATGCAATGGATCACTTGGCAAACTTGATATATGTGCGAGAGAGGCCGTTAATGGAAGAAAACAAGGTGTCGAGCTACTGAAACCAAGAACAAGTGAGGGGTTTCCTGATTCCCACGGGTTTACAACTACTGTAACCATGTAACTGATAATTTATGATGACAAACAACTGTATGGGAATGTCAAATAGAGGCGGCGAGACCATAAAAGGTCACTCATGGTTTTTTTGTCTCCGTCGGTATTTGTAATGAAATTCGATCCGCAAAATCGAGGGGGCCGCCTATGCGAATTGTGAGTTTCAGGAGCGGATTGTTCGATTCAAGGATGGTGCTATCCGGACGAATGCCTCCATGGTGGCAAGTGCGTCGGAAGCGGCGATTCGGCGCACTGCGTGTGTCGTCGTGAATACACCGGCCAACGATGTGAGCTCGATTTCGACGAATGCTCGGTGCCCGATTTTTGCAACAATGGCAAATGCTTCAACTTGGTAGGAGACGAACCTTCTAATCTTTTGATCATTATTGAAAATTCCAGAACGGCTCTTATCTCTGCCAATGTCATGACGGCTTCTTCGGCGCCAAATGTGAACACATTGTGGATCCTGAACACATCATTGAAATAATTCCAAAGGAGAATCCATGTGTTGTCGTGTTCCTTCACAATTTCACCGACGGTCATGGATTTGAGTGTCACCATCATGGCGCATGCGTCACCTATGCGCCGAACAAGACGCGATGCGAGTGCGCACCGGGATTCGAAGGTTAGAATCGGTTCAAGGAAGTCTATTAATTGAGCGTCGTCCGTGTTGCAGGTGAGATTTGCGAGAAGGACATTGATGAATGCGCGTACGATCCGTGCGAGAACGGCGCGACTTGCGTCAACTCGCACGGCGATTTCGAGTGCTTCTGCCGAAGCGGCTACGACGGCAAATTTTGCGAGAACAACATCGACGATTGCGTCGGCCATAAATGTGCGCCGGGCTCGAAATGCGTCGACGGACCATCGACGTACACGTGCGAATGCGAGCACGGCAAAATGGGCGCGTATTGCGACAAAGTCAATCCGTGCATCGCCGATCCGTTCCTCTGTCATGGTCGCGGCATTTGCACCGGAATGCCCGACACTGGCGATTTTGTGTGCACGTGCGATCGCGGATTCGACGGCGATCGCTGCGAAATCGACGTCGACATTTGCGAGACGTTTGGCGAAGAGACACTCTGCCCGCATAATGGACGATGCATCGATTTGCCGGATGATTGGGCGTGCGAATGCGCTCGCGGTTTCAGCGGGCCTCGATGCGAGTTCGTCATCGACATTTGCGAAGCGGAGCGAGTCGAGTGCCAGAATGGCGGCTCATGCTTCTCGGGGCCATTCAGAGAGCCGCTGTGCCAATGCGAACAAGGTAGATCCGGCATTCTCACCCTCATCGCATTCCGCGATTTGTAGGTTACATTGGAAGGCGTTGCGAGACGAAGTGCCCGGAAGGCTACGGCGGCCTTCGCTGCAATATCCATCTCGAAGACAAAGTATGCGGTCCGAATCTTGCCAAGTGTCTGAACGGCGGCGTGTGCGCCGGCGGCTTCTGCATTTGCCATGCGAACTACACCGGCGATCGATGTGAACTTTCGAGAATCCATGATCGCAACAATAGCGATTTGTGTTCGACGGAGCCGTGCTTGAACAATTCCACGTGCATCAATGTCGACCATCAAATCGGCTTCGTGTGCATGTGCAAAGAAGGGTATTATGTAAACGTTTGCGAGAATCACTTTGGTCTGCGCTTCAATTGTTCGACGTGAACACCAAAACGATTTCAGATTTGTGCTCGTTGAAGCCGTGCTACAACGACGGCAAATGTCAGAAGACGCGACAACTCGAACGAGGCTACTCGTGCCAATGTCGTCCGGGATACGAGGGCGCCAATTGCGAGATTCTCAACACCACAATCGATTGCTATTCAAGGTAAATGAAGTCACCTCTCATCGTCAATAAGCGCTTCATCGCAATATTCAAGGGATTGCCACAACGGCGTCTGCGTGGACGAAGCGAACTCGACGAAATGCGTATGCCATTATGGATATGCCGGCGCCGAATGCGAAGAGGACCTCGGCATTGGCAAGTATGACCATCAGAATCGGTACGTTCTGTTCTATTGATTATGAATAGCTCGATTTTACTAGGCTCATTCATGAGATGTGTGTCAGCCGGCGATGCCAAGACCGCGCCGGCGACGGCGTCTGCGATTCGGATTGCAATTTTGCCGAATGCCAACATGACGGCGGCGATTGCAGCGTTGTGGATGAGGCGTTCGCGAAATGCAAATATAGAGGAATGTGCGCGGCGTTGTACGCGAACGGCATTTGCGACATCGCGTGCAACAATGAGGATTGCCTCTATGATGGAATGGATTGTATGCCGCTGGCGGCACGATGTCCATTGGCGATCAGAGAGAGCTGCGAGCGACGATACGCCGATGGCAATTGCGATTTCGAGTGCGACACCGAAGGTTGCGGATATGATGGTGGCGATTGTAGTGATGAAAATACGACAAGAATTCTCGACAACATCCGAATCAAATTTTTGATGAGCCGAATGGAGTTTGAGACGAAGGCCCATGAATTTGTCATGAAGGCGAGCGCGTCGTTCCGGGCGATTTTTCGAATTCAGCGCGACAAGAAGGGACCGTTGGTGTTCGAGTGGGATGAGACGACGAATCGCGGCTACGGTCGGCGAATTGACGTCAACATGACGCGATGGGAGAATCCGACGGTGATGGCGAGAGCTGGTAGAAGTATGAAGCGCGGAGTGATGGCGCTTATCGAAGTCGCCGTCGCTAGCGAATCGGTGGATCGGTGCGCGACGACGAGCCAACGACCGTCGTGCCTGTTCACCGACGCGAACAGCGTCGCCAACTTCCTCTCGGCGCAAATCACCACCAAAGGCAATCTGTTGGGCGTGCCGGTTTACGAGGTGGCCGTTGGGAGTCGCGCGCCGCGCATCTCATTCCGATTCATGCTGTTGATTTTGGTGTGCGTCGGCGGACCGCTGTCGTTGTACGCCTACACGATGATGATGTCGTCGGCGTCGACGAGACGAAAGGCACCGAAACGACGTATTGTCGAATGCGCCGGCACGTGGTACTTCGGGAAGCACGGCGAGCCGACGATGGTTTGTGAGCCGAAAAAAATGCGATCGAGTTTCGAACTTGTCGAAATGAATCATGGATATGCAGAGGTAATGATGATTGCCTGATGCCTCCTCTTCAACCTTCCTCGTTTCAGCCATTCACTTCCTCCGCTTCCCCTCCACTTCATATTCAGGCGGCTGGATCGCATCCGATCACGATACCATTGACGTTCGAGAATGTCAACGAGCGTCATCCCAAATTTCAGCGAACCGTCCTTCATTGGCTCGCCGACAATAGTCAGCAGAAAATGGAGTTTTTGATTGTCTCGGAGGCCGAGAGATGCATCAGCGCCGGCGCGAATGTGGACGTGATTGATTGCGATTCGAACACGCCGCTGATTTTGGCGTCGCGACGGAAGCGCTTGAAATTGGTGTTGGTGTTGATGCGCGTCGGCGCGGACACGACGAAATTGAATAAAAGCGAACGAAACGCTCTGCACGAAGCCGCCGCGAACTTGGACCTGCGGATGATGGAGGTCTTGTTGCGCGATAGTCGTCTCGTCGCACGGATTGATGATATCGATCGGAATGGGATGAGTGCGCTGATGGAAGTGGCGAGCCTGGATAGCGACACGAGGATCGTCAAACTACTTGTCGAAATGGGAGCCGATATCGGTAGTGATGGGTTCGAAGAGGAGCCGTCGGAGAGCTTCAAAGGCCGATCGGCTCTTCATTACGCTTCACTCTATGGCAATGTGAAGATCATGCAATTCTTCATCGCGTTGAATGTCGATGTCGACAAGATGGATGTGAATGATGAGACGCCGCTGATGCTTGCCATCAAGAATGGCAAACTCGATGCGGTGCGATTGTTGCTGAACAACGGCGCCGACATGGATATGCCCGATCGATTGGTGGGTGGCGAATCGCGTTCGTTTTGATTTGACGGTTCGATTTTCAGGAGAAGTCGGCGATTCAAGTGGCCAGCGAGCTCCACTATGATGAGATTGTCAGAGAGCTCGAGTTGGCTCGACAATGCGTGACGACATCGCGGAAGCGTGTTAAGAAGCGACGGAAGCGCACGAACACCAGGAAGGCGAAGAAGAAGGACACTGAGCGGAAGGACTCGTCGAATTCGGAAGAGGACGTGACACCGTATAACGATGGATTATCGAATCTTGAGGAGGAACCCATCTCGATGAATGGATCGCCAATTCACAATGTATCGCTCAATCTTGATGAAGGGACTGATCACCTTATCTAATAATCTTATGATGTCAGAAAGACGAAAAAAAAGAATTGATTCCATTTATTGATCTCCATATTAGTTAGTCTGGATAAAATTTTGTTGAACCAGTGTGCTATGAGCATTTCCAGAAGATGAGATGATTGACGGCGTCGGTCGACGGGTCCTGTGTGGCGCTTTGGTCGTCGAGACCCTCGCCGCAGCTGACGATGAGAAGCTGCGATGATTGATGGATGGGAACGTTCAGCGACGACTTTTTCGGTTTGCGGTACCCCGCCGCCGGGCATTGTGATGGCGTCATGACGGGCAGCAGGATTCGACATGGACCACTATGGCCGATGTCGCATACTGAAATTTGTTGGTGGCGATTAGCGGCGTCTGACAATCGTACCATTCAGATCGGGTGTTGGTTGCGTTCTCGCTGAGATGATTGAAGTGGAGAGGACGAAGCCCGCCGACGTTCCGATCCATAGATGAGATCGAGCGACGGTTAGACACGAGACACGAAGGCAGCCCATCTTGTGCTCGCGTAGGATGTCCTCCCTTCCTGAAATCACTGATCCATGGATCGCGCTATTTGGAATCGGCGCTAACCGGTCAATTGGGATCTGACGAATGGCGCGACGTTGAAATGATTGACGACTTGCAGTGTGAACAAATCGACGACGTAGACGATCGTCGACTTCCTTCCCGACACGAATAGATGCGCTCCCGACGTCGCCATGATCGTGATGACGTCGGACGGCGGCAACACTTCGGACGGCGCTTGCCATCCGGTGAAGTCGGTGTGGAACGCGTGAAGGCTGTTGGCGCTGGCGAGAATCAATCGGCGTCCGACGGCCGCCATCGCCGCAATCGGCGACGACAGCATGTGCGCGACGTTCGTCGGATTGTCGAGATCCCAATTGCCGTCGGCGGTGGCGCGAAACATCAACAGTTGAATTTGCGACGAGTACGAGGTGGCGACGAACACGCAGCCGTTCGATGAGCATATCGATGTGACGCCTAAAACGAAGGTGCGCAAGATGGGAATGAATCTCGGTTGTCGCCTACTATTCCGAAGTCTCGCCATTCGATCCCTAGTCCGAGGTCGCACGCGTTCCGTCGAATTCACAACGAACACCCTGTAGATCAAAAATTGTGGTAATCGATTGGGACTCGCCGCTTACTCTCCGTCATCATTGCCGATCCACACTGTCGCCTGACCGCCGGAATTGCCATCGTCCGATGAGGACTCGCTGTCGGACCCGCTGCTAGAATAAAAAGTGGGGGATTCGCTTGGGATGGTGTCTCGATGGTCCCTCACCTGCTCATCTCCATTATATAGTTTTTTTGGAACGTTTCCGATGATCGTTGTGATTTCATTTTTCGTTTTCGCCACTTTCTAAAAGCGCTGTTATCATCATCAATCGTTGGTGGTATCAATCGAAATTCTACTTCCTCGAGGCCCGAGGAACTTGTTCCCCCCCCTCCACCATGATTGAGGAGTAGAGGATAATGAAAACACTCACGTCGGCGGCGGAACGGTGCACATGGCGGTGACGGCGGCGTTGCCGATGCCCGAGCTGCTCTCGATCGACGCCTCGCCGTTCTCCAGCGACATCACCGCCACCTGATAATTGTGATATTGATCTGTCACAATTTTGTTTTTGCCTACCTGCCCGCTGAATTTGTCGCTGGCGCACACCCAGACGAACGGCAAACTGTCGGCCCGTTTGCCGGGCACCACCGCCGCCGTGCACAACTGAAATTCGGCACGTCTGAAACGACGACGTCTGACTGACTCACCTGCAAGCCGGGACGCGTTTGATGCGCGACGATGTTCTTCAATTGGCAACTCGGCGTCGACATTTGGTGTTTGACTGAAAACGAAAAAAAAACACATTCTCGAGATCAAGCGTTGGCCAATCGATGCATGTACCTAGCGCGTTCTTCGTCTCCTTGAATGCCGCCTCCCAGACGCTTCGCTTGTCGGCGTTCGGAAACTCGAGAACCACCGACTCGTGGCCGTTCGGCGTCAGCACATCCAAATGGATTGTGCTCAAATCGGCGTCGTTGCTCATTCGCTCGCCGAGCTCGCGCATCCTCATCGTGTTCGCCGTCTCCATCGCCTCAAGGTGGTCCGACAACGCCTACAAATCGACGGAGAGTTCCATGTCGACGCCCAGCCCCCCCCCCTCTCTCTCTAATCGGGTCGTCCCCTCCATTCTTTCGCCTCCCCCCATTTTTGTGTATGTTTTTCTCTCGATCTATCAATTTGCCATCGCTTTCACTTCTTCTTCTTCTTCTTCTTTTTTTCAGCCAATGGGTCTCAATCGTGTATGGTCGAAAGAGCAGGTAGGTTCGTCATCGTTTAAAGGCGCACAAGTGGCCAACAAAAAAAGGGTCCCACTCAATTAATTAGTTCTTTTTTTTTGGAGGCGTTATCGATTTTTATTACGTTAAGCGAGCCGCTCGATTGTCCGCACATCGAAATTCATTAATATGCAAATCGCACTCGATCATTTCTCGTCGGCCGTCTCTCCAATTCGCCCACTATTTCCATCTCAATTTTTTTTGGAGAGATCATTTTTTTCCACATGACACATGAAAAAAAAATTTTTGCTTAAGGTCAAATTTGTGATTGATGCGTTTGTTTTCTTGACGACGATGATAATGATAATCATCGATCAGTGACGGGGGGTTCAATTTTCTCGAAATTTCGGATTACTGTAGCACTAGTTTTTAAGTTTGTCATCACTGTAAAATACAAGACTATTCAATTAGGGGGTCTCCTTCATGAAGAGCACAAATTTGGTGTCATTACTGTAGCACAAGGTTCGATGTGTAATCTTGGGTTTCATTGTGTCAACGGCGATTACGGTAGCACTAATTCACTTGAAGCAATCAAATAGTGTAGATCAACAATTCATCGATTACGGTAGCACTAGTTTCGAAATCGATTTGCAGAAGGTCGGTCCGAACTCGCATGTGAATGAGAAAGGATTCGACTGGCTGATGGGCGCGGTGTTCGTCGTCGGCGAGACGGCTGGCGGCGCGATGCTGGCGCTGCCCAACGCGATGGCCGCCATGGGTTCCAAACCCCGACCAACGCCTCCAACAATTTTTTTTTAACTTGTAGGACTCGTGCCGGGCGTTGCGCTCATCGTGCTCTCGGCGATCATTTGCACCTACACGGGTGTGCAGCTCGCGTGGACGTGGAAGATCATGCAGAATCGATGGCGCGATTATCGCGAACAGTAAGACGATGGAATCGTGGCGGCACACGAAATCGAGCGATTGCAGTTGCCGGAAGCCGTACGGCGAGATGGCCTATCGAACCGTCGGACCGCGGTGTCGCTCGTTCATCGCGTTCATGATATGCGTCACGCAAATCGGCTTCGCCTGTGTGCTTCTCCTGCTCGCCGCCAAGAATCTCTCGATCATCCTCCACTATTTCGTCGGTCTCAACATCAATCAATGCTATTTGATAGTGATTGTCGGCGTGTTGATTTGGCCGATGACGATGCTCAAAAGTCCGATGCATTTTTGGTATTCATTAGATGATGGTCGCGAAAAATCCGAAAAATTCCAGGCAAGTGGCGATATTCTCGGCGGGCTCGAGCTCGCTGGCCGTCGTTCTCATCGTGCTCGGAATGATGCATGATGGTCCGGTGTGCGCGCGCGACGCGCCGCACGACGATTCCGACTTTCTGTCGGCCGCCATGGCGTTTGGGACCATCATGTTCGCCTACGGCGGCCACGCGACACTGCCGACCATTCAGCACGACATGATGAAGCCCGCGCATTTTGTGCACTCCGTCGTCCTTTCGCTATCAGGTAGGGACCCTACTAATGATGGTCCCCCCCCAAACTCGATCGTTTCAGTCTGCACCCTTTACTATCTGGCGGTTGGCATAACCGGCTATTTCGTCTACGGCAGCACGGTGGGAGAAGCCGTGATCCCGTCGATTCAAATCCCATGGATTCAGCAGATTGTGGGTCAACCTTGAAGGACCATTGAATGATTAGGCCTCTAGGTGAATTTGATGGTCGCCGTGCACGTCATCAGTACCATCGTCATCGTCATGTCGCCGCCGATTCAACAAGTCGAGCAGCTTCTCCACATTCCGCACAGTTAACCATTGACTACAGTAATCCAAAAAAAATTTGTTTTATAGAATTCGGCGTCAAGCGGATTCTGGTGCGCTCGACGCTCTTCTGGCTCGTCGTCTTCCTCGCGCTCTCGGTTCCCCACTTTGGGCCGCTTCTCGATTTGGTAAGACGGCGGCCATCTGCGGACAATTCGCGACTCGACCAATCTGATTTTTTTTTAAAGATCGGCGCTTCAACAATGGTTATGATGACGATTCTACTCCCTCCAATATTCTACCTATCGATGCGAACCCAGGAGATCAAATGGGCGGCGAATGGGACCATCGAAGGCGGCGGCGACGATGAGCACGAAAGGGCCACGTTCAAAGAGTAGGGGACCCCACCGAAAAATGGTGCGAACAATTGCAATATGCGATTCAGAATCGTTCAACACACTCCCAAACATATTCTCCTCTTCAACGCGTTCATTCTGGGTACACGTCGACGCGAAATTGCGGACGGACAATTGTTGAATGAAATTTTTTTGCAGTGTTCGGCATCGTCGGCGGCACACTGGCGACAATCACATCGGTGATCAAACTGACGCAGGCCGACATGGCGCCGCCGTGCTACGTGCAATACTTCAGCCGTGGCGGTCTCGCGTTCACCGACGGCGACATCGGCGCCGTCAATTGTTGCGGCTCGCTTCGCAACCTCACCGTCGGCGGACAATCGCCGCAAGGCTATTGCGCGTTGAGCGAATTTTAATCATACGAGTCCAATTAAATGTATTCATTTCTCTCTTGCCACCCCAACCCCAAATGAAGGCGATGATATCGACTCACGAGTTTGTCGCATTTCAGCAATGAGCACAACTGGAGCATCTTCTTCAACACACGGTCGTCCTCTTTCGACGTCTCCAGCTTTTGCTGAACGTCTTCCAATTGGGAGAGCGTGTCTGAAATGGTGTCGTTGAATTCGAAATTGTCCGCAGATCGTTGGCAATGCTACCTTTTGCGATTTGCACGTCCTCAAGCGCAATTTTGATGAGCAACTTGAATCGATTGTTCTCAAGGAAATCCATCGATTGGGTTCTGAAAACCGTCAACGATTGCCATCAAGACGGGGAGGATTCTCACGTCAACTTCGACGTCGACAACTTCTGCTTCTTTTTGACGCTGGTGACGAGCAGCAGGTCGGAGAGCATGAAGACGCACCGCTCGCGTCGCGTGTCCTTCAGCGTCACCATGTCGTGGCGAAGAAGCGTGCGATCGGCCGACACGAGATCGTCGAGCCCGTCGACGATCGCCTCGATCTCGCGCAATCGCTGCTCCATTTGCTCGTTGCCCTCTTTGTGCTGATTGATCGCCACCGCCAGACAATGGATGTGGCGTTGGGCGCGCAATAGACGCTCGCGATCATCATGCTCGACGGGCGTGTGCTTGAGCATCTGCTTCACGATAAGCTCATAGCGGGGCACGCGTTGAATCGGCGAGATGAGCAGCGCGTCGAGATCGATCTTCTTCGGATGGTCGCGACAGCAGCGCTGGAACGAAAAAAAATTGGCGCGCGGACCATTGAGCTAACCTACACTGTAGTATTTCTCGAACGCGTGCTTCTGACGAGCTTGCGCGATTGCCGCCTTCGCGTACTTGAAGTTGTCGACGAACGCGATGAACGTCTCGATCATTGATTGTTTCGAGAACTAGCAAGAAAAAAAATTAAGGGGACCATTTTCGGCGGGACCTACATGCGCCAACAGCACGTCGCCAATGATGGCGTCTTTGTGCCAATGCTCCAATCGTTGGCTCAACGCCGCCAGCAGCACCTGATGGTGCGCGAGAATCTCGGGCACCCGATAGAAGATCTTGTCGACGAGCGTCGCCTCGATGAGAGTGCACTCGAGCGGCTGCCGAAGCGGTCGCATGTACTTCTGAATTCAGCGACGCTCACACATCTGAAGGGGTTGCTCGCTTACCGTCACCAGATGCTCGAGGCCCTCGACGAACGATGCCTCGGTGTCGAGAAGCTCGCGCGCGGCGAGATGCCGAACGCTGTAGTGGCGACGAAGGCTGGCGCGACTGCGCTTCTTCCACAGAAGCACGTCGGCCTCGTGAAGCGAGTCCTCCATTCCGCACGCTTCGAGCGCCTCGCCGCCGTCCGAATACACGTACGGACTCCACGTGATCGTCGGGTGTTGGTCGGGCGGCGACGGCGGTCGCGAGCGAAAGCTGTCGAGAAGCTGATTGAGGCGACTGACGCCGGCCATCTCCGGCGGACGATCGACGGAGAGAAGCGATGTCGACGAGGCGGCTAACATCTCGTCGACGATGCCGCGTCGTCGCGACGTCCGCATTCCCGTCATCGACGTCGTCGGCGACTCGTCGGCGCCGTTGGCGAAATTGTCGGGCGCCGACGACTTGCGGCGACCGTTGGCCGTCGTCGGCTCGCGCGTCGACGCCAAAAATTGCATGACGCCTCGCGGATGGCCCCCGAGACGCGTCGAGATGCCCGACGCGCGTCGGCCATCGGCGGTGTCGGTCGTCATCGTCGACGAGTCGTCGCGGTCGTCCGAGAACACACCGCGATCCGACGACGAGTTCTGCGACGGCAACGCGAGCACCCGCTGAAGCGACTGAATACTCTTCGCCGCGTCTTTGAGCTCCTCGATCTCCGTCGTCATCTCGCCGCCGCTGTCCGACTCGTGGTCCTGCAAAAATAAACGGCCAAGTGTGCCTTGCGGGTTCTCTCTTGATTACCAAATGGGATCGTGAGGCCGCCAATTTTGGTAGTGTGATCAGCAGATGGTGCAACGCTTCCACATCGATCTGAACAATGATTGATGGGTGTGGGCGATCGCGTCGACGCTTACCATCGACGGCATGTCGACGTTCGGCTCGCTGTTGGTCTTGCGCAGATTCTGCTGCGACGTTCGCACGCTTCGCTCTCGACTCGCGCGAACCTGAAGCGGCTCATTTGGTTCTTTTGATCTACCCCCCGTCCCCCCAAATTCTTACCATGCTTCGCCGACGCTCCCGCTGTCGTTCGCGTTCGCTGAAAAAGTTCAAATTGGCGTCGCTTCGCCGCCGCGTCGTTCGACACGAGCTTCGCGCGCTCGGCGAAACCGTGGCCGAGCGTCGTGGTCGCGCGACGATCGCCGCCGGCGACGAGTCCGTCGAGCTGTCCGAATCGTCGGCGTCGTTTGGATTGAGCATCGCATGCGCTTCAAAAATGTCAACACGTCATAATTGCGGAATCTGGAGCCTGCCGACAAGGCCCCCTCTCAATTGTCGGCGGCTGATGCATACGATGGCCATTTTTTTTAAGCGAAAAGAATTGCATGAAGCAAACCCGCGAAATGTCGGCAGATGGGTAATGATAAGAGAACAAATTGCACAATAGTGAAAAGACCTTGAAAGCGACAATAGCGGATCAAAAAATCGGAACGAGCACAACGGGTTTGAGCTCATTCGCCACATTCTCTCTCTCTCTCTCTCTCTTTGTCTCGAGAATTAAAGTAGTAGTAAAACGTCAGCTGTTGGCCGGGCCGGACCCGGCGGACGCTGAAGAGACGGACCACTGAACGCACGACAGGTAATATTGATCACCTCATTGGTTGGCGAAACGTTGTAATTTTTCGGGTTTGAGCGCGCAATTTTGGCTAATTTTCGTTTATTTTTATTTATTTTTAAATTTTATTGCGAAAAAATGGCGAATATTTGATTTATATTTGAAAGAAATCGAAAATTCGACCTACAGTATACTGGTTAAAGGCGCATACTCCAACTTCATTGACATTTTCACGTCTGAAATTTAAAAATGCCATAACTCCTTCAAAATTGATTCAATTGACAAATCCGCTGGTGAAAATTCTTAAAAAATGTTCCCAATCATGTATACCAATTTTCATCAAAATCGGTGAGATTGAAAATTTTGAAATTTTTTTGGCGACTTTCACAAATTGGCTTCGAGGTGCAAATGAAAATTGCGAAAATTCGAGCAAATCGCACAAAAATTGGAGAGAAGCGAGAATTTGGCATTGGAAACATGCCTGCGGGAAGAAAAGAATGATAGCAAAAGAATTAAAGTTTTGATGAGTCGCTAAATATGACAAAAAATGTGGTGCGCGGTGGCAAAACCAGCATGGTCAGATTACAATTGCGCAACGAATCCACTCGGCTATGTAGAACTGCGGCGGCCAAGTGCAGATAGCGGTCAAGTAGTGCTGCCTCCCTTCAATAGCATACAATTTCATGTGTCAAGAAAAATGGGCCGCTAAAATTTTTTTTAAAAAAATTTTAAATTACCCTGAAATTTGTTTTTTAAAAATCGTTTTTTTGAAAATCTCGATTTAAAATTTCAAAAACTCTCATCGGGATTCGATTCGACGGAATTATGAGGCCATTTTTCAGAAAACTGTGTCAGCAAAAATCAATTATTCCCGTTATCTCGAAACTTCAAAAATCCAATAATTCTATTCCAAAACAAAAAGAATCGCAATGGATTAAATGATTTCCACGTGACCATTCGATAACCTTGAAAAGTTCAATTTCGAAAACGCCGAAATTTGAAAGTAATACGAATTTTTTTGGTTTAACTAATAAGTAGTGAAACGATGACGAACAACGAGGTTGACATTTTCAGCAGCAATTTATCATTTTCTCAATTTTTCAGTCAAAACACGTTTATTATAATATGCCCGAAAGGTTTTGTTGGAAATTGCGATCGGAAAAAAAATAATTGAACTGAAATTATTTGCAGCCCCGACATCGATGAGAATCGCCCACGCAAAAAGGCAGGACTCGATCTGTCGCCGATCGGCCACGAAGATATGGTGTGCTGCTTCAATGCTGGGGTGAAGCCCGACACTTTTAGCGCCTGCCTAATTTCAACACGTTTGCGTTTCAGCTATGGATCATCATCCTCTGCGTCATCAGCATCCTTCTCTTCTGCGGCGGCTTCTATTTCCAGGCCGGCTATAATATATACAATGTGTTGAAGGTGACATTTTTGTTTTGCGAATTTTTTCGCGCGAAATAATTTTGTTGGTAATCGAAAAATTTGAAAAAAAAAATGCCCCCACTCAAAAATGTGTGCAGTTTTGCGTGAGTGTGTATGAACTCTCAGGTAAATGAAAATCGATCGGATTCGAAAATATGTAATTTATTTTTCAATCTAAATCGAATGTAAATTAATCTGTTTCGAATTATTCCAGAATTTCAATCGTACTCGATTTCAAAATTGAAATTGAGAAATAAATCAATCGATTTCGAAAATTTTTGAATCGAAACCAAGATTTCAAATCGAATTTAAGCGTTTTCTTAAACGATTTTCAATTATTTTTCAATCGAAACAGGTTAATTTATATTTCATTTTTCTTCGAATCCAATTGATTTTCATTTACCTGAACTTGTGCTCGCCTACAAATCGATTTTGTCGTTGATTTTTTTTTGTCTTTTTTTGCAGATCGCCGCTTCCGTCGTCGGCATCCTCTCATTCTACATTCCGCTTCTCAGATCCAAGTTCTTCTCATTGATCCTACTCGTCGCATGGGTAATCTGCGGACATTTTCCGACAACACAAAATTCCACAAATTCAGATCATCATCTGCGTCGTCGACATTCTGATAATGGTGTTCGGCATCATCGACGCGTTCAAATCGGGAAGTGGGTTGAATGAATGGAATTCAAAAAACAATTTTTTTTTGCACAGGAGACTTTGGAAGACAAATGGCGTTGACGCTGACGTTCGGCCTCACCCATATGCCGATCGACATGTTCCTTTGTTTCATTTATTGCCGACTAGCTCGCGGTTAATTCTATTTTCGCTTTTTTTTGTTTTCTCGGCCCCCCCCCCATCGAACAAAAAAAACCAAACTCGAAATTAATAAAACGTGTGTCCAACTCGACAAACAACCGATTTTTGTTTCCATTTTGATTCGATCGCATTTCGAAATGGTGAACAACGAGAAGGAGACGACGATGATCGAGGTTGGGTCCGACCGATTGGCTATCGGCGCGAGCCGCATTTGGGTGTGTTGCAGTCGAATGCGGTGTATTGCGAGTTGAGCGAGGCGGCCGAGCCGAGACGACGCGCCGGTTTGGATTTGAGCGGGATCTCGTACACGACGAACGTCGGATGCCTTTCGGCGAATGTTGGTTGCCACGTGGCCTTGTCAACGACACTCCACTTTTGACGCCGTTTCCCCCCCCCCTAGTTTTGCAACGACGCTCCACATTGACGCGATGGTTTTTGGTTTAGCGAAACGCGCCGATTTTGACGAGCGACACTTTGATTTTTTGGTTGCGCAACGACACTCCACGTTTACACTAGGGCTTTGGTTTTGTGGAGCGCGAAGTTTGAAAAATGTTTTCAAAACAATGAAGATTCGATTTTGTGGGTGTCTAACAACGATGCTCCACATTGACGCGATGCCTTTGATTTAGCGGAGCGCGAAATTTGAAAATAATGAAACAATGACAACCCGATGTGTTTTACAACGACACTCCACGTTTACACTAGGGCTTTGGTTTAGTGGTGCGCGAAGTTGGAAAAATTTAAAACAAGGACAATTCGATTAGTTCTGCAACGATGCTCCACATTTACGCATCGCCTTTGATTTAGTGGAGCGCGAAATTTGAAAAATAAGAAATCAATGAATGACATTTCGATTTTGCGGTTGTCAAACAACGACGCTCCACATTTACACAATGCCTTTGGTTTAGCGAATAGTGAAATTTGAAAATAATGACAAAATCGAATTTTTGCGGTTGTCGTTGATTTGCTAAACAAAAAATAATTGAATAAATCAAACGAACGACACTCCGTTGGGACGGTCGTCGTTGATTTAGCGGCGGCGCTCAAAAAATTCCGGCGCGCTTCAGCTGTGGATCCTGATACTCGGCATCGCCAGCATCGTGCTCTACGTGTGTTCGGCGTTCCTCATCGCGACACTCAACACGTACAACGCGCTCAAGGTGAGCATCAAGTCGAAAAATTAAAAAAAAAACAAATTGTTCATTTTTGTTTTGTTTGTTTTCAGATCATCGCCTCGATTTGCGGATTCGTGACATTCTGCGTTGCCGAATTGCGCGGCATCATCTTCTACATCATAATGTTTGTGATTTGGGTGAGCGAAACCCGCCAACATCATGATGGTCCCGCTCAATTCGTTTCAGTTCATCATTGCGGTCCTCGATGTGCTCATGCTCACCTACAATTTGCTCGATTTTCGGCATAAAGAGCGACGCGACGCCGGTTTGGCGAGCCGCTTTCTCGAGCATCGCGTTTTCTTTCCATTTTTTTCCTTCAGCCAACTTCGTCGAGAACGTCGTCGCCGTGCTCGTCTTCTGCATCTCCGTGCTGCCCATCGACGTCTTCTTCACGATTCTCTATTATCGTCTTTATCGAGGTGTCGATCAAAATTGAATTTAAAAAACGAAGAAGAAGAAGAAAACACATGAAAACTTTTTGTCTATGTGATGCGCCTTTAAATACTTTTTTTCAATACAATTTTTTTTTGTTGGCATTCATTTTTCCATATGAGCAGCCCTGATGGCATGCGCCTTTAAACCTGGTCTCGAAACGCAATTTTTCGTCCAATACGGTCATTTTTTGGTATGCGCCTTTAAACCTGACCTCAAGGTACAATTTTTTCCATATGAGCAGCATTGATGGCATGCGCCTTTAAATCTGGTCTCGAAACGCAATTTTTCGTCCAATACGGTCATTTTCGTTGGCATGCGCCTTTAAATCTGAAGCGCAATTATTTTCAATCTCGATTTTTCTGAATCGCGTGCTTCTTCAAACCAAAACGCGAATGGACGATGTCGATCTACGAGCATGCGCCTTTAAAGAATGTCGCGATGTGACACGAGACTTAAAGAAAAATATTATAATGATTGTTATTAATTACATTTTCATTAGAATCTGTACAAATTGCCATAGTCAAAATAATCAAAAAAAAAAAGGACAAAACCAAAGTAGAAAAAGAAAAGAGACAAAAAAAAACACCCGTTTGAAAATGATCATAAGACAAGAACAACACATAAATTGAGCAAAATCGAGAACACCGATGAAGATTTTCAGTTTTTTTTTCATTTCTTGGGAATCAGCGGCGACGCGGGCGGGGCAAGACCAACAACGGCGAGATCAAGCTTATAAATCAAAAAAAAAACAAAGCAGCGAAAAAAAATGGAAATATGAAATAATGAAACCATTAAGGCACAGAACAAATCGATAGTATGCGGCAACAACTGGAGGTTTTAATTGGTACGCGTAATCAAGTGTGTGTTTGTTTGTGTGTAAGCTCGACATTTGAAGAGAATGATGATCGGATCGCCTAGAAGGCGCGATGCGGTTCGGCGTGCGACGACGACACATCCGACGAGTAGCCGCCGACGCGAACCGTCGTCCAGATTTGATTGCGCGGCCGCAGTTGGCGACGCTTCGGACAACTACGCGCTCGTTGCGACGACGGCGAACACGTCGCCATCGTCGAATCGTTTGGTCGCCGAATCGAGTAGGCCATCATCGTGCGATGCGGTCGACGCGAAGCGCGCGAGACGATCTGCAAAACATCGATTGTTCGTTGGCGTCGTCGTCGAATTCGATCAACTCACACTTTGCGGCAGCGCGTCGTCGGGCGTGAGACGCGGCAGCAGCAGCGCCGTCATATCGTCGGTGGAATTGCGCGGTGGTGGCGGCGGTGGCGGCGACGACGACGTCACCTTGTTCGGCGAATCCGTCTTCGGGTAGTGCTTGTAGACGACATCGAACTGACAAAGCGGGCATCGTCGTTTCGCGAGAAGCCACGGATCGACGCACTTGGGATGGAATTCGTGACCGCAGAACAACACGCGAAGCTCGGTGCCCTCTTCATATTCGTCGAGGCAGATCACACAGCGCTCCTGAATAAACAAGACCGATTTTGAATTGGCGAGGAAAAAAAAGGGTCGGCCAAAAAATTGCTTCGATTTTTTTCAAGCTGATGCGTAACATGCTCCTTTAAATGGTCTAATCGAATTTCGCGTTTGAATTAAAGGCGCACGTCTTGAGAGGGTTCTTGAAGCAAAAATATTGACGAAAAGTTGGCTCGAGAATCGGGTCGTTTCGGGACTCAGCGCAAAAAGCAGCGTGCGCCTTTAATTACTGTCACCGAATCCGGCATTTTCTTTTCAAGAAATTTCCATGAAAATTGTGAGTGGCGAAGTTCAAAAAACTAATTAATCGATTAAAGGCGCATAATGCTAAAAATGAGTTGGGTCTTATGACGACTGATTCCCGTCGATTTTTTAAAGAATAATTGTGTGCAAACACCGTAACGCAAATTGCACAAAATTCCAAATTCGAAAAATAGCCACTGAACACACCTGAGATGAGGCTGTCGATTGCGCCACCGACGTCAGCGAGCCGAACACCGCCAAGTACGACGAGTTCCTCGAGTTCGACATTCGATGGTGTTTCAGACGCGCGAACGTCGACTTTTTCGATTTCGCCTTCGCCGACTCGGCGTCCTTCTCGAAATTGCGAATCTCCATTTTGGTGAGAGCGGTTCGCGCGAGCGCTCTCAGCCACAACTCGCGATGAACCGTTGGTTGGCAACGGATTTTGATGACGACGAGAAGCGAGACGAACGCGATCAATATGATGAGAAGGCCGATGAGACAAATGTTGAGGAGTGTCGGCCGGAAAACCTGAGAGCAACAAAACCAATCAATATTGAATTTTAGAAATTTTGATCTACCTGTAGTTTAAGCACTTTCGGCGGCTTCTCCTCGATGTAATTGATGCGAAGTTTCGCGACCGAGCCGCTCGTGCTCGCCTTTTTGAGCTCATCGCGTAGAAGCTCGGTTTGCTCGTCATCGAGCACGATTACTGGAATTCGGGTGATACCGAGCTGCAATCAAAAAATCAGTAATAATGATTATGGTATATAAAGGGCAGTTTTTTTTTTGAAAAAATAAGTATAAACCAAATTTTCTATTAAAAAAAAAGACAAATCTGAAATTTTCCAGATATTTTTTGAAACCGCAAAATTTTTGTCAAAAAAAATAATATTTGGCCAATTTTTCGGGGAAAAACTGTCTAAAATTCGAGTTTTCCCGCAATCTCATGGTTTTCTTTTCGGCAAAACCCATTTTCAAGTCATTTTTCATCGAAAATTGGCCAATTTTTTCAAAAAAAAAAATTAAAAAAAAAAAGCACCGTCAATGGCTTGGTATTCCGTTCGACTCTCGACGCGGGCCCAACAACCAGCGCCATCGCGCCCGACTTCTCGGCGAATCGCGCCTGATTGTCCAACGCGACGCATCCGGTGAGGAACGGCTGAACGTCGTCGACGAACACCACCGACACGTGCTCGAATATCGTATGATCGACGCCGGTGCGGTGGGCTTTGCACGGCCGAAACGAGGACACCTGTAAATAATAATAATAATAATAATATTGAATCATGGGTGTCCTAATCCCCCCCTCTCTCTCATCCCATTTGAGCGGCTCCGATAAGACACGTCGGTGCGGCCCGATGCGAATACGGTCGTAAATCGCTCGAAACGAATGGGATTCTGTCGATTCGCCTACTATCTCTCTCTCTCTCTCTCTCTCTGATCATTCCGATATGTTCGCTTCTCGTCGAGACGCTCGCTCAGATTACAACGCGCGGCCAAAAATTGTTCGCAAAAACGGCCCCATTCAATTTTTACGATGTTCGCATTCGTCTTTTGATGCCACCGCAACGAGACGATCCGGTTTAAGAGGTGGATGTGCGCCTTTAAAATGCTTATTATGATTGTGTGAATTTGGAAGATAAAAAAACCAGGGCGGAAATTTTGCGAAAATCTCACTCGAACAATTAAAATTTTCGATTTTCTTTTCTAAATTTTAAAGTGAAAATTCGAAAATTTCACCAAAATCAAAAATTTCTCGAGCAACTCGTTTTCAAGCCAAACCGTTTTCTTCAACCATCCCCCACCAAATGGTCCCCCCTTGTTAGCCGAAGACAAAAAAAGCTGAAGAAGAAGAAGAAAAGAGAAGAATCTATCCGCTGCCTCTCAAAATAGTGCGTTTCTCTCTTTTTGGCGAGTAATTGTGTACATTTGTTTGTTATTTGAATACGTTGTCGTCGTCGTCGTCCTCGTCCTCGTAGTACTACAAACCAGCTTCTAATCAAAAGAAGAAAAGCGACCGGGGGTCCCGAGGAGAAAAAAAAAGGAAGGAGATGGTGGGAAGAGTGTCTCATTTCCATAAAAGGATATTTGCGGCCCCGACATTGCTGTTGTTGATGCACTACCAAAAATTCAATTATCGTCGGTTTCTAGCGGAAATTAGTTGTGCGAAATTGAATGATCGAGGCGAAACCCGATGAGCCCATCGGATGGAACAAAAATTGTTGCGTTTTCGGCACCAATCCCGAAAAACTAATATTTTTCCAAACGGGTCCCTAGTGTCTCGAGGGGACCATCGTCGGTCGAGCGCATTGACGGGCCCGCCGCCGCCGTCAGACAAGTCAAACAAACAAAACACGCGTTGAAAAAAAAAGAATAAATGGATTTTTGCCCTCTCTCTCTCTCTCTCTCTGTCTCAGAGAAACAAAAAAAAACGCCCCAACGACGAACGAACGCACCTGGACAATGTCGCCGCCCGTCTCGTAATTGCTGCCAACCGGCGAGAATGTGCCCCAGAGTTTGATCGACGTCTCCGTGTCGGTTGAGTCTGCAAAAAGAACCACGAATGGCGAGAGATTTCGTTGCGGGACCATGATTTCAAGGCGCGTGGAAGCCTAGAATTTCGGGGTTTTCTTGAGGAACCTCAACATTTAAGAATCATTTTAAATGCATTTTGTTGTCTGCGCCTTTAACTAGCCTAGTAGATGGAGCATGTGTCTTTAAAGGCGCATCCACCTTATCAATTCCTCGAGTTTCGTTTTAAAGGCGCGCTGCTTATTTTTTTTTATTGATTCGCTTCGCGCATCTTTAAATTAACCTAGTCGAGAGAGCAATGCGCCTTTAAATCCATCCACAAATGATTTGTTTTTTCTCAATTTTACTGGAAAATAATTGAAAGACCATCGAAACCGCGCGGTTGGCCTCGATTCGCAAATATGGAAACGACTTGATATTGCGTCAAAAACAGCGATTATGATAATCATGCAAACCTTCATTGATATTCCTGTGCGTCACGACGATGTCGGCTTTTTCGGTGAATTTGAATTGCGACGCCGCGTCGCCGCTCGCCACTATCGTGTGCGTCGCGTGGATCGTCGCCGGACGCGCGCCAATCCATCGGACCATGACGATCAGCGCGATCACGTAATAAGCAAGCATGATGGATGCGGCGAGCGATCCTCGATGCGGATGAGAGGGGAGAGGGTGGCTCCTGCAAGCAAAACATCAAAATATTTGGTTATCACAATCCATCACGAATGGGTGGTCCCACATAGAGACGCCTATCAAATGAGCAAACAAAACCGACATCGTGGGGTTATCAATGAATCGAGAGATGGCTGATCGCAAGATTTCGGACAATTTTCAGCGGTTCAAAACTTCAAAAATTATTGATACGATAGGTGAAATAGGCTCAAAAATGAGCGTATGCATCATGTCAAAAAATAAAATGGGGGGGGGGGGTTCTGCAATTCGGACCAACTAAGGGGGGGGGCGACGACGATGGCGAAGAAGACTGCCTGACTCTGGCCGGGCCGCCCGCGCACCAGCATCGCGTCGACCTCGATTGTGCACATAAATCAGTATTTTACGATTGCGCATGGTGCGGTCGGACGGACGATTCGGATAGAATCGGACGGGCAGCGTTTTTCGTTTTGTGGCAAAAATGTGGAGAGAGAAACGAGGCAAAAAAAAGAAACAATTGGCATACGATGACAAATTGACCAAATTTGGATTGGGGGGGGGGCGGCAATGTTTTTGCGAGGAGAAACAAAAAATAACGAAAAAGAATTGGGCCCGCTTTTCGAGTTTTGTCGGAACCGCCCAACAAAAAATTCCGTTTTTTTTTGCACATAACTATTCCCAGATGTTCGAATCATATGTATAGCGGGGGAAAGTTAAAGATGAAGATGATGATCGGCAACGCCTGCTGCCGGTTCGCAGATTTTTCGAATCGGCAAAAAACGACTGTTGGAGAGTGCGCGCGCGGGCAGCAGCAGCCACTGCGATGACGGCGATCACAAAAAAAAACCACAAACATGTCGATGGTGCAGTTGTGATGGTGCAGAATTGGGCGGGTAGCTGGCCGACGAGACACGAGGCGGAGGGCACACACGCACACATACACACACACATATGTATGTCTGATGGGTTGGGTTTCGAGTTCCGATGGGCGTGGCCTCGGATGAAAACCATCAGAATTTTTAGAGAGATGTTGATTTTTTTGCATCTTTTGTGCAGACACGACGTTTTTGGTAAAAAATTTTTTAATTGAAAAAATATTTTAAAAAAATTGAAACAATTGTATTTGTCTCCAAAACTCGATGATTTTTCGATTTTAGGGCTCTTAAACATTTGAATTTTGTCAATTTAATAATTTATGCGGCATTTCTCAAGACAAATGACTCACCAGACGAGGGGGTCGGCTCTCGTGTCGGCGAATTTATTCGAACCTGAAAAATGACATGTGTTGGAAAGTTGCGCAAAACGCGCGCGCATGTGCTCGATTCGTTTGAGATTTCAATAAAAGAAAAAAAAAGACAATGGGAATTTATGAGAGGAAAAGAAATTGAAAACAGCTTTATTGTATTAAAATTCGGCGAAATTATGAGAAAAAAATTTCGAAATTTTTGAAAATAGGAAATTTTGCGTTCTACCGTACTCGTCTGCGACACTTTCACGCAAAACTGCACAATTTTTACAATTTATAGCCAAAAAAAGCGTTGTTGAACATTGAACGAGCAGAAACCTAGCAAATGTTGGTGATGATATCGTCACGAACGGTCGGCGAGTTCACACTCAAACTGACAGATGTGTCGATATCGATCATGACTGATCACTCTTGCCCTACAAAAATTATAAACAAACAGTAATTACAAAACCCGATAGATTTGGGTCAAACTGAGGAATAGGTGGGGGCCCAAAGAAGATTGAGAAGAAGAAGAAGAAGAAGAAGAAGAAGGCGAAGATGATGAAAAAATAGAAGGCGCTTAGTCGAATAGTGTCATAAAGTCTGCATCAACCATAAAAATGTTATTAGTCTCATGAATTGTTTCTTCAATGAGCCCCGTCCGACGAAATAGCGATCGTTTCGATGAGACGACGAGACGCGACGCAATAAAATAGCGTTGAGGAGATTGAGGCGTAGAGCGTCTTGGTAAAACTTCAAAGACGAAATGCCGACAACGTAGAAACGCAACCGCATGCTGGCGTCTGGTCTCGCGACAATGTTTTGTCACAATTTTATCACTTTTATTATTATTATCATCGTCGGCATTGACGGTTTTTATCATTTCGGGGTGACAGACAACACAAATTTGCTTCAATTGAGATTTGCATTTTGTCGACTGACTTTGATGGGATAGGAGCGATTGTCGCGAAATGGCGATCATATTTGACGTCAAACCACCATGCTGTAATCCTTGGAAAAATGGGAATGAGAGACGTCTATTTTGTTTCCTTTTTACTCTAATAGTGCATTTTTGTGTTTTTTCTCATTTTGCGGAACTCGTTTTGCCGGAAATCCTTGCAAAACACCTTTGCCAATGAATATTTGCTAGTGGATACGGTATGCATGTCCGCAAACACCGAGACGCAAACTCTGCACACTGCCAACATGAACCTTTTTTCGGATTTTCTTTTTTTTTTCAATTTTTTTTCATAATGGTGTTGATTCCATGTAAAAATGTTACTTTAAATATTTCTTTCAATTTTTTCTCGATTGTCTCTCCTCAAAAGATTCCCCTTATTCGATTATTTTTAGAATGGATGAGCAAACCAAGTCAAATTTGAAAGCGATTCCACTTTGCCGAACGAAAGCCAGTCCTCGTGATGGAGATTTATGGATTGAGCGATTAAAAGTGAGCATATTTTAGTGGAAATTTCGAAATTCACTTCCCCAAATTTTTAGGAGGAATACGAATCGATTATCAAGGCAGTGCAGAACAATAAGGAAAATGATCGAGATTGGTTCAAGTGGGTATTTTTTGAATTAAATTTTGAATCAAACACTTGAAAATGCGAATTTGATCAAAAATTCTTATTTTAGGCTTGAGTCTAACAATGATGGTACGAAATGGTTCGGAAAATGTTGGTACTACCACGATATGGTCAAGTAAGATATCAAATTTCTAATTTTACATTGGAAAAATTTTATTTCAGGTATGAATTTGATGTTGAATTCGATATTCCGATCACCTATCCGGTGACAGCGCCAGAAATCGCGCTGCCCGAGCTCGACGGCAAGACTGCAAAGGTGAGTTGGACCAAAAAAAGGGATTACAGTAGTTAAAGGCGCATTTTGCAGATGTACCGCGGCGGTAAAATCTGCCTATCGGAGCATTTCAAACCACTCTGGGCTCGAAATACCCCAAAATTTGGTATTGCTCACGCGTTCGCTCTCGGTCTCGGACCGTGGTTGGCCGTCGAGATTCCTGATCTCGTCGAGAAGGGCCTCATTCAACCAAAAACATAATCAGACAAGATAAATATATAATTATAAATAATTTATAAACTATTAATTGGTATGTACATTTAACCGTATTTTTGAAGTTTGACGAATCACTCGCTTTTCACCGGCTTCTTCTTCTTATTCGACTTCACGATATAGGCGTTGATGAAGAATTGAATGAATAGAATGGCGAATGAGACGTAAATGGTGAACGCCAGATACAGATTCGCCATCGATTGCTGGCATGGAAGGTTGTATTCGGTCTTCACCTTGTACACCATCCATGTGACACCAACACCCGCCAGCATTTGGGTGGTTTGGACGGTCGTCACACCCATCGACACCTAAAATAATTTTCGTCTCGGTGTTTGCATGCATTTCAAAATCGCGCTACACTAGCTCAAAAATTTAAGACAAAAAGAAAGCGGGTTACCCATTTTGTAGGCCGATATCCCATTGCGGTGATTGTGTAGTAGGTGTACATCAGCGAATGCGCGAAATAGTTCATCAGAATGTAGAATCGACCGGCGGCGGTGTGCTCGGCTCCAGAATGCACCGTATAAATGAGCACGACGGCGTGATGATAGTAGTGGAGGAAGATTAACGGACGCTTGCGGAGAATGATGAACATCGTGTCGCCGAGCTCGACAATCTGTGAGCAAAAAAGAAATAATTTCGAGTCGATTTCAATTTGTTTTCTTTCGATTAGCTGCCTTATTTCCATATAAGCAAGAAATTTGCATTAAAATACTCGCTAGCGCGCGCCGATGTCGTTTTTCTTTTGAATCGAACGATTCAGTGTTGGAAAAAATCAGTAGAAACTGGATTTTCAGTTAAAAGAAACTCTTACTTTGCTCAACGCGAACGCGAAACTCCAAAACGCGGCCACATCATTCGGATGGCACGAATAGCACAACGTTCGGTAGAATCCCTCGACGTACAGACTTCTTAGCGGATCGACGGAGAAGCGCAGTGTGGCGATAATGCTGAAAATCGCGAGACCGCCATTCCAGAGGATCATCGGTGTGCGCAGATTGAACGGCTTTCGGTTTTCCATGAATTTTTGAATGACTGCAATAATTTCGAATAAAAAATTGTAATTTATAGATTACCTTTGATTAGCATGAAATAAACGATGGATATTGTTATGAAATGATACCAGTACTGCTGGAAAATGATCGTCCAATATTTTGGATTTTCCACTTGCTCATAGGGAAAATGGAATCTGAAATAATTGATTTTGGCATTGAAGAATGCATCGATTTAATGTTTTTAAGAAAACGTTTTTAATTTTATTTAGTTTTCCCTTAAATGGCTGAAAAATTGAAATATTGCTAAAAAAAAATTTCGAAAAGTGAATAACGAAAAAATTGCGTGTGTTTTGTTGTCATGGTGATTGCAGAGACTGCTGAGCTACAGTACCTTAATCAATTAAAAAAAGAAAAGAAAATGATTTTATTCCTTTTTTATATTCTCTAAAAATATTTTATCTATAAGGAAGAAGAGGAAAAAAACGAAAAACTTACGGATATCGATAAGAAGTCGACATATCGCTGTGATTTTTCCCATAAATGGTAAATGTGTTAAGCTCTCGCCAAAACTCCATGACATCCATCATGGTGGATAATCCCTAAACGACACTCGAATGACATTGAGAAAGAAAAAAAAACTAGATCAAGTGGAAACACGGAAAAACGAATGTAGTTAAAGATGAATTAAAACTACATAGTTGACTAAATAGTTAGCATAATAAAAATTATGCAAACTTGTATGGATTAGAATGTCCGTTTCTTCTTCATCGTTTTCTTTTCGGATGCTTCTTATTGGCGAACATCGCGCGATGCGAGATATTTGCGAAATCGAAAGTTTCCGATGACCTGGGTTGTCAAAACGGGCCCCCGGCCCGGCCCTGGGCCCTATAGGGCCCAGGGCCGGGCCGGGGGGCCCTGTTTTTTTGACAACCCTGCGATGACGGACGGCTGCTGGCCAATCTCCAACAGCCAACCGTTTTTTTTTTGAAATTTCAATGCTGCGGACATTCTAGGCATTTTCTAGTCATGTTTTGAATAGGGTGAAATTCGTTTGAACACAATTATCATTAAAAAACACACACACACATACAACGAGCACATTGCGTAATTGTGGACCATCGGATCGGGCGGGAATTCAAATTTCGGCAGCGAGAACTCGTGTACCGCACTACCCACGAATCAAACTCAACGAAAATAATTCGCACGCGATTCACATATAATTATTATATGATCGATGACGGGAAATTCAATTCCTCGGTGTAGATTTACGAAATTGTAAATTTACGAGCCTTATTTTGATTTTCGATCTGTCGTTTGACATCCACATTAACGGTGTTATGCAGATTTTGAGAAGAAATTTCGAAAATTAAAAAGAGAAACTAGTTTTCTTTCAAGAAATCCGGATATAACAAGTTATTAAAAAACAAAACATGCTGCGGACATTGTTACGGGTTGCGCGCCATTAAGAAAATTCCTAAGTTATGCTGATATCTGATGGATAGCCTAGAGTGGAAGAGCGAAGAAAAACAAGAACAAGCCACTACAGAATCAAAAACCGGTCGTCGTCGCCTTTTTATCAGCTTCATCCAACAGTGGCGATCGCCAAATATGTGGTGGAAAATGCATCAAGCCGAAAAAATAAATAATTTAGAAGCAATTGGGGGAAACATCGGTTTTTATAACGGCGAATTGGGGTTAGCCTTACCAAAACCAGACGAAGCTGGTAATCGAGATCGTCGTCGTCCGAAAATATTTAATGAGGCCGTCGGAGATCCAGAAACGCGCAAATTGTTGTTGTTGTTGTTGTTTGATCGACAAAACGATTGTCTTGGCTTCCGTTAATCCTGATCCAGAAGGATCGGATCTGCCATCAATTCTTTTTGATCTCATTTAAAAAAAACAAGAAATTTGAGAAAATTGGATTTTTTCTTAAAAAAAAACACTGGAAACAATTTTCGACGAAATCAGCTCGGTTTTTTTTTCAATATTCTAATCCATGAGACTTTTAAAAATAACCAAATCTCTTAAAAATGATTGAAAAATCGGCTGTTTAATATTAGGTTGGTCGATTTGAGGAAAACTCGCCACTAAGAAGGTATTTCCATTCGAGAGGCATTTCTCACCTTGATCATTTAAAAAAAAAGTCTAGAAAAAATCAGGGTTGCTAAAAAAAACGCCCCCCTCTGGTCTCATTGGGTCCCGGTTTGAATTGCCGCCGCCGCCGTCGTCGCGAATTTCAATTCATCCGATTGTGGTGGCGCAACCGCGAAAAATGTCCGAAGATGTTTTAAAATCAAATTTCTCTTGTTCGGTTTTTTTTTCGATTTATATTTCTCTTGGTTCACCAAGATTCTGCGAAACGCCTTCATTCAGATTGACGACGCTCATTACATTCCTTTGTCATTTAGCCAATTTCACTCAATTCATTTTGTTTTGGTCGAAATTTCAGAAATTTTTCTTTTCTAATTAGTATATCAAAAAAAAATTTTTTTTAAGCCAATTATTACGCTCACCGAAAGTTCTCGAAATTTGCCCAAAGAATGTCCGCAGATGAAAATTGATATCAAAAATTGACACTGACGTTTCACTAGACGGCCGTCAACGTCATTCGCCCTTTGGTCGACCTTGATTCGAGTTTAATCAACAATAATAAAACGACACAATCAATCAGACCGCCCGAACTTTTATTGGATTTATTGGATTGAGAAAAAATTTATTATTAGTATTATATCTAGTGAATGCAGTCTCGGCTTTCTCCTGGGAACGATCCGGCGAGCTGAATGACGCCGGCGTCATAGATCTTCTTGGCGACTTTGCCCGAACTGATGTAGCTGTCCGGAATTTTGATGGTGAACTTGCGTTGGCAGGGCTGTCATGAATTACTTATCAAAAATTGTGTGGGCCACCAAAATGACTCACCTTGATCCCATCGTTGCAATCGTGGTAGATGTTGAGCTTCGGATCGATCGGCGTCATCTCGTCCTCGTGGCCGCTCAGCAGAAACTCGCCGTTGCCGTTGGTTTTGCCGGCGGCCATCAGATCGTCGGCGTCGAGACCGCGATCATCGTCGTAGAGTTTGACGGTGACACCGCCGGCGGGTTTGCCGTCGCAGATGAGTTTGCCGCGAACGCCGGCCGATTGGGTGCGGCCGACGAGCGCCGAAGCCGACGCGACGAGCGCCAGAAGACAAACGAGTTTCAGCATTTGGCGAACTGAAATTTGATTTTTTTCAAATCAAATTCTTCGTCGATGAGTTAAATAGCGAAAATTTTAATGAAGACGATGGGCGGTTGACAATTGTTTATCAACGATGGGTTGGGCCATTGGAACGAGACAGAGAGAGAGAGAGAGAAATACGATTGGCCGGCCGTCTGCTCCTCTTGTTTTCGCGATGAACACGGATGCCGAAAAAAATCGGCTGGGATCCGTTGAATTGTACCGGGTGACTCACCCAACAAAATCACATGGCATTCGGCGAAAAAAAAAATTGATCGAAAATCTGTCGGCGAAATTTTCTGGATTTTATCGAGAATTGGTGCGATTGTGCGTCATTTGTGGCGCAAGTCCGCAACGACATTTCAACTGGCCGCCTGTTATTACAACGATGTTGTACACATATTACTCATCGCGCCATCGAAACAGCAATAACAACAACAACAACAAAAAACTACGAACAATAGAATTCTGCGAGTATTCGTCATAAAATATTGTATCAAATTGTAATAGTTTATGGAAAGATTCAGAAAAGTTCGAAAAATGCCAATTATTTCAAAAATTCAAAATTATTTTGTTTTTAAATCAAAAACCCATTTTAAAATGTGAACCGTTTAACCCCCTCACATATTGAGAGCGTATTTTTTTTTTGTTTCAACAAGTTCAAACAGGGTCCAAAAAAAATCAGCAACCATAAATTCATATTCAAGGAATTCTCGAGAAACGCGTGGACGGCGCTACTACATAGACATTTACAATTAAGTGTGGCTAATTGCTATTTACAACATTTTGAAAGAACTCGTATAATCAATTCAAATCGCAAAGCAAAATAGACTGACGATGATCACCTTGCGGCCGTTGTGAAACTATTTTATAGGGCGAAAAATGTGTGTTGACCTTCATTTGCCCGACAATTTCTTGAAGATTTCCGCACGAATGTCTCAGTAATAGGTCAATGAGGAAAGAAAAAAAAAAACGGAGAAATTTCAATGGTACAAAAAATTATTATTATTCTTTGATTTATTTATTTCAAAATTATATATATATTGTGCAGCAACTTCAACATTCTTTCCGAAAAAAATTTGTTAAGGCAATTTAAAAAAAAAGCAACACTATTCTTATAAACAAGCCAGTAAATCTACATTTATAGTTTCGCGTCAAGACCACTGCCAATGTTTTTATGGAATTATCCGGTAGTCGTTAATTACAAATTAAATATTCAAAAAAAAACCTTTTTCATGATATGTGGGCAACTTTTTCTATGACATATTTAGGTTTCATTCAGGTAGAGCATTCTAAGCGATCCAAATTCCAAACGAGACCCTGAACAGCAACATCGGATCGCTCTGGCGATGTCAACGAAACCCGCGAATTGTCCGCAGGCAGGCGCAATTTTTTCAAAACTGTTTGCCTTTTTGAAAATCGCTTTTATTAACATTGAATTCCTGAGACTTCGTCAACAATTCAAACATCATGCCGCCCGTAACGCAATGTAAAATATTGGCAACCAAAACAAAGCACCAATTACTTCGGTATTTTTTTTTATCAGAAAAACAATGTTCCGACCGAGGCTTATTTCATACCGTAACATGATAAAATTTAATCCGATCCCTTCATTACCGATGTGCCCCTTTAAAAAATAATTGGAATGTCCTAACTTTAAATTTCATATCTGTCATTTAAATTTCATCCATGATATTTAGGGATTTCAAAATTTAAGAATACGATCCTTTAATGTGTGCAAAATGCTGACAACCAATCCGCTTTTAAAAAAGATCATTGAGATCCTAGCACGCCCTTGGCAACCAGCATGTTGAATTATTCAGTGGCAGCCCCGCTTGTCCAAATAAGGACAACAACGCACATTACTTCAAAAATTCATGTCCTCTCGAAACTTCGATTTGGAATATGACGACTATCTAAAGCGTCGTGGATCGCAATGTAAGTCTCACGGATCATCCGAATGCCCAATTCAAGATTACAGTACCGCCGAAGAAGTTCACACCAGCCGATGAGGAGAACGAGGCGAAAGCTAAGAAACAAGTAAAACAGGATTATGGATTGTAAGCCGCGAAATGTCCGCAGATCAGATGAGCTTTTGAAAATTGCAGACCCAATAATGAGTACTTCATGCAAGGCTATCAAGAGAAATCCGCCGATGTCGGCTCGGACCCAATTGGTGCAGTCCGCACACTTCGCAACAATCTAAGAGTGATGTCTCTTGAGCACAAGGACAAAGATGAACCAGTCAAGGTATCATCGACCAAATTGTAATGGTCCATAGTGAAAACAAATTAAACGAACTGCAGTCGTTCCTCTGTCAATCCGCATGCGACGAGCTCACCAAAACCGAGAAGAAGCTACTCGAAATGTCGAATCGGCGATCCGACGCGATATTTCGTGGCGACACCGATTCAGCGCAGAAAATCGCCAACGATATGGAGAGGGTAACAAACAAATTCTGAGAAATGTTCAAAAAAGTTTTCTCATCAAGGTGAAATCGGATGCAATTCGCAACGCCTACTCGGACCTAATGATCGATGATAAACAGGTAGAGCGCAAAATGGGCAGAGTTCCGACAATGACTTAATGTAGATCATTGTGATCAACCAAAAAAGTAACTAGATAACGAAACTTCTTTTTTTTCAACCAGATGAAAGCATTCGGAGTGAATTCAAAATGGACACCCGACAAGAATCCGACGCCCGACGATGATTGGCGACCGATCACGCCACTCAAGCAGCGTAAAAGAGCAACGTAAGCACAAACTAATATCAAGAATTGACATGAAACAAACTCGCAGCACTCCGAAACGAGACCAGCGCGCCGAGAGTCGGCAGAGTCGACGTTTCGAGCCGGAAAGCGAAGAGAAGCCGAAGAGCAGACCACGATCGTCAGCATCGGCGGAGGTTCCTCAAACACTCAATGCTTCTTCAAATCCGATTGATTTCAGCCAAAACCCACAAAGAAGAATCAGCGTCTCGCTGAAGTCGCCAAATATGGTCTGCTACCCGATGTGGTCCAATCGGCTAATGGAACCGTCACCGATGATCCCTACAAGCTTCCCACTCATATCGGGTAGATCTAATGCGCCTTTAAACAACACCCTACATTCGTGTCTTTTTTTTAAGACAATGCCCTCATTGTCAAGTAACCGAAAACGGCCTCGGCCAGAAAGGAGCAATGGAAAAACATTTCGCGAAATTGTGCAAAGTCATGACAACATGCAAATATTGCCTCAAAGTCGTTATGGTAGAATAAGCTTGATCCATGGATCATAGACAAATCATTTTAAATACAGGTCGCACACCTAACGGACCATTTAATTTATCGATGCGACTTCCTTAAAGGGACAATGGATGAATGCGGCGATTGCGGATTGGCGATTGATAAAGAGGACAAGGCGAATGACTCGGGACATCCGATGTGCCGTGGACGAAAGCCACCATCTGGAGCACAATGGTGCCCGCTGTGCACGGTGGCGGTTAACGACGATGAGCAGGTATGCTAGTTTGATGATCCACACAATATGGTCCGCAAAGGATTGGCGTGAGCATCTAACCACGACCTGCTACAATAATCCACGAATCGATGGTCCCGAACGAGATCCGTATGAAATAAAAAGCGAGCAGGACAAAATACTGTAAGCGCAAAAGCCGTTATTTAAAGTTGACATCCTAAAACGCAGAAATGCCGCAAAAGCAAGAAAAGAAGAAGAGAAACGAAAAGCCGAAGAAAAGAAAAAGCTGGAAGAGCAGAAGCAAAGGCAGCAACAGCAGCAGCAGCAAGGTAACCCAAAGCTAATCCGAAAACAGATTTCTGGAATTGAATTTCAGCCGCTTCCATGACACCGTACCCCGGAAAAATGATCGATGCGGATAAGCTGGTCGCCGCGTTGCAGGAGATTCAAGAACGAAAGAAAGCCGAGAAAAAGAAGAAGTTCAAGGAGCTCGAGAATTCATAACAAATTTCGCATCTAGATTTAGCAATAAAGCTGTCTCTAGTGTTGCCCAGCGATTTAAGAAATGCACACCGCAAGTGGTTTCCTAAGCTTTTTCAGCAGCAATACCAAGTATGCAATAAGAAACAATCATACAAGTGTTCCTAGTCCGAAAAAATTTGCCCTCAATATAGCCGGCGATTCTTCAGAATATTTTCTTGAATACTTAAAACCACTAAAAAAATCAACGCAACTGAATAACCTCTAAAATGGAAAATAACCAGTTTGTCCGTGCGAAACCATTAGCGAAGGCGCATTGACGTAAATCTACACGCGTACAGCTGTCGCGGAATATTCACATTCCAAAAAAATGGCGATAGACTTCCCGGAACCAAAAAGAAAACTTTAACACCCCAGTGTATCTGGTAGTATACCAGTTGTATACTTCCGAACCGCACAAGACAATCAACCGGTCTAACTGGAAAACTCGTAGAACCCTTTAAATTAGACAACCGGTTTCACCGGAAAAACTTCCGAACCGCACAAGACAATCAACCGGTCTAACTGGAAAACTCGTAGAACCCTTTAAATTAGACAACCGGTTTCACCGGAAAAACTTCCGAATAACAGTTAATATCGATGTCTTTTTGAATATTGTAAATCACAAACCTTCAATGAATGACTATCTCCCTCGTTGTCTCTGGCCCTAGATAAAGATTGAATATCCCGCTTCTTACGGGGATATCCAATCACTTAACAATTAAGCTTATATCCAGATGAAATTCTTCATTCTTCTTATTAAGGCGTTGTCTGAAATTAATTCCAACATGTACAAACGCCTTTCTCAAATTAAAAATATTTCAAGAATTACCGAATTGAGAATGCCTATAGAAAAAAATCTAACAAGTCGATATTGAAAGTTGTCCCACTGATGTGTGTCTCTCATCAGTGCTCCGCGAAATTGATGCGATGGTACTGGCTTCTGAAAATTTTCGATTATTCGAAAAAACATCTAGAAGAAAATTAATACGTTGAATTCGAGTCAGCAGGAGTACTTTGTCAGGAGTTCGGTTAGTTGATACTCTTTCAATTGTTTGTGGTGTTGCATTTTGGATTCGAGAATACAATCTGAAAATGGAAATTTATATGTGGGTGATTAAAAAAAAACATTACGATTAATAGTCCGTCGAAATGGGACATCCATGTGGATCGTAGATTAGTGAACAAACGCACATCTGAAAAATAGCAAATTTTAAAAGTATAATGGATGATTGCAACTCTACAGCAGCAGATCCAGCAAAGAGCAAACGATCAACGCGTTGGTTGCCACTGAAATAATAGATTCATACAAGTTTCAAAGGCAAGTAAAACGTTTCACGAATAGTATCTGGCTGGCACAACCATGGAAGGCAGACATAGAAATCCTCATCCTCCGATCTGAAATTAAACAATAAATCAATTGAAATTAAAAACGATTGGGTTACTGTTTAGTCAGTGTTTCAGCTCTCACGAATGGCACTGTTCGCGTTTGCTCTATACAAATGCATTACTGAGGAAAATTGAAATTCGATCGTCACTGTTTAGTTAAGCTGTCGATGTTTCAGCTCTCATGGATGGCACTGTTCGCGCAGGCTCTAAAAAAATGAATTATTGAGGAAAATTGAAATTCGAATGTCACTGTTTAGTTAAACTGTCGGAGTTTACTGTTTAATTTGCTTCCATCCTTATTCGCTGTCCTCCTCCAAATGCCGTCGTTGCGTTCATGAAAGAAAAACGTTTAGAATAAATTATTGAATTCAATTTATTTTAACATTTTCACCAACATTTTCGTTTATAATGATTAAATTTTGGTGTGCTGCGCTTTCAAAAAAAAAACTATTCCAGTAAAAAAATATTGCCAATTCGGCTGCCTCGACAACGAAATGCTCCGACGCCACACCACCGTGCGCGCTTAGACTTCCCCAGGCATTTCCCTCCTGGGTCGGACCCTCTGGGTCACCGAATCGGGGTGTTTGATCCTAATCTCGTGGCACGAGACTCGGCACCCGTACGGGCTCTCTCAAATCCGACTCAACGAATGTTCTCGAGACACGCGACACAGCGGTTCGAAACATTCATTGCCGGGCATTGCAGAAAGCGCAACGTCAAAAAAATATACCATAAATTTGAATAAAAGTTTGCGCAAAATTGGTGAAAAATAGAAATGGGCAATGGCGAAAAAATAACTAACGCAGATTCGGAGCACAAACATGACGCCGTTCGCTCAGAAGAAATGAATTTGAATCTCACAGATCCAATAGCTGTTTTAACAATTCCAACCTGAAAATTTAATTTTGAAATTGACGATAAACGGCAAAATTATGCAACTCATCGGCGAAACAAAAACTTTTTCGCTTTTGGTGAAACAGTGGCAAATTTTGGAAAAAAATAGGGGCGAAAAAATAATTTCCATAAATCGCTATTGGGGATTACGGTAACTCGCGCGGTGTACTGCGTACAAAACATAGAATCCTACGCCATTTACATTTTTCATTTTTCAACAATATTTCTTTCTTTTTTTTCCAAATTTACTGACTTTTCCATGTTTTCTTTTCAACAGTCTGGAATTTTCAAGTTAAATATAAATTTTAAACCTTACCTCGATCTGCCAATTCGATACTTTCTCGAAAGTTTTGATTGAACGCGTGAGAAACAAAATGAAATGAATATGGATGACAAACGTTGGCTTTTATTGATTATAATCACGTGAAATTATAATTTCACGTGAATCAGCTTTTGAAATTTGAAGATTTATTTTTTTTTTGAAGTATTTTTAAAATTACCCAGTCCGATTATATTATTTTAAAAAGCCTCATCATTCAGCCATTTTTTCCGAAGATTTTGTTTGACTCATTTGAACTTTTTTTATTTTTATGTTGAAACGATCCGTTTAAAATGTGCTTCTAAAATGTGAAAATAATTTCAGTTGTTTCGACCATCATCAACCAACTTCCGACATCAAAAGACCAAGTTGAGTAATCATAGACTGCGCGATCCCTCCTCCTCCTCCTCCTCCGGAAAACCGTCAATGTTGCATGGAATTTGTGGCACGTGTGTGTGTGCAATTGTCGGCAGCATAAAAACTAGAAACACTTGGAGTTTTTGGCGCGCGCGCGCGCTCGACGTACGGCAACACAAAAGCACACAGGGCCTTTTCTGTGGCCGCGCGCACGGGGAGCGTCTACAAAAAAAACTTTGGCCATTTATTTGATGGCGGATATTGTATATTTGCGTTGGCGCAATAGATCCTCTTAATGTTCGATTTGTTTGCCGGAGGCCGCTGCGCGTTTTTGCAACACACACACACATGCACACTATTCCCAAGTGCACACGGCCCATAGAAGAAACGTGTCGACGTGAAGCATTTGCTCGCACCTTTTTTTTTTGAATCGTCGGTGTTGAGAGCGAAGATCGCGCACAAACAAGCCCGAGAACAAGAGGAGCAGCAACACCTTACCGGTTCTTTTTGATATGATTTGATTTTGAATTCGGATTGAAGTGGAGGCAAAACCTGACCCCAATTGACAGCCGAGACTAGATTTTTCTTCTGTTCGACGGTTGTGGTAAATTGTCAATATTGTTCCGATTGACTGGTTAGGAGGGGAGCCAAACGGGCGGTCTAAAATTGTGCAAGATAACTGCAAAATAAGAGGATCAAAAAATTAGAGAAATCTCTTCAAGACCCTTCTCCAGTAAACTTCTTTCCTGGCGAGAAACAACTCGCTTGTAGTGAAATGGTAAATATTAACGTAGTCCAACTTCCAGATGGGACCTAACTATAATAAAAATGAAATATAATAGTAACTGATGATATTTTTTTGCAGAAGACAATTCATTCCATAATCCGCGTTCGCGTTAGGACCCACTAGAAACGTTCTCTGATCTGCCATTGTCCGATTCACCATAATATTTGCCGATGAAGGTTCCCGGTTCAGCGCGGTCAGCAGCCGCTCGATTCCATCGAATACTAAATGCGCCGATTGATTCTGAATGGAATCGCGTGGGTCCCGGCGACTATTTGCCCAATTTTTGCGTTATTCGCAACATTATGCGCCTTTAAAGACTCGCAGATCATGTGGGGGGACGCGCGCGCCCGCGCGAACACCGAAATAGCGTCTAGCAACAAAAAAGAATAACGAATAATAACATCTGTGCTCCCTAAAGTTTTTTTGCTCCCTCTCCGCGTCCTTCTCAATGACGGCTTGAGCACACAACGGCCGCGGCAAATGTGGGCGGCGCGTCGATGCGCGGAATTTCTCGTCACGTATTTAAAGGCGCATGCACGGCATGTCACCCACCAGAACTTCGAACACACACCAACTGAGGAAGATGCTTCGGATTGCATTGTGCTCTGCGCTTTTCGCCATTTCGGCGGCTCAAGTCCCAGGTACTTCATATCCATCCATTGTTTCGTGTTAATTGTCCGCCCAATGCCATCCACCCTCCAATTTTCATAATTGCGCCCAATCAACTAATTACTGTTTCCAGTTGCCCCTCTGTATTCCGCATGTAGCGCCGCTGTTCCTTGCGCAGCGCCGGCAGTCTGCCAGGCGTCCGTCTGTGTGCCGACAGTTGCCGCGGCGGCTCCGCCCGCCATGTACGCGCCAGCACCACTCCCAGCTCCGTCTCCAGCACCGCTTCCGGCTCCGGCTCCAGTGTTGGCCAATCCCGCATGCGCTGCACCATGCCTCGCGCCAGCCGCATGCGTCGCTGGCGCCTGCGCGTGCCCCAACCCGACAGTTGTCTATCAGCCAACCGTCGGCTGTCAGCCAGCCGTTCCTGTAGCTCCCGCTGTTCCAGTTGCGCCAGCGCCAGTCGTCGCCGGACGCCTCATCCCGCAAGCGTTGCCAGGATCGCCGTGTGAGCCGGGTGTCGAGTGCACCGGTGGTTCCGTCTGCTCGGTTGGCGTCTGCCTTTGCCCGCCAGAGCTCGTCCAGGAGGGAACCGTCTGCGTCGCTCGCACCATCTACGGAGTCGTGCCGCCACCAGTTGTGCCAGTCGCCCCCGTCGCTCCAGTCGCGCCAGTCGTCGCTCTCGGCGCGCCGTGCGCCGCTCCAGTCTACGCGGCCGCACCAGCGCCAGCATGCGCCCCAGGAGCCATGTGCTCGGCGGGAGTCTGCCAATGCGCGCCCGCTTTCGAGCCGGTCGCAGGAGCCTGCGTCCGCAGACGCCTCTAGTAAGCTTTATCGAAATCCCGAATAAGAGACGTCTCAAATTTCTTTTTGCAGAGCATCTCAACTCAACAACATCAGTATCCAGTCAGGAAACGGGCAATTTTTCTATTCTCCTGGATACGACCCTCGCACCATCACACCCATCAATGTCTGTATAAATCGCACGACACTCTTAATGTATTACCAATAAACACAATAATTGGCACTTATTATTATTAATTCACAATATGCGAATTCAGAATGGAAAAAAAAGAAAACCCGTAGAATACCCATAGAGAATCAATAACGACAGAGAATCGGATTTAAGATGGATCATGCTCCAACGAATACTGCCGGATGATTTTGACGGGGCTCATTCGATTCGTCGCCGGATTGTGAATGCCCTTCTCGTGTTGGTGCACATAATTGGAGACCTCAAATTTTTGCATTTTTCACAACACCAAAAAAAATCTCGAGCCAACTCACTTTTCCTCGCGAGATACCCGTGGGAAGTGATGGGTTTCGTTGGAGGACGCCTCTAGAAGATGGACGTTTCGGCGAAATTGACCGACTTTTTTCGTTGGTCTGCAAAGAAAATACAAATTTTTCAAGCATGACTCAAATTTTGTTAAAGCAAATTAACTATCTAATTAGCGTTAGTCATTTTATTGAACTAAGGTTGCATTTTTTCAACCTACCCCTCGGACCACACTCCTCTTCATCCTAAAATTTTGCATTATGCTTACCTTCATTCAATTTTCAAAAATCTATGAAATCTTACCAAAACCTCATGAAGCATTTCGGAATCCATTGATTGACCGGTTTGGGTGTCTCGACTATTCTTCGACTTTCGTCGAGACCTTCCCAAGCTCAACCTTCGCGTCATATTGGCTCCAAAATAATAGCAACTGCGTTCGGACGGCCTGTCGGTTCTGAAATTGAAATCTATCTTTGTGGGGCCGGTTTCTCGATATATCGACGACTTGAATGGCTCGACTTCTTTGGAAGAAAGCGGCGAGGCGGCGCAGACTGGCAAAAATTGCGTTTTGTTGTTGCGATATTCATCGAGACGGCGCGCAATTTTCAAATACGAATCGTCGGTTTGAACAATTACTTCCTGAACATTTTTTGTATTATAATTCTTTTTATATTTCTGTGGACGAGCAAATTGATTTCCCATTCGAATTGCCGCCTTGGGTCTTGTATGGAAATACTCTTTGAAGAGTCTCTATCAATTTTTCACGCTAACTGGATTTTTTTCCGAATTATTGCGTTTGCTTTTTATTTTTTTTTCTAACCGTTTTAAAACACTAGAAAAAAAATAGGTTTGGACTTTGAAAATATCTATTTCTCATCCAATTTTATTTTGATAACTACTTATTTTGTTTTACGGGACCAATTTCCCACGCTCAATTCAAATTTGAATTCCTAAAATAAAAATAAAAAACACACCTGTCGCGTCTCATCTTCAAAGATGCTTGTTCCAACTCCAGAAGTTGATAGGGATCTTCCGCGACTGAAAAATATCATTAAATATCATAAGTCAACATATTCCAATTTATACCATGGCTCAGAAAGCCTTGAGCTGTCTGGAAATCCCGGCGGCGGTGAATATTGAGTGCTCATTGAGACACTCGACACCATCGCGTTCGGAATCCCTCGATCCGATCCAGTTTCCTCGGATAGTTTGTCCGACGATGACGAGCTCATCTCATCATCGCCATTCTTCTTTTTGCTCTTCTTCTTCTTCTTCTTTTTCAAATCCTCACTTATCGATGTCTGCTGCGATTGATCATTCTTTTGGAACAATTTTCCGATAAATTCGGCGATTGATGTCTGCATACTTCGATCATCATATTCCGTGCTGTCATGATGCTTCACAATTGGCGATGTGTTCTGATCGCGCGCCGCCGGTTTTTCAGATATACTCATTTCCTGAAATTTTCTCATGAGATTGATGTTTAAATAGCGGTCTACCGTCTCGACATCCTTCCTAAACATTGGCGAAATCGGATCAGTCGACATGTCGGCATGTTCACGTCTGAAAAACCAGAAAAAATTGAATATTTCGAGAAAAAAAATTGAAAAGTCAAAATAGGTGCGATGGAGCGCACTTGCTTACATGGTTGTCTGTGTTTCGCGATCCTCTGGGTCCACAGCCAACGAATTCTGAGCCGAGATGAAAGCATGCTTCAAATCGATAGCCAGCGAGTTTTGCGCCGAATTCGCCGCACTTCTCGCCGCCGGTTTTCCAATATCAATCGACAGCGAGTGCTGCGCCGAATTGCAAGCGCTTCTCGCATCCATGGATCGTTGCGGCGAAGTGCACGCTGATCTCATCGGTTTGATCCTCTTCAGAATCTCTTCCGGCGTTAAGCTCAAACTGGTATTCAATGATTTGTCCTCAAAATCGTCGCGGCGATCCGCGCTGACAGCGCAGTCTACAAGTTTGCGCTTCTCGTAGTCTGATTTGATCATCGCCTGGCAAAGAATGTCAAGCTCCGCCTGCGAGAAAGCCTTTTGAAGGAGAAGCTCGTCGGATTGAGAATCTTGTGGAGAGTCCATGTAGGCCGACGTCGCCATACTTCGCTCAACGATAGGTGGCCGAACGCGCTGATTCTAAAAAAACGAAGTTCGGTCTCAATGATAAGCAAATTCAGCCGACTTGCAAGCTGGCCAACTTCATCGCGATCTCATCAATCTGGAATTGCGCCAAATCGGTTTGCGCGGCGCCTTCGACAAACTTGTGCGTGTGTGCCGCTGCTCGACGCTGCTGCTGCTCGTTGTGCTGCTGCACACTGACCGAATCAATCGGCAGACTCGTCGCGTCCGATATCGAGTCGCGAAAATCATTCGATCGCGACTCGTCGTTCTCATGCTGCCTGAAATTCGAGACGCCAAATTTTTGACACCTGACGATTATTGAATGAAGCACACAACAACTCACGCGGTCCATTGCGTTCCACAGTGTTGCGGACGCGCTCGATCGCTCATCGGATCGCAGGCCATACTCTGAGCTTTTGATTATTGCGATCAAATCGGATCGGAATGTCTCACCTGCTCGAATCTCTCGACTTGCGTGCCGGCGAACGCCACCGATAGGTCCGTTTGCACATCCTTGCTGTCTTTGAGGATCCTCTCAAATTGCTCCACCTGGAAAATTAATGTCTAAGCTTTGTGCGCTTCTCAAATTCGACCTTCTGCTCCAACTTGTCATTCTGTTGACCGGTGAGCATCGTCGGCGCCATTAGCTGCATCCAAGCCGGCTCATTCGTCATCACATTCCTCAGAACAGCTTCCCGATCGACATTCTCGCCGTTCTCCAGTGCTCGATTGTACTCTTGCTGGATCTTCTTGATCAAATGATAGAGCCATTCTTCCATTTTGATTTGGATCACTGAGATGAGCATTGACACGATCGAAAGGCCGATGATGACGAGAACGAACATGATGATGAACATGTGGGGATGGTCGGGCACGATGTCGCCTATGAATCAATACTTCAATTAATCAATCATCTGGAGGGATCATTACCAAGTCCGATTGTCGATAGCGATATGCAGAAGAAGTAGAGGCTTGTGAAGAACGTCCAACGCGTTTCCCATATAAGGAATAATGAGGAACACGCGCAGACGAAGAGCACACAAATGAGCAAGGCGAGCCAAATTGGGATTGTTCGCGACTCGATCTCATCGACGCCAAGATCGCCAATGATTCCCGATTCGAGGGTGTCGAAGATGCTCCTAACAATTGCAATAATTATAAGCAATTTAAAAAAAAAAAAAAACAATTGGCTCATAAAATTTGCGCATCTAGCCTTCGAAATGAAAAAATTAAAAATGTGAAAAAGTGCAGCAATATTCTATGCATTGTGTGCGTACACCGAGTCGCACATCTCGATTTTAGCTACAGTAATCACAACTGAAAATTATTTAATCAATTTTTTCCTGTGTTTTCTTGGCGAATTTATGGTTTTATGTATATTGTTGTGTTGAAAAAGCATAATAGTAATTATATTAGTATATTTTCAAAGTTAATTGTTTAATATAAAAGAAACGATCAATAATTAATTAAATAATTTTCAGTTGAGATTACTGTAGCTAAAATCGAGATGTGCGATTCGGTGTACGCACACAATGCGCACAGTTCTCCGCAAAAAGTGGATTTGAAAAAAATGTTCTTCCGAATTTTTACAGTTTTCTAGAAATTTCTGCAATTCGCGAAAAGCGCCATTAAATGAGTGAGAGAAATGAGCTCTCGTGGATGCTTGTTTTCAAGCAGAACCACTCACGCTTTCCTTCCCCTCAATCGATTCGTCGTTTTTTGCGCTTTGACTTTGATCCGCCGACAATGCTGTTGCCAGTAGATCGACAACGTCGTCGTCAGCCATTTGCCGCATTTCGAGAGTATCGCCAACACCAGCGGGATGCCGATGATCGCGTAGATCACCGACAACGCGCGGCCCGCCATCGTTCTCGGCGCGATGTTTCCATAGCCTGAGAGATTCAAAAATGTTTTCTTTTTTTTGTTTTGCTTCTGCTGCAAATTCTCACCGATGGTTGTGAACAGTGTGCCGACGTAGAACAACGCTCCCCAATAGTCCCAATCAAGGCATTCGGGTAGGCGCACTTTGAGAAGACGCTTCTCGTACTCGATGAAGATCTCTCTGAATCGAATTGAATTGAATGATTAGCGATGGGGGAGAAACGATTACTCAAAGTTGAAATGCGCTCCTCGTCGATGATGGATCACGGCGATCATTTTCTGGAACGTGTCGTTGCGCAGATTCCACAAATCGATTTTCTCTTTTCTGAAACGCGTCGGCTTATTCGGGCATTTCAGATCCGCCATCTCACCCTTTGACCTCTTTCTCATAGTCGTGCTCAACGAGATAGAAGAGCCATGCTCCGAAGAATGAATAGAGGATCAGGCAGACGCACGCCGAGGTCCGATGGAGTTTGTATTTGTCATAGTAGTATTTGCACTGGAATCGCAAATTGATGGAAATAAACTTAAAGGGCCGTGGTCACCTTTCCCAAAATGGATTTTGGCGGCGGTTGAAGAGCGACCGCCGCCGCCTTCTCCGACGCGCATTCCTCGGGCATTTCCAGTGAGCCGGCTCGCGAGAATTGTCCAGCGAGCATCTCGAACACTTTTGCCTATAATTGGCATTCTCATCTGCGGACATTTTCGATCAACAAACCTGTAGTCGATTCTTCTGAACACGATAATGAATATTGCTGGTGTCGTCTTCACGCTCGTCGCCGTCGTCGTCGTCGTCGTCTTCGCCTTCGGCTAATGTCGCGTCAGGTCGCGACAGAAGCGAGAATTGCGATAGGCGAACACGTGAGCCGAGCGATGTGCCGCCGGAAAGAAGCGATTCGCGCGAGTACGGACGAGAAGCTCTGAAAATCGGCGCGGTGCTAAGAATTCCGTTTAATGATATTCTGCTGCGGACGTTGTTGCGGGTTGCGACAATTTTAAAAATAGTTTTGACGAAAAGAAAAAAGTTCGAATTTCCGATGGGTCTCGAATTTCCCGCCATGTTTCATCTTCTCGTCGAACCCCATAAAAATCAAACGAAGCGATCAAACACCTAGGGACCATTGTTTGTTTTTGTTGGGCCCTCTATCCCGTCCGTGTGTGGGTGATAATTTGGGAATTTTCAAATTCCGATCGGAAGAAGGGTCTCGTCGCGACCGGAACAAAAAAAAACACACACACTAGCACCAACAAACAACAATGAGGGTTTTAACAATGACATTTGACGGATGATTGAGACGCCGAAGTGACCTTTATTCTCGCACACACTGGGTTGTCTAGAGCTGGACGAGATACATGGTGAGCTGGAGCAACATCAATGAGATTGTAATTGAAAAAAAAAGAACCAGAAAAAAAATAATTTTTGAGCCATTTTTGGGTTGATCAAGATTTAAAGGCGCATTCTCCTTGAAAACGCTAACACGGCTCTTTTGAACGTTTAAAGGCGCATATAGAGAAATCTTGAAGGTGTATAGTTTTGAAGACGCACAATTCAAAAGAAAAACCATGAGCGAGCAAGCTTGTGAGTTTAAAGGCGCATGACATTATAAATTGCTTGAAGGCACATCTTCCTTGGAAATCTACACGATCTATCGAAATAGCGGAAAGAATATCGGGTCCCATCAAATTTGAAATGGTCCGCTCAAAATGATTGATGAGGTCGCGTTTTGAAAGGTGTACTAATAGGCGGTAATCGAGCGACAAATCAATTGTGTTGTTTTAGTGTGTGTGCATGTGTGAGCACCGAAAAGATCTGATGAGCCCCCGGCGGGACGCGACACGTACATATAAAAAAAAACGCTAGAATGATTAGACACGACAGCTGTCGACAGCCAACCGATGCGCCTTTAATCGGCACACCTTTGTATAGCGGGAGGAGGGGATGAAGCTGGACGACGAAAACAATTAGTCGCAAGAAAAATATGAAGCTGCGACTCTGGAAACTCAAAACCAATCGGATCCGACAAAATTCGGCTACGGAATCAACCCGATTCGATTGGTAATTCTACGGATAAGATTGGAAAATTGTCGGATCCGATTCGAATTGAAATATTAAAACAAATCGGATTCGAAGAAAATCTAATCGGATCCGAAAATACACAAAAAACCAATCGGATAAGGTTGATTCCGTTGCCGAATTTTGTCGGATCCGATTGGTTTTGAGTTACCAGAATCGCAGCTTCATATTAAAGGAAATTATTGGAGTCGATAAATTCTGGAATGTTTGGAAGGGACCATTCAAAACCAATTTTCATAATCCTATTCGATAGACTGTTAAATTCAAAAATTGTATTATTTTAAATTTAGAAATCGTATTTTTATTAGAATTTTCGAATTCTCTACTAAATGGCTCGGCCAATTACGAATTTTTGAAATCCAAATCGCATTCGAACTATTTGTCAGAATTTGTTTTGCCATTTTCAAAAAATTGGGGAAAAAGGAATTTGTGCAATTTTGCGTGCGTGTGTCTGAACTTTTTCCGACGTGACCTTAAGAAATCAATAGAAGACTAACAATAAATGATCTTCGAAATAATTATGCTCGATTGATTCGAATTCTAGAGACCATGAGTAAAATTACAGTAAATTTCCGATAAAAAATAATTCCTTGCCAAAATCAGTCGGCACGAGACCCATCTTTAATAATGGAAAGCCACTTTAATACAATATCTCCAATTAGTTCTAAATTCGACATTTTAGTTTGTTCTTGAAGCTATCGCCTCTGCTAGCAATGTTTTCAGGGATTCGCAGGAAGTTAAGGCCAGATGGTATATGAAAGATTACTGTAGATTTTAAAGGTTCATGGGGAAGCCTTAATAATAAAAAATTGTCTGAATCTGCTAAAAATCAAAATAGAAATTTTCCAAGACGTTTTTCCAAGACTTTCCTGGTAAATATTTAAACTCCCAATTGTTTTCGATATTATTGAATAGAAAACAAAAATTAAAGACAACAAACCTGTAATTATCATACTTGCTCCCAAGAGCGTCATCTGTATATCCATCGGCGAGCACGGTCGTCGTCGGCGACGTGTGCCGTATGAACATGGCCATCGACGAAACGCGAAACTCGTTGGTAAAATCGAGTATGCAAAATTCAGCGAATTGCAATTCGGCGCCGTTTATTAGAAGTGTGTAATAATGAATATGCGACACCGTTCGGAAGTGCTTGCGCGCAAGCAGCTGTTATCAAAATGAGAGCGAGAGGGGGGGGGGCATTTGTCAACAGGTCTCATCAAATCGACTCGATGCGTTCGTCTTCATTCGCGAACATAATTGCAACTTACAATTTACAAGTGAAAAGGGATGCGAATAAAACCCGATATTACCCGGTAGGCTCATTTTACATGCGAGACAATTGGACAAAGAATTAGTGGGGATTTAAAACAAAAATGAAGTGAATTAGCGGAGCGAATGACCCCAAATGCGATGCGTCGCGGTTTCCGATTGATATGGCTTCGCTGTATAATTGAGCACAGTTTTGTTGACATCCATATTTGGGAAATAGGCGTAGAACGTTTCAAGATTGCTTTCTGATATGCAGCCGTGCACGTTTAGGTGCCGAATTCCAGTGGTGGTTAAATTTCTAAAATTCAGCAAAATTTCAAAAAATACCATTTGCATTTTTTTTTACAAGAAGGTATTGGGATCGATTCCGTAGCACCGATTGCACGACAAGGTTCGAAGCTTCGGAAGGTGTCGAATCACAATGACTATTGAGGTCTTGGTGACCTCGATGTTGTCGGAAATATCAAGATCGTTGAGGTATGGGCAGCTTTGGCCGATGCTCAAAACTACGCAATCAGTGACGCCTTTCTTCTCCAATGTTCCCGAGATGTTCAGCTTCCTCAATGTCGACGTCAGTCGTTTGCTGATCGCCGCGCATGTCGATTGACTGAGTCCACACCAGGCCAAGCTGAGCTCCTCAAGGCTGAAATCGTGTCTTGAATAAATGAAGTTCGCCCCTCATTTTTGTCTACCTTCGACACTTCTCCACTATTAGCTGAAGGCCGAATTCGGTTAATCCTTTAGTCATGGATAAATCTAAGCGACGAAGGTGGGGGTTTTTCGCAATATGACTAGCAATTTCATCGTCGATTGTCTGGTTTTCAAGTGAGAGACCCTAAAAATCATTATTTAAAAAATTACATTATATAATGTTTGCCTACCACAAGGTTTTGGCACGGTTTCAGCAGCATTGCAAGCTGCTTTTTGTTGAGAATCGCTCTGGAAAGATCAAGAAGCTTCAAGCTGCATGGGATTTTGCCGAATAATTTCGAATGGTATGGCTTCAACTCGCATGTATTTACTTGATCGCACTAGAAAAAAAAATTCATTTTGTGTTGTTTTAAAGGCGCAAATACTACTTTGGCATCAGCAAGCCTTAAATATTGCGTATTCCTCCGCAATAATGCCGCCAACGTGAACTCGGTGATCCTTTTGTCGCCGAGATCAAAGTTTGTCCAGAATTTCGAAGCCTCTCTGAATTTTAAACTCGTCTTTTTTCGAGAATATTCAACAAAATACCCGATGTTGTAGAATCTTCGACAGCATCGCATCGCGTTTGAAATGTCTCGTTTACATAAGAATTCGAAAATATTCTCAATGACCAAGTCGGGAATCGGATACTTTTGGAATGGATCTGAAAAAAAAAAGAATTTTAGCATTATAAAGAAAACGCTAAAGAGTTACCAAATGGAGGAATTGCTGAGGAACGCCTTCGTAATCGCACTTCCCTGTTTTCCACGAAATTCATCACCGGCTCCTCATTTTCCCTGAAATTTGGATTTAATATTAAAATCGAATTTTGAAAATATTTACCTCATATTAATACTGCTTCTATCTCGTCGAAATACCTTGAAATATCCAGGATAGTCATCGAGTTCATCTGAATATTCTATGTTCAAAAAATGCGATCTTTCCACTGATGAGTTTTTCTTACTTTCTGACGACTCGCCATCAAGATATGGCCCATTTTCCATGTTGATCGTTCCGCATTTCGAATAGATTTGCTGAGAAGTTACATTTACGGATATGGGCATCATTTCGAATGGACGACGAAATTATGGGGATTTGCCAAAATCGTATCCAAATTTGAATTCGATTCTTTGGCGCGAATATTAAGCGGTTGCAAACGCGCTCCATCGAACAATTTGTTTTTTCGAATTCGAACGCTCGATTTTTGCCATTGTACGTCATTTTTTTGTGGTTTGCTTTATAATTCGTCATTTTTTGACATTTTTGAGGTTGCTTTAATCGAAAAATTGTAAAAATTGATTAAATTTAACAACAAATTGCCAAAAACCAATTTAATGATTTTTAGAAATATTGCTGTGCGTTTTATTTTTGTTGTCGTCATTATTATCATCATCGTTCAATAGAATCATCGATATTTATTTCGAAATTTTGTCCAACATTCGATTATATTTAAAACTTGTATTGTCCATACTAGGCGCTCGACTCGCTTCCATATTATGCCTGCGATTGTATTTGAAGGAAATCGGATCTAAAAGGAAATAATTTAGGTTAAAATAAAAACATAAATGTCGCGTAGATTACCAGGCTTAGGGATTGGCTCTTGTTCCGCGGGCGGTGTGTAATCGAGAACACTCATTTCCTGGATTTCACTTTTGCCCCTCACATACATATTGATTTCATTGAAGATATAATCATCGGACAGCTCATCGGGGATCGATTTGTTTTTGTTTGACGATTTCGCGCTCGTCTGCGTTTCCATGACAACCGGCGCCGGATTAGAAGCAGCGGGAGCTGCTGCAAAACGAATGAATGAATGGGATTAGGCATTTGCCTACGATTGTTATTGATGATTTCTCCCTTTTGAAGTGCTTCGATGAGCGCTTCCAGATCGAGATCGCCGTTTCCAGCCTCCTCGCGTAGTGCTCGCTCCTTTCGCAGTCTCTCTTTCAAGCGTTTAATCTAAAAAAAAGAGGGTTCGTTGAGTTTTTTGTGGCAGTAAAAAAACCTGCTCGGCGCGCCGCTTTCGGCTCTCTTTATCGATTTCCTCCTCGCGTTTGCCATCGGCCCATTTGTTGAAGCTGAAAGTGTTAAAGACGTTGGCACCGTCTCCCATTTTGTTTTCAGCAAATAATACGAGAATTGAGCGCCTCTCTAGCAGCGTCTAATGTATTCTATTGTCTTTTTACGTTTTTTTTTTTGGAAGGCTGGGGTTTCGAATTTTTGAGCGAATACGCCCACAAAAAAAATGAAAAACGATTAAAGATTTAAAAATTTTAATTGTGGAAAAAATATCAAAAATTGAATCTGCCTTTAATGCCTACTGTAGTTTTCAATAAACAAAATCGAAATGTGATCTCGCAACAAGTGAATTATTCTGTAAAAATTAATTATCACGTGAATTTTTTACATTTTCTTTATAAGTTTGACATTATTTCGAAATTCTAACGTTATTAAAAATGTCAAAAATGGACCCCGGAATGCAGAATAATCGATTAGTCCGAATATTCAAAAAATATGCTAAAACCCGACAACAAAACTATTGAATGAATTAATTTTGCTTGTTTTAATATAATATTTTCCAATTGCGATTACGTTTTTGTAGCCCATAAATTGTCCGCAGATGCGTTTCCAAATGTTGATTCTATTGCTTAGTGATAATGTTTATCTTAATCTATTGTTTTTATCATTGAAAACTAGAATATTCATTAAAGGAGCCTTCAAACTTATGTTCATTTCGTGCTCGCACATTATTTATCGTGCGTTTGATGATTTTGTTTTCTCTATTGACAAAATATAGTTTGATCTAGAGCGATTCGATCTACACATTTAGCTCGAATTGTTCGTTTTCGATTTTGTCGAGCACGACGATCGTCGAAATAATCGCGACGCGGCGGTATACGGTACGCAATGCGAAGTCCGCAATTGCGGACACGGCACCCATTTTGACGCAATCAATAATGCTCGTCGCGTTTTTATGCGAGCCGCTCACTCTCGGTGCCACTCGTCGTTTTTTGCCTCTCCGTCTCGCGATTTTGTCACTTTCAAGATTATATTCATACGTGAATCTCTCTTGCTTCACTTTTTTTCCTTATTCTTTTTTTTTGTTTTTGGGGGGATTATCTCCATCGACATGTTTTTTTTTCAGTGAAAATATGTCGGTTACCGGAGAGGAGTCCGCAGATGATTCGCTTTATCCAATCGCTGTGCTCATCGATGAGCTTCGCAATGAGGATGTCACCTTGAGATTGAATAGTATTCGCAAGGTTAAAAAATTGTTTCCCGCAATTTTCATTTATTTATTGTCTTTTTTTCCAGCTTTCGACCATCGCTTTGGCTCTTGGTGTCGAGCGTACCCGAAATGAGCTCATTCAATTCCTTACTGACACGATTTATGATGAGGACGAGGTGCTTTTGGTGCTCGCTGAGCAACTTGGAAACTTCACGCCATTGGTTCGTCGTTTTTTTTTAAATTTGAAACTATTGGTTGCGAAACGCCGCTTAGTCATTTCCAAACCAGCATAATCATTTTCGATTTTTGTTTTCTGAATCCTATCATTCGAATCAACGTCTTGGTTTTCTTTTAGGTCGGCGGTCCTGAACACGTCCACTGCCTTCTGCAACCTCTCGAGAATCTCGCCACCGTCGAAGAAACTGTCGTTCGCGATAAGGCCGTCGAAAGCTTACGCAAAATCGCCGACAAACACAGCTCCAGCGATCTTGAGGAGCATTTCGTGCCGATGCTGAAGCGATTGGCCGCTGGCGATTGGTTCACCTCGAGAACGTCGGCTTGCGGACTGTTCTCTGTCGTCTATCCGAGAGTCAATCCAGCTATCAAGAATGACCTTAAGAAGTAACTTATTTGGACCATAATTGAAGCTGGTAATCATATTGAACATTTAGCTTGTTCCGCTCACTTTGCCGTGACGAGACGCCGATGGTCCGTCGTGCCGCCGCCTCCAAACTCGGAGAGTTCGCCAAGGTGTTTGAGAAGAACGCTGTCGTTGAGGGTCTTCACTCGTGCCTCGTCGATCTTCACGTCGACGAGCAAGACTCGGTCAGACTTCTCACCGTTGAGTCGGCCATCGCTTTCGGCTCGCTTCTCAACAAGGAGAATAAGAAGAAGCTGATTGAGCCGATACTTGTGTCGCTGTTTGACGACAAGTCGTGGCGAGTTCGCTACATGGTCGCCGAGAAGCTTATTGATGTAGGGCTTCGGACGATGTTTTAAGATTCTAGGAATCGTTTTTTTGTAGATCCAAAAAGTGCTTGGAAGTGACATCGAGACGAACCAGCTTGTTGCCCATTATATCAGTTTGTTGAAGGATCCGGAGGGCGAAGTGCGTTGCGCTGCCACTCAGAAGCTTAAAGGTTGTTTTTTAAATAAATTCAATATTTCGAGAAATTACGAATTTGTTTTTAGAATTCGCACAAAATTTGCCTGAAAACGAGAGCGAGTCAGTAATCAGCAATCAGCTTCTTCCTGTCGTCAAAGAGCTCGCCGGCGACACGAATCAGCTCGTCAAATCGGAATTGGCTAGTGTTGTCATGGGTCTCGCGCCGCTCATCGGCAAAGACAAAACGGTCAACGAGCTTCTTCCGATTTACATGCAATTGTTGAACGATAGCACACCGGAAGTGCGACTCAACATCATTTCGAGCCTCGACAAAGTCAATGAGGTCATCGGCGCCGCGCAATTGTCGACGTCGCTTCTGCCGGCGATTGTTGGTTTGGCGGAGGACGGCAAATGGCGAGTGCGGTTGGCGATTGTGCAATTTATGCCGCTTTTGGCTTCGCAATTGGTAGGCACTTGTTTTTTTTTTTTGGGAGATTTTTTAAATTGAAAAATTTTAGGGACAGGAATTTTTCGACGAGAAACTCTTGCCGCTTTGCCTAAATTGGTTGACAGATCATGGTAATTTCTGAATGAAACATCATTGGCGGCTAGAATTTGTGTGTTTTCAGTTTACTCAATTCGTGAAGCATCCACATTGATTATGAAGGAGCTGACGCAGAAGTTTGGTGGCGCTTGGGCCAGCGCCAACATCATGTCGAAGATGCAGAAGCTCGTCAAGGATTCGAACTACCTTCAGAGAATGACTTGCCTGTTCTGTTTGAACACACTTAGCGAGGCGATGACACAGGAGCAGATTCTGAAAGAGATTATGCCGCTTGTTAAGGAGGTTGGCTGAGAAGGCTTATATGGAGAATAAATCTTAATTTTATTGATTTCAGCTTGTTGATGATGATGTGCCGAATGTTAGATTCAATGCCGCCAAAAGCCTCAAGAGAATCGGAAAATGTCTATCGCCGAAGTATGAGATTTAAAAAATTATTTGTCCGCAGATGCGAATTGCGATTTTTCAGTGTTCTCAATTCTGATGTGAAGCCTCTGCTCGAGAAGCTCGGCAAGGATAATGATTTTGACGTGAGGTACTTTGCCGAAGAAGCGCGAAACAGCCTTGGACTCTGAAGAACATTAATTTTTTTGTCTGTGTGTTAATTTTACTTTAATTTTTATCTACAATATATTACCAACCCTCCACAACGCACAATCAATTATTACGTTAATTATTCATGTGTAAATTACTATATATCCTTGCAATGAGTGTGTGTGTTTTTTTTTTTGGTGAGTGCTCTCCAGCTCCAACTCCTTCCTATATCTGATCCTTTATCGATTTGTCTTCCCCTCCCCCCGATGACGTTACTGAATTGTGTAGTAATTGTTTCAACTGGGGATCGTTTTGTTGAATTGCCCGCAAAATGATCTGATTTTCAAATTAACTTATATGATTTTCATTCAACAACATGGTTTTTGCGACGATATATTTGATATTTATAGTTTTTACTCTCTTTTTTTTGTTTCGTTTTGCGTGGCCATCGATGAGAGCGATTGAGAAAACGCCATAAATTGTCGCAAGCGAATGATATGTGTGCTGAACACATATGTCAACTGTATTGTGTGTATTATTCTTTTGAATTGTTATTATTGTCGTTTTGGTTGGGCGCCACACGCGAGATGTTGAGAACTCATACTTTTAAATATTGGTGTGCGACGTCAGCACAAATGTCGAGTCTCCGCTCTATTTTCGATAGCTCTTTCTCACTCGTCTCACTTTCTCGTTGTTCTTTTTTTGGTTGGTTCGAAATTCGGTTTTGCAGAAGTGAATTCGTCGTATTATGCGGAAATGTCGATGAGACTTGCCATCATTTTGTTGGTGTTGGCCGTCGGCGGCGTTCGCGCGTCGGCCGGAATGTTTGATATCGCGCAATTGAGGTTGATTGTTTATATATATATTTTTTTTTTCCAAGGATTGAATGAGACCCGGGTGTGTGCTGTTGAATTTTTGGTGATCATCGAGAATCAATTTTTATTTTTCTGGATTTTTGCAATGCAAAGATCCTATATTTAAAATTAATTGACGCGAATTTTTTTTTTGATTGATTTATTAATATTTTATGAATACTTTCTTGGATTTTGAGATTTTTGCATTAAACAATAGTGCGGAATTCAGGAAAATGAAGAAAACGTGAAATTGGTGTGTGCATTAGCTAAGGAATAAATAGAATGTCGTGCGCTTCGCAGAAAATGAAAACAATCATCTGCGGACAAAATTTGCGTTAGCTTCGAATTTCAGAGAAATCTCGTACGACGCCGATATCAGCGACAATATTCTCTGGTTTGCGCCAACGTTTGACATCGCCAAATTGACACCCGAAAATATTGACGAAATCGAGCAGGAGCTTCTGCAGAAGTTGCCCAAGGTTTGGCGGGGATATTGAAATTTTCGGAGAAAAAAAAAAAACAAATTGCAGGAAAACGACGAAAAGTACACGTTTTTGACGAGCAATGTTGGCCAGAAGTTCGCGTGCAGTATTCCCGAGTTTTCGCCGAACAAGGTATTTCGTTTGGGGAGGTCCCGCGACGAAATCTTTGAATTTAGACGGACGTTGTACCGCCGACTAGTCGAAATCCGGCGTATTACGCGGACATCATATCGGCAAGCTTTTATGTGACGAAATGCATTCAATTGGTGAGTTTTAAAGGCGCATAGCTTGATCAATTATTGTTTAATTGAAGAAAACCAACGGCTGGTGGAGGTACACGCTGTGTCGGGGAAATTATATTGAGCAGACGCACGGCAATAGTAGGATTTTCATTTTTTTTTTCGGGCGAATTTTTGCATTTTTTTTAGAAGGCGATCCGGATTTTGCAAACTATTTATTGGGCATGTTCGACGGCAATTTCAGCATGCCCGATTATCAGATGTCGACGGCAGATCGCCTTCTGTACGTTGAAGAATCGTATTCGAGCGGAACGTTGTGCGATTTGGAGAATCATCGCGAATCGAGAAGCAGCCGAGTAAAAGTAGGAAGATATTCATTTTTCGAACACGAAAAATTGGAATTTTTCAGTACGAATGCGATGTGAATTTGGGAAGCCAGGAGGCTTATATCGTCTCCGTCGACGAGATCCGCCCGTGCCGTTATGAGATTCGCGTCAAAGTCGGCTCATTGTGTACACTTTCCGAATTTTTGGCGCCGAATCAGTTGAATCACGACAAAATCATGTGCTATCCGTACATTGGCGGGCAAAATATAAAAAAGATGTTGGAGAAGCATTTGAGAATTGCGGACATGAAGGTCGGCATTTGTTGGATTTCTGGCAATATTCGAAATAAATTTTCGATTTTTAGGCGTTTAAAGCGCGCCGATTCGCCCAGGCGAAACAGGAAGTGGCAATGGCGACGTATCGGACGATTGGAATCACGACGACAAGGCTGGCGCATTTGGTAGCGGAAAATTGTTTGTCTGAAATTTTCTTAATTGAAACATTTAGCTGGAGAAATCGCAAATTGCCCAGGCTGAAATGGATTATAAGGCGAGATTGTATGAATTTTTATTGGCGAAAATAACACGTAAGCAATTTAATTTGAAGAAAACCAGCGAAATCTTGATTTGAAAAAAAAAATTTAATTTTTCGGGATTACGGTTTTTGAATAGTACGCATTGGTGTTTGCACAGGAAACACTAGAATTGACGACAATAGAACTTTTTCAATCTTCAAATTCTCCTTTTTTAGTTCTTGAATCGTCTGAGGACGCTGTTGCAAGCAGAGAAAAAGGATTATGGGCATTAGTCGACATCAATGTCATTCCGACGGTGCACAGTAAGCGATTCAATCATAATAAATCGGAATCGATGAGCAATTTCAGCGATTTACGATAGTCCGTTGGATATGGATCGCGGAAATTTGTGGTTCTATTTTCATGATCGAGCGTGGCCGAAAAAAGTATTTCCGAGATATGTTAAACATGTTGCGGTGAGCTGTGAGATTTGAAAAGTTTGTCGAAAAGGTCATTTTTAAAGATTGAAAATGCCTACTTCAAACATGCCATGGAAGCGTTAAACAAGGCGTTGGATGATCAAATGGATGGAAGGATATCGTTTGAAACTCTCCGGCAAAGGTTTGAAATGGATGTTTCTTCTTTTTTGAGAGGTTTTAAAAAGAAAATCTCTCCAAAAAACTCATATTTTCTATGTAACGCGAAATTTTATTCAGATTCAACGCTCTGATGACCCATGGCGCTCAAAAGCCGCGCTGGGTCATCAATTTGCATGGAAATGAGGTGTTGGATGCGCTGAAATCGCAATTCTTCGCGCCTAGCTACAGTTTCAAAAGCCTAATTTCCGAATTATTCGCGCAACATAGATTTGAGCGATATATTGCACTTAAAGAAGACGCCGATGTTCCATTCTTGTTGAAAGGGTGAGTGAAATGGATTTTCTGTGCGAAAAAAAGACATATAAATTTCTGAATTATAGATTCGAAATATCTGAAAAGTTGTTCCAACAATGTAGTCGAGATATTTCGATAATGATACGAAGAGGCGGACCGGATATTCTTGAAGACGTCCATCCGGAGGGATTCAACCAATCCGAATATAAATTCATTTATTCCGGATTGGAATTCACCAGAAATAAATCGGGAATGTATAACGTAATTTTTTTTTGTCGTCCCAATTTTCTTCATGTTTGTATTCATTTTTAGGTGAGAATTCCGGATTTGCAAAAGTATCGAGAAGAATTGGAAGCCAATTTCACCAGATTGCTCTATCCTGTGTATAATTCGCTTAGGGTGATTGAGATCCTTAAAATTTGTGATCATTTTTGTTTTGTAATTTTCAGGCGCAATATTATATTCGAAACGGCGGCGGAATATACTTTTTCCTACCCGATCTTGAGTTTATCCATCAGCCGCATAATCCGGCGTACCGATTCCACAAGAATCTTGCGAAAGACTTGGCCGTTTTTGCCGCCTTCCTTTCCGACGCCACACTATTTTGTCTGTCGGGGTACGAGCCTCGAATTTTCTTTTTGCCAACTTAATATTTTTTTTGCAGACAGATCCAAATGTATCGATATAATCAGGCGCATGTCAGCGAGGAGAATAGTCATGAAGTTTTTTGGAAGTGAGCCTTGAATATTTGATTATCTATTTCGTATTAATTTTACATTTTTTTCAGATTGTTTTTAGCTGAAGCGAGAAGCTCGAAAGAGGATGAAGAACGAATTGTGGTTGGATTTTTTGTTTTCACGTTTCTTCTTTTTTTTTTGATGAATTTGCTTATTTCAGAAGAAAATGGAGGATTTGTTGGTTGGAGGAGGAAATGAAGAGATGGAGAAGGCGCTTAAAACTGTTTGGAATAAGAAAGCCGAACAATATTGGATGGCATATTTGAAGGAGGTTGGCGAGTAGTTTTGCGCGATAAGGCCTCAATTTTCTTTTAAAATGCAGTGATGGCCTAGATTTTTTTTTTCGTCCACCACTCGCCCGGAACTTGATATTGCGCGCTCAGAAATGTTGTGAAAAACCTTTGAATTTGTTCGTGAAATATTTTTCTATTCCAATTTTGAAATTCGCGGGCTTTTGTTTTTTTTTGGCGCGAGATTTGAATATTTAATTGACTTTGGCGAAACCAATTTTTTTTTTAATTTTTGGAATATTCTAGCAATCGACAATTTTTTTGTCAATATTTCCGAATTGAACTTTTGAGTATCAGCGCTGCAGATAACGAGATATCCTTTGTAGAATGTCAAGGTCGTTTCACTGATGGCGTTTTTTTCGCTCATTAGATTGTCAGAAAAAAAATTCATCGTTTTATAGGAAGATGCTCGACGAAAGGAAGAGAAGGCGCTTTTGGACATCATTGACGATCTGATGCCGCAGGGATGGAATCAGGACATCTCGCCGATGGGTGTGAAGTTCAAGCAGCACGATGACACCGAATCGATGGATTTGTTTGATGTCGCGAGAAAGTTTGATGAAGCCACTGGTAGATTCGTTTGGAATTCGCCTCGCATTTGATTGTTTCTTCCAGCGCAAATCGGCAAAGGTGATGCGCCGATGAGTTTCGAGGAATTCAAGCGGCAAAAAGCGCTGAAGAGGCTTGAGTCGCCGAATCCGAATGAGCAGGACGATGGGTTCAGCAATGAGGAATTTTTGAACTATTTGTTTAATCATTTGGAGAAGACAGGATCAGATTGTGAGCATTTTTGCGGGTTTTTGTACTTCAAAAAAAATAGGAGAGGCTTTTTTGGGTAGTATTGGAATTCGACGTTTTTTTTAATATTTAAAAATTGTAGAAATTTTGATTTCAAAAGGATTTGTTAAATTTTTACAATTTTTTCGAAATAAATTTGAAATAATTGAGATTTTTTGCGGAAAATTCTGAAATTTGGGAAGGAAAAGTACAATTCTGAAATTTTTGTATTAGAATAGCAAAAAAAAATAATTGCGAAATATTGATTAAATTGAAAATCACGATCAAAATGTTTTTTTTTAATATGATTTATTTTTTTTTGCAGTTCTTGTGGCTTCCGAAGAGGATTTGGAGACGTTGATGGCGAACAAGAAGATGATCAAACAAGAGCTCGAAGGGTTCATGGACGAGTTGAGAATTCAAACGGAGTTGCACGCGAAAAAGCACGCCTACACGACGAAATACGAATGGAACGATTCTGAATCGGACGAGCCGAAAAATTGATAATATTGTGTTTTGTGTCGCATTGTTTATTTATTATATTGTCGATTTCCTTAAATGGGTACCCGCTGTCACTCTTATCTTGTCGTTTTCCCTCTCCGGTCATTTTTTTTCTGTTGTCTCCCTCTCTATCTGTATGTGTAATTCGGCTTTAATTGGTCTATTTGGTCTATTTGTTTCGTTTCATTTTTTTTTTCGATTTAATTGAAACAAGAAAATAGGTTTCTAATTAAAATTGGCCAAGATTTGAGGTTGATTGCCGTTTAATTACCTGCTCAATTAATTGATTGCCAAATTTTCGACGTTTGTCTTTAGATCGCTGGTTGGGATTTGTAAATGCGATTTTCAGCGATTTTTGCGGCGATTGTTGGAATCGCAATGGCCTCGCAACCCATCATTGTTGTTGGCGGCGGTCTCGCCGGTTTGTCGGCGTCGTTGGAGATTCTGAATCGCGGCGGACGCGTGATTATTGTCGAGGGCGAGGCGAACACCGGCGGAAATTCGGCGAAGGTTTGACACAAAAATTGTTTTGCTAAGGGCGGGATTCGAACCCGCGACAGTTTGAACCGATGAGAGCTCTAACATCTCACGCCTTCGACCGCTCGGCCACCTTAGCGGCAATTCTGGAAATTTGCTAACTATATCATATAAAAACAATTCGCGAATTACTGTATAAGTCGCGGCGAGACCAACGCGTGTGATTTAACCCGTGTGCCTTTAATCGACATTTATATTTTTGAAATCAAATTTTCATTTTATATTTGAAGGAGAAATTAAATTTCAAGAGTATTAAATAGAAATTGGCGATTTGGTTTGAAAATATTAGTTTTTTTTCGCCAGGCTTCTAGTGGAATTAACGGCGCTGGAACGGCAACTCAGGCGGCGCTCGGAATCGATGACAATCCGGAGAATCTCATCAAAGACACGCTGACCGCTGGCGACGAGGAGAACGACAGGGAACTGGTGAAGATTCTGGCGGAGAGCTCGTCGGACGCCGTCGAGTTTTTGAAGAAGGTCCCGTTTTTTTTTGGATTTTGAAAGTTTTTTTTAGCTTGGTTTTTTTGAATTGGTTTATTTTAAAAAATTGTGCCTTTAAAAACCGAATAGAATATACGATCCTTCAAATTGAAACGAAAATTGTATTAATTCTAGGTTGGCGTTGATTTGGGCGATGTCAATCTTTGTGGCGGCCACTCGGTGCCGAGAACTCATTGGATTCCGTCGCCGAAAGAAGGACGACCGATTCCTGCCGGTTTCGAGATCATGCGACGCCTTCGACTTCGATTGGATGAGCTCAAAGCGAAAGATGAAGCGTCGATTCAGTTTTTGACGAAAACCAAAATGATTGGAATCGAAACGGATTCGAATGGTCGTGTCGTTGGAGTGAAAACGGAGAGTGTTGATACCAAGGAGGTGCGGATTGTCAACGGATTGGCGGTGATTCTCGCCACCGGCGGATTCTCGGCGGATCACGAGGACGACAGCTTGCTTGTCGAGTTTGGACGGCAAAAATTGGGATTTCCGACGACGAACGGACAATTCGCCAAAGGGCACGGTGTGAAAATCGCGAGGGCTCTCGGAGCCCAATTGATCCTAATGGATCGCATTCAGATCCATCCGACGGCGTTTGTTGATCCGAAGGAGCCGACAGCGGGGACAATGTTCCTTGCCGCCGAGGCGTTGAGAGGCAAAGGGGCGATTCTGATCAATTCGGAAGGAAAACGATTCGGCAATGAGCTCGGCCGTCGCGATTATCTAACGAAACGGATTTTGGAGCATGCGAGCCCCATTAAAGAGGAGTTCCAGGTAATAATTGGTGGTAATTATGCAACAAGATAATTGGTGTTTTAGAATGGGTCAGGTGGCCGACATGCCGCAATCATGCTTATGAATGAAGCGAACGTTGATTCGTTTGGACGACCCGCCTTCAATTTTTATTCAATTGTGAAGAAATTCTTCAGTAAGTTGCCCCGTTCTTATTATTATTTTTTTTAAATTTCCTCTCGAAATTAAAATTTCAGCCAAGTACAATAATGCGGATGAGCTTGCTGAGAAGCTTGGCGTTGATCCGAAGGTGATCCGAAATGAGCTCGACGATTACAAGGATCATTTTGATGGAAAATCGGCGGATCGATTTGGGAAGACGGTTTTTCCGGTGTCGCCGATTGTGGCCGATGAGACGATCTACGCAGCGATTGTGACGCCGGCGATTCATTACACGATGGGCGGATTGAGAATTGATGGCAACGCGCAAGTGATCGGCGCGAACGAGAAGCCGATTCGCGGATTGTTGGCCGCCGGCGAGGTTACCGGCGGTGTTCACGGCTCGAATCGTTTAGCTGGCAACTCGCTTCTCGAATGCGTCGTGTTCGGAAGAATTGCCGGCGAGACGGCGATCAAATTGGCGGCGGCGGGAATCGAGCGCGAGCTTTGATCTACCATTGATTCTCATCCCCTCTCTCACTCTCTCATTATTTCGTCGTTTTTTTTTCATTTTGAATCGTTTATTGTCGATTGTACTTGTGATAATTTGCCTATGGGTTATTTAAAGCGGAATAAAGTTGAATTATTTTCAGAAATGTTCGAGGAGGAGAACGAGCAGGATCAGGAGGTCACCGCGGCCACAATGCGACGATTGGCTTTTGAGAAGATTGACGATGATTATTATTTGGGAGCTGGCGGTCCTGAAGACGTCGTCGAGTCTGACGATGAAGCGAGGTGAGAGATTTGGTCTTGAGCGGAACTCGAGCTTTTTATTTTATACTGTAATGTGCAAAATTATCAAAGAAACATTTTTCTTTATATCTAGGTTGAATGCTGATTGGGTCTTGTGTCGAAAAATAATTTTATTTCATTCTTGTCCTAATCTAGTTTACATTTCATTAAATACGACAGTAAGACTTAAAGGCGCAGCGCAAAATTTGAATCCTCGAAAATTGTTCTATTTCGATATATATATTTTTCTGCTTGATTTCGCCATTTTTTTTGCAAACAACACTTTTAAAGGCGCATAGCAAAATGGTGGGTAATAAAACAAAAAGAATCCAAATTGAAGCTTAGTCGAAACAATCCATGAATTATGGCTTCCGTTGCACCAGGAACCATTTGAATTGCGCCGAAGAAAAAGTGCGTATTGATGACGTCACGAAAGTTTTGAAAGTACTCGTTGTTTCTTTGGATGATGATGATGGGCGCTGTCAACGCGTCGCCGAATGCAATTGATCATCTCGAGCGCGTTCGCGAGTGATAATGAGCGCGAAATAGCGTACAAGAAGGTGTCATCGGGTTGGAAGAGAGAGAGAGGAGAGAGAGACGATCGAAAAATCACAAATATTGATTTATTCGCTTTAAAAAGTTGTCCGAATTTTTGTCGCGCGCTGTCCCGATCATTGGCGAACCCAACCGGAAACGATTTAGTATATCATATCGATGATTTTGCAGCTCCGACGATGAGGTCAAATCGCATTTGCGGAAACTCGCCGGCGTCGAGACGACGAAAATGACGAAGGACGCGTTTGGGAGGCGACGTAATAAAAAAAGAATTTCTCGATCGCAAAAAAATTGACCTTGTTTTACTATTGGCGTTTTTATTGTAGGGCGAAGATCGGAGTTTGAGGACGAGATGGATGAGGAGCTTGATCGATCGATTAGCGAGTACGCTTGCGAGCATATGGGCGCCGCGTCGGCTGCCGTCCGAATCGAGGACGTCACCGATGAGGAGGAGGAGGCGAAGCAGCGCGCCCATCGAAACGCTTCGGAGATTGAGCAGCAAATGGTTTCGCTCGAGCTGTTGCCGTATGACGTCGAGTTGACCGACAGCGAAGTTGATCCGGAAATGCCGGCGGCGGTGTTGAAGGACGACAATGGGGTGCCGCTGAAATTGGTGTACAGTTGTAGACGCGGCGAGAAGTTTGACATTGTGAGAGCGTTGCCTTCACACATTTATGGGATGTTTTGAGAGTTTCAGGTGGAGCGCAAGAAGCGGCAAAAGGAGCGGAGGATGCGAGTTGCGGCGTCGAGGCAGCCGGAGAAGCAGCGGAGAGAGGAGATGATGAGGAATGTCGCGGAAGGGTATAAGGAAGCCGTTGGGAGTGCTCCGCAGAAGGTTTGGAATCGAGAAATCGGATTTCTGAATGGTTCGAATCCATTGGTTTAGAAGAGGTTTGCCGATGGAGGCGCTTCGTCGCAGCCGTTGGCTTCGATCTTGAAGAAGAGCAAGAAGAAGGAGGAGGAGCCGATGGAAGAGGAGTCGAAGGAGAAGGAGGACGAGGATGAGGCGAATCCGATCAAGAAGGCGATCCGCGAGAGGGAGAAGGAGATTGAGAAGGTTTCGAAGCATCGTTGATGATGGTAGATTGATTGAATTGTTTAGAATGACGAGCTGTTCTATGATGATGAAGAGGATGAGGAGAATGAGAAATGGGTGAAGGATCGGCGACGCGAGGATCGCGGGTGATTTTTCTGATTTTCGGTTTTTTGTTCACGAAATATCGCCTTTCAGGGATGATCTTCCCGGTGACAATGAGATTGATGGGGTTCTATCGTGCCCGGGTTGCATGATCGAGCTGACGAGGGATTGTCAACGGCATGAGATCTACAAGACGCAGTATCGGTAGGGACTCAATTTTTGCTAGAGAAAGTGTTCGCTTCAAAAAAAATCTGAAATTTTCGAAAGCTTCATCATTTTTCATTCAGAGCCATGTTTGTTTCGAATTGCCGACTTGACGATGAGAAGATGACGGTTGAGAAGACGGGCAAGGCGAGGAGAAAGGAGAAGCAGAGACAGGTGAGAGTTTTTTTTTTGAACTCATTTCCGGTTTTTCACTCCCTAATTTGGTCACAATGGTTTCTTGATTTGATTTCAAATTACTCAATGTATAATGTTTTTTTTTTCTCATGATGTGTGTCGCATTTGCGATTTCGCGCGTCTTTTTCTCGTTCCGATTCATATGAATCAACATCATATCAATCGGGAACACTCGTCCTCTTCATCGGTTCGAACAGTGTGTTTTTTTTTGGTACGGTTTGCCAACCAAAAGTTGTTGGCGACGGTGTGTCTCGTTTTGCGTTTGGCGTCGATCACACATCGATTGAGAATTAGAGAACGTCGGTTTTTTTGGGACGACGCGCCTTCTGGAAGGTCTTCGTCGTCGTCGTCGTGACGAACGAGGAAGTGACATGTCTGGATGACGGTGGGGGTACTTGAAATTGGCGGAAGTCGTCTCTCCGTCAATTCCGGCCGACTCCCAAATTTTTGTTCGACGTTCTTTGGATTTTTTTTTGTTTGAAAGAGGATATATCGCGTAGATCAAGTGCGAAATGAATTTTGAAAGTTTTTGATACGACGACCTTGATGGATGGTTGTGACGTATCGCGATTGGCGTGAACTGTGAATTTTTGGTGGTTGAAGCATTTTTGTGAGTGCTTGCTCGAGTGGGGGGCAATTTGAAGTGCGATTCGCCGAAATTGTTTCTTCTTCTTCAATGCTACAAATTTGGTAATTTTTTCCCACTTGACAGGAAACTAGACGAAAATCCACTAATTTTGCACTAAATTGGCAATTTTATTAATTATCGTAACATTTTTAATCGAGCAAGGCGATTTTGCTGGAAAAGATAGACTTGTCTTTATGACGAATTTGCGTATTTCGTTGCAAGCGATTTCCACACGAGACCGATTCGATGGCTCTGATGACTCGCAGACGGTCTGTAATTAGGTGAATTGAGAATATTCGAGAAGTGGTGACCTAATTTTTTTTTTGAAAATTTTTCATTGTCGGCCTTGAGGGTAACGCCGCCATCTGCCGGAAAACGGGTGGCGGATAAAAGGGCATAACTCAATATAATATTTGATTGCAGGCAGGTGTTCCGACGTCGCTCAACGATGATGACTTGTTCACGCCGGTGAAGTGCGCCTTGTGCGGCACATTGGTCGCAATGATGGACTCGGACGAGGTCTATCATTTCTTCAATGTGTTGTCTGGATACTCGTAGATAGAGTTCATCCCCCTTCCACACCCCCCTGATCCCCTTTCCCATCCCATATTTGGATTCGATTCGATGATCTCGATATCCCTATTGATCTTTATTCCATTGATTTTGTTTGGTGAACATCCGGTTATCTATCTCGCTCGATCTATCCCTCTCTCTTTCCCCCCTTTTTTGGCTAGATATGTTGAATTGTTTTATTTGAACGGTTTTGTGCGATATAAAATAAACTATACAGTGATTAAAAGCGGCGGAGATATGGATTGAAGGACGACGACGACGACGTCGGCGGCGGCGGCGGCGCCCCTCGATCTTATTCGCGATTTTTCCCCGTGCAAAAGTTGCAAAAATTTTTTGTTCGTTATTTTTTCTAGTAAAAAAAAATGCGCGCGTTTCCTGCAAATGTGTTTTCTTTTTTTTTTGATTTTGCGATTTTTTTTCGAATTTGTCAGTTTGTGTCAGTTTTCCTGCAAAAAAAAATTGATTTTAATTAGCGCAATTAATAATTATTAGTTGAATTTATCGAAACAATTAACAATTTAGGTTAAAAATCGAGAAAAAAGTGGAAAATTTTGCGAGAAAAAAATTGAGGCGAGATGAAAAATGAGGTGTGTCCGCAATTTCATGTCGCCGTGCATACACACTATTCTCATTTTCACATTTAAATTCTTGAATGAATCGAAGTTTTACATTAATTTGCAATGGAATAATAAAGTGCAAATGTGTGAATTATCAAATCAAATCCAAGTTGGCCATGAAATCGAACCTAATCACCTTCCCATCAGCATTTTCAAGTCGAATTCGATGAGCGCGCGCCGCCGAACATCTCAAATGACGTAATTCGCGGCGAATTTGCAAGTGTCGCTGGTGAAACATTTTTTTTTTCTCGTCCATTCCCAACTTGTGAACTACAATCAGTCGGCGGGACTGGTTGATCACAAAAAATCGGCGATATAAAATACATATAGATTTGTAAATGATCGGAAGTGATTTGTCATTTCGAATTAGTCGAAATCCGATCCTCTAGCATTGCGCGCCTTCTTTTTTTTTACGACGGATTCGGTTGAATGTTCCACCGTTCTTTTGTTCGATGCGTCTTGTATGTTTGTAGTAATGATAAATGGGTGTGCCCTTATAAGGGTTACAACGCACGCTTGACTGACTTGATCGCCATGGCCGTGATTCGGGTGTTGCGATGAAATTCGGATTCGAGCATTTTGAATTATTTTCAAACAAATCTGAGGCGTCAGAAGTGATTAAATAATTCTTTATTAAATTTCATTTTTCCATTTTTATGCATCAAAGATGACTTTTCTAAGGCCAGGGGGTTTTCTGTATGGCAAAATTGCGAGTTTTTAATTTTATAAATTCGAAACACATCAAATTTGGCCCTAGAAACAGAGATGGCCGAACTTGTGCGGCCTGAGAAAAGTTAGTCCACCAAGAGCCGATTGATGCTTGAAAGTCCCTCGTTGAGACATCCCGTACGTGAAAACACACTCAATTAATCCAATTACCGTTGTGTTATCTCATAATGATGGCTGTTTTTTTGGGGAGGAGCGGCCCCGATATCGGACGTCGACGTCGTCGTCGTAGAATCGCGATGATCCGATTATTATTTATTAGCGTTTGTTACCATAATCGTCGTGGCTGCTAATTGGTCGCAAATCTAGGCGAACCATTATTTATGATGCGGCGACGGTCCAAATTGGGTTGAGCGATGAACGAGAACCAGAAAAAAAAATGAAACCCCGTCGACAACAGAATAATTTTAAGGGTGATTTTAACGAGAGACAACAAAAAAAAAAGCCCCCCGAATGGAAAACACTTAACGTGACGAGAAATTGCACTAAAATAATCGAATCAGCGAACGTGAAAATGCGCACTATCGACGGCTTTCTGTGCTGTGAAGCAACCATTTTGATCTTTGCGCCACAAAACCTCTTGAGACGGAAAATCTAGACCGCGAAGGTGTTCAAGTTTTGATTGGATGCTGCTTTTTTGGTGGGCGGGTTTGTTCTACGCGATTGTGGCGTCCCATCGACGCGTGGAGTGATGGCTCAGTCGGTTGCGCGGCGCATTTCGCCGCCGCCTTTTGCGGAATCGAGTCCGCGCGGGGGGATTTGTCGATTTTCCGTTTTTGCATTCTGATATGCCAATGCCCGCCCACGCGTGATTCACAACGACTTCCGGACACTCGCGCGCGCGCATTCCAAGTGGTCGTTCTTCAGAAGTTTGCCGACAAAAGTTTGAAGCGTTTGTGTGCGGGGTGGGCGAGCGACAATTTATGCGATCCAAAAAGCAAGTAGGCATTCATGGAATTTGCGGACGCGCGACCGTAAATCAAACAGCGTGGGTGGGTGTTGAAAAGTGCACCACCCATCGCCGACGCCGCATTATGCAGGTGGGGGAGGGTGGCGCAAAAAAAAAACACAGAATAATGGAGAGGGAGAGGCCCATTAAATTTGAATGGCCATCGCGCCCCGCCTTGGATAAATACATATAAGCGGTTGTGTTGAATATCAGGTGTCGACTTCTTATCATTCATTCGCGGTTTATTTTTTCGTTGTGTGTGTGTGTGTGTGTAAGTGTTGGCCGGATTATTTCGCCCGCGCCGTTTTTATGAGTTCGGTTCGATTTTATGCGATGAGAGTAACACGAGAAGGTCACGCCCATCGGTGGGTGAGCTGGGGTATTTCCAGCAAAAATTTCATTTTTTCTATCTGCGGACAATTTTATGTGAGTGGGGGGGGGGGCGCTAGATGTCCGCAGCAGCTTCACCACCCCCCCCTTCTTGTCATTTTCAGTGTCACGTGCTTCTATAATTGCAGCGTTGATCGACCGTTAAGCTTCCGAACATCAAATAGTTGCGTGTGTTGAATGTAGATAAGTTTGGGTGTGTGTGTGTTGGAGTGTGTACGTTCAATTAGAATTAGTCGCAGCCCCAACCATCGGCGGGGGGTTGGAGGATGAGAGGAGGCGGTCGAGTGATAATCAGCATTGCGTTTCCGGTCGGATCGGCGGGTTCTTCTCCTCGCGCCGACTCCGCCCACTCACATCGGGGAGAGGGGGGGGGCCGCCCGCGACGTCGCCATCTCGATCCGCCGCCGCCACAATGTCTGCGGACCTTTGACGCCCCCCCCCCTTGTCCCCTCAGCGAACCGAGTTATGATCCTTAGTGGGGGAGATCCTCGTCGGATCAAGTTTTTGCCTTACCCTAATTTGTGTATCGATTCTCTCGAATCATATCTCATGTTATCTCGCTCTCTCTCTCTCTCTTATCTCGATTATCTTCAAAACGAAACTTCTAATTTTTGTTGCTGTTGTAAAAATTGGCATTTTTGCAGCATTTCTGCACTCCTCGGGTCCCCCAATTTATATGGCAAAAAGTGATGATGACGTTGCTGGTGCCGATTGTCCTACTCATCGATGCGTGCGTCGCGTTTAATGTGCCCCATGGATTCCTCACAGGTTCCTCGCCACCCATTCATCTCTCCAAAAGAAACATAAGAGTTTTCAGGCCAACCGGTGACATCGCATTCGGGACCATCCGAAGTGAGTGTGGTACGACGCGAGAAGCGCGGCTATTGGTTTCCAACCAACTATCAATACGACAATAATGTGTTGATAAGCTCCGAGCCGCCCAATGAGTACCTCAAGAAGTGGATCGTCCATGAGCACAATAGTTATCGTCGAATGGTAGGCTTATTCGGGTTGCAATTTCATGATGGTCCCGCTTTCTAGGTGCCCGCTTCCGACATGAACATGCTCTACTGGTCCGACGAGCTCGCCGCGTCGGCGCAACGCCACGCCGACACGTGCGATTTTCGGCACTCGCGCGGACGCGTCAACGTCGGCGAGAACATCTGGGCGGCGCCGTACAGCAATTATTCGGACGCGATCTCGATATGGTTCAACGAGGTACGCTGCCGCTCTCGGCGAGCACCAATCGCTTATTCTAGGTGCACAATCCGCGATGCGGTTGCAATCACGCCTACAAACACTGCTGCGGACATTATGTGCAGGTTCCGGCGACGGTCGAATCATCAAATGATTTCGTTTTTTTCTTCTTCTAGGTGGTGTGGGCGAAGACGAATCTCGTCGGATGCGGTTTCTCGCGCTGCCGCGACGTTCAGGGCGTCTGGGGACGCGGCCATCGCAACGTGTTCGTCTGCCACTACAATCCGCAAGGAAATACGGTATTCGTGACGGCGCGCGGCCAGCTTTATGCGGTTTGTTTTCACCCCGTCACCTTGTCCATTCTCTCGTCGAGCCCTAATCGAGTGTGATGATGCTCCATTTAACCATCGCACACCTTTCACTAATGGTCCTCGAGGTTCCCCGTCTAATCATTTCCGCTTAACTAACTCGAGAATCGAAACGCCCGGTGTGTGCGCCTTTAAATCATTGGTGTTGCAGATGCCCGCGTTCACATGGGCCACCGACGGTGCCGATCGCTGCTCGCACTGTCCGGAATCGGCGCCGGCGTGCTATCAGGGTCTCTGCTACAAACCCAAACAGAATTACTATGAACGATCTGCGGAGGAAGTGGAGACGACGACGACGACCACCACCACCACCACCACCACTACTGAGGTTCCGGAACTCAACGATGATAATGTGGATGCGGTGGAGAACAACGGATTCCGCGTCTAAATTATTTAATTATTTAATTATTTGTAAATAACCACCACCCCCCTCCCAACCCAATGCCCCCCCCCGTCCACCCGAGTGAGCCATTCCACCAACGTGTTCGACATTACCGTTTGCCCACACCCACCATCCACCCATCCATACACCATATCTCTACCAATTGTTTCCTTATATGACGAAACGGGTACACCTGTGATGATACGATTTTTGCCCCTCCTCCCCCCACCCACACACACTCCTCCGTGTCTCGTTGAAATCCTTCTTTGGATATTTTCGGCGAATGCTAAAGATGATTAAAAAAAATATTCGATGTGAAGTGGCGATGGGGTCTCTTGACGCGAATTTTCGATGAGTTGAGGTTGTTTCTGAAAAACATGGGTATTCTGAAAATCTCGAACCGCGAAGGTGTTCAAGTCTTGATTGGATGCTGCTTTTTTGGTTGGCGGGTTTGTTCTACGCGATTGTGGCGTCCCAGCGACGCGTGTCGGTTTTCCGTTTTTGCTGCCTGATATGCCAACCCCCTTGTGAGTCACAACTTCCGGACGACTAATTCGCCATGACAAAGGATTCTGGTTTGCTATGCCCTCGAAAATGTCCGCAGATGGTTGCAATCAAATTTCTTTTGAGATTTTCGCGTGAGCCACTAGAAATTTCATTTGGGTCTTGGCGCTCATCGAACGATAATGGGAAGAAGCTTTGAATTTAAAGGCGCACACTAATCTTTTTATTTTTCCTTTCGTCGGGTCTCATGACGATCGGTGGCGACCACTCGTCTCGATCGGAAAACCATAAAATCCGAAAGGGGGGGGGGGCGAGGGGAATGTCAGCTGTTTGTTGATGGGTCGTTAATTTCGCGTGAATTCGCCGTTCGCATAAAATCCGAAAATCGGGTCCCACCACGAAAAGCGGGATTAATTAAACCATTGGGCGAATGGTAAAAACAAACACGAATCTAATTAAGGACGGGATTTCCAAGAAGAAAGAGAAACAAAACAAAACGCGGTGGGTCCGCCCCAGTGGGTCGGCGGAGCCACGCGGCCACGCCCACATTTGTTTTGAGCTTGCTTCAGCAAGCTCTATCTTGTTGGCGTGACGCTGCTCCAACTCAAACTGCTCCAGCTCCTTCTCTCTCTCTCTCTCCCTTCTTTTATTTCATTGTTGTCGTCGTCGTCGTCGATTCATTGTCTTGCTCGTTATCAAAGAAATGAAATAGCATATTGCAGTCGATCACCGACGAACAGGCAACGAGAATGCTTGGAGCTCAGGCACTTCGCACCAAACAGGTAACGTGTCGCGATTGGTCCCAAATTCCAGTGTGCGCCTTTAAATTCGCGCTAAATGCGCTTTTAATATTTGGTGTACCTCTTTAAACAAAAAAATCTGTTTTTTTTCCAGTCTATGAACCTTCAAATTTCCGCTGAGCAGCACAATGCGCCTTTAAACTTTGGCATACCCTTTTAAACGAATTAATCAAATTTTTCTTGACTATGCGTCTTTAAATTTGCACTAAAGAGCCTAATGCGCCTTTAAACTTTTAGTATACCAATTTAAACGAAAATTTGGTTTTTTCTTGACTATGCGCCTTTAAATTCCTTCTCGGTGATCTAATGCGCCTTTAAACGTTCTCCTAGCCATCTTTCAGCGGTGTTTCGAGTCATGCGCCTTGAAAATTTCATTTCGCCTCTGTCACCGCGCCACCGTTTCCGTCGAAATATTCGGCGGCCATTAATAAATCAAATAAAATTATCGTGGTCCCTTGACGGGTGGCCGGAAAACCAGCGTCATTCCGGCGGCTCAACAAAAAAGAAAACCACGAACTCCTTTTAGGGACCAATTTTTTTGTTCCAATAAACTCACACACAAATGCATAGAGCGACAAAGTGAGATTTTATTTTTTTGGGGGGGGGGGGTCGCGAAGAGAAAAAAAAATGACGTGGTGACGGGCGCGCGAACTCGACGAAATCCTTCCGGCTCCGAGTACGATGGGCTCTCGGAATTAAAGGCGCATGAGTTGCTTTGAAGGCAGGGTGCGGTTTAAAGAAGCATGAAGGTGTTTAAAGGCGGCCGTGCGTCCACAGGTGAATTTCAGAAATTTTAGTAGTCTAGTCGACGAATCGTGCACGTTTTCTCGTGCAAACGTAACCCGACACGTTTTTTTTTCAATGTTCGCGGTGTGGACAAAAAATTCTTGCCTCCTTCTTCTTGACACCCATCAAAACCTTTTCTGTCCGTCGCCACATGACACCTTTTCGTTCGCCGCCAAAAGGAGCACAGCGAGACACACAACAAAAAAAAATTCATGTCGAAACGTGGCTATCAAAAATCATGTCCGACAAACGCAGAAGATGTGTCTAAAAATGGAAGATGTCTCGGACGGGTTCCCTTGAGATTGAGTGAATGAGAAGAAAGTGAAAAGCCGTCTTTTGTTTCCGCTTGCAGCCGCCGCACAAAAAAATATGACAACGAGCTCTCTCTCTCTCTCTCTCTCTCTCTCATTTTTATTTCTTTTCTTCTTTTTTTCCAGAAAGCCGAACGCAAGGAGAAAGAGAAGCGGCATCGCGAACGCATTCGGAGCATTGAGATGCAACGCAATCAGATTCATCGCGCCGCATGGTAGGTGATTGGGGCAGGTCGCTTCCTCTGGGGAGCAGTTTTTGAATGCAAGGGTTTCCGGGTGGGGGCGAACCCGCGAGGCTTCTTATGCCGGCTGCAAAAGCGAACCACTGCGCTATTGGCAGCTTTATGCTTGGCCGGGTGATTGGCGTACATGAAACCGGTCGCGCGGAATATGAAGCTTTCCAACTCATTCCATCCTGAAAATTACTATTTTTTCGTTGTTGTCGAGTTATATGTCACATATATGCATGTAGACAATGCCATAAAAGTGACGTCTTGTCGAATTCTCAGCGGGCAGATCCATGTGACCCAGAAGGAATGAATCGAAAGAAAAAAAAGACGGCGAAAAAGAAATGAAAAATGATGGCGAGAAACAATTGGCTGATTGATTTATTGAGACGAACAGATAGTTTGAGGCTCAAAGCTCGCCGAGCACACACGCCTATTAATCAAAACTTTTTTATCTTTTTGTTTTGGCGTAGAAATTGATTTCTGAGGTTTGAAATGTTGTTGTTGACCATTGAGCGGCGCGTGCTAACAATTATACGGCGTTAGCTGCATTAGGCGCGTAGTGATCATGGCGCAGTTGATAAACTTTTTGTTGAAAATCTGACGAACCCGTGGGTTCGACCCCGCCCCGCGGCAAATCGTTTTTTGCCGACGTAATCCGCAATCACCCATGGAATGCAATTTGCACACTCACACGCACACAAGCGGAGATTCGATTTTCGGCGGTCCGAATTATTGTGGCAATGAGCCGCGATGAGAAAAAAGCCAATTATTCTTGAGGGTCCGGCGGGCCGCCGGCGATGAAAAGATTGATGGGACACAACGGACCATCATCATCAACAACATATAATTGATGATAAGAAAGGGATAGAAATAAAAATAGTATAATAAAAGTGAACATTGGACCATCGTGAGGGCAAAAATCGAATTTCGGGTCGTCGAGAAAAGAAAATAAATTGGAATTCGCCGCGAGACCCCCCCCCCTCATCGATTACGGTACTCAAGTGTCGATTCGGTTGAAAAGCAGCGAGAAACAAAAAAAAAACGAATTTTCTTCTGGTTGTGGGTCTCGCGGGGATTCTTGATATTCACAAGTTATAAATGTACACATATGGTGAGCAACATGCCAACCTTGTTTTTTTTAGTTGCTGCTCGAGCTCCGAAAATTTATTCTGTGCGAGTCGCACCGGCAATAACAATAAATAACCGATGAGCCACAACAATGCGGCTCATTTTTTTCGGGGGGACCAATAACACGGATTAGGCGAGCGCCGCTCTTCGTGCCTTTTTTGGGATTAAAGGCGCATGCGCGTTTTTGTGAGAGGCGTCGGAGCAATCGGTTAAAGGCGCATAGCGAGGAGATGGGAGGGGGTTAGTTTTGAAGGTTTTATGGTTTGCTTATAGTATTTTAAATTGTAGGTATTCAATTTTAAAGGCGCATTGGAACGGAGGGAATTAAAGGTGGCGGTGTGGGATTTATCTGGGGAACAGTTTAAAGGCGCATGACTCTCACTATGAGGCGATTTTGATTTTCAAGGCGCATAAAATATAATATGTTTTTTTTTTCTAAACAGCATTCCATGGAATCGCATAAATGTGAAGCTAGCTGCGGACAAAAAATTTACGAAATTCCGGTTACTGTAGCTCCACCAATTTCGGACAGCCCCCACCCTCCTTTAAATTTTGATCTACCCGATTCCCATATATCAATCGACGCAGAATTTTACGCCGATTTCGAATCTGCTACCCGATTTTCATCAATTTTGAGACAAAAAAAAAAAATTCGGTGTTGATAATTTGGCGAATTTTCAGCGAGGAATCCGAAGCGCAGTATCTCGACATCACCGCGAATCCGCCGCTAAAAGTTCGTAGCCTGAGCGTTTGTAAAAATGGTGACGAAGTGATTATTGTGAGCTTTTCGTTTTGTTCTCTAGACAAACTATTGTTTATGTCAGTTTCTTTGTGCTTTTAGATGTTCGGTAGTTTTAGGGGGAACGTTTTGAGCAACAATAGGGACCATGAATTACAGGTGAACACAAAACATCGACATTCGGTGCACTCGGGAGCAGTTCCGCACCTTCAAGTGCGTCTGACGAGCCATCGCAACTCATCGGCGGACCGCTATGAGCTTGAGCCGAATGTGAGCCCCCCATCGCCGGCTCATTGAGTCACCGAAATAATCAATTTATAGGAGATGGGACCACAACGATCGACGTCTAGCGATTATTGTAGGGCCGATAAGAAGGTGAGCCGGAAGCAAAAAAAAAGAAAAGAAAAAAGAGCAAACCGGAATTGGATGAATTCCAGAATTCGTCGGTGTCGAGCACAACGCGTCTCCTCAAATGGCTCGGCATCAGCGATAAAGCCGAGCCGGCGACCGACAAAAAATCGCTAGCCAAACGCCGAATGTCAACGTACACCTAAAAGCAAAAAAAAAGAACATTACCAACAACGAATTTTTTTTTCCACCAACTTATTTTGTGATTCTTGTCGACATTCGTTATATTTATTTATTTTTTCTTGTCCAACTCCGCTTCATTCTATTATTTTTCTTCTTCTCCTGTTCACACAATAAAGACCGCAATTGTTCGTCGTGTCCGGTGTGCATGGTGCACGTCATGCTTCGCTTCTTATCAGCGACGGGTTCCTCATTGATAAGCTGAATATGCTTATATAATATAATTTTTGTCGTTTTCGCGAAACGATGCGACGCTTTGCGATTCTCGCCGCGATTTTGGTTGGCGCGCTAGCCGCCACGTGTCACGAGGAAGAAGCCCTCGATCCTAGCGGACAATAGTAAGGATTTTGGGCGCGCGACCCACCGACCACACAATAGATGCTTGGATTTGCAGCTGTTTTATAGTGGCGAGCCATGAGAGGACGTTTCATGAGGCCGAGAAGGCGTGCTATGATTACGGCGGATTCCATTTGGCCATCATTCCATCAATGATTGACAACAATTTCATCTACAGTAAGTCATGCGCCTTTAAACGCCCTTGAATTGGTTTATTTGGGCGAAACTTGCTTTATTCGAATTGCTTGAAAAATAAACATACGAAACGAAACATGTTCGGAACATTTCGGATTTTAGATCTTACCAGAAACGCGAACGTGTTCTCCAACTACTTCTGGATCGGCGCCACCGATTTGACGGGCGATGGAAGTTGGGAATGGGTCGACGGCACACGAATGGGCTTCACCAATTGGGCGAAAGGCAACCAGGCCGGCAGCTGTGGTGCGATGTACTCGAACGGCGGAGTTTGGTATCAGCAGGATTGCGAGCAACAATATCATTTGCTATGGTCCGGCACGTGGCGCGCCGACGCAAAAGACGACGAGTGAGAAAATTCTGGAAAAAAGTACAACAAATTTTTACGATGATTTCCAGCATCAGGACCCACCACTATTCCGCTTCGACATGAGACCGTGTTCGTGAAGTTTGTTGGCGACGCTGAGAGTCTTGGCGACCCGAATACTGATGCAAATGTGGCGGCGCAGTACGCAAAAGTAAGAATCGCTCAAATTTATTCGCAAAACAGGTCGTTTTTAGCTGAAATTTTTGATTTTTAATTTTTTTTAGTAATTTTAGATAAATTTTCGGTTAAAATTTAGAACAATGCCGCGAAAAAATGTTAGAAAAATGCAATATTTGGGATACTTTTTTTTATAAAACCGTACTAAACGTGTCAAGACCGTATTTCATTCATGAAATGCGCCTTTAAACAATACCGTAATGCTTTCTGTCAAAATATCGATATTTTTCAAAATTATCTCAATTTTTTTCTTGAAATTAATTAATTTCAATTTTAGCAACGCGATTTCATCGCTCAAATCGCTGATTATCTTTTCACGCATCCCGACAATGACGGAAATTCGTGTAAATATTATGCGAGTCCCGCATTCTACGGATATGGTATATGAAATTGTCAAATTTTCAAGTTTTTGACTGAACGTTTGTTGATTTCAGCACAATATGAGCAACAATTCGACACATCGCCGGCATGGAGCAAAGGTCAATTCGACAATTTGCTCAGCTCAAACGAGTGGGACGTGAAGACGACGCTCGAAAATACAATCAGCGAGTAGGAAAAATTGATGGACGCGTATTTTTTGAATTCGATTTTCGATTTCAGCGCTATCAATGGACTTCACAAATTCCGATGGTCGCCGCCGATGCGTGATTTGGGCTATTCGGTGCTCGTTTTTTTGACCTCGCGGTAGGTGGTTTGATTTTTCCACCTCGACTGATAAGGGCGTTGAGCTCAAAATAGTCTTATCAGTGACGGTGTGAATCCGGGAATATAGAAAAAAAAAATGAACATTTGATCGATTGATATGAAAAGGTCGAATTGGGGATTTCTAGAAATTTGAAAGTGGTCCATACAACTCTTGAAATTTCCAGAAAAGACTTTGCCGGCATTCCATCGCTGTTTGTGCCTCCCAATAGGGCATTTGACGAAATTATTGTGGTTTCGATTGACGGTAACTAACGCAACTTTCGATTTCGATTCCAATTCGGTTAAGGCGCCTCAATGCCGACGCCAAGCAACGTCCCCAACATTGCCGTCAGCAAACAGTTCACCCAAACCGATTTGAACGCGGTTCTCGCCAAACTCAAATGCCACTAAACTAATGATAATAAACTTGATTGTAGAAAGGTTTTTTCGCTGTAAATATCCCATTCACGACTGCGGAGAAGGAAGCAAATTCTTGTGAGAGAAAGGCCTTTAGGGGGAGGGGTGGGCTATCAGTTAATTATGTACAACCTTGGCAACGCTCGCCGTTGTTTTTTTTTTACTTCCTCGCTTTGGAAATGTTCTATAAAAGGGATGGCGTTGGCATGATGGGTACATTGTGTTGCAATGGAAGATATTACTAGGAGAAACGCCTACCGGTTCGTCGCCTACTCGGCCGTCACCTTTTCGGTGGTCGCCGTCGTTTCGGTAACGATTACACTTTGATATTGTCCCATCACTTGCTTTCAGCTATGCATCACTCTTCCGATGGTCTACAACTATGTGCACAATGTGAAGAGCCAAATCAACCATGAGATTGCCTTCTGCAAGCATTCCGCCAAGGACATCTACTCGGAAGTCAACCACATCCGAGCCAATCCCAACAATTCGACGAGACAGAAGAGACAGGCTTATGGAGGTTTAGCAGCGCTTCTTTTCGGATTTGATCTAATTTGGCGATTCAGGACAGTGTGATGGATGCTGCTTGCCAGGACCAGCTGGACCAGCCGGAGTCCCAGGAAAGCCGGGACGCCCAGGTCGTCCAGGAGCCGCCGGACTTCCAGGAAACCCAGGAAGACCACCAGCGTCGCCATGCGAGCCAATCACTCCACCACCATGCCGCCCATGCCCACAAGGACCACCTGGACCACCAGGACCACCGGGACCAGCTGGAGATGCCGGAGCACCAGGACAGCCAGGATACGGATCGGGATCTGGAGCGCCGGGACCAGCCGGACCAAAGGGAGCCCCAGGACCAGCTGGACAGCCAGGACAGCCAGGAGCCCCAGGACAACCAGGACGTGACGCTCAATCCGAGCAGACCCCAGGATTCCCAGGACCAGCGGGACCACAGGGACCACCAGGACCAGCCGGAGCCCCAGGACAGCCAGCCGGACCAGGATACCCAGGACCACCAGGACCAAAGGGACCATCGGGCGCTCCAGGACAGCCAGGAGCCGACGGAAACCCGGGAACTCCAGGCCAGCCAGGCCAATCGGGAGGATCGGGAGAGCGCGGAATCTGCCCGAAATACTGCGCCATTGACGGAGGAGTATTCTTCGACGACGGAACCTTCAGAAGACGTTAAATCAGTTCTTCCTTTGTATAGCAATGAATCATTATATTACAAGAATCTGCAGTTGAGCAAAGCCAAAAAATTGGTGTTAGATTGAAAATGAAATGAAGTGGGATGGTTTGTTTGGGTCTTGACGTTGATGGACGTTGAGAGGAATACGAACAGATCGTTGAAGCTTCGAATCCGCTGAGACCGATTTCATCGCGATCGTCGTATCATCGTTTTGCCGCAGGCATAGGCTAAAATTTGAATTGCGCGGACTAACTGTGTATCGAAATAAATAATTTGATCATTGATTTGAAATTAATTAAATATTCAAATGACGCGCCAATTAGAAAATTTTGAAATGTGTACAAAAACGACTACGGTATTGTCATGGAGGTATGAATTATGTCTCGTATGGAAAATTGCTAGATGATAATTTTGATTAATTTATTCATCATAATGTGACATGATATAGTTTTTAAAATCAATTTTAATCATATTGGTCCCCCCCCTCGAAAAATTCCCAAAATTTTTTTTTTCAAATTTTTTCGAAGAATTGTGAGCCGATTTGATTTTGAAGGACCAATCAAATGATAGGCCCGCGAAATTCGGTCTGTAAACGATTAATAGATATTCGCCGGAAAAGAAAATGCTGGAAGTTCGGAAATTATTCTGAACAGAGGCGGGACCTTCAAATTCGCGAAATTAGTTTAGATTTAAATTTTTCGTTGAAAATTGCAATAGTATACATCATTTTTTGATAATTTGAAATTTTAAAAGCTCGTGTAGTCAATAAGAATCATCGAAGAATTCAGCGGACCAATTATTCAACGAATTTCGAATTCCTCTCTACTCCTATTTTAGATTTCATTGAATTTAGAAAAAAAATGAATTCAAGGAAACTCGGAGGAACCAATCAATTGGAAAAACTGAATTCAACAAGCGTCACTCATTGCACGCATTCGACCCTCAGGCAAGTGCGCTCTACCGCCAAACATCGTCAATCGGGAAAGCGCGTCAGTGATGAGAGAGTGTGCGAACGCGAGAGAATCGGCGTCGATTTGGAGTTCGTTTCGCCAAACGCGCTCTATTGCAAATCTCGCATCGACGAGCAGTGCCACTATAAAAGGTCGGCGGAATGCGCAATTTGGTCAGTTCTCGCAGCTCCTCGAGTTGCGGGAAGCCCGCAAATCCTGTGGGCTCGCTGAGCCCCGGATGGCTTGTGGGCTCCACGTGCCCCGCATAACCTGCGGGCTACGCGTGTCCCACAAACCAGGCGGGCTCGACGTGGCCAAGGATCTAACCGGTATGTCGCATTCAACTTCAATCCTTCATCTCAATTCCTCGTATTGCAGATCCTACTCGAGCCACAGTCGTTGCTCATTCGAGCTTCTCGGAATGTGCCATGTCGAAAGTGTCGGGTATTCTCGACTGGTGCGACTCCGTTAGCCGGTACTAACCCTACTGCAGTGTCGCTTCCAGGCCGACGTTAAACCCACATTGCATGAGTAGACGTAGCACGTGAAGAGGAGCGAGAAAGAGGAATGGCGAATGATCGACGCTACCCGGGGGCGTCGAGCAGGGCGAGGAAGCGCATTCGAATGGTAAGGAAGGAGTCGCAATCTATCCGAATAACTGGAATCATTGCAGGAATCTTATGGATCGAATCGGAGAAGGAAGAAGACGTCTCGATGACGAGAATCAGCGTCAGGTATTCAATCCGCGGTAATTTTTGGCCTCGGCCATTTTTCATTTTTATTTTTTTATTATTATTATTTTCTTTCACCAGTCGTACCACTTGCGACTGTCCCCTTCACTCTATCCCACCACTTGGGGATTCTTTCTCCCCTCCGTACATTCGTACCACTTACGTCTGTACTTCCTCCGGTCCTACCGTTTGGGACCATCTCTTCTTCTTTTTCGGGGAATGCCGGCTTCCCCTTTCCTTTTTTCTTTCACCAGTCGTACCACTTGCGACTGTCCCCTTCTCTCTATCAGTCGACTGATTTCCCCTCTGCCGTACCACTTGCGGCTTCCATCCTCTATATCCCACCACTTGGGATTCTCTCTCTCTCTCTTTCGGTCCTACCGTTTTGGGACCAACCATCTCTTCTTTTTTTTGGGGGGAAAGTCGTACCACTTACGGCCATGCCAGTCATTCCACTAATGATTGGCTTCCCCCCTTCCGTAATGTATAATTGTTTTACTTCAGGTGTTTAGGAATTTAGGTATCGTCGCTGCCGCCGCCGATGGAAGGACCCTGCCGGTGAATCGATTCACCACCACAACTAAGTTTCCCCCACCATTAAGCTTTAGCCATACTAAGGTCCCTCTCGTCTATTTAATCCGCCGTAGTCGGCTATATTAGGGCTGTAGTCGGCCATTCCCCCAAACGCCAAGGCTTCTTGATCCCCAGTAGTGCCGAGGCGTTGGCTGGATGACGGCTTATCCGTCGAATCCTAAATTCGGGTGATTGGCCTGGCAAGCCTTTCAGCCCTGATTCCGTAGCCGGGAATCGAACCCTACCCAAACGCCCCCGCTTCAAGTACTCTCGAGTGCTTGGTGGGCGTTATGGATGGTTATGCTTTAGAACTTTGCTTCACCGGGTGTCCTCCATACTAGTCAGGATGTCATCTGGCCCAGACCTATATTGACGTGGATTGGCCAGCTATGTCAATATGTCCAGCCTTTCGGGTGCACATGGACCGTGCTTCTTGGCATAGTAGCTTGCTACTTTGTAGTGGCTTGCTACTACTTAGTAGTAAGCTTCTATGCTAAGAGCACAAAAACCACATTACCATATCACCAGTAGACCCGGGGCCCAGCCAGACGTGGCTTGCCCAACCACTTCTACTTCTATTATCCTCGGATGATAGTTGTTGGATGTCCTTGGGTGATCCCCATGGTGGGATCGGCGATGACCCACATCAGGCTTCGGTCTGATGCTGGTGAGCCTCTCCTTCAAGTGTCGAGCCTCTACGTGGCGAAGGAGATCAACTGGCTCGGACCTCCTTCATCGGGTTCGAGTCAGGCTAATCGACACACACTATATTCAGAGACAATCTCAATGCTCATAGATTGCAGGAATGAGAAACAGACTTTGGAAAACGGACCTCATAAATTCGGTGAGTTCAGGCCATGGTCCAACAAAAATCTGACAGCTTAACGTCCAAATGGCGCAATATAAAAATGGGATAAGAAGCCAAATAAGGAAATAATAATTGGAGAAGTATTTCATATGATACTGACTGAAAATTGAAACTAAACTATTAACAGAATTTGTCGCCGCGAGATACAGACTGCAATAACGGTCTGCGCCTTTAAGTACGTTATCTACAACTACTCGATATTATCATTAAAACAAAGTCGATTAGAGGATCATAGCACGGATTGTCAGCTGGGTCTCGCGGCGATCTGATTCCAATATATTCTTTTTTATCAAACTGACTATAATTATTCGTCATTTTCAAATTAATAAAATGAATGTGGTCAGGCGCGTTGCGGTTGGCGTGCGGTCACATTAAGTACCTGCAAATTAGATCTTCAGATATCATCGAAATGACGAAACTATATATAATAATAATAATAACATACATATAATAAATGACCGAGGCCGAAACGCGCATGGCCTCTTTTTTTTTCAGAAACTCACTATCTAATAAAATACAAATATTAGTGTTTTATGCAGATTTCACAGAAAAAATCTCCAAAAACCTCGGCCACGTTTAGGTTGCAAAAATCATAAAAAATTGTATATTAAATCTCAAAAAAATAGGAACCGTAATCGAAAAGTTGAATTAGAAAAAAAAAATAAAATCATTGAAGTTCATGCGCATACAATAATATTTCATGATTCTTATTTAAAAATTCGAAAAACGTGGCCGCGGCCTAGTTTTTGCAATCTGCATTGAGCTATTTTTAGGGTTTCTTTTTTAAAGTTTTTCTTGTTACGAAATCGACTTGTACCATTAATATGCAAAATATTAAATCTCGATCATCATCTTCTACTTCAATATCTCAAATTAACTTTAAAAAATTCTAATTAACCTACGAGACCCGATCCTCATTTCTTTAAATTAAAAAAAGCCTTTAATTTAAATAAGCCTTTAATTTCTCAAAATATTCAATTATTCGAGTTGAGGAAAGACAAATTAATTGGGCATTATTACACCGGCAGAATATTTCACGAAAGGCTTCCGCTTTTGGAACGCCAACACAGAAAGAGAAGGCTATTCAGCAGGTAACGAGTTTTTTTTTATTGAATACCACCAACAATGATTCTTGACGAGACCCCTGAACTTCCGCGTGAAAATTAGAAGCTTGCTGGATATTCTTTGTTTCGAAATATAATTGAGAACACGCCCATTTCAAGCAGTTTCGATCAGTTAGGGCCATCGAGACACTGTGCGAATTGGAGAGACGCAGAGACACGGCAGAGGAAGTGCTGAAATTCGATGGTATAAAAGGGTGCCCGACTGATTGGAGAGTATCATTGGCAGTATGGAGGAGATCAGCAGAAGGAACGCGTACAAATTCGTCGCCTACTCGGCTGTCACCTTCTCGGTTGTCGCCGTGTTCTCGGTGAGTCATCGCCAGCATCGCGACGATCGTTGAATCGCGCATTTCAGCTATGCATCACTCTTCCGATGGTCTACAACTATGTGCACAATGTGAAGACTCAGATCAACCATGAGATCGCCTTCTGCAAGCATTCAGCCAGGGACATCTACTCGGAAGTCAACCACATCCGAGCCAATCCCAACAACTCGACGAGACAGAAGAGACAGTATGATGATTTCGGAGCAAATGATGCTGCTGGAGGCTTCGGAGGAAATGGAGGAAACGGAGGAAGCTTCGGAAGAAATGGAGGAAGCTTCGGAGGAAATGGAGGAAGCTTCGGAGGAAATGGAGGAAACGGAGGAAGCTTCGGAGGAAATGGAGGAAGCTTCGGTGGCAACGGAGGAGGTGGTGGTGCTGGAGGACAGTGCTCTGGATGCTGCCAGCCAGGACCGGCTGGACCAGCTGGAGCCCCAGGAAAGCCGGGACGCCCAGGACGTCCAGGAGCCGCCGGACTTCCAGGAAACCCAGGAAGACCACCAGCGTCGCCATGCGAGCAAATCACTCCACCACCATGCCGCCCATGCCCACAAGGACCACCTGGACCACCAGGACCACCGGGACCAGCTGGAGATGCCGGAGCACCAGGACAGCCAGGATACGGATCGGGATCTGGAGCGCCGGGACCAGCCGGACCAAAGGGAGCCCCAGGACCAGCTGGCCAGCCAGGACAGCCAGGAGCCCCAGGACAACCAGGACGTGACGCTCAATCCGAGTCAAGCCCAGGAGCCCCAGGACCAGCGGGACCACAGGGACCACCAGGACCAGCCGGAGCTCCAGGACAGCCAGCCGGACCAGGATACCCAGGACCACCAGGACCAAAGGGACCATCGGGCGCTCCAGGACAGCCAGGAGCCGACGGAAACCCGGGAACTCCAGGCCAGCCAGGACAATCGGGAGGATCGGGAGAGCGCGGAATCTGCCCGAAATACTGCGCCATCGACGGAGGAGTGTTCTTCGAGTACGGAACCTTCAGAAGACGTTAAATCAGTTCTTTCAAATCGTAGAAATAAATGTAGCCAACATTTTGAAATTGTGTACATTTTGTCGCACAAAATTTATTGCAGGTAGCATTTTTCTTGGGGGAAAATACAGTGCGCATCATAATGATACGCCACCCCTCAAATTTCGCAGTTTTGAGAAAATAATATAAATTGGTGACAAGAAAATTTCATTTTTGAATTCGGGGCCATTGAAAACCTATATACGCGTATTTTCATGAGGGTCCGTTGATCCATATCCGCACAGCCCGAAAAAGTTGGATTTTCAAGCGCGTCATAATGATAGTCCACCCCCTATTTTTGGCTTTTCTTTCGGCATTTTTGCATGTTTCTCGCTGATTTTTCTGTATTTTGTATATGTAATATATTGTTTTTTTTTGTTTTCACATGCCCCGTTCATTCTTGATGAGAGTGAGGATTTCCTTGAACGTCATTCAAATTAACATAATAATGCCAAAAAATCAGTGAGACCATCGTGAAAAGTGCACGCGTAGGGCAGGTGCCGGATGCCGAAAATTGATGGTGTAGAATCGAAATCTAGATTATAGAACAGGATACTACATTCTGAAATACCTCAAACTTTGTGATCACACAGCAGAATCTCATCTTGAAGCTCGTGTTTGCCTTCGATGTAAAAATCTTTATATAGGCAACACTGAATGATTGCAGGTTTCCAATTAATTAATTAATAAAAATGATAATAATAATTTTTTGAAGAATTGCTCTCCTCTCAACTTGTCTCGGTTATTTAGGATTTCAAATTAGCAAAATTGAATAAAAAATTATTTAACAATATTTTGATATTCGATTTTTGAATACGGATTCATTTACTGACTTTGTGAATTCATATACAGTACCGTGCAGTAAGATATACAATTTCACTTTTTTTTATCATAACTTTCTGAAAAGTTGACCAATCGATCTAAAATTTTTGGACAAAACGGATAATATGTTCCCAAACATAATTTATTTATTTTGGGATATTATTGACGTAATTTTTGTGTTTTTTACTTTTTTTGCGTTTTTTCAAAAATACGATTTTTTTAAATTTTTAAGTTTTGTCGATTTTTTTTAGATTTTCAATGTTAACATCAGTTTTTTTATTTGTTTTAACAGGAGACGATCAAAATGATCAAAAAACATTCTATCAGACGTTTTAAAGCAATCAAGGATGACCGAGCACAATGTCTTTTCATCTAATGTCTATCACACCAGTTCAACTCATCGACTTGGACCATTTATGGATGTTTGAAACCTCGATTGGATTCCAAACCACTTGGAAATCCTTCCAAAACATCCTCGGCAATCAATCGAACAATTGTAGGAAACAGCAAGAGCAACCCGCGTCTATCCGCTTCCGAGATTAATCGGCAACTGAGTCAGTTCTATGATGTCAACGTAGATTTTTCCGAAAAACAATGACTTTTTCTTCACCAAAAGTCACATTCAGATCAGCGTTGATACTGTCAAGCGTCGTCTACGTGGTTCTGGATTATTTGGACGTCGGTCTGTCAAAAAATCTCTGATTTCGGAGAAGAAACGCCGCGCCCGTTTGAAGTGGACTAAGGAGCTTTTGAATTGGAGGTTTCGACAATAGTCAAAGGTCGTATCGAGTGATGAATCGAAGTATATCTTGCTCGGAACGGATGTTACCTTTGTGAGGCGTTCGGACGGCGAAAGATTCGATCCAAAGTATCAAATACCAACAGAAAAACATGGAAGAGGAAGCGTGATGGTTTGGGGATGTTTTACTGTATAATAAAACGCAAGAAAATGAAATAATCAAAATCCGAATATAAAAAAATGCAGCTGATTTCTGTCGTTGCTAATTGCCTAATTTGGGCAATTGTCAGTTTTTTTAATGCGACAAAATGTAATTTCAAAATGTTGGCTACATTTATTTTTACAATTTGAAAGAACTGATTTAACGTCTTCTGAAGGTTCCGTCGCCGAAGAACACTCCACCGTCGATGGCGCAGTATTTCGGGCAGATTCCGCGCTCTCCCGATCCTCCCGATTGGCCTGGCTGGCCTGGAGTTCCCGGGTTTCCGTCGGCTCCTGGCTGTCCTGGAGCGCCCGATGGTCCCTTTGGTCCTGGTGGTCCTGGGTATCCTGGTCCGGCTGGCTGTCCTGGGGCTCCGGCTGGTCCTGGTGGTCCCTGTGGTCCCGCTGGTCCAGGGGCTCCTGGGCTTGACTCGGATTGAGCGTCACGTCCTGGTTGTCCTGGGGCTCCTGGCTGTCCTGGCTGGCCAGCTGGTCCTGGGGCTCCCTTTGGTCCGGCTGGTCCCGGCGCTCCAGATCCCGATCCGTATCCTGGCTGTCCTGGTGCTCCGGCATCTCCAGCTGGTCCCGGTGGTCCTGGTGGTCCAGGTGGTCCTTGTGGGCATGGGCGGCATGGTGGTGGAGTGATTGGCTCGCATGGCGACGCTGGTGGTCTTCCTGGGTTTCCTGGAAGTCCGGCGGCTCCTGGACGACCTGGGCGTCCCGGCTTTCCTGGCGCTCCCTGTGGTCCAGCCGGTCCTGGCTGGCAGCATCCAGAGCACTGTCCTCCAGCACCACCACCTCCTCCGTTGCCACCGAAGCTTCCTCCATTTCCTCCGAAGCTTCCTCCATTTCCTCCGAAGCTTCCTCCGTTTCCTCCATTTCCTCCGAAGCCTCCAGCAGCATCATTTGCTCCGAAATCATCATACTGTCTCTTCTGTCTCGTCGAATTGTTGGGATTGGTTCGGATGTGGTTGACTTCCGAGTAGATGTCCCTGGCTGAATGCTTGCAGAAGGCGATCTCATGGTTGATCTGAGTCTTCACATTGTGCACATAGTTGTAGACCATCGGAAGAGTGATGCATAGCTGAAATGCGCGATTCAACGATCGTCGCGATGCTGGCGATGACTCACCGAGAACACGGCGACAACCGAGAAGGTGACAGCCGAGTAGGCGACGAATTTGTACGCGTTCCTTCTGCTGATCTCCTCCATACTGCCAATGATACTCTCCAATCAGTCGGGCACCCTTTTATACCGTCGAATTTCAGCACTTCCTCAGCCGTGTCTCTGCGTCTCTCCAATTCGCACAGTGTCTAGATGGCCCTAACTGATAGAAACTGCTTGAAATGGGCGTGTTCTCAATCATATTTCGAAACAAAGAATATCCAGCAAGCTTCTAATTTTCACGCGGAAGTTCGGGGGTCTCGTCAAGAATCATTGTTGGTGGTATTCAATTAAAAAAAAACTCGTTACCTGCTGAATAGCCTTCTCCTTCTGTGTTGGCGTTCCAAAAGCGGAAGCCTTTCGTGAAATATTCTGCCGGTGTAATAATGCCCAATTAATTTGTCTTTCGTCAGCCGATGACCCGAAAATTTCGGCGCAACATTCAGAGGGATTTTAATCGGATTTTTACAATTTGAAAAATGATTTTATGCGGCTATATAAAAGAAAGAAATCGAGATGATGGTACCGTTTTTCCGGTGGTTTTATTCGCCGGTAGAATTATCTCAAACATTCGTATTCGATATGGTCGGATTAACGCTAGCTGAGGCAAGCAACTGACTATCGAATAGCAGCGAAATGTCATGAATGTGATAAAATTGATAGGAAATCTTTAAAAACAATATATGGCAAAAATTTCTTGCTTGACAAATTACCCGCAGAGGACACCGATCGGATAAATCAATAATGACTCTAGAATAATTGGAACTGGAATAACGAATAATGCAAGCATCATTATGTCGACAAACACGAGCTTTAAGATGAGCTTCTGCTGTGTGAGCACAAAGTTTGAGGTGATGCTAGCGTATTTCAGAATGTAGTATCTTGTTCTGAATAAACGATTTTGCTCGAGTTTCCGATTGAGCCTACAAGATGAGCGTTGCTAAAAAAAATATGGAAATTATAATTGCGACGATAAGTATAAAGACTGCAAATGCTTTCCAGAAGATGGTGAAAATGAATATTATTGCTAGGTATTCATCATAAAATGTGCTCAGGCGATGATCGAATGTCAACGATTCCGACTTGAGCTCCTCGGACGCCCATATGATTCCTGAGACCGATGAATGATTTTCAATTATTTTTTGCGCGAAATTGTCAAACCCAAGAATTGCGTTGTGTAAATGACAAGAAGTATGAAGCAGGCCAAAAGATAGAATGCGAAACGTATTTGGCGAGCGAGTTTTTCTTGATTTTCGCTGTTATTGCAAAAAAAAATATATTAATTTTTTCAGGGTTACTGTAGCTTGTGAATGTGTGCAATTGCACGTGACGCGCAATCACACAGGAATTCCTCATTTTCATTTTTTTTTTCATTTCTAATTATTACTTTTTCATTTCTAATTATTACTGATTCGCGAGAAACTGATGTAATTGCAGAACATAATATCAAAACACGAATGACCATATTGAGCTTGTCATAATTGCAATTAACAAGATCATTGGCAAATTATCGGAGCTGGTTAGCCGATCGGCCATTAGAATTTGGAATGGGTAGACGATTCGAATCGATCCGACGCTGATCAAAATGCAGGTAATTGTGCTGGCGAATATTTCGCTTAGTATAAGCCGTCGATAGCTTTGTAATATTTTGGTTTTGGCTGTCCGAATGACATAATTTGTGAATAATGTGATTATAATGGCGCAAATGAGTATGATGCGAGTAATGTATTTATAGGAAGTCGTGAAGCCTCTGAAATCGATTCATTTTCGAATGGCCGACGAATTGATGGCACCTTTTTTGCTCATCGAAGTATGCGTCGAAAAAGCCGCCGAAATAATCATCGACTTTATAGGGCAACAATTGGCGTGCGGAGCATTTTGCGAAATTCGAAAATGAATTTGCGACTTCGTGGCAGGTGATTCGTCGTATGTTCTCGCCAATGACACATTTTCCCCTTCTGAATGTCATAAGGAAGTAGGTTTTTCTTAAAATTTTGAACTCAGACAGCCCATCAGAAATGGTGGCGTCGATCGCTGCGAGACTCGACACCTTCAAATTAGCATACTTGCAAATTTCCGGGTCGACCCGGAATCGACCCGCCCCGCCCCGCCGATCCGCAACGACACTCCAAGTTTACAGCGAGGCCCTTGTTTAGCAAAAAAAAATTTCGAATTACATTATTTGAGTAGAATTAATTATTCTCGCAACAAAAATTGTTCAGAAGTCCTCAAACAAAATTAATTGAACCGTCTTTCACGGTTTTTGTTTCGTTTTCGATTTTTTTAAATAAAATTTTCTTCAAAAAATCTATTGGCGGGTCGAGCGGGTCGGGGCGGGTCGGTAGAATTTTTACTCTGACCCGCCCCGCCCCGACCCGCCCCGTTGCAAGTATGCAAATTAGGAGATTTGAATGAAATTTTGTAGAAATGCAAATTTATTAGCGAAATTGAAGTAAATCAAATCAATTACTCAACCAAATTTGTGCTGTCTTAATTGAGACAACCTTGACAACCTATAAAATGCCAATAATTTTTTTCTAGGCAATATTAAATAATTTTTTTTTGGCCGAAACAAAATTGCTCGGTTTTTTTGCAGTGCCATAAAACGAAAAATGAGCTGATATTTATAAATGACGCTGTTTTCGAGGCCATTCATTTTTTTTGTATATTTTTGGTCCCGACAAGATTATTGTAGCATTTGAATTGACGCCTTGGTTGGGTCTCGTATGGAAAAACCATTGGCAGCGAGATTTGCTCAATTTACCATTTAAATGGAAACGTGCGGAATTCAAATTGAATTTGCCGAACCAAAAATTTTACATGAGAAATTTTTTTTTCGGGAAAAACTTTTTCCGGGTCTAAAAATTCAAAAAATTTCTTTTTTTTTTTTCAATTTTTGACAGTTTTAGTTAATTTCCTTTAATAAAAATTTGACGAAAAACCCATTTGCCAACAGAAACCAAAATATATTAAAATGGAATATCGAATAAACGGGCGACTGATTAATTATATATAAAAAAATAATTATAGATTTCCCGCCTTGAGTCTCGTATGGAAAACACTTGGCTTCTTTAATTTATTAATTAATGAGAATATTAAGCCCAATCCAGCAAAAAAAGATAATTATTTTATTATTACATTTTAAAAAATTGAAAATTATCTATTACCAATGTTTTCTGGAGTTCAAATTTTTCAAAAATTCTGATTTGCAATTTTTCAAGCATAGATTACTGCTGATTTTCAAAGGCACAGAGGTCTTAAAATATAAATGTCGCCGCAAAAACTAGCAGTTCCAATTTCAAGCGATTCGTTTGCTTTTTTGCTATAAATAATTCACTGAAACACCGGTTTTTGGAAATTTTTTAGGTTGAACTTGCAATTTTTCGAATTTCAAAAATTTTTGGGTTTTTTTAGAAAAGGTTTAATTAGAAAATTGGTGTTCTCTTTTTCAATTAATTATTCAAATATGTCTTATATATGTAGTTAAATATTCTTAATACTAAAATAATCTTGAGAATTCATTTCAAAAATTTGGATTTCATACCAATATGAATAAATATAATTCGCGTGATCACAGAACGTTGCGAACACTGTTTTCGATTCATCGAGGAACTTTCTGATGAAAATTGGCGATAAACACAATTTTGTAGGCTAATGATATATTTCGGTCGTGGGTGCCCACGCCCACCGCCGGACATTAGCGGGGCGCAATTCTTGTAAACCAGTTTGGCGCGGTTAGTTCCTTCCCGGATGAGAGAGATCACGGGGACGGCGGCGACGCAGCGATTTGGGCCGATCGCAAAAAACGGCGAATTTGAGCGCTATAAAAGGCCCCGGCGATCGGACAACTCCATCACTAGCTGGCAGTATGGAGGAGATCAGCAGAAGGAACGCGTACAAATTCGTCGCCTACTCGGCTGTCACCTTCTCGGTTGTCGCCGTGTTCTCGGTGAGTCATCGCCAGCATCGCGACGATCGTTGAATCGCGCATTTCAGCTATGCATCACTCTTCCGATGGTCTACAACTATGTGCACAATGTGAAGACTCAGATCAACCATGAGATCGGCTTCTGCAAGCATTCAGCCAGGGACATCTACTCGGAAGTCAACCACATCCGAACCAATCCCAACAATTCGACGAGACAGAAGAGACAGTATGATGATTTCGGTGCCACCAACAACTATGGTGGAAATGGTGGAGCTGGCAACTATGGAGGATCTTCCGGTGGTGGACAGTGCGCGGGATGCTGCTTGCCGGGACCAGCCGGACCACAGGGAGCGCCAGGAAAGCCGGGACGCCCAGGTCGTCCAGCAGCCGCCGGACTTCCAGGAAACCCGGGAAGACCACCAGCGCAACCATGCCATCCGATCACTCCACCACCATGCCGCCCATGCCCACAAGGACCACCTGGACCACCAGGACCACCAGGACCAATTGGAGATGCCGGAGCCCCAGGACAGCCAGGATACGGAGGAGGTGTTGGCACTCCAGGACCAGCCGGACCGAAGGGAGCCCCAGGACCAGCCGGAGGACCAGGACAGCCGGGAGCCCCAGGACGACCAGGACAAGATGCTCAATCGCAGGTTACCCCAGGAACCCCAGGACCAGCCGGACCACAGGGACCACCAGGACCTGCCGGAGCTCCAGGACGCCCAGCCGGACCAGGATTCCCAGGACCACCAGGACCAAAGGGACCATCGGGCGCTCCAGGACAGCCAGGAGCCAACGGAAACCCAGGCGCTCCAGGACAGCCGGGACAATCGGGAGGCGCAGGAGAGCGCGGAATCTGCCCGAAATACTGCGCCATCGACGGAGGAGTGTTCTTCGACGACGGAACCTTCAGAATGCGTTAAGCTTCGAGCTAGTAATAATAATAATAATAGTAATAAAGCATTTAAAGCATCATGTCCTGCTAGCATACTTTCAAATCACAAAATAAGTTCAGTCACATGTTGTAGCAATGTTTTGTGATCATCACCGGAAAAAAAACGACGTGTTGTCTGCAGGGATTCTTTGGGTTCTTCAAAAAAATCCTTTCCTCTTGAAGATGATCTTCACATGTTTTTATGTATTTTACAAAACTTCCTAAATTGGAAATTGTTGGCGTTCCGCGAATGGCTAGTATCATTTTTGGTAGAACAACAAAACTAGTGGCGAGAAAAAAAAATGATTTGGCCTTGACCTTGTGAGAACCTTGTTCTGTAATGCCTTGAAATAGATTTTTTTTTCGATGGTCCCTCTAAATGTTTCTGTCAATCATTAAATAACTGATTGGATGCCTACAAAATGGCCGTGGTCCCAACCTAGGTGGCGATTGGAGCCTAGTGGTCCGTTTGCTCTTCCAATCATCGATAATCAGTCACGTGAAGCGGCACGAGTGTAAATAGAGGCGATCACGTGGCTCCCAATTAGCGAATTCAATTTTTTCATCAATAGAAGGTTATTAATTAGCAGGAGGTCCTCCTTGTTATCCCAACCCCGCCGCCGATTGACATGTATATCAATTTCGGGCAACAAGTAGTAGTAGTAATCAAGAGATGGAGAGAGAGAAGGTGAACAAGAAGCGAATGAGATAGTGCGATCGATCAAGAGCATCGAGAGGGCGCGCACTGGGCGATGGGGGGTTCGCAATCATCTCGTTCTTCAAAACCCCCCGTTTTTTTTTTTTGCATTGTCTCTATCGTGTTGCTTTCTTGTTTCTTTTTGACATTGATTGTCGATGTGCGCCTTTAAAAATGCCCCAAAAAAACGTTGTGAAATTTTGATTTGAAATGAAATTCATTAACCGCGTCATGCGCCTTTAATCAATGACATAAATTTGATGCAATGTTTTCGATTGCGCCAAAATAAAATTTATTGAGAATTTTCATTGAAATTGTGATTATTATTATTGGCGTTCAAGTGTGTGCAATATATTGGTTTGGCGCAACCGGCAAGCTTGTCCGCAGCTGATCAACATTCCACCGGCGTTATCAGTGCATCGCTAGCATTCGATATTCTGGAAACTGATAAAATCGGTGCGAATCCACAAGAGGCGATAGTTCTCTCTCAAAAAGAAATTTTTCTGGGACATCAGACCGCGCAAAGATTGCCAACCGAGGTCTCGATGCGCGGCAGTGTGTGCCTTTAACCGTAAATCTACACTATTCGATTCGTGCCAAGACCATTGTCATTGGTTTTTTTGGAATTTTTCCAATTTTCCGCAATCGCGCGACGCTCATGAGAAATTATTCGAATTGCGCCGGCCGTCCACCCCCCCCTTCTATCATCCCACTAGACGGTCCCTTATCAATTCTTCGTCGTCGTCGTCGTTTTTTTTTTTGCCTCCCTCACCTTTCGCTTTGCTTTCTTTTTTTGGTGGGGCATGTCGATCAAATGGACCCGTGGGTGTCTCGCACACTTTAATACTTTTTTTTTGTGTTTCTATTCACCGCGGCGATTGTCAAATGTTGCCTTTCAAGGCACATTGTACCAATAGTATTTTATTTTGCTCGTTGCCAAAATTTTTAAATGCGCTTCTCAAAATTGAATTCAGCGCTTGAAATGACGTAAGTGTGCCGATTTTCAGATCGATACCTGAAAAAGAAATAGTTTCGGTCGCTTCGTTTCAATCTATTTTTGTCGAGGTCCGAAAATGACACGTCGAAATTTGTCGATCGCCGATTTCGATGGTCCCTGATTTGATTCAATCAGACAACCCTAATCGAGAAATGTTTTCTATTGAAATTTTCATTAAAAACTTGTGCTACGCGAATTTCCGCATCATCTCGATGGTCCGTAAATATCCATACAGCTCATGCTTTTTTTCGCGATTAGAATACATAGTTAAAATGCGAGTTTGATTCGCAGGTCCTTAAGAGTACGGTACCTGGATTCCGTAGTTAAAATTCGAAATTTGAAATACCGCGCTTCGAAAAAGTGCGATGGTCCACAATTATTCAATGCGCATAAGCTTGTTACGGTATGCGCCTTTGAAAAAGAAACAACACCCAAGTTGGCATTATTTTGTTTTGTGCCAATGCGCCTTTAAACGAGGACACAAATATTTTTGCAAACTAATCACTGGCATTAAATTGCACTTTTCTAGCCATCCGCCCCCCAACATAAAACGACCAATTATGGTCAAACAAAAATGTTTTTTTTTGCCTCTCATCGACATCACTTACTGGCAATTCGTTTTTTTCTAAAATATGGACCTAAAAGTTGATTTTTCAGTCCTCCTATCAGGCCGACGACGATGGATTTAAACTATTTCGGCGATGTTCCGATGTCGGATCCGTTTTTGTCGCTGGAGACGAACCTCGACGATATCCAAAGTAGGCCGCACATTTCAATTCGATTTCTCAATGTATTGAGGTTGTCAGATTTTCTCGAACCCGAACAAATGGACTTTGATCCCATCGGATCACAATGGCATACTGAGGGACCATCGACGGCTTCGGCGGCGGCGTCGACGGCCAATCAACAGGCGGCGCAGGCCAAACACAGTCCTCCGCAGGAATTCTATGATACTGAGAGGTTTGGGAGAGGGGTCCTTTTACGAAATTCAATATTGGAATTTCAGTGGCAAAGAGGTTGGAAGCCTAGTTTCGCTGCTCAATCGGCCCAACGAGGACTACTACACACAGATGCGATTCTCGCCGCCGAATTTCGATTTGCGCAACGCCGACACGCCGACGACGTCGCTCGGATTGTCCGGCAGCGGTCCGGCGGGCATGTTGTCGAATTTGAACGTGTTCTCGCCGAAGCCGTCCGAATCGTTCGAGGCGTTCGCGCCGATGCCGATCGACGCGCGAATGTTCGCGGCGAATGAGGTGATTCTCGCTTATCAGTTGCTCGTTGTTGTGTGTGTCTGTGTGTGCCGTTATGCAATCCATTCAATGTTGCAGAATATGAATGGCAGCATGGTGTCGCCGCCACCACCAGCAGCACCACCACCACCACCAACGCAGCCGAATGGTGGATTCGCCTACGCGCCACCACCTTCTGTTGTCATGGCGACGCCGAAGCCGTCGACGTCATCGGAGTCGGCGTCGAGCACCAAAGTTGAGCTCCTTCGACTTCTCGCGAACATGTCGCCGAGTGAGGTTGAGAAGCTGAAACATCGAAAGCCGTCGATGGATCGCGCGTCGTCTAGACGCGATGACGACGACGACGATGATAGCGACGGCGAATCGACGCCGCTGAAGAGGGGACCGAAGACGGAACGACGCACCGCCCATAATCTGATCGAGAAGAAGTATAGGTGTTCGATAAATGATCGAATACAACACTTGAAGTTGATATTGGCTGGCGATGAAGCGAAGGTTTGGTTGAAAATTGCGATTCGTTTGATGATTTGATGATTGTAGTTGTCGAAATCGGCGACACTTCGCAAAGCGATCGATCACATCGAGAATCTCGAGGCCGAGAATCAGTCGCTTCGACGCGAAGTCGAAAAATTGCGCGCGATTCTCATCGCGAACGGGTTGACGGTAAGCGAAATGAATGAAACGATATCGGAAATTTAATTCATTTTTTTTGGTGTAGTGTGCCGAGACGAAATCGCGTCGCGACTCGCCGGATTGCGCCGCGATGCAGAATAATGATTCGTCGCCGTCGCCGCCGAGGAGTGAGAAGAAGCGCGCGCGAATGATGACCAATGGCAACGCGTCGAATGGTCCCAACAGTTCGCGAATAACATTATTCGCGATGCTCATGGCGGTTCTCATCTTCAATCCGCTCGGGTAAGCATGCGTTGACTTTTTTTTCAAGTCTACGGTACTGTAATTGTGCAATGTCTGCAGTTCACCGTGACGCGAAATTGCACAGAAATTTGAATTTTGGCGTTTTTTTTTTCGTATAGTTTTTCGTTTTTTTATTTTGCAGACTACTCGCTGGCAGCACGTTTGCCGCTCAAACGTCGGCGTCATCAACGGATCGCAAAATTCCGATTGCGTCGCCGTTCGAGCATGGACGAATATTGGATGTGAGCTTCGATTCGATTGTTGTCAATTGCTCATTTTTAGCGCAATTTCTAGGATTCGGGTCCGGGCCTCATCGAGATCGCCGACGAACGATCGAGTCTCATTCGGCCGTTGTTGATCTGGTCGGTGAATTTCGCGATGATCGCCTATGTGCTGATGCGTCTACTCGTCTACGGCGAACCGGTGCAGGACTTCAAATCGACGACGTGGACGACGTTTGTGGCGACGCGCGAGAAAGCGCGCGCCGAGCACGCGAGCGGCAATTTTCGCGAGGCTCAACGACAATTCAGCGAGTGCCTCGTGATTCTCGGACGGCCGCTGCCGACGACCGGATTGGAAACGATACTGTCGATCGTCTGGGAATGCATTCGTCATCTCCTCAATTGGTTGTGGATCGGACGATGGATGTCGAGACGGAAACGATCGACGTCGACGCCGGTGCCCGTCGTGTGCCGAAGTCACGCTCACACCGCCGTCCTCTACCACGACATCCACCAATTGCACTTGATGGGCTTCACCGACTACGAGGACGACGCCAACGAGCCGTCGATGATCTCGGGCCTTTATTTGGCGCTGTGCGCTGTCAATCTTGCCGAATCGGCGGGCGCCTCGTCCGACGGTCTGCCGCGTTCGATCATGGCTCAGATCTACATTGCGGCGTCGATTCGGTGCCGAATCGAGTTGCCGAAACTGTTCGCGCCGATCGCCTCCGGCTATTTTTTGCGACGAGCGCGTCGACACATCCGACGGGCGCCCGAGCACACCGTCGCGCAATTCTTGTGGCTATTCCATCCGGCGACGCGACGATTCATGGCCGACGCCGAACGCCTCAAATATTTGCTGCAAACGAAACAGCGCATGGGAATGGCTTCGTTTCTCAATGAGGAGATGAGTAAGGCAACGATTATTGGGGATTCGTCTGGAATTGAAGAAAAAAAGAAAGTAACGCAATTTCGATTTCAGACACCCCATTGGCTCGCCTACGCTCGATGCTGAAAGTCTATCTGCTCACTCAGCTAGTGAAAGAGCTCGCCGGCGGCGAGGAGTTCGCTTCGTCGACGAATCTCCTCGTCGATGAGACCGCCCATGGCCAACTCGATGATGACATCGATATTGTTGATATTTCGCGACTTCTCACCTCGATCTCGACACGAAGTAGCGCGATTGCCGCCAATGAAAAAGATGAAGCCTCAAGTAGAAATTTTTTTTTTCCAAATTTCATTGTGGTCATTCGTCGTCGGTGATTTCAGAATTCGGCTGCTGGTTGTCCCGCGAAGGCGATGCGTGTTGCACGTGGTGGACGCATGTGCTCACGTGCGGCATTTATTGGCGGACCGGCAAAAACGAGATGGCCCGCAAACACTATTCCCTTATAAGGCATTGTCCGCCGGAGATACTCAAAGAGTAGGCGTATTTGCTCGCGGGGTCGATTTACGCGCATGCGCCTTGAAAAGGTCTCGCCACGTTGGAACGCTACGATTTATTGTTTCTTGGAATTTCGAACCGATCCAAAAAATGCGAAATAGCCGCGAGACCAAGAAGCGTGCTCGTAAATCTACCCGAGTACATCAATATTCATTGATGGTGCAGCAGGGGGGAATGCAATTCATTGGGTTTTTTCAGCAAACTCGGTCTCGCCGTCGGCCACGCGTTGTGCGCGCGCAAAATTTGCATCGACGATCGCGAATCGAGCAAAGTCGGCGAGTACGTGTGCATTCATACGCGAAAATCGTTGTTGTCGCTTCGCGAGTTTGCCACGTCGCGAACGACGTGTATCGTGTCGGGAATTCAGGTAGGAGAGAGATTTTTTTTAGAGAAGCCCACTCAAAAAAAAGTAATAATTTTTTTCCCCCTTTAAAAAATCCAATCCAAATTTTTTGATCACCAATTTTCAGGAAGGTGTCCGCCGAATGTCATATGAATGGGTGATGAATTCGCTGCTCGACGCGTGGCGCACATCGTTGACGTCGACGACGCAACCCTACTGGAAGCAGTCGTTCAAAGGTCAAAAGTATTTCAGCACGCTCTACCAAGAAGCGTATAATCATTATTCGTTGATCAACGGCAATCGCGGCGATTGTTGGCGGGTACGATTTTTGTTTTGTTTGTTTTCACTTGGCTGAATTTCAGTTGTTCGTCTATGAGCTCACGTGTCGCATGTTGAACGGCGCGAATCCGCAGGCGACGTGGGCGGGAATTCGACGAGTGCGCACGACGAAGATGGACGCGGTTCGCGGACGCGTCTCGATGCGACGATCCGCGCAGCCGGACGCGTTCCACTTGCATACACTTTGTAAATTGCATTCCATAATGGAATCTTGAAATTTTGTTTGTTTGTTTGTTTTTTTTTTTTTGATGAATCCCTTGTGATCCTACAAATATATCGAATTTGATCCCCTCCACTTGCATTATTATTATTATTATTATTGATCCAACGGCCTAGCCAGCCATTCATATTCAAATATTAACAAGTAGGTCGGACGCGACGACGGCGTCAAACAATGGAGGACCTCCTTCAGCCACCAGCACCACCAAAAAAAAAGGTCACCCAGTCAATGTCGCAATAGCGCATTTTTGGTGAGGGGGGGGGAGGGGCTCCGATTTTTTGACCCCCAAATTACGGCCAATGATTATTGGTGTTACCATTATTACTATTATTATTATTATTATTCATCCGGCCCTGAGAGTCGAGGTCATTTGGGAGGACGACATTGTGACGGCAACCATTCGACCGGCCAGCGACGACGACGACGACGAAAAAAAAAATTGATGGCCGAAAATTGTGTGTGTGTGGTTTTGCATAGCTACCGATCCTCTTCACATCTATATATTTTTTTTCTTTTGATGTATTCTGTACGTCATTCTCATAATCCGGTTACCATTCGAATTTTATGTGGCTGGGAAGATTTTCGAGGTTCGGGGGGGGGTCGAATAATTGAGACGCTCGTCGTCGAGAGAGACAATTTTCGGTTTTTTGAATTCGCCCCGAGACCGTCAAAATATGGTGTGCGCCTTTAATCTCGACGACAGACAACACAAGATTTCTTCGAATGCTCGTCGTTTCTTGGATTATTTGCCGACTCGCAATCGAGCATGTCCCGTTCGCCGGGGTTACGGTACTCGACGGGACCACCCCCTCTCTAAATAAATTTTGTGTATATGTGGAGGGGGTCACAAAAAGAGAAAAAACAGCGACGACACGAAATGGCGGCTGCTGTTTGGTGCAGGGTGTATGGTGTAGTTGGTGCGAGGAGGCCGTGACCCCCTCATCATCTTGCTGCGTCTCTTCGTCTCGCACGCTCTCTCTCGCCCTCTTCTAGAATCGAGGCCGCTTGCGCGCGCGCGTTGCACACAGTTGTTGGCTGTGTTTTTTTTTGGTGGTGGTGGTGCACCAATTGGTGTATTTCGCCAAGAGGTCACCCACACACACACACACACACAATTAATTTTTTTTTTTAATTGTGCGCGCTCAACTTTTTTGTTTTGGCGAGCCGCGAAATGTCCGCAGATGAAAATTGTTAATATTTTTTGAGTCGACCAAGCTGAGAGCCGCAATTTTATAGGGTCTAACGAACGCAATGAAGCGAAATAAAAACAGTTACGCAATTGAGAAGAGAAACGACACCATCTGGCCAGGGGTCCCCCCGTGCGCGCGCTCACGCCAAACACTCACACCATCCAAACCAACAAATAATTTTTTTTTTCGTTTAGCGTCCCTATATATTTATATTATATAATTTGTCTCGTTGATTTGATGTATAATTCTTTTTTTTTCGTTGACCTTGTCTTCATTCATCATTTGTGGGGTCTTGATTCTTCTACAGTAATCTCAGCAATCGATGGTCCCTGCAATTTGAACGCTCTGCTATTCGTTTAGAACGCGCCACAGTAATCCAATATCTATGAGGTCTTGAAGCGACTATCGTAATCGATTTTAATGGTCCCGAAGCGTTCCATCCAATAATGATAATCGATTTTTAGCTGTATAAGGTCTTGTATCGAAAATTGTTGTAAAAATTCGAATTTCCACTGCGCAGGCCCAATTTGACACTCAATGGTCCCGAACGGTTCCAATTACGGCATCTGCTTGTATCTATGTATATTTTTTTGAGGTCATGCTCATAAAATCACCGCGTCCACCTCATTCATTGTGAATGTGACCGTTCGTTCGTTCGTTGGTGGTGCTTTTTTTCGTCTCCTCTTCGATTTTCGCCAAATCGCATTTTTATTCGTTTTGACGTTCGATTATACGAGCAATTCCTCGTTGTGTACCGTTTCGAACCGAAAAAAATGACCCCTTCGCGTTTTTTTTTGGGGCCGCTCAATTCCTCCTCTTGTTGTCGCCCCCCATCTGCGGACATTTTTCGACGTCAAAAAATGTCCGCAGATGGATTTCGTGAAAAGCGCGAGGTCACTTTTCCAAGGATGCAGAAAACCCCTAATCAGAATTGTCCCTTCCCGAAAAATTCAGAAAAATCGTAATAATCAAAATGGTCCCTTCTCGAAAAATTCAGAGAAACCATAATAATCAAAATGGTCCCTTCTTGAGATCCCCTTGAATGTCTCTCTCAAAGACGACGAATGCGAGAGAGAGAGAGAGAAGAAAAAAAAATTGAAGAACGCTTTTCGAATTTTACGATGCGCGTCGTCCAGTCGGCGAACACGAATTCGATTCCATAATCGAAAATGGATGGATTCGACGATACAGATATTATACATATACAATATATATCTATATATATATTCATATTATTACAAACACAACGAAAATCCAGTCTTTGAAGACGAAACCAATTCAAAAACGCGCGCTGCCTCCTCAATTTTTCGTCGTCGTCGTCGTCGTTTTGAAGGCCGATCCATCACGAGCGTGTAATTAAATTTGGATGTGTGCGCGGTCGCGGTGAGACCTTCGAAAAACGGTAAAAATCAGTGGGGGGGGGGGACGAAAAAAAAAATGGTCGTGCCGGCCTCAATATTACCGACGACGACCTCGCGGCGGCGGCGACGTTGAAATTTCTTTTTTTTTTCTCTCATCGAATTGAGGTCAGTTTCAAGACGGCGCAAAAAAAAACTCACAGGGAGAGAGAGAAAGATTTGTCGAAAAATCTTGATGTGTCTGTGTGTGTGTTTTTTTTTCGACGCCGCCGCCGCCGCTTTTGACCTGGTTTTTGCGACGACGACGACGCCACCGCCATTTTTTGGCGTCGTTTCGCCTTTTTTTTTTTTGGAACCGAATTTTGCCTCGTTGATGCGCCTTTAAAGTGTCGAATTCATCAAATTGGAACCTTGTTTTTTTTCTTGTTTCGAAGATCGATTGTTGCACACTTTAAAGGCACATGAGAGAGGTCTCATAGTATGCGCCTTTAAAATGTCGAAACCTCAAATTTTAAGCGTTCAACAATTTGTGAATTGTCAAGTTGTGCGCCTTTAAATATTCGAAACCTCAAATTATGCTCTTTTAGAAATTTTGAAGCCCCGCTCGATGCGCCTTTAAATAATTGAATTGTCAAGTTATGCGCCTTTGGATATTTGAAGCCTCACCATATGCGCCTTTAAAAATTTGAAGCTGCACCCTATGCGCCTTTAAGTATTTGAATTGTCAAGTTATGCACCTTTGAATATTTCAAGCACCGCCCTATGCGCCTTTAAATATTTGAAGCCTCAACAGATGTGCCTTTAAATATTCGAAATCTTAAATTATGCGCTTTTAGAAATTTTGAAGCCCCGTCCTATGCGCCTTTAAATATTTGAAGCCTCACCAGATGCGCCTTTGAATATTCGAAATCTCAAATTATGCGCTTTTAGAAATTTTGAAGCCCCGTCCTATGCGCCTTTAAAAATTTGATGCTGCACCCTATGCGCCTTTAAGTATTTGAATTGTCAAGTTATGCACCTTTGAATATTTCAAGCACCGCCCTATGCGCCTTTAAATATTTGAAGCCTCAACAGATGTGCCTTTAAATATTCGAAATCTTAAATTATGCGCTTTTAGAAATTTTGAAGCTCCGTCCTATGCGCCTTTAAATATTTGAAGCCTCACCAGATGCGCCTTTGAATATTCGAAATCTCAAATTATGCGCTTTTAGAAATTTTGAAGCCCCGTCCTATGCGCCTTTAAATATTTGAAGCCTCACCAGATGCGCCTTTAAATATTCGAAATCTCAAATTATGCGCTTTTAGAAATTTTGAAGCCCCGTCCTATGCGCCTTTAAATATTTGAAGCCTCACCAGATGCGCCTTTAAATATTCGAAATCTCAAATTATGCGCTTTTAGAAATTTTGAAGCCCCGTCCTATGCGCCTTTAAATAATTGACTTGTCAAGTTATGCGCCTTTAAACAATCATGACTCTATATTGTCTTCTAGACAACGCGCCTTTAAAGAGGGCTTCAGACCTCTCAACAAAAATATGACCAAAGATTTGAATATCCTCAATGCGCCTTTAAACATCCAAATTGAGCGGCTCATCGTTTCGAATCGATTTCGACGAAAATCGTGTAGATTTAGAAGGTCTGATTAAATTAAAAAAAAAACGAAGAGACCAGTTGAAAATGTTCGCTAGAGGGGGGTTCGAAGAGAGTTTTTTTTTTTTTCGCTTCGTCGTTTTCTTCTCGCCTCTGACCCGATTTTTGCGGTTTTCGCAAGATTGGCCTGATTTTTAACGACGATATTCGACGACGAGGCGAGTTTTGGCGGCGAAAAAAAACAAAAAAAGAAATAAATTGGTTACGCTTAAAGGCGCATGGTTTTGAAGGACGCGCCTTTAAATTCATTTCGACATATTTCAATTATTTTGTGCTGCGAGACCTTGAACTCGACTAGATGCCAATTTCAACACCCATCATTCTCTCTCTCTCTCTCTCTCTGTCTCTCTCTCACTTTCTCAGCCGGTGTTTGATCAAATCTCCCCCCAACCATTTTTTGCGGACCTTTGTTCGCCAACCCGCAACACTGTCCGCAGCACACCAACCAATATATATCTGGATGCCAGACATCGTGTAATTTGAGCCCCCCCCCACCAAATTTCAAGTGCGTCTGAATTTGTGCCGGTCAGTGATGGGGGCGAAAAAAAGGAAAAATCCCTTCCCCTCTTTTGATTGGGCTGGGGGGAAGAGGGGGGGGGGCGGTGTGTTTGCATAAATTTTTTGGGGTTGTCCAGTCGGCCATCAGCCAAATAATACCAGCCACGACGATGGTTGAAAAAAAAAATTGCGTCGATTCTCTGCGTTTCATCTCATATTTCGGTGGCCGGTGTGAATGAGAGCAGCACACACTCGGACGGACGGACGGACGGACAGGGAGAGAGCAGTGAGTGCACAATTT